TTATTAATAAGTAAAAGAAAATAATAGTCTTTTTTTATAAATATATTTAGCTTCTAATAATCTATATAAAATTATAGACTAATATTAGCCTTCGAGACTATTAAAATAAGAGATATATAAGAGGCCTTATTAAATATAATAAAGCCTTAGATAATGTTCTAGGTAATATAGGCTTTGATCGTCTAGAGTTCTTTCTCTAATTATTTATAGAGAGGGTAATATTTAGGTATTTTTCATTTATTAAGAAAGATCTAATAATCGGTCGTACCTTAATATAGCGATAAGGTATTTAAATCCTATTTTAAGAAAATATTAGTGTACTTACAGTACTTCTTAGGGATTATACTCTATATAGTTTAGTCTTTAGCTTATTAATAAGCCTTGCACTTCTCTTTTAAGATATAGTTAATTTTATAAAGAGAAGTAAGGAAGACCTTATTATCTTTCTTTTAATATTAGTAAAATCTAATATCTATAATAAATATATTTATATCTAAGTGGCTAAGATAATATTCTTAAGATTTCCATAGTAACTATAGAGGTAGAGGTTTACGGACTTAGTTATTATTAAAAAAAAAGCTTTTAGGCTACATATAGTTAGGGAGAGTCTTAAAATAATTTATTTTATGAATTAGTATTCTCTTAATACTAAGGATCTAGCTTTAATCTTTTAGAATAAACTAAAGGAGGATAATAAATATCTTTATAGTTATATTATTCTTAAGGTTAGGCTCCTTAGGCTAAATAAGTTATTCTATTTAGTAATTTAAGAGAATACTAAATTCCTTAAATTATATCTATCTAAGAATTATATTATCATATCTGAGGTTAGTAATTAATATTAGTAAATAAAGAAGTCTCTAGCTATTGATAATCAAGGTTAATTTAAAAATATAAATAATTAACTTTCTTAGATATCTATTATCGCTCTTTATTAGTATAAGATATAATAAGAGTAAGATATAAAAGCTAAAGGCCTTTATAGCCTATATTATAAAGATAAATTACTATAAATTTATTTATTTACTCTAATATTATTAAATACTAAAATTAAAAAAGAATATTTATTATAGGCTACCTAAGTAATAAAACTAAGACTTTTACCTAATCTAAATAATCTAATTAAATCTAAAAAATGAAATAATAACTTCTTATTATCTAAAAAGGAGACTTCTTTTAGATTTAAGCTTTTCCTAACTAATTATTTTCAGGGGGGTTAAGTAACTATTTTAGTATTTAAAGTTTAGTAATAATAATTATAAAGATAATATTTTTTTTAAGTATTTATAAGTTATATATTTTTATTTATAGTAATTAAAGTAGCGACCTTCCTTTATTAAAATATATAATCCTTAATTAATAATAACTTATATAAAGTTATATCTATACCCTTATACTTTATAAATAGGGACTATAAGATATAGAAATAAATTATATTAATTAGAATTTTAATAATAGCTTTAGAGAGAGTAATTAGCTTCTAGAATTTCTTAGCCTTAAATTAGAGAATAATATTATAAGTTATATTTTAATAAATATAGATAAATTTATTAAAATTTATAAAAGTCTTATTTATAAATAATATTATTTAAGTCTATAGTAAGTTTAATAGCTTATTATAAAGATCTCGCTTTTAGCGGTCCTTTAATCAATTATTTCTTTTAGCTAAATAAATAAATTAATAAAAAAATTATTAAAGTTATCCTTTAGCTTTATAAACAAATACTAATATTTCTAATAGGCCTTAGTAATATAATTTAGGCTCTAAAAGATACTCTTTAACTACTCTATAATATTTAAGATATCTTTCTCTAAATAAAAATAAATATAAAGGAATACCTTCTCTTTATAATAGCTTATAATATAGATTATATAATATTTAATAATAAAATAATAATTAATATTTATAGCTAGCTTATAATTATTATAATCTAAATATTAAAATAAATTATCTTACTATCATTTAATATAAAAGTATTAGATATTTTAGCTAATAAATAGCCTTAGATTTTAGGGACTTAGGGTTCTTAATAATTTAAAATATTTTAAGGGCTTAGCGCTAAAAATCAAAGGATCTAAAAAATAAAATTATTCTATTTATTAATTATTAAATTTTAATAAATAATAACTTTATTTCGCTCTTAGATTAGATTAATATTAGTAGCTTTAAGTTACTTAATATTAGTCTATAAAAGTTATATTAGTTATATATTTTTTGAGGTCTATAAATCTTATTAAGTTTAATAGGTCTTATATTAAATCAATTATTTTTATAAGCTATTGATATTCTCTTAAATCTTTTTAGAATTAATTCTTAGAGTAAAACCTTAGCGAATAAAATTCTTAGTCTTTAAATTATTAATCTTATAATTAGTTATATTATAATATTTAATAGATTTTAAGATAGGATTAAGAACTTAGGTAGCTCTTATTTTTTAGTAAGCTTTTTTCCGATATTCTTTTTATGCTCCTTTTTTTTAGAAAAAAAAGTTCTTAGTCAATATAATATATCTCTTATATAAGTTATATAACTTAGACTTTATATAAGTATTAGTTCCTTTAACTCTAATATTATTTCGTTATACTATTTATTAAGATTTAGTTCGGGGTTCGTTTATTTAGTTCTAATTTATGAAGAGATATCACTAATAAGGCGAGATAGCGATAGCGAGATATCTAATATCTAAATTATACCTCGAGGTCACAAGAAAGAGAAAAGAAGAGTTTAGTTATATATTATAGACTAAGATAAAGATAAATTCGTATATTATTAATAAGAGTAACTAAACTAGAGAAGAAGAAGAAGAAGAAGAAGAGAGAAAGAGTGAAATAAGTATCTACGAAACAAAACCACTGCTATCCCAAATCGGGTTAGACCCACGGCTCCTTCCAGATCACGTTCCCCCTTAGGCCTCAAGACAGTCATGCTTCACAGAGAGGACATTTTCCTTCCCCAAGAGGCGCCGTAAACACCATTATAGCCGGATCGTGAGGATCAGGGAACGGGCGCAGAAATTCAGACAAAGCCTCTATGTACATGTAAGACGTCAGAACAGATCACGCCATAGTTAATGTCGGCTGCGCGGAGATGTAATCCACGACCTTACCCTTCCCATTCAAATTGCCGCATCTGTACTTATGATTAAAGTTGCCAGGCTTAGAGCTGTATTTAGACCTGCGTAGACGAAATGTCTATCATATAACGGATGTAGCTTGCTGGGAGCTCGTCATTTGATAATCCATCGTCTTACTCCGAGAGCTAGAGTAGCCTGAGGTTTTCCGCGTGATGTTGGGACAATTCTCCGAAGTCGTTCTGGGTGTAATTGCCCGGTGAAGGACTGAGGCTGTATCTCGACGCAGGTGTGCAACCGAGATATCCTAGGGTAGGAGCATATTAGGAATCTTAATCCGAAACATCCGGGCCATAGGAAGTTCGGAATTCGTTGCCGTTGCAAAATGAGTCAGCAGCAATCATTCTTGCTCCAAAGCTCCAACGAATCCAACGTCAGCACAATTTCGCCTATGAATCCACCGGATACTGGGTCCCTAATCAGAAGGCAGCATTGTTAGACGAAGCATAGGAAAATGTTCATCCCACTGATACCGTCTTTATACACTTCGCTCATCAATAGCGGTCACTCCCTGTGTATGATGAGAGCTTGACCGAAGGAGACATATGAGAGCTGACCAGATAGAATGACCAGGCAGGCGCCCCTCCTATTTGACATGTTTCCAGAAATGTGTTCTAGACATGCAACAGACCATAAAAGGCTAATACTATAACTATTCTTATGTTGTTATTAACGAATGTAGCTGGCAAGGAGTCGAAAGATAAGATACGCCTTTAAGGTACCCACACAAGCTCCGTCTTTAGCGAAGCTCATGATCTCCAGCGCTTCTGCAGATCCATTCCCCACAACGAGGGAGCCAAGAGTGAGAAAGGCACTGGCACCTCGATTGGCTATGGAGTGACTGTTCCCCTTCGTGGTTGGGAACTGCCAACGCATTGTGGGACAATTTCCTACCAATCAGCGGCCTTACTATTTTTGCTTGGTCCACATTTTTATACGTCCAAACCGTCAAAAGCTTAAAACCTCCCAGCCAGCGTGACGTCGGACGAATCGCTCATAAATTGGTTGCTTCCTTCACGTTCCCCCTCTCCGTGCCTTTCTTCCTCTTCTCGGCCTCTATTTCTTCTACTCCAGCCCTGCCCAGATAGGCGTCCTGTCATTAAATTTCTTCAAGTTCACTTATTCTACGCTCGCTTTTGTCCATCTCTACGCTTGTTGCCAGAACATCATACACCAAGAGAACTAAGAGTTCTACTCCTCACCTTTCTTCATGTTCACTCATTTAACAGCCTCGACGATCTCCTCTCCCGTTCCAGTTGAATGATAGAGTGTAATCTATGTCAAGCTGACGGACGTCAAGGCACAAGTAGTTGTAGTCGCCACCGCTAGACAAGATTATGTTGGTTTCATTCACTCTGACAACCAAGCCAGTCCTGACTAGACCATTCACACATTGACGCTGGTTAACAGCCAAAGGTCGGCATGACCGGCCTCGTGGAGGTCATTAGGGCCTGTTCCGACCGTTGTGGTTGAATCACCTGGAGGTCCTTGTTATGGGTCTAATGAGAAAGGTTGAACGAGTTCTAGGTCGTTCAAGCATCGTGGTCTATTCTCTAGCCAGATTGACTAACATATGATTGCTTTGACTTTACCGAACCGCGGTTCGTCGAAGTCATACCACACTTCTGGGCGGTTTTGATGCGAGTCGTATGCGATTCAACTTTATTCTCTCTCTCATCTGGAGGCGCTTTTCGGCATTCTAGACCAGTCTATAGTGAATATCATATATTTGTGCTGAGCGACCTATCCAAATCTGGGTCACGCCATCGGATTGTAAGTTCTTGAAATTGACAAACCTCACGTATCTACACCAATAGCTGCATCACTGCAACACTAGTCCTCTGGACTTGTCGACTGCGTGCTCCATCCATGGCACGCGTATTTGCGGAGGAATATGCGACTCCCAGTGGTTGGCGAACGCGAGAGCCCGGCTTCATAATCTGGGCATTTATCAGCCTGCTCAGCGTTCTGTTGCACATATTCTTCTATAGCATCTACTTCCTTCCTGGGTACCTGCGCCCGAGTGGGCAATGGAGTTATCGCCAGGCGCTGACGAGCCAACTCATGAGGGTTGTTCTCAGCGTACTTGCTGACTTAGGTTTCAAGCGGCCTCTGAGCCTCGAAGCTCACAATCAGGAAGAACAATGGGTGGTTATGGAATATGGCCCTGCGGAAGCTTATCAAGGTCCAATATCAAGCAGTTTTCTGAGGCTGGAGCGGATTGGTGCAACTTGGTATCCGAGTACGCCGCCCAAGGCTCCTTCTGGTGCCGCAGCTTGTATCGATGACAACGGTCTCATTATTCTTTGCTTCCACTCTGGGTCTTTTCTTTAGATCACGGGTAGGCCCAAAGACTGCATTTTCAGTGCCGGGCTTTAACGCCTAGGTTAGGAGACGATACACGTGCTCTATGGGTGCAGTACCGGCTCGCCGGCGACCCGAAGAAGCCGACGCCATATCCCGGACCTATACAGGATGCGCTGACTGCGTATCTCTTCCTTGCGGACGAGTTCGGAATTCCTCCGCATCGCATTGTCCTTGCGGGAGACTGTTCCGGAGCAACCTTGGCGGTGGCGCTTCTGCGCTATATCTCTTCCGATGCCGAGAAAAACGGCGGCTTGCGGGGCCAGAACCTTCCGGCTCCGCCCAAAGCGTGTCTTATTTTCTCACCGCCCGTCGATTATAGCGCGGAAGGGGATTCGCAAGGGATAGACATGCACCGCAATCACAAGATCGACTACGTTGAGGGGCGAACGGCAGCGTGGGGTGCGCGATCCTTTGCGCCGCCGCCGTTCCGCTTAGATAATCCTTATCTTTCCAGCCTTGCATCCGTTCGCAACGCCGGTACCCATCTTCGTGCAGGTGCGGAGGTACTCTACGAGACTATTAGAGCGTTCACTGAAGCTATGCAAACGATACCGGGGAATAGGGTAAAGTATTTAGAGGTTTCAGATGCCCCGCACGATATCTTTATGGTTGGAAATATCCTTGGTTGGCTGAAAGAAGCGGAGGGGTCTGTCGATGCCGCAGCCGCGTTCCTATCTCGGATGTGAATCTACGTGTCTAGCCTAGTATCTAGGCAGCTTTCACATATGGATTTGTTAAGTCCGGGGTGAAGAACGGAGCAAGAAAACCCCTTATCTTTGTCGACGCTCACCGCAACAGGGATTATCAGCATCAAGCTCGTGTCGCACCCGGATGCGCTATATTAGAGCCGCTGGCAATCGTCACGAAATTGAGTACGTATTGTTAAGCTTAGAAAGTATGGATACCCTTACAGACCAGAGAAGTAAATAAGAAAAGGTTTCGCAATCATTACTAGCTGATGACAAAATCGAGAAAATAGTGAATTTGGCAAACGCATGCGCAATCTGACCCGCTACGAACCCTTCACAATATAATATGCTTCCTCAGGTCCAGAGTCACCGGACTTGGCCAATATGTGCACTCAAGTAGAAACTCCAAATTAAAACTAAGGATACGAAGAAAGTGTGATGCAAAGTTCAAAACCTGTACAACAGTATTTTTCCTACAGCGTTCCCAACTCGTAACAGAGATACATAGTGGCCTAGAACCAAAAAGCTATATCATCCCATTTCGGTTTCCATACTAGCCACGGTGGATCCCAACCTCTTTTCCACGCGGCTCAGATTCGATTATTACTGGAACAGAACAGCAACAACCCAGGATACCACCATGTATGTATCAGCCATGAAATAGTGATAGTGTCGAATGTTCCAGCCTGTAAAGATAGACGCAAAGTGTCTCATATTGAATACACGACGCATACACAAATCTCCATAAGGGAGCAGGGCTGAATGATGTCACGGGCGATGGTCAAACGGTCATTACTTTCTTGATTGTTACTTTTTAACATTCGGTGCCTTCCCTTCTTTTCTGATCTCCAATTATTTCCCGTGGTACTTACCCAGCCATGCATAAGTTCAAGGATAAGTACGAACATGAAATCGATCATCTGGAGGAGTCGTTTCAAGGTCCGCCCAGCCACTCTAAGAATTGTTCCAGTTCCCTGTAGACACTTACAATATTACCACAGGAGCCCACCTCCACGATGCGAAGGCACAAGCCACCAACTTGAAACACAGGGTCGGCAAAATTTTCAACATTGTCAACCCCAATCACCGTCACGACGAGGCACACGAGCAGGCGACAGATAATAAGCGCTCGGAGATTACCGAGTCGCATCGGTTCAAGTCCTTTGCGCCAATTTGTGAGGGCAACCGTGTCAAGTGGTATGTTGATGCGCGGGACTACCTCTGGGCAGTCTCTGAGGCACTCGAGAAGGCAACCGAGACCATCTACATCGCCGACTGGTGGCTCTCTCCGGAGTTGTTTCTGCGTCGGCCACCATTTCAACATCGGGAATGGCGACTGGACCAGATTTTGAAGCGTCGTGCCGAGGCGGGTGTCAAGATCTATGTCATTGTCTACAAGGAGGTCCGTCTATTCCCTAACTTCTATCAACTCAAGACATTAACTGAGAGCAACAGGTTCATCAAGCTCTGACTTGCAACTCTGCGCACACCAAACATGCCCTCCAGAGTCTTTGTCCTCAAGGCACGCCTGGCCATGGCAACATCCGAGTGCTGCGTCATCCAGATCACAATGTTTTTGAGAACGCAGCTGACATGACGCTCTACTGGGTATGTATCCAGAGGGAGTTCTCTCGATGAGAAGACTGACAACATCAGGCACACCACGAGAAACTCATTGTGATCGACTATGCCCTAGCTTTTATCGGGGGAATCGATCTTTGCTTCGGCCGATGGGATGCGAACCAGCACCCTCTAGCCGACGTACACCCGAGCGGCTTGCGCGACCACATCTTCCCGGGCCAAGACTTCAACAACAACCGCATCATGGACTTCCAGAGCGTCGACGACTGGCAGAGCAATGAGCTGAGCAAGGCCGAGTACGGGCGAATGCCATGGCACGACGTCGCAATGGGCTTGATCGGCGATTGTGTCTACGATATCGCAGAGCACTTTGTCCTTCGCTGGAACTTTGTCAAGCGGGATAAGTACAAGCGGACTTGTGATGTGGATTGGTTGTTGATGGAAGGTCGTATGGACGAAAATGAGGATATCATCGCGGTCCAGCGTCCCAAATATCCTTGTGGCGAGTATATCCAGCATCCTCTGACGCCGTTGTCGAATAAACCCCGTGGACAGCAGGGCTCTGTGCGTGCGCAGATTGTGCGAAGCAGTGATGACTGGAGCAGTGGTATTCTGAACGAGCACAGTATTCAGAATGCGTACTGCGAGACTATCCGCAATGCTCAGCATTTCGTCTACATTGAAAACCAATTTTTCAGTACGTCTGCCCCCACACCCTAATTTTTAGCCTTTTCACGACTGACACTTCTAGTTACTGCCACCGGTGACCAGCAGCGTCCCATCTTCAACACCCTCGGTCGTGCTATCGTCGATGCCTGCGTTCGTGCAGGCAAGGAGGGTCGTAGGTTCCGTGTCATCATCGTCATTTCCGCTATCCCCGGCTTTGCCGGTGACCTGCGCGACTCCGCAGCAGCTGGCACCAGGGCTATTATGGACTATCAATACAAGTCGATCTGCCGCGGCGACCACTCCATCATGGGTCAAATCAAGAAGGCCGGCGTAGATCCCACACGTAAGGGTTGCCATCTTTCACTTATGGGTAATTGGTGCAATTGACAGACAAACAGAACAAATCTTTGTGTTCGCTTTGCGCGCCTACGACCGAATTAACAGGACTCCAGCCCTCGAAGAACTCGAGAAAATGGCCGGTGTGAACTACCAGGATATTCAGCGTGGTATCGCCGAGTCCATCATGAGTGAGAGTGTGCATCCGGCGATTGGTAAAGAAGGCGACGAAAATGAGAAGAGTTACGAAGCCGACTCGGCTCAAAAGCAAGAGAACCTGCGCAAATTCAAGAAGTTCGAGGAGCAGGTTAAACAGCTCAAGGCGGACGAGGGCAAGGCTAGCCGGGACTCGGTGGCACACACCAATATGCTGAATGGGAACAAGATGTCTGACGAGGTCTGGGAGGGCGATGCCGAGGCTGAGAAGGCCAACATCGTTCAGGAAGAATTGTATGTACATGGTAAGATGTGCATTGTCGATGACCGCACTGTCATCTGCGGCAGTGCCAATATCAATGATCGGGTACGTGGAACACCCCGTCTAAGTTCCATGACTACGTTACTTATACAGTACAGTCCCAACTCGGCTCCCACGATAGCGAATTGGCTATCGTTATGGAAGACCAAGACTTCATCGACAGCCAGATGAACGGCCAACCCTACCTCGCCGCCCGTCTAGCCGCAACCCTGCGCCGGCAGCTCTGGCGTGAACATCTGGGTCTTCTTCCCGCACAGAACTACGATGCCTCGAACGCCCCGAACTCACGCGCCCCAGATGTCTGCCTCAATGAGATCCTGGAGGGAGCCGAGAATGACTTTGTCACCGACCCGTTGAGCGATGCGGTCTGGAAGACCTGGACGGAGCAGGCTAGCGTCAACACGGAGACGTATCGGATGCTGTTCCGCGCGGATCCGGACAACAATATCAAGGCCTTTGAGGATTATGACAATTTCCGTCCGCGTCGGTCCAAACAGGGTCATTTGTTTGATCCGTATCAGTCGGCGGCGGATGTGCGGCAGATGTTGGATCGTATCAAGGGCCACCTGGTGTGGTTACCGCTGGATTTCTTGTGCAATGCGGAGATGACTGAACCGGGGCTCGCTGTGAATCAGATTACTAAGGTGAGTTTCCCCGGCATTGATGTGGATGTAGCGCCGTGCTAACCTTGACTAGAGCATCTACACCTAGTTTATAGTCATGTCATGTCCTCGAGCAGATATCTACCACGTCATTCAAAATTCCATTGTTTACCATTTTCTATGTCTGCAGTTTCTATTCGCGTTCGTATTTTGCCGCTGCGATATCGAACCACACGGCTGGAACACCGTCCACAAGCACGAAGACAGACAGTCCTTTTTTCGACACCGACATAGCCTCATCTACTCCTCATCTACTCCCACCACCACTAGTAATATTCTACCGTGCCCTTGATGGACAAACGACCCACATCCTCCACATTCCACAAAAGTACTTATACGGGTAAAGTACCACCCGCTGGTCCTTGCATAGTCACGAATAACTTGCCTTCAACGGTGGTCGACTACCAGCAGGAGACGTCCAAGGTACTGCGGGAGGACTATGTTGCCGATGGCTCTGGAAGGGATCTCGTGCTTGACAAAAGCCCTACTAAGCTAAGTCGAGTTCGGGAGGAGACTTTGTTAAGTGACACTTCGCTCCTTGTGGCTGCTTCTAGCGTTCTAGCTTTGGCTGGGTATTTGGTGGCTCGATCTAAGTTGGTGAGACGTGGTTGATGCGGAGCTGTTTACTTGATTTTCAACTACGGTATGTCTGTTGGATTGGTAATGGGTCTTCGTTCGCATAAGAAGAGTATAGTGTGTACCTCATAGTCTACTCACTCTCCACTCCCTGAAACGCACTGCTCTTCCTTGATATCTCTCAACACTAGTGATACTAGACCGCGCATTGAAATGGATAGGTGCGTGGCCGCCAGGCTTAAGCAATGATTGAAGATTCCTTTTAATAAGTTGAAGATCTATGTATCTGGCCACCACATCTTCAATACTTTCATACCATATATGCTGCACAACTTGATTGCACTAAAGACTGTTGGCATAACGGGCATTTATTTTTGTTGTTAAACCCTACAAGACACCAGGCATGAAATATATGGTTACATGGGAGTGGGTGGATGAGTTGCAAATATAAAACCGAGTCAAGACAAATTGCACTAACTCATCTCGTTGGTTGGAACTTCATCCTAAACGATGATTTCGGACAAAGGGTAGTTTACCAAGTAAATGGGCGATCGCCGGTTCCCAAAAAGTTCTGCTTTGTCTGTACGAATGTCCACAAGGCTGTGAATTGTTGCTTACGCGAGGTTTGTTCAAACTCGTACAGCCTTCGTATTCTGCAGCCAGAGCTAGGCACTTAGAAGATGGGGTACACAACTCGAATATGTATTTGGGGCTCTGTTGAAATTCACTAAATTTGTCTTATGTGTTCAGTACCCGTGTTGGGTGACCGGGAGCGGTGTGGGTGATCATGAGACGGATAGTGAAAGAGAAGGGAAAACCGAGGAAGATTTGATATCACGAAGTTTACGCAATGATGACCACTCAACATGTAAATAAACAAAAGTACTGGTTGTTTGGTTCTGTTCCGGTATTGAACTCTTGGTAAATAATGGAGAGCGTAATTTTCGGCATGTTATCATCGAAAATATTCCTTTCCAATATTAGTGGACTACGATTGAAGGAACCAAAAAAATGTCGTACCAGTCCCTAATGAGCGAAACCACACCTGTCCGGTGTTGGATGAAGACAAACTAGAAATTAGCAGTTTGTTAGAGGTGCTTGATGTGAACTATGCAGACTGGATCCAAAAGGTCTACCCAAAGAATGAAAAACACCATCACAACTCGGTAATTATAGTGGTCCACTACCATGGATTTTTCCATTGTTCTAGCCTGACGAAGAGCCGAATCGATAATGTCTAGTTCCGAAGTTGAAACAAGCTAGGGGACGTGATGACGAATAAAATGCAGGTGGACTGATAAATGTCGGGAGGTGACATGGGGAGCTGGACCATGGACCGACATCCAAGGGTTGACACTACACCTCACTGCAACGCAGCGAGCTACATTCCATCCATCGCGCCTGGTCTTGATTCTAGGCGGCACAATGCGTCATAAGGATGTATTCCCCGTGGGTTCCAGCCATTTCCTTCAAGTCGCAATCATATCACAATCGGGAGTATATATACTATTGTGTCCACTGGCACAACTATCGTCCACTCATGCAGAAGGCCTCTAGTAATCTTACACTCTAAATCCTCGCAAAGCATCTACAGAACAGAGTCTGAAAGCACTGTCGCCTCGCAGACGCCTTGATCTGACAAGATGTTCCACTTCTCACGCAGCCAGAGCCACGAAGATGGCAGACGGACATCTGAAGGGATTCACGCTTGGCTGGTGGGTGCGGATATTGGCTGTCTAGCAGCTGCTGTCCACTTGATCCAAGATGCGAAAGTGCCAGGGCCTCAGATCCACATCTTGAGAAATTCGGCATCGCAGTCTCACATCTTAGAGGGTTTTCCGATTAACAGAGCGCTTCATTCGGAGACAGAATCTATCACTAAAGAAGACCGTCTCCCATCCAGGCGCATATTGAGCCAGAACTACGTTTGTACCAACGATCTCCTATCGCGGATTCCGTCACTGGACAATTCCACGAGAACCATCCAGGAGGAACTAGTCGAGCTCGAGAATGAAAAGAATCTATCCAAAGATTACCAAACTAGAGTGATCGCCAACGAAGACCACACGATGGATATTCTGGACACCAAGAGACTCGACCTCAACCTGGGTGACCGTGTCCGCATTAAGAAGATGATGCTGGCGAGCAAAGGGGGTCTGATGAAAACGAGAATAATGGATATTTTCAATGAGGAATTTTTTCATGGAAAGTTCTGGAGCATGTGGGCGACCAAGTGTGTACCAGTTTTCTTCCCCTTTCCGATTTTTCATGCAAAGAAACTGAGCTCGTGTAGGTTTGCATTCCAGCCATGGCACAATGCCGAGGAATTCCGGCGCCACCTTCGATATATCCACGATTTTGCCAATCTCCACACATTGAGCCCGATTGACTGCACGCCGTACGAGCTGTTCAACTCCATCATTATTCCGGTCACCTCCTACCTTCAAGCACAAGCAGTAGACTTCAAACATAATGTCACGGTCTTGGACGTGGTGATGGATTCAGAGAGTGACCCGACATTGGTATCTGGTCTGAAGGTCCAGCAGAGTGGCACAGTAACCGTCATCAGCATCTCTCCCAAGGACATCCTGATCATCACCCTCGGATCCATCTACGCGGGTTCAACATTAGGAACGAACTGGTCTCCTCCCGCGCCTGTCCCAGAGGTCGAGGAGTTGACACTCGACGACTCGTGGGACCTGTGGTTTAAGCTCTCGCGAAAACATCCGAAATTTGGAGACCCGTCACGATTTTGTGGGCGCATCGCAGAGTCAACTATGGCATGCTTTCTTGTGACGCTGAATGACTGGGACTCCTTCGAGCGATTTGCAGCTCTAGTGCAGTCGCCACTCAATACGAGCACGCTGTTGAGTTTTAAGGACAGCAACTGGCGGTTGAGCCTGAATGTGCCGCGCCAGCCGCATCTTGCCGGTCAATCAGAAGACACCCAGCTGATATGGGGCTACGCACTATCCCCATCGCGCGAAGGGAACTTCATCCATAAACCATTGAGCAGTTGTACCGGTGAAGAGGTTCTGATGGAGGTGCTCCAACAACTACAATTACCCCTGGATCCGATACTCGAGCACTCCATTACAGTGACCAGCTTATTGCCACTTGCAACGGCGCAGTACCTGACACGAGACAAAGACGACCGCCCAAATACCGTCCCCGACAACGTGCACAATATGGCGCTAATCGGCCAGTTTGTGGAAATTCCTCAGGATACAGTGTTTTCCATGGAGTACACTATCCGCGGGGCACAAACGGCTGTATACCACTTGATGGGCCTGGAAGAGCAGAAGCTGAAAGCGCATAAGAACTACTGGGATAGTTTTTGGACGATTCTACTTTGACTTGGGAATTTAGGATTCTTTACTGGATGTTTTATTGATTTGACCCAAGCTAGGAGATAGTGTTCTTCATATCGAGATGCACAAACTTTATGAGTTTATAACTAGTTGCAGATATATAACAATTCCGCTTATTTGTGACGTATAACTACGTTTAGGACTGAGGGGGAACGTGATCTGGAAAGAGCTATTATGCTAACCTAATTTAGGATAGAAGTAGTTTTATTTCGTAGTGTAGTGGGAGAACCGGTGACATGATAGCATATGTATGGCCTCAAGCATAATTCAATGTCTATAGTGCATAGTGCATCTTTAAGACAGAGTTAGAGATAGATAAGTCATCTACTTAACTCATTTAGGTTCACCCTATTTCCTCTATTTATAATACATTATTAAGGTTATTTTATACTGCCGCATTAGGGTATTAGTACGGCCTTATCCAGACCGTCCTTTATACCGGACAGGCAGTATATATGTATTGAAATGGGAACGGCTCGATGGCTGTCTGGCGATGCAGACTGGACAACACACACACACACACTGCCTGTCTGGTGTAGAGGATGCTGGATGAGGCCGTACTGATGCCCTGTTGCGGCCGTGCGGGATAATCTTAATGCTGCATCATGGATAGAAGAAATTGGGTGAATCCTAAATCAATTGGGTAGATGACTTGTCTCTCTCTAAGTGTGTCTGGAGATATACTATGCACTGCAGACATTAAATCATGCCTGAGGCCACACATAGGCTCATTAGGTCACCAGTTCTCCCACTACAATATCTATCTATTAAAATGGGAACGGCTCGATGGCTGTCTGGCGGTGTAGACTGGACAATATATATATATGTACTGCCCGTCCGGTATAGAGGACGGTCTGGATGAGGCTATACTGATACCCTAATACGGTAGTGCGGGATAACCTTAATACCATGTTATAAATAGAAGAAATAGAGGGAACCTAAATAAAATAGGTAGATAACTTATCTATCTCCAGCTGTCTTAAAGATACACTATGCACTGCGGACATTAGATTATGCCTGAGGCCACACATATGCTATTATGTCACCGGTTCTCCCACTACAATGTCGAATTGACGTTCTGAGCTATTGATGGTGTAGTGTCGCTATTATTGCGATAGCCATATGTTGAGCTATGAATCATCCAACCGTCTCTGTTCCGGGCCTAGCGCGTTCTCGTCAATCTCGAATCCGTGAACTGATATCGGGCAGGACAAACGGGGTGTTTAAAGTTCCATTCTCCATTGTGGAGCGTATCTGAGACGTGCGCTGCTCCCTCTACCGCACTAGGGCCGTAATGTTTGGTGTTACTGTTTTTGACACGTCTGGACGTCGTGACAGAACATGGTTGTCTCGTGGGCATAGGTTCTCTGCTGTTGGTTGTGGCTATGTAGTGTTCCTATCCGTCCATCTGTCGCGTCTGCATCGCGTACTCTTCGAGCTCTGGCGCTGTACACGATTATCGGGCAGGATAAACGGAGTGACTCTAATTCCATTCTCCATCGTGGGGCGTATATGAGTGGGCCACAGCTTCCTTTTCCGTACTGGAGCTGTGATGTTTCGTGAGATTCGGAGACCGGATTTCTGCGCGTCGGCACGTCGTAGAAAGAGTGATAATCGCGTCGTTGAGCTCCTCCTTGCACTCGGGGACAGCCAAATTTTTTCTCTAAAGTTCTCAGCGGACACCACGTGGAGGTCGCCCATCGCGAGTTTAGCTTCAATACGACGAAAGGCCTTTACCCGGAGAATGGCAACTTCAAAGTCAATTCGCGACCCTGTACGGAATTTAATGTATCGCCTGTTGCTTCTGTTTGACTAACATGACATGCCTCTCTAGGTGTAAACAGGCTTGGGAGTTCCGACTACTGGACCTTGCCCCCTCGAGTCGACAGGCCAAATCTCTTCAATCACAACTCCACGGTAAGCGTAATAAACGTCATGAAGGTTCACTGTAGGGTCAATATGACTGGGTATCATCTCCACGCGATCACCGACTGAAAGCGACGGAGTTCCTTCTTCCCAGGTCAAAGAACCATGTTCGTCTCCAAGGACACCGTATGTATATCTAGAGTCTTTACATTCTGCCAAACCACTGTCGGTCGTCAATGACTTCAGCCCACTATCAATCGTGACAGCCCTGGGACCTTGCTTGCTCACAACTGTCGATAAAATTGTAAGGCTATTAGAGTAAAATGAGCCGACGGCGTTGCGGTAGTCCGTGTCCATGAAAATGAAGGATCCTGGTTGAAGCTCGGTCACACCGGGGACTGTAGCACAGAACTCGGCAGTGCCTGTACCTCCTGTGGTAACAACATCAATTTCGAAGCCGGCACTGCGCAGGGAATCTGCAGTGCTGGTCAGGATCCGCATTGACTCTAGGCATTGAGCTCTGCGATCTTCCTTGTCATGTAGGTGTTGCAAATGACCTTCGTAGCCCTGAACTCCAATGAGATTCAAATTTCTCAATCCAGCGATATGCTTTGCCAAGGCAAGGGCCGGTTCACCGGGCTTGACACCAGTCCGGTGGAGACCAACATCTAAGTCAATCAGGACCATTATGCGATCGTCCATTCCTGAACTGGCCATGGCCTTGTTTATAGCCGTGGCACCGATCTCACTGTCAACAACGATCTTGATATTGCGATGCCTGCGATACAACTCAACGAGTCTCTTGACTTTGGCAGATCCAACGATCTCGCAGGTAATGAGCAGGTCGTCAAAACCAGCATCTGCAATGGCTTCTGCTTCGCTCACTTTTGCCACACACCCTCCCTTCGCGCCGGCTTTGACCATTTTGCCAGCAAGGACGGCACTCTTCGTTGTTTTGAGATGCGGGCGGATATTGAGCCCAGTTGGAAGTAGCTTGTCCATAAGCTTCTTGATGTTTTCCTCAACGAGATCGAGGTCGGCAATCATGGATGGCGTGTCAAGGCTTTCGAGCCTATCACCAACTCTGGGAGCGTACATCATGTAATGGGGATGAGGGAGGTAAATGAGCGGGGACGGGGTCGTGCTCGCAAGTGGAGGGCAATCAGAATGCGTTTTGAAGCTAAGCTGTGATTTCCTGGGAAAGACTCGGGTGGGGCTCCTATTTATCATCCGGAGGCAAGGGGGTCCTGGAATGGCAACGTGACATATGAAGGATAGTTATTGACACCCAACCCACTTTTATCGTCACCCATGTAGCATTTGAATCCCCTCCCCAAAGGTAGGCTCTCAATTACATTGATTATCGCACTGTGTGTGATAGCGCCCCATCATATCCCCCGCACTAAATAATATACCCGCGTCCTCCTCCCACTCTCTCCTACGCGAGGGAGCTACACCCCCACACTTCTGAGTGTTACTCTCCTAAGTCCATTTGAGACTTGGCTTTTTGTATACTCTGCATCTGGCTAGTTATTTAACTTGCTTTCTTGCTAATAGAATGGATTGATCGAGTCCACTTACCATTACACGCCGTATTGACGGTCTCAGCGATTTTTCTCTTCCAAAATGTAGCATTGGACTGTGTTCCCTTAAGCTACGGCAATGTGATACAGATAACGCACCAGTAAGACATACTTGGAACCCATTAACATGCAATACCTTCAACTATCTAAGTTGCGGAATCTATCAATGAACGAGTCATCGAGAGAGATCTTCGCCCTCCTTGTACGAAACGCATGAAGAGTCCGACTTTGTCGTCCCTCTTGTCGATTTTTAGAGATAGCTGTAGCTGAGAATTATGGCGACGAGAACCAAAATTCTGGCAGTTGATTATAAATCTGGGCTAAGAAGGATCTCCTGTCGATTGTTACCATTTGAAGTGAAATGACTCATGGAAATTGTTCGACCACACATGTCGTGTGTGCAGATAAAATAATCTAGGTGTAAAGATGCTCACGTAAAATATAGCTGTCGTCGTGATTTTGGCGCTTTCCGTACGTCTACCGAAGTTTGATGCTAAATGCATAATTGCTGATACAAGTGAACTTAATAATTAAACCAGAGATGTGTATCGGCCTTTCGCGGGATTTGACGGCGAGGTCTCTTTCATTAACCAATGGGAAAGAAACAGAGAGCTACTTCACAGTAGTGGCTTTTCACCACTCTCACATGCCGACATGATAGCCATGAAACTGGTAGGAAAGAAAGGGGAAGAAGACTATCTAGCAAAAAGAAGATGCGGCAGTGCCATACCATTCACATCTCAGCATGATAACCGTCGTAATAGGAACATAGAGAATAAAACTGCGAGGATCAAGAGTGTCTATAATCCATCTGGGGTATTGCAAGCTTCCGCGTTCCGTCTCCAGGATGGAAGCGAAGCAAAAATGACGAGAAATTAATCAGAGGCGTGCTTTCCCTCGCTCTCGCCACTGCTCATCGCGATCTCGGCCTTCTCTGACTCGGATGCGATCCGGTGATCCGGGGTATCCAGACCCAGCTCGTTTTGCATCTGAGAGATCTGCTCAACGGTGAGCTTGGGCATCTGGTTGGCAATCTGATAAGGCCACTTCTTCTCAATATGGGCCTTGGCGAAGATGATGTCGATTTCCTCAAGATCACGTCCAGCAGTCTCAGGGTAGAAGAACCAGGCGAAGGGAATTCCGATGAAATTGACCAGGGCGAAGAAGAGGTAGATACCCCAGCCACTGGTGGAGGAGAACACCGGTGTGAACATGACGACAGCAAAGTTGGTAATCCAGTTGGTGCAGGTCGAAGCCGAGGCAGCCATGGTACGGGTACGGAGAGGATTAATTTCCGGGGGATAGATCCAAGGCAGCGGCAGAGTCGTAAAGGCGAAGAAGCAGATGAACAGGAAGATACCAACGGCGGCGCCCTTGGCATTCTGAGTGGTGGGATCGATCAGGCAAGCCATGGTGATAATGAAGGAAAGACCTTGTCCAGCGAAGCCAATCAGGAACAACTTGCGACGACCCACCCTCTCAATCATGAAGAAGGACGGAATCGTAGCGAGAGCATAGACCGTGGCGAAGACACCGCCCAAAACCAACGACAGCTTGCCTTTGATGTTGAGGTTGTTCTGGAATAACAGAGTAGAGTAGTAGATGGCAGCGTTACAGCCGGTAAACTGCTGGAAGAACTGACCAGAGCAACCGATCATCATGCGCTGGAACTCCTGGGTCTTGCCAAACTTGAAGAGGGTGGTCCAGCTGGCCTTAGCACCTTCCTGGGCATTCAAGTCGGCCTTCATCAGATTATAATCGGTAAGTACATCCTCCCCGTCGACAGAGCTGTCGTTCAGGGCTGCCAGAACCTCCAACGCCTGCTGGTCGTGGCCCCGCATGACAAACCAACGAGGTGACTCGGGAAGCATCAGAGCTCCAACGATGACGGCGAGAGCGAAGACAATTTGGAAAGCAACGGGGAACCGCCACTGAACCGAAGAATCGACGTAGGAAAGACCGAAATCAATCCAATAGGCTACAAAAGTACCGACGGCGATGATAGCACCCTCGAAGCAGACGAGGAAGCCGCGATTGTGGGCGCGAGAGCACTCGGATTGCCAAACGGGGATAGTAGCGGTGTCCATGCCGTTACCGAGACCGGATATGACACGGCCGACGACGAACTGGCCTGAGACCCCAGTGAGGGCCGAAAGCGGCGGTGGAAATGGTAGTACCGATTACCATTAGGATACCACCGGTCACCAGAAGGGGAGTACGGCCGATACGCTCACCAAAGCAAAGAGTGAAGATGGCACCGAAGAAACAGCCTAGCTCGTAACAGGCCGTGACGGCACCTTGGAGAACGGAGACATGTGAAGTGAAGGCTTTCTCGCTGCTATAACCGTCGGGAATGGGACGGATTTTGTCGTCAAGAGGGGGAAATTCCTTAACAAATTGGGATCCGGAAATGATACCAGACATCAAACCCTGATCATACCCAAAAAGGGAGAAGCCCACGACGGAAGTGATGGTGATGGCTAGATGGAGCTTCTTGCCCCGCAAGCCGCAGGTTGTTGTCCACATCTTGTCGACCTGTTGTGGCTATGCCTCTACCTTATAAATGAAGGGAGGAAGGACCAGGACAAGAGTAGAAGACAAAGACTAAAAGGAAAAAGCTTCACTACCCGGGGTGACATCCCGATCAGCATCCTTATGTATCCTGGGGGAAAATTAGCGCCCCATCTCACCCGATCTCAGGGCTGGTAGTGCCAAGCCGCATTCAGACAAGTCCAGACGAATTAGTATAGAGATGACGTCGGCGGGTTAGCGCTATAGGCAAGTCTCGCGAGCCGCCGAAAGAACCAAGTAGCGGCCAAGGCCAGTCAGCGCCAGTCAAGGCCATTCAAAATCAGTCAAGATCAACCAAGGCTAAGTTCCAAGGGGGCTAGCGGCTAAGATTTCGGGTGGCACCCAAATGAGTATTATGGTTTTGGCCGCCACCAACGTAACGTGCTGCGTTCGGAACTCGCGCGTGGCGGGTCGGGGGTGGGGTAAAGATGGGGATGTAGGAGCACGGTACAGTAGGGCACCGGTATGGAGCAGATGGGCCTTCTGAACCAAAGGAGACCATAGGTTACGGGTGAGAAGCACAGTAACACCAATGATCGGCTCTGATAGCTTGTTCGGCGCCACTGGTTCCATTCAGGGCCGACTGGGTCCAATCTCCAGGCCTCTCCTTTTGCCTAAAGCCTCCCATGTCAGAGCTCTCTCGGATATGCCTCGTGGGGGTGGAGAAATTACTGGAGCGGGTGGAGGATCGACTTTAGACTTACCATAAGCAGCCACCCGACCACTCAACCACGGGGAATTACGGGGAGAGTCCGTGGGTCAGGGTCAGAGTTTTTCTTTTTCTCCTCTAGTTATGGCCAGTCGCAGTCCGTCTGGCAGTCGGAAAACCTTCGCTAATGACTCTCGCATGGACCGAGGCCGAGTGTCGCACCCGATATCCTTTTACATAACACTCGTTACAGTTACCTCATTTACTCTTGGCCCCCGAAAAACCTAACTCGATGCCGACGCCAGGAAGGTTGCAGTTGTGAACGGGCCGTGTCTTCCACAGACGAGCTCCGACATTCCACCGAAGACCAATAACGCCCGCATGCAGAACAATGTCACGTGAGAATTCCAACTGACCGGGTCTCCATACATACAATCTCCAGAGGCGCCGGTAAGAACAAGGGATAAGAAGAAGAAGAAGAACAGACAGTGATTCAAACAGAGGGGCGGGGCTCAGGTGTGGTCAAAGGGCAGTGTGGGGCGTGGATTCGGAGGGGTCGAACTGGCGGCGTTGGAGCGTTGAGACCTGGGGGCGGCAAACTGGGGACGCAAAAGCCGGGGCTGACTTGTCTAAACTTTTGTCGTCACGCTGGTACTTTAAGCGCTGGGTTGAATCTCGCCAATCATCATGTCAGCCATTTCTTTCCTCTATCTGTTAAAATCTGTTGATTGCGTCCACGGTCCGATTGCCAATGCCTTCTAAGGTTAAAACGCCCCGAACGCCTCCAAGTCAAGCCTCGGCTTTCATGGATCGCGGCCTAGTTCCTCAATCTACAACACTCGGAACTTCTAGTCAATCGAATTCCCATTCATTACAGTATTTGTTCTGTTTTGATTCGTGGGCAATCTTGTAGTTGCTGGGTCTGAATTGGGTCTGAATTTGATTTTTGCGTAGCTCGCAGTGTACAGGGAAATGATGGAGCGCGGACTGATCAGTCCCGATCTGGCTCGTTCCCCCCGAGTCGGCTGCTTCTCATCATGTTTGGCGGAGTCACAATGAATTACGATCCACTTTTCGGAAGCCATGATTTTTGTGTCAGATTGCTGAGAGTCTCTGATGTGTTGATGAAATTGGGAAGAAACGGGGCTGAGACATCAGCTTGCTGACCGACAGCCCATGTCTTCCTCTTTGTCAAAAGAAAACTTCGAGCACAAACAAAGGACGATGAAGATAAAGTAACGAGACGCGCTAGGAGAACTACTTTTTGATTAAATCTTTCGTGGTGGACTGAATCAGTAGCGATGACGACAATTAGAATCTTGGCAGCGGAGATCTCCGTGAGCATGTGAACATCGATACCTTAGCATGTGAATATTAGCAAGAGGTGCTTTATAACGTAATAAATTCTTCCTGGCTCTTCTGCAGACGCGAAGCTACCCTTCGAACGCACGAACACGCGATACAAAAGCCCGGACTATCTTGAGGCCGCCACGATTTTTTCCGCCATCTCGGGTAACGTTTCAGCCGTCACGTCCATCATCTCGTCAAAAATCTCCGAACAGCTCTCCTTTTCGTACACAGTACAATAGGCTCCTCTGAACCCGGCCTTGGTAGCAGCAGTAACATCCCACATGTGCCCGGCTGCAAACCATTTGTCGTCCTCGGGTGCGAAACGGTCAAACGTAGGCTTATATGCTGTCAGTGCGGGCTTTGCCAAGCCATGTGTGTCGCAGCTAATTATGTTGTCTGAAGGCATGTCGACACATCCACGTTCAAAATAGCCTTGGACACGTTCGATATCTCCCGTGGTGAGACACCACACAGTAAACCCTCCTTTTCTGAGTATATCGAAGCACTTTTCCGTCCCTGGTCTCAGTTGCAACTCGGGGTAGCCCTGAACACACTGATTCCTTTCTGCCTCTGTCGCAATTTCCCGGGGTGCGGCAATGCCTGCCATGTGGAGAGTGCGATAGAACAGAGATTCAAGGACCTGCTTGTAGGGCTTGTGCCGTGCGGAGACGGACAAGAACGTGAACTCGAGCTCTGCGGCTGTCATCCAGCTGAAACCGAAGAATGGTGCAGTGATATTGTTTGCAGTAAGCCTGTCTCCAATGACTCGATTGATAGTGTCGTAGAATGCATCGAATGAAACACAAGTGCCAACGACGTCAAAAACCACGTGCTTTCGGCCCGTCATCTTCGACAAGTTCTTGTGCGACGTCCCTGATCAATTGACTCGGCGTTTGAGAAGATGATTTTCAGATGGTCGTCTCGTTGGTGATGATCAGACGATACAAAAATTCCGGGTAAGGTCCAAATCGCCCTATCAGTTACTTCATTTAAGGGTAGTATTCCCTTGTCAGGGGCAACTTTGTTCTAAATACATGCGCAGAGTTTATGCGTTAATGGAGGATCGGAGGACCACGCAATCAGAAGGGACTTCTCAATCTACCGATCATCTCAGTGCGGTATCGAATAATGATTGTGTGGCCCCGCCTGTCGATAAGCTGCCCCGCGCCCGATAAACAACAAACACGCAGACTCACCGGCTTGGTTTGCCCGAACAGGCTACTCCGGCCCGGTCCCTACACCATCGTACCATTTGTATCAAACCAAGACACATCGCTATTACGAGATGGACAGTTCTTGATACGGGCGCATCAATGCAGGTGCTTTGGTGAGATCGTTTCAAAAGACCCAAGGATGGCTCAGACCGGAGTGACCCGTTTTTCTCATACGGCATTTGACTTCTACAATTAGCTCCGATTATGCATCCTCGAGCACAATGCTACGATATACATCCGAGTAGCTCAGGAAGCTACTTCGACATGTTCTTGAAAAGTTAGAAAATAGACATAACAACATCCGGAACCTCGAAGATGTATTCTACGAAATTACGACGTACTTAGATATTAACAGCCCGAATGGCTAATTACAACGGCAGACGAGTTGCATGGGCACTGGCATGTGGGCCATTCGGATTCAAAAACACAAGATCAACCGCAAATCAAGTAATCTTTCATCTCACAAGCTGTCAAGGCCATAATATATTGATTCGTCGCCATCCGCCATTGACTTTAGTCTCCTCAAATGCGGGATCTTCCTGGTATTTTTCAATGAAGGGCCGGATCGGTATCTGATCCAATGGCAGGATCTTGGTTCTCATGTAGACCTTGAAACCAATATACACAAAGACAATCAGTGGCAAGTTGAGACAGGACGAAATGAAGGTTTCCGTGCTCCAATGATTTTTCATGAATGTTGAATACCCCCCCTGTGAAGAAAAGGAGAATAAACACAATCAGTGATGCCCAAGTCGTGTATGGTTGAAGTGGCGTGGCCCATGGGAGTTCTTGATGACGGTCTATACCTTGCTTACGGCAGCCGTACAGGAAACGCAAGTAGACAATGCAAATGCAGATCCAGTTTACCAGCGTAGAAATTGAGACTATGCCATGCATCCAGGTGAACACAGTGCTGGCTGATGATGAGAGCGTCATATAACTTAAAGCCATGAAGACACCATAGAGCGCAACAGCCACGTAAGGAATCCCGAAACGATTAAGCCGCATAAAGACGGCAGGCACATGCCCGTTAGCTGCCATGCCATAAAGGATTCTCGATCCTCCTAGCATATTGGAATTTCCAGAAGACCAAGCTGACGTTAAAACGACAGCGTTGATAATCGATGGAACCACTTTGATGCTAGCATTGCGAGCCGCGATCACAAATGGAGATTAAGACGCGGTATCAGTCTCGGTGAGTAGGTCAGGGTCATTTGAAGCCACAACTAATCCGACCATGAAGATCGTCAGAGCGTAGAAGAGTAGAATTCGAATAAAGATACGCTTCGCCGCCATCGGTATAGCACGTCGAGGGTTTCGAGTTTCGGCGGCAGCGATAGTGATATTTTCGATTCCCGAATAAGAATAGAGAGCGTTGTCAAATGCTTTCCAAAATCCTAGAAATCGACCCAGAGAGCCGGATACCCCGAGGTATTGGACAAACGGCCCAGGATTTTTCCAGTAGGTGAATCCGATCGCGGCGTGGTTAGGTGCGCCACCACAAGTGATCACTAAGGCCATAATGTGTATGCCCACAACTAACATAATCTTCAACATTGAGACGCCGAACTCCAGTTCTCCGTAGACCCGTACAAACAAGAGTGCCGTGACGAGCATTAAAATCCCAAAAATGGTGATCCAGACGGCGTTATTTATTGTGACCCAGAACTCAATGATTATTGCCGCTGCCACGATTTCCGAAGGTATTGAGACAATATAGGCGTATACCTGGTTCCATCCGTTCGCAAATGCTAGAGCAGGGTCGCAGAAGATTTCCGCGTATCGAATGACCCCGCCATTGAGTGGGACTAAGGCCCCCATCTCTCCGACGGCGAACACTACACTGGAAACTGCTAGGCCGATGATTGTGTAGGCAAGAAAGGCCCCGAGCGGTAGCAATCGCTCGACCAGAACTCAAGAAGAGACCTGTCCCAATCGTACCTGCAAGGGCAATCATCTGAATATGCCGTTGGTGGAGCCCTTGCTTGAAGGCATGGATTTCTTCGAGCTGGGCAGTGGCAGAATCCAGATCCGTGTTGTGCTTTTCGACATCGTAATTGGTAGTTTCGCTCCCTTTCCGATCGGTGTGAACAGCATCACCCGAAGGGCGGTTGGACTGAGCTTGGCCGATGCTTGCAGAACCCATGGCGACAGAACAAGGGCCAATGTCAGATTGAGGTAGAAAATCACGAGAAATCTCTGTGCCTTTTGTACACTTCGTCTTTGATCTTTCTTATTTATCTTTACTCGCTTCGGTATTGATCAAACTTTCCATCAACCACTTATCTCAAGGCAAATGAAAATTAGTGCGTGATTTCGAGGCGACCGGTGTCAATCTTACGGTAATTACGGCTATTTCGCAATTGTGGACATCAGTTAGGGACCTTCTGGGCGAAGGCTTCACCGTATTGGTCGACGCTATTCATTGAAGGTAATCAGGGTATTTTGCGGGGAATAAGATAGCTGGAACCCGATACTAAGAAAAAGTCCTGATAACCAGATATCGAAGATTCCAGCGGAACCGGCTTAGAGATAACCGGCCCCGATTATCAGCGAAGCCGGTCCGGCGGGGAACAGAGGACTCGCTGACTGGTCAATCTTGTGAAGGGGCACTTGGTCAGTCTGCAAAGAGCCATCGTGTTTTTTAACCACCGCCGTGCCTTCTGCCATACTCGATTCTCACCTTTGTTTTGCTTTTCTCAGAATCACCAAGATGCCAAGCTCTATCATTGATCATTCTAGCGCCACAAATGGGAATGCTCCATCATGTTTGCCCGTTGACAACCCAGTCGAATGCTTCTGGCAGATGGAAGGCCATGAGCTTAGCAATTATCGCTCAACAGAAGAGCTTCCAGATCATAGCGACATTGTGATTGTTGGTGCTGGATACGCTGGCGTGGCCACTGCCTATCACCTCGCTCAAGAACTTGGTGACTCGGCCCGGTCGATCACAATCCTGGAAGCCCGCTCAGCCTGTTCTGGCGCAACTGGTCGGAATGGCGGCCATTTACGACCTGATCTGTACGGCCACATTCCAACTTATATCGACCGGGCCGGAGCAAAGGCGGGAGCGGAGATCGCGGAATTTGAGATTGCACATGTGAAAGCGATGAAGAAATTCATTGAGGAGGAAAGAATCGACTGTGACTTTACCTTGACCAGATCCTTTGATGTCTGGTGCAACAAGGAAGCTGCACAGAAAGCGAAAGCGATTTACGACCACATGGTCTCAGAAAAATTCGATCATATGGAAGATGTTGCATTCTATACCGGCGATCATGTCGAAGGGGTGAGTCATAAATTATAAGGTGAGCTAAGGATCCTCATGCTGACTTGTGCTAGTTATGTGGCGTCAAAGGCGCCGTGGCATGCGCCTCCTACACAGCCGGAACGATTTGGCCTTACAAATTCATCATGCATCTCATTCGGAAGCTGAATTCCAGCAATAGAGTCAATCTACAAACAAACACGCCAGTCTTATCCATCGATGCAGACGAAAATGGGGGTTACTCTATCAAAAGTCCACGTGGCCATATGCATGCTGATCAAGTCATCCATGCGAACAATGCATACGTCTCTGGTCTTCTCCCTGAATATAAAAAGAACATTGTTCCTTGTAAAGGAATCTGCTGTCGCATCACTGTCCCCGACGGAGTGAGAGCCCCGCTGCTCAACAACTCTTACATTCATCGGACTGAAGACAACGTACTTTCCTACCTGATCCCTCGAGCCGATGGAAGCATCGTCGTTGGAGGAGCAGCTGCCATTTTTAAATCTTTCAGGGATCAATGGTACAACAATGTTGACGACAGTGTCTTGATTGAAGCTGCCAAGAATTATTATTCCGGCTTTATGCAACGCACTTTCAATGGCTGGGAAAATACAGGTGCCCGTGTTCAGAAGATCTGGTCCGGTGTCATGGGCTACTCTTACGACTCGAATCCTCATGTAGGCCAGGTTCCGGCCCGAGAAAATCAGTTCATTCTTGCTGGCTTCAATGGTCACGGCATGCCGGTCATTTGGTTAGCATCAAAAGAACTAGCCAAAATGGTCGCTCGAGGAATCTCGTTCGAGGAGACAAGTCTGCCCGGGCTTTTCAAAACGTCTCGTGAACGCATTGATCGAGCGCAGAAGAGTCGCGAGGAGGATGGTGACATTCTCGGCACTGGAAATTCCCCGCGACGAAGCAATGAATCGCCTTTCACCAAGGAAGATCTCAAGTCGACGGAACATAAGAGACTCACATGATCGGAGTACTCTGCGTTATTCCCTCAAGTTACAAGCCATTCTAAACTTCTAGTATCTAAACACGCATGGATGCAGAAAGGTCAAAGGGTAAATTTTCCTTCGGCTTGTTCACGCTCACGGTTGTGCTTGCCGAATTACACCCTAAGCTCCTTGATACGATATCGACTCCATGATATTTGATCCGTTTGCTTCTGCATTTGCCGGGTTCTTTGTTACTCCCGAGATTCATTCATAACTCCGAATGTTTAAAGATTGTGGTCTCCCCTATTTTTTTCCCGTTTTCTATCCAAGACGGGAGATATTTTCTCTATTAGTCGCTCTCGAATGCCTAATTAAAACTTGATATTGGAGAGTGAACCCCGTCGTCATAGATATTGCTCTTATTGGATCTTGAGATGAGAAGCATCACATTCGCTTTTCTCGCGAACCTGTAATGAGAGTTCGGAATAGGCATGATTCGCCCTCGAGATAAAGTTGCACATGCAGCTATGACTGGTCGATTATGACAGCTTATTTACTGGGTGTAGAGGCAGCCGTTGGGGTTTGAGGTCTTCTCAACGCGTGCAGCAACGCCTACACAGTCCTCGTTGCCACCGGGGTTTGCAATACCAGCGGACGCCCAAATAGACCAAGCTCCATCGATGCTGTTGGGGCAAGCAATCAGGTCTTCACCAGCAAACTGAAGGTGGCCGTCTTTGATAGCCCACCCTTGGCGCTCACCATTCTTGGGGGCACCCTGAGCACCAGTAGTGTATCCAATGACACCTTGGCCTATAGGTATGTTAGCTTACAATTACCCAAGAGACTATATGAGGCTTGTTACATACCCATGCCGGAACGATCAACATAAATCTCTTGGGGAGTGGCAGATGCGTCGTAAAGGAAGAGAGAACTATTCTTGATGTAGAAAGTGGCGTCTTGCTCGTTGGGACGGGCGCAACTAGCATCCTGGTTCTTCAAACCGGCGAAGATACTACTCTTGGCAGCGTTGAAGCTGGAATACTGTACACTCGATCCGGAATGTATGGCGACAACGCCGAAAGTCTCGGACTGGGTGGCCGGAAGGGCAGTGGTTGTGGCCGCGAGGAAGGCAGCGGATGAAAGATTTCTGATCTGCATGGTGGGTATTGTGGATTTTGATATTTAGGTGAAAAGAACGTTGAATGCGAACACTGGAGGGTAATTGAGGAGACTGGATTTTGGGTGATGGAAAACAAGCAAAGTCGAGGATTTCCTCAATCTTTTATACTTTAAATTGCATTGACAGTATCGGCATTACTTCGCGGAATTGTCGAAATCCTCAGTAAACCAATGTAGATCGTCGCGGGCCTTGTCTCAAACACCGACACATGATTTGCCAGACACTCAGCGGCAGTCCAAGTGGGGTACCAATTTCTCAACCCGCTTTGCTTCATCGGGTTGGCTAAGAATAGCCGCAGCTACGGGATGTGTGCAAGGTGGGTCGCACAGCCTCAAATACGGGAGATTTTCCCCCTTAAACTTAGTCTCCGTTATTCAGGGTCGTAAGGCCAAGTGCGAGGGGTGCAAGGCCTTTCGATGCGGCATGGTTAGTAATGACGCTTATCTTGTCTACTAAATCACTAGAATTTTCCCTTAGGCGCAGTTAGGCGGCGTAGTGATGCTGTGATCGATCACTATTGTACCTGGAATTGGACACCTTTCACCGCTGCTTAGGTGAAATTACTACCCATGGGCTGGTTTTCATGATCCTTCTACAGAAATGACGCCAAGATACAGGCCGTTATAACATATTGAGCAATGTCTCAGTCTATTATTATGTCCAGGTAAGACCCTGGATGCTTAGACGCACCCCACATTCGGATGCTGTCCCTCCAATCAGCAGCCTGACATGGATCATTCTACAGTGTTCACGGGAAGGGTACTTACAGCGGGGAAATCTCCACTATTCATTGAGAACCTGATTCTCTCCGGTGGTCCCCAAACCCATCACTCAATTTGTACAGTCTTGTTACTAAGTAAGCATTGCGTCATTTGCCTGCTTTTAGATTATCTCATAATTGATATCAGATTTGCAACATGCCTTGTCGGGACTAGGGCGTGATCGGCCAGGCAAATGTCTCTGCTGATCCCGGGAGACGACCACTATGTTATTTCCCTGTAGAAGAGTACACGTGAGCATGCCGAAGCCCGCCATTGATATCGATCTTCTGAAGCCACATATTTTAAGTAGAAGAGCTGGATGAGGGAATCACAGATCTCTTTTGCCCGGCTTTAAGGCACATTGATCGGTGTTTCTTGCAGATTGACATTCCGTGTGTCTGGCCTCGGACCTGGACGAAAATGGTGTATATTATCACGTCTGATGACCCCTGAAAGAAAATAGGTTTATTATTCTAGCGCGGAAGTTCACTTGCTATTGATTGCGAAGCCACGGGTTTTGCAGGAGTATGAGAAGATCCATGGATTTATAGATGTACTTTTCTCAACAGATTCTCTGCAGCGTCTCTCCCTGTGTAAGTAGGTCAGTTGAAGATTTTTTTCGTCCCCGCGTTATACTGAAATAGGGTGATAAGTCTCTGCATGGGCCTTGTCTATGTCATGATGTATTTTTACAAACACATTACTCGTAATGTCTTTTCTGGACAGATTAGACGAACACCTGTAAACAGTGTGCTAGTATTGATTATTCTATCTAAATCAGCCTAATTAGACAGAAATTTCGAAGTTCCACGTCCGAAATATTTGCTTGTGTCCCTTTCAAGAATATTGCAAAGATGTGGCCGGCTACATACATGTTGCGCGGGATGGACCTCGCTTCGCGGGATGCCACCGCCGATCACCATAAATATTGGTGGAGCATGTACATGATGGACAACGAATCGAATCAGAATTCTTGTACCCTAAACTGCGATTGCAATTACACTGACTTAACGCTAGTATGGCGGCAGCACTAGAATCGATTGACAAGATATGGGTTTCTTGTCTGCAACCGGTGGTTCTTGGCGAAGCTCCAATTTCCAGAGCGAGCTATCTGTCTTATATTGGTTTATTGCCTCTCCGAACCATCGCAGCTATACATCCTCAAGATTGACGACTCTGGTGATGCAGTTGGGGAGGCCCGGGTGATCGATTTCGAGGATAGCGTCACAGTGGTGTTCTTTCTCAAGAAAAAACAAGGATACATCGCTGCTTACTACCAAGGGATTTGTTTCATCGACGAGACGACTGGAAAGATATCGTGAAGCATATCATACCGCAAAACCGGCGAGAGGATTTGCGATTCAATGACGGTGGTCTCAATGCTAAGGGGAGGTTCTGGTTTGCAGAAATCAACAAAAAAAGCTATCGCGTTTGGCCCCAATAAAATGCCATATAGCTATGTAATTCCACGGGACCATCTCTTGGAGATTTGATCCCCATGGTAGTCTCACCTCATGATCGAAAACGGCGTCGTCTGCATGAATGGACTTGGCTGGAGTCCGGACAACAAGACCAGTAAGCAGAGACTGCTGGTTCAATGTGCAGCTTTCAATCACATCTCTACCAAATTGATGTTTTGTTTCCATTCTATTTTCATGGTTCCGGAGCTATGATCGTCTGGGCATATAACTCTGACCTGGCAATTGGAGGCATCTCTAACAAGCGGCTACTCATTGATCGTCGTTCCCCTCTTGTTGAACCAGACGGGATGGTTGTCGAGTATGTCGGCCTGAATTAATCGGATGAAATCCCTATTTTGCTAATTTATTCATTACGAATGGAACTCTATCGCCATGTTTGACTACAATCATGTGATGGTCTTCAGTCCGCAAGCTCGCCATCTCAAGGACATAGTTTTCTTCGCCAGGAATCCGGCCTGCACAACTTGGGATGGCAACAATTTTGATATCATTTACGTGGCTAGTGGCAAGGATCGACGTTCAAACCCAGACCCCCAAGGCGAGGGTGGTCACATGTTTCGATACAAACCAACTGATGCACGTGGCAAACCAAAGCATGAATTTGTAGAGTGAATGAGCCTGTATCAAAACAAGAAATCAGAAATATCGATGCTTCCTTCTCGCATAATCCACCAGGTGACCAGGAAACACCTAACGGAGCTTTCCTTCTTGATTTATGCCCCCCTTTCCGCGTAATCAGCCCTGAATTATCTTAGATCTTTCAAAACCCTCAGAAAAAAATCTAAAGTCAGCCCACGTAACGCTTCGGACCTGCCAAAAAAGCTCCACTCTGAGCCTTGCCCGCTTATCTGGGAAGTCGAAGATGAGTGAGACTCAAGGAGATCGAAGAGGAGGGAATAAGCAGACAGCGATATAAAGTCTGTCGTCACGGCGAAATGATTTCCTTGTTCGTCTGTTCGCCTCATCCGCTTGAGCGCTCATCGTTCCGCTCATAGAAGCCTCACAACATGCATGACTCAGAAGGCGAAGTTGGCATGGGAAAATGTGCCAAAAGAACTTCATGACCGAATGGAGAGTACAGTCAGCGACATGGAGATCAAACATACTCCTCCTGGGGGTCACAAAACAGCCGAGCTGTTCACGTTCACTTTGACAGCCTATAGAGCCCCCATTGCTATGGGCAATATCATTGGTATCTGCATTCAATGTTGACAGTAGCGTTGTAGTCTACTTCTCAGGCGACCGATGGTTCTGTGTTTCGTGTGCTGGCGAAGCTAACAATGCCATCAGACTTTCGATATCACACTCCCTCGTTCATGCTGTTTCTGATGTCGGTGCAACGAGTCATTCCGAACATGACTTATCGGGCAGGATTTGCGTTGATAGGTCTTTTTGAACCAATCCACCAAATTCATGTGTGTTTCAAGGCAGCAGCAGGCACTTCCATTGCTGGATACTCGAGGTGAAGTCGATAACGCGGCAAATGCCCTAGGTGGAGGGATCGTTCCTCCCGGCCTGGCTGCGAGCATACATGTTCGCGAGCCATAATGTTCTCGTCACTGGGCCAAGGGCTGCCGATAGAAGAAGCGGCGGTCCGGGTGGTCGGCAACTATGAAACGATCAATCATGCCAATGATCTGTCCTTGGGCGTGCTCTAGCCTGAACGATCCTGAGCAGCGCTGATCGCACGTCTACAGCGTGCATAATTCATGCTTTCAAACTCATGGGCTGGGTCACCACCGATACTTATGGGTGCTATCCAACCCCACGTAGATAGAGGGCCAAGGTGGCTGGGAACATGATCGAGCCGGGCGAGCTGGGCCGGATTCGAGATCCTTGGGGAAACCGGTTTGGATGTCAGAGACAGTTGCGTATGCAGCCCCAAGACGCGCAAAATCCAAACACCTACGACGAGTCAAAGACGATAGTTGCTTGTAGAAAGTTTGTACCGAATGCTATATATATATAAAGTTCGCAGGACCATGGCCAGCGTCGGGTATATCTATGGTAATAGTGCAAGGCAGCCTCTATATCACGTCCTGCGTCATATGAATGGATCTGGATACACTGTTCATGAACGGCTGCATGCTAGCTTGCAATTTCTCTTGCAGCACTGACACACGCCCAGATGAGTTGGGCGATTTACTCCGGGGCCGCACATGTGAAGACGCCGCGCACGGAGCCGGTATTATAGTTGTTAATCTATGGAGCAGGCAAGGTCAGTATTCGGTCACTACACCTGTCCACAGGGCAAGACTTACAATGTCATCGATACTAGAGTAGGTTCCTCCGACCAGAGTGATCATGCCAATAATAAAGATGAAGGCGTTGGTCACGGTCAACAAGAGGTTCATGGGCTCAAGCCAACTGCCCTTGCGGATCAACAAGAACCACATCAGCGCGGGGAAGTAGAAAGTGAAGCCCGAGATGAAGAGTGCCGATGAAATCGACAGCAAATCAGAAAAGAACGGAATGACTTCGGCGATCACAAAGGCGATGACGGTGGCGCCGGTAATGACGGCAATCCAAGTCACCCAGCCCATGGTGGTGTTGATGAACCGGATCGGGGAATTGGCGAAAATGCGACCATGAATCAGACGACCAAACACGACCGTGTTGATCGACCCACTAATGAAGATCACGGGGAGGGCCACCCCGTACGCGACGCGACTCAACAAGGTACCCGCCGAGGTCAAGGCCGGGCTCGACACATCCTGACCCACGAAGGCGTAGACCAGGGCACCGGTGATGGTGTAGACGAAGATTTCTGTGAGGCCCAGGGCCCAGATCGACTTGACGAAGTCTCTCGGGTGTGCATTTCGTCCATGAAGGAAAACTGGCACATGGCAAAGCTGTAGGCAAAGATAATGTTGGACACGGCAATGAAGGCCTCGGTGAAGGTCAGATTGTCCTTGGGCCACGCCGACCAAGGTACAGCGGCGAGTCCTCCGGGCGCGTTGGAGGAGGAGACACCTGTCCCGATGATGGTAATGCCGATTGCGATGATGATCGATGCGAAGTCGACGTAGCCGAGAATGGCGACTTCGGTAAAACTAGGCGGAATGGCCAAGAGTAATAAGATGATGGCGGATACCACAGCAAAGACCACTGAACAGACGTTACTCTCAGTGATATTCATGAAGGCAATCGTTCCCGTCAGACAGTGAGATCCGGTCAATAAGATCAGTTGCAAGGCCAGCATCAAGTTGACCAGCTCATATCCACAATGGCCCCCAATCACGCGACCACGCTCGGCGAAGTTAGCGACTCGCGGGAAGATGGGTTTAATGATGCGGATCAGTAAGGCGGCGAGGCGATCGCCTATGAGGCGACCGGCATCGGCGTAGTTGGCGACCTGCGGGAAGGCGAGCTTGACCTGACCGACAATGTAGCTAGTGTAGATGGCGACCAGGCCGAGGCCCACGCTGCAGATTACACCGGCCACCATGCCCAGCTTCGCGAAGGTGGAGGGAATGGACAAACTACCTAGCGCAATGGCTTCCACAATCAGCACGACGGTGAGTCGCTTCCATCCCAACCGGCTGAACCTCTTGATTCCGTGATCGTAGACGGCGCGCTCAGTCTCGCTCATCTCGCCCAGCATGTCACCTTCAAACGCCGGAGGTGCGGCGTACGCCTTCTCGCCTTCCGCCTCAATGATCTTGCCGCTTTCGGCATCGGGGCCGTGAGAAAGGTCTTCGTAGCCCATGACGAGACGAAATAAAAGAGAGATGGAGAGGGACAGAGAGAGAGAGAGTGCGCGTAAGGCAGTGAAGAAGGGTACTGGGGTTCTGGGGTCATCCAAACTATAAAACGGAAAGTGCGCACACCTTCTAGATCCGGCCTTATCAGAAGCCCAGGCAAATCGGGCAAACCGGGGCAAATCAGTCCCAATTCGTAATTCGTTGACTAACGAGTTGTTCTCCAACACGTGGAGTACGACGCTGCTCCACTTAAGAGAACCGCCCAACGAGATCCCCGAAAGCATCACCGCCACCCACTCGGTGCATCCTGAGTGCGTCCTGCGACGCAGCATGGAGCCGCGCCCCGATAAGAAGGTTCGGACTCTTAGGTAAAAGAAATATCATATTGGTCCGCTTAATGGGGCTTCGGCATTGTGATGGAGCATTTTCCCCGCGTCTCGTTTTTGCGGGGAAATATGGGAGGGACAGGGGTCACCAAAAGGGACGGGGGGGGGAAAAGACGTATTTCACGGAGAATGGAGGATCTACTGTGAGAACAAGAGAAGAGAGGCAGAATGACGAGTAGATAGACACCAGACAAGCATCACGCCACAAGCGTAGTCGAAACCCTGCTCCGGGCGATCCCAAAAAGTCTGCGCAAAGTGGCCTGGTCACGTGCACGCCGCAAACAGAGGACCCGCACTTGTTATCTCGCGGTCCAAGGAGGACTCTTGGCTCATTTGGTATCTCCTGCCGGATCTCATCCTGCATCGTGCATATCTCGCTATCTGCGGACGCTCATCCCGTCTCCAACGCGTCATGTCTCCACGGGCGCCGCATAAGCCCCAGTCCAAGAGGTAAAAGTCAATCCGTTCTCTTCTCTTCCAGGGGTCGCGGGACCGCCACCAGCGCCATGGGGCTGAGTCGATCGGGCCGCGCCAAGATCTACGGCCATGGTTGCCGCGTGTGATTCGTCTGACCAACCGGGCTGCCCCTGGAATCCTCGTCTCGGTGGATTGGGCTCGGTGACGGTTGGACTGTGGGGTACCGCGTTGGGGTAGTGACGTGTTGAAGTCTAAATTCCAATGTCTCAATGAACCAAAGATGGACTCGTGTGGAGGAATCGTGAAGCAGTACAAGGCAAGGTAGCTGTCCAGACACGGTCCCGCAAGGAACAAACGTGGCTTCACTACGCGGTGCCTGGACTGCGCGGCCCAAGACACCCACGTCAAAATGAGGATTGACATCTATCCCATCACAGTCATAACACGAAAGGTGCCATCAACCCCCGGAAGGACATAGCATTGATTTGTTCGTCGTCGCGGAAAGATCCGGACCTCTATGGGGCTGCCTCCAACCGAGCAACTCTATCCCTGCAGTGGATGGACAATCGACGTAGTGTATGCGAGCCTCAACCCTGCTCTCCCCGCATTACGGGCGCTGCCATCCCCAACCCGAATGATCGAGCTAGCCAAGTCGAGTCCCCCGCCGCGCTGCGTCGAGCAGGCGGGCCCGGATGAGCGCCAGCTGCACGCCTTGCCCCCGATGTCCCATAAGAGTGCTATCTAAATACAGGTGCGCCACGTTCCCCTCTGCCGTCTCAATCGTCGCCATTGCCGCCGTGCCCGCAATGTCATCATTGACAAATGCGAAATACAAGGTGCTATCCCTTCTCCGGGTTGCGATCGATGCCAGTGCTCGAAGGAGCCCATGGGTACGGCCATTGGTCTAAAAGCCCGCAGCGGAGGCCTCGATGAACCGTTCTCTCTCCTCGACCGTGGCCTGTCGCACAGCCACGGTCGCCCCAGTGGAGCGGGTTGCTGTATTTGCAATCACAATTTGCTTCAAGTCACACCAATGGGTCGCCAGTGTGGCCATTTCAGCGTATCCACGAGAGGCGAGGAATTCGAACAGGGACGGTGGTGCAAACGGACTCAGATGGATTTCGGGTCCAAGTCCGACTCTTGCAAATACGGCCTCAAGTTCGTTCAAGTCGGCGTCGGCTAATTCACCCTCTTCCCCGCACCCAACCACTCGGTTCAATTTTCCCTGAAAAGCCGGCAGCGTTCGGATGGTGATTCCACCCTTGGGCACTGACTGCACGAGAATCTCCTGGTCGGGATAGAGCTCTTCACAGACCTCCGCTTGGCGACGTATATGAAGCAGCTCCGCATATTCGCACAAATGTGCCGTGCGTGAGTCAACCATCGATTCAGGAGGCGGCATAGCGATTGCGCTGGTTTCGGTAAGTGTTTATCGTAAAGACCAATACGAAGACGACTCCGGGAATATTCATGGAAGAGGTTGACTTATTGAAGCACTCGAGTGGAGGTAGCCCGATGACTCACTGCAGCAAACTATACTGATCACTTATAATTGGATGATGCTCTTCCCTCGTTTTTGTCTCTTGAACTGGCTGTGGGCACAGAATCTCAGACCGAGCCTCTCAACATCAATCGCGTCACCTCTTCGCGTCCTGCAGGCACTGATTAATCGAACGAGCAACATACTCCACATTGCCCTCGTTCTTGCCTGCTCTCCAGGGACGGAAGGTGATGAGCTGATACTGTGTTGGTAGGCCCTGTCGTTGGTGGTCCTTATGGGCTATATAGATTGAGACTTGAGAATTATCCGCCATGTAAAAATGATAGTCTTCTTCCTAGCAATGTTGATGAATTTTTAATGCATGATAATTTATGAAGACAGACCTCCTCAGTTTCAGAACAATCTCGGATGACAAGCCCAAGAATCCGGAAATCCCGGTCTGTCCAATCAAATGCTCCCAAGTACTCGGGGTATCTGTATACTGTAGTGTCAGCAACTGTCGATCTCCTAAGGCAATCTCACATACCGAGACAGATTGCATGATTGGAAAGAGCGTTCCTCATCGACCGGATTCAGCCACTCGTCGTGGTCATGTCAGCGCACCACATCTTCTTCCAATCATCTCGTCCTAGAATCTGGCTTGCAATCTTGGTTGTGAAAGCCGATGGGACCGACATTTCGGACCGTTGCAGCATCTCCAGCATAGACTGAGTGTTCATGACTATCTGGTTCGACTTGCTGGCGGGCAGAAAGCACCCGACTCTTTCGCCTGTTGCCAACGCTCAATGTCTCGTCTTTCATGGCCTGTTGCCTAGAATCTCTGCAGCGTACCGTAAAGTCCCATGTACTCTGCAAAGGACACACAAATCCCAGCCTCCATGTTCATTTCCCCAATAAACAGACGCATTGCAAACGAATCATCGTCATGGTTTGCCGAGTTGTATCCCAAACATGCCGCATCAAGAAGCGGGAATGGATGGTTGGCCTTCATCAGATGCACCATTCGGCGCCATTGTTCTTCACTCGGATCAAAGCCAGTCGGACTGTGGGCACAAGCGTGGAGAATGACCACGAACTTTGGCTCTGTCCGCTCAAGTGTGGAGTAATATGATTCAATATCGATGCCTTTTCTTTCATATTCGTAAGACTTGAAACCTTTGCCAGGAAAAACCCGAGCGAGCCTAATACCTGATGATGGTTGAATCAGGTAGATCCTGGTATTTACACCGTTGGGGGGCTGTTTTTATAAGCTTCTCAGTAAAGGAACAGCCAAATGCAATGCTCCAGTCCCCGATATGCTCTGGCATGTTGCTATCTGGTCATGTTTCATCACTGCTTAGTTTCACGCCATATTCGATGGGTTATATTCTAGTATGACAAAAGCCTTCTTTCTATACATGATTCCCGAGCTCCACAGAAAGGTCTGCACCCAAGACCAGCCCTGCTGTCGCCCGCTGAATTGTCGAAAGGCCCACAATTTACTTTTGTAATATTAACAAATTACATAACATGATTTTGACCCTGTTCGACGAGACTCTCGCGGGCTTTCTTGACCGAGGCGAGAACCTATGGCTGTCCGTTGGCGTCACGACAAGCTCCTTGTCCCCAAATCCACGTTCTGCGGTGTCAACATCGTGCTGGTCATCTCGCGGGTATTGGGAGGGATCCTCGAACTCTGACCGAACCACAGCATCGTGTGTGGTATCTCTGTTTTGATCAATGGTATTTATCGCCAGATTCTCAGGATTTCTTCTGGTTGGAGGCGATCGGAGGAAGAGTCCGAAATCTTGAAAGCTAGGCCGAGAGTCAGCTTCGCTATGTCTGCTCATGTCGCGCATCAGTCCGGCTCTGTCAACTTCTCTCAAAGTTACCCGTCATTCGAAGCATATGAAGCAAATGGAACCATCGGGTTGTCTGACCGAGTGTGGTGATAGCTCCATCTTCGTGGTCAGTCTCGGGAGCCCGACCCGAGTCGATAGCCATGATAGTCGAAGTACAAAGTCACCGAACATACCCCTCCCTGTCCGTTCTGCGGGGTCTATGGAGGGGCTTTTATATGTAAGCGCTTATTTTCATATTCTCCCATCGTCATGATCTATTTCAAGTCTTTACAATGGGATCTCACACAGTCTCAGCTCAACCACACGTTCCTCCGGCAGGAGTGTGGTGTCCTGCCGTCACCCTGTTTCACCATGAGACGGATAGCTTGGATCTCGAGACGCAGGCGCAGTATTTCCACTATCTCTCGCAGACTGGACTGACCGGTCTAGTCATTCTGGGCACCAACTCGGAAGCATTCCTATTGACTCGCCAAGAGCGCTCTCAGCTCATCTCGACCGCACGCGCCGCAGTCGGCCCCGATTTTCCTCCCATGGCAGGCGTCGGGGCACACTCCACCAAGCAGACCCTGGAGTTCGCCCAGGATGCTGCAGCTGCCGGGGCCAACTATTTGCTCGTCCTTCCTCCCGCATACTTTGGCAAAGCCACCAGCATGAGCGTGGTGAAACGGTTCTTTTCGGAGGTGGCCGCGAAAGCTTCGTTACCTGTGGTGCTATATAACTTCCCCGGCGTATGCAATGGGGTCGATATGGACTCGGATACAATCGCTGCGGTCGTGCGGGAATCATCCGCCTCTCAGCCTGGCGGCCGGTCAAACGTGGTTGGTGTCAAGCTGACATGCGGCTCTGTGGGCAAGATCACCCGCCTGGGGGCAACGTTTACTTCTGACGAATTTGCGACTCTTGGCGGACAATCTGACTTCCTCATCGGCGGGTTAGCTGCCGGCAGCGCAGGATGCATTGCCGCCTTTGCCAACGTCTTTCCCAAGACCGCATCCCGGATCTACGCGCTGTATAAGAAGGGCCAGTTGGAAGAAGCAATGAAGCTCCAGCAGAAAGCAGCCCTGGCTGAGAGCCCCATCAAGAGCGGCATCGCTGCCACCAAGTATGCAGTCGCCTGCTACTCGGCTCCATCAGCGGGGATTCTAGGAGCCGAAGAGAAGCTGCTGCCCCGTCATCCGTATGAGGGTGTTGGCGAGTCGGTCAAAACTTCCATCCGAGAAGTGATGGCCGAGGTGGCTGGCATTGAGAAGAGCCTGTAATTAGCACAATGCCAATCATTCTTCCTGCAAGACCAACAAGACAGATTAATTTAGCTACACTACAGGTTGGGGATCATCTGCGTATGTTGCCTGGTTTTTTAATGTCTTTTGGAAGACCACTATTAGCGGACAACTCTGAGGTCGCCTTTGCCATGCCAGGCCATATAAGGGCCCGTATATTGCTTCATATCTCGGGCCAAGTGATTTCAGGGAGGGAAAGGGGGCAAGGGAACGGAACGGGCTTGCAAGGGAATGACAAAGAAGATGGCAATCTAGAAATTTGAATGCGACTCCACCGAAACGCCACAGTAAGCACTGAGACCCCTCGGCACAAACTGTTGAAGTATCAAGGGCTCGGGGTGACCTGTTCATGCAAGTTATCCAGAGAGTTGATGCAAGATACAACCCAGAGAAGCGCAAGGCACTCTTGTGGCTTGAGTGTCTTGGACAGTGTTCACTGATCGGGCCTCGGACACATTGCGAAAAGAGTGCTGAGCGGTATGAAGACATCCTCCAAGGAAAAATAAACAGATTGGCATACATCATCTTTGCATGAGGCCCACGTCTTGGATAAAGCTCGGTGGTATCGATTGAGCCGGGTGGGGGAATCCCGGTGGAGTGGTCGCCCGGGATCAGTGTTTTCATGTTCACGTCAACGCCTTTCATGCACGATGTAGCCCAATTTGACATGTCCGCTTTGGCTCGAGACCAGGGCAAACTTGCCGATGTGCGGTATTCGTCGGATTCCCTTGGTAATTGGGAATTTTCGCATCCGGGGCCAGACACCCGAACAAGTTCGATTTGAACAGGGACCTCGGCACGTTCGAGCTGCGCGGGCCATTGCCCCTTTCAACGCCTCGATGGGGCCACGCCAGGCCAATAACGCGTGGCACCGACCTGATCTTATCGGTGACCGAGCCCACTTCGCCCAGGCCCCGAATCAAGAGTCGGGCCGAATTTCCTGGACTGCTGCGCCAATCGCAAATTTTTGCAGCTCGGAATGGCCGAGTGCACTCCACTATCTGACGCTGAATCCGCCGCATATTGATGCTGGACCAGCATAAAATCACGTTGGCGCCAGAATGCATCAGGTCGACCCACCATGGGAAAAATATCACTGCCCCGAACCAGCAATGTCCCCGGGCTAATGCAATCTTGTTGAGTAATCGCGACAAATCCGAGGCAAACAAAAGCACTCGGTCTTGCTCAGACCAGGGTCAATGCAGATTTTCTCGATCTCGACTACCGACTGACACCCCTGGGCCCTTTTGCTTGTTAATTACCCGAGCTTCTGGGACGGGCTGACAAGCTGAATATATACACCAATCAACCCGCGCATATCCCTCCGGAGCAACGAGGTCTACATACGATCGCCATGATGACGGAGGCGCCGTCAGTGGAGGTCAAGGCCCCAACAAACCTCCCACGGACGATTCCCTTCTGGCGACTAGTCACTGAACCCGGTGTGGTCACGCAGGAAGTGGTAGATCACACCTATGCGGGCTCCGGCACCGAGGAGGATCCCTACGTGGTGCAGTGGATGCCCAAGGATTTTCGGAACCCTTTGGAGCTGGGGACTGTGATGAAATGGTCCATCACCATGGTAGCTGCCCTCGAGACCCTGGTGGTTGCTCTGGTTTCCTCGGCCTACACTGGTGGTATTGTGCAGATTGAAGAGCAGTTCCTCGTCACCACCGAAGTTGCCACCTTGGGTGTTTCTCTGTACGTGCTGGGCTTTGCCTTGGGTCCTTTGATCTGGGCCCCGATGAGTGAGATGTTTGGTCGTCAGAAGGTCTTCATAGGAACCTATTGTGGCCTAACCGTCTTCTGCGCCGCTACAATCGGTGCCAAAAACATCCAGTCCTTATTGATCTTCCGCTTCTTGGCCGGTGCCTTTGGCTCCTCTCCTTTCACCAACTCCGGTGGGGTGATCGCCGATATGTTTGCGGCTCGGGAGAGAGGCCTGGCTCTATCCGCCTTTGCTCTGGCTCCCTTTCTAGGTCCGGTCATCGGGCCGATCGTGGGCGGGTTCTTGGGCATGGAGGCCGGATGGAAGTGGGTGATGGGCTTGTTGACCATTCTCTGTGGCATCATGTGGTTCATCGGCGCTGCATTCAAGCCGGAGACCTATGCCCCGGTTCTTCTTCGCCAGCGTGCGCTCACGCTTTCGAAACTCACCGGCAAGTTGTATATCAGCAAGCTAGACTTGGACGATGGTCGACCGGCCCTGAAGGAGGCCCTGAAGACATCTTTGTCACGACCCTTCATCCTGCTCTTCTGTGAGCCTATTGTACTCCTGCTGTCGATCTACCTCGCGATCATCTATGGAACGCTCTATATGCTCTTCGGTGCTTTCCCTATTGTGTATGAACTCCACCGAGGTTGGAACCAAGGTGTCTCTGGCCTGGCCTTTTTGGGTGTGATGGTGGGAATGCTGGGCGCCATTGCCTATTCGATTCCTGAAAACACTCGGTACGGAAAGCTGCTGGCGAAGAACGGAGGCTATTCGCCGCCGGAATCTCGTCTTCCTCCGTGTATGCTGGCCTCGATTGCTCTGCCTGTTGGACTCTTCTGGTTTGCTTGGACCAACTCTCCTTCTGTCCATTGGATGGCCAGTATCGCGGCAGGCGTGCCTTTCGGTTTCGGCATGGTCCTGGTCTTTCTCAGCGTCTTCAATTACTTGATTGATGCCTATACTATCTTTGCCGCATCTGTGCTGGCGGCCAATTCTTTACTCCGGTCTTTATTCGGTTTCGCTTTCCCTCTGTTCACCACCTACATGTTCCAGAACCTTGGCATCCACTGGGCGGCATCGGTACCGGCTTTCCTGGCTTTGGCCTGCGTGCCATTCCCATTCATCCTCTACAAAAAGGGCCTTGCCATTCGCAAATATTGCAAGTACTCTGCGCAGTCTGAAGCATTTGTTCAGAGTCTACTGCGGGCCAGTGCTCCCGCAGCGGAACTCGAAGTCGATGACTCAACCATGAGTGAACAAGCGGCAACCCGCGTGCCTTCGAGGGATCTGACAGGTTCTGAAGAAGCCGCTCTGCAAAAAGAGAGCGCTCACGAGGTACACTCGATGCACCGATCACTCTCGCGCGCATCAACCCACGCAGCCGAGTTGCAACGTGTGCCGACCTATGAGGCAAACCCCTATAATATTGATCGCGTGCATACTCGTGAATCCTTTAAATAGAACACTAATGGCGGGCGTTGGGAAGCAGGGAACAAGAAAAGAGACTTTACCCGATGATCAAAGTCATCGATGCATGTGTCTGGTGCTTTTGATGTTTGATAACTGCCCGTACGGGCTTACACAAATTTTGCATGTAGATTAATACCAATTATTTTTAATATTTGTTAATGTCGACGAATTTCTTTTTTCACTACTCAACACAGAATCAAGTAAGCGATCTTGTGCGTATTTCTAGCATTCGACTATGATATTTGCACTGGTTATCGTAATTGGTGGGTATCAAAGTGAATTGGTTGGTCCGTGACTCTATGTAATTCTAATGCGCCCCGTTGACAATCCCGTTGCTGTGACCGTTAACGAGACCTGTATCGGCATCTTGGTGGATCCCGCGAATTTTGTCGAGGGGAACCCCAGGCGGAATACCATTTGAGATGCTGCTCTTCTTGCGGGGTTGAGCGGTCCAAATGGCACCGTCGTCGAGTAACTCTTGTCCTGCCGCAAGGGTCTTGGAAAGTCCTTCACCGAGCCACTGGGATTCCAGTCTGTCGATGTTCTCTTCGATCTCCCACGCGCGACCGCCCTCGACCAACATGGAAGCGCCATTCAGGGACGTGTCGGCTAGCATGCTGGCCGCCACGGTGGAAACGTCCTGGACCGTGTTGGTTGGTAGACTGGCCTTCTTCCAGTGCTGTTCAACGTTTTTGATGCTGTCCGTTTGCGTCATCCAGGGACAAATCGTATTGATGCGCAGGGCGTGCTTATAGGGCGACGAAATGTAATTGCGCAGCGATCGCATGAGGCCAATGACGCCGTGCTTCGAGGCCTGATAAACAAATAGAGAGGGGCTCTCTATGAATCCGGCCAGGCACGAGAAGAGGAGAATCGAACGGTCGGCTCGGGGGCCACGATTGTGGCGCAAATACACGGAGGCGATGCGCGAAACGTACATGGAGCCAAGAAGGTTGACATCCAGTACCTTGTGGTTCGGCTCCTTCGCATGAGGTTAAGATCCCTGGCCGCTCGCACGTCTCTTTGATTCAGTACTTACCTCGCGGATGCTCTCCAGCGTGAGTCCGAAGTCGAACCAATTGCCGATCTCTACAATGCCGGCGGCGGAGACGACGTGGTCGATGCGCTTGTAGGTGTTGAATGCGAGGTCGAACAGTGCGAGGACCGACTGATAGTTGGTTACATCGGTAGTCAGGAAGATGACCCGCGCAGGCTGGCCAGTCTCCTCCGACTGGAACCGATGCTGGCACTTTCGCAACAAGCCTTCGCCCGCAATATGGTCTACATCCCCGAAGCACACATTGGCGCCGCTGTCCAGGCAATGCTGTACAAGACTTGCTCCAATTCCGTTGGCCCCTCCTGCATAGTCGATGAGCACATGATGGAGAAGTCATTGAAGCAAATAACATACCGGTGATCAGAACCACCTTCTCTCGAAGGGATTCCGACGAAATCTGAGGAATGTACTGCGCCATGAGTGGATCTTGTGGGAGAGATTCGGAGTGCCAGATATAATGAGGGGAAGTGGGTCACTGCGAATGTCGTTATTCAATGTCTGGAGATGAGATTTTTTTTTGGTTTTCGAAAAAATAGGAACAAACGATAGCCTTCGAAGTAAGCTGTGTGATGCAGGTTGGAAGAGCAGCTTAGATATAGTTCGGATGGCTCTGACACCATAAAGAAGGCAGTGTGAAAATGCCTCGGAGCTCGGAACCAAAACTAGGTAGGGACCACCATGGCATCATGATGGAACATAGTACGATAATACAGTCGGTCGCCACGCAGGAATGGTTCCATCGAGGGGATCATGGCAAATCACTATTAGAGACTACACCAGTGCTAAACAGACCCGGACAGACGGGATCGGCAACCTGGGATGCGGGGGGGGGGAAAAAGGCTATGATCCATGATTCTGTGCAGGTAACGCGAGCCATGAGTCTAGACACGGGGAAAAATGGAGATGAACCATGTCGACTGGAGTGATCTCCCAGTCCGCTTCGGGTCCCTTATTGGTTGCTACGGATCGCAGTCCTCCGAGGTGAAGAGAAGAGTCCAAAGTCGATCCGAAGTCTGCCGGTTGCATTCTTCGCGCCTCAAACATGGCTCTGTGAGGCGTGTGAATGTGACAAGGCGGAAAATCTAAAGCGGAAGTCACGAGTGGACAGAGGAGAGAAAAAAAAAAAAGGGACCTTCTAGCCACATTGAAGAGCCAAAGTCGAGAGACGCCTGAACAGTCCATAAGAGGGGGGATGAACAAGACGATGGTCGACTGCCTGAAAGGGGTCCCTTGATGGTCATCCTCCATCGTGTGCATTATACGGGCTTACGGCGCAGATCGGGATCCTCCCCCCCCCCCACAATCCCAACGGCACACGCTGTGGGAGGTACGACGGGCACAAAAGGTGCTCTAGAACGTGGTCAGGTTATAAATCAACGTCGATCATTCTTACAAATTTATACATGGATCACCCAGGATCACAAAATACCGAAACGAGATGCTTTTCCCTTCCCAGTGATGCACACGTGCAATACCCTCCGGATCAGACGAGATCATCCATCCAAGCCTATAGAACACACCCCCAAAATGAACACACAGGATTATCTCAGAAGCCAAATTTTGCTTGAACGATGGTATATACAGAAACAAACCGGTCGAATGGCGCGAGACCGGAGACATGAGGACATGAGATCGGATATCTGGGAACTTTAGCGCCGAGACACGCAGCACAGAATGCCTGACTTGCCCAGGAACCACAAGGATCCTAAGAAGCGGAAGATCGATAGGCCGGCGGTCGTCCACAAAATGGCCTCGAAGTAGCCCGAGGTCCGGGTCGTGGAAGTGTTCTATGTGTTCCGTTTAGTGTCTCGTGTAGTGACGTCATCCACAACTGGGTGGGAAACATACCGTCAAACAGAAGCGGTTAATGCCTGTGCTGGTGATGCACAGCACCAAGACCAGGTTACTGAAGATCCAGATCAGGACCAGGTTAGTGCGGAACGATTTGTATGCGTCGTCCATGCTCCGTTCGTCCTGCTCCTGCGGCTCCACAAACGGCGCCAGCGCGCGCTTGACCGTCGACTCGAATTGACTATCAATATCGGCCTGTGGCTTGTCGACCTCCTCGATGAAGTTGGACTTGCCATCTTCCTTCTTCGTTTGAGCTTCCGGGAGCGCTTCACTCTTGTCCGATCCTTTGGTTCCCCACGAGACATCGTGCCAGTTACAGAAAGCGTACACCATCAGAACGTTGATCGAGCAAGTCATGCCACAGAAGTAGGCCCAGGACGAGGTGAACATATGCCAGGGATCCATGTACAGGAAGCTCGCCAGGAAGTAGACACCGTAGGTCGAAATTAACGCGATCATGACGATACCAGCGCCAGACGAACTAAAGAAGGACTTGAAGAACGCGCCGACACCATCGCTCATGGAGAAGTCTAGAGTACCTCCAGTAAAGGCGTTCTTCACAAGGAAGAACGACAAGACCAGAATGTAGGCCTGGATGATGGAGAAATAGATGAATGAAAGCGTGTAAAACAGGCGGGAACTAAAGATTCCATGTGGATAAGCATGCTTTCAACCCCCTTTTGAATCAAGGAGTCGAGTGAACTTACCCTTTCGGTCTGTTTCCCAAGGCGAGAATGAACTGGAGCATCAGGAAGAAGACGTATCCGTACTTCAAAAAGTTGTTGACAATGGGCGTGGCCTCGTTACCAAAGGGCCAGCCCTTGTTCTTGTTCGCGGCACTAGGAGTTCCCACAAGATCCATAATGACGGAGGTTGTGAGCCAGAACGAAGCTATCCAGAGTCAGTGTTCATTGATTCCGGGGCAATAGCGGGGAATATTCATTACCAAGAGCAAACCAGGTCATAACAAGGCCGGCAAAATTGTAAAACATTTGCACGTGGAGGAAAACCAAACGAAGGATGTTATGGCCACTCTTGTAGATCCGAGAAAAATGCATCATGGCGTACAAACTGGCAGCGAACGAGCCGTTCAGCCATCGTCGTCGTTGACCGAGAAACTCCGCGGCGCCCTCGGGGACATCAGTCTCACCCTTGGACGCCTTGACGTAGGTTAAGTGCCACTTGAAACCAGCCTTGGCTACCAGTTCAAAACACAAGATACGATCTTCGGCAAGGAACATATTCTTCTTGAAAATGTTCATGCCCTCGATACCCTTCTTACCGAGCTGTTTCGAGAGGGTGTGGTCACCATGGAAGTACTGTTCAAGAGGTCGGCCCATAATTGCACGATAGCGATAAGCCGAGAAAGCACCAGGCAACACACTCACGTATCCGAAAGCACTCTCTAACGGTTTATCGAGGATATTCGAGATCTTATACTCGAAGTTTTGGGAGGCGACGAGCGGGTTCATCAGATTCTTCCAGCCCTTACCCAACATAGCGTGAATCTCACCACAAGATCCGCCAAGGTTTTTGTCATTGTAAAACGATTCCCATAGGGCTAGAAGAGACTTTTTGCCGGGTTTCGTACCAGCATCGATCAGAATGACCACCTCCGGATTTAAGATCCGGCAGAAGCCGTTGAACAACCAGCGGTGGGAGTTGATCTTCTTGCTGTTCTTCTGCTTGAGGCAGAAAATCATCTGAACAGGAGGGAGATTGGTCGACTCGTTGCCCTGGGGCCGAATTAATTGCTGACTCGCCGTGACGGAGAGCTGCGTGGTATACTCGAAAATGTGCGCGACAGTTTCCTTGCCGTCCACGGACCGCTTCATGATGCCATCCTGATAGATACCAACCGTCGCCAGCAAATCGAGCGTGTTTTTGTCGCAGGGGTCGATCCCATCAAAAACTAAGGTGACCACGATCTTTTGCCACGCCGGTCCACCCTTGTTCCAGAACTCCGACTTCTTCAGGTTGACAATGTCCCGGATGTTCTGCATGACACCGTGCAAAGTTCGCGCGGTGAGCACCTTGTCTTCATTGTAATAGGTGATAGCGATGAGCAATTCCGTGTGTCGGTTGTACATGGCCGGTCGCAGGTTGTATCCGTTTCGCAGCGTGAACTCGTCGGGGTCAACCGTGGCAGCCGTGTAGCGCAGATGGGTGAACTCTTCGGGGAAGCCCTCCTCGGATTCTCGATACTCTTTTTGGATGGCATTTTGAATCGCACTCGGCACGGGGTAGTCCACGCTCAGCACGGAGCCCTGCACCAGCTTAATTTTACGGGTGGCATAGCGTCGAAGACCGGAGGCGGGGGCCTGGCGATTCTGCCACGCCTCCGAGGGCGTCTCGGACATAGGGGATTGGATCCCCGAGCGACGGTTGAACGTGCCCGAGGATTCCTGATACGGCCCATCCGGGAAGATGGTCACACCAGGGTCTTGAAGAGTGTAGCGCCGCAGAGAATCCGTCGAGGCATACGGATCGTCGAAAGGAGCGTTGAAAGGACTCGGCTGGTTTCGGTACAGAAGCGATTGCTGGCTTTCGGCCTGTTCGGGCTTTTCTTCTAAGCCAAAACCGTGCTATTCGAACAGACTCAGTTAGCGTCCGAAAAGTTTTGACATTCTTTTTTTCCCCTTCCTTTCGTTCCAATGGAGCGCCGGCTGGGTACTCACGGCTTGAGGATTGGTGTGCGAATACAAGCTGGTCTCGCTGGCCTGGGGAGAATGAGACAACTGCGCCGAATGGGGGGAATGAGGAGACTGCGCCGAATGGGGGGAATGAGGAGACGTTGGCATGGGGGTACCCATTGTGCACTAGCTCCCCGATTATCGGGTTTTTTGTTGGTGGTCGGGATGGGCGGGAGCGAACGAACGCGCAAGCTCACAAGATCGAACGAAGCGAGAGACAAAAAGAAAAGATGAGGAAAAAGGTCAAGTGGAACAGAGACGGAGTTCAGGCAGTGGCTATCTCACTAAGGACATCCAGGGAGAGTGATGCAAGACCTCCTGGGCACGATGTAGATCTATTCGGGGGTGGCTGCGAAAGAATGGGCTCGGCGGATACCGAGAGAATGAACAGAGGACTAGTTCAAGAACAAAAGAAAAGCAAGAGAAGAATGAAAGTAAGGCTGAATGAAGCACCCGAGCATAGCCTGTGGGACCACAAGATATTTTTGGGTCTTCAATTCCTGATTGGAGGCGTAGACGATGTGGACTGAAAAGGGCGAAGTGGTGGATCGAAGGCCCATTGCCATCATCTTCTAGGAGCTGTCGTTCGTCATCCGTCAAGTTCTGGGATCCACCGATGGATCCTCGTCCGAAACATCCACTGGCTGTTGATTGCAGCCCCCTTCGCATGGTGATGGGGGGGAGGATCACCTCGCGTTCCTACAGGGGGGGTTTGATCGGCCACTCTGCTTCATGTCCACGGGTCGAAGAGGGTCCTTCGGGGTCTTTGCACCAGAGCATCACAGTGGCTCAGGTACGGCTGCGAAATGCAATCCGGCCTCCGATCCAGTTTGTGGTATACTACTCGTCAATGATGAGGCCAACAGCGGGTCAAGTGCGTAACGCGTCCGCACATTGGTCGAGCGCTTCACCTGAGATCCATTCCAGACCCCGGTTATCCCAAACTCATCCCTTTCAGTCTTCAGTACTGCAATCTGGAAACCCTGAAACTCATCTCTTTCGATGCATTGCATTGGCGGTGGTACCGTCTCAGATCCTTGCCAAGGCCATGTCTGCCAAGTGGCGCCTGGGGACGGGGCCACAACTGCCGCCATGACGAAGGGGCGGAACATCGAGAAAAATAGAACGATCGGCCGCGTCGTGCATCGGGGCTCAGAGGGCGCCTCCACTACCGTGATTGGATGAGGCCGAGGCTGCCGCTGCCAATGTGGGCTCAAAACGGAGATTTCGTGTTTTGCTTCTTTTTGTTTCTTTTTTCTTCCTGTTTGCATGGAATTCTTTGGTTTCAACGCTCTTCACGTGTTTTTCTGCCTGGCAAACGAGGTGTCTCGACACCTCAGGCTACTGATTCCCAAGTGGCTTTTAACTCCCCTAACAATCCAAGTCGGCTCCCAAGGTATATGGCTCTCAGAGACTCAGTGGAACGGAAATGATCGCGCTGTTACTCAACTTTCAGATTGCTTCCCGGGTGAGCTTGGAACCCACCTGGTATGTTTGGAATATACTACCCCGACCTGTTGCGTAGGCAACTGCTCCCGTGTCCGTCAAGTTGCAAAAACCTGGAAATAAAAATATATCTGGACACTTGGAGAAAGTCCTGCCGGAAAATTGAGGGGCCGATTCCATTGATCACCAGGAAGGTGGTCTCCATTGGTTAGATCTTCTCAGGTCGCATAGATGTAGATAATTCAGAGGTCGGAAGCGGCCCGATGCCGATCGCGACGGAGCGGACTTCACAGCGACACCCTTCCCCGCAAGCCTTTCGAGCCAGAGCCTTGGAAGGTGGCCACTGATAATCTTGGCTATAGACATTGCTGGCTGGCGAGAGTAGAAGCACCAGCCGAAGAGTATTTGAATGTCCCTGGAGCACTCGAGGTTGCCAGGGCAGGCACATGGATAGAGAACCCTTGATTTATATTTACCCATATATACATGTACTTTGCATGCATAGCCATTGACCTACCCAGGTGAAGCTTCTTAAAGCTTGGTCGGCAGTACCCCAGGCGTAGCCCGAGGTCAATGATGCGGGGTAGACCTATATCTAGTGAACCCTGAAGCTGAACAGAGCGGCCGTATATATCCAGATGCCCGGGCCATTCGATTGAGGCGACCAGACCGATCTATTTGTGCCGATGCCTCTACAAACTCCGCCCTTTGACTCTTTGCCGCTGCGCCCAAATGGTCCTCGGGGCAATGCCTGGGGCTTATTTGGGGACCAGGACGAGATAGGGATGCTCAATCGTCTCACACCCGAGAATACAACGGCCGCTGCGCGTGAAATCGTGGAAGGAGTACGCGTCTCCACAGATTGGAACCTCAACAGCATGGCCACACCATGCTTTGGGCGGTCGGCGTTTGAGCATACCGTCAAGAACAAGGCCCCTCGACCGGTCAATGACGACGTCCTGGTCTTCAACACGCAGAGTAGCTCCCAATGGGACGGATTTCGACACTACGGCTCCCCGGAAGGGTCTTACTTTAACGGCTGTTCGCTCGAGGATATCCAAGGATCCACGCGGAATGGCATCCACAGTAAGTCATTTCTTTCTCTGCTCGAACCGGCAAGACGGGTTCTCACAAGACATGTTGCGGTAGCGTGGGTGGAACGGGGCGGAGTCGTTGGGCGCGGTGTACTTCTGGACTACGCCGCATGGGCTGAGGCCAACGGCATCACCGTCAATTGCTTCCAGACTCAATCCATACCCCTTTCCGATCTTCAGAAGGTGGCTGCTAGTCAGAAAACTAACTTCCGACCGGGTGACATCCTATTCATTCGAACGGGCTGGACTCGAGAATACGAAAAGCTCTCCCGGGAGGAGTGTCAGCAGCTGGCCGACTACAAGGCACCCCCCGTGATCGGCGTCAAATCATCAGAAGAGATACTGCGATGGATCTGGGACAATGAGTTTGCGGCCGTTGCCGGCGACATGCCGAGTTTCGAAGCGTACCCCTGCCAAAATCCGGACTTTTTCCTGCACGAATGGTTACTGGCAGGTTGGGGCCTCCCAATCGGTGAGCTATTTGATCTGGAGCGTCTCGGTCAGGAATGTCGTCAGAGAAAGCGTTGGACCTTTTTCTTCAGCAGCGTCCCCTTGAAGGTAAGCGATCCGCGACCATTCCAATGTTGAGGCCCCCTCCCCGCTGACAATCTCAGGTTCCTGGTGGCGTGGCGAGTCCGCCTAACGGAGTGGCTATCTTCTAGTTTCGTAGTGTTTCACTGGTCAATAGGATCTAGAGGTCTAGGATCTAGGCCATAGATATCTAAGTTGCGTTCATCAATCTGAGTGATATAAAGTGTTGGCAGTGATAGCGCCGAGAGACAAGCCCCCGGTCCGATGATAAAAGATAAGGCTGTGGAGTCAGTAAATACCCGTAACGAGCTTTCCCGCGAATCTAACAAGGCTAAATCGGCAGGTTTGGCCTTCCCGACAGTAGGGTTCGCAGGACCCCGTGGGGAAGGCACGTTTATCTTCCCCAACTCTCCAGACATGCATGGGAAACGTGCTTCCCGGTCGGACCGTATGGCTCGTCGATCAATGGTAGCGTATGTATCATCGATTCGGAACAAGCTGGACCCTCTGGACATGTCCTGACCGTCGCAGATGCAATCGATGTCGCAGTCGGAAGACGCGCTGCGCCGGCAACCCACCGCTGCCATGCGCAGCTTGTGTAGATATCAACCAGCCTTGTGTCTATTCTGAGGCGGAGAAGCGAGTCTCAATAACGGAGAGGTACCGCTCATCTGCCTTGGACATGCTGGCTCAGACACTCATTCTTCCAGTTACTATCGCCATCTACAAATGCAGGCCCGTTCACCTCCTCAAGACAGCCGATCGTATGATTCCAAAGGTCTTGAGCATCATCGCCCGGCTTCGACTCCGACTTCGTCAAGCGTGCCTTCAACGGTTACTCGGGATTCAACCCGGGAAAGAGAGGTACCCTTAGAACGAGACGACTGGTGGTTCAAAGGAACCGACAACCTGCTTTTGAACCGATCTGGCGAGCACCGTGTGTATTCTATCCCATCTGTCCAAAGGCTGGTATATTAACCGCATGTAGATTTTGTGGGAGCCTCCTCCACTACCCATTTAGCCAAGCGTCTCAATCCTGCCACCACCAATCTTGCATGGGATGTGCGTCCGCTTTACGACGATCCTTCGTCCCTGCGCCGTCCAGTGGCGAGCGCCCTTCCTCAACTGCCTCCCTTTGAATTTGCCAAGCGGCTCTTTTGGGTCCAGTATTCTTACATCGGTACCATATTCTCCTTGATCAAACCGAGGGAATTTGAAGAGCGTCTAGCCTTTGTCTATCATCGACCACCCGACTTCTCCCATCGCGAAACATGCTTGATTTATTGCCAGACCCTGCTAGTTATCGCATTTGGATTGATGTACTCTGTAAATCAGTGGTCAGGAGATGACGGCCCACCCGGCTTCAAGTATTTCAAACATGCTCTGCGTTTCCTGCCGGACATTCACGAAGAGGGCTCCATCTTTTTCGTCGAGGTCCTCTGCTACGTGGCGTACTATATGCAGAATCTAAACCGGCGCGATGCGGCCTTTCTTTACGTAAGTGAAGCCCTCCTGGTTGGAACTTGACTCAATCCACTCACATTGTCAGATCGGTCTTGCCCTTCGCATGGCTATCTCTCTAGGTCTCCACCAAGAAGTATCAGATCCGAGTATCAGTGAGACGGATCGAAACCGCAGGCGTCGAGCTTGGTGGTCCGTTTATAGTTTGGACCGGTACCCACGCCCAGATATACTGAATCGGATGAGGATGACACTGACGGCTACTGCATAGACTGCTCTCAGTCAAGTCTGGCAACCCCATCACCATCCATGATGAAGACATTGGCACATCACCGGCGACACTTGTAAGTCACACGGAGTCCTCATCATGGGAGTGATCCCTGACCATTTCTCCAGGATGGATCTACTTCCGACCCCTGGCCAGCCATTGTCCTCACTCATTACACACAGCTCTCCCGAATATTAGGCCGAATTGGTGAAGGTAAAGACCAGAAGTCCACCCGTGACATTTGTGCTGTCGACGGCTAATCCCAATCCACAGAGATATACCGGAAGAAGCCTCGATCTGGTTCCAGCCTGATAACGTCTGTGCAAAGTATCACCAACGACCTTTCAAGCTGGCTTCGACAAGCACCCGACGGGCTTCGCATTGATTTTACCACATTGGACAATCATGTGAATCGAGAGACGGTGTCGATCAATCTCCATTTCTACTCGTGTGTCAACATGACGGCCCGCCCTCTCGTTTTCTATGTCATCCAGCGACGACTTGACGCTGGTATTTTGGGCACCTCAGGCGAGGATTGGAAAGAGGGCTTAGCACCAAATACGGTCGCAGTGATCGATAGCTGTATTACCGCTGCTCGCGCAACGACCTTGATCATGGACGCAGCGGCAAAGCACAATCTCATCGGTAGGTTGTCCCAATTCTTGACCAGAATTTGCCTTTCGGTCGTTAATATTGCTCACAGCTACCTACGGCTATCTCGACGGGGAATACATTTTCTCTGCCGCATTACTTCTTGTCATGGTCAATGCGGTTTTCCCTCACAATGAAACTAATGCCCGGGCAATGGAGACTGCGCTAAATCTCCTCCGTAGTATGGCTGACCGAGGTAACACCTACCTTGGCTCGCGCCATTCCTTGTTGCTAGAACTACGAGCAGCCATTGAACCCAAGGCTGTTACAGGCGACGCGGAAAGATCAACAACTGCACTGAATGTCCCGGCCACACCAAGGAGTAATTATCCGGCTAGTCCCGCAATAGATAATACGATGGGCCCCACGCATGAACTCCCGGAGGATTGGCAGGCGTCACTTGATCTGCCCTCGTTTCAAAATATTTCTTTTCAATTTGATCTGAACGATGATCCAGCACTCTGGGAGGGTGCATTGGATCAAATTGACATTGACATGGATACCGATTGGATCGAGAGCACGTTGAAACGATAATTCCTGTGTATGTGTACATTTTCAATAAAATACATGATGTTCCAATGTTTTTTATTCACAGTTTAGTTTGTCCTCTTATCTCTGTAGTCTTTTTCACAAGGTCATAGATAGGAAGATCCTCCCGATAAGAGCATGCGGGTCTCTCCGATCTTACCCCTCAGTCTTGTTATCGCGTTCGATGCACGTATTTCCAATCCATCGGCCCGAGAGAACCGACGCGCCGGCCATCGGCCCGACACGTGACCCGCATACAATGGCGCGACATTCGAATCCTCAGACGAGACACGCGACAAGTATGTTTGATATTTGAAGTCGTCATTTCTTAATCTCTAATTTCGACCATTCCATATTGATCTCCTCTTTCTCATCTCCCAGCTCCATCGGCCGACATCGAGATGGCCGACTCCGGGAAGATCACTATCTCCATCGACCGCGGGGGAACTTTTACCGATGTCCACGCCATCGTTCCTGGTCGTTCAGACATTATTATCAAGCTGCTTTCCGTTGATCCTTCACATTATCAAGATGCCCCCACGGAAGGCATTAGGCAGATCCTTGAGCTTGCAACGGGCGAGCCTCATCCCCGCGGGCGCCCGCTGAAGCTCGATCGCATTGGTTGTCTTCGAATGGGTACCACCGTGGCAACGAATGCATTGCTTGAGCGCAAAGGAGCTCGATCGGTACTGTTTACGACCAAAGGATTTCGGGACCTTTTGAAGATCGGTGACCAGTCGCGGCCAGCCATCTTTGATCTCTCTGCGGCGAGACCTGGCGTGCTGCCCGAGAGTGTTGTCGAGGTAAATGAACGAGTAGTTCCTTGTCATCCTTCCGCAGACGAGAAATGCTTCTCTGGAGCCCGTATAGTGGAAGGCATCACAGGCGAGAAGTTCCGTGTGGTTCAGGAATTGGATCTTGACCAGGTCCGATCAGAGCTCCTCCGCCTGAAGGAACAAGGCTACCAGTCCCTCTCGGTAGCCCTCGTACACTCTTTCGCCTATCCCGAACATGAGCGTCAGATCGGAGAACTGGCTGAGCAGATGGGATTCTCTGTTACGCTTTCTTCCAAGCTGCAGCCAATGATCAAAATCGTGCCTCGTGGCATGTCGGCTGCCGCTGACGCCTATCTCACTCCCGTCATCAAGACTTATATTGACTCCATCTCGGCAAGCTTCGAAGGCGGCTTAGAAAAGCAACAGGAATGCCGATTCGAATTCATGCAGTCCGACGGTGGTCTCGTGGACTTCCGCAAGTTTAGCGGGTTGAAAGCCATCCTTTCCGGTCCTGCTGCTGGCGTGGTAGGATTTGCTGCCACCAGTTGGGATCCCATTGAGAAGATACCCGTGATCGGCTTTGACATGGGCGGTACATCTACTGATGTTTCACGTTTTGATGGGCACTTGGAGCACGTTTTCGGATCCAAGGTCGCTGGCGTTCTCATTCAGTCTCCACAGCTTGATATCAACACTGTTGCTGCCGGTGGTGGCTCTATTCTGACATGGCGCAACGGCCTATTCTATGTTGGCCCCGAATCAGCCAGCGCGCATCCCGGCCCAGCCTGCTATCGCAAAGGAGGCCCCCTAACCGTGACGGATGCCAACTTGTTCCTTGGTCGATTGCTTCCCGAGTATTTCCCTCATATTTTCGGACCCAATGAGGACCAACCCCTGGATACTGAGATCACTGCGCAAAAGTTCCATGACTTGACACAAAGGATCAATGCCGAGCGCCGTCAGAATTCCCAACCAGAATACACTTCAGAGGAAATTGCCCTTGGGTTCCTCAAGGTTGCTGATGAGTCTATGGCTCGCCCCATTCGTAACTTGACCGAGGCCCGTGGCTTCGAAACTGCCTCTCACCACCTGGCCTGCTTTGGAGGAGCCGGTGGCCAACATGCTTGCTCCGTGGCAGCTTCACTGGGCATCTCGCGCATCATTATCCACAAATACTCTTCGGTCCTGTCTGCATATGGCCTAGCACTTGCAGAAGTGGTCAAAGAATCTCAGGAGCCAATCTCCTCTGATTATCTTTCATCTCATGCCAACCTTCTCCAACGCTTCGATGAGATGGCTGTAGCTGCAACAAAAGAAATGCAGGGACAGGGGTTCCCTTCCAATCAAGTGCATCATGAGCAATATCTGAACATGCGTTATGAGGGATCCGACACTAGTCTGATGATCTTGCGACCGGAGGCTTCGTCCGATTTCTTGGATGAGTTCCGCGAGCGTCACCGCCGCGAGTTCAACTTCAACTCGGACCGACCAATCCTTGTTGATGATATTCGTGTTCGTACAATTGCATCTTCCAAGGTTCGTACCGAGCGCAGCCCCCCTGGTTCAGTTGAAGGATGCAAACATGAAGGATGTCACAACCGAGGCCGCCAACACGACTGCCGCCTATTTCGATGGTTATTCCGCGCGCATCGACACCCCTGTGTACTTGCTCGACAAACTGGAGAAACACAGCCGGATCGCTGGCCCTGCTGTCATTATCGATCAGACTCAAACGATTGTCGTCGCTCCCAATGCCGTCGCGAACCTATTGGAAACTTGCATTGTCATCGATCTCAAGGACAAGCCAACCGTCTCTCCTTCCGAGACACAAATTACCACCGAGATCGATCCTATCCGTCTCAGCATTTTTGGTCATAGATTCATGTCTATTGCTGAGCAGATGGGTCGCACTCTGCAAAAGACCTCTGTGTCAACCAATATCAAGGAACGACTGGATTTCTCCTGCGCTCTCTTCTCACCCGATGGAGGACTTGTTGCCAATGCTCCGCACGTCCCGGTACATCTGGGCTCGATGCAGTTCGCCGTGCGTTACCAGCATGAAAAGTGGCTAGGCAATCTCAAGGATGGCGATGTGCTTGTGGCCAACCACCCTAGCTGCGGTGGTACTCACCTGCCTGATATCACTGTATGTGGGCCCCCTTTTTTTTAATATGCGAAATCTAATATTAATGTTAGGTAATTACACCCGTCTTTGATCGTCCTGATGGCACCGAAATCATGTTCTACGTTGCTTCGCGTGGCCATCACGCTGACATTGGTGGTATCCTACCCGGGTCCATGCCTCCCAAATCGACAGAGCTCTGGCAGGAGGGTGCTGCTATTGAGGGTGACAAGATCGTCAGTAATGGTGTTCTTGACGAGGCCCGTTTGATTGAACTACTTGTCACGAAGCCGTCCCAGTATCCCGGCTGTTCTGGCGCACGCTGCATTAGTGACAATATGTCCGACCTCAAGGCACAGATCGCCGCCAACACTCGCGGTATCACTTTGATACAGAGCCTTTTTGCGGAGTATGGCGTTGAGACTGTTCAAAAATACATGTATGCCATCCAGGCGACCGCTGAGACCGCCGTACGAAATCTCCTCAAGGGTTTGTATGAGAAGTTTGACGGGAAACCTCTCGAGGCTGTTGATTACATGGACGATGGCACCCCGATCCGCTTGAAAGTGACAATTGATGGCTCGGATGGGTCTGCTGTCTTCGACTTTGATGGCACTGGCCCTGAGGTGTACGGCAGTTGGAATGCACCCATTGCAATCACACACTCGGCAATCATCTATTGTCTGCGATGCATGATCAATGCGGACGTTCCCCTCAACCAGGGGTGCCTGGCTCCAATTGATATTAGGGTTCCTTCGCCCAGCATTCTGTCGCCCACAAAGACAGCTGCTGTTGTGGGTGGAAACGTGGTCACATCACAGCGCATCACCGATGTCGTTCTCAAAGCTTTCCGGGCTTGTGCCGCCTCTCAGGGTTGCTGCAACAATCTGACCTTTGGCACAAACCCCAAGCTCGACCCCGAAACGGGAGCTATCATCACTCCTGGCTTTGGGTATTACGAGACTATTGCTGGTGGTAGCGGGGCTGGTCCGACCTGGAAGGGCGAGTCTGGCGTCCACGTTCATATGACCAACACGCGAATTACTGACCCCGAAATCCTTGAGAAACGATACCCAACCGTTCTTCGTCAATTCACCTTGCGAGAAGGCTCCGGCGGCCGAGGCAAGAATCAAGGTGGTGAAGGCGTGGTGCGTGACATCGAATTCCTTGCTCCAATGCAAGTCTCAATTCTGTCGGAGCGACGTGTTCACAGACCTTACGGTCTTGAAGGGGGCGAACATGCCCAACCAGGCCTGAACCAGTGGATCACCCGGGACGCAGAGACTGGCGAAGAGCGCCAGATCAATATTGGAGGTAAGAACACTGTGTCGGTCAAGACACACGATCGGGTGGTTATTATGACCGCCGGCGGTGGTGGCTGGGGCGCCGAAGAGACTGCTGCGTGAAGCCAGTATCTTCGAATCAGATCTCTACATACCTAGATACTGATTAAACTGGACGAAGCACATGTATTTTATGAACATTTCAACGTTATAATCATACAATCGATCTATCTATAAACCTAGCAGCGCTAATGGACCCCGCCCCTCGCATACGCAAAAACTGTTTGAAGAGAAAATGTAACCGAAAAAAGCTTGGATACCTGGATCTATTCCACGACTATGCGGCCTTCGAGTCTGGGAGAGATTCCAGAAGTCCAGGCAGGTGTGAACTCGCCCTCGCCATCCATCGTGTCCAAAGTTGTGGGATGTAGACCAGTGTGGCGCATCCATTTTCGGACAACGCGTCGTGCGAGTTGTAGGCGGTGCTCCTCCTCCGCCGTGGACCGGGCGGGAAGAGTGACATAGTTTGTTGTTGATCGAGGGGACGTAAGAATTTCTGGGTCGTCATCAGAGTCAGAGTCCATTTCATCGCTGTTTGTTCCATTAGCAGACGAGGTTGTGGATCCCCGATCGAGTTCCTGAGGGAAGCGGCCGTAATAGTAAGCTTGCCGGCCCGTTCGCTGCAAGCTCGGACGGGGCTTCAGTGAATTCCCCGCTGCTTTTTCAGAAACAGGGGAAGCGGCGGCAGACGGCGGCTTGAGCCAGCCCTCGTTGTGCAGATTGCGGTGCACAGAGTCCCAGTGTCGATGGAGACTCGCAGACCAACGTCGCCATTTTCCAAGAACCTTCAAGCTCATGAAATACTGGCGTAATATTGTACTAATGAGAACTCCATTCTCCTCATGCACAAGTTCTTCAGCTTTGCCGCCCTCGGATTGAACTAGCAAAGACGAAAACCCATCTTTGCCACGAGCCATGTAGCCCCGCGTGGCTAGTACGTAGTCTCGGTCAAAGTCAATAGGCTCACCACCAACCCGAGCGAATGTGATGCGTGCGCCTGGAGGTGCATCAAGCTTGAAACCGTACGAGATATTGGAGACTTGCGTAAAACGACCCTCTAGTGCGGGGAGCTGGCTTACACCGTTCTCGAGAGCATCCATCAAGGCCTGCCCATTGACACGTATCAGCACCACCGGATCTTCAAAAGGGAAGCAGTTTAATAGGTCTTTCAATCGTAGTATCCCGGGAGGATAGATCTGGTCACCCCGGATGGTCCCCACCAGCCATCATGGCACAGTCGGCGGCGTAATAGAAACGCATGAGATCGCAGACGAAATTGCCCAAGTTGGACTCTCGCTGTCGTACCGTCGAGAAACGACCATCGAGAGGGCTGACCGTGTAGCCTATCGGCTTTTCCAGCTTCGCCTCCAAGCTGGAAGTGAGCCGGTTAACCATGGTCATTGTTTCAGGATCCTCGGGTATGGAGCGCAAAATATCGCGGCGCGTTATGTTAAACTCCCAGCCTGGCGCTCCCTCAAGTTTTCTGAAGGCTTCTATGTAGCTCAATTGCTTAAAATCAGTCCCTGATCGCAGCACATGAGTTCCATTGACAACAGAATGGGCGTAATAGTGATCATGGCCGCCAAGGATGATGTCCACTGTCCCAGGTTTCAAGTTGCTCGCAAGTTTGTAGTCGTTGGGTTCACGCTGATGGGAAACAACCACAACCATCTCAGCTCCTTGTGCTCGCAGTTTGGGTGCCAGCACTTGCGCAGTCTTGCTTGCTGATTGATAGATCAAGTTGGGTGGAAGCGAATTAATCGTCCCCAGCCTAGAAAGATGATTAGAAGATGCAGACAAGTGGAACCGATCTGATGCCAGGTCTCACCATTCCCTCTCTCCCAGCCCAATCACGCCGATCTTAATCCCGTTCGACGAGACTAGCATGCAGGTCTTCCCTGAATCGGCAATGGGGACGCCGTCTCCGAGCGCTGGATCCAGTACATTGGCCAATAACCAGGGAAAGTGGCATTGGCCGGATAAGTGGCGGAACTGGGCCACGCCGAAATCGAGATCATGATTCTGGCTGGATTAGCAGCGTTCTAGCCTCGACTGTACCAGGTCCCCTACTCACACCCACGCAGGCCACGTCGGTTCCGACCTTATTCAGGAATGGAACCATGTGACGGCCCTTTGTAATGGTACTCTCGATACTGGGATTAAAGGCATCGCCGGAGAAGAAGGTCAGGATATTGGGTTGGTCGGCAAACCGCGGATGGGAGCGATAGTGTTTCACGAGGGATTGAAAGCGCGAGACCCCGCCTACCGGTTCAGCAGAGCCAGATCTTGATGTTCCGTTAGCACAAGGTATGCGCGTAGGTCAAGGGATATCGCCGCGCATACTCAACGTGGTAGACATCATTGTAGTGGATTAGCCGTAGATCCGGGGTACCGGTGCGATGTGAAGTATATGTGACGGAGATACCGTCTGATTCAAGACTGGACATAGGAATTCCCAAACAAACGCGAACGTAACAAGGAGAGAGAGAAGGAAGAGATGGACCGGGAAGCCGTTAGAGAAGTTAGAGAAGTGGGATAGCTGTTTACGAGGGGCAAAGGGTGGGACGCAGCACCCGGGGCCAGCTGCATGCCTGAATGCCTGAATGCCTGAATGCCTGAAGAATGGGGAAATGTAATTCAATCGAACTATGATGTCGAGTCAGATGGGTAATCAAAACGCCGGGCACCATGCAATAAGGTATCCTAAAGAAAGAGACTGCAAACAAAGAAAAAGAAGCAAGGGAAGAAAACTCCGAAAAGGTCGTAGCCGATCGTCTCACAACTTTTGCTCCGTCACTGTCCACCGTCGCCGCGACACCTCACGATCTTCCAGAGGCGGCGCACTCCCCCACAGCCCGGGTTGTGAGAGTTTTCGTTGCGGCAATTGCTTCGGTCCGCCCGGCTTGTCGACCGATCCTTCGGTATAAGGCGACTCATGACTCACAGGCCGCGGGTCCCCAAAATTCGGTACGAAGTCCTCCATTTCATCGTCCTTGTCGGCCGGCGCGCTGGCTCCCCAAAGACCAGAAGGCCCTCGAGCCACTGGCGATTGCTGTGCCAGAGACCAGCTGCGAGGACTGAGGCTAGTTCCTGGAGTTGACCCAACGGTGAAGGAGCCCTGGAGCATCGATGGACGAGTGCCGAGGCGATTACGATAGGTGGGGATGGCTGGTGCCGAGACCGGCTGCGGAGCCGAGGGTGATGACAGGGCCGTGAGTTGCGAGGGGTTGACCCCCGCACGGAGATGGTCAGTTGATGTCACTAGCTGCAAAGCGTATTCCCGTGATACAAAGTCATCCCGACCGACTGGAGAGTTCGATGCACTCTCGGAGAGGGGCGCAGTGCTCCTCAGGCGGTCCCGTTGTACGGCCATAGTCAGTGATGCCGTATTGATGTCCAGGAGTACTGAGTGGCCAGCCAAGGAGCTTATTAGGGCGTTGCAGTCAGCCCCGTGAGTGATGATAATTAAAACGGTCTCCTTGGGGGGAGATTTGTCGGCACCGTTGGACATGACATTCGAGGGGTCTGCGCTGGGTCCGTCCTGTCGCCGGTACCAGTCCACCATTCGTCGGAATCCATCGTGTACTCTTTCATGCATGCTACTCCATTCTTCGCCGTACTCGCCGCCCGTGCCCCAAAAGGGGGTGCGCATGCTATCCCATTGGTAGTCGATCTTTGTACAGGCGTCTCGCGCGTGGGCCACGTATCCAGCGGGAATGGGATTCGAAGGGGAAATGGCATAGCCGGGGGTTGGCGGCACGTATGAAGCATCTGAAACCGGTGGCAGATCGGTGTTGAGCCGTCTCAAGGCTTTGGGAGTGCGGCTGGGTGGAAGGCCCTGGAGTGTGTCACAGGTGCTGGCACGCTGTCGCTTGCCATGCTGTCCCGACGCCAAAGATGTCCCTTGCGGAGCCAGTTGGCGGTCGCCTTCCTCGCTGGGGGAGCTCGGATGAGACTGACTACCCCAGCCGCCCGGGAAATGACCCGACAGGGCTCTCGTGCCTTCCCGCACAGATGGAAGCAGTTCCCCACGACGAAGGAGCTCAGCCTTGGCCGAAGCTACCATGCGTTCGGAAGCCGGTGGTGGTATGATGTGGTCGAAATAGTCTGGTGACAGCCACTCGCCCAGGAACGCATCAACACGTAATAGAGACCGATGATCGGTGTTGCCATCTATCTGGTGCCCAGCCGGAGATTTCGAGGAGTCTGCAGCTTCACTTTCGGAGAGAGACTGATTGAGGCCCGCACTGACAGCGATTGCAGTTTGTAGACATCGGAGGTACGGTGAGGAATGTATGATCACGTTATATCGAGAGTGCAGGTCTGAAGGAGCGGGGATCGGTTGCAGATTTGCCGGATCGCTCGAGGCTTGCGACTGGCTGGGATGGCTAGCTGAAGCTTGACCCGTAAATTCTGCAGCCCGTAGGAGACTGGCAATGCGGACACCCAGCGCCCGGGATTGACTCCAACCACCGTAGGAGAGAGGCGGGTCGTAGGGCGTGGGGGTGGTCAGATGCCAGTCCTTGTCGGCCGCATCAAGACGGGCGCCGTGTCTACAGACGTCAGTATCCGGAAAGTCTCATGTAGCTTCAGATCAATATCTACCTGGCGATGAAGACAATGGCGGGTGATTCGGCCATCGAGACTGTCACAAGGGCGGGGGACAGACGTCGAGCTCGAGTCGAAGTGAAGTCTGAGAGTCTGCTACCGTAGCGACGGGGAACAAAGACGCCCCAAGCGAAGCTCAAAGATGCATGTCAGGCATTCAGCAGCGCTTGAAAGCTGCGAGATGATTTTTTTTGGCTTCACGAGCTTCAGAAATGGATGTCGCGACGAGAAAAAAAAAAGAAAAGCACGCGGCATGTGATGCTTAGGTAAGTCACAGGAGTACAGCTGGTCGAGTCACGGACCAGAAGGAGATGAGACGAGACGGAGCAAATCAAATGTGATACGATACACGAGTCTCATGAGTCAATGTGGTCCTAGAGCCAGTAGAAGAGCAGAACGGGAGCTCATGGCTCATCCCACCTCGGCTCGTGGAGGACGTGGGGCATTTCGGGGATTTGGGGGAATTTGCCCGGGGAGCTTCATCCGTATAGTTCACCACCAGGACCGAATGTCTGAAGGTAGTGCAAAGGGCGAGCGTTAGCCAGATATTCCATGAAAAATATCGCTCGTGGTGAGCCTCTCAAAGTGGCCTGTCTTTTACTTCTCCACTTGAGACGAAGAAACCCAATCAACCAGGAAGTTCGAAGCTCCACCGCACCGGATCTGATAAGGAGAAGACGACGATAAAAGAAAGATACTCTTAACGGACACAGGACAGATTCCATGCATTCTTGGCTCTGTTCACTGGCCGAGTGATAGCACCGGGCGTTGTCGATCGTAGACAAATTCCTCTTGATCGGGGTTACCAAGGGATTGAATCGCCAGTCAATCTACAAAATGATCCTCCTCATGGTAGCCGACCTAGATGGTTTCACTCGTGAGTCTGCGCAATCCCGTATGCAAGCTCCGGACTTCCTATCGAGGAGTCATATATGGCTCAGTCTTATGGCCCAAGCCAGTCTGGAGCATGTCCATCGCCCGGGTTCACATCATCGGAGGGAGTTTCGGCACTACCTAAACCTGTGGCCGTGAGCTGGTTGACAATTGCCCATAGCTTGACTGAGGCTGCTTTACTCTTGATAGCTGGGCGTCTGGGAGATGTATGCGGTCAGCGCCTGATGCTCGTGTTCGGGTCCAGTCTGCGGTCTTTTCGGGCATCAGCGTCTGTTCTAGCCAACCCCTCTTCGGCTATGTCGCGCTCTCCCAGGAACAGGTCCCGCAATGCCCTTGCCTGATGCTTTGGCCATATTTTCAATTGTGCCCATCGTCCAAGACTCCGAACTGAATTATTTTTTAGTCTTCATGGGCAATTGCACTAGGGGGGATTGTTGGAGGCATTGTATTGTCCTCATACCTTACCCAGCTTGTCTCGGGATTCCGGGGACAACTGGGCTATCGCCACTGTGTGCGCAATCATTGCTGTGTCCGAGAGTTTGATGATCCCCTACAGTTCATCATGGTCGCCTTTGTGACCGACAGCGACTTGATTTTCTCGGTGCTGCTGCGGATATCTCCCACGCTCTGGTACTAATGAATTTGACTTGAACCAAAGTGCCCTTGTTGGCTGGAAAACTCCCTTCATCTACATCTTCCCGGTTGTCGAAGTCCTCCTTTCGGGCGCACTTGCAGTCACCGAGGCGCCATTGTGTCCACTCCTTGCCCCGTGCTGTCTTCACAGGAGATATCGTCTAGGTACTTTGATGCTGGTTCAGTTTTGTAACCATTGTTTACCACTTTCACTACTTCATAAAAGTCATCAAAAGGTGCCTCGTCATGGCCGGCCATGGCGAAATGGTTCGCTGCTCTAATCAGCGGAAACCCGCTTGGTCTTCTGCCTCTCCCAGCGACATCATGTCTTGTACTGTGGTGTCTTTCACAGCAGATCTCTCGGTATTTGCCAACGTGCCAGTCGATCAAAAGCTACTCGGCTGAAGCTGTCGTCACATCACATCATGGGAATGTAAGTGTGTCGATTCCTGTCAATACCTTGTCATATTCAAGTAAAACGTTCGAATGGGGTATGGTCTTCTCTTCTGCGTCCTTCATTCACAAAGATCCGATGCATCGCCACCACCAAGGGCTGTCTGCATCTTGGGGGCCACAACCGTCGATTACTCAACTTACTCGAGCTCGCATTTGCCGCTACGGTGGAGTTTCATTCCCCTGACGTTGGTAGCAATGTTATGCGTGAATTTCGCGGCACTCTCTTCGTGGGCATTGAGCTGGCTGAACTAGGCCCTGTAATAACCACCTACTTCCTGATTGTAGATAGGAGAAAGTATTGCGCGAATCGGAGACATAGCCCAAGAATTTGGAATAAGGCATACGCTGGGTAGAACATGATTATCCCATGGACTCAAGAAGATATGGACCATGCGCCCTTTCACTCGACTCAATTATTGAATTCGCCTGTCTCCATAGTCGAATCACCAGTCATGTCAGTCCTGGGACAGCGGATCTTATGGAATGTGTATGTCACCAAATATGGAGCGAACCCCTCCCCACATTCCGTTGACATCACAGCATGGGCTCTACACCAGAAGCTGCAAGGAACACGTTTAGCAGAATCCCTTGTGAGCTTATTTTCCGAGCTAGCCCAATTCTGGCGAAAATGATTGGCTGCTACTCCACCCCCCGAGGGGATTTTGCAAAGATATCCACTTCATATTGACATGCTAGACCATGGATGATGATGATGCCATCCATACCCTCTTGCTAGAACTTGGTCAGGATTTAGTCTAGCTATATAAAGACCTCCCTGTCTGCAGGTTCCTTCCTTCTGATCAACCAATCCGCTCGACCCAAATACCACGACACAATCTCTACAACTTCCCTTTTTCATGGCCAATCTCCATTCTTCGGTTCAACATGCGGTTTGAATTCGTTTACGCTCTGTTGGTAGCAACTGCAGTAGCTGTTCCTCACGGAGGGAGCAAAAAGGTGGAAAGATTGAAGTCCAGCTTTCGATACAACATGCCGGCTAACAAACAACCAGAAAATTGACCAACCTGCTGCAACCCCATCCATGTCCATGTCGATGCCCATGAAGAGGGCCACGCCTACGACTCAGGCAATTCCCTCTGCGTCTACCTCTTCGATGGTGGAGAAGCGAGTGAAGGCCGAGCAATTCATGATGCCGTACGCAAAGTCTCCCGACCTAAACGGTCAAAGGCTAATAGTGACACTTTAAGCGCCAGCCTATCAATGTTTTTTTTGTGACAATCGAGATGTGACGGATTATATGACTTGCGCGTGTGATTTATGTTTATTTTTGATTACCGGCAGTTTGACTTGCCAAAGGACGGAGGATTAACACTGCAATGAAAGATTCTAAGCGTGCCTACAGAATTTTGTCCATGGATATGTCGACTGTTGATGCCATATCGTAGTTCGAAAATTATTGTACACGCGTATATGCTTGCACGCTTATTACTCACAAATAAGCAGGATACCGGATCAAGGCCAAGAAATTGAGCCAATTTTAATCACCAAGTCACAATATCTCCTTATCGTCTGTACACAAACTTCCCACATGTTGTGGTGATTGTTCGAGTGGCAAGTAACCCATTTTAACGGAAGATTGCGACGATCATGATGATCGCCAGGTTCGTTCTTGCCATTTCAAAGGCATGCTCGCTGTGTAGGCATGTGGACATATGGATTGCTCAGTACAGTGTATGGGATGCAAGGCTGGCCAGGCTGATAATAGGCAATGTCGAGAGAACTAGAAAATAGTACTTTGGGATTCAGATAAGTCCACAATATTGTGTCCATTTGGTCAATTGATCTTTAGAAGCGTAAAGAATGGCTATACTGTGGTCATAATCATGTAGGCGGCGAACATGAACCAAACGCTAGAAAGAGGTTTCTAAGGATCCGGGAAGATCTAAGCCGAGTCAATCAATGGGGTACCATTTAGGCCGACAGACCAAAATATAGTGCAAATAATGATCATCCGGTAGCCACTGTATCGCCTGAGTGGTTAAATCAAGTTAATTGTGATGGAAGAACCCACCGGCGAGTTGGATTCCAGCCGAACTCGGCTATAATTTCGGAATGCTCTAGCTGATTAAAGTCATTTACGGTATGAGCTCTGTGATGCAAAAGACTGGTACAGAACTGAGTGAGCCAATGTGATAGCGTATTGACAAAACCCGATCAATATACCTCAAATAGAGGGAGAACACAAATCTTCCTTGTAGTTAGGTACAGACGCACTGATGGCTTTGCAGCCGTGTCCGTGAACATACACCTTTTGTCTGAAAGACCTTCGTATTGACTGTTTCGATCGATCTCGAACTCGGAGAGCTCACAAGGCAGGCCAAGCTAGCAAGTGGCAAATGTCATCAGCGCCGCTCTGGCAACGAATATACGAAACCATTGATCTAAAATGTCCATTTACGATCAATCGCTCGAGACTGAGTAGGCTATCTTCAGAGGAGGGAGAAAATACCAATTTGCAACTAAATGACCAATAACGCAGAGGACAGCCCCAGAAAGACGCATCAGCTTAGAAAATGATAGTAATATTGCTAGTCAATGCAATTTGAATGGACTTGTGGCTAGCAAAATTCTGCTAGAAATCTCTCGTAAGCGATAGCATTTCCTACGAAGGCCGAGTCGTACCGAATGGTTGATATAGAAAATGAAAGGGGTTGCCAAACAATAGGATAGAAAGTCACAACAAGAAGACAGTCGCAATGACCATGACTTGACTGTATAAAAATCTAGTGAAGACCTCGAGAGGTTTGTGGGTCGGTCTTCTTCCATGGCCCGGAAACGCATGGGTCAAAGTCTGCCGAGGTTCAAAAGCCGTTGGGCTAATGATGTTGCCGTTGACAGTGAATATTATTGAACATGGATTTCCGAGTGGCGCCACAAAGGTATTCGAGCTTTAATAGTCTGCGGATTGTCAATCCTCGAAGCGGATTATTTCTAGATTCCGGCCATGTTTTGTCCGCATGTAGTCAAGCGGCTGTTGACTGCATCGCAATTTATTCTTCCAAGTGATGCTCTTTGTTCCTAGGCCAACTAAGACGTGCTTTCGGAAGCACATAGAGACTATAGGAGTCAGATTTGTCAACTCAGAACAGGAACAAGCCAATCGGCCTTAGACTTGAGTAGTAGTCGGTTGAGAAGCTCTGGCCGGCTTTCACCGCGAGGATCCTCTACGGGAGTACACAGATAGAATTCACCATCAATCAGCTTTTTCATAACCATTTCACGTGAAGAACAGCTTCTTCATTCGCATAATATCGAATTGCTAGCCAGAGTCTTCAATTCAAAGTGGCTTTTTTTTTGGTTTCAAAAAGCCCCAGTCTTCAAAGACCGCGTCAATCAATCATGCCGAATATTAAGTCAGCCCCGGCACATTCATTGCTCTGCTGCACGACAAAAGACTTCCAGGCAGCTTTCAAGGAAGTTCTACCCAACAAGTGCTGGGTCTATATCTCTAGTAGCGCGAATTCGGGAGCGTCGCTTCGAGCAAACTTGAATGACTGGTCTCTCATCAATTTTCGGCCTCGAGTCATGAGAAGTGTCAACTCCTTGAATACGAAATATTCTATCCTTGACCAGGCCGGGCAATTTCCATTCTTCGTATCAGCCATGGGAAGCCTGGGTAATGCACACCTGGGTGCTGAACCTCTGTTGCGCGAGGAGCCACACGCAAGGGTTTGCACACTTTGATCAGCCACGGTGACGACTCAATAACCAGAGTCCTTGCAAGCTTATCTGAATAGACGTTCCCATCGACCGCACAAAGACCAAGTCTCTTATTCGAAGGGTCAAGGCTGCCGGATACTAGAGTCTGTGGGTCACTGTGGACACTGCAACACTGGGCGAACGAACAGCAGATCGATATCTACAGGCGCAAGATACCCTCGACCATGGCGTCAGAGAAACGGCAAGAGATGCTGCGGCCGAAAATGACTTCGGGCCGGCCTCCAAATGCCGACCCGTTTCTGGATCCTTGGATCCTGGACTGAAATGGGAGAATTTAGCGAGAATCACCCAGGAATGGAACGTGTCCTATTGTTTTGAAAGGCATCCCGACCGTTGAAGACGTTAGGCTGGCTGTCCAATATGGTGTGCAGAGCGTTCTTCTGAGTAACTATGGGGGCCGCCAGATTCACTCTGCTTCAACCACCTTGATGACGCTCCTAGAACCCCAGGTTTACTACCCAGAGGCATTTGACAAGCTCGAGATCTAAGTAGACGGCGGTTTTCGAGACGGGCGTCGATATTCTCAAGGCACTTTGCCTCGGAGCCATAGCGGTGGGTGTTGGTCGGCCCCATTGCTATGCCATGGCCGCGTATGGGTTGGAAGGAGTGGTAAGATGCACCGATAGTAAGTTCACTTTGAGGTCTTGGAATTTCGATAGGATTCTTCTCTAATGAGAACACAGTTATCGCCGAGGAGCTCGAGATCACCATGAAAACCCTAGGTGTCTCCTCTCTCCACCACCTTCGGCCAGAAATGGTCAACGCGTCTCGTCTGTCGAATGAAATGTGGCGACCGGAGATACTGAGGCCCAAGCTATAAAGTTGTATCACTGTGTTGAGGATATGTTTGCTTTGAACGTTGATACTCCTAAAATCTATGCCTTTTCCGTAGACTTATGTAGATAATTGAACGTAGCCGTTCACACTTCGAAATTTCGGATCTCAATTGGGTATGGTATGAGGTATCATTAGTTAACGCCATCAAATCATAAATCATCCCGACAAAGTCCAACGCTATTGGACCCCGACCGGTCGAGCTCCAGACAGATTCACGACCCGACCACCGGCAGCCATTGCCGGGCGACCGATTATGGTGGGCGGAGGACGAACCCATCCGGGAACGCTCGAGTCCTCCTGTTCACGGGCCGAGATAGTCTGCCAAACATTGGGGTATCCTGTCGGCAGAGCGCCTCGAAGTCGAGCACCTGGGATAGCAAAACGAGGGTTGCGGTGGGTAAGATAGCCACGCATCAGCCCCTGGGTGAGGAGTGAGGAGAGGATGGATTCAATTTCCCGCATGAGAAGAGAAGGTTGACCCGTTTCAATGTCATTAATAACGGCATACGGATCTAGCTCGAGTCCCTCAAAATCGGCGTTCGGATCGCCATCAACCAACTGACCCGGCACATTTTGCTGCAATTGGCCACCCTCGTCAAAGAAACTATCTGGGGCGATATAGTCACCGTACTTGCCTAGAATGCTTTGATCTGCTTCCGGAGCTGTTACACGGGTTGGGTCTTCGAGATCCGCGTAGTCAGGATCAGTTGGCTCGGAGATAGTCTGCGATCCATAATATCGAGGCGTGGTGAGATTGCTGTTGCCATTGAGGGGCAATTGGTTATGCTTCGACTTCAGCCATTGCGTAGCCACTGCCATTTTCTGTAAATAGAGGTAGGGTGGTGGGCCACGCTGCCCAATCGCCTGGAGATCGCCATGAAAACCACCTTCGATGAATACCCTTCGACAGAACGATCGCCACACGAGGATTTCGCATCGGTTGCGGATAGCAAGCAGGGTCCCTTTTCGTGAGAACCATTGAGCACTGGGCGAGCTGAGGGAGAGATGTTGGCGAAATGCAATGTAGTCTCCACGAATGATCAAACGGCGCAACGGTTCGAAGTGTTCCGCTAACCCTTGCGCCTCGTCTCTTTGTAGGAGCTTTTTGGATGGGAAACGGCCCATGATAATATTGCAGGGGATCAGGTAGGTGAGAATCAAATGTCGCTGGCTGAGTGCCTGGCGGTGGCACTGGTCATAGGCGGACTGCAAGGCGATCTGGGCAGGATAGAAAAGATTGTTGGAGAACAAATAGCGACCGAGATAGTAGAGGTAAGTGACACGTTGGGAAGCTGGAAAATGGGCCAATGGAGGTGACTGGGCGCTGATACTGGCAAACATCTGCTCTGCATTTCGAAGTTTACCGCACTAGGACTCATCGTCAGTCGCCAAACAACATGAGAACACCAAAGCGTGTAGGATCGATCTCACTTGGAAAAGCAATTTGAGACACAGGTTGGCCATGAGATAAATACCAATTCGCTTGCCCTCGGGCTTCCCATGCGGGCCTGGAGTACCGGAGCGATCGGTTAAGCACTTGATAAAAGCTTCGCGAACCACATTTGCCGACTGTTCCACCAACGTCACTTTTTCGATGCTTTCTTCGCGATCGGCAAGGTCCTCCGAGCGCAGGAGATGTGCTATGAGCTCAGGTCGACGGTCTAATCCCATGGCCAATTTCGCCAGGACTTTCGAGAGATACAGAACGGTTGGAAGGACAATGACGCCCATTTGGCTGTCTCCTAGTGCCATTACGCACTGGCTGAACGCGGAGAAAGTAGATGCACCGGTCAGCCTTTCGCCTCATTGCTCATGGTGCGCGCACAACACGGCACGCATCTTAAGTCCTATCACTTACTTGAGCAGTCCCCGGAGTCGGTTATAGGTCTCTAGCAGGTTATCGACATTCACATCGCGCAGGAATGCAAAATACAGCTTCATGAATGTTGGAAATGCTGTCCACGATGACGCGCCTTTGGTGCGCGGAACCAGTCCTTCACACCGTTGCAGTAGCTCATTATCCCCTTGAGGACTCGGGTATCGTCGCCGCAATTCTTGGATCATTTGCAGGTAAATATCGGAAAGCGGAGGCTCGATCTGCAGGAAATCCTGAAGCTTGGCGCCATCGCGGTTCTGGACGAAATCAGCGACGCTGCTGAGGAATTGATCCAAGATGGGTGTCGAGATGGGGGTCTGGCCCGCCATGATGAACGGTGTTGGGAAAGAATCAGATGTCGATTATTTGATGGATGGAGGAAGGGATGTTTAAAATAGAATCGAGTGGTTTTTAGGCATGACGCTATTTACTGCACATGAGCTTCGGTCATTCGCAACGCATCTCAAGTAGGGATATTGGGGAGCAAATGTTCAGTGTTGGAAGGCGCCGAGCGAAAGACGAAACTCCATCGGCAGAATAATGGTACATGTTCACCGCCTTTAAGAGCATTCTGAAAGCCTTTCTAGGCAAGAAGGTATATAGTCATATGCGGAATATCAATCTTAGTTTCAAGAGTTTAAGGTGTCAGTAGGAACGGGCTGATAGTAATTCAAGCGTTCATGTTTTATCTCATGGCCAATTGGAGGCTTGTACCTCGGGGATTGATCCAAGGCTGCAGGTGCACATGAAGTGAAGTACACCACGCCATTTTCCACGTGGGTGTACCTAGGTACAGCTTTAGGGCCTAGAGAGGTCTTTCAATTCTCCTGTATGCCTTAGTGTAATCTAGCCCCTGCTCCCACAGGAGGCTGTTTTACACCCACATCTCTTATCATTTTAGACCGTGACAGTGCCCGGTCCATGACATCATAGCATCAGAATCACATGTGAAACCCCCCAAGTTCTGAAAGTTGCCTGTTTCTCCACTGATCACGTCACTTATTCCATTTGAAACTACAAAAAGTCTCACGGAAGCTCTGAGAAGAGCTACAATTCTTTTCTCACTGCCATGGCGGGTGCACAATTCTCCATCTCGGCCCTTATCAGGCACCCAATTGTCACCGTTTGGACCTGGCTTTACTTGATCGTCCAGGCGGTCCTTCAATATGTCTTTTCACCCGTTCCGCCGCCTCCAGGTGCGGATGACAACCCAGATCTTCCGCGAAAGAGGGTCGCCGTCATTGGCGCTGGTCTTACTGGAGTGTCTTCCGCCGCGCACTGCGTAGGTCATGGATTTGATGTGCAGATCTTCGAGTCTAGAAGCAAAGACCGCGGCCTTGGTGGAATCTGGAGCGTGAGGCTTATTTCACTCCGCAACTTCATCAATTGAATGCTAACTCGCTTTTAGAGAGTGAATTCTACGTCTGCCCTCCAAGTACACAGTCTGATGTACCGTTTTCACCCTTCAGTCCACTACGACAGTGCATACCCTAGCCAGAAACAGATCAAGGAACAGATTGTCAATCTCTGGAAGCGCTATGATCTCGAGCGACGCACAGTTTTCGATACTCCTGTCACCTCAGTCAAAAAGACCAAGAATGGCCAATGGATCATTAACGATGACGAGGCCCAGTACGGCCGCTTCGATGGTGTTCTCACGGCTGTAGGTGTATGTGGAGACCCGCAGATGCCTTCTCTACCCGACCAAGAGAAATTCAAGGGTCAAATTTATCATTCGTCCAACTTGGATGGTAAAGACGCCAAGGGCAAGAAGATATTGATCGTCGGTGGTGGCGCCAGCGCAATTGAAGCCCTTGAGTTTGCCGTCAAGTCAGGCGCGGCGGAGATCGATGTTCTGTCGCGCTCCGACAAATGGATTATCCCGAGAAATGTACTTGTGCAATCTCTACTGGCGTTCAATGTCTTTGGACAAGAGACTTCTCTCTCGTGGATCCCTGAATCGCTACTGAAGAAGTTCTTCTACCGCGATCTTCAAGACATTGCTCCGACCGACGATGGGATCTTCACTCAGACTCCCATAGCAAACTCCCAGCTATTTGATCAAATTCGTGAGGGCAAAGCCCACTGGCTGCGCGGAGACATTGTCTCTGTGGAAGAAAATGGTGTGAGGTTCAACCACCGCGCTCAAGGTGTTCCCAAGGGCGGCCCTGGCCGTGAAGGACTGGTCGAGGGTGACATTATTGTGATGGCAACCGGCTTCAAGCGGCCTTCGCTGAATTTCTTGCCTGATGAAGTGTTCGAAGAGCCCTATGGTCCACCCAACTGGTATCTTCAAGTCTTCCCGCCCAAATACCCGGACGTCTGTGCGAACAACAGCACCTATGTCAATGCTATTGGCACCGTGGGTAACATGCATATCGGAATTTACACTCGTTTCTTGATTATGTTTATGACTGACCCATTAACCCGTCCCACGGAAGAGCGAATGAAGACCTGGATCGATTTCACCCGGTTTATGAAGCGATTCTCGCCCACCAAGGCTTTTGACTTCTTTACCTATGCGGAGCTTATCTACTGGTATTTGTTTGTGCTACTTGTCAATCCATTCCGGTGGAAGTGGGCTCTGTTCGTGTTCTTTGGCCTCGGACGTGCCCTTCCTTTAATGGTTGTCGAGCAAGAGAACAACTTCCGGAAGGAGCTGCGGAAACAGCGGAAGAACGATTGAGGGATACAACAAACTGGAGCTTGATGTGCGATGTAAACGACGTGACGAGGAAGAGCATGCATACAGCGAAAGCGATAACGTCTGTGGTCATGGGCGTCGATAATGTCATTTTAATTTTTGATTAGTTCTACCATCTGGAAATAGCATCTCCTCGTAGCAAGATCAGACCACGCAAATTGAAAGAGTGATATCATGTGAAAAATAAGATCGTAGGACCAGCTAAACTCCCGGGATTGGAATCAATGCTTCTTAATCTCCGAAACTTTGCGATCGATATTATAGGCCAGGTTTCCCTGCGCGATCCGACTGGGAAGATACCCTTTCTCCTCCAGCCAGAGCATTGGCCATAGCAGCGTGACACCGAGGAAGCAGAAGAGCGTTGCAATCAGATGCCAACCCAATACCAACCAGTATCCCACGTGTGGCAAGATGAACTTGATAAACTCAGAGGTTTGGTAAAGATCCTCTTGTTTGGTGATGTAGTACAACGGGTGTGCCCCGTTTGTTGAGGAGCTGGTCTTGCTTGAATCGGTGGTGAGATCGAGGACCGTTGTCAGCGTCGCCGGTGCAACGTGGAACGGCACAATCCAAATAGAGAAGATCTGAGACATGTTCACGTAGAGTTTGAGACTTTCCTGGTCCATGGCTACCAAAAATTTTAGTTATCGAAGAGTATCCGTACAGAAGACAGGCTCACCAATGGAATGGATCTCCATCTTGATCCGCGGTGACATGATCTTATACCACTGGAAGATCTTCAAAATCCACCATCGACTCCCTTCAAAGCTAGGAACGCGGCAGAAAGGATGGACAAAGGAAGCATCGCTTGTAAAAAAGCGCTCCAAAGTCTTCTGTTGCAATGTGGGTGTCGACTGGGTGAGAAGACTGATCACCGCCGGGATTTCGACAACTGTCGGTAAAGTCAGCAATGATGAATTGCAGGAATGGAGTTCGGTCGGACATACCTGGATTTTCCATGATCGAGAACGTTGACTATGTTTGAGTAGAGTAAGAAGGAGTCGAGCTTGAGACTCGGAGGATATCAGGTACAAGGGGCGATGACATCATCGTAGTCCTGACATGTGAACCTCGGATTCAGTGGGAGCATCTTTACTTCCATACCTCCACTGCTTGTAAATTATTTCTGCTATTTCCCATCTTGGAATAAAATCCTGCCTTTGCTACACTGTGTTGAACACATCGCATAGTCCCGGATATTCGAACATTTTGAGCCATCACCGGTGGCTCAGTATTCGGCATGCCGATTCCGGCCGATCACCAGATTTGAGCGAGAAATAGAAAGATTGAACTCAATGCTTGGAGGTATCTATGGATGAATGATGTACTTATAGATACGACTGGTAGCAGTGGTGAATCTGCTTTTGATAGCCATGCCAACTCCGGTGATGTTCGTAGACTAGAGGTCTTGCAACAAGAAAAGAAAAAAAAACCCCTCCAGACCACATTTATTTCTTCCAGCTATCAATCTTCTTCCGGCGCTTGTCAAAGATCTCGCCCATGCCAACACCATCACTGCGTTGGCCATCATCATTCTTTCTCTTCCGACTTTTCTCCAGAGCAACTCCACCACTCTTACCCCGCCGAGTAAGACGCTCAATGCGATCAGCACCCTCCGTAAGGCCCTTCCATTCGTCTCCGCCGAATGTAGAGTCTCGGAGGCCGCCCCGCTTCGCTTTATCCTTCTTGGTCTCCTTAGGCAGACGGACAAAGTTGGTTTCTTCGTACCGGGTTCGATCAGCCTCATGTTCCCGGTCTTTCTTGGACTTGGTCTGTCGACCACCGGCGATGATGGTGCTACCAATGCTGGGTTCTGCCATAGGCGCGGACGACATCTCGGCGTTGACGAATTCGTCGATAACATTGGATCGTTGGGGACGACGGTCCACCCGTTCGCGGCGCTCGGTCGTGGGTAGGGAGGTCGGCATAATCTTCGGCGGCCGGTAGATACCATCAGTCGGCTCTTGGGCAGCGGCTTTGGCCTGGTATTTGTTCTCCGCCGGTTTGACCTTGGAGAAGGCGGAGACATTGGGCCGATAAGCCATCTCATCCATATCCTCATCATCGCTTTCCTCGTCACTATCGCTGGCATCTTCGTCACTGCCCGAATCGGCGTTGCGGACCTTCTTGGACTTGCGCGATTGAATGGGCCGTTCCGTCCGCTCCGCATCCTCTGCTGCCTTCACCACCTTGTCGATCTGATATTTCAGACGTCCTTCCAGTGGGCGCACACCTCGATCGAGGAAGACTCGGAGCTCAACCAGCTTTTTCACGGTCTCTTCCCGAATGCTGCTATCCGTGACATCTTCTGAGTCCTGTGGGTTTTCTTTAGAGGACGCGTTTCGCAATTGGAAAATAATGAGAAAAACGAGGTTGTGAAGGTAAGAGAGAAGGATTTCGCTCTTGCTGTCGAGAAGCGAGATGCCATCTTGCGGAGGCCCGATTGAGACGTCGGAGGAGGTTTCTTTGCTGGACGCTGGCAATGATGAAGCAGCGCTAGTAAGACATGTTTTTAAATTTTCAAGAAGTGCAGATAAGCTCTGCGCGCGCGCCGGCGCGGTGACTGAAGCCATGGTGGATGTAGAGTTCAACTTTGTACGGAGCGTTCGTCAAGATCTGGAATTTTTTGCTTATCTGCACGTGACCTCAGAGGACCCATTCAGGTGCTTATCTGTCCTGTCCTTCCGATGCTCCGGGCTCGACTTCATCTAAACAAGCACGAATTTGTGAATCCCGAGTGGGACTTTCCTGTGCTCCTGCCGCGAGCTTCTTATTCTAATTGCATCGCAGCCGGACCCACGTTCCCTTCCATGCGGCTGATTTGAGCACCCCCCCGGATTCTCGACTTTCACCATGCGGTTCACCGACAGGTCCTCCTTCCTCACTTCGGTCCTTCTCGCGATCCCTTCGCTGTCCTCTGCGTTCTACCTCCCTGGTGTTGCGCCGACCTCGTATGACAAGGACAATCTGTTCCGCTCTTTGTCAATCATCTAACGCCTGGACTTTCACGCGACGACCAGCTGCATTCTGTCTTCGCATACGATTACTACCACCCTGCGCTCCATTTCTGTCGCCCAGAAGGCGGGGCCCAGGATGTCAGGGAATCCCTAGGAAGTATTCTATTCGGCGACCGTATCCGCACCTCCCCGCTGGAGCTGCACATGGCTCAAAATGAGACGTGCAAAGCTGTCTGTGGGGAGGTTGTCTTCGACTCTCGGGACGCCAAGTTTACCAATCGCCGCATCTCCCAGGGTTACAATATCAACTGGCTCGTGGATGGACTGCCTGCGGCGCAGCTGAACCATGACGGCAACACCGATACCGATTTCTATAGTCCTGGCTTCTCCCTGGGGGATCTGGATGACAACGGGCAGGCTATTCTCAACAATCACTTCAATCTCCTCATTGATTATCACCGGGTGGGATATAGCGGTAAAGACAAACTTCGCGTTGTGGGTGTGCTTGTGCAACCCGAGTCCCGGCGCGATTCACGACGTCTGGAGGACGGCACTGCCGAGTGCGGAACCCAGGGAAATCTACTCACCCTGAGTGAAGATGCTGATACCCCAGTGACCTGGACCTATAGTGTTTACTGGAGAGAGTCTCCTACTGCATGGGCCACTCGATGGGACAAGTATTTGCATGTTTATGACCCCAAGATCCACTGGTTTTCTCTCATCAACTCCGCCGTCTTCGTGGTTTTCCTCGTCGGTATGGTGAGCATGATTCTTGTTCGCGCGCTCAAAAAGGACATTGCTCGCTACAACCGGCTCGACGCGATCAGCTTGGAAGATCTCGACGGTACCTCGGCCGCCGTCGAAGATGGCATCCAGGAAGACTCCGGGTGGAAGCTTGTTCACGGTGATGTCTTCCGTTGCCCCAAGGCCCCGCTGTTGTTGAGTATTATGCTGGGCAATGGCGCTCAATTGTTCATGATGACGGGCGTGACTGTTGGTAGGTTAAAATCTCGCCATGCACCACAATTTCTTTCCAACTGATCCCATCTTTGTAGCTTTCGCACTCCTCGGACTCCTTTCCCTGCCAACCGTGGCTTCTTGGCCACTGCGATCCTCTTGATATCGGCACTGTTCGGTGCTATTGGTGGATACGTGTCAGCACGAGTATACAAAGCCTTTGGCGGCGAGGCATGGAAACGCAACATTGTGATGACCCCATTGTTGATTCCCGGAATTATCTTCGGCACTTTCTTTTTGCTCAACCTTTTCGTCTGGGCCAAGGGCTCTAGCGGTGCCGTGCCATTCGGCACCATGTTGGCCCTGGTCCTGATCTGGTTCGTCATCAGCGTGCCGCTGAGCTTTGCCGGTAGCTGGGTTGGATTTCGGCAATCTGTATGTGAAATGACTTTGTCTTTCTCTCGTCTCTGGCTTATACTAATCTGGTGCCTCTTTAGCCGCTCGAGGGCCCAACCAAGACCAACCAAATTCCTCGCCAGGTGCCTCCGATGGTCGGTAGCCTTCGGACCATCCCATCTGTTCTTCTCACCGGCATTCTTCCCTTTGGTGCGATCTTCGTCGAGCTTTACTTCATCATGACCTCGCTCTGGACCAGCAAGATCTATTACATGTTTGGCTTCCTCTTCTTGTGCTACGGCCTGATGATCATCACCTCCGCGGCAACTACCATCCTGCTAGTCTACTTCCTGCTCTGTGCGGAGAACTACCGGTGGCATTGGCGAGCTTTCGCGGGTGCCGGTATGACAGGAGGCTATGTGTTCATCAATGCGCTCATCTTTTGGGCCACGAGAGTGAGCTTTGGCGGCCTGACTGGCGCTGTCCTCTACGTGGGCTACTCGGCCCTGATTGGCTTCGTTGTCTTCATCCTGACTGGTATGTCGATTTTCACTCTTAACTGGTCCAACTCTCCACTGACCGCATCTCTTCAGGTTCGATTGGTTTCTTCGCCAGCTGGGCATTTATTTATCGCATCTACGGCTCTATCAAGGTGGACTAAAACGCGCCTTTTTCAGCCATGGACCGGGGGTCTGTTGATCCCGTCCCGTACCATGTTTTAACTACCTGGCGATGGTTTGCATTTTCGAGATAGATCGATGATAATAGTGATATCCACGATTTCCCACGGGAGAATGACTAGGACCGAATGACACAATGTGTATGTAGCGGGAACGCCGGTAATTTTGTACTCGTGTCACGCCAAGCCCGATGGCCTGGACTCGCCATTCGTCTTTCTTCGCCACTTTCCCCTCTGTAATTCTTTCTCTTCTACTCTGTACAGTGACCTCACCTGCGATCAATCGCTCTCCCTGCTCTGCACGCTGTACGCGAATCCCCGAATGATCCCTTGCGTTTGATTCTCCGCCACCGCGACTCAGCCACACTTCGTTCGTTTCTACCCCGCGTCACCATCTTCCTTTTCTCCCTCGCCGCCACGTCCCCTTGACGATTGAAACCCCAACGATTATATGTGCCCGAATAAGTCATAGCTGAGCTACTGGGTGTTTGACCATGGGCAAGTCGTGAGTCCGACTCGATCTGGCCTCAAGTACCTCGGCGGGGATGGATCTTTGCGGAACCGCCTGGAACAATTACATTACTTTTCTGGAGTGACTGTTCAAAGGCGGAGTCCGACGAATTCTACCTCTGAGTTCTTGGGTGACTGGTTCTAGGCCTTCATTGTCCCGATATTGACTCGTGCTCAGGCAATCGAAGCTCTCGCCCACGCAGTTGGAAGAGCTGCAGAAGGCAACCCACTTTGACAAGAAGGAGCTTCAGCAATGGTATAAAGGTAGGCGCGAGTGGAACACTACTTTTATATCCCCCTGTGCGATTGGAATTTCCGGTGTCCTGACCACTTTCCAGGATTCCTGAAGGACTGCCCATCGGGCACCTTGACCAAGGAGGAGTTCCAGAAGATCTACCGACAATTCTTTCCCTTTGGTGATCCATCATCATTTGCAAATTATGTATTCCGTGTATTCGACTCCGATAACAGTGGCATGATCGATTTCAAAGAGTTCATTTGCGCATTGTCGGTGACCTCGCGAGGCAAGATGGAGGACAAGCTCGACTGGGCCTTCCAACTGTACGATATTGACGGCGACGGCAAGATCACTTACGACGAGATGCTGGCCATCGTCGAGGCGATTTACAAGATGGTAGGTGGGCCAGAATAGTCGAAGCTCTACGACGGTTGCTGACGCGCTTTCAGGTGGGGTCGATGGTGAAACTGCCGGAGGACGAGGATACCCCCGAGAAGCGAGTGCGGAAGATTTTCCGAATGATGGACAAGGATGAGAATGGCAGCCTCGATATCGAGGAATTCAAGGAGGGCAGCAAGCGCGACGAGACGATTGTCAGTGCGCTGTCGCTCTACGATGGGTTGGTATAAGTGTGAGGAATCTCGCTCGGGCGAAGACGGCGCAATTTGTTCCATCAGGGAGACGGGGGAATTCTGTATCTGCATTGGCATCCTGGTTTCTTTTTTCTTTTGATTTCATTTCTAAGCCCCTTTTCTGTACATGATCCTCTCATAACCTGATCATTTGTATACATTGACTATCTCGTTACAATTGCCTTTACCTGCCAAGTACCCTTCATTCATCGGTTCAGCTGCACAGTTGTGTTCCTTGAAGCGTCCATGTTGACTGGAATCCAAGGGTCAATGGATGTCGAGCCGGTTCGGATCTTCCACCTTCGACCTCCGGAACACAAGTCTATACTCCGCTAGTGCATGCTGCTAAAGCCATGGTCTCATATGTTCTAGACCGACCTAGGCCTCGGCACTTGCTCCTGGATAGGTGGACCCGTCCCCGAGTGGAGTGGTAAAAGACGATGTTGACTCTGTGCCCAGTGGGATTGCCTCTGATTTTGAGATCTCACTGAACGAGAGAAATCCGCAGATTTCGCCCCTGTTGGCGATGACAGGGAGCCGGTGTATTTTGAAAAGTGGTGACTCTGCTAGGATCAGAGACTTGATATCTCCGATCCTCGGCCGATCGAGCCGCTGCTGCCTGAGAGCCGTGCTGATGTCATGGTCGAATGTGTGTCAAGGTGAATGGAATCGACGCTAGACAACTTCGATGCAGTCGATGCAGTTTGATTTGTTTGAATTGATTGATTTGCCAAAGTGCGGTTCAAAACTACATGGCCGACAGTACCTTAGCATGACTGATAGTGAATGATGACTAGAGAGATTTAACATCTGAAAACCGGGCAACTTTGGATCATAAGAGCCCTGGGGTATATGGGAAGGTAAGCTCATGGAAAGGACAGCATAAAAATGATACTCAACGGACCATCTGTCAATCCTCCTGATTTCCAGATCGAGAATGTCACCACCCGGTCAGTGAGCTCTTGGAGTTTATGGCCGTCGCGGTTCATCTTACGTGTTTTCTAGTTGGAAACATTTCGAAGGTCAAAGTCAATGAGAATGAATCTTGAGACTATCGTGGCATATATAACGCTCCATCTCGTAGCTACTTACCAGCTCCACTGCATTCTATCTGGGGTTGATGTACAATGGGTATCAGGGGAGATCCATGAATCTCCAATCCCCCGCAGGTCGCAATCTAATGTACTGGAATGGGAAGAGAAAAGCGACGCAAAAGGAACGTCGAAAGGACAATCACAAAACGGGTCCTGTCATAAAAGACACGATCCCGGGGCAAGAGAAATGAGATGAGACTCGTAGGACGGCGTTAGGAAGAGATCACGGTCAGGCCAGAGCCAGTGACAGCAAGACAAACTGGAAGATGTCTGGCGTCCATGGCAGACAGCCGTCGAGTTTGAGGAGGAGCATCGCCAGAGACGAGCACTCTTCCGAAAGCGTCGTGGGATCATTTGCGGTCAAAGAACCAGCTCGTGCGCTTGCCCGACGCCTCTTGCGATTGCACGCCCGCGACGTTGGCATTCGTCGGCCCGTCAGAGCTACCCCCGCCACGAAGCGGCTTCGCGATGCGGGATCCGCCGAAGCTGAAACTCCCATTGCTGTCCATGGTGGGCAGACCTCGGGTAGAGCCCTGCTTCGCAGCCTCCAGGCGCTCTTTCACAGCAGTAAGCTGGGCCTCGAATCTATGAAAATAGTCAGCATCATGCAATTTTGATCCAGTGCGCACACGAAGGTCCTACCGGTGGTTTGCTTGGGTCAACTTCTCCTGGCTCTCCTGAAGCAAGCTCTCAAGGCTGGCAATGCGTTCGTTTCGCGCAATGAGCTTTCGCTCAGCGATGGCAACCTCCTTCTTCAAACTGCTGTTTTGTTCGACCAATTGCCGCTGGACGTGCGTCAATTGCTCCAAATTGCGTTCCAAGAAAGCCATCTTCTTCTGCTGAGCTCGATTGTTGGATGATCGAAGTACATTGTTGTACTGCTCGCGAGCATCGTCCAGGGAAATTTCCAATTCGACAACCCGTTCACAGCGGTTCTGCAAGTCACGCATCAATGACTTCTTCATTGCGTCAAACTCGGCGATCTGCTGCTGCAAGGTCTTGCTCGCGGCGCCATTGGTTGAAGTCCGGGACTCGTTGTCAACGAGAGATTTGCGCAACTTCGACAATTCTTCGTCTTTCTGGGTGATGTGAGTCCGGAGCTCCTCGACTGCTGCCGTTTCTGTTTCCTTCCTCTCAATAAAGGCCTTCTCCAGCCGCTCACGGATCTCTTCCACGTCATTCTCGCCTAGGTTGCGCGTCAAGAGAGCTTCGTATTCCCGTTGCACAGCTTCCAGTTTCTTCTCCAGATCTGCCCGGCGGCTGTCCTGCAGCTCGCCAAACTCGCCCCGGTCATTCATCGTCAACTCGGCCTGTCGGATAAATCCTTGTGTCTCCAGCAGATTCGTACGAAGATCAAGGATGTCATCGGGAGCAATGGTTTCTCCGGCCGCGCTGACTTCGTGCAGAGCATCAACCCGGGCAATCAGATCTTGCAGCTTACGTTCGTTATCGGAAAACACATCGTCGCCGAGATCGAAGCCGGCCATCATCTTGGCCATCTTCTCGGCTTTCTTCTTCTCCTTTTCGTCAAGAGCGGCGGTCGTTTCCTTAGCCTTCATGCGCACGTCGAGGAGCTGCTGTTTCACCTCGTCAAGCTCGCTTGTGAGCTCTGAGTTGGCCTCTCGCAAACCGTCCATGGTTATCGCCGCCTCCTTGCTCTCATATGAGACCTTCTCTAGCTGCATCCGCAGCTCGTTGACTTCGGTCTCCAAGCGTTCGTTGTCCTTGCCTGACCGACCAGCATTCTCCTTCATCGACCTGAGCTCCTCACGGGCTTCTCGGAGACTGCGCTCCACGTTGCCGATGTGGGTTTCCTTCTCGGCGAGAGAATCCTGCAGTTCATTCTCCCGGCGGAGGAACTCCTCCCGCTCGTCCTTCTCCAGCACCAGGCTGGGTGTGCTCGAACGGTCTCCAACGCGAGAGTCTGGACGTGGGGTTTCGGAACGAGCGGTTTCCTGGAGGCGTGACGGCGTTCCAGGTCGAGGAGCCCGAGCCTCCACTTTCACGGCATTGGCAATCTCATTGCCACGTGCCGGAGTCCACAAATCTTTGGGAACGTTGTCACCACCACGCCACTGGCTGATCTCGCTCTCCAGTGCGGAAATGTAGGATTCGAAACTTGTCATCTGGCTTTGGGCCTTTCGCAATAGCTGTTTCATCTCGGCTGGGCTGAGTTCCGCATTGACCTTTGCCTTGTTCTTGATAGATTTGGCGCGTACACCAAAACGCAGAGTCGAGATAGTTTCCGCATCGTTGTAGCTACTAGGCGAACAATTAATGATCAAGGTCGTCCGGGAATTACCACCCAAGGATTCCTGCAGGATACGGGTGAGTTTGGAGTCACGATACGGAATGTGGCTCGATTTGCCATCGGTGAGCGCGTTGATGACCATACCAAGAGCACTCAAACTCTTGTTGATCTTCTTGGCTTCTTCCAGGGTCTGGCCACTAGCTCCTGTCTTGCCGACCTTCTCACTACCAGCCAAATCGACCAGGAAAAGTTGACCGCTTTTGGCCGATCCAGTCTCAACGTTCTTCTGGCTGACGGTAATCACGAAGATGGAGTGAGAGCGGGATGACTCTTGGTTCATGTTGGTCGCAGCCACAGCTCGTGCATTTCCACCTCGGCGCATCACTTCGTAGACCTCCTGAACGCTCGAGACGTAGACTTCCAATAAACCTTTGACGTAGACTCCGCGCGCCTTCTCTTCATGCACGGGCAAATTGTCGTTCTGGGGCACCAACAGATCGCGAATCTTCTCCATGTAGATCTCCATATAGCTGACTCGCACGGTGTACTCGATGTTGCTCGGGCTAGTAAGGATGCTGGCAAAGATTTGCTCAACGATGCGCGGAATGACACCCTTGCCCACGTCATCATCAATGTCGGATCCCATCATGGTATACGACTTTCCGGCACCAGTTTGACCGTATGCGAAAACCGTTCCGTTGTAACCGTTGAGAATATCGTCGACAGTCGGCCGGATGGAGAAATTGAATATGTCATTCTGCGCAGTATTCATGGGGAACACCCGGTCGAAAGTAAAGGCTCCGGTGCCTTCATTGGACTGTCCACATGCTCGTCAGCATCTTTTTCCCCGCAGCTTCCTGAGGTGTTCGAGCTCACCAGAATTGTACATGAGTCCTCGCCTTCGAATTCAACGATCGGTTTGCCTCCAGAAGCTAATTCAACTTTGTTTTGGGGACGGAATCGGGCGACCACTACACGCGTTAGGGGGGTTAGCCGTAGTCTCGTCTGGTCTACCACGATGTGCTTACCCTTAATGGTGTTCGACCCGGCGGACCTGTATTTTCAGTCAGTCGTTGTCCAACGAGTAAGATGCAGGGACTAACGCCATTTTCGCAGTTCACCAGCTCTGTGTCGCGAGCAAGAGATAGGCCCCAAGGAGGGGCAGACAAATCCCGGGGGGTGTATTTCACTGGGCCTGGAGAACCCAGGATCCAAGATCTCACGTGTGGAAGAGCAAAAGGAACAGGAAAGTAAATAATAGCAACAAATTGCCCGAGTAGACGGGGGTGCGATTCGAAAGAGTGAAGATGGGTGGGTTTGTTGACACTCGGTTTGGGTTTCTTGGCCGACCGCCCCGACTCCCGAACTCTTCAGGAGGTGTGCAAGTCACCGCTCTACACTCTACGCTCAATGCTTTCTTAGATTTCCTCTGCTTTTTTATGTAGCTTTATCATTCAGTGCTAATGCAGAACAAGGTGGAAATGACAGATGCACGCAAGGGAGATTATGAGAAAACCAGAAAAGAAAGAACTGACGCCCAAACCCCACGCTTTGCAGATCAAACGGCCCGAAGGTTCGAAGGCGATATTTGACTCCGGTAATACCAGCCCCGGACTCGTTGCAGCCTCAACGTTTGATGTAGAAGAATCAATCGAAATGGCGAAAATGGTAAAAAGTCACGCGCGCGTTCAATCTTCCCAGCTCTTTTCAACCGTCTCCCGCACTCGTTTGATATACTCTTTGCGATTATCCTTGTAGAGGTTTGATGCTTCGACGTTGGCCGGAGATGAGGTGTTGGGGTCGTTGAGTAAACTAGAGGGCATGATCAGTCTATATCGGGAGTTGAGTAGGCTCGAGGTACCCTACCTCTGAATGCTCGTCAGGATGGCAGCCACATCATATGTCGGACTCCAACGGTTCTGGAGGATATCGAGGCAGAGCTCGCCGGTTCCATACACATTAGGATGGAACATTTGGCTGATGAATTTGACACCGGGTGGCTTGTTGGGATATTGTTCTTCGAAGTTCATCACCAACCGGAATGTTCCATCTTCGAACGGCGTGTCGGCCGGGCCAATAATAACGGCATTCCTAGCAGTTCATCAGTCGATTGAACCTTTGAATCGTGGGCTATCTCCACGTACCAGGTCATAACATTGTCGGCAACAGGCGAGGCGGAGACACCGGCGGGAGGATCGGTCTGCATGCGCTATAATCAAAGACGCGATTCAATTAGTGGGGGCGCTCAACACTGGGGAGGACCTTCGGAAACAGTTGGATTGGGGGACCACAGAAGTCTCAGAGAAATAACTGTATCTAAATTATGGCCCTTTCATCACATCCAGCAGCGATAAAGCCAAAGAGCAACCTCGCCCAATTTCCCGAATGACGCAGTACATACCTTGAAGTCCCGCATGAGACGGCGGCGGGCAGAGGTCGACATTACGGCGGGTCTGAATAGACAGAAGCTTTGAATTTGCGAGTAAAGCCGTTCTGCGGTCAAGATGGAGGATGAAGAAGCAACGGAGTAGAAACAGAAGTGTTGAAAGACCATCAGTAGAAAGCGCGCTCGAGGAGGGAAACCGGTGGAACTCTCCCAATGGAGAAACCACCTGAATCTGGACGGCTGACTTATCAGATGTCGTCATCTCCCTCACCGTCATGTGACTCCAGAGAGCCTCGGCCCAGGCGGTTAACGGCGGCGCGCGTGCGGGTGCTGAGCGGGTGCATTCCATAGCCCGTTCAACTCGAAGAGCCCGTAGTTTTTCCTCGAAAATATCCATATTGCCTATCCCGTACTTCATATCCCATCTTCTGTTGTCACATTGTATTTTTCTCCTTGGATCAAATATGATTACTGCTACCGGGTTGTCTGCGCGCTTCTCTCAGGCGGGCTGCCATCCCCGCATTCCGCTGTCAAAGACAATTCAGCTCCGCCCGCCCGACATTGAGAGAGATCCAGGATGCTTACATTCTGAGTGCTGCACGAACACCCACAGCCAAGGTATCCATATGACTGCGTGCAACCCCGATTTCGATTCTAAACCATGCGAGTGCTGATGCCTAATGTTTAGTTCAATGGTTCCTTCACCTCCGTTTCAGCCCCCCGAGCTGGGTGCCGTTGCCATTAAGTCGGCCCTAAGCAAATCCAATATCCCGATGGAAAAGATCACCGATGTCTACATGGGAAATGTGCTCCAGGGATCCGTTGGCCAGGCTCCTGCTCGTCAAGCATCCATGTTTGCTGGTTTGCCGTCCACGGTCGAGTCCCTGACTGTGAACAAGGTGTGCGCCTCCGGTCTGAAAGCAGTCGTCCTGGCTGCCCAGAATATTCAGCTTGGCTTGGCGGAGGCTCAAGTTGCTGGTGGTATGGAGAACATGAGCCGCGTGCCGTATTACATGTCTCGTGCCAGTCAGCTACCTCCCTTTGGTGAGATCAAGTTGGAGGACGGTCTGATCAAAGATGGTCTTTGGATGTATACAACAAATTCCACATGGGTATCTGCGCCGAACAAACTGCCAAGAAATACGATATCTCGCGAGAGGACCAGGATCAGTACGCTATTCGGTCCTACGAGCGTGCCCAGCAGGCCTGGAAAGAGAACAAATTTGCAGAGGAAATAGCTCCTGTGACTGTCAAGAACAAGAAGGGAGAGACTGTGATTGAGCGGGACGAGGGCTACGAGAACCTCCGAATTGATAAATTGACTACTCTCAAGCCTGCCTTCTTGCGAGACGGCACTGGCACCGTGACTGCTGGTAATGCCTCTACTATGAACGATGGTGCTTCTGCCCTCGTCATCGGCAATAAGGACCTGGCGCGTGAGTTTGGTGCTGGTGGTCGTGTGTTAGCCCGGATTGTCTCGTCGGCGGATGCAGCCATCGACCCGGTGGACTTCCCTGTTGCTCCAGCCAAGGCCGTCCCGATTGCACTAGAACGCGCTGGTATCACCAAAGATCAGGTGGCTGTGTGGGAGTTTAACGAGGCTTTTGCGGCAGTCATTAAGGCTAATGAGAAGGTGAGAACATGGTCTCAGGGCCAAGTGCTAAAATTGATCATACTTTGCTAACCCATATGTCGCGCAGATTCTCGGTCTAGAGAACGCCAAGGTCAACATGCTTGGTGGTGCTATTTCACTTGGCCACGCTCTAGGCAGCTCCGGCTCCCGTATCCTCGTCACGCTGCTCCACCAGCTGCAACCCGGGGAGTATGGCGTGGCTGCTATTTGCAATGGTGGTGGAGCTGCGACCGCAATGGTTGTTCAGAAGCTGGATCGTGTCGATTGAAATATGATACGATTCCAAACATTTTGATGATACCCTGGCCATACATTGTGCCAGTTGTGCGTGACAAATTGAACCCGTTTCATTCACAGTGGCTTTTACCAGTTCAGAGACAAACAACAAAGGATAAGCCTAAGTCTTCATCCTTCCTAGCCCAAGATAGCTTAATGTGCTACGTAGCAAATGTTCAAGTCAACATCTAGTGAGTCAAAATTTGATTCTAAGATGAAAGTCGCGGAGAATGACGCTAGTCCTGATTGGGCAACGAGCTTCGCGCTTTGCTTCACCTCGAACTCGCCGTTCCCTCCAAATGCCGCACCTTGTCCATATTTGTCTGATCTTCCATCCAGGGGCTCGGGCCTGATGCAGCGCTTTCTGAGAAAATCCTCATAAATGATCGCAAAATGCTCAGCCCAGTCCAGCTGCCCATCTATCCTTGTTGCTTCGATGCCCTCGCTTGGTCGCCTGACGGCGAGCTCGCCGTGGCCGCGGGTGAGCAAATTCAGGTCTTGGTGCGTTCAATTACAGCATCACTAGAATCAAGGCTGATAGATAGATAGACACCGAATGTGGGTGGATCGACACCAACGTCCCAGGGACAAGAAACATGGCAAATCACACGCTTCCGCGTTAACGTCTTCACCTACGCTGAATGGGCGGACATCTACCCGCAAAATCGAGATAATTTCTCGATTGGAGCAGAGCAGTCGACCAGCACTATCCTTGCTGTGGCGTGGTCACCACCAGGCCTCGCTCGATTCCGGCGCAGTGTCCTGACCGTGTTAACGTCAAATCTAATCCTGTCCTTTTGGGAACCGATCGGGCCCAAAAGGCAATGGACCAGGGTGGGTATAGTGAACCATTTATTCCACGAAAACCCATCGCTTCCGACGAAGGTGGGAGGTGAAAAACTTCGCAAAGTGAACATTCGGTCATTCCAGTGGTGTGCACCTCTCAAGGTACCTACGCCTGCAGATGGCTCCAACACACTTCCTGAATTCAAGAACCGCTGGGGAATTCATATGCTAGCTGTTGCAACGGACTTTAATGATCTGGCCCTGCTAAGAGTGCGTCGATCCGCTGAGGGGCAAGGACTTTCCACCCCCTATCGCATTGAGAAGATGACTCTTTGTCCGCTGAATCGAGAACGTGAACAATTCCCCATGGCTGGCCCGGGATCAATCTTGCGTGACAGGATTCAGTCACAAGTCCGTGTCTCTTCAATCTCATGTGGCCCATGGATCATCACTCCAGCCTCGTGCAAGGATGTTGTTCATTCTGTCACTGCGATCCTTACCGCCGTGTATGGAACCCAACTCCGTTTCTTCAGAGCAAGAGTTGCCGTACGAAGCTCGAGTTGCAAAGGCGAGCACATGCCTCGATATGAGGTCGCTGCTGAATTGGGAGATCACCCGGTGATAAAGCTTGCTTCCAAGTGGAATCATCAGCGTGTCACTGGCCCGACAGCGTGGCTTTACACGGTATGTGGCCGCACCTTGATGTTCCCTTCCTACCCAAATTAATTAACTGCAGAATCAGGATCAAGATATTGCTCTTGCAGTTGGCGTCACTGGGGGCCTCCTCACCATTTCAATGCGGCTCTCTGCGTACGAAGGTGTCAGCACAGAAGAAACACAAGTCCAAATACGGAACTGGCCTTTCCATGAGCCGATCTCGGAGATCAATGACTCCCCAGAGAGGCATTGGGACCCTATCACAGGTAAGCTATACACTGCGTGTGTGTAGAGCTAGCAGAGCGGGGCGTTGACTTGTCTCAGCAATGACCACCTCACAAGATGAGAAACGCGGTACTTGCACACTCCATGTCTGCACCACAGGTGGGCTAGGTTTTGCCGCCAGCCTTGACCAACTTGAATTCGAAAATGAACTGCGAGTACCCGCATGGAACAAGATTGTGGAGACTTCTCGAGAACAATATGATTTGAACCGAGATCTCGGGGGACATGCTGTGGCGCGAACGTGGGGCTTGGCATCTTACCGCGGCATAAATGCTGTACTTTTCACAAAACACCCTACAGATATGATCGAATACCGGGTTGCGTCAGACGAGGATGCAACCATTGCATTTGCCTCAGATGAGGCAGGTGGCATACCGGACAAGCAAGCCCTCATTGCCCCGCGAGTAGAAAAACAGGAGTCACGGGCGACTCAAAGCCGACGGGAAGCAGTGACCTGTTTTCTTCTTTCGCAGGATGACATTGCCACTGTGAGTAGAGAGAACCAGAAGCTCATTTACGCAGCGGCTTGTTGCAGCATCGTAGATGGACACAGCCCTGCGATTCGCTCCAAGGCTCAGAAGGCATTCGAGCGCCTAGCAAAGAAGACAGCTACAGACCTGAGTGAGGAAGTGACGAAGTGTGTGTCCGAGTCCTCTTCAATTCCGGCCAAGTCTTCACATCAGCTTGATCAAGCAGGTGGATATCTCTTTGAGCGATGCGAGATTTGTAAGGCGGGAATTGCATGGATCTCGGCCACGGAGGCCCAATGCGCGAATGGTCATCTTTTTGGTAAGGATTGTGAAACTCTTCAACATACTTGGATTTGTACTAACTTGATTTGCTAGCACGCTGTGGGCTCACCTTCCTGGCTATACAAGAGCCTGGGGTGTCCAAATACTGCTCTGCTTGCCTCACCGAGTACATGGATGAGGCATTGGTAGCTCCTCATATCTTCAATGGCCAGCTCTTCCAAGAACTTTGCGAGACATTTGATACCTGCCTCTACTGTGACGCTAAGTTTCACCCTAGCATCTAGAGATGACAACATAAACCTGAGTCTCGTTGCGACGGCATGGTTCACAATGTCCTGTTGAAGAGAGACATCTACATATTTTGATTTGTGCATCGTCTGAACTATGTGAGCCCAAGCAATTTGCCCACAATGGGATCCCACTCATCATCCCATCGCCGGGTGCTTTCTTTTTGGGCGCCAACTCGAAGAGTTTCCAGCTTTTCATTATCACTAAAAAGCTCAACCAATCGCTCCGTCAGCTCAGTCGCACTTCCAAAGCCCAGTCCGTTGACGCCCTCGATTACCAGTTCTGGCCACGCTCTGAAGCGATTCCAGCCCACCACGGGCAGTCCCGCGCCAAACATATCGACAACTTTCATTGGGAGATCGACACCACTACTACTGGTATGGAGGCTGACGCCTAATGATGCCGATGCCAGAAGCCGGGCATAGTCATGCACCGTCAACCACGCCGTTTTTATTGTGACCCTTTGAAGCCGACCAGCGGCTTCCAGCGCTGCGATTTTTTGGAGATACATCTCCTTTTGCGGACCCTTTCCTGTAATTATGGCCAGAATTTCTGGAAGTTCGGGCCGCGCAGTGGCCAGTTCCGAGTATTGCAGCAATGCATCGATAAGAATCGAAAAGTCCTCATCCGGTGTCCAGGAAGTCGAACTGACCAGAACTCGAAGCGTTCCTTCGGCCAGCGAGGAACGCACCGACTCTGTCTCGGGGAGCTCTTTAAGAAAATCATTCCGCTCGTGAGGATTGGTGATAGGGTGGAAGTGGCTGGCTGGTCGATCGTGCAATGGCAAGATGGGGGCTTGAAGTGCAAAATTTTTCTTGAGCACCAAGCCCATCGCGTCGGTTACACACAGGTGAGCCGAGCTAGATTGGCAGAATGTCTTTTCATACCAAGTGGAGAGCCTCACGAGCGGGTGATTCTGGCCCAATTTGAGTGCCAGAATGGAGTAACCAAAATTGTGCCAATCAATCACCAGTCTGGTTTGTCGCAAGAAGCAAGAGATTGATGCCACAGCTAACGTAGGAATTGAGGGTGGGTTCTGTCACGATGTTTAGTGTGCAACTAGGCCCGTCCTTCATCCAGAGACCTACCTGCACTAGAAGCCAGCGCGATGAGGGGGCAGTATACGCAAGGCATTTCCACAGGTAAGCGACCTGGAATAGCACTTTCAACGGACCGTAGATGATGAATAGGAGCTTGTTACTGGTTTGGAGAATTGCGGGATGGGGGCGAAGAGGAATGATTGTGATATTCGGGTTGGAAATGATGTCTGGGTGCGGATCGGACTCTGTAGCTTGGTGTAAGTTTCTCCACACTGACGTGTCCGTTCAATTCGAGCGAGTCACCTTTATAACCGACGATGACAACCTTTCCTCCGTGTTTAGCAATGCTCAGGGCATGATATTGCATGCGCGGGCTTCGACCAATGTCACCTAAGACCAGGACCTGCACGCTGGGCTTGTCTTTCGTGGCTGGATCATATTGCGAGGGAAGGAGCAAAATCAGCACCGTGAGCACACTGGAGAGGCCGAATGCGATGCTGATTAGATACTCAATCATGATGCTAGATCATATTTCCCGAATTCACGTACAAGTGAATGAACACATCGAAGTTGAAGTTGACAAGTTGTAGACGTGCGTTATCGATAACATCACGTGGAGCCAACCCCCCAAGGTCCACGGTTCGTCTCTTATCTCAACTTACATGCTCTCAACGACTATCCTAGCAATGCCGACTGCTTTCTTGTCACTTGTACTCTCCGTTTGAGCTTTGAAGGCTTCCCTTAGGTGCCAAGCACCCCTCCCACAACCCTTTGCCAGAGACTCCTATCCAGCTCTGCGGCTCCGAAAAGACCATGTCGACGGGGGCGCCGCCCCGGATTGCGGATCTCGCGCCTCCATCCAATGGACACGCTCAAGGTCACAGCCACAGTCATGGGCACAGCCGCAGTCGTGGTCACAGTCGCAATGCTCGCTGGGCTCAACCACCACCTCCCATCCAGGTAGGGAGCTCCAATGGCAATCCATCGCAACTTGCGCAGTCACCGCCGGACACGGCAAATGCAAACTATTCATACACTCATGCAAGCAAGCCATCGAGGTCTGGTCATCACTACTCCGCCTCCCACTCAATCTCGCACCACACCCATACCCACAGCCATAATCACACCCATAGTGTGGCATCCGTTCATGACGCGGCGCATGATCACAGAAAGGCAGTGTCTGGCGCCTATAGAGAGCACAGCTCAAATGGCTCTGAGCAGATGTACGTGAATAGTATCTGAAGAATGAGCGGTAGTTAACTGTTATACTCAGACATGAGGTATTCACTGGCTGTTTAATCGCATTGCCCTGGATCGCGCTCTCTTGGTACCCGAGGAATTGCGCACAGGAGAGCCAAACCGTCGAAGGCATCGCGGCTGTGAATACTTGCACCTCCGGTCTGGGAACTGGTCATGCCGGACAGAAGACTATAGTTTTAACAGCGATGACTCTTCTCATCTTTGGAATTAGCCGGCTTGCGCGATTGCACCATCAAAATGCAGCTTCAATGAGCACCTCGTCAATCAAATTTCCAAGTCCGGATGGAAAGACCACCAAAGCTGCCTTCCTACAAATATTCTCCATTGGGCTTCCCATTTTCGCTACCTTGGAGATCGGGGGGGTTCTTGGTCGCATTTGCATTTCTTCTTGCTCAAGCATCCGGCCTGCCAAATTTGGTGCATGCGGATCTGCGTACTGCAACTACTGAGCGTTATACTCAGAAGCCCTATTCGATCGCTCTTATTGGAGCAGCCGCATTTATGAGCTTCTTAGGCATGAATAAATCCTGGGATTCCTCGCCTCTCGCCGGGTATCTCGCGCTCATGCTTTCCCTCTTCGTTCTTTCCCCGCCTTTTCCTTCCATACGCCGACAGGGCCCCATTCCAGAGCCGGGCCTCGTAACAGAAAAGGCATCGGATGCGAGCCAGACATCGGTCCTCGTGACAACCGATGCACCGTTGGCCCTTGTCTCGGGATTCTCCTTGGCTGTACTAAGTTTGATCATTTCTCGGGGGTTGCCTTTCAGTATATCCGACCTGATCTACCTTCTCGCTCCCGCCGGGCTTTTGGCAGCCTCTCTGATGTTCTCATTCCCGACTGGTCTCCGTTCCCCGAATAAAGTTGGTCTGGCCGTCAGCGCTGGAGCTACCGCTCTTTCGTGCTCCCCGCACATTCGGGATGACTTAATAGTTGTCTATGCCGCGCGCTGCGTTCTGGCTGCGGCTTCTTTTTTCGCATCAAGAATGGACGACAGCCGCCTCCGCTCGGACGTCCACTCGCACAGTCATTCCCACAGCACGACCGAGTCTTCGCGCGTCACCAAATGGCTTGTTCACCGCAGCGAAGCCTACCCTTTGTTGCACAGCATTCTAAAGGAGAAAGATTCTCGCAGCATCTTCTACTTCATGTGGTGAGTCCAGCTTCTTACATCGACCGTCGGGAAATCTACTAACCCATTCCAGCCTCAACTTCACCTTTATGCTTGTTCAATTGTCGTACGGCTTTTTGACTGGCTCCCTCGGACTGCTGAGTGACAGTATTCATATGTTCTTTGATTGCCTTGCATTGGTCGTCGGACTGTGTGCCGCTGTCATGAGCAAGTGGCCACCTAATGCTCAGTTTCCCTATGGTTATGGCAAGGTAGACACTTTGTCTGGATTTGCCAATGGTATTTTCCTTATGATCATCAGCGTGGAAATCATTTACGAAGCGGTGGAGCGTTTGTCATCGGGAAGCGAAATGCATCGCCTAGGAGAGCTGCTGGCTGTCAGCATTGCCGGATTGGCAGTGAATCTGGTCGGCATTTTTAGCTTTGAGCACGGCCACCATCATGGCCATGATCACGGTCACGGTCACGACCACTCTCATGGTAATGAGAACATGCATGGCATCTTCTTGCACATTTTGGCGGACACACTGGGCTCAGTGGCGGTGGTCATTTCAACCATTCTCGTGCACTATACCGGATGGGCTGGATATGATCCTCTGGCCTCGTGCTTTATCGCCATATTGATCTTTGCCTCGGCTGTCCCGCTGGTCAGTAGCACGGCCAAAACCCTGCTGCTGACCCTGCCTGCCGATACCGAGTATAATGTTCGTGAAACCCTCGCCGGGGTGAGCACTTTACGGGGGGTGGTCAGCTACACGGTGCCAAAGTTCTGGCTTGACGACACCAGTGGAAGCTCGTCTGGACATGACCACGATCATTCTCATGACCACTCCAGTCATTTTGGCTGCGAGTCCGATCACCGTCACGGTCATAGCCACACTCGTACTCGTGATGATCACAGTCACGGCCACAATCATGTTCACGATCACGATCACGATCATAGTCACGGACACGGACACGGACACGACCACGACCACGACCACGATCATGACCACGAGCACTCTCATGAACAGAAAAATCAAAAGGTTTTCGGTGTCATTCATGTCATTGCTTCTCGTGGGTCAGACCTGGAAGACGTACGGCTACGAACTGTCAGCTATCTGCAGGCCAAGGGCGTGGACATCGTGGTTCAGGTGGAGCGTGATGGAGATGGACGCTGTTGGTGCGGTGGTGGAAATAAGAGCTCTTAAGCAGGAACAAGTCCAAGTTCCTAGGCGAGATTCCCCGATCTACAACTGTTTTCCGGTCATCCGTCGAGCTTCGGCTGTCAACTCCACCCATTGTACAGATGACGTTGGCAAATATAATAGTGTGCAAATATACCCGGTACCTTCTCCGGACATGATACATACTTCAATACCCTTTATTCAATAGCTAAATGCTACTTTCCGACCATTTCACAAGTAGACCGGATCTCGGTATCCTCCCGTTGCACTCCAGGCCATGTACGACGTGTTTGCCCCGTCCAGTCTCCATCCATACCGCGCATCAACTTCATGCCTTGTTATCCAAAGGCCTACGTGGACTGGCGAATTTCACAGGCTCTAATTCCATCTGCAATTTACCCCAAACTGGACCTCGCGCTTGGACGAACCGGAATCTCTCGATGTTGTTCTATCTTCGACGGCCATCCATGAGTCGGCAACAACTGGATATGTTAGCAAATGGCAATGAACCCCCCCCTGCAACCTGAATACGGGTCTTCGCTTTTCTCGTCTCTCTCAATGGCTATTGCCTTTAGCATTGATCCCGAGAATCGACTACATAGTTTCCAGAGTGACATCGAGAAGGGCACCTTGGCATCTTGTGCCACCACCCCTTCTTCGTGGGGATCAAGTCGTATGCCCCAGCATCAGATTCCCATCCTGATATATCACCACTACCTGTGCCTTCGCATCTTCCTCGGCTCCCTCGTCTCCAATCATCATCTTCCTTCAAGACTTCTCTGTGAAGATATTCTCAACTTGTGCAGCACGAGAGTTCGATGACGTCGCTGCCAGTTCCCGTCCCATCGCAGGTCGATCCGGTCCTCCGTGAAGGCTATTCAAAGATCTTCGAGGCGCACACAGTCTTTCTAACCGGAAGCACTGGGTCTCTGGGAGGATGTCTATTGTATAAACTGGCCCTTCAGTTGCCTGCACGCAGGATCTATGTTTTGATTCGGGGTCCACCAGAGCAGGCAATTGAGAAATGGAAGAGGGCCATGCCCAACCAGACGAAAGCCATGCTGGATTCGAAGAAAATCGAATTTGTGATGGGGGATATGAAAGATGTGGACTTTGGAATCGAAGCCAGAGTCATGGAGCAGCTACGCGACCAAATCACGCTGGTGATTCATACGGCCGCCAAAATCAGTCTGGAGTCCAGTCTGGTGGACGCATTCGAGAACAACTGCCTCCCTGCACTGGAGTTGGCCCGGATTGCATCGCGCTTCCGACGTCTGAAGCTTCTCATCCAGCTGTCAACTGCCTACTGCAACAGCTTCCTTCCCGACGGCCCGGTCTTGGAGCGGCCGTACACCGTCGCCAACGAAGATCCAGAAGATGAACTTGCATCGATCTTGACGCTGGACGACTCCCCCCACGCGCCCCGTTTCTCCTCGACGTATGCCCAGGCCAAATACATCATGGAAAAGCTCCTACTAAAGCGCTATCCGCTTCTACCGATTCTCCTTGTTCGCCCAACCATCTTCGGTCAAGCATTGCGACATCCGTATCCACTGTATGGACTGGAGGATTCAACACCGCTGAACAAATTCTATCAATTTTACATGGCAGACCAGGGCGCGACGCAGGTGTGGCACGCCGCAAGAGGCTACAAAACAGGCGCCAACATCATCGACGAGATACCCGTCGACTTTGTGGCCAATGCATGTCTACTTCACGCCGCAGCACGCACCACGGGCATTGTGCAGATTGGCTCCGAGCTGTACGAGCCCTTTACTTTTGACGAGTACATCGACATCGCCATGACCAATGCCCCGCCGTCGATCCGACGCGAGCTTCCGCAGATAGTCTTCACGGAGGACCAAAGCGCACCACAATGTTTCCTGGCTGAATTGGTCCAGGTTGCGTCACGCAATTGGTTGTTCGACTGTGGTCGTTCCTACTGGATGAAACAGGTGGGAGGGCCATTGAGTCTACGTGCATGCAGAGATCAGGTAGACAGTATCAACAAGTTGCGAATTCAAGGGATCTACAGAAAGGGGATGAAAAAGGCCAAAATGTGAGGTCTGGTTGCCAGGATTGCAGAGTGAAGCGGCTGCTAGAATTTTCTGATCAGACAGAGAATGGGGGGGTTCATGTACGTCAATTGATTAGCTTCAAAAATTCATGATATATGCAGGCAAGACAGGTCTTCGCTGGGGGTCCTCAAGACTCCCAAGAAACGATTCCATGGCCTGTTTTTTTTCTTCCGATGACCCGAGTATCGCATACAATTCGGGAAGGTTGCCTTTGCAACCAATATTCAACAGTTCGTATCTCATGCTGGTGAGATGTCGCTTGCGTAGGACAAACTCTTTAGGGAGTAGGAGTATTGTACGATTAGCCTCAAGCGGCCGTATCCGTCAAAAGAGCCGAGTCAGTGGCTAGTTATAGCACTGCTAGCTTGATTGGGCGGTTCAGAGTATGCAGCCAGGAAGCCATGATATCACTCAATCATCTGTCCCCCGATCTCAATTACAGTGAGCGATGCTCATGGGAGAGTGAGGCTCGGTCTAATAGTCCTCAGGTGGGAGACCAGCCGAGATCTTGTTGGAAGACACTCGGCAAAACACCCGGTATCATAGGCCCATCTTCCGCTGAGGCCAAGCCAACGAGTCGGCCCATCGCATGTCCCCCGGGCGTAAGATGTGCGACAATTCAGAGATCAGAGCTCGACCCGACTTTCGAGCCCACCACCATGTGCCATCTAGCTCGCCCAGTAATACGCCCCAGTGCATCAGAATCAGCAGTGCCAATGGCTGGCGACGCCGGACATTTTCCACAAATTCTTTGTCCACGGCAGCCAGCCACGCGAGGACATTGGCCGGGTCTGATGATCTGGCAAATAATGTGAAACAATGCAGGAGATGAGCAAGGACGTTTTTATTAATGCGATACTGGTCCGTGTCAATACTAGCCAGTGTCTCATCATTGAGTGAAGCGAGCCGATCGAGCGCCGTCTTTGTTTCACGATCCAAACCGACCGCATCGGTTTCCCATACGCTCGTTTGGCGAGTGAATAGGTTGAGTTTAATCCAGGAAGCCCCGATGTGATAGATCTTCTTGACTCCCTGTAAAAGTTCAAAGACGACGACGATATTCTCGGTCATGTTAGAGCCCTCATCCCCAGCAGCGGTCACTCGCGGCAAGGCGATACCGATGACGGTGGTGACGATCGACTGTGCCAGCACAGCTTCGCAATTCTGGGGGGTGAGATTGGCAATCGCCGCACGGAAGGGCGCGAAGGTGAGATTATGATACTGAAGCGCGGTGTCGATGTAGGCCAGGGAAGTCGGCGACTCGCTCGTGGAGGCGATATGTAGGGATGCCAATGCCAGGATACCGTTCATCAAGAAATCGTACTGTAGGGCCAGGCGCGGGATGATCATCTGCCAGACGTGATATTCCGAGTCGGCGGTGCAAACGGTCTTGAAGGTCTCGGTGGAGAACTTGTGCATCAGCTCTAAATCACGGACGCCTGAGATAGCCGATGGCGTAGAGGCCGGGCTGATAGGCGCGAGGGGCCTAGGCGTCCCCGGATCTCGCGAGTCGTGTGAGTCGGTGATCGACGGAGGCCGCACATGGGTGGCATCGGCTCCACGCGGCGGTGCCTTCAAATAGGTACAGTGGATCTCTCGCGAGATACAGTTGGAGCAGGGCGGACCTCGTTCGTCACACTGCGCAGGTTAAGAGACGGGAACGCGGAGAAATGACGTAAAGGGAAGCTCACCTTGACCCGACGCCGCTTACATTGATCGCAGCCATTGCGCGACTTGGTATGCGCCCGACGAGGAGGCATGTCGGCTCTGAACCCTTACAGTCCGCGAAGGTGACGAAGGGAAGCGAAGGAGTCACGTGGAATTCCCTACCTATGCCCGATTTTCCCCCCATCAGATGGGTTAGCTCCGAGCCTCACATCGCTGATGTCAATGATGAAGTCGATCTCGATGTCTCGATGTCTCGATGTCCATGTCAATATTGAGATATCGATCGTATCGAAAATGGCTGAAAAGGGTAAATGCAGCATCGATCTCCCAGGTCCAGACCCAACCCTTTGAGCTTAGAGCCTCTTCCGCACCCAACGTTTGGGGACGGCAAACATGAACTCGCCGATTCGTTCGAGCTACGGGCGATAACCATCTCCGACACAAGTGGAGTCGATGGGGCCAAGCGAACGGTTGGAAACCCCTGGGTGCGAAAACGAGAACGAGTGCGATCGCGAGCCCCAATCAGGCGAAATCACAGCTGCACTTTGATATTGACCTACTCCACACTGGCAGGCATCGCGCGCGTTCTGTGGTCCCAGTCTCTCCAGGGTCAACAGGGTTTGGAGGGTCGAGAAGTCGACGGTTGCTTGACCGTGCACACTGCTATAAGCACTGTTGTCCCTGCAGGCGCGGAACTTCTTTCTCGGCCCTTCCAATTTCGAATCACCCCTCCCCAGACTGTCCACCATGCCGGGCTATGCTGAGTGTACGGCGGTCAGCCCAGAGTGCCCTGTCTCCGCCACGACATACGGATACACGCCTAACTTCGGTGGCAATGTCTTTTTCACCGTCTTCTTTGGGGTACTCGGTCTGTGCCAGATCGGTCTCGGGTTCTATTTCCGAACATGGACCTTCATGGTCGCCTTGGGCATCGGTACTGTGATGGAAATGGCAGGATACATTGGTCGCGTCTTGATGTCCAACAACCCGTGGAATGAAGGCGCCTTTAAGTTGCAAATTGTGTGTCTGGTGCTGGCACCCACCTTTGTGGCCGCAGGCGTCTATCTGACCCTCAAACACATCGTCTTGTATCTGGGACCCGAACATTCGAGATTGAAGCCGCGCTTGTTCACCTGGATCTTCATCAGCTGTGATGTCGGATCTCTGGTCCTCCAAGCGGCCGGCGGCGGTGTCGCAGCGGCTGCAGGTTCGACCAACCAGTTCTTGCTGAAGGTAGGCGACGATATCATCATCGCCGGTATTGCTTTCCAGGTGGCTACCATGGCGGTTTGCGGGTTGTTCGCTTTGGACTTCTTCATCCGTGTCGCACGTCGTGGGAATGGACTCGAAGGCGAAAAGAATCTAGACGATGCCACGCCGGCAATTTCCCCAATGAGGATGAAGTTGATCATCGGTGCTGAAATCTTCGCTTACCTCACAGTCATTATCCGTTGTATCTATCGGTAAGTCCCCTCGAGAACAAATGCCCAGGGGAAAATTCCATGCTTACGATGTTCTAGTATTCCCGAGATGGCTGGCGGCTGGGGCAGTGCGTTGATGCAAAAGGAGAATGAGTTCCTGCTTCTCGATGGAATGTAAGTATGGAGAACACCTCTGCTGGACGCCCAACTGACTGTAGCTAGGATGATTGCCTTGGCTTGTCTCACTTTTACAATCTTCCATCCGGGGCTTTTCCTTCCTTCAATCCGCACCGGATACAAGAATCGCAAATAGTTCAGACCCTTTGCGTCTTTCGCGCTTTTCATACATCATCACCCCCTTTCAATACCTTCTAATTAGTTTTCGACCTGCATTGGATAGAACTCAGCATAGCGTGTCACCAATTTTGAACATATCAGCTTCGCGACAACAACTCTTTCGACCTCATTAGGCAAAGACTTGCTGAATACAATCAAATTTTGAAACGTTGAATATCATTGGTTCCTAGGTATCAAGTCTGTCCACTTGACCGTCCGTATTCTCCTAACGGCAGAGGCTTATACCTAGACTGGAAAGCGAAGTAGAAACAAACGTGCTCGGAATGAAAATACCAAAATGCAAGCCCGTAGATCCCAGTAGGCACGAAACTCCAGCAGCCCAGATCGTGCATCATAAACCCCATGAATGGGAAATGAGTGAACTCAACGCGTGGCCATGAATGCTAGATCATTCCACTTATGGAAGATCCCTCGCTCTATCATGCAATGAGAGCAACACCACGAGCACGCAAAACTCCCGAGATCATAGTTCTCGGGCAAATCGAAAGTAAAGAAAAAAAAATGACCAGCCAGATGCACCGAACAAAGAAAAGTTTCATGAATCCTCGTTTACTCCTCGCCTAAACTCTCCCGCACGCACCGACGCACACGCTTCTTGAACTCGGCTGGGTTTTCACGCCACAGGCGGGCAGCCTCCACATTTGCCGGGCTCTCGTCGTTGGGGCTGGAGAGCATGGAAATGACAGAGAGCAAGATGGTCTCGGGGGTCTGGACGGGCGACCAGCGCTCGGCGGCAGACTCGTAGCCGTACTTGTCTTCCTCGGGAGGGTGCAGGATAGAGATGCAGACGTCACCATTGGGGTAGACTGGTAGAAGAAGGTATGAGTAAGCATGTTATCTTCGAATAGAGCCATATCTCTGGGAGATCCACGCAAATCCATAGAGATACTCCTAGAACTCTCGATAGGGTGATCACTTACTGTTGGGATGGAAGAGAGGAGATTCGAACTTCATCTTGGGCGGCATGTGAGGGTACTCGATAGGGAAAGTGAGGCGAGCGCGGAAGAAACCACCTGTGAGCCGAGTGTCAGCAACTCTCTGGAAATAGCGAGAACAGAATATCTGCTGCTGGAGCATGTCCCGCTTCCAAGGTGTTTCGGGAGTGTACATCCTCCCAGCGGAAAGCCATACCTCCATACAACTTCACGTCGTCCGAGATCATGAGCATAACCTCCCATTCGAAAACGTTGCTGTCGACTAGACCACAGCTGATTCCGGGAATGTCCTTGTCGGATTGCATCTGCTGCAGCTGGCGAGACAGCATACGACCGGCCGGGGACGTCGCCATGGTGTAGGACGATAGGACTGAAGCGGTGCCCGGTGCGTAGGTTTCGAGAGGAGTATGGATGCAGATCCAGAATGTGGGAAATCGAAGAGGCAAGTGAGGGGGACCTTCGAAGGCACAAAAAGAAATGAAGGCGGTGAAGAGCGGGGGCGGTCATCGGCGAGTGAAGGCGTATAGATCCCGAAGTTACTGATACGAGTCCTTTTCGAGGAAGTCTACACGTGAACGTATTTAAGCTTAACTGTGGTATTCCAGACCGGATCTCGTATTGGAAGCTAAGGTATCGAGAATGTAGTAGTATAAAGTCGGAGGTATGCGACGAGTACATAGAGTTGGGTGTACATGACTAGTGATCCAGAGTGCATCAGACGTTTTCACCGTTCCAACATTCCAGCATTCGAGATATTGCAAGGCCCAAATCTTTCTACTGCGGAGGCGTCTCCTTGGGGAAATCGGGATCGGAGGGCATCATGGCAAACTGGGCGATCAAAGCCACCACGGCAAGCACCACGAGTGCCACTTCGATGGCAAAGGCCTTGGCAATGACCTTGACAAAGCGGACACGACCAGCCCAGTCGAAAGTGGTCCATGCATCGCGAAGGCCAATCTTGCCGCTGCCACCCACAATAGAAGGCTGAACCTTGCCGCCGAACGAGCGGTCGAAGGGCACGATGGTCTCATCTTCCTCCGGCAGCATCGAGGCCGCGACACGAACAAAGATTACGCGACCGGGAATGGACAAAAGGAAAGACAAAAAGGCAGGGAGAGCACTGACAGCCAGATAACCGCACAGGTTTGAAGTGGCGTGGTCCATATCAGGCTGCATGTTGATCCAACCCGCGGCCTTGGCGATGGCCAAAGGGACGTAGAGAGCAGCGCAGGCAAGGGCGCTCTCGAGAGCCGCAGCAGGGGCAATTTTCACGAAAGTACGGTAGCTGGGGATGCGCTGGTAGAAGCGCTTAGGGGAAGGCTCCGAGATGACGATGTGCACCCACGCCATGTGCCAGGTAGACAGCAACACGCTGACCAGTGGCTGCACAATAAGCTGGCCCATGAAAGAGAGCATGGAAATGGGGAAGATGCCGACCAGGATACTGTGGGCGATGCTGATGACGATGTACATGGACAGTCCCCGGAAGCGCGACCAGAAGCCGCCACGGGCGCGGAGGTGCTTAACGGCGCGACGCAGCTTGCTGGTGATGGGCGCAGGGTGACTGGCCATCTCGGCCTCGGGCTCCTGACCGTTGGGGTCGAGAGGCTTGTTGATGTCATCACCGTCGACGCGGATGTAGATGTCCGGGTTCGAGTCTTCGACGGCGGCGAGGGTCGCAATGACGCAGTTATAGGTGTACTCGACCTTCGAAAATTTAGTCATCTATCGAAGCAGGATGGTAGCAGGGCACTTACGGAGAACATGGCCAGGCCAAACACCAAAGCAGTCAAGAACAGGCCCAAGATCTGCAGGCCCGAGGGCTGCTTCTTCTCGGGGTCCTGGGACTTGAAGCTGGTGTAGGCGACATCGACGCCCCGACGAACAACGTGACTAGTGAGGGTCGACATGGTTAAGAGACCGATAAGTTGATAAAAGTGTTGAAGAAGGGAAGGCAGTCAGCCGGGACGGGGCGGCTCTTTATGGAAAGTAAACGGAAATCACCAAAACAGGCAGCACCGCCTCAAATGGTCCAAGTTTACGTTTTACCGCTTTCGTCGGTCTCTGGACCCTTGAGTTGCCTAACCCTTCATTTGACGAATATTTAATGTTTGTCCCAGTGTTCCCCACCATTTCGTCGTCTGTAGTCTGTACCCGCCCATCCGTTCATAGCCGAACCCCCCTAATGTCCCCTAGATCTCAATTGTCAGCGCTGTGTAAGCAGAATCAGCCCCCAAAATAACCTGAGGAACCGCCACTAAGAGTATTTGTAGCCCCTCAATGTACGACCAATCCAGCTTCGCGTATTTTTGCGCTATATCTAGCTCCGACCCTTGTGGTCCATCAGGCCATAGACGTTCGAAGTTTTGAGCCTCAACTGACCCCCGAGTGGGCCGCTAGTCACCACATTTGCAAGCGAGCGCTTCCGAACGGTGGACACCATTGGCCATAATTGATCCACTCGGTCTTTCCTATAGCCTTTACTCAGTGATGAACTTTTGATGGCTGTAAAACATGGGGGCAGGTCGAATGCAATGTATAGACAACTTTGTAGAAGCCCGATCTATACAAAATCCCCCGAAGGATGTTCCAGGGTGAAAATATCCAAATCAACAGGAACCCACAGGGTATTCCTTAAAGGTACAACCCATCGCAGACTTCCATCCGTAGATGGACGACAGAAACAACGCTGCAAAAAACACAAGAAATACATTATTTACAGAAGACCGACACGACCCCATTTCAGTCGGTTGACTTAGTCGTTGAAGATTTTCTTCATGAACTTATGAGCAAGCTCAACACCCAGGCTGTTGAACGGTCAGTTGTGTGTCCATAAATGTATCCATAAACAGAGCCATGGGTACTTACAAGGTCGCTGCGTTGGCAGGCACGGCACGGCACAGAGCCGGTCCGAAGCCAGGGAAGAAGGCCTTGAAGCCACCGCTGGCATAGACCGCACTGATGGTGCCGCCGATAGTGGGCTTGCCTGGGGCACTCTGCAGGCGGGACTTGATGGTGTCGACGGGGAAAACGGGGATCCACATAGCAATACCGGCAGCACCACCGGCCGTCAGCACAGCAGGTAGGGAAAGCTCGCCAGTGACGTTACCCTCCGCATCCTTAGGGGTCAGCGACCGCTTGATGTACTCATAGGCGGCAAAGTATGCAGCCGATCCAGGGCCGTCACGAGCCAAGGTCATGGCGCTGCCGCGGAACACGCTGCGAATACCACCCTCCTTGTAAAGCTGGCGCACGACATCAGTACCGCCTGAGTATTTGGGCTTTTCCCCGGGGGCCAGAGTCTTCTGGCCCTGGATCTGCAGGAGGACCTTGACACGCTCAAAGGGCGCGGTAATCAAGGTCATGGGAATGGCCGAGAAGAACCCGGCCGCGGAAATTTGTGCAATAGAATACTGCGGGGTGCCGTTCACCACGGGAACGGTGCTGAACTTGTTCACCAAGGTCTTGCCCACGTCGTAGCCCTATGCGGCGTTAGAATCACCCGATCGACTCGATCACAAAGACCCGCTCCTATAGACGTACCCAGAAGCTGACAGCAACTGCCCGAAACGGCCATGTTAGCTTGTAATTCATTTCAAATTTCACACAATTGCGATTGAGGTTCCAGGCGACTTACACATTGGAGTGACTCCCACAAGCGGAGCAGAAACACCAGCGTACAGACCCTTAGCGAATACTCCATTAGCCTGATTGTCGTCCTGAATTGCATCATGTTATGGTTCCTACCCGAGCGAGTCCCTCACGGGCCACGGTCTTGCGCACAACATCCATGGCGCCAGCGTAAACGCCCCTCTCGGCCGTCTGCAGGCGCACCTTGACGAGGTCGAAGGGATGTCCGACCACGACCGCGCAGAGGCCACCAGCAGCACCTGCCGCTAGGGACCGAATCTGCTGAATGGTCTGGTTGATGGCCTTCTTCTCTAGGACCTCGAGCTCATCCTTGAGCTCCTGCGTGGGAGAAGTGGAGGTGGACATGGCGGTCAGGTGTTGGGGGGGGAGAGAATTGCAAGGTCTTCGGAGGGAGAGAGGAGATGTCCAGAGAGAATAAAGGGTACTAGGAGAGGGTTGAAGAGTTGTCAGAAGTCAGAAGTCAAAAGATTTAGAAATTCCGTCACACAGATCGGCCAAGAGTATGCGGACCGAAGCCGAACGGAGGGCTACGTTTCCCCGGACAACTTGTGCCTCGGCTCGGGTGCGGAGAAACCAGCTTCCCGCTAAGATCCACCGCTGTTAAAGCTATCCATCTCCGTTACACTAGGTGTCCATTTTCCATACCATATAGCTTATGGACTACAGGTCTGTCTGGTTCTTTCTGTTTTTTTTTTGGACTGTTTCTAATCGGAGCTGGCCGAGCCGGGCGACGGGAAAGCTCCTCCCACTTTTCCGGCGGAACAAAGGATGTCCACCTCGGGACTAGCTCGAGAGGTCCAAGTGATACAAGTGACCCCCAGTCTCAATTACAGTAGATGACGCTCGCGTACAAAGAGCTTCATTACACGTACGAGGAAGGAGGAACAATCAACATTGGGTCCGCAATCACATGCGTAGGGCTTCGGGCACGTGCCCGAGTGGAGCATGACTTCATTAAATCGACATTAAGCTACTTGAGTTCCATAGATCATAGACCATAGTCTTTATCTCCAAATTACAACGTCAATGGTCCAATTTACAGGACCAGCAGAGCGGCGAGACCGAGGGCACCGAAAGCACCGCTGCCGACAGTGGCCATGGGGTGAGCGGCCCCCTTGCTGGAGGAGGGAGCAGAGCTGGAGCCGGAGTCGGAGCCGGTCGAGGTGCTAGAGCCGGCGGCGTTGTCGCTGCCAGAGCTGGAGGTCTCGGTAGCAGTGGAGTCAGAGCCAGTGGAGGTGCCGGTAGTGGTGGTGATCATAGTAGTCGAGCCATTGCCATCAGTGGTGGTGATAGTGGTCGAGACGTCGCTGCCAGTAGCAGCCGCACCAGAGCCAGTGGTAGTGGTGGTGATCATGGTGGTCGAGCCATCGCTATCAGTGGTTGTGATGGTAGTCGCGCCGGACACAGGGCCGGTAGTGGTGGTAGTGATCATGGTGGTCGAGCCATCGCTGTCAGTGGTGGTGATGGTGGTCGCACCGGTGGTCGAGCCGGCACCAACACCAGCGCCAGAGCCACTGGTAGTGGTCGCATCGCTGCCTGAAGCAGTCGAGGTCATGGAGCTCGATCCAGAGCTAGTGGAGCCTGCAAATGGTTTGTTAGCATTAAGTTATTATAGGTCTGATGGAGGCACGCACTAGGGCACTTTGCCAGAACCATGCTCACAACCGTCTCGGCATTGTCATTAGGGCAGGCCTCTTTGGTGCAGTCACGGATACCGTACGCGTAGTCCTGGTTCTTGCACAGGCAATCCACGTCACCGGAGGTGCAGCCAAGCTCAGAGGCCTTGGCGTTCATGTTGGAGATACACATCGTCTATGACAGTCGAATATTAGCGGCCAAACTTTCAGTACTCGTACAGTGTAAATAAAGAAGATAACATACGGCGCACTCAGTGGCCGATACATCGGCGGCAGCAATCGCACCGACCGCAGCCAGAAGGGCCATCGCAACGGGGGAGAAGGACTTCATCGTGAAGATGGAGAATATGATCAAAGAAAATAAGAAGGAAAAAAAAATGGAAGAGTTCTTCAACGAGAATAGATTGGGTATTAGGGACTAATTGGAAAGAAAAAGGAGGAGAAACATTGGCTCGGCACAGGGTCTTTTATATCAGGAAGGGATCTGGCTAGGAACCAAACAAGCTGCACGTACCCATTGGAGCTGGGCAAGTGGGCACCATGAAAGCACACTAGTCTATGAGCATCATTTCGCGTGTTCACCCAGCTGAAAGGGCACAGGAAGTGGCCGTGGATGGCATCCCAAGCCAATCGGCCGAGCATGATCAAGCAGAACCCACCGTGTGGCCGTGCTGTTTGCTTTTTCGGGTTGTGGTCCTGCGTCAAGTGCCCAACGTGGCTGGGGAGGAGTCAACATCCACCGTGCCTGGAAGCATCATGAAGTCATCGAGGTGCAGAACCTTGCCGAGCGGTTCTCAATTGGCCTAGCTAGGACAAGTCAGATCTGGAGCTCAAATACAGGATGAACAGGTTAGAGATGCACGCCTCAGGGCTCCACTCCTTTTAGGCGTCGATCTCATAGGCTCCGGTCCTCGCAGGGGCCCCAAACCTTCTGAAATTGAGAAAATCAGAGGCGCTCGGGGCTGGGCTTTGGGGGGGGTTTCCCTGGGCGACTGGAACTTCAGATGGGACTATTCATGGACTATTCAATTTTTCATTGCCGGTGAGAATATGGCCTTGCATCGTCCGGGCTTCAAGTTATTATGCCACCGCTGATGAGACTACGAACGATGGCCCCTGGCCACAATATGACATTCTAGGTTGAATGGAATTATGATGGACGTGCAATTGCAAAGAAATCAAAACAATGGGGTGGCGCAGGGTGATCGCCGCCCCGGGGGCAAAGTGGAACAAAGCCGAATAGCTGCTGGACAGATCGAGCGGCCGATCGCACTATTGAATCCTGTCGTCACCGCCAGTGTGGCTGGTGTCGCCACAAGGTCATGAAGCCGGTCAGGACAGGGTCGGAGGGGCTTCTCCTTCCCAACTCTCTCTAGTGCTGACCCACTATGACCTCGCTGCGACACGGCTCATTTATGATGTCGCAATTCTGATCTACAGTAGAATGTTGGGCTTTCCATATTTCACTTCTTATTGCTCGATTCTTTTGTTTTTCCCGGTTATTGGATCTGAGGTGGGGAACCGGGTCACGGTGTACTGTACATACGTAGACTCAGTGTTCAATGCGCATCTGCGATGAGAATAGGCTTCTCCCAACCCTACTGACCTGATGTAATGATCTTGTTTACTTTAATTACCTGGTTGACTTGGTTGGCCTAGTTTACATGATTGACTGCCCTGATCCATAATCTCTGCCTCGCCTTGAAGGTTCCGCTTGAGTCTCATGTGTTTGACGCTCCTGGGCACGTCTCCCACTTGGTCTGGAACGAGCTGACCAACTCATTGCAATGTTTTGGAGGACTCATGGCTCTCACGGACCATGTGACCGCATTCCGTTTGGAAAATGTATCGGCGTGGGTCTCGGACGTCTTCGTGAGAATTGATTCGCGGCAATCTGCGAAGGCCATCTGCTTCTGCATGTCAAAAAGGGCCCGAAAACCACGCGTCAGAAAGCTTACATTGCCTCCAAGTGACGGCCAAATCCACATCAGTCCCGGTGTAGCGGGGACTGCCTGTCGAATATATCGGAGAGTGGCCCTCGCTTGCATGAGCAGTGACCTGTTCGGTCTCTTGCACCAAGTTGTGTTGTGTCTTGGTTTGTCGAGCGCAAGGGGGTCTGCAAACAAAAAAAAAAAAGATATTTGATTGCGGTAACTGTTCGAACGCCTAGCAGAATTCATCTATCACGACTATCTTGCATGCTTTAGCTTTGGACTTTCCTGTGGCTGATTTGGTCCTATTTTCAATGCCTCATTCCTCGCCGGCGATCTATCTGCTCTCTTCCAAGAAGAAACCATACACATGCTCTCAATGTGATGACAGTGGCCGACCCCTTCTCCACGGCACTCTGCACGACGAAATTACATCCGTCGGGATGACCAAAGATCACTTAATGTCTCTTTGCTGTTGAAGCGTGGAGAGGAACGGCACTCACTTTTCCCTCCGCATGCGATTGATGCACGGAGCGAGTGACCCGTCAATTCTTATCCCTTAACCCGCATACACGTGCTGCAACACAGCCGTGGGGTTATACAGCTGCGAACATCTTCTTTTCAGGCAAAGATAGCTGCAGGCAAGGCTTGAGAATGGCCTTCCTAGTCAAGGTGACCTGGGCAGCTCGCCGATCGCATGACGAAGCCCTTGGCAAAGACTTTTTTTCGGCATCAGGTTATGTGATGCAGCAGTGAGCATGGGAACTTTACTCAGCTGGAGAGACTGCGCGGCGCCTTTTCTTTCTTCCTACTGTCGAGAGCACCGATAGCCCTTACCGGAACATCAGCCGCTGGATGCCCGGCTTATCTCAAACATGCCTTGCTCTGCACCTACAGCGGCGTGCACGAATTGATCCGGGCCGTTGGTTCGCCACCGGAGCAACGCACCGGGCACGAATGGCTGCGATCTTTCTTCCATCGCTGCAGCGGGTCTAGCTCTCAGCTATTCAAGTACTAAGCACTTTCGGCGGTCCTGTGCTCCTTCGCATAACTGGAGACATGGTGATCGGGAACCGACTCCATCTTTCTGCAGGTTTTGAAAGCTTAGCTTTACAAGTGAACAGACACTACCCACAAATAAATTGTTCACCCTGTCAAATCAAGTATCAATGAACGAAACACTCAGGATGTGTCCTGTGCTGGCCGCATTCCTGAACCAAATGCTAGCGCCACAACTTCAATCTGCCAATGATGGTTGCTCTCGTGCATTACTCTGAGATTTGGACCAAAATAGTCGTGATTCACCAAATACTAGTCATAGATAATGTTCCCACGGTCGACGGAGCTTTGAATCGAAGGTATTATGTTTAGTCGAGCCTAACTGTGGGCCTCTGTATATATCCATCAACACCCGTGGAAACCCGTGGATGGAATTGCAGCGTTTGTCAAGGTTGCCTAACTTTGATACATGGTATCATCGGTATAATTAGTCTGTTTTCCGCTGTTTTCAAGCCCAGCCACTGCGATGTGGTTTCAGAGTCGAACCATACCCAATTTCTGCGTCCGTTTGGGGTGGTTTTGGGGGGGGGGTGCAATATCCGCGGGCCTCGGACATGATACCCTAACACGGCACAACTCCTGAGAAAAGTTGTATCATACGCGACGGGCGAAACAGGCACCAAGATTAAGTTACCCACTAGGACATCCCGATGTGGATCTTCTTGAACGACCGGGGTGGGATTAGGCTGGCAGATCAAATCAGCCCTGGCTGTCACGAACGGCCAATCCTGGACATGGGGAACCCCCTAGCGCGTGTGTTTTGTGCTCGATCAACCTTAACGTGTCGTACAGCAATGGGTGCCTAAACGGCCCTATGCTGAGCTGTGACTATTAGTCACATAACCCGAAGTTCGGGAAACACCACCGACACCCAACGTGTTTCCAGATTTTTAATGAAGTGGTCACGCATTGTGTTGTGCAAATGAGCTTCTCCTCCTCATTATGCAATGGTTTTTTGTCAAGGTTAGAATTTAAGAGAGACTCTTCAATTGTAGGGATTATATATATCGGGAAGCCACCCTGTCGAAAGCATGTACCTAGCGCAACCCTGAGGTTGAAAAGCGGACCATGGAATTTCCAGAATTCCGACGGCTAGCTGAACTGCTCGTAAAATATGGCACACAAGCACAAGACAGCCCGACTTAGGGTCGCATTGATGTAAAATAAGCATGAACACCAAGACGTCGGTGAGACATCTTGACTCGGCTTAGACCGGCGACTCCGGGTGGATCCCGTCCCATCGGACCAAAGAAAAAAAAAATCAACTCCACATTACTGAGCAAATGTCCAAAAAATTGACCGACGCAGGGGTCGAACCTGCAATCTCTTGATTCGTAGTCAAGCGCCTTGCCATTGGGCCAGCCGGCCTTCGATGTGAGAAAGTATAGAACTATACTACATAATCGGCAACACAGGATAAGTCGGGAAAAGTGTGTAAATTTGTACATGAGAGCCTCATTGGGGAATCATATTCACTGCATAAGTATACATAGAAAGGAAAGAAATGTTGTGATAAGAATAAAATGATGCTTGTCATGCATGAGAACGCTGTGATAATAAAACAAAAGCCCCAACCTGCGCCGTAAAAGATATGCCACTGTTCTTTTATGCGTCCATTGGATCAACCTCTGTCACATGAATCTGAGGCAGAAGTTGCGCCTTTTCCGCGTCAATTTCATCGTCGATGAATCTTGTCCTGGTCTGGCGGCCCGGCCTCTTGCGAAGACCGAGATATACTGAAAGGGTCATGAAAAGGTGACCCAACACGAAACCAACCAGACAGGCGATCAGGCCAGCGATAGCCCCAAGGACGGCAGGCAGAATCACAGGGCGCATTAAGCGCATAAACTTGTGGTCACGGTGGCCGCCATGCGAGTGGTGGTAGGGGCGACTAGTGTAGGTGGTGGGTGACCAGTAGGGCGAGAAGATGAATCCATACCGCGACTGGGCAGCGCTGCTGGTAGCTGCATTGGCAGACTGAGGTCGAGACGGGGTACCGTTGTCGCTGGCAATGCTGGTGGTTGGCTGCGTCTTTTCCTCTGGGGACGAGCCCTGCTTGTCCTTTCCGCTGAAGATGGTTGGCCAGACATTCATGCGCCACGGTCGGTCATGGTGGAAGCGACCTGCATTGTGCTTCTTGGTCGGTTCCATGCGGATTCGAGTGATGGAGTTTGAGCCATCGGGGCGAGAAAGAAGATCGACGATGACAGCGTCGGTAGTCACCGATTCGCCTTTGAAATCGAACAAGTCCACGCGAACCCTCACGATGGTCGAGGTGGAGCCATTTTCCTCGGTGGAGAGAGGTCGGGCTTCCAGGGCATATGAGAGCTCGATTTCATCGCCCATCACGAGGGTCTTCGCTGGGCCTTCCCGCTGAGGCGCATGGAGCTGCATCGACATTGAAGGCGGGAAGACGCGATCCTCGTTGGCATAGAGCGAGCCGTTGATCACCGCCCATTTGAGGGACTGTAATCCGGTTAGCATAGAGGAATCTCTATCAAATTGATCGGGTTTGCCTACCAAATATGAATTCACGTCGTTCTCCCAGCCCAGAGACGGCAAATCAGGGCAGGTGGATCTCATGAGACGTCGCGAGGGGGATTGAAGATGCGATCGACGCGGCCAGGCAGACCGTTGCCCACGGGTTGAGACGCATGGCGAAGGACGTTGAAGATATGACGGGAGAAGGAAAGGACGAAGAAAGGGAACAGTCAGAAATGAAGAGCGCGACCCGGTTGAGTTCACGAGTAGATAACTGAAAGAGAGAGAGAGAGAGAGAGAGAGAGCAAGTCCAGCCAGGACACGTCGGGTCGAAGTCACAGAATCGGAAGACTCAGGCGCCCAGTGTCGAATCTGGCAAGCAAGTCAACGCAGGATTTCCCCAGGTGGTATAATTCAACGGAGCAAATGTCGCATGCCTTTGAATATAAGGCCCTACGAGGCCGGAACGTGGGTGCCTGCCACTGTTCATAATACGGGCGTCGGTACGGTCGGTACGGTCCTGTAATCGAAGCCCTGTCCGAAGGATCCCATAACCATAACCATCATGGCTAATGGCACGATGTTTAGGGCCGGGCAAGCTTTTGTTCCCGAGACACCGTTCCTCACGATTGGCTAAGTGCGCAGGGCTCGCGCTATTAATATCGGATGGAGACACACTTTGGCCGGGCGTCTGAAAGCCGTTAGTGGCCCTCCTCTTGGGCTCTGCACCTGCGGCCTCCTGCAGGCCTAATTGGTGTTGGCCCCATTTGTCGCTTGACCCCGGGAACAGTAGCTTGGGAGCTAGGGAGCTAGTTTGGCCCCGGGGGCCGAGACGCTTAGCTTCTGTTCTTGTCCTTTTGCCCTTTTTGCCCAGTTCGAGGGGTTTCTCGTTTCAAAACATAAATTTATTTTATTTTATTTTATTTTATTTTCTCTATCTTTTTTCCTTTTTGTGACATGAACTCTGCCGATCACCCTTTCCCCCCCCGAGCCTCAATCGCCTTTGTCTGTGTGACAGGAACCAAAACACACTGAAATTAGAACGGGTTGCCGGCTTCTCCATGTCTTCCGGTTCTAATCCCGAATCGATCAATACTCATTGCTATGCTTCCATGTTGAGACGGTGCTAACCGACTCCTGACAAAGATGGGTTTGCCCGGCGTTGCCAAGATGGGTCCACTGCAAATCGCCTGCACTATCTACGATTCAGGGTCCATGTCTCATGCACATGCATATTATTGCCAATTCCTTTCTCACGCCACCTGAGAATAATACCCTGCCCGCCCCCCTCCGCCTCCCCTCGACAAGCAAATTCTGCAAACCCATTCCCCCCCCCCCTCCTCCCTCCTCTACCCCGGCCCACGCAGGTGCTCAGAAGAAGCGCAGAATGACCAAGCATCCGAAGACATGCCCACTGCGAGCCTGGGACTGTAGAATAATGTCATTTCACCCACTGTTCGGGCCGGCTCGTATTGCACGGCTGACAGAATTACACAAATTCGACCCCCAAGGCAATGCTGTAATGCTGCCAAGAGAAACCCCGCCCGTCTGGGCCCTTTTGATCAGCGGACATAAAAAATCCATGGGATGTCGCGATATCATGAAATCTCTTGCAGCAAACTATAGATGCAAGGTTTCTGGTGGGGTGATGAGACCCCCGGAGCAGTTTCTTTCGACCATGTGGAACTCTGGCCTTCCGCTCAAAGACAAGGGCCGGTAATCTATCGATTTTCTTTTGTTAAACCGTTGGCCCGAGGTATCGCACCTTTCCTAACCTAAATTGTCTGTGGAAAAATTCGGTCCGGTCAATGAATTGATCACGACCGTGGTTCGACCCACCAAATTATGGACCACTGGTTGGCTTCTCTGAACTTCGAGAGCTAGATACCGGACATGGTCGGTCGTTCCGATTTACATTTCTCTACCTTGGCGTTCGATGAATAGATTACACGATTGAAATATAATCATTGCATTCGTCTGGAAAGGAGATTCAAGTGAACCCCCCCCAACCTTCCCATCTCCTCAGGTACGAAAGTATACGGAATTAAATCAAAACAAAGCGCTATCTATCATGCTCATGACGCGTAAGGCGCCGTCTGCCAGAAGCGACAGCGCGGGTTGTTGCTCGTGTCACGCATCGGCTGAACGGTGGTGTTGCCAAAGTTCATCAGTTGGCCCCGCTGACCGTGCGAAGGGAATGTTGGGCCTAGAGCCGATCTTGGAGTGCCGGTTACCACAAAGCTGGTGAAGTACTCTTGCATGATCTCGGCGACCGTAACATTGGTGACGGACAATCCTTCGAGTGAAGAGCTGAGTGCACTGGAGCCATTGTTGTAGAAAGAGTACAGCACATCCTGGCCATGTACCGCAGGAGGGATGCTAAACTCATAGGCATATGTGTGGCCGTGGTAGGCTCGATTCTGGAAAAAGTCAAACACAGTCAGTTGGGCTCAATGGATCCTTGAGGGAAGTCGGGGCGAAGGGCTCTCACAATATAGTCTGTATTACAAACAAAGATAAGCTCCGAGATGAGGAAAGCGGCGCGCTCGAGTGGAGTGGTGTAGCCGTAAGATCCATCGTACTTGGCCGGATACAGCACATTGGTGACATACTCGGTAACATTGGGCCGGATATTGGGGTAATACTGTTCCAGGAACGTGGCCACCCAACTGCTGTTGCGCGCATCCGGAGAAGTGAAAACGAGTCCTTCATCTGCATTGTGGCCCACCATGATATTGAGATTGCGGTCGAAATTGCCTTCCAAAAGAAGTTGACCGGGCAAAGCTGGCACGAAAGTACCATCCACAACGGGCCCATAGACGAATTCGCCCCAGTCTGCCTTCGTGGCGATTTGGTAGGCATTGGCAGCAATCAACTTCTCACTCGACATTTGGCGCGCCTCTTCTATCGTGCTGACATTGAGGATCCCCAAAAATTGCTGCAGGGTCTGCTCCGGCTGCGTCTTGTTGGGGACAGGAACCCATCCTGGGCTCTGTACGATCGCCTGCTGGAACGGAGACGGGCCGGCATTTCCGCCATATGCTGTGATCTGGTGCATGATGGAACCACCGCCGGCCGACTCACCCATAATTGTGACTCTTTTCGGATCACCGCCGAACAAGTGAATGTTCTTGTATACCCAGTCCAGAGCAAAGCGCTGATCGTGTAGCGCTGCATTCGCGGTGCCGTTGCTCGTGAGAGATTCACCGGCAAGCCAGCCAAAGGCTCCCAACTAAGGAGGTGTCAGATCAATCTAGACTGGGGCAACGCTTCTCAGCAGGGGGGCCAAAACTCACGCGGTAATTCATCGCAACGAACAAGATTCCATCGCCTTCGGTACTTTCCTGGATCAAGCCCGAGGGATTATACATGCTTTTGTCTCCTTCGGTATAACCACCGCCATAGATCCATACCAGAACTGGTGCCAAGGTCTTGCTCGGAACGAAAGTCTTGTTCTGAGCTCGATCAAAGATCTTTTTGGGAACAATCACGTCCAGGAACAGGCAATCTTCGGTGGTCCGAGGGTCCATCTTCTGGGGGATATACGGATACGAAGAAACGTTGGTCGAGAGGTTGAAGCTGGTGCCTTCCACCAAACTCAGCAGGAATGCAGGCTCGATATCCTCTTCCCAGAGAGGAAGGCCTTGCGGACAAAGTCGGCCTACCGAACCATCTTGCACCTGTGTCCGATTCTGCTCAGGCAACATGGGGGCCCTGAAGCGCAAGTCGCCCAGAGGCGGTGCGGCATAACGAATGTTACTAAAGTTATACAAGCCATGAGTGTGCTGCAGATTTCTCCCGTCAGTTACACACTAAGCATATAGGGGCCAGTGACATACGTTGAATGAGATGGCTCGGTGCCGCTCGTAACCAAGATCAACTATGGGCAATTGAGCTGCATAGCAGACCGATACAAGGGCCAGTACGAGGGCGAGCACCATGTTGACACTAGATGCAGGAGGTTGAGAACGGGCCTGTGCAGGTCCCTTCAGGTACCTCGGGGTCTATATAGAGGCACAAGCGCATGGACTCGTCACTTTCGAATCCTGCCGTTCGACGTTAGCCTCCTGCGTGGCCCCATAGCATGAATGATGAATGATGCCCAAAGCACCATCTTCTTCCGGTTGGGGCCGGACTTGGTGCGGATTTTACCAACTTTCTAGGAAGTCCATACTCGATCTACGCAACATGATGGGCCCAGTGGGGTTAAAGTGCAGCGAGCCTGGCTCAAGCGGGCTAGAGATCGGCATTGATCGTGGATCCATATCGAATGAGGAAACGAGTGCGGTCGCCCTGTCTTATTGTTTACCTAGGCACCAGGCTGTGGTGATGTCAACCAACAGCTCCGGCGAGATCCGAGCTCTCCACGAAGAACAGGTTCTGGCGGTGAGAGTGGTCAGCTCGGCCTAATACACTGTGCCGCGTTGGGGGCGCTGCGGGGCCGCAATTGGGGAGATCGCGCAGTTACACATGCAGGATAAGTTGTTCCCATGAATGATCAAACTAAATACTATAGAAATTTGAGAGCTCGCTCCCCCTGATGTAGGAGAGAATATTATCCATGGTTGCGTGGCCCGCGGTGGGTGGAGATTTCCCACCACCCAAGAGTTACTGTACCTCAGGTACCGAGTTCCCTGCGACCTTACTTGTCATCGACCTCACGAATCTTGTATTCGAACATTTGATTCGACAGAACTGAGTGCTCATTCTCCAGTTTTTCGGCAGACTCGGCCCCAGCTGCCGGCACGCGGTATTCAAATCTTTTGCCAAGAGCTGGCGTCTTACCATTAGGCAAAGGGTACGGAAATGGTAAATATTCGGGCATCAGCCCTAATTGCACCAACGCGGTGGCCTGGTCCCAGGCGATATGCTCGTGGTATAGTCGGTCACCCCGGATATTGACCACAGAAGTAAAAGGGATGCGAAGGGGTTTACCAGTCGCAGGAATTCCTGGCAGTCTTGGCAAGCGTGAGATTTGAGTGAGAGGCAGAGGTAGCCGTTGATCGTGATCACTTACAGCCAATCCATTTGCCGAGTATGCGTCAGAGAAAAGATGAATTCGTCCACGATCCGATCGGTGCCCACCGTACGGCTAATCAGCTCGAGTGCTGTATCATCGGGGTTGCTGTGGATGAAATGATTGAGATAGAAGTGACTCAGATGCGTTCGTCCAATGCCTCCCGTCAGCTGAGTTTCATCAGTATTTTTCAAATGCAGCATAATTTTCTTAACATGTGTCTTACTGTGGGAACGTGGTTGACGTATGGTTCCTGGACCATCGTGGCCATGGTCTTCTCGACCGACCGATCGCCAAACTCATAGTAGGTGTGTTCATCCCATATAGCCTCGAGGTCAAAATATGGCCCACCAAGATGCTTCTTCAAGAAGGCCAGACTGCGAGTATGCGACACACCCGCGGTCGATATTTTGAATGCATGATGTCCCGGAACTATAAAGCCCGAGGAAGCAACGTCGGCATAACGATGTGTCTGCATCGATCCCTGGGAAGGAACCTCTAGTTCGTTGTGCGCATGGAAGAGGACTGGCTTTTCTCCACCGGTTTCCCAGTAGTCAAAGCTGACTGCTGCCGCCAGACTTGAGTCATTCTTGATCGTGTCTGCTAAAATTGCAGCGAAACCAGGGGCATAGTCAGTCCTGGAACCGTAAACTAGAGAATCATTAGCATATGTCTCAGTATTAGGAGCCTCATGATGAACTTGCTTATTAAACCGTATCTATCCTTCACTGCACATTCCTCTCAGATTATGGAGTCTATCCTTGGCCGCCTTGATCATGTCTTGCACTTTAGCAGCATCGCTAGTCTCTGCATCGAACGTGGTTTGAACTATTGCAAAGCTTTCTTCTGCCCATTTCAGGAGCGGTTCTGGGTCAAGACTGTGATTTTGTCGTTGGCAATCTGCGTAGCACGAAGGTCGGACGAGGATCAGGCCTGGACCCCGCTCACAGCGTGAGAGGGGACGCTGGAGAACGATATCTGGCTGGATTTCCATGGCAGGTTGACAGTCAAGGGTTCGAAGCGCGAGTCATAAGTTGTATAAGCCGTTGCGCTTTGCATGTACGTACAGAATCAATAGACAAAAGACGTTCAATTGCAATTGCCGAGGTGCTGATAAGTGGAAGCAACATTGGACCCCCACTGCCGAAGAGCCGTTGAGCCACTAGCAGTTGTGAAATAACCAAGTATTGTCGACTGTAACCTAGGATACACGAGTCACTTAATCTCTTCTACTGGTCCAGCTCAGAACTCGAATTCGATCGCAGTTTTCGAATGTGAATCTTGTATGCGAGCACGTGATCGGTAATTGACCGAAGTGGGAGGCTCCGCATTTCAGCTTCGAGCTTCCCTTTGCTCCAAGCTGTTTGCGCTGCGATTTCGGAGGTGCCAATCCCTTTGGTAACTGACCAACAGTACAGTACTCAACATAAGATCCTCCAAGCATCGGCAAGCAGAATCCTACTATTTTCTGGTTGTGTTCTCATCCCAACCTTGAAGCAATCGCGCCTTCAAGCTTCCTCCAAAATGAACGCCCTCGTGCAGACCTCCCTCTCTGACGTCGAGATTAAACTCAATGCGCTTCTTGTAACTCTGACCACGGCTCCCGCTGCAGCAGGAGCGCCGGCTGCAGCTACAGCCCTACTGGAAGCCGACAGCAGGTTAACCACCTCCATCGACACACTTCGACGGCATCAAGAGAACTACGCAAAAATTCTACTCCTCCGAGCAGAAGCCGAACAACTGGAGGACCGAGTGAAGGGAATAGTTCGAGATATTGAGGAATTTGATAAAGAGATCCGGACTGCCTGCGGCGATGACGAAAGCGACAGCGACGAAGACTACGAAGAAGAGAACGAGACCCGGGCGAAGAAGCTGGCTTCTCGCAAGGAGATTGATTACCGCCTTCTCTTGGATTTTGCACGTCGCATCAGCAAATACAATAATGAAGCCGCTGCCGATGCAGCCAGTGGTGCCGGAAACAAAGGCCAGGGAATGCGACCACAAATTACAGACAAGGATGCCACAATGACAGGTACCAATGGCGAGCCGACCGCGGAGAAAAGTACCGAACCAGTCTCATCCGTGACCAAGAGCGCGACACAGTGGCTAGACGAGTCCGCGAATGTCACGCGCGAGGTCTACATGTTGCCATATCCGATGGAGGAGCGGATACGCATGGGCTTGATGGGTCAAGTTCAGCTTGCAGCTGGAACAGATCCAGAGAAGGAGGTTGAGCGACTGATACGGGAGGCAGAGGGCCTCGGAGTCGCAGAAGCACCCGCTCCGCCACCTGCGGTGGACTCAAGGCAGGACGAGGCAGCTCAGGCTGCGGCGCAAGCTGGATCCTTCGCCGGTGCACCACCACCTCGGCCATCTGGCCATGCCCCAGCCCCAGCGCCGAAACCGAAACCGAAGGCAACTTTGGATCTTGATCTCTACGACCCCGATGACGACGACTTTTGAGCATTTGAACACGATTTGTCTTGCACTTCTTTACGATGATACCGGCCACATTCAAGCGACAGCGCTAGCTCGTTTATTCTGAAAGCATTCAATGGATTGGTGTTGATTCAATTTTGATCCGTCCTCAACGTATTGCGCCAATCAAGTGTCTACATTTTGTGCACCGAAGACTTTGCCGTCCAACCTCGGAATCTCTTGCCATAGAAGTAGAATGGGATGGCACAGAGACACCACAACGTTGTCAGACACATGTTGACCATGATGGGTTTGACAAAGCCGCTCTCCATGACCCACGGAGTGATGAACTTGCTAAAGCCGTACCCCCAGACATTCTTGTTGACGGTAATAGACACGAATATCGAGCCGGCGACGGGCTTGTAGCTGTCGACGGCGTAAGTGCTGGCGATGGCTGGAAGAGCAGCAACTTGGATTCCAGCGGCTGTGTAGCCAATGATGACAATCACCTACGAGACATTAGATTATGAAAAGCTCGTACGAGGAACACGTGAACTTACCTTCCAGTCCCATTTGTACTGGTAGCCAAAGGCGACGACGAAGTTTCCTATGATCATAATCACCACGTAGATCGCCATGGCCGGCAGTCTCATTTCGGGCTCTCGAATGCCCTTGTTCTTAATAGTGGACTTCATCGATATCCAATCTGAGAGAAGACCATTGGTGGCCAAGCCGATGAAGGCTCCAATAAGAATAGCAAAGTTAAAGAACCCGATTGTTTGACTGTTGAAGTTGTAGGGAGGCTCCGCGAAGGCCTGACTCTGGGTCAAATTTAGCGTCAAGAAGCAACTGGCTGACCAGGACACCACAAAGGCTGCCAGCTCAACGATAGGGAAGCTCAACAACTTCCAAGGAATCCAAAAGCTGAGCAGGACAGTTTTGAGGTTGTTCCCATCCAGTTGCCACAGCTTGAACTGTTGCTTCGATGGCATGCCGTGGTGCAGATATGGGTCTTGCTGTGCGGCAGTTTCCACGTTGATGTTTTCCTGCTGGGTGATCTCGACAGGCTTTTCAGCCATAATCTCTGTTGTGGACGTGCTATTGGCTTCATTCGCGACATCATCGGGATGAACACGGCGCCATTTGGTTTCCGGAAAAAGGAAGATCTGGAAAAGCAGGACGACTCCCAGGACGCCGACATTCAGCCAGAAAAAGCTGCGCCAGCCAACGTGCTCTGCCATGGGACCAGCAATGATAGGACCGACCTAGTAGATTTTAGAAGATGGTTTTTCCGACGTGGGGTATTCTTACCATGAGCGATCCAAAGTAAGCCGTAAAGTAGAGGGTGTTGTAAGCACCACGCTCATGAAGGAACATAATGTCCGCGATGATCTCGGGTTGAGAGGTCTGTATCAATATGAAAAAATATTAGAGAAAGACTTCGGACGGATGATTTTCAAACGAACCTCAGCCGGGCCTGCACCGAACCCATTGAGAATACAGGCGCCCATGTAGCTGCCGTATGAAGTTGCAAGGGCACGCCAAATATTACTGACGAGGCAAATCAAGGTCGAGAAGATCAGAACTGGGCGACGGCCATACGAGGTCTGAATGGGGATCCTATATACCAATCTGGTTAGACCTACGACATCCCAACTTCAACGTTCATCTTACCAGAAGAAATTGCTGAAGCCCAGCACCAAAATACAGACACCAGTGAACTGCACCACACCGGCCAAGTCGGAGTTGAAGGCCTCCATTAATTGGGGAAACATGGGCGCTAGAGCCAGGGGTCCTATGCCTTGACTGAACGAGGTCGCCGTTGAAATCGCCATGGCACTCATCTTCCAAAAGCGGCTCCAGTTCTAAATAACATGGAGTCATTAGAAGTCGCACAGTGAGCAGCTTAAAGGGAAACTTGCCAGTGGATCATGTTTGTCATTAGATGGCTGGGGCACCAGCACGCGGTCGGACTTGACTGAAGAGTGGATGAAGTGGTGGACGCCTACATCGGCCATGATCTCCGTGCCGGGATAGATCGTCGTCCCCAGCTCCTCCTCGAGCCTGGTCCTCGTTAGTAGACATTAAGTCATTGGAACAACATTGTGCATACTGGTGAAGAGCCTAGAGAAAGATCTCTGTTAGCTGGTACCATCAACACAACGGGCAAAGACGTACGCTGGCATCATAGTTCATCTCCATAATGGGTGACTCGCGCAGATGTCAAGAATCAATCAATGGAGTAAGACTTGCGCGTAATTCAGAAGCGATTTCAGAGGGGGGGTTCCCTGATCAGCTTTAAGAAGAATCAAGCTTAGCCTTGGTGCGGAATTCAGCCGGCTGGAGATTTGCCGATAGCTCAAAAATACCGTGCAACGTATAAAGTCAAGACTGGATAGCCCCAAGGTGTGGCGCATCAGAAGTTTTCTATGAACACGAGTGCTCCCATAGGTCAAGTATCTTTTGGAAAAGGATCAAGGGAGCCATTATGGGTCCTGATAGCCATGTGCATGCCCATACTCCTGTCCAAAAGCATGAGCTACCCCGGGTTCCACTCTTCGCCCCGGATTATTCCCCCGCACGGCTTGCGGCCCCATTTGCTTGTCAGACTTTCTAACTTCAAGCCTGTCGCTTACCATTGCCACAAGGCTACTTCGGCAATTCCCCGCGGCTTATCGCCGCACTCATTATGGGGCGATAGATTCCTACTTCTTGCCCAGTGGTGTCGTCATACTAAGCGCTTTGGGATGACCTGACTCGGCCGAGGCGAAAGATTAAGGCTGTTTCATGTTTCATACCGGGAAATAGCCTATATGGCATTTGCCGAAAGCTGTTAGAGATCCTCCAAATGGTCCTCGAGATTTGCTTTGGTTGGACAATCGTTCGTAGTCTGCCAAACGTGCTGCAGGTGACCATGGAAGCTAGTCCAAAGGGATTTCGCGCTGTTGCGTCTGACCGAAAGGCCAGAAGGATATTTTGAGAAAGAAAAAAAAAAAAGGTTCGATTAAGAGTTGGTATTAGCACTAGATCATTACCACCTGAGGTGTCAATTCTATGGTGAGGTTCACTTGAAGATCATAGGAAGCGCCTCCAAACAAAACGTGGCTATAATCACGGAGGCTTTACGCTCTTCCATTGGTGTTTTACGGTCGACGCGCTAGCCGAGCTCATCGACTCCAAGATGATTGGAGACTCTGGACTGCAAATTCAGTGGCCCAGCCCAGATCCGCCTCCACACCCCGCAACAGGTCCACGATGATTTTGCGCTCATCGGCACCTTCCAAACATTGCCCGACGGCAAACAATAGTGGCACCATATACACACGCACCTCTCCCTGAGGACGTCCCAAAGCGATGCCACATACTTCACGGCTGCGATACTCCACTTCCTTCGTAACTTCACGATATCCTTGTAACCGGTCAAAGGCGGTGCTTGGAGCGCTGACAGTGTCTGGTGGGCGATTAAGTAGGAGCGCGATTCTTCCGAAATGATAATGCTGCATGGTGACAGCACAGGTCGCTAAGCTAAAGAAGACCTCCGGGAACGGTAGTTGGCCACTCTCTGGCTTGGCAAGGTCTCTGGGGTGTTCGATGCGTACGCATGGGCGGAAAGTCTCCGGGACACCTTCGAACCACGTTTGAAACTCGAAACAAAGGTCGAGCCAGGTATTCGTGTTAGGATAGGAGTGCTCGCTAGAGCCAGACGGCGAGCCTGGAGACCCTGGTAAGTTGTTTGGTGGAGATCCAGTCCATTGAGCCATTTGAGATTGCTTCGACTTAGCGAGGAAATTGGCGACTTTTGAAATAAGCCATGATAGACCGTTCGCAGCTTGATCTTCTAGTATTAGACTAGTTGACCCGCTGTTCAATGCATGTAACTTCTCTTGATCATCGAATTTGATGCCCGCTGCCCGCCACAAAGGAAGATTTTGAGGGTCAAGATGTGTCTCGGAGCGAGCGAAATAGCTTCCGAGGTAGTCCTGTCTCACAAAATTCCAGAAAGAGGCTCGAATGCCATGAGGAAACGGAACCGACCCCTTTTGATGAATCCGCAGGAAAGAGTCAAACAAAGGTTGGATACCAGAAAGATGCCTGTGAATATTCATGTCAGTTAAATTTACCACTGGAATGCGAGAGATCGTACATGTGCCATTCTTCGCCTTTAGCATCTAGAAGTTTGTACAAGGTCAATAGCGCAATGCTAGCAAGCATGTCTTCAGCCTTTTTCACAAAAGCGCCATTAACCGAGGCTTGGCCCACGCTTTGAGGGGTTCGCTTGTTCAGCCATCGTCCAACCAATTCGATCGGCGAATCTAAGACAGCCGAGCTGGACACCAGGGTATACCCATCAGAGGTCGAGCTGTTGAGATCTGAAACAGCCAAGTAGTAGTAATTGGCTGCCTTGAGGTACCAGTCGACCTGGGCCGAATTTGGATACACCTCCGTTGTTGCAGGACTGGTGAACATGCCACCTCCGGCGGAGGACTTGGCACCTTTTACCCGACCGAGTTGTTTTGCTGATAAAGCCGCAATAGAATATTTCAGTGCATTGCAATTGATGGCGCGGATTGGCACCAGGACCGCGAAGAATTTGCCCATGTCAGAAACATCCAACCTGAATTGACCATAAGCCTGCCGCAAAAAAAAAAAGGAAAAGCAGAGGAAAAAAGCCACGTGGAAAATGACATACCAGGGAGCAATAACTTGAGCGTAATTTCGGATAAGAAAAGCAACCTCATGCTCGGTCCCCGTCATGAGTTCTGAGAAGATATCTTGGAATTCTTCCTTTTCGCTCCGCTGTGATACACTCTCCGTAGAAAGCAGCCTTCCATAATCAGCTCGTTCACGTGGACTTGGCCTCTGAGAGCCTTCAAAATCTGGAGAGAGTCCAAGTGCAACATTTGGTGACACTGAACTCTGCAAGGTGCCTCTAGATAATCCACGGCTGTGACTGGGATTTCTGTGGTTTTCCGGAGCATGAGAAGGCTCTGGCGGCTTGGGAACGGAGAATTGGTTTTGCATTGGATTCAATCCACTTGGCTCTTCTGCCGTTTCAAGGTCATCCGTTGATGTCAGCATTGCCTCATGCGGTGGTTCGGCTTGCATCTCGTTTTGTGTCGAGTCAGGTACATGTTCCTCGCCCATTTGGGCAGCATTCGCCGGTGTTCCAGCTTTTGAGTGCAACTCTTGATACGGGGCATATCGACGTCTCACAGAAGCCCCCCTGGTCGATAAATTTGCGGGTTTGGACATAACCCGGACACTCTACCCCCGCCCCCGTGCATCGTTGGCAGTGCGGGCGAGTTTCATCACACTGATCATGGTCAACCAAAGCCAAAATGTATTTGCATAGAAAAGTCCAACCTTCAGATGCCTTTTCTTACACCTCTCGCACGCTTTATTGGAAGGCACCCCGGGCATTGTGTGAGAGAGAGATCAGACCAAGATCGCGAGTGTAGAGATTCATTTAAGGTGAAATGCAATGTGAAATTACCCCTAGTGCTGAGAATTCCCAACAAGGTAGTAGTGCCTCCACATTTTGGGAAAGATAAGCTATAGAGATGAAGGAAACAGCAACCTGAACCTTCAGGGAAGCTCCCCGTCGTCGGATAGACAGATTATGTAACTCGGCAGACTCTCGGAGTAGATTCGGGATCCCGGACCACCCGGCAGATCCATTCTTGAAGTTTTTCAGCTTATTCTTCAGCCGATAGTTCATACTCCGAGGATGCTTCGGAGCAAAGTACCGGTCGGTGATCATGGTAGTTTAAGGCTTGTGAGAGCGTCCATTGAGTCAGATGATGTCGAGCCCAGCGTGCACACACGAGCATGGCGGTCCTTATCTCGACGAAGTGCCCTACCGGACTCCGAACAGAGTCGAATTTACCATGACTGGATTCGTATGTCTATCTTGTTTTCATAAGGAGTTTTGCGTTGACACATTCCATAGATGCAGGGAAGCCACATAACTTCGTTTGCTCCGAGTGTCGCTTGCCCGAAAATCTAATCGGGTGCGGGACATGCTGTAGAGCCTACCACACCCAGTGCTTGTCTGCTGCGAACGCAGTCCCCGGCATATTTCATTGCCCGTCCTGCAAAGAGCAGGCGTGGGATCTGACGCCCCCATCATCTTCAACAATGATGGAGTCTCTAGAGGCACCGCCTGAAAGTTTATCTCAGAGAACGGAGCCGCCCTCTAGAGAGAGTGTGAGTGTGCAAGGATCGCCGTTAACAGGATATGAAACCCCTGGGTTGGCCACAACGAATTGCTCCATTTCAAAAGAGGATACCTATGACACTGAGCTCCCAGACAATTTACCGCCCGTCTTTGAAATGTATTCGCAGGTCTTGGCCCACCTCTACCAGCCAGATGCCAACCGCATCAATGCGGTACATCAAGTCGAGTACCTCAATCAGTTGAATCTCATGGTAAGAGAAGTTGAGTCCCACCGGTCACTTCTTGAGAAGATGGCGAATCTTCGAGAAGAATTCTCTCGGGTTCAGACGGAGAATATGCATCTTCGGGCATATCTCAATTCTCGTATGCCGTCAGAAGGAGGTTTTGCCCGACCATTCATCTATCCAGAGCTTCCCAGACCGTTGGCCGATACCACGGGAAAGTCATGGGACAGCATTGCTACAGACTTCATTTAAATCGGGGTCTGAATATGGACCCTCCCAGGGGTTTTACAGAGGGCAATCTGGAATCCTAGATGAGCCCTTGTGTAACGCACGAATGATGGGGATTGGAAATGATATGAAGTCATATAATTACGTTGATTTCTTCTGTGTTTCTCCTCAAGCTTTCTCTCACACGGGGCATCTCACATGGATGATTTGAGAATACGCGAATGGGTATGTTTACCAGAGGCATGAGGAGAAGAGATGGTGTCATTGTCGGGCTCAAACATCCCGAACTCACGATGGCCGGACCAGTTTGCAACTGGCCGACTGGTGCTTGAGGGACAACGACAAACCTTGTCTGGCGTGCTCGACGTAGCGTAATCAGGTTACATGGACCATGACCCCGCTGGCATCTACTTGTCTGAATCCTCCACAAACCCCCCACGAGTCTCAGACTTCCCCGCTCGAATTCATTCGCCGATCCTGCTCTGGCTTCCAAAGATCGGCACTTGGTCAGGAACCCGGTGTTGCACTATTGATGGAATTGCCTTTCATTTTGGGCTAATTGCTTCTTCGGGCCCCCTCCATGTCTATCACTGCGGTCAATGCTGCCTCTGAAATGAGCTCGGACGTGGGGGACCCCTACGAAAGCGCACGTTGGCCATGTACCTCTGCAAGCTGCCCAAATGTCACACCCGCTCAAGGTTCAGGAGCGCTGTGACCCAGATCAACATACAATAATGAAGATGATTCCCTACCTTCTGGCCTGCGTTGCATTTCGACCCAACTAAGGCTCTGGAATGCTCCCCCACAATTGTAAACAACGAAGCATCAACCCTACCTACGCGTCGACCACTGCGACCGCGAGACAATTCTGAATCCAGACGTGAAGATTATGGGAGCTCGGGCTGCTCGTTCGATCTCAGGATGCTTCCACGAGTATTCCGAGGCTGCGTGGAAGCCGTGGCAATTGGGACGGCCCTTCATAGCTCTGTTGCTTTGGGTGCACGAGAGGCCTCCACCGATAAGATCGATGTCCTAGATTATGTCGATCCTCTAATTGGAACGGCAAATGGAGGTGCGCTATAGTTGCCACTTGCGCAGCCTCAACGACATGACTGACGGGATCCAGGCCACGTATTCGCAGGTGCAACTCTGCCTTTTGGTATGGCAAAAGCCGTCGCCGACACACAAGGCGAGAACCAAGCCGGATTTGCCTGGGACACATCGGTTGTGACCGGGTTCTCCCATATGCATGACTCCGGCACCGGTGGTGTATGGATCTCCAAACCCTGAAGCAAGAATAGGACCCTAAACATCTACTCTAGTCTCCCTCGCTGGGAAACTTCCCAATCTTCGCACAACCATCATGTCCCAGCGACGATATCAATAAATGCAAATGGCAGCAGAATGATCGAGCCGTTGCATGGAAAAAAGATTCGGTGGTGGCCGACCCCGGATACTTTAGTATCTCGTTAACCAACGGCGTCAAGGCTGAAATGACCACAACGAATCGCTCTGCTCTTTATCGATTCACCTTTGACGGCCTGGCAGAGTCGCTTAGCCCGGTGATTCTAGTGGACTTGATGGATTTGCCCCAGTCACGTTCATCTGGTCATGCTTCCGTGGACCCCAATACGGGACGATTGACGGGGAACGGCACATTCAGTCCCAGTTTTGGAATTGGTAGGTACAATCTCCACTTCTGTATCGACTTCAAGGGCGCCGATCTGCGGAAAACCGGCGTGTGGTCGAGAAATCGGGCCAATTACACAGTCGAGAACGTGATGCTCACGGCCGACGGGACCGACTCGGCTGCTACCCTGTCCGCTGGTACTTTTGCTCAGTTCAAGAGCCCGGAAAATAACGAGATGCTAGCCCGCGTCGGTGTGAGCTTCATAAATACCAACCAGGCGTGTGCCAATGCTGAGCGGGAACAACCAGACTTTGACTTTGAAGGTACTGTTGCCGCAGCCAAGTCTGCCTGGAGGACGAAGCTCGATGTCATATCAGTTGATGCGGAGGGTGTTTCCAAAGATTTACAGGAGGTCTTCTGGAGTGGCGCCTACCGAGCTATGATCAGTCCTCAAGATTACACGGGTGAAAATCCTCTTTGGCAAAGTGACGAGCCTTATTACGACAGCTATTACTGGTAAGTAAACAACGTCATGGCCGAGTCTTTGAGGTATCTCTGGTTTGACGACGACACGCTTTTAGTATCTGGGACTCATACCGCAGCATCCATCCCCTTCTTACCCTGCTAGACCCCCTCTCGCAGTCTTTGATGATGCGCAGTCTTGTCGATATCTACCGAAACGAAGGCTTCTTACCGGATTGCCGAATGTCTCTCTGCAAGGGCTACACCCAGGGTGGCTCTAATGCAGACGTGCTGATGGCTGATGCCTTCCTGAAAAAGGTCCCAGATATCGACTGGGACACTGCGTACGAGGCTGTTGTCAAGGACGCCGAGGTCGAACCTAAGAACTGGAATGTGGAAGGCCGTGGCGGACTGCATAGCTGGAAAGGTCTTGGATTCATCCCGACTGACGACTACGACCCATATGGGACAGGCACACACACTCGGTCTATTTCCAGGACTGTTGAATATGCGTACAATGATTTCTGTATTGCCGAAATTGCGAAAGCGAGAGGCAACAAAGCCGATTATGAAAAGTATCTGGAGCGCTCTGGTAATTGGATCCACATGTTCAAAGCCGATCAAACATCGAGCATCAATGGCGTCGACACTGGTTTTACCGGCTTTTTGCAGCCTCGTTATATGAATGGCACCTGGGGCTTTCAAGACCCCAGCTTCTGCAGCCCACTGTTGAATTTCACTTCCTGTTATTTGAACCCTAATGGCCACGAGACCTATGAAGGAAGCGCCTGGCTCTATACTTTGTCAGTTCGGCTTGTTTCCTCCCCTTAGATCGGCCATTGCTGACATGCTCACAGCTATGCCCCGCATGACATGGGGTCTTTGATTAAGACATTGGGAGGCGCAGAGGAATTCACCAAGCGACTAACGTTCCTTCACGAATCAGGCCTGCTCTACGTTGGGGATGAGCAGGCCTTTTTGACCATTTTCCAGTTCCACTACTCTGGACGTCCCGCTCTTTCGGCTAGATACAGCCATTTCTATATTCCTTCTCAATTCAACACCACCACCGCCGGTATTGCAGGCAACGATGACAGTGGAGCGATGGGCTCGTTCGTGGTACTGAGCATGATGGGTTTGTGGCCTGTTCCTGGACAGAACGTCTACCTCATCACCCCTCCGTACTTCAAGGAAGTGAGCATCACCAACCCCATCTCTGGCACGATTTCTACCATTAGAAACATCAACTTTGATCCCGGCTATAAGTCCATCTATATCCAGAATGCAAAGTTGAATGGTAAGCCGTGGTCCAACAACTGGCTCACCCACGACTTCTTTCTTGAAGGTGGTGTCTTGGAGTTGGAACTAGGGGAGAAAGAGAGTGAATGGGGAACTCGTGTTGAAGATCTCCCCCCCAAGCGTTGGCAGCTATCAGTGATTCTGGAAAGGCGTCAATCCTTCCACGCGCGACACTATTTGCATGTGTGTAACAACGAAGATTCTAGCAGAAAACACGTACTCATCATCCATTGCATCCGAATTCTCTTCTCAATCTTTCAAGCTTCTGAAGCATTATTGTCCTGCTCGTGTGATCTACCCCACCTTGAAGGTGCTCCAAGTTTGAACAGAGGACTCTGTGACTATGCTCACTTTCACTCTTTGATGTTTCAAGAGCATTCGTCTGTCCAGTCTTGATGTCGTCTCTCTCATTCAACTCCTACTTCTACCGGACTTTCTTTGCAGACTCCACGGAGCCGACTGTTCGTGTCTGTACAAAAGATGCCGTGTCGCTCGATCCTTCTCCCGGATACCAATTCCAAAGTGAGTGCCTCTATTCCACGTCCCCACGCGCTATTGAACAAGCTCTAAGATCACCTTTCTAGACGCAAGATCAACAACTCTTCGTATCATCAGAATCGCCTTCACGAAGCTTGACTGACGAGGCGCGCGAGGAGAGTGCGCGCCCCATGGCTCCACAAGCCTGCAGAGAATGTCGCCGCAGGAGAACCAGGGTGAGCTTCACGGAAGACGAATTGGATTGACACTGACATGCTTGCAGTGTGATCGCTTGATTCCCACCTGTGCACTGTGTCACAAGCGTGGTAGAAGATGCATCTATGACGAACAGGTGAAAACGCCACTCATTCGGCACCATCTCAACGAGGTGGAGAGTGAGCTGGCTCGAACCAAGGCGCTGCTGCAGCAGATTATTCCTCAATCATGTGGAACACACTCAATGAGCTTTGGTGCTCCCGTAGGAGACTCATCGCCTGCATCTCCTTTTAGCTGAGATTCTCAAGTCTCAGCCCCTGGGCGGTTCTTCACTGGACCATCGAGGAACAGAGACAAAGGTGCATCTCGCGAACCCAAAACACCAAACACAGCATTATCCTTCGACTAGCATGAACAATACAAGAGGTTACTCGGAGACTCCAAAGCAATCTCAATTTGTCCGTTGCGAGCCGCATCGTCGCTCGCTCGGCCCAGAGATACCACCACAGGCAACGTCCGGCCCATCATTAGATACTTCCGTCTCACAAAAGGATTTCTGGCGGGCGGAAAGCATTGGAGAAAGAGGCAGAGATAAATTCGTCGACAGCATGGCCAGCTTACCTAGTGCCTCTGAAGGCCTTCACTTAGGTTTGCATCTTGTCGTTCTTTCTTGATGATGACACTGAGATCGAGGCAGGATTCGCGTCTGGTACTACTTTACCGCACATTACTGATACCAAGACAACTGGAACAGATTGTATATCGAGGTTGAAACAGCACACTTGGGCGGCAAATCGTCCGACTGCAACCGTCCCCTTTGCTCTCAAGACTTTGGCTTTGGGCCAGCTTGAGCCTTTTGTCGATGCATATTTCTCTCTCTTCCACCCATCATACCCGATCGTGCACGAAGCAACATTCCGAGCTCAATTCATGGAAGTAATCCCTCGACCAGCTAGGGATGATTGGCAAGCTCTTCTTTTCATAATCGCCGCGGTTGGTGCGTGGGCAACAGCCACTGAACAGACGGATATTCACCCCTGTTTATTCGAAGCTGCTAAGGCGCGGCTTTCCATTGACATGCTGGAAATGAGAAATCCATCTCTCGTGCAGGCTCTAGCCCTTCTTTCGAATTTCATGGAGAAGATAAACATGCCGAATTCCGGATACAACTTAGTGGGTCTTGTACGCCGCATTGCGATGGGTATCGGACTCTATAAAAACAGTGCAAGTCAGGAAAATCGTCTTTTCAACCTTGAGACGAGGCGACGCATCTGGCACTGCATCTACATTTTCGATGTCAGTGCTATTGTCACATTTTTTCCGACCGCTCGATCTTCCAAGTGAGAGTATTGACGTGGGGCTTCCCATGAACGTCCACGATACGGTCAGTCACTCAGGCTATGCTCTCCATTACAACATGGTTAACATTTGCTCAGGACTTCACGCAAGGAGCAAAGTCATTGCCGCAGTCGGCTGATGAAACGACAGTCTACACTCACTTACGAACCCAAGCGACTTTCCACATGACTACAAGTCAACTCTACTCCAAGATCATTTCGTCACCCTTCCCACCTGCATCAGAGCTCATTGATTTAGATGATCGGTTGATCGGAGGCTGGCTGAATTCTATGCCTTCATTCTTTCAAGAAAACGTCAGTCAAGAACCTAGATTCCGGCTCTGTCACTCCATTTTGCATTGGAGATATCGAAACTTCCGCATATTCATGTATCGGCCCTTCCTTCTCGGTCAGCTCATGGCACGACCCGGGCAGCGCCCTACTCTGGATAACCCTGTCAGGGTTGCTGTTCAGCGATGTCTGGAATCAAGTCATGACACTGTGGAGCTAATTTCTCAATTTTGGGCACGTGAGCCGCGGACTCTGATGGCCTGCTGGTATGGCCTGTACTTCTTGTCACAAGCAGTTCTTAATCCAGTCCTTTGTCTTCGAAATTATCCTCAGCAATTTCGTGCGATTGAATGGGTTGGACAAATCCAAGAAGCCATGAGGATCCTCGAGTCCATGGCAGTTTCTAAATCCGAACGCACTCAGATGCCTTTCCGTACTCAAGACCCAATGCGGCACATGTCTCAACCAGTCCATTAATTGCGGGACCCTTCCAACTGATGAGTCTCCACAAATGCAGCTGGTACAGCTCTATCCCTTGATGTGGCCAACTCTGGACATGGCGCAGCTCGGTGGGACGGACTCGGTCTTGTAAGATCTGCCAAGTCTGCTAGAAGGCTTATCATTTACTGGACCCTGCATCAACAAGAGTCGACTATAGTCGATTTTCTGAATCAGCCCACGGGGCGTTTAACGAGCCTTGCCAATCCAGGCCAGGGGAAGTGAATGACCATCTACTTGCATGAATGAAATGACACCAAATTTCTTTCACTTGTTTAAGGGAGGGTATAACCCCCGTCTATTATAATGTCGGCTCCGGTCATGTAGCTCGAAGCATCGGAAGCACAGAAGACATAAGCCTATGAACTGACCATTAGCCGACCAGTTACTGTGTGCCGCTGGTGGTCGACATTTACCCCTTTCAATTCGTATGTCTGGGCCATGCGTTTCGCAGGTATCATATCGTACCACTTGGCGCGCCATTCCTCTGGGTGGATGTCAAGGATGTCGGTCGCGATGAAGCCAGGCGAGATACAGTTAACCCGGCAAAAGTCGACCCATTCGACAGAAAGACACTTGGCCAATTGTACTACGCCGGCTTTGGACGCATTATACTCCTTGACGTTAGCATTTCAATACATTCTTGAATTAACCACGTCTCCGGGGTCTAGCTACTCACGGCGGCTTGCTTTTGAGGGACATTGACCAAAGTCGCGCTCACAGAAGCCGTGAATATCACATTACCATGACCCTGCCGCTTGAAGATACGAGCGGCCGCTTGAGCAGAGTAGAATGCACCGTCAAGGTTGACCTTCATAATTTCGCTCCACTGGCTGGGGGTATAGTCTTCGGCGGCGACGCTACTCACGATGCCCGAGTTGGCGACAAGAATGTCAAGCTTTCCAAAGTCCCTAGCGACCTGCTGAATCACCGACTCAATCTCAGACTGGTCGGCGACATTGGCCTGGTATGCAACGGCGCGCACGTTGTTCGTGGCTGCGATATCCGCGGCGGTGGCTTCAGCTGTCTTGGATGAATTGTAAAGCAACGCTACCTGCATCCAAGTCAGAAGATGGAGCCTTCCAAGATGGAAGGAGCCCATACATGAGCACCAGCCTCAGCTAGTCCGCGAGACACTTCGAGGCCGATCCCACGAGCACCACCAGTCACGACGGCGACTTTGCCGGTCAGGTCAAAAAGTCCTTTGACATGTTGATTCTGGGGCTGCGCGAGAACCATCTTGGTGGAATGATTTCACGATGAGTATACAGCTGAATTTTATATCAGAATCAGGTCTTATCCCTGATTGAATGCTATGCGGAGAGAGAGGCCAAACATCATGCTCGTGTACTTAGGGGGGCAGCGGTTGGCCTTTTTTCCCCGCATCGGGGCTTCTCCGATCGATTTGAAGCGGACAACTTGAATTCCGGGGGTTCAGTCGTCCGTCCTCGAGTTCTATTGCTTATATCACCGGGATGTTCTCCCCGTCATCACGGCTTGTATAGTGACTCTCACAGTCGCGGTTCCATTCTGTGTACCGTTGGCCGGTACCCCATTGTCGGGGATCTTTGTTGTCGGGAGAATATCTCGATGTCAAACGGCCCATCAAGAAACGCTCCGATTTTGAACAGGCCGAGGCGGCATTTCAGCTTGTTGGGGTCAGGGGAATGAGAGTAGAATTTAGGTCATTGTCGCGAGTGTGGATCTAGCATCATGCATTCGAGGTGACGTACAGACTTGATTTTAAAAGCTAGGGACTTGGCAAAGATGGAATGATGCCGTGTACATCTGAGCAAATAAAAAAGTTCCTAAAGACGCTCTCTATATCATGGACTGCGGGCAAATCAGATGTGATAATACACAGTCGCTTGACAATGTATATGCGAGTCTCTCGAATATGTGGGATATCTAATATGTACTTGAACAGAAAACATAGATAGAAGGACATAACATTACATCCGCCCTAGACCATACGGTGCATGAAAGCAGTAGGGCTACAAGAAATAGTAGCATCTCACGATGGAGCCTCGTTGCTGGGCGCCGCCCGTCGTCCCCATCCGCTAAAGAAACCTCCATTGCCTCCAGTGTGAGAAGAACCCGTAGACTTCGCAGATTCCGTTGAGACTTTGCTGATGCTGCCTCGGGAAGATGAGTGGCCAATATATGAATGTCGGTTTTCAGGGCGTGCATGAGGCGCGCTGATCATTTTTCGCAACGATTCCATCTTGCACTTCACTTCTTCTAATTCTTGTTTGGCGACTGCTTCGGCCGTCTTCGCGTTGACTAGCTCGAGCAGCAGCGTTTCCTCGGCAGCGGGCTTGTTGTTTTCCGTGGACAGCACAGTCTGAAGGCCCAAGCTACTAGATCGTTTGCTGAACGAGGGGGTCGTCTTCTGCGAATTGGTGCGTGACAGCTTGAATTCACGAAGACCCGTACTGGTGGGCGACGATGCTTCGTTGGAACTCGACGGAGAGACCGAGGCTTCTGCAGGTGAGAACTCCGAAGTCGGGGTCTTCGCCCGAAGCTCTTGGTTTCTCCGCTCCAGTCGTTGTCGATCGTGATATCCATCTTGAATTCGACTGCGCGCCTCGCGAAGTTGATCTTTCAGAGAGGAGTTTTCTTTCTCGTAATCGTCCATACGCCGTGTCAAGTCCAAGCATCGACTCGCCTCCACCTCGTGCATTTGCTTCCACCGTGTCATGTCATCATGAAGCTGTTGCTTGGTCTGGGGAATCGACGCGTGCTTGGACTCCTCGGAAGAAAATCGGGCCTGCGCTTGCGAGATCAAGTCACTGACCCGTTCGTCGGGAGTCTGCTCCTGTAGGTGCTTGAGCATCTCTTTCGCCAAAGTATTATCTTCTTCGCGATCCTCACGCTCCTGTTGTAGTTCGCGACTCAGGTCTGCCTGTTGGCGTTGAAGATCGCTTAATGCCATCAACAGATCCTCGATCTGCGTATGAAGATCGCGATCTTTGTGTGCCGACATGTTAGATTTGACGCGCGATTTGTGGCCGTCAACGCTGATGGTCGCAGTCGAGAGCTCAGTGGGGGCAGTGCTAGCGTCAGAGACAGTCTCGATCGAATTCAGTGTCGATGTCATGCTTTGTTTCGAAGTTGAGCGTCGGATCGTGCTGACAGGGCGGGACGGGCTAGTGTTCGGGTTCAAAGATCTCACTGAGTTGTGAGAGCCAGAACCGGCCCAGAGACGTCCAAGGAAACGCGAAGCGGCAGCCTGCATGGATGGTAAGGAGACCCCGGTAGGAACGCCCTGGGACTGGTTATAGCTAGCCTCCAATGCCTGTAGACTCTCATTTGTGACCAAGGAAGTCAATGAGACGAAATCATTGACCAGATCATCCGCGTTGAACGCGTACGTATCCCAGATGCTTCGCGACAGAAGCAACTGCATGACATCCTCAAACTCTGTACAGGCCATGAGTCTTTGCTCATTCCGCTGCATAAGCGAGAGGGCAACGCGCATCAGTGTTTCACAAGCTCCCTCAAGGAATATGACATCGTAAATTCGGAGAAGCATCGGCAACGGGCATGCCACAGCGAAGAACGACAAAAACCATTGAGAAACATACACCGGCTCAACACCCAGTGCCTCCAGGTGCGCAAAGAGTGTAGGTCGGAGTCGTGCGAGAAGATTCTGAAACTGATAAACATGAAGGTGAAGACCCGACAAGTCCGGCAGGTAGCAAGTGCGGAGATTGTAATGTTCCATGAGACTATTTTGTTGTTAGTATTAAATCCTCCTGTCGGTCTGACAGAATTTCTTACCGAACAAGCACACAGAAAGCTTCAGCATCCGACATATGCATCAACAAAGGGCCGACAACAAATCCAAGACCTTGACAGTAACCAATCTTGGCGTCGTATAAGCTAAAACACCTTAAGACTCTAGCCAGCATCTGCTGACCCTCGCCGTTCGGATCGCGGAACATTTCCACGTTGGGAAAGCTACGACCAATGTCTTTCCCGATGAGACCGTCGTATGGGCTGCTCTCGCCAGAAAGCCGTTGAAACTCCTCCAACAGCGTTGGATCACGAGCGCCGGCGAGACTAGGCCATACCACTCCTCTGAGAGGGGAGGAACACCGCTCTGGATTTTATTCGATGTCAGGGTGGGCAGTCGCTGAGCCGTCTGCGGATAATCCGCGACCAGAGCAGCCCAGAACTCGAGCTCTGTCATCGGTGGAGGAGGAAGTTGGGAGTAGCGGAGTTCTGATCGGGCCGGGTCATTGATCAACCGTTTGATTTGGATTAATGACTGAGAACGCGATTGTCGCTGGTGTTTCGTAGTTCCGGGCGGGGTGGCTATTCCAGACTTTGGGTTGGTGGCCAGGGCATTGTTCTCTTGTTCCAAGCGAGCAAGAAGCAAGGCCGTCGACTGATGAAGCAAAGGTAGTCAGGGTCCGTTCTGTATAGTATGAGATGGGGGAATTTGCACAAGTCACGTACCTCGTCTGAGCCTTCCCCGCGAGGTTCCTGCTCCTCGCTTTTTTCCAAGTTTTCCCAGTCCACTTCGTTTTCCATCTCTTCATCTAGGGTCTTATCTCGGGTCTTATCGTCTGTCAAGGTTGGTGTTGGGGGCTCGTCGAATGGTGTGGGGGTTGTCCTCGCCGCATCCCGGAGAGCCATTGGACCGAACGACTCGGTCTTGGTGCGATCGCCTTCCGCTTCATGGGTAGAGTCGACCGGTGTTGAAGGAATCTCAAGGTTTCGCCAGTCGGGCTGCGAGTGCTCTGAAATGGATTGGATGTCGGATAGCGAGACGGTGACCATGGAGTCGTGGTTCGGGGCATGAGGCATCCTGGGCGATACAGGCTCAGAGGTTTCCATGGCTATAGGGGTAGATTGGTGCTCAGTATGAGTAGGACAGTTGACCGAGGAAGCTCAATTAAAGGTCAAATTTGAGCAGCGCGAGGGTGGAGAGGATATGCAAGACCAGCTTCATCTCTTTGGGTGGTCACTTCGCGGTGGTGCGGGGACTAACAGACGCAAGCAGGAAGCAGGAAGCAGACAGCAGGAAGTAGGAAGTAGGAAGTAGGAAGTCGAAAGTCCAAGCCCGGAGGTGATCCAGCACCGTAAACGGTTTCTATGTACAGGACGTGTCGAAAAGAAAAAGGGAGGTCAGGAGAACCCACCCTCAGACCACGATTTTAGCCCTTTTAGCCCCTTTAGTTTCCCCCTCGAGTCTCGGCCCCTCGTCGATCTCCCCTCATACACCGACTGTCTGATGGCTTCCGCTACTCTCGTCGGAATTATTGATTGAGGTTTCCTTGGCTTGTTTCCCCTTAAGACATGGCCCTCTTCCTGTTTACTCGCATCTCTCCCCGCGGTTCCATGGATGCGCCACGATCAGTGGACCATACATCGAGCAATCTGCGAATCGAGCCTTTCTCGCCCTAACAATCATTGCATAATGTTCGCGATTTGATTTCCAGTGCTTCAGCGACTTGAAGCGTTCCGCCATGCGAAAACTCTCTGCAGGTGCAGCTTGAAATAATAGAGTGGATGCATGGCTGTAAGACATTTTCGTGCGGACGATGGGCGTAAATTATTCCCACTTTGTTTCGATAACCTTGATGTATATCGGTTCTCATTGGGTCATCTCTGTTACCCTGTCGGAAATCCAGTGACAGCCCCTAGCAGCTCTGTTTCACCTTAAGCGGGTTACCCTCTGCATCGGCGCAAAGGGAGAAGCCAAGGAGGGGTCTCGCCCGGTGGCTGGTACAACCTGTTGTCTACGAAAATGGGTGGCAAAAGCTGGTACAAATTGTGCAATATCCCCCACCGTCCCTCCTGTCCATTGACAGCCCCCCCTTTCTCCACTGATCTTTGCGGTCCGACGGGAATTAACCTCCGAGAGGTTGGGGTCATAGCAAATCGAAATTTTTTGGGGTGGAGTAGTGAAGGATAACAGCATGAGTGCTATTGCTCTTTGGAGTGCGCCACGATGACCCATCAAATAGTTGCGGATAGCTGAAGATCCCATAAGGCTGGTGATTTGGTTACACATGCGGCGCCTGAGTACGTTTTCTCGAGTGTTCAGGTTTTCCGTTGGACATGCCAGCTTTCATCTCCTTGCTACCACTTAGTGTCACTTTGCTATGGTGTAGTGAGGAAAACAATCTCTTAACCATGGACATCGCAACATAATTTCACAGTCTTTCAGTAGTCGCCTTCACGAATGATTGGGTATTCTCAATTCAATGGTACCTGAGGAGAACGTCCAGATGACTGTTGTCTGGGTAGCTCCTCAGATGTTCAAATCTTCTCGGCAAGTGATTAGTTTTTGATTACATCCTCTTAGTTTAGATTTCTAATTTAATGTGATCAGAAACCTTCATTTTTTATCAACAGATGACACATTCAGGTAAACAGTGGCAACGTCGCGGTGGTGCTCTTCACGCCAGATGCACAGCTCTTATCGCGCCTTCCTTGTTCGGCACGTTTGTTGTCAAATTTCCTAGAACGGAAATGGCCCGCTCGGGCGGTGAGGATCAATGATGATCCGAGTGGCCACCACTCTCACCGCCCTGCGACCCGCTGGCAGTCGCGTTTCACTTTGCGCTGGAAAAAAACAACACCTCCCCTCTTCACTTCGTCCTCGCCAGTTTGAGTATGCCTGGCTGTGACAGCTTTATCGCGTGATTTTATTCTCTTGTTACTTTGAAACATCGCCATTCGCTTTGACTCGACCTAAAGACGGGTTCCTCGGTCTTTATCGCCGGTTTACCCGGCACCATCCTCGATCATGGACGACTCCATGATGGACGACGACATCTTCGACATCTCCGATGGGGGGAGCTCTGACTTTGAGCCTGAGCCTGCGCCGGTATTAATTGATCCTATGAAAACACCTGAATACGGCCTTGCTAATCGTATCATTGTCCAGAAAGCCAAGGCCAAGGCAGCTCCGAAGAAGGCGGCCACTGCCCCGAAAGCCACCACCAAGAAGATGACTCAGACTACGCTTAAGCCCAAGGCCAAGTCAGCTCCGGCGAAAAAGAAGGCCAAGGCAGACAGTGAGGATGAGGTGTCAGACGCACAGATGTCCGATGATGACAATTCCTTGCTCTCCCATACCCCTCCCAAGGCCAAGAAGGCTGCTGCCCCGAAACGAGCGGGATCAAAGCCACTCGGAGACGTTGAAAATGAGTCCTTTGTGGGTGAAGGAGCTTCCGAGGCTCCGGGAAGAATGACAACGCATCTGACAAGTACCAAAAGGTGAGCTGCTCAATCGAACTGACCTGCTCGGGGAGGTTCAGGCTAATACAGCTTTCTGCAGCTTACACAATTGGAACACATCATCAAACGTCCCGATACCTATATTGGCTCCGTAGAAGCCACCACTCAGCAGATGTGGGTCTACAACTCTGAGTCCGAATCAATGGAGTTCCGTCCAGTTACTTTCGTCCCGGTCTCTACAAAATTTTCGACGAGATTGTCGTCAACGCCGCCGATAACAAGCACAATGACAAGAACATGAACGAGATTCGGGTGACCATCAGTCGCGAGACAGGTGAAATCAGCGTCTGGAACAATGGAAAGGGTATTCCCGTTGAGATCCACTCGAAAGAGAAGATATTCGTGCCAGAGCTGATTTTCGGCCACCTTCTCACATCTTCCAACTACGATGATACTCAGCAAAAGGTGACAGGTGGTCGTAACGGTTTTGGCGCCAAACTCTGTAACGTGTTTTCAACGGAATTCACCATCGAAACCCAGGACGCGCGCCAGAAGAAGAAGTACAAGCAAACCTGGACCGACAATATGACGAAGATGGGAAAGGCCAAAATTACGGATGCTACGAAGGGCGATGACTACACCAAGGTCACATTCAAGCCCGATTTCTCCAAGTTTGGCATGGAAGGCATTGACGATGACTTCGAGGCTCTCGTGAAGCGCCGTGTTTACGATTTGGCGGGTACATCTGGCGTCGCTGTGAAGCTCAACGGTACCCGCGTGCCGATTCGTAACTTCCGAAAGTACATGGAGATGTACACCAAGGCTATCCGCAAAGAGCGCGGTGATGACGGGCCTCCGGCCAAAGACGAGATCATTACCTGCAGCCCTGATCCTCGCTGGGAGATTGGTTTTGCAGTTTCCGATGGCGCCTTCCAGCAAGTGTCTTTCGTAAACTCCATTGCCACGACCTCTGGTGGTACCCACGTCAACTATATTGCCGATCAGATCTGTAACCGCCTGGCTGATCAGGTCAAGAAGAAGAACAAGAGTGGCGCCACCTTGAAGACCGCTCAAATAAGAAACCACATCTTTATTTTCGTCAATGCTTCTATTGTGAATCCGGCTTTCACCTCGCAGACCAAAGAGCAGTTGACCACCAAGGCAAGCCAGTTCGGCAGCAAATGTGTTCTTGAGGAAGATTTCTACAAGAAGGTTCTTAAGACGGAGGTGATGTCCAACATTCTGCACTTTGCTGAACAGAAGGCCGATCAAATCTTGAAGAAGGGCGATGTCGGTCGTCGTTCTCGCATGAACAACCCTAAGCTCGTGGAGGCCAACAAGGCTGGCACTCGAGATGGCCATCATTGTACTTTGATTCTAACGGAAGGTGACTCTGCCAAGGGTCTGGCTATGGCTGGACGTGCGGTTGTAGGACCTGATCTCTTCGGTGTTTTCCCACTCCGTGGAAAGCTGCTCAATGTTCGCGATGCGTCATTCGATCAGATATCGAAGAATCAAGAAATCCAGAACATCAAGAACTTCATTGGTCTGCAACACAAGAAGGAGTATACAGAGACCAAGGGCCTGCGATACGGTCACATCATGATCATGACTGATCAGGATCACGACGGTAGTCATATCAAGGGTCTACTCATCAACTTCCTTCAGGCCCAATTTCCTAGCTTGCTGAAGATTCCGGAATTCCTCATAGAATTCATCACCCCTATCATCAAGGTCTGGAAAGGCGATCCCAAGAATCCGTCCAAATCCAAGTCATTTTTCACCATGCCGGAGTACGAGGCGTGGAAGGAGGAGCACAAGGATGAACGTGGGTGGGAGCACAAGTATTACAAGGGTCTGGGAACCAGTTCTACGGAAGATGCCCAGGTTTACTTCCGCGACCTTGATCGCCACTTGAAAGAGTTCCACACGATGCAAGACAAAGAAGAGGAACTCATCGAGCTGGCATTCTCGAAGAAGAAAGCAGACGAGCAAAAGGAATGGTTGCGCCAGTACAAACCTGGTACCTTCCTGGATCACACCACAGCCAAGATCACCTATACCGATTTCATTAACAAGGAGCTCATTCTTTTCAGTATGGCAGACAACCAGCGTTCTATTCCGTCCGTCATCGATGGTCTGAAGCCCGGTCAGCGCAAGGTCTTGTACACTTGTTTCCGCCGTAACCTCAAGAAGGATATGAAGGTTGTGGAACTGGCGGGTCTCGTTTCCGGAATGACAGCGTACCAGCACGGCGATACTTCGCTTCAGCAAACGATCGTTGGTCTCGCTCAGACTTTCGTTGGTTCAAATAACATCAATTGCCTCGAGCCCAGTGGAAACTTTGGTAGTCGACTTCAGGGTGGTGGTGATTGTGCCAGTGCTCGTTACATTTACACTCGCCTGTCGCCCTTTGCGCGCAGAATCTTCCACATCGCCGATGAGCCGTTGCTGACCTACAACCTGGATGATGGCAAGAAGATCGAACCAGAAACCTATATGCCCGTGGTTCCTTTGATCTTGATCAACGGTGCCGATGGTATCGGAACCGGATGGAGTTCCTCCATTCCTAACTACAACCCCGAGGACGTGGTGAGCAACATCAAGCGTTTGATGAAGGGTGAGGAAGTTGTGCCTATGCAACCGTGGTTCCGTGGATTCACTGGAGAAGTTGTCGCCTTGGGCGGTGATCGATACAAGTTCAGTGGTATAATTAAGGAGACTGGTGATAAGGAGGTCGAAATCACCGAGTTACCCATTCGCACGTGGACTCAGGACTTCAAAGACAAGCTGGAGGAGATCATCAAGGCTGAGAAGGTGCCCTCGTTCATTAAGGACTACAGAGATTACAACACCCACAGCAAGGTTCACTTCGTTATTCAACTTGACGAAAAGAACATGAAGGCTGCATTGTCAGATGGTTTGGAAGAGAAGTTCAAACTTTCCAAGACCATTGCGACCACCAACCTGGTCGCCTTCGATACGGAGGGCCGTATCACCAAGTACGCGACGGTTGATGATATCTTGAAGGAATTCTACACTATCCGTCTCAAGTGTTACGAGCGCCGCAAGCAGCACCAGCTTTCAGAGCTTCAGAAGGAACTGGAGAGGCTGAGCAACCAAGCCCGCTTTGTTCAAATGATCATTGATGGCACGCTGGTCATCTCGAAGAAGAAAAAGAGTGTTCTTGTCACCGAATTGAAGGAGAAGAACTTCAAGCCCATTGCCAAGGTGGTCGAAGCCTCCAAGCTGGGTGAGGATGAACCTGTTGTCGAGGAAGGCGAGGAAAATGAAAGCCGCGAGACCGAGACGTTGTCAAGTTCCTATGACTACCTGCTTGGCATGCCCATGTGGTCGCTGACGCAAGAGCGTGTCGAGAGACTCCGTCGCCAGATTGGCGATCGTGAGATGGAGATTGATGCCTTGATCAAGCTCTCCAAGGAGGACATCTGGAATCGGGATCTGGATGACTTCATCAATGAGTGGCGGTTCCAGCTCGAGGATGAAGAGCGTCGTCTTCGCAAGGCTGCTGGCCTAGGCCGTCGAGTTTCCTCAAAGCTCGCGACCTCCACGGGAGCTCGCGGCGGTGCCGCCGCACGCAAGCGCAAGGCTGCCGCTGGCGACGACCCAGATGACGAGGACTTTGCCGCGCCGAAGGCGAAAAAAACCGCCGCGACCAAGAAGAAAGAGCAGCCGACCAATAGTCTGGCTAATTTCCTCAGCAGACCGACGGAGAAGCCAAAGGCAAAGGCGTCACCCACTGATGGCGCTGCAGAGTCGGATGATGATTTTGATTTCGAGTTGGAAGTAATGCCCAAGAAGAGCCGTGGTACATCCAAGCCAGCTCCTAAGGTAGAAGAGCTCGATGATTCAATGGATCTCGACGACGGTCCTGCAGAACCCCCCTCTCGCAAATCGGCCCAACCCGCTCCTGATCCATTTGATATCGACAACGAGCCTGAGTCCGCTCCGCCAAAGCCCAACCTAACACAGAAACGAGGACCTAAAGTCGCCCCAGATATCTTTGATATCGACGACGAGTTTGAGGCTGATCAGCCCAAAGCCAAGCCGGCCGCGAAGCCGGCCGCGAAGCGAGGACCTAAGCCCAAGGCCAAGCCTGTCGTCGATGATGATGATTCCGATGACGACTTCCTCGGAATTGCCAAGGAAGCCTCTAAGCCTGCTGCCGGTGGTCGCGCTCGCAAACCCGTCAAGTACGCCACCGCCGCTGACTCTGACAGCGACAACGGAGACGATCTCCTCGGTGATGTCAGTCAGATGGTCAAGGGCATCGGAGGCGGTGACTCGGAGTCTCGACCCATGATCTCCTCGTCACGATCTCGTGCTGGAAGTAGCGCCAGCTTGATGCCTCCTCGTTCGGCCACCAAGAGCAATCATGGTTTTGACCCTGATGAGACCGACTACAGCAAACTTGTTCCTTCAAAGTCTCCTCGCCGCTCGCTTCAAATCAAGCCAAAAGACGCCTCAAGGCTCGAGGAGGACGAGGACGAAGACGAAGACGAAGATGAAGATTCTCCTGTCAAGCCTGCTCCGAAGACAAAGCCCGGGCCCAAGGCCAAGGCTGCTCCGAAGCCTCGCGGCCGGCCGAAGAAGGATGCTGCTGCCCCGGCTGCCAAGTCTGCTCCAGCTAGGGCAGTCAAGAAGAAGCCGGCTGATGACTTCTCAGAGGATGATATTGAGGCTATGGCCAATGACATTTTGGATTCCCCAGCAGGCAAGAAGGATGCTTCTGACGATGAGCCCGTGCCCGCGCCTCGACGAGCCGCTGCAGCCCGTCCGTCTCGTCGTACAGCCACGCAAGCAAAGAAGACTTATGTCATCGAAGACGAAAGTGAAGATGAAGAATCCGCCGATGATTTTGAGGACGAGGATGAGAGCGACTAGATCAAAGTTAAATAGCAGTGCGGAAGACAATCCTTCATTTGTCTAGCGCCGCGGCATTTGCGCTTTTTATTTTCTTAGATGGTGCCTTTTTCAATTAGTATATGCTTTCTTGGTGTTCAGGCAGTGCCGGCCAGATTTGCAGACCAGGGGTTGTCATGCTATTTCGTCTAAGCGTTTCATATCTCAATTTTATTGAATAATTTCCAATTTCTCCAATCTTTTTACCCTGAAGGCCGAGCTCTGTGCTGAATTTGGAAAGCTAAGTGAATCACCTTAGTGGTGAAGCTTTCCAAGATACAATATCATCGGCAAGATTACGCTGGGTGCATATAGATTGTTTCCCACAAGTAAAAGCTTCATTTTTTTTGATAGATAACGATCAAAATCAAATACAGTGCCTCCCTGCACCCATATGCATCGCAACGCCAAGCAGTCTATGCCCAAGCCCCATGAATAGCTTCAAAACCTCGAAAGATAGCAATGCCACAGCTGATTCTAGACACAGAACCTCCAAGCTGCTATTTAACCTGTGAAAGACCAGTGTCTCCTCACAGAGAAGCGCAACGTCTCTTGCGAGCATTCGAGACAGCTTCAATGGAATCTTGCTCGTCTTGGGTCTGCTGCATATGCAAATGGAGCAGGGCATGAGCTGCCTTGAACTCATACGCAAAATGGCGTGCGGATGGCGAAGGATCATTTCTCCGAGTCCGAACAGACCGAGGAGGATTCTTTCTCGCACTCATAGTCTCATCGCCCGTTGAATCTCGAGAGACAGGAGCATAGGCATCGTCGTCATCGTCAGACTCATCGTCGGGAAAACCAGAGTCGGTGCAGGACCCTTCTGTCTCAATATCGGCCGGGCCGGAATCCATGTGGTCCATTTCGGTGTCTCCTTTGGCGAGCGAGGGGAAGTTGAATCTAGTGATACCGCCGTTTTCAGATCCACTCCATTCACTCGATGTGTCCTGATTCCGACGGGTACCGAGGGGATAAAAGAACTGACTCGGGGAGATACTGCCTCCCTGGGGAGGAACATATGAGCTGCGAGGCGGGACATTCACCGGTGTCCACGAGCTCGTAGGACTTTGAGGAGAGTAACAGTACGGCTCCGAGGACGAGTCTCGGGCACTGCTAATGCTGTCCTCGTAGCTGTGTCGAGCGAACTTGGGCCTGTGACGCTGTCGGTCTTGGTCACCACAGACGACAGAGCGCTGGCGACCTGTTCGCTGGTGTTCATTCAGCCTGAACTGTTGAGAACCCTGGCTCGAAGTAGCATGGGTCTTCTGGACTTCAAGGCTGCGGTAGAAATTGGCAGTCTCAGTGGCTTTCGCCACGATGTTTGCACCGATCCTCATAATGCCATGACCAGGCTGACCTTCCGGTATGCACATGGAAGGGAAATCAGTGCCAAATATGGGCGTCAGGACGTAGCGAATCTTCCAGCAAAATTGGGCAGCCATGGCCTTGGCCACATCGTACGGCCACCAGTAGCCTAGAAGACAGGGTCAGGATACCTTGGAGTGCTTCGGGGGTCGGGATTTAGTTTACCTTGAGCCAAAATTGCTCCGCCGGTGATGCTGTGACAGATATCTTCCAGGCCCCTGTTGTTTCTCAGTGCCTTGCCAGGTACAGTCTGCAAGCTTTGTGTTAGGTCCTCCTACTCTAGAATCATTCTTCACACATGAATAAAATACCTTTGCGTAGCCCAAGCACTTAAAGAGATGCGTAGTGCGCACAAGTCCAACATTGTAATCCCACATTACAGTCCACACAATATCACAGCCCGGTCTCTTGAACGTGTAATGGAAGACTGGAGGATATCAGCGCCAGTTCCTGGCAGTAGAGGAGCGACAAGGAGTATACCATGGAAGCTATCACGACCTGTCTTCTCTTGAAACGACTTTTTGTCACTCTGGTATGGGATATGACGAGGGTATTTGGCGATCCCGCCCATGGGCTTCATTTGGAACTCCTCATGTATTCTGGCTAGGTCCTCATCTCGCTCTTCGCAAGGTGGGTAGCGGACCTCCCCCCACAGTAGCTGCGAGTCGAAATGTCGGGCTGTCTCTCGGCATCTTGACCTTCGTCGGAGGGGTTGAGGCAGTATTCGTTGGTAAAGCAGTTTTCAACCGCCTGAATGCTGCGAACGGGGTGTTAGAGAACTCGGTGAGGCGTGGCTCTTGGAGCTCCGAATGGTATTGCCTCGAGGGCTCTGGGAGGCATGTATTGGGAAACCCAGGGCCCAGAGCGGGCGGGTTAGGTAACACTACTGCTCGTAAATCTAGTGAATCTGGTGAATCTGGTGAATCTGGATCTGGATTCAACAGATCCTTGATTGATGCCATGAGGTCGGAGAGGCAGTGAGCGAGAATGGCCTCGAGGAAGGGCAAAAGTTTGATGAAGAAAATCCAGCGGCGAGAGAGAGGACGTGTGGAAGAAAAGACGTTTTCCAGAAGCTGGTGGAGAAAGGAAAGTTCCAAAATCAGAGACAAGTCAGTTTGATATCACGCTACGGGCCTTTGTCCTCAGGTTTGTCCCTCAGGCTGAGTACAGTGTTTGAAGTCGAGGGGCTAGCGGTGTGTCTAGGCTTCGCATCTTCACTACATGGAAATACACGGAACGCATGGCTTCTGGAATCACCTCAACGGTTAGTTCTATCACGAGGCTGTTGAAGTCGGACGAGTCCCCGTGGGTCTGGTTGTCTCTTCCACGCTCTTGGCTTCGACTCTGGGCTGGTTATGCTGTGTTGCTTGCACTAGTTTTCTTGATCCCCCCCTAGATGATGTTATGACTGTAAGCTTCGAGGTCTCATCGGTTTCACCGCTGCTGTGGGTACTCAAAACTTGGAAGTTCAAAGAACAAGGTGATGGTTTTTTTTATGTGTTGCTATGGTAGCGCACCGATGTTTCTGGCCACCGCCATCTCTTAGAGCATCTATGCATGCAAACAGGCTGTTGGCGGTGTGATATACGTGTAGCAATATAGTTCTTCAATATTCTCTTGACTCCTTTTGTTTTCTATGGTCAAGGATCGTACATGCGTTGTTTCGGGTCGAAGAGAAGCTATATCGAACCAAGTATCCCACGAGAGTTTGGCCTTCGGGTGAGAGATCGAAGCAGAAAATACTGGCGCAACCGGAGGATCTGGAGCATTAGTTGACGTCCAATGATAGATCTTGCTTCTGCTGGTTCCAGCGAAATGGGCATCAAAGAGGTCTGAGACCTCGGATGGCCGCAGAATATCGATGCCTTGTATAGCGGGAGTCTGCATGTTCTGCTAACGAGTCCTTCCTCCTCCGTCTATGTGAAGTTGTAATGCAATTGATGGACTCCCGTAGTGCTGAACACAGACTATCATGTTGTCCCCCAGATGTGGCTTGTTCCAGGGGCCCAGATTTTCACACAATATCTTCCAAACGGAGGCATTTTTGCATCACCTCCCACTTTCTTATGACTTCAAAGCACGAGACCGCTCTTTAAGATACCCAGGCTGCATCACAAAATAAATATCATGGTTAGTTTCAGAGTCAGGAAGCTTCCATGCATGCTTCGCTGCACAAGTCAGACACGTTGGCGGTGGCTCATCCGTTCCTGTTAGGGCTCGGGTCTTTCCCAGCTTCTCTGCCTTTGACTCCAGTCCATTCTTGAACTTTCATTGTATCTATTTGCACGATCTACCCTGTATACACGATAGTTTCAGGGGCTCTCGCCAATTAGTTCTGAGGATAGCGACAGCCTAGAGCACAGCATGAACGGTGCAGATACCATCCAAAAGACTCATTGCCAATTAACTGGAGATCTAGGCAGCATCTCCCTTGAACGATTCATTACCAGGGCTATTTGGCCCTAGGAACCTATGTTTACTTCGGTCCACAGCCTAACGATACGAGACTGAGACCGAGATGCCAAAGAAAACGACAGCATTCGAATGTCTTAGACAGGCTGGCAATGGGTGGCTGCTCTTTTAGGCCCCAAAGAGCGGTATGCCTGGGCATGCGTGTTCAGTACTTTGAATCTGCTCTCCTGTTCTACTCGCCTTCTAGAAAGCGAAAGGCTAGAGATCTCAATTGGGATGCTGCTGTGAGGGCTCGAGCCTCGTCAGGGTCTTCGTCCCCAACGACACTCCAAAAGCACCCTCGACAGCCTCCCTCAACGGTGTCACTTTTTGGCTCATCCAGTCTGAGCTTTATGGCCCTTACCATCGATAGCTCGGTGTTGGTCACGAATACAGCTCCAATAGACATCGCATGAAGCTAGTGGTAGTTGAGACATCATCCGCGCACAACTCATTGAGACTCGAAGTCCCCTGACCAAAAACACACACTCGTAATGAAACCCTGTCGAAGCTACAAGGTCTTGACTTCAATCCATGCAAGCCTGGTTGGAATCTGAGGGACTTCGTTCCTACACGTGCGTATGGCGATACTAACCCAAGCGCCTTCATCCTACGCGGGCTCTACATCTAATTCAATATGGGTTATGCAACAACCAAACTATCTTAAGAATGCCTTGGCTTCAAGTTGAACACATGTCCTTACTGAACTCATCATAACAGGACCAGTCTTCAAGCTCAGGGCGGAGGAGTGTAGAGGTAACAGACGCGAATCTCAGGCCGGGCTGAATCACGATGCGGAGAGTTGGGAAACTGGTGGACCGGGATGAAACCCAACGGTCGCCTCGTACGGCGCGGGGGCGCGTTACTCATGCGGGAAAAATATGAGGCCACTTGCAGGTCCCATGTCCAGCAGTTGCCCAAGTTGGTCGAGTCGAGGCTCTTGCGCGTCTTGCACAAATCTTAATTCTCGGACACAAGCGAACTGATCTATTCGAGTGTTCGATATTACTTTTGTTCCTACAGGCTCGAGGACCGGCACATTGTAGGACAAGTTCATATGGGGGTCTATGAGGTGGGCAAGCTTCACATTCATAGGAATTAGAACAATATCGACCCGAATCGAAATAAACAAAGGGGGTCAAGAAGACGGAATAGACAGATACAGGGTAAGAAAGTAAGAGGTGAATGAACAGAAAAAGACCGGAGTCATGAAAATCCTTTCATCGTCCGAGCGTTCCACATGGGTAGTTTTCGACATCGATACAAGCGGTGCCGGGGCCTGACATACATCCCAAATGATTTGTAGAGCTAGTAAAGGGCCCTGACACCTTGGTCGCGTGCCGTCAAGCATTGTTGAGTGTCAACAGCGCAAGGCATGTTCCCATCTTTCCCAAATCGGGGACTATTATTAACAGCCGTCCAGTTCGGGAATTTGGGGCATTTTGAGACGTGTGCGTTTAGATGGCCAGGAGAGGCTCCCGCTCTGCCTGATGTGCCGCGGGCTCGGTCGACTCAATAGACTGGACAACGGGCTCGATTTTGGGGGCTTCTGGGAAGTCCTCGGTCTTGATAGCGGGCTCCGAAACGGGCTCAGTCTTCACGGGGGTGGGAGCAGCCTTGCTCATCTCGGGGGAGGCGGACCGGCGGCCGATGTACTCCTGGGCCTTGGAGCTGTACTCGCCGACGTACTGCTTCATGACATCAGTGGCGTGGGAGGTACGCTCACCAGCAAGATCCTTCAGCTGGTTGGTTTGCGAGGTGATGATGGACTGAAGATTGGCGATCTGCTCGTCAATGATATCACGGTTGCTAATGTACACAAGGGGAGCAAAATAGGTGGTGGTCACGGCGATCACGGCCAACCCCCACAGCGGGACGAAGCGGATGAGCCAGTAGCCGGTGAAGGCAGCGAAGAAAGCCTGAGACGCGTTAGAATCTCATAGTGTTATTCAGATAGGCAGCATTCAATACATACGCCGACAGTGTGGGCGACATTCTCAGCGAAGAGGATGCGCTGGAACTCGATCAGGAAGAAGTCCAGAAGCTGCGAGATGTCCTCAAAAACAGCCTCGTGGGTCTCCTTGGGGATGGTGTAGTAGCGGCGGGGGCGGAAAGAGCTGGCGATGCCCTGCTTGAGAACAACATGGCCGGCAATTTCAACAGCGGCGGTCACTACCGGACAAAGTCAGTTGGCCACTCCGGAAACCACGAGTCACGCGACCAACTCACATCCCAACGACATGTACAAAAATTTGAAAGCCCAGCGAAGGAGAGGCAGGTAGCGAGCGGCAAAGATGAAGCCGACAACGCTAGCGTAGGAAACGGCGGTCGCACGGGGTTGCTCCCACTGTACATCGGAGGGGTCAGCAAAAAAGTTCACACTCGCCAAAAATACTCAGGCCAACTCACACTCAGAAGGCTATACAGCAAAGAGTGGTAGTCTGCATTTCAATCAGCTATCTGCTTTTCGCATCGCCCAAGCTCGGACTGGCAGAAAGCACATACGGGTCAATGGCTGGCCATTGTCGGTAGTGGTGGAAGGGATCACCCGCGAGTTCTTCAAGTCGCGAAGCTCATTGCTGGTCTTGGACGCTTCAGATTTAACGGTATCAATAACGGGGCCTAGCAAACGCGAATTAGATGGCATGGTTCAAGAAACGCCTCCGTACACCCGCGAAGGGTCTGTTTACCCTTTGTCACCACATCGCTAATGCCTGAACAAGGGCAATTCCAGGGTCAGTCGAGTGTCATTGTGAGAGTAGATGGACAGGATTTGAAAAGCGGGAAAGGACAAGAACTGTCGACCTTGTTAGTATCCCGTGGAGCAGGAGTCAGGAGTTGTAGTACCTTACTACCGGTGTTCGGGTAGCTCACGTCACCAGAGTCGGCCATTTTTGGGTCTGAAGAAGTCAAGGATCACACGAAAGAGACGACTGAATGGAAGGCGGCGGAAGGTGAAGAGAAATGAAGAGGAGAAATGGAAAAAGGAGCGCGATAAGAGATTGGAATTGTTTTGGTGTGGATTGTCATGTGCGCCCAAGGGTTCCCGAACACCTTTGACATCATCAGTTACGATTCAAGTTCGTATACCTCGTCCTTCCCTGATTATCAGCTCGAATGACTATATCCCCGGTCTTCTATATTTCCCATGATTCCCGGATTTCCCCTCTTGTGTTCCATCCCGAGTTCTTGTCCAGTCTAGATTTCGGCAGAAAGTAAGAAGACCCTAGCTCTCCGGTAACTCGCGGCCAGCCCGGCCCACGCGCAGTGCATTTTCACGCGTTCATCGGTGCCTAGGGAAACTCCTAGAAGATACGCTTCGCCTCTTGATAAATCTACAAATCGTACCCCATTGTTATCTTCTACCCTGTTTTTGCCATCAGATACCCATTATATTGTGTCTTTATGCCTCTGTTTCGGCTTTACCTAGCCTTATCCGGTAAAAGTGGTCTGCAATGGGGCAATAGGCACCGACTTCTGAATTACCTGCCAAGATATCTTGGTAATGGCCAAAACCAAATCGAAGTCCACATTGGCTATCTCATCTTGTTGATTGGGAATTGTTATGTAGTGTGATTATTTCGGAAAGGAGAGCTATAAGAGCAAGCTAATTGCACGCCCCTCGATCTTGTAGATGTCGTACAATTCTCCATGACGCAATATATTTTTTTTTCACCAACAAATCCACATGAGAGGCTTAGGCGAGGATACAATTGTATATTGTAGGGCTTATGTTCTTCTAGGCACAGAGATTCTTGATTAGCAGACCATCTAAACATCACTCACCAAACAGTGGGTTGGTCCTCGAAGTGGCTCGATGAGGGGATTCCCCGCTTTCAGCCTCAAACTCCAGACAACACAGACAACACAGACCCTGAAACGACATCTCGGTCGGAAGAAGAGAGCACCCAACGCCAAGATGGAACCGACTCTTTCGTCCATTATCTTTACAGACTATGCAGATCAGAGTCAGAGTCCTCTCTTCTCGATCCTTCCTCCGGAGATTCGCTCCGAGATATTCGCCTACGCCCTGGCCAGTGCCCCTGACACTACTCAGCCCATCGACCAGGATGAGTATTGCATCCGACCCGGGTACGAGACTCGTCACTTTAGCTGGACACAGTTGCTTCGAACTTGTAAGCGAGTCTACATGGAGGCGTGGTTCATGCCATTCATCTGGTCCGAGCATACATTCTATATGGCCCAAGCAGAACGGTCTCCCCGCCGAATCATGTCTGTCAAGAACATGCAGGAATGTCTTGATTTGATCTATCATCGACATGGCGAGGTTCAAGGCGGTCAGATACGAATATTTGCTCAGCTTTTTATGCTCGAAAACTCTCGGGACTTTCTGGGACTTTTCAACCCGGGCCTGCGCCATTTCCACCCCAAATCTGTCACCATCACTTTACGATACACCGATACCTGGGAATGGGAAACTAATAGAGCCCTCCATGTCTCTGGCAAATGGTGTCGATGGATGGTGCTGCCGAAGAGTGTGACAAGCTTCAAGATAGACATTGAAAGCATCGAGCGCCGCAAAGACGAGGTGGACTACATTGCGATCGAGGCCGCAAAGAAATGGCACTTCAGACGTACTGATGGTATCAATCTCCTGGCTCAACCATCTGATATTTCCATCTCACGATGGACTGGGAGCTCCATCTTGGGCGGCAGGCGTTGGGTCCGAGACGAAGTACGACCAGGTCAGCTTGATTATTATGTTGCGACGGTGAACTGGCGACCTTCCCAGGACTCTATCGGTGATCGCCCACAGAGGAACCCGGATCTGACTGTGAACTGGGCTCGACAATTGCCTCCTAGTCTCAGGGTACGATTGTCTTCCGGAAGATACACTGCAAAGAATCAATATTTCCATGGACACCCCCGCCGAGGAGGCAGTCGCGCGATTCGCTACTCTGACTGTCACAGAGAGGTCATTGGTAGTCATGTAGACAATGAGATAGATATCGACTGTGAGAGGATAATCAAGTCAGCAATTAAAGAAAATCACTGAAACGCAGGACAAAATCGAGAATCTTGGCATAGTTGCACGTGACCTTGGGATACGCGTTTCCTAGTTGGGATGTGTGTTTTGATCCTCCACCAACCTTCATTCTCGACGCCAGAACCGGAGCCTCGACACGTCACACCCATTTGACGCCCGATGCTCTATCAGCTGTAGTATTTTGATCCGTCCCACAACATCAACACCTCTCGCGCCCACCGGCCCCGATTCTCCGACGACACTCGGCGCGTTGTTTACATCATGGCCGCAGCCGGTGCGCGGGCACAAAAGCCCGTCGGCTCTGCCGCATGGATCGCGGCGGAGAAGGAGAACATGGCGGAGATGCTTGAACAGGAAATAGAAGAAGTCGAATACCCCGTTCGGCATGAAATGGAATGGTTGAACGAACACATGGCGGAGATCTTCTCAAAGGGCCAAGCGTAAGTCGCGACCCTTCACTTGGGCGGGAATTGATCTCAACGCTGACCCTCATCGCAGGAACTTCACCGATGTCTTCAAAACCCCCGGGAAGATGAGGGGCAAGACCCCTCGCACAGCTCGAAAGCGAAATGTGGAAGAGAACCGGGTGGTGAGTTGCGATGTTCGGTCATTAATTTGTGGTTAATCTAATCGATGTCCGCAGCCGCTGAGCGAGATTTTCTCATCTGCTCACAAACAAACGGAAAACAAGGCGATCAGTCCCAGCCCTTTCATCCACCGCGTGGTCTCAAAACCCATCTCCGCAGCTCCAGGCCCAGTCACAACATTAGCCCCCCTTCGCATGAATGAAGCAGAGAAGATGCTACAACCTCAATATCCAGATCTCAGTCAAAACTTGAATTCTTTCACGAAGTATAATACAGACTCAGGCTATCATGGCATGGAGGATGACGACGAAATGGTTTTGCCAGACACTCAGCCAGACACACAAGTCTCCACACAACCTTCGGAGGCGGGCGAGCCCATGGAAACGAATACCCACGCCGATCACTCCATCAGAGAGCAAACGGCAGACGATTCCTTCCACTCTGCGCAGGAGAATGTTCGAGCTCGCGGCGAGACTATCGAGCCGATCATTACGGACTCGACCGCGCGGGAAGAGCGTGCTATCCGTTCCAAGGAGGCCAAGCCCGAACACGCTGAGTCCGATATGAATGACCTTACAGTCAGGGCGCAGTCAAATCCAAAGCAACAAGAGATCATGGCAGAACAGCAGAACAACAAGACGCAGAAGGTTGACGAGCAGACTTCAAATGCCAATCCTTTACCGGAGAAGTTCCCAACTATTGAGCCTCCCAATGCTCAGCAACCCAAGAACGATGACATGGAGATGGAAGAGCCAGTAAAGGAAGACATCCTGGACGACATTGACGATATTGACGATATCGGATCTCCTTCGGACGGTTCTACTCCCGAAAGGCTCCCAGTGCGCAAGAGCAGTTTGAGTTTCGCCTCTCTCCCTGCCCGGGAACCTCTTACGAAGACCATGGGAGGCTCGAGACTCTCTCGTACTAGTCACATTGACCTTCCCAAGCTTAGCAATGGTAATCGCCTCAGCTACTTCGGCCGCCAAACTGGAGGCCACCGGACAGCTCAAGCCACATCCGATGACACTGTGGCTGACTCCGGCTCTATGGATGTCGACGATGCAAAGGAACATAGAGAAGACACAGAAATTGACCAGGCCAGCAAGCTTCACAACAAGAAGTCTACCCAAAGTCTTCATGAAAGAATCAGCATGCTCGGTAAACAGCATGCCTCTCGAACTGGAAAGTCAATCCCATCTGTGGCTGGTTTGGCCAACGGCCAGTCTGCCGGCCAGGTGGCCTATCCAGACTTGCAGACCTCCAAGGCAGAGAACAGGCCAGAATACCGGCAGAAGCCAGCAGAGCCTGTGGCAGCGGCACCGACAGCAGGTGACGAGGAGGACTGGATCAAGCCTTTGGCTTCGCCCAGCGAACCGACCCTTACAAGGAGCAAGACCACAGACGTTATGGAGAGACTGTTTGATTTGGATCGAGTCCCATCTGCTGAGAAGGTCGGTGCTCTGTCAGGAAAACCACAGCATTCTGCCCAGCCAGAGCGTCCAAAGACCGCAACTTCAATTTTCTCTTCCCCTCGTCCACACGGTCACCAGCAAAGTGTTTCCACATCTCATATTGCTTTTGGCGGCTCAACAACACCAACTGGATCTCCTAGACGCTTTGACGGGCCGCTGAGTGCATCAAAGATGAGACTTCAATCGATCATGAAGTCTGCCAAGGGCTTGTTCACCAGCACTGGCAGCCCAGGACGAGGGGGACACCTCAAGCCCCGAGCAGCTGAGGACTCGACCTGTGAGCGCTGCGGTCGTTGGTAAGCATGATGATGAGGAACCCCAATCACGACAGATCTCTAGTCCACCACGACAAGAGACCCGACGGACACGGAGCTCTACCGAGAAGGAAGAGAAGCGCCTGCAAAAAGAACGCGAGGAGCGTGAGGAGCGCCAGCAAGAAGAAGCCCGGCAGGAGAAAGCTCGGGAGCAAGAAAAGCTGCGGGCTCAGCAACTGAGGACGGTCCAAGACAAGTCCTCCGTCGAGCCCGAGGAGCGCTCGTCCCAGAAGTCGGCCCAGCCCCAGCGACAACAGCCTCGTAGGCCTGATTCGGCTCAGGAAACGTCTAAATTTTCGATTCCCCAGCTCAAGCAAAACGATCGACGTCCCAAACCGACCCGAGAGCCGGTCCAAAACCCGAGCCCCAGCCGGTCTCAATTCGTGTGGGGAGCACACTTTCCCGTATGCCAATGCCCTCGTCCTCGGTCTCCAATATTCAGGAGACAGGTGCTCCCGCTCCTGTTCCTATGTCCAAGACGAATGTGAAGAAGGTTAGCAACCAGACTCTTCAAACGTCTTCCTCTGTGGGTAGCTTCAAAAGCACCGCGTCAAGTCAAACGCAGGCGCAGCGTAAGGCGCAGCTTGCAAGTGAGCGAAAGAGGGAGCAAGATGAACGTCGAAAGGAGGAGCAGAAGCGAGATCAGGAACGCAAGCGTGCTGCTCAGCAACAAGAAGAGGTCCGTCGGCAAGAGATGCGTAGTCGCGCCGAGAGTCGTGCCGAGAGCCGTGCCGAAGCTGAGCGAGAGCGACGGGAGCGATCAGCTCAAGAAGACCCCAAGAAGGCTGCCCAGATGCAAGCAATTGAGAAGCGACGACTGGAGAATGCCCGGAAGCACGAAAGGCAGGGGAGCCAGCAGCCCACCAATGAGGTATGTAGGGTCTGCGGCGACCTTTTGACAATTTGGCTAATATGAGCAGGAGCCGATATTGCAGCACGAAAGAGCGCCTTCGCAGTCTCAACGGAATGATCTTGGAGCGACGAGGCCTGCATCTCGCTTGGGCTCAACCCAACAGTATCGACCAATCAACCCGCCTGCTCCTAACCCAGCCAAGCCGCCCAAGAGAAACCACGATGAAGACGCAGGTCATCATCGTGCGGCTGTCGTCAAGCCCAGTAACGTACAGGCTTCTGGTGAGGTCAAGCGTCGCAAGACCGAAGATGAACACAACCCTATGCAGTCAGTGCGGCCTTCAATGCATCCGCCGATCCGCCAGTCTGGTGCTCGTAAGGTATGTCGCCGTATCTTATCATGAATCTCCGTGGACCATGTGCTAACTTAGAACTCTTCAAAGCCCCCCTCCATGTTTGGCCTTTCTGGTATGGGTCAGCCACCAAAGTATGGCCAGCCTCAGCGGCCGGGAGATCTCTCTAAGTTCGCATCCGGTAAGATTCCATTCGCCGAGCCAAATCACGCACCACCGCCGGCGCAAAAGGCTGCGCCTAGCTCTGCCCAGCGGGCCCCGCCTGTGGCCAAGCCATCACCGAAATACCCTAAGGGTGAAAACATCCACCTACCTGAGATTGCTACAGACAGCGAGGATGAGGACGACTCTGACTCTGAGATGTTCCCCGTTCCGGGGTGGGCGCAGCCTAAAGCTCTGGATGAAATCCTACGCGTGCAGGACGGCATGGAAGTCGACTCGATTTTCGGTCCCATCGCTCCCTTCTCCTTGGAGGAAACTTTCAAGGCGGACAAGAAGATCAAGAAATACCGTGATCGCACTAGTAGTGCCAACTGGAATGGACCGGATGGACTTACCCAGGAAGAGATCCGAAGAGATGTTGCAGAGCGGCAACGATTGCGCCTCAATGGCGGATGGTCCTTTCGATAGGTGAGACGGCGGGACCGTATACAGTATATTGAAGCGCTCCGCAGGCGGTCGAGATATCATATTGAACAGTAGAGACGTTCATGGAATAGTCAACTTGCAGAGATGGTGTTTAGGTGTTGGGGAGGGTTGATTCATCGGCGTTTATGTATCTTTTTACTTGACGAGTAGTCTATGCTCCGATCTTAGACGCAGTCGCATACATTCATCCATGCATATGGCAGTTAATCAGGCTGCTCGGAAAATTAATTTGTTGGTCTTTTTCTCTGAATTGTTTCAGGGCACTCGAAGCGGTATCTGCAGTTGGCTTGTTCCTCCACGACATCCTCAAATCAAGTGGATCGCGTATTTTGGCGCAACAGGTTGGAAATGACTTCATAGTGACACAGTGGGCTCACATTGACATGAACCAGCATCATTGGTCTAGTGGTAGAATTCGTCGTTGCCATCGACGAGGCCCGTGTTCGATTCACGGATGATGCAAAGTAATTTCTTTTTTGCCCCCTTCCACCTTGCCCAAGTGTGGGAGAAATCCAAGGCCTTTCTTCTGTTTTTCCTTTCTTTTTTTTTCTGTCAATACTCTAATTCTTTGACCATTCTTTGACCCAATATATCTGCTTACGCGTATGCTGAATCGGCTGGGCAATCCCGAGCGATCCAGGGATCACCAAACATATATCCGTGCGTCCCAGTGCAAAAGAAGCGCTGGCTAGTTTGTACATGTAGCAGGGAAGCAAAAAACCCACCTTGATAGCCATTGATATCATCGACATGCCCAGTGCATTATAGAAGTCGAAATCGCCAGGGGGACACGAGCAATATTTCTTACATAGGTGCATCGCTGCAGCCGCTTCAGTATGGGTAGATTGTGCGGTATGAGATTCTTTTTTTTTTTATACCTGGCCCGATCTGGGACCGTAATGACCCTGGAAGAAAGCAGATCCAGCGATCGAATTAGAAGAATTCCACCCTGAGGAGCCCAACCTAGCCGCGCCACCGACCCGAATATTGTACAAGACAAGCTCCCGAAAAGACATGTATAGTCAAACCTACTCCATGTCGGGCTCCATATCACTGGCGCCCCCCCCAGCACCCTCATCCATGGCGTCAGGGTTCAGATTCGCAGCGTCGGAAGAGATGCCGAGCTTATCGGCTGACTTGTCGTGGGAGATGGTGCGCCAGCCTGCAGGGACAGAAGGATCTTTAAGATACTCAGACATGGGGAACTACAAATGGACTGATTAGAGCTTAACATAAAATACCGTAAGGGGATTGACTCACGTAGTGATCGTTTTTCTTCATGGTCACTACCCATGGAACGTTGTCAAAGGTAACGGCACGAAGACGGAAGTATGTGTTGTCCGGAATCCCAGCAACTTGCTCAACAAAGCTATCCAGATTGGGCGTCGGGACACCATTTACAGCAGTGATGAAGTTGGTCGGGGCGAGACCATAGTGGTACGCAGGAGAACCACGGCTCTGAATACACCGTCAGTCAAATACGTCAATCTGCGATAGGTAGAGGGTGCTACTTACTCTAGCGCTCACGTAAATCTCACTGTGAAGCTTGGAAATTTGTTGCCGTACAGCGTGATGGGGCTTCTGCAGGACAGCACCGCAGAAAACGACAGCACGGTCAGTCTCAAGGTCTTCAGTGGGAACAGTGGGGACTCGGATACGCATCTCCTGACCGTTTCGGACGATCAAGGCATCCAGGAATTCCTTCTCATACATCATGTCGAGCTCCGAGACGCGCGTGATGAGCTGATCATCCAAAGTCAGAATAATATCGGCTTCCTGGAAGCTGTCGATACCCTCAGTGGTAGTAAAAGTCACCGGCGTGCAGTCAACTTTGCGCACCATGAAGAGTTGGTGTCGCGAGGGATTAGCTTGCGCGACTTTCTGGATCCACTCCTCAGAGACACCCATAATGCGTGCCTGGCTCATTTGCACGACATAGCTCTCCATGTTCAAGATGCGCAGCTTTGGAGTCACACCCTGTTGAATTTTGGAAGTGACGGGAAGCAATGACGGCGTGGCGAAACCAAGGTGGTACTCGACATCCTTGTGAGAGCTAGGTGTGCGTTCGCCGAGATAATTAAGCCACAATGCCTGCACCACGCCATCTTCCCCAATTAGAACACCGTTGGTGCATTGTCCACTCAGTCCAGTATCAACGGTGATGGCATCAAGGTTGATGGCACGGTAGCGGGGAGCGGAAGCGTTGGCGGGGATCGAGACAGTGGTAATATCGGTGACGGCTGTCTTGGCCACAACGATGCGGAAGTTCTGGTTGAAGCCGACAAAGATGGTGTCTTGTCCCTGCTTGATATAATCGGTGCTGAGTCGGGCGCTCTGGACAGGCGCATCCACTAGCTTGGGATCATATTGAATGATAGTATAGTTTTGAAGCGGATGCAGGAAGACAACCTTGGCGCTAACGATGACCGAATCGGCAACTGTGATGTTGATGTCGCATAGATCGTAGGGGACAATCGCTCGCGACACCACGACCAGACCCTTCTCGGCATCGATGACCAGACCGAAGCCAGTCTTCTTAGCCTGAGGATATCCATCGAGCTTCAACGGCATGGTACAAGAGACTCGCACGAAGCTGCGGACAATCTCTGCAGCAGCAGGCTGGCTCACACCATCCAACTGGATGAAGTCCGCCTTGCGGGGAACAGGCGGCTCGGCCGGAATCGGGTCAGCGAGATCTGAGAAGTCCCAGATACCGGATGTATCATTACGAACAGCGAGACGCATCTTCGGGTGCCAGTGACGGTCGACGTATATGATGCTCGTCCCCTTGGTGTGGAGGTCTCTAATATGACGATATGAGATGACAACCCGCGCGCGGTCCGGAATGGTCTTCATAACCTCGACAAACTCATTCAAGTTCCGAGTTGGACGCTTGTCAACCGAGTCAATGATCCACCCCGATAGCGTGTTCTCCAGTTTGAAGGAACCAGCCGCTTCACAAACATACACACCGCGAGTGGCGATGGCATAGAGGCGAGATTGCTGGTATGAAAGGTCATGGAAAGTACCTCCAGCCACAGTCACAAATCGATCGGGGGAGATGGCGTGAAGGTCGCCAACCTCACATTCCACTTCAACATTTTCTCCTCCTCTTTGTACCAGTAGATTGACCGTCTTGCCCACACTTGAGTCCAGGATATCGTCCAGACGAATAAATTGAGTCAAAAGCTCTCCATTCACTTGCAGCAACACATCTCCCTCAAGGATTTTGCCATCTGCAGGCCCCTCGGGGAGGATGATTTCAGCTGCAAGCATGTTGGTCTCGGAAGGCGCTGCTTACGCACAATCGCCTCCCATTCAGGAGTCAAACCTAGACGACGGCACTCATCAAAAGGCTTGAGAATCCACTGAGTCTGAATAGTGCCTCGAGTGACGGGCTTGCTTTGACGGATACATTCTAAGGCGCGAAGGGGCGATCTAATGGCAAGAAATAGTCGGTTGCGGCACCATCAGCTCGACCACCAGCTTGCAACGCGACGGCGTGGCCGTCAATGTTGACAACAGGACTTCCGGAACTACCACCACTGGCAGCAGCCGCAGCCTGGATGTAATTTGTGTTGAAGTCACTGTATCCCTCGCCATACTCTGGCGCATTTCGGTCCAATCGACTGATTACACCGGACAAAATGCTCAGCTTCTCCCTGCATCGTTGCCGACTACGCGGATCTCAGCGCCGACCCGAGCTGCGTCCGGCTGAAGCTTAAGCGCCGTGAGGGTCATGTACCGAATGGCCTTGGGATCGAATTGAAGGATGCCGAAATCGTGAACGGGGTCTCGATAGACTGGACGGACGTCACACTAGCAATTGAAGATATTCATTAATCGCCGGTCAAGGCTCCAGACAATCTGTTGGAATGACTTACCTCCTCGTGGTTGTCAAAGATGACGTATCCCCAGAATGGACCAGCGCCCACTACATGTCGATTCGTCAAGATGTATCCGCGCTCAGCATCAACGACGAAACCAGTCGCCTGACTGCTCATGGAGAGCTCGGTGTCAAAAGAGCAGGTCTGGCAGAAGTGGATAGACACGACGCTCTTGACCACCGATTCAATTGTGGCCTGCCACTCGGGTGAGTCTGCTTGCACAGGGCCAACGGCCATGATGCGATCGGTCTCATCGTCCTCTTCGATGTCATATACCGTTCCATTGGCCGGGGTTGAGTCTCCGGGAGTTAGCGCCGTGCCCTCAGGCTTCAGGTGCTTGAGGGGCCGCTCCGCAGCACCGGCGACGGCACTGCGCTTGCGCTTGGCGCCGATATCACCGCTTGCATCCATTATTCGAGCAGTCGATATGGACAATCGTGAGGAAAGGCGAGCTCGGAGGGATAACGGAGGAGCGTGGGAAGAGATTTGGCGGGAGGAGCGTAGGGAAGGCGGAGAAGACAGCAAAGAAGGAGCAACAGGCCAATGCGCGGTAGATAGCTTGAGGCTTCTTCTACACACCCACAAAGACATTCGCGTCGCAAATTGAATCTTTGAATGTTTGGAAGAGGCGGAGTGAGGGAGAAGCGCTGATTGGGCGGTGGGTGTTCACACGATGCGATCATTTGGCGTGGCCACGCGCTGCCGATCTTCGTCTGCTTTTTTATATCAACATCAACTACGTCTACGACTGTATCTAGCTATAGCTTGCTTGCGAGCTAGTTCTTTATCTCGCTATTTCATACAGCTATCCGTAATTAAACTGTAAGTCGAATAGAGATAAAGTGCATTTGCTTGTGGGGAATACGTAGAAATACAAGCTCTGGTTGAGGGGTCATGCTCCCTCGAGGGTCCTCATTCTGGGTTCCCTTCAAATTGTCCCCTAGCGGCCTAGTTCCTGCACGAGATACCTTGGTGGTGGCAACCTGGCCCAAATATACCAAGGCAAGTGCTGATGCAGTGACACAAACAGGACGGGAGAGTGGGGAGCTGTGCGGGAGGCGCCGTCATGGGCTTCTGCAACACAGGGAACTCACATGAGTCCGGATCGCCCGCCTGACCAGCGGATCGGGAACGGAGGTGTTCTGACAGGGGATTTAGTCGTCCTTTATCTCAGGGAAGAGATTCGGAAGCAAGCCTCGACCTTCAGACTACCGACTCTGACACGGGCGAAGGACTGGGTCCACCGTTGCCATGTGACATCCCCGGGCTGAGATTCTGAGGTGTGCCAGCTTGACTGGGGCGCGGGAACATTTCGTTCAGCTTATTATATAAGTCGTTCACGGCGGGTACACTCGCAGGGGCGGTTAAGATCGCTGGTGCTTGAGGAGCACCAGCACCCGGCTTCTTCGCTCGCTCCGCGATCGTTGCAAGATATGCCAGGTTGGCTTGCAGTCGTCGCATACATTCAATATATTCCTGGCTCGGCTTCTGCGGGAGTGGGCTTGGGGGCACCACCCTGCTCTGTATTTGCGTCCGCGGTAGGCGCAGTGCCTGCCTTCCCCGCCGCTTGTAGATTCACGACCTCCTGCAACAGCGTCGAGTTGATCTCGAGAAGGATCGTCACCCGGGCCTTTTCACGTGCTGCTGCTTGGGCTTGGGCTTGAGCTTGAACCTGAGCTTGAACCTGAGCTTGAGCTTGGGCTTGAGCTTGGGCTTGGGCTTGAGCTTGGGCTTGAGCTTGGGCTTGAGCTTGGACTTGAGCTTGGGCTTGGGCTTGGGCTTGAGCTTGGGCTTGAGCTTGAGCGTGGGCGTGGGCCTGAACAGGGGTCCCGGGCTGGGTGGTTTGAGGTGAATTAATTTGAGAGTTCATCTGGGAGTTCATCTGCGGAGGCTTCGGTTGGTTGGCAAGCATGTTGGCATTTATAGTAGCCATATTTTGGTTGAAGGTCTGTTGGACAGCGGAGGGTTGGCTGGGAGCGGTACCAGGTTGCGTGTACTGAGGCATCGATGCGGGGATGCCAGGCTGATTGAACGACGCCGAGAAAGCATCCATTGGTGCTGCTGTCACATTAGCGGTCAGATCCCACGTCAAATAACCAGGGCGGACAAATCCCAGCGACCAATATTGCCAAGACCAATGTCGAAGCAAAAGCTGGCGCCATTGACGATGACAATTAGAGGTGTAGAGTTCCCGCTAGAAAGAAGCAAGTACGACCCATGGGGGCGCCAGGAAATACATCAAACCCGTCTTAAGCCTCTGACGTGCACCCACAGTACCAGTTCGGCCCAGATTTCCTGTTTCTGAGCGCGCGAGGTTTTGAGGGTAGCAGGTTGACCCCACCGGAAGGTGACAGGTGTGCTGGGCTATTCCAAGAAAAGGGAGGGGGGACAAAGGGGGAGAACGCTTACCAGTTGACTGTTGAGGAAAGCCTTGGGGCATCATAGCTCCACTGGGACCGCCTGGCTGCAGAGGCATGGCGCCGAAGGAATGTTGCTGTTGTCCAGTTTGTTGTGGTGTCTTGGACTGGGGGTACTGGGGGACCGAGTTCGGATAGAACGCCATTTGGTTCTGGGGACTTTGGGTCGGCATGGGGAAGCCAGCAGGAAAGCCAGCATTGGGATCCATCGTGTGGTAAGGCGTGCCCGTCGGAGTGCCGGACTATTGGCGTTTAAAAGGGGCCGAGGCGTCAGAGTTGGCCCGCTATAATCTCGTTCTCTCTCTCTTTTTCTTTTTTGGCTGGCCCTATCGCGCTTCTTTGACTCTAGTGAAGCAGCTGGAGGGCACCTAGATTACGCACGGACGAGGGCGCGAAGGGTGAGAGGACCTTCACGAGAATCCAGGGATAGACGGGATCGCGGAAATGAGGCGGCAGAGGAGGTCTGGATTGAGGGAAGGGATCTCGAAAATCAGGCACAATGATTGGCCCCAATTTCAGAGAAAGGCAGGGGATGCTGACACTCGATCGGCTATCTTTTTGACACAGCTGGAGTCGGAGCAACGACAGATTTTGGTGCGTGTGGTCCAGATCGAGAGTGATCAGCCGTGGGCGGACAGGCTAATGCAGCGGAACCCTTTGGGTTGGGAGTGGGGTCATGGACCCGTTGGTCGTGACTGATTATCTGACTCCGGTTGGACTTGCAGTCAAAAGATTGTGTATGTTCGTTAGATGCGAAACCCTTTGACACCTTTGAAGCCAAAGCAATGGAGAGTGACGGGGAAAATGACGGAGCCGGAGCGAGTCACGGGACCTGAAAACGGAGGGCGTCTCACCCTGGTAATATACGTGACATTCGATGACACTGAGGAAGTGATCCGCTGTATTGTGTAAGGGCTTACAGGATGAAATTTTGCATGTGACCTTTAGACTAGTCCTAAGTGGGCCATGTGCGTGCACGTGCACGTGGAGTGTGAGGGCCTGAGGCCTTGAAACGTTTGTCTTCTATAGACATACTCGTTATCATATATCGGTGCGGAGTGCTGATCACTAGATTTTCAGGAATCCCTCGCCGCTCATGTGCCTCATCTCACATTCTCTCAGCGCCAAAACTGCGCCTCAGTGTGGATCTCAGATGTGGCGTAAAGATGCCGTTCATTCTACCCATGGCTGAGAGATTTGGATGCCAGACATTGCCCTAGGTTGGATCTACAGTCAATTACCCCTGATGAGACATTGCGGTCCAATAGAAGCCAAATGACCCCCCTTGAGCTTCCGAGGCTAGTTTCCATGTATTTCAGACTGGCAACGGTGCAATTAATGCCTGGTCATTCCATTTGCTGTTGCTTTTTAAAACAACAACAGAAAAGATATCCGCGAGTGAACATGAGCTCTAAAGCACCATTGTGCATCGACGGGACACGCGATTGCGATTGTGAACTGGCGGTAGGAACAAGGTATCTTCAATGCTTTGCCGGTGAGCAACAGCTCCACTCATCAACCGTAATAATAAAGTGATGAGTCAAAAAGTCTTGGCAACCCCAGCGGTGTTTCTGACCAAAAGATGATATCAGATAATGACATTGACCCCTGGATGATCGATATTACCCCGCCCCAAGACTGTACCAATTGTACCAATTGTACCAATTATACCAATTATGCCAATCGGAGGCTTCAGATCGAGGGAATCTGCAATCTCTAGGGCGAACCACAAATAGAGGCATGTGACGGGGCTCGAAGACACCCCACCCCAATGCGCGTACCCGTAAACAGCTCCGGAGCTATGTTCCGTTTATTGTCCATCATCTTGGCCCACGGTTCTGGACATCTGGAACGGGCGTCCTGCAGCTCGCTTAAGTACTCTGTGGGCCGTCAAGAATCGCTGTGCCGCCACAAGCCCGTTTGAGATGGATCCAATTTTCCCAGTTTCCAGGAAATGCAAGTGGGAGATCCCTGCCTTAAACGCACGAGTAGGAATTTCGGGTTTTTCTGGGACGAGCTAATTGTTCGTTCAGCCAGCCACGGCGAGACTTCGGAGCTTCCTTTTTTTTTTCTTGGGTAAAGCGCTGAGTGTGCGGCTCAGCTCGATGAGTTGGTTGAACTGGAGCAGATACAATGAAGTCCAATATGGCATGTCGGGGACCTTCTATCGTCATGCGCTCGTTTTCGCTCGTTTTCGCTCGTTTTCGCTCGTTTTCGCTCGTTCTCGTCTCATGCAATGCAATTGGCAACTGTATACTACCCTGGCTACGCTTCCAGACGTTTGAATGTATACTGCAGATCATGTGCAGCAAGAGGCACGAAGATGAGTCCTGTCAGCTTAGAAAATGACAGCAAAATACGGAAAAAAAAAAAGACAACTGCACGGCCTTGCAGTGAACACATTCACCGTTGGGGATCCGGTTTCAAAAGTTCCATGTACCTATTGTTCATGGAGGGGCGTCTGACACTGGAGCTGACAGTGGACGATGCATCCAAACTCTATTTAGAGCCTTACGAAGATAAGCTATTGCCCCGGACAAAGGGAAAATTGCGAAGCACGAACGTCTGCTGTACACAGCCCATCCCTGGTTGGATAGTTTGTCAACCTAATACTGAACCCCCGATCGAGCGGCCCACATAATGTCTTGCAGCACGGAGCCCGGAGAAGTCTGATCAGTGTTCTCCGGAACCGTATCCGGAACTCCGAATCGAAAAATCAAATACGAGTAAGGGAGATCAAGAGATGATCTTCAATATGCGACCGAAATGCTGACGGCCCGAGATAGCAGAAAGTCTCCGGTCGTGAAAAGGATTCAGAGAATGGCCCAACGCCCGGTTTCTGTCCCCTTGGCAAGAACTCGATTCCTCGATCGGTCCCCGATTTGACTGCTGGTGGTGTCGAATTTCTCCGAGGTTAACGGTTTTCATCAAGATCGGCAGGCTAGTGACAGCTTTTCCGCGGGCAGGATGCAGCTGAGCTCGAGAATTGGAAAAGCTGAGTTCTAGAATTGGCCGACCGCCTTCCTGATTAGTTATGGTATCTTAGACTGGCGGTATCCACTTTAATACCTTGGCATATACGTTACTTTTGGTCATACCTTTTTCTACCCTTTATTCCCTTATTGCCCCCTGTTAGCCTTCGTGAATTTCCCTTATATTTTAAGATATTCCCAGAATATCTAGTAGATACCTGCTAGATATCTAGCAGATATCTAGTATCTTCTATAACCTTTTATATATATCTACGTAGTACCTCCGATTTTTTATAATATATATTCTTACTCTATTATTTACCTTATACCTTAAATATCTACTAGATATCTAGTAGATATTTAGTAGATATATAAGGGATATTTAAGGTATAAGGGAGATATACTAAGCTTTACTAAAGATATTTCCTAGATATTTAGAATATTTCTAGATTTAAAGGGGTAGGTACACTAAACATTTACTAAATAAGGAATATCTAGACATATCGAACGGTTAGGAGTTTTAGGCTATATTATTATAATAAGTGCGTGGTCTAAAGCTTACATACGAGGAGAAGGTAAGGGCTTGGTTACCGTACTGCGCTAAACCTTCTTTGTTACCTGATCTCTAGAATTGGATTACAAAAAGGGTTTAGCGCCTTGGCGCCAATTCTAGAGACCCACCGATCCAATTCTAGATGCCAGCTATACACTCCCGCGGGCAGGGAGCCGACTTCGGGATTGAGCCTGTGGGTCAGGGAGAGCTGAGGGTGCACAATCTACCTGACACCCCCCATTCGATGATCACACTTCGAACCTTGGGAAAAGCAGACCTAAACAAACATACGACTGGGCGCCGATCATGTTCAATTATCTTTGATGGGGCCAGGATCTTTCCCTTCCTTTTGCTTTTCTTTTGGGGGAGCCGAGTTGAGGCCGGCCGGCCAAAAGAAGGGAAACAGCGTGAGGAAAGCCCAGGCCGTTCGTCATGACCGGGTGGCAAACTGTAGTTCTGGTTATTCACTAGCCCGGAGAAAATGTGGCTCTCTGCCCTGTATCTTTGTCGCATTGACTTTCAGCTCTCCTGGCGGGGACAGTCTCTCATCCACCGTCCGAGGCAAGGATCGACTATTCGGAAAATACGATGATCGACAGAGGACCGGCTCAGCCACATGGTGGCGCCTAGATTCATGGTAACTGTGTCAAGGCTCTAATGCCATGAAAACATCAAAATGCAGGTATCATACCCTTCGCAGGGAGTCCTTGGATGACGAGGCCGCCAGAGTTCGGCGTCGTCTCGCAATGTATCTACCATATCGTGTTCAAGCCACTAACCACGCGGAAAAACTTCCATTGATGGATACAATCTATCCAAAGATACGGCGCAGAGAGATACATCTCCACACTAGGCTGTCAGTCCCAATGCAATGGTAAATTACAAATAGGAATCGACGGATTGTCCCAAGTCCATGGTTGGCAAGCGCAGAATAAGACACTCTTCCCACAGAGTCAAAAATCAGCAATAGAAGAGAAATTACTACTGGATCCTTTAGCCGATACGCCTAAACTTAAAACTTAATCATACGAAGAATTGTAGAGATTAACCGACGTGCAGGCAAAAGGCGGAAACCCTCCAAGGATACGAGGGAGATTCCAGCGGTGAAAGGTCTGGATATGCAGGTGAAGTTCCGTATGGGACCCAGCTCTCCAATGCTCAATCGAGCATTTGATCAGATTGCTTTGCAAATTGGCATGAGAGGTCTTACTGCACGACGGTTGTGATCGGCATGAGACACAATACCAAGCCTCCCCCAAACCACCCCTAAGGCGAGAACCAGTGTGACGGCGTCAAAGGGGGAGCACAACTAACGTCCTGCCCATCACCTTACGAACGGCTTGAACCAAATGGATGGACACGAGTATCGTTCTGAGAGATCTAGACTTTGTTGCATGGATGTGGACCGTCGCAACAACGTCAGCCGCACAGCCCTCCAACACTCTGGAGGCGATCAACGTAAATGTGCAGTGAAAAAGCCACACCGGCATTGCTCTAGGCTAGGCATACAGGGCCCACCGTATGCGGGATCAGTACCTTGACAGCTACCAGCGAAAGGTTGACAGCCTAAAATTAAAGATGGTTCGCAGTGTCAATATGGGGATGTGATCTCCCCTAGGTGCCTGACTCGGTCTTCATGCCTATGCAGGCCGCCGAAAACAGCAATCAACACCGTCAGAGAGATCGGACAGGGCACATGAGGCAAAGAATTCGTACTTCTGTCACAAACGGCCGGGCACTGATCTGCATTCCAGACCCGGTATAACCGGAAACCGTTCGTACCGCTCGACCTAGCCTTGCGTGAGAACCATGGAAACATTCTGATTTGAGTAGATTGTCTCGAGCTAGGATCTAGCTGATCGATAGAGCAGATGGCGCTTCCAATGAGATGGCATGGCTCGGCAGACTTAAGACAAGCCCCCCATTGTCCAGGGCTCTCCATTGGGCTAGTCCCCCGATAAACCCATGGTAACAGAGGCTCCATCTCTATCGTCGTGGCATGTGCCAAGGCAAGATCCCCTTGTTCATCCCGAAAGACAACACGCGGTGTGTGGGGTGCCTTCGACGACACTTGGGATCTGGCCCTCCAACTCGGCTTGTTCCGCGGGACCTTCGATCCGTGACTATGATACTTGCAGCTAACGGTAAGGAAATTACATCCTGTAAACACGCCATGTAATGCGTGTGGGCTTTAGCGGCCCAACGACCGTGTTCATCACTGTATTCTGTTGCAAATCCCGTCTCTCCCATCATCGCAACCCTCTCCCTCCTGTCTGGAGCTGGAACTCCACACTTTCGGTAGCCCCCTAGGTGCGCCACAGGAGGGCTGGTGGCTGAGCCGTTTTTTATATAAATTTCTGGATCCCAGGAGTTCTGGTGGGACCAAAACGGTTAGCCATTATCTTCATTTCCCGAGCACCAATGATTTTCCGTGCTATTCAATCGTCAGATATGCTCCCTGGCTGTAAGACGTCCATTTCTCCTCCTGTTGACTACTGGGAGCCGTTCAGTCCATTGCATTACCCTTGCAAATTTGATTTGAAGCCTCAGTCGATGAGGCTTGGCTGCATGGTACTGTCATGAATCGCACAAACGTCGCAATTTTGACGGAGAACTAACCCCAGTGACAGGTGTCAACAACCATGTCGAGGCCAAACCAGCGGGGCGACTTATCCTACCCGCACTTTGCCCTCATCTATATCGACCGAGAGGGCAATTTGCGCCACGAAGCCTCGCGCTCTATCGCCAATAGCCGTGAAACCATTCTATCTCCACGAGTCACCAATGAGTTTCTCCGCGCCGTGGCGAGGTCCAGAGATCCTGGCCCGTCACATTCTCAGTGTATGTCACATTTTTGGGTACAGGTGTGATGGATGTTTCTAACCAGGAGTAGTTGAAACGGGCGCACCAATCGCGCCTCACCCAAGACCAACAATTGAGCAGTCTTCTCTCCAGTCTCAAATTGGCCATGTACCGCACAGCACTGAAGTCCGAGGGGTGGAAGGACGCGGTAGAGTGCTGATGCCTCCCGGGCCTTCAATTCAACCGACGTTGTGGCCTGGTCAACAGGAACCTTGGCCCACGCAAGCCCAACAGCCTCGAAAGAAGCCCTGGAACGAAGAGTTGAGCCTCAGCAATCAGAAAGCTACCATCTCCATTAAGGAAACAGATTTCTTGCGCAGTTACTACGAGAAGGTATTCCAAAATCTACAACAGACGAATTGCCGAGTCATCGCCAAAGCCTACGTCAAGCTCGTGGAACCTCGCAAACAGGTCAACTATCCCTACAATGGACGGAAAATCGTTGCTGGCAGAACCCAACAACTCGAGCCTGATGCGACCAAACCGCCATGGTGGCCGGCTGGAGTGAGCCACCGTGAGCCAGACCATCTTCCCAAAGCTGGTATTGAGCGCCCCCTCCCATCCTTCTCCCAGGTTCCGGCTCAGGGTAAGATCACTAACACATCGCATAGAACGTATTAGGCTCCTAGTTCACATCCTCTGCGAGTTGCGCGCCAGCAACGGAGTCACCGCCCGAAGACTCAAAGAAGCAGAGCAGCCTATTCGCCGTCAAATCTCCCCACCCGAGCGATTGCAGCTTTTAGATGAACTATATGATGTGAGAGAAGCGGAGGAAAACTTCCAGGATGGAGCGACCGGTACTTGCTGACACCGTCAACGTTACTGGAGCCCGGGGACTCATTCATCGCAGATATGAAAACTACCGTGTCAATCTTACGAGCCAACCTCCCTGATGCGGTGGATCTCGCTGCCAGCCAGGGTGAGCGCAGCCGAAGAGCTTCACCGATAGAAGAAGACACTAGTCAACAATCGAGCCAAGAGATCCCAAGTGTACGCAGCGGTCAATTACGAAGAAGCAACATCCCACAACCTCTACTTTCATCCGGGACCGAAATACCAACGAAATTGTCACCGAACCTTCACCCAGCCGTTCCCAACTCCTCGCAGTATATTCAGCAAGAACTTCCCATACATTCCAACTTCGAACACACGGCGTCGCCATCTCCACAAGACCTGAAAAGAAAGCGTCCAATTGTCGAGTCAGGTCCAGCTTCAAGCACCAGTCCAGCTTCGATCCCATTCTATTCCCCTGTTTTTGTGGGATCCCAACCCTTCGTACCGGAGACTTTTAATGACATCGAAGGTCTACAACAGCCTGGAGTCCCCAATACTGGGCAAGGAACAGAGCAATTCGCCGAGAATATGGAAATTTATGGGTTTCCCTATTATTTTGATAATTGAGCGTTTTAGCACTTATGCTCTTCTTAACGTTTTGAACACGAGTTTCCTTATTGATCACGCCTCACGAGAAATAGAAACCTCCAACCTTTGAGCCTTTCTTGTCCCTATTCCCCATTATGTTAATTGAATCAAGATTGTATTGAACTCGAAATAGTTGAATAAAAAGGAAAAAGAAAAAGGCAACACAGTCCATGGCTGCATGATGGCCATTAGTGAATGCGAGCATCATATTGGTGTGATCATATGGGAAAAGACTCCGGTTGAGTTTCCCTCTGATAAGCTCGGGTGTGACCACGCCCCTGGATAGTTGTTCTGTTCAATTCAAAAACAGCCCAAAGCACATTCACAAACACTGAGAGTAATAGGCATTGGAATATGTGCAAGTGTACCCACTAGCACAAGTTGTTGGCCCAGTCCAGTTCAGACCACCACACTGGCCCCAATGCTGGGCAACACCCGTCGAGCCACTGGAGCTGGAAGTTGTAGTAGTTGAGCTCGTAGTGGTCTTCAAGGTCGTCGTAGTCATAGTGGTGGCCGCGGCAGTGGTCTGAGTACTAGTCGTAGACCCTCCACTCCCCTCAGCAGTCAAAATGCCAGTATAGGCAGGCTTCTTCACAAAATTCTCATCCCAAGGGCATGCAGCACCTTGTCCGGGGAAGGTACTCGGGACCCAAGAGTATTTATCGGTCCAGTCCCAGATAGTGATACCGACACAACGATTTGTCTCCATGCATGCACCGACAGTGTTGGCGTAGTCTGTCGACTGCTGGGAGAGGAGAGCACTCGTTGAGGGAAGAGTCATACGAATATCCAACTCGGTGATAGCCACATCGACACCCAAGGCAGTGAAAGCCGCCATATTGGCAGCCTGAGCGCTCTTGCTAGGGGTGCTACCGACGATGAAGTGGGATTGCAGACCGACGCCGTCGATCTTGACACCGTACGACTGGACCAATTTGACAATCTTTTGAGCAGCCGCCGATTTCGGCCCAGAGTACTCAATATTGTAGTCGTTGTAGTAGAGTTTGACATTGGGATCTATGGCTGCGGCTGCGGCGAATGCGATGGGGATGTAGGCCTCGCCAATGGTCTCATACCACACACTCTCGCGGTATGTACCGTCATCGTTGAGAGCTAGTCCGCTGATTGTTAGAAAATGTTCAAGCCTATGGATTATAGACTATCTATTGAGAACGTACCTTCGTTAACAACATCCCATGCGTAACATTGGCCTTTGTAATGTGTGACCAAATTGGTGATATGATTCTTCATGACTGCAATCAGAGTTGCATTTGTCCACGTTCCGCTAGTGACTGCGAGGTTTTAATAAGTAAGGAGGATTGGAAAAACAGAAAAACAGACAAGCTCACCCCAGCTTGGTAGCTGACTATGCCAGACCAGGTTGTGACATCTGAGCTTCTGGCCGTTGGCTTCAGCGAGGTTGGCAATCGTGTCTCCTTGAGTAAACGTGAAGACGTTTTGTGATGGTTCAGTTGCATCCCACTATAGTATGTTGTGAATAGGGTTCAATCCCGTAAGATAGTACATAGAATACCTTTTGAGAGTTCCCGGGCGTGATTTGCCCAAAGTCGTCGGTATTGCTCAGCTGCTTGACGTAGGCAGTATCTGTAAGCTCGGGGTTGTCGGTAGCTGATCCGAAATACACTTTGCCAGCTGCAACAGCAGCTGTGTTAAGTCCCGAGGCATGTGACCTGTTAGGAACGGATGTTAAAAGATGGTTCACAACGATATCAGGGGTGGCATGTACAAGTGTGGCAGAACACTGGCCACCAGTGCCAATGCTGCAGTAGGGAAGTGAACCATATTGAAGCTGCCTGAGGTCCTTGGCCTCTGAAGCTGACTGGATGTATCGTAGCTTGTTGAAGGAATAATATTCAGCTTCCAAGCCGGACAGCTTTGCACCTTATATAACATTCAAGGGCATACGCTAAGAAATTTTACACACCGGCGCTATGTGATATACCCACTCGCAGCACTCGGAGCTCCTGGCCGTGGCATAGGGGTCGCGGCTATTCCGAAGATAATAAGGGACTTGGTCTAGTCTGCATCAGGCGCCACATGGAGCCTTCTGGTTTCGGCCTTGCTATTTCCGCTGCTCACAGGAACAAGGGACCCATGTTGAATAAACAAGACAATTTAGGCTGAAAGTTAGCTTCCGAATCGTTATTAAGGCAAATTCAAGAGCGAATACCATTTTATCATAAAGAGGTGTGTTTTAGCGACGCGCCGGAGGACTTATGAGCTAAGGACATTGGTGTCAAGCCCGAGTGTTTCAGGGTGGTTCAAGGCTGGGAAGCACTGTTTCAAAATTATTTCTGTACTATATCCTTGTGCTTTATCATCTTACCCTCACTGAAGTCCGTGATTTATTTTCATATCGATGATAATGACAACTCAAAAGCCCATCACTTATTGTTGAACATCAATGCTGTGAGTTGGCGACCCTGGATATTCTGCAAGGTTCATTCCGGAGGAACCTCCGTCTTGGTCGCCCGGCAAAATTTGATGACCTGAGCCCTGCAGATGCTTATCCCCGCATTCGTCACAACTCAAAGGATGGAACTACAGGCTAAATTCATGACGTGGCTGTTAGATTTTATTTCCAATTGGTTCCTCTTCCTACAACTTCTCCTAACGTGAAGGGAACGTGTTGACCCTTTGTACCGTACAGTGTGAATAGAGGAGATAATTTCATTATTCCGGAAAGGGGGGCACGTTAGATTTTCCTTGTTGTATTTGAAGAGAGATACTCGAAAGACATATAAGGAAGTAGTTGAAACATGTCTAGATTACCTCCTTAGAATTACAGTGCCTGGTAAGAGATTCAGAGGGCCCAGGAGAAATAGATTTCCTTGGGTCATCTTCTCCGTCAAGCTGTATGCCTTCTCACTGCATTTCTTGGAAAGCTTGTGTGTGGGATCTATACTTTCATACAGAGCATAGCTCAGTCAAGTCTCTCAGCGTGGAGCTCATACATAATGATCAAATTGGTCTATAAGCAATACAACCTGGGTATCTTGTTTTCCCAACGTCAAGCCGCTTCGAGTCGGTATCTCATCGTGAATATACTGATCACTGAGGGAAATACAAATTCAGCATGGTGCCTTTTCAAAACTGGTGCTGTTTGCAGCGTTCCTCTGTGGAATCGGAGCGCTCCTATGCTTGGGATATCGTGCTCTTTCTGGGTCGGGTAAAATAATGCTTGCTTGGCTACTTCGAGGGCACATGATCAGCCAGTCTTGCGAGCCTTCATTTCTGCGATAAATGCGTTGGTCTTGGAGTTGGGCACAATGAAGATCCGGACAAGCTCATCGACCACTTCAACCTTCCCACCAGTAAGAATCTGCAGGAGGGGCAACTTCTTGCCGGCCTTGATCAAACCGCCCGAGACAGTCTGCATGAAACACTCAACGTTGTTGATCGAGTACTCATTCTTAGTATCCCAAGGCAAAGGGAAGATGTATTCGAGGTGGTCCGTAATGGTGTGCAGTTCTGAAAAGCCCTTGACGAAGTCGGATTGCGCATCCATGGGATAGAGGAAAACAGCAGGGAATTCCACAGAACTTTCCGGGGAAAGCGGATCAGGAACAAGCTTGATCTTGGCATCTTCCATCTCCGGAGGCTGATCGGTCTTGCGAGTTCTGATTTGACGGGCCCGTAGAGCGGTACTAAGGACTAGGTTTTGTTTGCGTGCAAGGTCTTCCTCGGCCTTGCGTTTGGCGGCCATACGCGCGACGGCTGCCTTGCGCTCTGCAATTTTCTTGGCGGATGTTTGGAGGGACTTGTTCTCTGAGTCAATGAGCAATCCTCTTGAGGCAGCGTCTTCGGCTTCGTCGACCTTATCCAGCTTTAATAAAGCCATAGAGGAGCGATAGAAGGCCTTGACGTTCTTGGGGTTAAGCTTGAGCGTGGTAGCACAGTCAAGGGTGCAGGCTCGGTAGTTGCCTGTCCGCAGGTAATTAGCAACATACATAAGATAAAGAGTAAGACAAGAAGCGTACCAAGCTCGAGGTTACACAACGCTCGGTTGATGTGCGACAACTCCTCCATCTTCCGCAAAAGCTTCTTCTCCTCTTCGACATCCTCGGGCTTCTCCCACTTATCCTCTTTTGCGTAGATCACTGCAATGGCCTTTGTATAAAACTCTTTCGCGTCGATCCAGCGCAATTCCTGGACGGCTTCGTTGCCTTGATCCTTGAAACCTTGCGCAACCTCGCCACGAGTACCCTCGTTTTGCATAGCCTGAAGCGCATCTAGAAGAACATTCTCGCCATCTATAGATGAGAATGAAGGTTAGCTAATCGAAGTTAATCAACCACAGTGACAGATCAGACGTACTCTCATCACCGGCGTTCTCAATGTCGGTCATGAACAGTGGCGTTTTGTTCATCATGGCCAAGAGTTCCTCCTTAGAATGCGACTTGACCGAGGCCATAGCTGGCGGCATATCGGGGTGATTGGGGTCTTGCATCATTTCCATCAACTTCTCCTCGTTGATTGGGAAAGGCGCTTCGTTCGACGCAGCGAAGGCATCGAAACCCGGCTGCGGCACGTTTTGGGTCACCTCCGGAGGTGCCTCATTGAGGTTAAGCGACTCATCGAAGTCGTCCGGTAGCTCTTCGACACGCGACATAGTGTAGACTGGGCGATCGCTGGCTTGTTAGAGGGGCAGTTTCTCGTGAACTTTTTTGCGGGGACAAAAATTGGATGCAAATGGTGCAAACGAGGGGGCCTTTGGGCGGAAAGCCTCGGCCATCTTCTCGACTTTTCTAGCACGGATTTGTAATACAACGATTTTGCTTTTATTGATCGTAATAGTAAAGGTTTTTCTACATCGATAAAAAGTCCCTCCTGCATCCTACATTGATTGCACATTCTGAAGAGAGATGATCCCAGGCGGGATTGAAGCATTTAGTTTCGTTGTCACGCCTTATCGCGATAAAGAGATAGCTTCTCGGCCAAATCACGTGAAGGGCTTCTGCCCTATCGAATTTGCTGCCTCAGGTTTTCGCAATGTCAACACTTCGGACTACAGTGTTTGTGTAAATGTGTCTATGGAATAAATATTGCATAATATATAAAATCTGAAAATGCACAGGGGTCAGTAGTCATATCTCACCTTGGCTGGATACTATTCCGTTCTTCGTCCTGCATGTCTCCGCCTCAGGAGGGCTTTGTACCTACAAGGCGAAGTAATTACCATTAGACAAACACGATTTCACATCCTACTCTGACCATACAATGGAGAGACCCATACAGAGATATCGTTGACCTCCGTGTATCGGATGCCTTGTCATCGGCCATTGTCCGAGATGGCTGAACCCCGCACTCGTCGGTGGAAAGACCGACAGGCCGACATAGTCTTTATAGGCGTACATGAACAGGAAGGTGCAACCAGGTCTCCGTATCTATCATTGGGTTGTGATACTGTGTCGTGATCCAGACAGATATGGCCCTAACTCACAGCATCCTCGTACTCCCAGGTGATGGCATTGGCCCCGAGGTCATGGCTGAGGCCATCAAGGTGCTCAAGGCCTTTGAGACTTCGCAACACAAGTTTGAGTTACGTCATGAATTGATTGGGGGCTGCAGCATTGATGCGACAGGAAGTTCGATCGTGGAAGAAGTCAAGCAAGCCGCATTGAGCTCAGACGCCGTCCTTTTCGCAGCAGTTGGAGGACCCAAATGGGACAATGCTCGGCATGGTCTAGACGGCCCTGAAGGTGGACTACTGCAGTTGCGAAAGGCAATGGACATTTATGCAAATCTTCGTCCATGCTCAGTTAACTCTCCAAGCACCTCCATCGCGAAGGAGTTTAGTCCATTCCGACCAGAGATTATTGAAGGTGTCGACTTTATTGTGGTGAGGAGAATTGCGGTGGAGCTTACTTTGGACGGAAAGTAGAAGATGTAACATACGGTGAGCTTGAACATTCATAGTGGATTATCAATATCCATGTTGAACTAATGATAATATCAGCAATGGATGAATGGGGCTACTCAGAGGCCGAAATTCAGCGTGTGACCCGTCTAGCCGCCGAAGTTGCCCTACGACACGATCCACCGTGGCCCGTAATCTCCTGAGACAAGGCGAATGTGTTGGCCTCATCTCGCCTTTGGCGCCGGGTGGTACAAAGGATCATGACCACTGAATATCCACAACTGAAACTGGTTCACCAGCTTGCCGACTCGGCATCGCTGATCATGGCGACCAACCCCCGTTCTTTGAACGGGGTTATCCTGGCAGACAATACCTTTGGTGACATGCTCTCTGATCAGGCAGGCTCCATTGTTGGGACCCTGGGTGTCCTGCCAAGTGCTAGCTTGAATGGTCTTCCTGGTGACAAAAAGCTACAGACACGACCATACGGTCTGTACGAGCCCACTCATGGCTCAGCACCAACGTGAGTTGAGAAGAAACATGTAAATTTCCCCCTTTTCTCCATCATAACCCTGACAAATTCTTCAGAATTGCCGGTCAGAACATTGCCAATCCTGTAGCCATGATCCTTTGTGTCGCTCTGATGTTTCGTTACTCGCTGAACATGGAGGCTGAGGCCAGACGCATAGAGAATGCAGTGCGCAAGGTTCTTGACTCAGGCCATAGAACCCCCGATCTAGGAGGTAAGATGGGTACGAAGGAGATTGGGGATGCGATCGTAGCAGCACTGTGAACAAGCGTGTGTCAATGAACACGTAAGAAGATAAATGGACGAGCCCTGACTTTTGAATCTCAATGATCCAAGCTTTGCAATCAGCACCCTGAATGTCTTTCGCAATGGGTCTACGAGACCTCGTGATCGATAGAAATCCCCTCCGGTGTTTGTGGAATGGGTACTAGTATATCTCAAGCAGACAGCCTGAACGAAAGATTTACCTGAGTCATCATTCAAACCTACTCCGTCTGCCATGAAACATATCAAAAAATACTGAGATCTTGTTTCATGTTTGCGTAAAAGAGTGATGCGCGGTGGACATCGAATTGTCACTATAAGACCTCTAACCTCTAACCTTGGGGTTCTCTCAACCCAATTTCATATGATTATCCTTCCATCTCATTACTATATTATCTTTTGCTTGCCTCTACGACCAAAACACCCTTCGGTATCCCATCAACAATCCCGTATTTTCCAACACCGACATGTCAGACCAGATCCAACAATGCTTCCAACTACCAGGAACGACAACTCCCAATAGTCTTCTCCCGGAAGTTCCTCCCCCCGGTTCCTGTGCAATGCGACTTCAAGGGCTAGAGAACATGTCGAAACTACAAAAGACAGAGCTGGTGGACTCAATTTCGACCGACATTCGGGCATTAATCTTGTGTCTACGTGAGCACATCAACGCAGGAAACATAGACATCCAGCATACGCGGTCATTCGACATTTTAATCAATCTAATCCAACAGACAGATCTTACGCACCAGAGGATGTTGGTACGAAAGGTGCGGCGCTTGAGGAAAGAGAGACACCGCGTCCGCAAAGACCTTCGGCAATTTTATCGAAATGTGGATGAACTGGCGAGGAAGCAAATGAGCCAGGTTCGGAAGCTGAAAGAAAGGCTGCAGGATTCACGAAAGAAGATGGCAATTTTGCTGCGGGAGCTAGACTTTTTGCGTTTGAGCAGAGGAAATCAGGACAATGAGGATCAGAAGATCAAGGCAAAGACGGACAAGCTTGAGGGCCATCTTTCTCCAGAGGAACTCCGAATTTTCAATCGTCAGGAGCTATCGATCGATACTGAGGGAGGACATGAAGAAGAGATTGTCAAACAGAAGTGATTTTAATGTTTCCGATCGGTTGCAGCCCGCTTTGTTGCAGTGTTTGACACTGGAATGATGTGCAACCATTTAGCCCCATGTCCAAATTGCAAAGGGGTCATTTCATTTCCAAAAAACTTTTGACTAGCACTTGGGTCGATATGGCGAAATAGATAGGCCGATAAAAGAACGTAGTTGTTGCGTGGCGACTCTCACGGGCGTAACGCGGCTATGTACCAAAGTTCCGAGGCATTCCTGTCTGTCACCGACGGCATATGCGGAGGAAACTGACTTCATGCCCTTATCGTAGAGACTCCAGGCCAGATCCCCAAATACCCAAAGTCCCAAACTTCACGAGAATCGACCTGTCTGGACGTTATAAACAGGAGCCGAATATCGGAAATTCTCGCCATCGCAACATCATGTGCACGAATGAACCATGCAGGGTACTATTAGATGGGGCTGCGCTCGACCGAAGAGACCTCGGCATGTTGACCGGCGAATTCGCGTTGGCTGATTCGCGACCCGCGGGTCCACTTTCTCTTGATCTTCATGTGGAAGACTTGACCCTTTTCCTTTTTCTCAGCATCTTCTCTTCACTCCCTAGAAAAAGTTTTCCGTTTGTCGTTTGATATAGGTTTGAGTTCCTGACTCGAAAATCTTTGCCGCGAACAAATCTTTGCACAAACGTTATCGGCCGAGAGCATGAGCAATACCCGAGACTATGAGGCGGTCCGTAAGGACATCGCCGCCTCCTTGAAGAAACCCGACTATGATGATGGCAGTCTGGGCCCTGTGTTCGTACGACTGGCATGGTGAGTTGATCCCGTTCTTTCGTGATTTATTCAAATGCGGGGAGCCAAGTTCTGGCCGAGCCGGTCGGCTTAGAGGCTCCGTTCCCGGGCGACCGCGGCAACCGATCGTTTGAAAGCATGAGACGCTGACAGGTTCTTATTTGCAGGCACTCCTCCGGCACGTATGATGTTGAATCTGACACTGGTGGTTCAAACGGCGCCGGTATGCGATACGAAGCAGAGGGTGGCGACCCGGCCAACGCTGGTCTACAGCACGGACGGGCGTTCTTGGAGCCCATTAAGGAAAAGCATCCGTGGATCACGTACTCGGACCTGTGGACTTTGGCAGGTGTAGTTGCGATCAAGGAGATGGGTGGACCGGATATTCCCTGGAAGGGCGGACGCACAGATTTCGTGGACGACTCCAAGCTGCCGCCACGCGGTCGATTGCCGGACGGTGCCCAGGGCGCCGACCACCTGCGATTCATCTTCAACCGCATGGGTTTCAATGATCAAGAGATCGTGGCGCTGACCGGTGGACACAATCTTGGCCGATGCCACGGCGACCGTAGCGGATTTGAAGGACCGTGGGTGACGAACCCAACTCGGTTCTCGAACTCGTTCTTCAAGCTGTTGCTCGAGCTTGACTGGAAGCCGCGCAAGCTAGCGACGGGTATGACACAGTTTGTGTATGAGGACCCGGATGCGGATGAGGACGAGGAGCCTTTGATGATGTTGCCGACCGACATGGCACTCAAGACAGATCCTGCATTTGCACCCTGGGTAGAGAAGTACGCCAAGGACAAGGACCTGTTCTTCGACCACTTCTCGAAGGTCTTCGCCAAGCTGATTGAGCTGGGCATTCAGCGTGACGCTCACGGCACCATCACCAACAGTGACAACAAGCTGGGTGGCTATTTGTCTGCTCCCAAGAAGAGTAACGTGGCTACCGGCCCGTCAAAGTCGAAGGGCGAGCCTCGTGCTCGCCTGTAGATACACATCACCCTTTCCTTTTTGTTGGCTGTTTGGTTATGTGTTGTCTTGGATGAGCAATTCCCATTTGTGTTGATAGACCGGGGCTGTGAACATCTGACCAGCCTTAGAGATGTAAATAGATCATAGAACATGAGCGAAAATACCTCAAAAGAACCGGGGCCCTTCAGAGCGTAGAAAACCCTCCTTTTATCAGTTTCTGGTGTGATTAGTCTGCGGGCTTGAATATGAAAACTGTCTCAGAAGGATACGGGCTCTGTACAGCCCAAATACCCCCAATGATGAAGAGTTATGAGAAACAGAGGGGAAGTCAGGAGAAAAATGAAGGGAAAAGAGTCCGGGGGTATTGCGGGGGCAGACTCCGCACGGACTCGGCGACACCCGCGTGTTATACAAACCCGAGTCACTCGGTGTGCAATATCGCGTCCCTGATTGGCACAAACTTCCATCAACTAGTATCGACCATGTCTCCCGTTAATAAAATACACTTCTTGTTACTAATTTGCATTGTATTATCATCCTAGTCAACATCATAGCTCCGAGGCCCCTCCGTTACAGAATCAAGAAATCTGAGAAAGCGACCCGCCAAAAGTTGTATCAAATATAGGTGTGAAAATGCCAAACATCGCTCTACTGGACCCGAATCATCGTGTTGAACCAGTATCGAGTACATAGCGGCCTACCATGATCATAGCCCTCGATCATTCGAATCTTATGGCCCTCGCATTTCGCGGTAACCAGCGCCCATCCAGCGTCTCAACACGACGCTTCTTGCACGTGGCATCCGTCGTAGATTCCTCTGACTCTCCCAATTCTGTCGTCAGTTTCCCCTTCGTCATCGTCGTCACATTCTCGGCATTTTCAATGAGAACCGTTTCTCGTATGTCTCGTTTTCGTTTTTTAGGGTAAGGGTTGTCGAGTGGGAGAGGACTGGAAATTTCCGAGCTGCAGTCAGAAACATGTGTAAAATCCTGGAAGAGCTCGTGTATCTCTTCCTCGGTGATATCCGGACCCTCTGGTGAAGCCGTGCCATCCCCTCCTAGGTTGTGAGCACGTTGCCCTCCCCTGGGGCCCTGACCATTGACTATCTGTGAATCAAAGTACTCTCTCAGAGTATAGAGATGGCCATCACCTAGGGCAGAGCCGCTGCCGGAGCTGAAATCCGATCGTGATGAGAGGTCAGGGAAGTCTAGAGCACCAGTGATGTCCAAAGAGCCCGGAGGCCATAACTCCACCTGTGCAGCGAGACTTTGCGGACCAACATGAGGCGAGTCGAAGGGTGAAACGTCTTCAGGATCCCGTGGTAGCGAAGTGCCGAGCAGATCGATCGGAACTTGCGAGGCAGATCTTAGTGCCGTGAGACCATATTTCGACACAAGATTCCTGTTCGGATCTATCTTCGCAAGAGACAACCAGTCGGGTATCTTGATATCCCAAATATCTTTCGGAAGGGTGTCAAATGGATCGGGACGTTTTGAGTCGAGGAAACAATCACCGAACGTGGGCAACTGTCGCTTTTTGTAATTGAAAAGAGGAGGTCCAGAATCAGGGGTCCAAGGTACGTGAACATCCTTGAACATCTGGCCTTTTTCAATCATCTGACCTACATTATTGAGGGCATTGATGGCTGCACAAATAGCGGGTGTCTCGGGATTCATTACACGCTCATATACCAAGATTGGTGGGCAATTTGGATCGTGCACCCACTCGAGCGGTATATTCTCTTCCTCACCAGATGCAGGCAAGGAAATGATCATTCCCGATGCCAGCGCGCCATCGTACATGGCGTAGTCCTTGGTGGGGGCTTCAAAACGCTTACCTTCGCCCCAGAAGACGCGTCCATGTTCACCTGCTCCGTAAATTCCTCCAAGCCAGCGGTAGGCTGCTCGACATGGTTCTCCATCCGCATTCAAATAGTCGAAAACCTGATCTTGAGTGTGTTGCCAGATCTTGGTGCCTGGTTCTGTTTGAACGACTAGACGAAGGGGGAGATTGGTAATTTTTCTATAAAGCCATGGACCGTCATTTTCAGGCCCAGAGCCACAATCTGAGCAAATGAACGGATGGTATATTGGGAAAGCTCGACTCCATAGCTGGCTCATTGTCACACCCTCGCGATCCGCAGGTAGAGGAGCAGGGTCCAGCACACGCCCGTTTCCTGGCGTCTCTGTAGTCCCCTCGCCCCTACAATGGCAAGCCTTGTCTATCGTGGTATAATCAAATCTGAACTGAGTGAAGTTCTTGGTACACTCGGACCACGGTATCCACGGGTGACAGAGATTGCCCATGGTGATACTTGGGACCTTGTCGCACAGTATACGATAATAGGCGTTACGGAGTTCTTTCGAGGTTTCATCGCTGAAGGCCTCCCAGTTCATATTAGTCACCTCGACAAAGGCGTTTTCAAGATCGGTGAAATGGGCACCATCGCTGTCACCTCGGTCTGCAACGGTGCACCCCGCATCGAGCAAGCTGCCTAGGACAATCACGCAGTCTATGGCACAAGACGTACCCTCCCATACTGGGCCCCTGCCACGGACCGGCACCACGAAGCCATCTGCATCCAGTTCAAGATACACGTTAACCTTGGCAGCTTGAACAGATCGATAGGCTCCAGACTGGACAATCTCGAGATCCTCGGCCTTCTCGGCTATCCTGTGTGGAATTGGGCCTTTGAATGGTGCACCGGGATGACGATCAAGCCAGCGATATGTATATTTCATGATGGCTTTCTCAATGATTTCTCGAATAGGTTTGGCGTCGTAACATGCGGGAATATTGTAAGGACTGCCCCCGAAGCTGCTTCCCAAGCTGTCCCCAGAGCCCCTCCCAGAGCTAGTAAATTCGCCTAAAGAAGGACTTAGCCCAGAACCTTCCTCATAATCGACTAGCCCAGATAGGTCCTGATCAAACAGGATCCGATCAGAAAAACTTATTCGAGACGAGGACCTAGTGGCTTTGTTATTTGGCGAAATACTGTTGGGAGAAGAGGATAGTGTTGATTCGCTTGGCACAGCGTTCCTAAGTGTGAAATTCTTAGTTGCGACTCTTCTCGGGGCGGCTTTCTGAGGCTGACCTTGAATTTCTCGCACTGATCTTTGGCCAGGAACTGAATACCAGGGCAAGATTTCAGGCTTGATGGAGGAAAGTTGGAATTGCAGCATATAAGTCCATGGCACATCGGGCGGCGCACCTGCAGGCATGAACAAATTCTCATATCCGGCCTTGTTGAACGACTGCGGAGGTAAGCTCGGATAAAATTTGCTAATCGGCTTCGGCGCAGGATTCAGCTCTTTCCATTTCAGCAGTCGAGGTCCAGCATCCCGATTCAAGTTCAACGCCTCCTTCCAACTTTTAGGCAGATGGTCTTCTGACATGTAATAGAAACATTTCCACAGAGCATCTATCTTCTCACCCTTCGTAGGCTTGCCTGTGTATATGTGGGCTTTGATGCCCCAGAGAAAATGCCTCTCCAATGCATCTATGATCGGCTTTTTGAAACCATTGTATACATCTCGCTTTCTAGTCGACCAAAATGTCGTATGATCGGGAGGATCAGGAAGCTCGGTCAGGTCAAACCATGGCTTGGCAACTTCTGGTGCTTCCATTTGGTCTGCACGTTCTTGCCAGCCCCTGGGAACGTGACAAATCATTTTCATCGGCATTTCCCGTAATTTGAGCTTTAGCTCGGTGCATGAAATTATTTGAAGTTGACTCGCAGACGGGGAGTGTGGATATCCAGGAATGATGAAATGAATGCTTAGGGCCAAGCGAGTTGTTGAAGTTGAGGTTATTGAGGTTGAAGAAACCAAATTCTGATTGAAGTATTGTATAGACGGAGGAGTGTAGCTACTTTAAAGCTTGAGGCACAATCCTCTTATATCAAGACCAAATATCTTAAGAAAGAAAGCGCGACCACACAAACTTCGAGATATCGACAAAGAGAACGAGTCCGGAGGACGACCACGGGATTATCATGTCCTTGGGCCCTTCGAGTTAGAAACAACAGAGCACGAGCAACAAAACAAAGGCAATCTGTTATTTCTTTTAGTTGCTACTTGACCTTGCCAACTTGGAGTGCTGTACCTGCGAAGGGTGCAAGCCTGTGATTGTGGAACACCATCTGGTATCAAAATTGAGGCGGGGCTACACAAAGAGTAGGTGAGCGAAGCCGCTAACATCGAGTACAAGGGGACATCTTCAATTTCTCGACGCATTCGTCTGACAGTACATACAAAGAGATTTGAGTCCACAAAGAAAAACTCATTGTAACTAATAAGTCTGTCTTATCCAAGATTCTGGTAGCCAAACGCTCAAATCATAGATGATTGGTGTCAAACAAGACTTGTAAGGCGATCTGAAGAGTTGTTCAAGACACTTGACTGAACTCAGCCCGATATCTCGAGACCGAAAGACTCTATGGACACAAAGGACATTGTCGAGTGTTGACTTTGAAAGAGAAAATGCCAGCCGGAAGGCTCTATGAAAGTGCGTAAGATACCGGTAATATTTCACGATCATTTGGGGTGATATTACCACCAGATTACCTCGTACTGCGATGGTGTCAGGTGACTAGATGTAAAAGAATCAGCACGTGACGCGTTTAGCCCCATTTAGACTAGCTCTAATCAAGCGAGCCCTCGCCCACACTAATCCCAAGTTGGCTAGTGTCCCAATTACCCGATCCCACAACGGCAGCAAAGTCGCTCGAGACTTCCTTCTCTCCATCCCTCTGTCGACAACGCGCCATCGCCCATCATGTGTACGTTCTCCTCCCCTACGATAATTCGAATACTCTACGCCCTCAAGAAGCACAAAACACCACTCTCGTTGAAATAGGTCCGGGAAATGCAAGGCTAACTTGTCGACTTTTCGATTACAGCGCTCGTCTCAGGCGAGAAGAGCAACTTCCAGTTCATTCTGCGTCTGCTCAACACCAATGTTGACGGCAAGCAGAAGATCATGTACGCGCTGACCCAGATCAAGGGTGTCGGTCGCCGTTACTCCAACTTGGTCTGCAAGAAGGCCGATGTCGACCTCAGCAAGCGGTACGTTCGACACATTCCAACAACCTGGCAACCTCTGCAATGCTCTCAGTCGACGGTGGACTATACGGAAAAGTCTGAAGGGGTTCCTCGGTCTAATGCGACGTGGGTGACCGAACTCAAAAATTTTGTGCGGTGGAGATCCTCAAAGGGGGAAAAGACCGAACACCCGAGACGAGACATTGCAGAGCGCTCGCCAATGCAACGATGAGAACTGAGCGGAAATACTGACAAGCCTCTCTATAGTGCTGGTGAACTCACCACCGAAGAGCTTGAGCGCATCGTCACCATTCTCCAGACCCCTACCCAGTACAAGATCCCCTCCTGGTTCTTGAACAGACAGCGCGACATCGTCGACGGCAAGGACTACCAGGTCGTTTCCAACGGCTTGGACAGCAAGCTCCGTGAGGATCTCGAGCGTCTCAAGAAGATCCGCTCCCACCGCGGTCTTCGCCACTACTGGGGCCTCCGTGTCCGTGGCCAGCACACCAAGACCACTGGCCGCCGTGGACGCACCGTCGGTGTGTCCAAGAAGAAGGGCTAAATCATTTATCTCGTCGTTTTCGGGGGTATGGAGGGATTCCTTTATTGTCGGTGTGTTTCTATGGGCATCCGTGGGATCTTTTCCCCGTTGGACTGGGTGTGCCAGTCCTAAAAATTGAAAATGAATCATACCAATATGAAATGAACCGATCAATTTCCTTTCTCTTTACAGAGTAGCCTGGTCTTTGGCCCCCGTATGAATGCTTTAAACTTTTTTGATTATGTCCTCACGAGCGCGCTTGTCGCTTGTGGATTTCTCAATATGGTCGTTTGCTGTGTGGGGTCTCATCGCTCAGTAGGCAGGTATTGTGTCATGTCCTGTGCCTCTATCGACCGGTCGCATTCCTGCATATGCATCCTGTGAAGTCTTCAACACTTACGGGGGTCATATGTATCCCAGGCGGATCGTTGATGTCGACAAATGCCTCCAATTCTAGCCAGCACCACCCTTGCCCTCAAATGCAGTCCGTTGATCTACAACTTTCCATGGTTATATAATATAGACTAATACAATGATACGTGGTATGTATATGGCCAAATATCAATTCAAAGCGTCCTAACATATATATACCTCTGAGCAAAGGGAAAGTTGTGAACAGCCGAAGCAGCAAACTAGATACTTCTAATCCATCGACGATACTCTGAAAACATTGCGTAACAGCCACTGTATGCAAGATGGGAGAGATGAGTGGTAAAATCCACAATCAAAGTATAAAGATGACGATGCAGTAGGAAGTCCTCGATGTGCTTAGAACCACTCACCACCCAGCCAGCGGTTAAAGAACTCCAGACTAGATTCAGGCTGATCCATGGGTACCATGTGGCCACCGCCGTAGATGCGCATGAAGGTAAAGTTGCCGTGGGACTTGACCTGTCCGATCTTCTTGCCGACGTGCTCGTTCTGCTCGACAACGAGATCCTCCAGATCCGCGGCGGCGAACTTGGACTGGCCCGGCCACTCAAGAGCCTCAGTCCAGGCCTTGTTGCCGAGCCAGTTGCAGATGAAATCGGCATCGCCGGCGTAGATAAGGACGGGGATCTGCTCGAGAATACCAGGGACCAGATGGTGGTAAGGCTTCATCCAGTCACCGTGGAACAGGAAGTTACGGTTAATGTCGAAGTTGCATGAGTCGTAACCATCCACCTCGGCGCCAAGAGCCTCCCGAACCTCCGCCTGGTTGAGATAGTCGCTGACGTAGTTCATGCCCTTGTAGCAAAGACTGGAATCGCCATCACACTTTGTGCGGACATCGTAGACATTCTGGCCGGTGCGCTGGTAGGGACCCATCATGGCATTGTTACAGTAGATGGAGGCCGGCACGCACACCCAAGAGCTCTCGCTGTCGTAGCAAGCCTGGATCATCGACTGACAGCGAGGCAGGGCATTGTCCATGGACTGGCAGCTCTGCTCATCCAGAACAGCAGGGTAGCCACCTTCACCGCACGCCATGGGGCGGTAGTACTCATACTGGGTCAGACCGTCAGTCAAGCCATTTCCAATGAGTACAGATTTGAGGTTGATGTTGCGCTTCTTGTGGGACAGAATCTCCGAGGCAAAGACGGGAATGTAGTGGCCAGCGTAGGACTCTCCAGCGATATGGAAATCCTGCTTAGCGTACTGGGGAAACTGCTTGAAGAAGAGGGTCATGAGGGCATAGACATCCTTGCCAGCGGCCACGGTGTCGCTGACGGCACCACCACTGTAGGAGTAGCCGACATTGACAGGCTGATCCAGGAAAATCACCGAAGCATTGGAGTTCCAAGAGTATTCGTTGTAGACGGTCTTAATTTCCGCGTTGATAGAGCTGGGACCAAGCTCCATGAAAAGACCAGTGAGAGAAGAGCACCCAGGGCCACCGTTCAGCCAGAGAACGACGGGGTCATTCTCGGGATCGTTGCGTGACTCGAAGAACCCTTGATCAAAGTCAGATTGAGCGGGGGGATGAAATGAGGGGAAACTTACAGTAGAACAAATGCTTATCATTCTCGTTATCATCGAGATAACCACTGTACTGCTTAACATCGGGATCGACGCCCAAGACACTGGGGTCCACCTTCTTCACTCGCAGATCATAGGCATCGAGCTTGCCATCGATCTCACGCTCCTTAGTGCCATCGGCACCCGAGACCCAGACGCTTTGCACGTCCTGGCCACTAACAATGTGGTCCCAATGAGAGCTAGGACGGCGAGTATGCTTCTTGGGCAGAGACAGCATAGGAGCGTGGTCCATAGAGTTGGGAAAGTAGTGAGAAACTTCATCCCACATCTCACGAGCCTCGCCCGAAAGTGTCTTGAACTGTTCTTTGAGCTGCTCGAGAGGCTTAGAGAAGGCTTCCGAGCTATGCTTGAAGGCATCGGAGCCCTGCTTGACGACATCCTCTAGCTGCTCCTGGTGGATGCCCATGACCTGCTGGAAGCCCGGAGCCGCCGCAGAGGCGGCTCCCACCAGCATGGTGGCGGAGAGAAGTCTCATAATGGAAGAGTGTACGATCAACGATGAAAGTGATGGTAATGGTGACTTGTGATGGGAAGCGGGTACCTGGGTCTAGGCGGCAGCTCTTATCAGTCACGGCTCGTGCAGGGGGACTAGGATGGGCGGATCCAGTTTAAGGGAGACAAACCTATACAGTGCACCCCGAAACAATGTTGGGATTGAGAAAAGAAAGCAAGGCGGTCCCTGCGATCGAAGATGAAAGAGGAGGTTGGGTGAGGAGAAGGAAGGGGACTAGGAACCCTGGTGACGATGAATCCGGGAACCTACGATAAGCGGGAGCCAATGAGAGTCCTGAGCGGGAGTCTCGCACGTCACCTGACATTCCTGAGTCATGCGGGGTCACGAGCGACTTCTTGGCACAATGCTGACTCAGCGATGATAGAGAGGCTTCTACGCAGAGTGGGGGCTAGGCGTGCAAAATAATTTACTGGCCTTGCGTGTTGACATTGTGGTGCTCATTCTTGACTTGGTATCTTTCGAGGATTCCATCCGCCATGCCGATCAATCAGCCCTCCAACCAGATCAAGTTCACAAATGTGTCGGTCGTTCGACTAAAGAAAGGTATGCACGATGCGAATCAACATTTTTAGGCTATGATGTCACTAACACAGGTCTGACACGCAGGGAAAAAGCGTTTTGAGCTTGCTTGCTACAAGAACAAGCTGCTGGAGTACCGATCCGGCGCCGAAAAAGGACCTCGACAACGTCCTTCAAGTGCCTACCGTTTTTTTGTCCGTATCGAAAGCCCAAACAGCCCCGTCAGCAGAACTCGCCAAGGCCTTTGGTGCGGACACACCTAAAGATGAGATCCTGCAAGAAATTTTGCGCAAGGGCGAAGTGCAAGTCGGCGAGCGCGAACGAAAAGATAATCTAGAGCGAGTCGAGAAAGAAGTTTTGGATATCGTGTCTGGCCGACTGGTCGACCCCACCACGAAGCGCGTGTATACCTCAGGAATGATCTCCAAGGCCCTGGACCAACTAAGCTCTGCCAGTGGCCAACAGCAACAGCAAACCGGCGGCGAGGCAAATGGATCGGGCGAAGAGCAGACGCAACACAAAAAGCCGATGTGGACGGGTGTTTCATCTAACCGGTCGGCGAAGAGTCAAGCACTCGATGCCATGAAGGCTCTTATTGCCTGGCAGCCGATTCCTGTCATGCGTGCACGTATGCGCCTCCGTGTTACTTGCCCGGTCTCGCTCCTGAAACAGTCAGTCAAAGCCGCGCCCGGATCTGCGCCGGCAAAAGAAAAGGAAGCCCCGTCTGGCGGTTCAAAGGGCAATAAGAAAGGTGGAAAAGGTGGAAAGAAGTCCAAGAAGGGTGACGACTCTGATGTTGACGCTGGTGCTTCGGATGCAGAGGCAGCGCCCAAAGCTCCTGGCACTGTGAAGGACTTGATCATGAGCTACATCGAATCTGTCGAGTCACAAGAAGTCAGCGGCGACGAGTGGGAGGTGGTTGGATTTGCTGAACCAGGAGCGTACAAAGCATTGAATGACTTCATCGGTAACGAGACTCGCGGAAGGGGACGTGTGGAGGTCTTGGACATGTCGGTGACGCATGAAGATTAATTGCATATACCATCCCATAGATCATGTACATGATTAACTTGCCTATGACTGATGAAATCGCTATAGAAAAGCAAAAAAAGTGTTTTGTTGAAATATTCAATTGTGCTAGCTTATTTAGTGCTTCATTTAATGTTTTTGTCCTGCAGCAGCAGGTGATGGACGCAGCTTTAGACCTGGGAAAGGCTTTGCATACAACACACCATTTCCTTGAAGTAGACACAACGGAACAGTCTAAGGAGAAAAATATCCTGAGCAATAGAATATGGACATGAAAAGTAAATAGGAGCCTTGACCAAAACAAGCAAGTTCGTAGTACAACAAAATCGAAGTGTCAAGCCGTCAGAACGTCAGAACGTCAAAACGTCAACTCCGAACAATAAAACCAGAGTATCCTGCGTGTGGCCAACACAAAAGGGAAGAAAATTATAACCGACCAGACAAGACAGACAAGGGAAGCGAGGGGCTTGCGGCCAGCATCCTAGCCGCCCAAAAGATGAGTCGATCCCATTCAAGGTCAAACATCCAGCAGGCCATGCATGCCAATACCATCACAGCCTGTCACCAACAGAACGAGGTTTTTGCCCGGCCCAAGCTCCTTGGCCATGCTAACTGCCTTGTTCACCGCGTGACTCGAGTCCAGGCCAGCTAGAAACCCCTCGTGGTGCTGGAGAGTTTTAAATCCGTCCAGGGCATCCGCGTCTGAGGCAGTCGAGATTTCAATACGGCCAATGCTGTTCCAATGGGCCACCTCAGGCCCCACGGTGGAGATATTCATGTCTGGTGAGATCGAATGGGAATCGAGAAGTTGGCCGTCGTCGTTCTGAAGCATGAGCGTGCGAGCACCCTGAAGGACGCCAAGTTCCCCCTCAGTCAAAGTTGCGGCTTGGGCTGCTTCAACACCAACAAGGCGAATGGCGGGGCTCTGTAAAAAGGGCCTAAACAAGCCCACGGCACCGCTACCGCTACCAACGGCTGTGACGACAGCGTCGGGCTGGCAGCCTGTCAATCCTTGCAATTGGACCGCAACCTCCTCGCCTAGGAGTGCCTGGAACGTGCGAGTGAGGGTTGGCAGGGGGTGGGGACCCACTGGACCTCCCATCAGGTAGTATGTAGTCTCGAAGTTGCAAACCAAATAGCGGAGTGCTTCTGTGATTGCAGCACGCAGCGAACTCATGCCCGAAGGAGTCCGAGCAGTCAAGATTTTGGCGCCGAGCATTTTCATTTCGAGGACGTCCTCTTCTTGAGCCTGAGCGTCATCAGCACCCATGATGACGACGCAACGCAGACCCAAACGTGCACACATCACCGCAGTGAAGTTACCGTGTTTGGCCGATGCACAGTCGGTGACGATCTCAATACGGCCCATCCGCCGCGCTAGCAACAGCTGGCCGATGATATTGCGAGTCTTGTGGCTGCCGTATTCATTCTGGTCTTCTCGCTTAAGCCAGATGGTTGCACCACCTACAAGGGTCGTGAGCTTGCTCGCCATCTGCAGAGGTGTGGGCTGGGGCCGCTGGAATGTGGCATACTCGGCCCAGAAAGAGGGATCTGAGACAGTGACCTCGAAGAAGGAGGTCAGATCGTGCAGGAAACCCACAATAGATTCAGGAATGAACCGGCCCCCGTAGGATCCATAGCCACTGTATGAGATCTGTGGCGGTCTCAGTGTGCCATCTGCCTGCAGAATCGGGACATACGGTGTGCCGTCGTTATCGAATGGCGTGGCGGATGACCCGATATTGACTTTCTGGTATGAGGGCGAGCTGTCAATGTTGGCTGAGCTGAATGAGACGGTGGTCTCTGCATTTCGGTGGTATGTAGCAGTACAAATGTTATTTGTACCGATAGAAGGAGCCACCAAAGGACTCACTACCGTGACAACTGCATGCTCTGATGTCCTGATATTCGGAAGACGTGCCCTCAGGGCCTTCTTTTGAATAGATCTGATCAGATTGGCGTTTTCTGAAGTACCCTCAAGCGGTGTTTTGGTATCCTTGGAGCGTTTCGGGTGCGAAGAAAAGCAAAGAAGTTGCTGCAGATATCGGATCATGATGCACCACGTCCGATGTAGGTATACTGAGCATACGTTGTTGACAATAATGCTCTTCCAGCGGGTCAATATTAGTTGGCGAGACTGTACAAGAACAGATTAAAGATGGCTGAAGTACGAGCGCATACGAGAACGCTTGCACCGACATGAGTGAGGAGTGAATTCCACAACCGATGACAAGATAAGAGCTGAGGGTGCAGCTTCAATTAAATACGGTGTGTTTCTCACGAGTTGTAAAGATATATGTCACTCTAGCCTCCATTCGTGAAAGAGCTATGGGATCCTCGCCCCGTAGCCGGCTCCTTGGCGCCTTTAGTAAGGCATCTGGGAAGGCCTGACTTTGGCTAATATCTGTCTAGACTGCTTCATTTTGGTTTCTACTGATTCCTTGTTTTTTGAAGTTCCTTCGCTATCCAAGATTCTAATCATGGACATTGAAGCCTTGGAGCGCGTTCGCTATACTTCGTTCGACTTTGGATAGTCACGTAACGCCCATGTCTTAGAGTATGGAATACCGCGCGATAAAACTGGGCTTGGCGCCATGTCTTCGCTTGGAAGAGCAGAATTGGGATTTAAATCGTACCCTCGTTTTCTTTGGGGGGTTGTCAGCCGTCCTCAACGCTCAACCCTAGGACCAATTGGGTCTCTGGGCTTGCCGCTTTGTTCTTGCGTGGTGTGGAAATAGATGTTTAAGATTATATTACGGTTTTTATAACCTTCAGGGATCTGAATTACCAGCTCCTGAAATTTCAATGAAAGTTTTCAGGATGGTGGGTGACGATCATTTCGCATCATGTTGTCCTCTTCCTGCGAAGCAACAAGATCATCACTTCAGGTGGCGGCTCAATCTTGCGTCCTCGCCTCGCACAATCAAGGATCGTTATAGAAGAAAGCAGTGGAAAATCTCAGATACAAGCCTTGGGCTTTCCCCGGCCATTGGGCCCGTAATTGCCGTAGGTGATGCTGAAATGTCAAGGTAGCGCCTAACCCACTGTCTCGGTATACAACTATACCTTGCTATTGCAATGGTGCATCAAAGGAACTAAGTGCTACAGGGAAGATGCGCGTGACAATGTCTATGTGCAACGCTACGGCCAAGAAGGCTGAGACCGCTGATCAATCACTTTGCAGCGGGAGCAAACCCCCAGCCTTTAAGGCGAAAAGCGTCACTTGGAAATGATACAGGTCTCGTTGGTATTTAGGCCTTGAACTTATCTAATGAATCATAAATCTATTGGAAACAGTGCATTATAGGAGAATTTGTTTTTCCAAACGAGCAGCAATGACGTGGCAGATCTATCTTTTAATGGTTTCCGGTATCTAGTGCACCCGCGACAAGCCATAGCCGAGGTGTACGGGCCTTGGAGCGGTCATGAAAAGTATCAGGGGAGCAGACGGTCCTGAGCATAGACCTGGTAAGAACTGTTTCTAGCCAGTAAAGAGGTATTGGTCCTGACAGGGCAGCAAATACCTGTATCAAACATTAGCTGCGGGAACCCGCACCGGGAATTGGAGAGCGCAGCCAAATCTATGTCACCTCACCATCAAATCCCGACATGGGAAAAGTCCGAAACCTAAAGTAAGTAAGTTAGCCAAGCACGCAGGTAATATATTTCTTGTATGGCTAATCTCTAGGGCTTGGCCAGCATATGATTATGCGCGGTGTTCTAGGGGCGTAGCAAGGATAGTGCAAAGAAATCCAACTAGTAGGAGCGGAGACTATAAACCAGCCCACTGGGAGATGTACACTGATGCACGTCGGAGCCAGGTTATCAAACGCAGCGGGGAGGCATGAACCAGGGTCTCGGCTTGCATGACACAACCTTGGAAGATATAAAACACAGCTTCGTCCACCCCAAGTTCTTCAGTCAACCCTATACAGCTCAAGAATCCACGTGCTTGCAGCTTGATAGCTTTTCCCCGAAATGCATTGTTTTTCTCTCTTGAGCCCAGGGATCCTGGTAGGGCCTACTTCCGCAGACCTGAGATTTGTTCTTTGGCTGTCATATAAGATCACCCAAAAGCTTGCCTATGATATGCTACAGCCATGTGTTTAGGGTATAGCAGTAAGGATCCCTCTTACCTGTGTCTATATTTAATCTGATCTTTTCTTTATAGAGAACTCGAACGTCTTCCTCTACCATTCAAGCTCCCTTCACGTCCAGTCCTTGTGGGCACGGATAAGAGCAGACTCACTATATTCACTCTTTACGCATCCGAGGACTTTTAAAGGGTCAACATTCGGTCAACCCATGTCCAGGTGAAACAAGACACAACACGTTCCCTATATGATGACACCTACACCGACCTTCTCATTATATATCGACATCCGTGCCAATCCCAACAGGGCCAAGATCCGGTCCTAGACTCTCTCGCCAGACGGCCACTCATTCGCATATGTGCGAATATTCATCGACTATGTAGCCGCCCCGATCATACTGTTGAATTATCGTCATTGTTACCCATATTGACGCGGGAATCACCGTGTGGCGACAATCTGAAGGATCTGCCACCATCCCATCCAGCCTGTTGTAGGCCTGCAGCAGCGACGTAAGAACAAAGTTATCTAACCTCATACCAAACCTCACGACCCCACAAGACAGATCTCAAGACGAGCCACTCAACAACCTCGTGACAAGTATGAATGGATAGATTAAGAAGGATCCTTTCCAGGCTAGTGAATGCCGAGAGTGATGTGCGCATGAGCGTGCGGGGGAAATTTCTTGGCTCGGCGGGGAAGACAAAACCCAATTTCGAGTACTTAATTTAACTTGGCGGTCCAGGCTCCTGGCCTAGATTCTTCCCTATTCTTTGACCATCTACGATACACAATAAAATATTCAAGCGACTATTAATTTTGGTTCATATCTAGCGTGTTCTAAAGTACGTTCTAGACCAGTCGCGGGCGTCCCACCCACTAGAACGCGTCTAAAAAATTTTCAAAACTCCTTAGTGCGGGTATACGCTCAAATGCAAGATGCAAGGTGCAAGGACCAGACCATTCTTCGCAGCAACCCTGTCTCCGTCGGGGTTGTTTTTCCGTACGGAATGGGTATGGGTATGCCACATTCCGATCGCGGATCGCGGGGATCGTCGATGTTAAGAGAGCCGGTGTGAAATCCGGCCGATCGAGACTCTCAAAGCTGAGCGCCAAAAGTAAAGGAGAAAAATTGAAAGCTAGGTAAAGGTGACATCGAGTCAGGAAGAATAGAGAGATGTAAAAGTGACAATCTCCGGGACGTGGTAGAAGGTAAATTCAAGTGGCGCGGTTTACGCGCAGATCTGCACGGCGACGAGGGCACGGGTCAGGTCTTCGGGCGAGAAAGTTTGGTGCTTTCCACGCGGTGACATGGCACGCGGGGAGGCAGGGGTGATGGCACGGACGATGGGCGAAGTGTACCGAATTGACTCCTTCATTTGGGCGATGGGATCTTCAGAAACTTCGTAAATGGAAGGCTCGCCGAGGAGAGTCATCATGGAGCCGCTGTAGCTCTCGGAGTTGACGACGGTGGACGACTGAGATCCCGCGTTGGTGGGGCGGAAGGAGTCAATATCGATAGGTGAGACCGCGTCGGAACAGGCTGGAGACGAGTTAGGGCGGATTCGAGAAGGACACCCCAAGAACAAGAACATACCTGGATCAATGGCCACACCATCATCGTCTGGGGAGACATCGCCGGTGTCGCTATCGGAAGGGGGCAAATCGTAGGTGGCGCAGGGCGACAGAGACAAGTCGAGAGAGCGCGGGCGATCCGCCATGGCGCCCTCGAAGGACCAAGCCGCTAGTCGCTTCATGTGCTCTTTATCGAATGGCCCGCGAAACTTGGAAGGAGGGATTTCATGGCGACGATAGTATTCCACTTTGGGTTTTCCATTGCTCACACTGCTCGAGGAGCGATGGAACACCCGTCTGACCTTTTCACGAAAGGTCATGTTGGAAAGGTCAGAGTCCAAATCTCACGTATCAAGGATCGAGTGTCGAATATCGAGTATCAGAAGTTCGCAGTCCTGCCTCACGGAAGCAGACCAATCCCGGGTTGGGAACGGACGCGGAGGATGTGCAAGCACGAAGAGCGTCGAAGTCGTACGAGAAACTGTGTGACCATGCTTCGCTATAGAGGAGGGGGGAAAGAAAGAGGAAAGAAAAAAGGTAGACGGACGGTAGGGGAAGGGAAACTGGACACGGATAAATCGGGGAATGGCAAATGTGGATGCAACAGGAGATAAGCCCCAGGAACCGTGGGAGCGCCCTTCCCTTCTCCGGTGAAGGCGATTGGGGTTACGCTTTGCGGTTACTCCATTTCAACCACCCCCACCGTCTGTGCGATTATCTCTAGTGCAAGACATGACAATTGATTATTATTGAACGAGAACGAGACGCAATCGGCGCTAACGCATGATATGGCTTAGGGCCCTCTAGAAACGAGGGACTACTGTGCTTCCATTTCTAGCGTCTGGTCGCACCGTGGCACTGTGGCACTGTGTATCTCGCGAACCAACTGAGAGTCGGCCCCCCCCCACCTCCTATCGCGTGAAGAGTTCGGACAGCGTGCGTGGCAAATCTGGCTGCAGCGAAGCCTTCCAGAATCAGCTTCACGGTTGCATCATGGGCATCGGTCTCGGCATCATCGGCATTGTGGGAACCACCTGCGTAGACTGGAACCAATTTGGCATTCACGCGCGAGATGCGCAGCGACGTGAGTAAGTGGTGGGGGGTAATTCGACGTCAGCACCGACTGTCAATCACTTCATTGCTCCGGAAGAAGTGGGAAAAACCGGAAACAGCGCAGGTCGCCCCATGCCCCTCCCCGTTTTGCCCGGTTCCACTCTCGGCACACTTTACCCGTTGGTTTGCTTAAAGGAAAGTCTCCGGGAGAAAATTCTAGGGTCATGAAACCAAATATGCTCTGGAACTTCAACAACAAGGCCGGCTGGCCCAATGGCAAGGCGCTTGACTACGAATCAAGAGATTGCAGGTTCGACCCCTGCGTCGGTCAATTTTTTGAAGTTTTTGAATCCTAATGAAGTCATTGCTAATCCGGTCACCTGTGGCTGCCTTTGTTTCTTTGCTTGAAACGGCATCCGATCAATCGATGACTGTGATTACTTCTTTACTCAATGAACCTTTGTCTTGCACGTGTGCTTTACAATTAAGTTGTTGTCATCATCGTGGGCCGGAAACATACGCATCTATTCGCGAATCTATGGTTGATTTAATTACCACTTGCTATTTATATATTTCTTCAGTGGTTCAATGGGGTTGTGACTCAGCCACTCTCATTGTGGCCGGATTGGACATGATGTAATATCACCCAACCACCCAGAGAAATGCCTCACCATGCACAATGTCCTATGGGAAGAGAAGGTAGGTAAAGTCAACGCTCGCGGACTGTGCGGATCCTCAGATCAGCCCCTAGCCCCCGTCTACGTTAAACACTCCTAGAGGCCTGGAGGGGCCCAAGGCAGCCTTGCGGCAGCCCTAAGGCTGAATCGGGTAATAGGGCTGTGCTTCCCCTGCAGGCACACGACCTTTGCGCGACCCGAGCGCGGAACTATGTAGGTACGAGGAGTGCATGACAGCTAGGCAAAGGGATTCCTATCTCCTAGGATGCCATCGCTTGCAGCTTCGACCTACAGAATGCCCGAGACGTTCGATGAATCACCCTGCAAGCGGGAAAGAGAATGCCTGAACCTTTTGAAACGGCGTCCACACGCCTCCAAACAACCACAAAAGACCAATGACAAAACCAATGGACCAATTGGTCTCAATGGGCCACGTAGAATAGCAAAAAATTAGAGATCGCAGGCCCTCTTGCCTCTTTTCTCTTACCTCATCTAATTTCCGTCTTACAGAGTCAAGTGTTCCAGAAGCGTAGGGAGAACCACGGATCCCTACTCATCCCAGCATACCGGACCGTCATCCCTTGAGGCTACTTGGCCCACTCCCGACTTTCTTCCTTTCTGCATCAACCCCCCTCCCTCAAAGACACTGTAAGTGCTTCTCTTTTGTTGGCCGCCTATATTTTCACCCATTGCGCTTTCCGTATCCTATCGTCATTCCGACGTCGCACCATCTCTGACCACCGCAAAGCACTCACAAATCTTCACGACACACGAACACCATGGCCAAGAAGGGAGGAAAGAACAAGAAGAAGGGGGGCGCTAAGCCCGCCGCGGCCGCTGCTGTTGACAAGGTCGTTGATACTGCGAAGACTGTTGTGTAAGGACTCCGGAGCCCCAAGAAAGTGGTGGTCGCGTGCCACTTGTCGCAAATCGTTCTAACCAGCCCATCCAGTCAGCCTGGCCACGAGACCGAGGACAAGGTTATGTACGGAGATGGCAAGATGCAGTCTGCTGAGAAGACAGAAGCGTCCACCGACTTCAAGGCCGAAGAGACCCCTGTCGCACCCGTGACCGAGACCAAGGAGGCCGAGGAGGAGACTGAGGCCGCGCCGGTCGTGCCAGAATCCGCGGACAAGGCGCATGCTACCAACGCCGGTATCGTCGGCGAACTCGATGGCGGCAACAAGGAGGACAAGAGTAAGGAATCCATTGTCGGTGGTGTGTCCATGATCGAAACTAATTCAGACTCCAGCTGTCCTGCCCGAGAGCAGTGTCAAGGACACCGCACCCGGTGCTGAGGTCTATCCCTCCACCACTGAGCCTTCTGCCGAAGAATCTGCCACCTCGACCGCTGCGACCACTGGCGCCGCTGCCACAACATCCCTGCCTGAGCGCCCCAAGACCGAGACGACCGCCCCCGCCGCTGTCCCGGTGGAGACCGATGCCGCGCACACGAAGCGCCCGTACGAGAAGCCCATCTTCTCCAACGATGAGGTGAAACCGCACAAAATGGCCAAGACCGAGGAGGAGCAGGCTGCTGTCAGCCTAGCTGCTGGACAGAACTTGGCTGGTGCTGGTCCTGCTGCGATGGCGGCGTACACTACTCCCGAGCCCGTTCCCGCCGTCGAGGCGCCCAAGAAGGCCGAGGAGGTGATCGCGACTGAGACCACCCCTAAGACTACCGCTGTTGAGACCACCCCCCCAGACCACCGCTGCTGAGACCATTCCTCAGACCACCGCTGCTGAGACCATTCCTCAGACCACCGCTGTTGAGACCATCCCTCAGACCACCGCCGTTGAGACCATTCCTCAGACCACCGCTGTTGAGACCATTCCTCAGACCACCGCTGTTGAGACCACCCCCAAGACCACCGCTGTGGAGAGCACCCCCAAGACTACCGCCATTGAGACCATTCCTCAGACCACTGCTGCTGAGACCATTCCTCAGGCCACCGCTGTTGAGACCATTCCTCAGACCACCGCTGTTGAGACCATCCCTCAGACCACCGCTGTGGAGAGCACCCCCAAGACCACCGCTGCTGAGAGCAAACCTCTTGAGAGCAAGCCTATTGACACCAAGACTGCCCATAGTAAGCCCGTTGAGTGCAAGCCTATCGACACGAAGACTGCCCAAAGCAAGACCGGCAGCAAGTCTCCTGCCTCGCCTGTCGCAGTGGCTGCGGCTAGCGCGGCCATATACAACTCCAAGACCGACAAGGCTGCGGCCGAGTCAGCGGAGCTGAAGAAGCCTGAAGCAGCCCTCAAGCGCGGCGAAGAGCCCCTGCCCCGAACTGAGGCTCCCAAGGAGACTCCCGCGATGGAAACTCCTGCCACAGAGTCCGCTCAGCAGGAGCCTGCCAAGGCACATGAGGCCCAGACTTCCGAAACAGCAGAGCAGTCGGAGAAGAAGAAAGGTGGCTTCTTCGGGTGGCTGAAGCGGAAGTTCAAGTAGTGGACGAGCCTATTTTTTTTTTTGCTGTGATAATACCTGAGAAAAACCAAAATAATTTGTGGAAGGGAGGTGTACGATACGATACGTGCGTTGAGACGCGGTAGATTGAAGGGGAAGGGCTTGATTCTCCTGTTGTTTTCTTTTGTAATCCCATTTTTTGATGATACACCAATGGAAATTATATATCAAAGTGTTTTGAAGAATCCTCTTCCAGTTTTCTTATTTAGGTCCCCTTTTCGTTGCTGGGCCAGACTTCACCGCCACTTGTAGTCCATGCGGTGGGTTCGGTGGTCTGGGCGTGGGACTAGTCGATGGCGCTATTTTTGTAGCTACAGTAGATGATCAACTCTCGACGCCGTCATAGCTAGGCCCCGCACCTGGGCAGCTACATATCTGTGGAGTTAATGATTTGTGGGTATCGAGATCGCAGGATTTCACATAATGTCCATTGTTTCATTTGGCGACTAATTGTCTGTCCCACTAAAACAAATCTTGCGTTTCCTCCACCAAGGCTAACAGCGTGGAAGCCAGACTCTGTGAGATCTTCCAGTGACTGATACGCTGCAGGAGATCGATCACGCGGAACAGTGAGCCCATCGCCAGTCTCCGCGGCTGCAATCCGCCCACTTGTTCTAAGAATATTCCAACACCATCCACTCCAGGTAAACGCAGCTCAGCGAACTGCAAAGTATCAGTCGCGGCTAGAGTAATGGGCTCAGCATCCTCGCTAAAGCTCATAAAGCAAGACCAGACAAGTCCACAGTAATATAGACACATGGGGACATGAAGAGCCGGTTCCGCACCAGTGGGAAGAGACTCGAAATTCTTCTGAATGAGCATAGCGTGAAGCAGACATCGCTTTGCGTCCATGGAGCGAAGCCAGTTCTGGACGTATGGGAGATGTTCTTGAGCAGAGTCGTAGCCTTCCCGACCGCAGGCGCATTCGATAGCATTGAGGTCTGCATGAAGCATTATGAAAATGGAGTGCCAGAGCATCATTAGGCAGAACCAGCTGGATTTGCCTTGCATGCTTGGGTGGTGTCGATGGTACCATTGAATCAGGAGGTCTTGGCATTTTGTGACAGTTGCGAGCCAAGAGGAGTTGAGGCCGCGGTCTTCGCAGGCTAGAGTGCTGATGGATTCGAGCATTGTGCACAGTGCAAAGTCGCCGATGACTGTTGGTTGATTTTGATGAATGTTGCTGATGGGAGACGGTAGGGAGTGGGTTCGCATTTGGTGTTCAATCATGAGTGTCTTCCAGTGTCCCGCACTTGAAGCCGTGAAGAGTTCGCTGGTAGAGATTTGAGGGAGCCGTTCGACGGAATGGCGAAGGATGGGTTCATGGTGGTGTATTCGGGCGAGGACAGCGTCGTGGATGTAAATTCCGAGGACAAGTCTGTTGATCTTGAGGTTAGTCGCCCGTTTGTGTACCGTTCCGAGCGGGACATGCCTTTTCTTGACCTCTATTTGGATCCATGACAACCAGGCCTCTTTGAGGGCGTCGCCATTCATGTCGACGAGGTCAATTCTTGGATGCTGTATATGAAAGAGCTTGGCATTGCGCGCCCACTAAATGGAGCCGTCAGCCCTTCGATTTTCCAACTCAAAAGAGAAGACTCATACAGCGACCACACTGCCATGAAATATTTCGATTCCATACAAATCTTTGGGTCTCTAGCAATCATGACCCTGGTTAGTACCTCTTTGCGGAGTCATCATGATGACGAAAAAGAACATACACCCATCACAAGACCGAATGTTTGTCCTATGAATGAAGCTTGGAGGACTACCAAATTTGAGCACCCGGACTTTGCAACGTGGGCATCCCACTAGATATATCAGTAAAAGCTCTGGAATTATGGGCTCGGTGACGTACCGAGGCAAGTATTGCTTTGTTCAATCGCTCAAACATGCTGATACCATGATTGATAGCACGGGGAGAGCCGACTAATAAACTCCCTATTGAGCAAATGGAAAGTAAAAGGACAGAGTTTTTAGTGCTAGGTCGAAAGGTAGGCATATGTACCACGGGAAATAAATGGTGAAACTTGGAGAAGTAGGCTTGGATACAGAGGTCCTTGTAAACAATCAATATTATTCACTTTGACAGTCAAAGAATGACATACCAGGAAAGGTGTAGATGGGAGGATCCCATGTTGTACCCGTTGCTGTAATCGCTCTGCCAGACTTTTGCGATATGACTCGTCAATAATACCTTCAGAGGGGTATTCAGGAGTCATATCTTCAGCTGGAGCCGCATCAGAAAATATATGCCATCTCTTTTGAACGATCAGGGCTCGTCCCTTTGCACGCTCATGTTCAATACAGGAGACGGGCTGGCTTGGAGGCCGAACAGCCTCCAAGCAAGGTATAGTATCTAACGTGGGCACGTAATCGGCTGTAGCGCAAAGGAGAGACTCATTCACAGCCTCGAGATCAAAGTCGTCTCCAGTAAGCAAGGATTCCCAGTCTCTGTCAGGTCGATAATCCCACGGGGCAGGTGGTGGACTTGGCTGATTCCTCCAAGTATCGCTAGTCTCCAGAGAAAATAGTGAAGGTAAAGGAGTCACATGTGTGGAAAATGTGCTACTATCTCCAAATGATAGGCTAGGTGTACACTTGTCAATGGACTTTGGTGGTGACAAGGGAACCATCATATTGACCGCAATAGGACCAGTGTTCAACCCAAGCGGGATGGGTGGAATCCTAGAAGACATCGCCTCATGCGGAATCAACCCAGTGTGCAGACTTTCTGCATGACTGCCATCACTTGATGGATCAATTTGCACCTGGGGACCTCCACATATGCCACCCGTAGGATGAGATCGTGAATGTCGTAAAAGAGTGTCCCTAAGCCATGAATCAGATACAAAATGCACCCCTTTCAGAATATTTGAGAGACCCACTGCCGAGCAAAAGCCTTATGACAGACGGAACAGTGGAAAGGCTTCTCCTTTGTGTGTGACCTCAAGTGACGGGCCAAATGCTCCGCCTTCTTGAAATCCAGAGCACAGACCGGACAGACCCGCTCTTCTTTCGAGGTTTTGCGCCGACGCCGGGATCTCATGCCCAGATACGGTGGATGATCTGGAGGTGAAACAAAATTGGGAAGCATACTGGCGATTGACAGAAATCAAAGGGTCATCTCGCAGATGGGTTGAGAAGATTGAGATGGAAGGCCGGGGACAGCGGCAGCTCGGATCTTTCCCCGCATGTGGCGCTCCACAGAGATCCAATGATTTCTGAAAGGTGATTCAGTTGGCGAGAGATTCGAGACCAGCCACTTCGAATTGACATCCCGAACGACTTGAGAGATGGGAAATGTGGGACCTATCACTCCTAAATGCGGGGCCTTCCACAAAGTCGCCTATTCGACCTCCGTGCTAAGAGCTCAATGCTGGATCCGATTCTAAGTTGCGGAGGATCCCTCAGGATTTCCGCTTCAACGACATCATCGTCCTTCACGAGTTGTTCCCGGTAATAGCGAACTCTGGAGGGAGTACCAATAATGCTCGTTGTACCTTTGCCGAGGGTCGTACCGCGGGACATTTAGCTGATGATATGGCGGACGGTCCAGATCATGTACCCATGCTGGTCTCCTGCCTGATCAAACCGTTGAACTTGGTTACCGGTTATACTACTTGCGGAGTGGAACCTCCTGAGCCGAAACGATGGTGTGGCCGATGGCAGCAAATCGATCAAAAGACTGAGCGTAGCAGAATTGCCCTGCAGACGCATCGAGAAGCTGGAATTTGCAGGTGGACAAATCATTTCCAGCAGCATATTCCAATTCATATTCCAATTCATATTCCAATTCATATTCCAATTCATATTCCAGTGCATCTAGTGCGTGCTGTTATAACTCAGATCGGTATCCAGCACAATAGGTGTGCTTTCAAATGGGTATTCAATCTGTATGAGTTAGCTAAATTCCAGATTGATCTTTGCAGTAAATCTTACTGAAATCGACATGATGACACTTCTCGGTCTCTTTGAAGTCACCGTATGAACTCCCCTTCGGTTCCAAATGGTGTGCTAATCATCGTCCACGATGGCCATATCTCCGGAGTGCATTTGCGGTCCGTTCAGGAAATTTAAAAGTCCTTGAAGGCAGCCGTTGCTGAGTAAAACTTAATTGGGATGTATTCTCTCACATCTTATACCATGGCAGGTGGGGAAAATGGTCGCATAGGATGTGGGATCAATCTCCACGCATCAATAAGCCGATGAGCATCTACGTCAGCTTTCGTGCTTGCATGAGCCGAGCCTCCCCTTTCGAGATGCTGATTGCAAGGAAGACTGAAAGTGATGTCTGACCGAAAGGCTATGATCTGGTCACTCTGCGTACTACGCCCTGAAAGGGTCCAAGCAGTTCTTGGGCGGTACTTTTGAAGCTCTGGCTCGAGATGAAATTGACAAGTATAGGATCATTGGGAAGTGAACTGACCTTGGCAGAGAATACTGATCATTCAATAAGGCAACTCGCTTCCCACATTGCTAGTCCAATTCAAGATCGCAACAACGCACTTCGAAGTATATCTTCTGTGATCACTGCAGACCCGGATGGACTCCCTTCAATATTGCATTCAATCAGAGGCCAACCTATGTTGTAGTCTCACATTTGTAACAGAAGACCGCACTGAGCTAAGCGGGCGAGAAAAAAAAGACCTCATGAGCTCCATCGCTCTGAGCCTAGCCCATCAGCCATCCTGAAGGTACTTATTCACCTACTCAGAAAACTTAAGCAAGTATCATGAGCTGTTCCTTCCTGTGCGGCTGAGTCTTTTCAAATTTAGCGCCCGGCAGTTTGAGGTCACTCGAGTTATTTACCTCATAGCTCAACAACACCTTCACTGACCTAGTCAACGTGATTCTATCCGCGGTTACCGGATTCTGTCACACCGATCCCCGAGCGCATTTTGAACGTCATAATTCTTCCTAAGCGCCAAACTCAAGGGCAAGTAAGTCCACCACTGCTCCTTCGCGGTACATGATGGTAACACTGAGGAACTCGATCATTAGGGTCTTGCGAAGACGCAATGTGAACATGTTTGGGGAATTGGTCGGCATTTTCTCGGCTCTCAGAGCTTTAAAGGTGGCATCCGACAAGCAAGATGGTGGAACTCTATGCCGACGGGCACTTAGTTGTTTCGTCCGCCTGTTTCAGTGTGGGGTTCTCCGGTGGCCGCTGCCGCTTGGTATCGGAGTCTGCATCCGATACGCCTCCATCTCGCCTCTCTCCCCTATGAGCATGAACACAGTGATGAGAATGGTATAGACCGTCTATTGAAGTCGACCTAGCAATCAAGACCAATGTCCTTTAGACAGATTTTGACAGAGGTCCACGCTGAGGCAATGGCCGTGAGTCACGGCTCATTCAGATTCAATCAAGCCTGACTAATTTATTTCATCAGAGCATAAGGGCCCATGAGATCATACCCGGATGTGCCGAAGGTGACCTTGTCGCAAGTAAAGTCGCCCTTAGCTTCTGGGGAGGCGTGAGAACCCTGGATGGTATTGTGATCGATAGTCATCACCCGCTCGTCGGAAAGTCGATTGCAGGAAAGATACTCGCGATACCCAGTGGCCGTGGCTCATGCACGGGAAGCGGTGTCATTCTTGAGCTGCTGCTGAATGGAAGCGCTCCATGTGCCCTGATATTCGGGCGTGAGGAGATGATCCTGACAATCGGAGTCCTGGTCGCCCAAGAGATGTTTCAGAAGAGCATTCCCATCTTGCAAGTATCGATGTCATCATTTGACACGCTCATAAAACTTGATCGCCTTCGAATAGCCAATGGCCAGATTCAGTGGGGAGATTCCCATTCTACGGAAGCGTTCAGCCAGCCAGCCACTCTGTACCCATCTCTGCGGCAATCCAACTTCAACACAGTCCATTTAACTCCATACGATGGTGAGCTGCTCGAAGGCGTGTATGGAGAGGCTGCTCAAGTGGCGATGCGGGTCATTATACGTATTGCCCAGATTCATCGCGTGACAGAGCTGATAGATGTGAAGCAGGCGCACATCGACTGCTGCATTTACACAGGCCCAGCAACACTGAAATTCGCTCAAAAATTGTGCGACATGGGAGCAAAAGTTCGCATTCCTACCTCTCTGAACTCAATCTCCATTGACAGGCGGCTGTGGCGTTCACAAGGAGTTGATCCTGACATTGGGGAGCCTTCAGAACAACTCTCAGAGGCTTATTTGAGAATGGGAGCACAGCCAACATTCACATGTGCACCCTACCTTCTGGATACTGCGCCAAAAGCAGGCGAGAATATCATGTGGGCCGAGTCCAACGCCGTGGTCTTTGCCAATAGTGTGCTTGGCGCAAGGACGATCAAATGCCCTGATTATCTGGACGTGTGCGTTTCTCTGACCGGGCGAGCACTCAACACTGGCTGCCATCTTACGGAGAATCGAAAAGCTCGTGTGGAAGTCCATTTAGAAACTGTGCATGATACCGATGATACGCTTTTTGCGCTCCTCGGATACCTTGCCGGCGACATTGCTGCTGATTCAGTGCCCATTATTACCGGTATGGAAAAGATGGAGGTTACCATGGATGATCTAAAGGCGTTTGGTGCAGCATTTGCCACTACATCCAGTGCCCCAATGTTTCACATTGCGGGAATTACCATTGAGGCTCGTAGCCTCTCCGATATTGCATCTCATCTGAAGGATTTGTTGAAGGTGACAATTACACTTCCTGAGCTAGGGAGGCAATGGCTTCGATTCAGTCCCTGTGAAGGAGATGAGACTTCTACAGCTATTGACCTTGTATCACTTGGAAACCCCCATTTTTCATTTGATGAAATTGTGAAGCTGGTAAGGCTTTGTGCAGGTCGCAAGAAGAACCAAAGCACAACCTTGGTGGTGACGTGTAACCGCGACACATATTCAAAGGCTACTAAAGAAGGCCACATTGTAACCTTGAATGACTTTGGCGTTCAAATTTTGACTGATACCTGCTGGTGCATGGTTCAAGAACCAGTCATCCCACCACATACACGAACGATCGTAACCAACTCGGCCAAATACGCCCACTACGGAAAAGGACTGACCGGTCGGAAAGTTTGGCTCAGAAGCCTCACACAATGTGTAGATGCTGCTTGTTCAGGATCTGTACATAACTCTTTACCTGCCTGGCTTGGCGGCACAAGCCCTCCATAGATCACGGATATGCACAAAGAGGATTGCCGGATCAAAGGTTTTCGGTGTTACGGGTGCTTTAGACACAGGTACATGACCTGGACTATCCATAAACTCATAAAAAGATCTGCAACAATATTTATGACAATATTATCACCGTATCACACTACGTGTTGCTTAGTGGGACTTAGCCTGGCTTTTTGTGCCCGCATGCATTGTTCCCGCATCTGTTTGACCGTAATGATTTCTTACCAGCCGGTTGTTCCAAGCCGAGGACCGAACTTCAATAAGCAACCAGAGCTTACCCCGCGAAACTGTTTGCAGCTGCTTCGTGAAGGCCTACGAGTAAAATGATAAATCGAGGAATGGGATACGACAGATTTTCTAATTTGCAGATGAGAGCCGACAGGAGCCATGCTGGGTAAAGTGAGCGTTCGAAGTAGTTGGTCTTGAAAGAAATAGCTATTTACCATCGATCCCAAGGGTATCGATCTTGACGACAATGAAATTGGAGTTATGCAAGGTCTATATCTGGATGAGCACATCTTCACGGAGATCGGGACATGTAAAGAGGCCTTTTCCCCGGTACCGTATGGATCCCACTTAGGCGCCGGCGGGGACTATTCCCATGTCCGCTCTTCCCCTTCTTTCCCCACGGGGTCATTGTGGGCCTAGCTTGAGCATAATGGTCCTCGGCAAGTTAAAGTAAAGCTCACCGCATCGCATGCAAGGAATAATTCCATTTCTTCTTTCACTACAATTGAAATCGTTGATTCACCATGGCGGCTGTGTCACTACCCCGTAAGCTATGGGAGCATCCAGACCCCGAGTCGACCACGATGGGGAGGTTCAAGCGCGAGTTGGAGCAGGAGACGGGCCGCAAGTATGATGTGAGTACATACATCTCATGGAATTTCAGCCATACTGACCGACTAGTCCTACCATGAAATGTATCTTTATTCCACTCAGAATCGCTTGGCTTTCTGGGACTTCTGCTGGAAGTATTTCCAGCTCATCCACGAGGGTTCGTATACCCAAGTGGTGGACGAGTCGGTGCGGATGGACGGTGTGCCAGAGTGGTTTTCGGGTATCAAATTGAATTTTGCCGAAAATATCCTGTTCTCTCACCGTGCCGGTGATACCACCGGCAAAGAAGACGAGAAGACCGCCGTCACTGAAGTCAGAGAAGGAGCCCTGACGAACGTGGTCCATCTCACCTGGGGCCAGTTGAGACGAAAGACCGGTGCTTTAGTGCAGGCGATGAAGGCTGGCGGTGTCGTTCGAGGCGACCGTATTGCCGTCTGCTCTGCAAACAGCATCGATACATTGCTGGTGTTTTTGGCGTCAACGGCACTGGGCGCCATCTTCTCGTCCAGCTCCACGGATATGGGTGTCAAGGGAGTCTTGGACCGCCTCTTGCAGATCAAGCCCCGCTGGCTGTTTATGGATGACTTCGCAGTCTACAATGGCAAGAAAATTGACCTTCGCGACAAAATGAAGGACATCATGGAGGGGATGAAGTCAATCTCCGCGTTCCAGGGTATCATTTCGCAACCTCGATTCGCTTCCCCCGCAGATGTCAGCAGAATTCCCAAGTCTTTGACTCTTTCTGATTTCCTTTCCAAAGCAAGAGGGAATGATCGTCTGGAATTTGTGAGGGTTGGATTTCGCGATCCTTTCCTAGTCGTTTACTCATCAGGAACAACTGGACAGCCCAAATGCATTGTGCATTCCGTCGGAGGCGTCCTTCTCAATGCCCACAAGGAAGGAGGCCTGCATGCGGAGCATGGACGGGATTCTGTGGCCCTGCAGTATACAACTACGGGGTGGATCATGTATCTATCTGCCATGCAGACCCTGCTTCTCGGATCACGAGTGGTGCTCTACGACGGCAGCCCATTTGTACCTGATGTTACTGCATTGCTTACTCTTGCCGCCCAGGAGAAGGTAACCCACTTGGGAATTTCCCCGCGATGGATGCATGAGCTACAGAGAGCCAAGGTCCGTCCTCGACAGATGTTTGACCTTAGTTCTCTTCGTGTGGTCACCAGCACCGGCATGGTTTTACGGAATGCACTGTTTGAATGGTTCTACGATGAGGGCTTCCCGTCCCACACTCGCTTGAACAATATCTCGGGAGGCACTGACATCGCAGGCTGCTTCGGTATAGGCAACCCCTTGGTGCCTGTTTACGTGGGTGGATGTGCGGGGTGTAGCTTGGGGATAGCAGTCGAGGTCTACGATTCCACCGTCGAAGGAGGAGCGGGCGTCCGAGGTGTCCCCGTGGCAGAGGGCGTGTCGGGGGAACTGGTGGCCACTGCAGCTTTCCCTAATATGCCCACAATGTTCTGGGGTGATGAGGACGGTCAGAAGTACCACGATGCGTACTTTGGTCGATTTGATAGTAAGATGGACCCCGATCCGCCTGCAGGGCGCACCCTGGCTAATCTCGACAGACGTCTGGACCCACGGAGACTTTGTCTCCATCCATCCCATCACCAAGCAGCTCATGTTCCACGGGCGTGCTGACGGGGTGCTCAACCCCTCCGGCGTCCGGTTTGGATCTGCCGAGATTTACCGCGTGATTGAGGGCCTATTCTCGCAGGAGATCGCCGATTCGATCTGTGTCGGCCAGAGACGGCCGACCGATACCGACGAGCGAGTCATGCTCTTCGTACTGATGAAGCCTGGGGTGAGCTTCACCGCTGATTTGGTCCATCGGATCAGGACCGCCATCCGGTCGGAATTGAGTGCTCGCCACGTGCCAATGTTTATATACGAAACTCCGGAAATCCCGGTAAGTTAGGCCCCTGGGATGGGGAAAAAAGGGAGATGGCACTGACAATGATCAGACCACGGTCAACCTCAAGAAAGTGGAGCTTCCTGTGAAGCAGATTGTGTCCGGCAAGCGAATTAAACCGTCGGGGACCCTGCTCAACCCAGAGAGCTTGGAATACTACTACCGATTCGCCGAGGTGGAGAAGCTACGCGAAAGCAAGCTTTGAGTAGCATGAATAGCGCAGAATAGTGCCGAATAGTGTCCATAGCCAACACATAGCCAACACATCGCTCTCAATGTGACCCGTTGTGGGCCCATGGGACTTGAATTGCCAACGTGGCTCCAGACGATAAACATTGCGTAGGTTAGAATGATGGAAAGAGGCGCAGTCGGATGTATCGGGAATTGATGATCGGCGTGAGCCAAGCTTTGCCCAAGCTCCGGCTGGTCTGTGTTCCAATATGAGGGGTCCTGACGCGGATAATGGTTTTGGCATAGACAGAAATCTGCGTGAATAGCCTGGCGCCTGGATCAATTCATGGCTGAAACAGGAGACAGGTTTCTACGCCCCATGGGAACCGAGCGATGCACTGCGTCATTGGGTCCCCGCACGTGTTTGTTACTTAACGAAGCTACTTCCCCTCTTCCAAGCTTTCTTGCCTAGCTTCTTACCCCCTTATTCTTCTCGCAATCATGGTTCATCTCGCTTCCGTTAAAAAGGACAATGAGGTCTTTGACCCAGCCTCTCGCAATGTCGAGTCCCTGGGCTCGCCTCCTGACGTGAACGACTTTTACACCAATGTCTACGGGAGCCACTTCGCTGCCGACCACATGCCGACGCATGAAATGCCCGAACGGGAGATGCCTCGCCAGATAGCTGCTCGTATGATCAAGGACGAGCTCAGCCTGGATGGTAACCCCAAGCTCAAGTGAGTAGCTCCGTGCGGTGGCCAAACAACTATCGCTGACCCACTTGCAGCTTGGCCAGTTTCGTCACCACCTACATGGTAGGAGAACACAGACAATCCAATGATGGCCAGAATAGCTCACACTCCCTGTAGGAAGAAGAGATCGAGGAGATCATGACCGACTCGTTCAGCAAGAACTTCATCGACTACGAGGAGTACCCCCACTCCGCCGAGATCCAGAACCGCTGTGTGAACATGATTGCCCGTCTGTTCAACTGTCCCACAGGGTCAGAGGGTGATAATGCCATGGGTACCTCCACCATTGGCTCCTCCGAGGCCATCATGCTGGGCACCCTGGCCATGAAGAAGCGCTGGCAGAACAAGCGCAAGGCCGAGGGTAAGGACAGCTCCCGTCCCAACATTGTCATGAACAGTGCAGTGCAAGTGTGTTGGGAGAAGGCCGCTCGCTACTTCGATATCGAGGAGAAGTACGTCTACTGTACCAAGTCTCGTTATGTCATCGACCCCAAGGAGGCTGTCGACCTGGTGGATGAGAACACAATTGGTATCTGCGCCATTATCGGTACTACCTACACTGGTGAGTACGAGGACGTCAAGGCCATCAATGACCTGCTCGTCGAGCGTGGCATTGACTGCCCCATCCATGTCGATGCGGCTAGTGGTGGCTTTGTCGCTCCCTTCACCCAGCCCGATCTTGCCTGGGACTTCCGTCTCGAGAAGGTCGTCTCCATCAATGTCTCCGGACACAAGTACGGTCTGGTCTACCCCGGCGTTGGTTGGGTCATCTGGCGTTCGCCCGAGTACTTGCCCCAGGAGCTGGTCTTCAACATCAACTATCTCGGCGCCGACCAGGCTAGTTTCACTCTGAATTTCTCCAAGGGTGCCGCCCATGTCATTGGCCAGTACTACCAGCTGATTCGCCTGGGCAAGCACGGTTATCGCTCCATCATGGTTAATCTGACTCGCATTGCCGACTACATGGCCGAGCAGCTGAAGAAAGAGGGCATGGTCATCATGAGCCAGGGTCAGGGCAAGGGTCTGCCCCTTGTAGCCTTCCGCCTGCCTCCCAATCCCGACCGTATCTACGACGAGTTTGCCGTCGCCCACCAGCTGCGCGAGCGCGGATGGATTGTTCCTGCCTACACTATGGCACCTCACAGCGAGAAGCTGAGATTGATGCGCATTGTCGTCCGTGAGGACTTCAGCATGAACCGCTGCGACAGCCTTTTGACCGATATCAAGCTGGCCCTCGAGACCCTTAACTCCATGGATCAGGCCATGATTGAAAAGTACAAGGCGTGAGTCTCCATGACAAGATGTGCGTTCAGATCTTTTACTGACTCTCTTCTCAGGCACATGGTCAGCCACCGTGCTCATCCCCGTCACAAGCACAGCCACTCGAGCTATCAGGGCGAGAAGCACTCCCTGCAGGGTAAGACTGGCAAGACCCACGGCGTGTGCTAAATTGCTCATCACGGGGTGTAATCTTCGACGCAAATGTTGAAATGCACGAGATTGTTGCTGGCTGTGCCACACACGTTGCCTGACTGTGATATGTATATAGCAAATGTCCTTTAGGGTGCACTTCGATTTTATCCATTATGAACTGTATGGATTGCTTCATTCTTTCTTTGTCAAATAGCAATCAGTCGGTCAACGTATGCTCACTCAAGATGGAAGCTTGTACTCAGGTGTATCCGGAAAGAGCAAGTACATAATGATCATTCTCTTTTCCTTCGAGATGGCTTTATCGAGGACGTCTTTTTCAAAGGACCTATAGCGGCAGTTTGCTGGACTTTTGAGGAGACATCAGGCCCTGACATCCTTCAAATCCATGTTGCACCGAGGAATGCAAGTGATCTAACCTAAAATGAAAGAAGAAGGACAGGTCCTATCGTATGATGCTCTGTCGTGTCTCTTCAGGGTTAGGGCCGGGCTGATCCTGACCGTACGCTCTTGGCCCCCAATGCTCTGTGGGGGCTAGGGATAGCTTTGCGCCATTTTCTCTAGTTATCATCTTCATCCAGGCTCTGCAGAATTGTCCGCAGATTGTCCGTAGCTAGGTGCTCAATACAATGTACTTCGATGATGGGTTGTAGTCATCTTGTCGACCGTTGATCCACTGTTTACACGGGTCGAATGTTCAAATGTTATATATAGAACACGAGACACTTAAGCCCCGCCTGCCGATCGTCTTCCCCCATTCTTTTCCCTCTCTCTCTGTCCCTTTCCTGGGACATCGAGGCAAGTATGCCACTTTTCAATATCCACAAACAGAAGAAGAAGTCGCCTCAACCCACACGTTACGCAGCTCCTGCTCGATCCGCGGAAGTGCTCCCTCACCCCCACATTCGCTCCACCCGCAGAGCTCAGCACCAGCTCCATTGACGAGGCATACTCCGACCGCTTCCCAGATTATCACTTTACCCAGTTCCCAGCCCCAGCCCCAAATCCACCCCGAAATCCAAACTTCACCCAGCCTCCCGAACCTGGTCCCTCCCTCCATCGAAGCCAGAGCCAGCGCCAACCCCAACGCGACCGACTGACCGTCAGCGTTGTCCCCCCCTGAGGACTCACAGCCTCGTCGCTCGAGAAAGAACTTGTTTGTGCGTCCTTCGTCCGGGCTGCTGGAGCGCAGTGCTTCTTTCAAGGAGAAAAACATCTCTCATCCCATCTCTCAGCCTACCTCACCGCAGTTCCCTGCCTTGAACGAAGCCCGCATTCACCCCGCTTACTCCGAGGCGCACTCTCCCGATAATCCACATGAACCGCATTCTGCTTCGCTAGCCTACCAACAGCAACATTCGCAGCACCCGCAGCGATTGTCGCGGGAAAACACCGAGTGGTCTCAGCAGCCGGGCCCGACGCAACAACACCCCGCACCATTGCCGCTCGGGCGCTCCAGTACAGACCTGAGCCTCCTCGAGAAATTGAATCGCCCATCCCCCACCGAACCTCCTCCAGAGTCATCTCGTTATCCGCCCGAGCAGAGCCATCGGGGGCAGTCTCATTCGCGTACCCAGCAGGATCTGGGATTGAGTGCTCGGCCCCCTTCCAGGCAGACCTACGAGCCGCTTTCACCAGCCCGACCGAACCAATCTGAAGTTATGCAGCAATCACAGCAGCAACAGCAGCAGCAACAACAGCAGCAGCAGCAGCAGCAGGCTCAGGCCCAGGCTCAGGCCCAGCAGGCACCGGGTGATCGTCCCTCGGGACAAGATGGTAGTCGACGGGGCAGTACCACCCAACCTGTACCAGTGGTAGAGGGACGGACCACCCCTACGCCAAATCGAGTGCGCGAAGATCCCGAGAATATTGATGTTCGCGCATTGCTCCAGAAACATGAAGAACTCCGTAAGCCTTGATTTGTCTTTTGTGATCGGTGTGGGGTAAATCAGAACTAACAAACATAGAATCGAAATACTCCAAAGTGAAGCGATACTACTTTGACAAGGAAGCGCAGGTGCAACACCTCCAGAATACAGTGGCGCATCAGCGCATGGCTGTATCTCGCACAGTGCTCGACGACAATGAGTATGCAAACCGCTTCCAGCGACTAGATGGAGCCATCAAGGACCTCGCTTTTTCGGTGCGAAAGGACTGGCGGGGAGTCCCGTCATGGCTACGCGGCTTAGTGACCGATGAAGCAGTTTCAACAGGAACCAAGGAGATGACCAGCGTGGGACGGGCTGTCATTAGTCGGTGGTTGGCTGAGGAATTGTTCCATAAATACTTTCATCCAGGATTGGAGATTGGTCTCAGCGTACAACTTAAGAGCATCGAGATGAACCTCCGCCGGCAACAGATGCGACCTGCCACGGATGAAGACCGCGAGAATGCTACTGCTCGCCTGTCGAACTGGCGTCGAACGACCTTTGACGGACTGGGCGATATGCTTGCAGACGCTGCTGCTCAGAAACACCGTGCGGAGCTCATTGAGCATTTGTCGGTAGAGCTGGCCTCGTTCCTGAGCTCGCAGGTGCATGAGGCTGCGCTGCCGGGACTTGAGGCGGGCGTGCGCATGATCATTGAGAATAGCGTCAATATCGCCGAGAAGATCCCACTCGAAGCTCGAGATGTCTGTGTGGAGTACTTCCTTCCCAATGTCACCTTTGCCGATGGGTACATGAAGGTGGAAGGGCAACTGCCGCCGCTTAGTCGTCAACCTCCACCTCCAGCTGACCACGAGCCCGACGAGGCCGCCGGAGTCGAAAGCGACTCGTCACCCGTATCGAACTCGACTGGAGGGGGTGATGGCACTGCAGCCACAGCCACACCTCGTGAATCTAAGAAGAAGTCTGTCTTCGTGGCAATCATGGGCCGCAAAGGCAATGAGCCCCGTCCCGCTGCCAACCACGCTCCCGAGGAGAAGAGCGAGCCGGTTGAAGGACCCGCGAGAATTCGCTTCTCGTCCTTCCTGGCCGTCGAGGTACGCGGCAAGGGGCCAGCAACGGTCCTGGTACAGGCCCCAGTGTGGATGATGGAGTGAGAAAGGGTGAAAACAATTGTACATACTTTGGAGACATGCTGGCACATGGCGATGACGACCACGAATGCGTTGATATCCCCATTCATTGTTCTCCTGGTAGGATTACATGGGCGCCTATGAAGGCATTCCCTTTTTATTTTTATTTTTTTTTTTCTTTTTTTTTCTCGAGCAGACCTCCAGCCAGAAAACCTGGCGAGGTTATGATGCAAAGGACTTAATGGTTCACGATAATGGAAATACTTGAATTGCCTATCATCTTCTCGAGTAAATATCAGAATTACAAGGGCGGCGGGGCCAGGTCCAGCCCTTCGACGGTCAACTTGAATGCATCGTTGCGCGAGTAGCTACCAGCGACATCGAGATCTAATCGACCTCGCTCGCAGTCATCCACATCAATCTGGGCAATCGCCAGTCCATCCCCAGTCGCAGCCGGTTGAACACCACTCGAATGCACGGCTACTTCGTCGCTATCGGGCACATCATCCGTACAGACCTCCCACAAGGGCCCTGCTAGAACCTCACCTAGCGGAGAAATGATACAACTACCTCCTCGACAGAGATACTCAGAAGTCTGAGAGGATACATGGGATGATACTTGAGCCGTCTCACCCTCACCATTCACCACCCCCTGAGTCGAACACTGCGGCCACACAATCTCATGCGGCCCCTCCGACGTAATCGACAGCTTGCGGTTCATCATCTTCGGGTGCTCCCTGTGCACAGGAGCTGGAGCCGGAAACGGAGCAGTCTCCCTTTGCCCGGTTATCCAAGACGGCAACTCGCACTTCCGAACACATTGATTTGCCGAGAGCACGAAGCAACGACCTTCAATGCCGACGGTGCGCATAAGCGATAGCCAAGTATCACGGGCATCAGCCGTCGGAGCGAGGTAGATATTCACGTTTTGAGAGTACAGACTCTGACGCAGCAAGGGCATGTAGTTCTCCCAGCAGATGGCAGAAGCCAATGTAATCGGAATCCCATTGAGACAAGTTGTCACCGCGCGAAGAGTCGAAGGTGATCCTTGAGCCCAGATCATGCGTTCGGCACCAGTCTAAGCAAGTCAATATTCATAATCAGCTTTCCCAAGAAATATAAAAAACAATATGTGAAATAACTCCAAGCATATCAACCATATTTCCGATAATTGAAAGGGTAAAAATTCACACAAAAAAAAAAAAGGACATACCGGCATCACCTTCCTCCCTCTTCCCCAAGATCCCCCTCAAAGGATCAACATAAACCACCGAACAATACAAACTTCCTCCCGCCCTCTCCACCAACCCAGTCACAATAAATACGCCCGTCTCACTCGCCACCCTCTCAAGAAACTCCCTCGTCCCATCTCCACGATACTGCTTCCCAACGGCAACCTCCAACTTCCTACCCAGCCACTCCTCACCAGCCCCAGCAGGCGTATCACCCAGATCCACAGCAGCCTTGAAATACTCCAGGAACTGATCTCGGCCGTGTGGAGCCCGAGATCCAACCGCTGCCCCGAAAGAGCACGTACGTGGATACCCGCCCAGGTACGCTTCTGGGAAGAGGAGGAGGTGGACGTTGCGAGAGGAGGCGAGTTTAGTTGTTCGTTCGAGGGCGGAGAGGGTGGATTGGGTGGTGTGCAGGGTGCGGGATTGGGCGATTGCTACTGTCAAGGAAGGCATTGCGATTCACAATTTACCACAAGACTTGGAGATGAGATTCTGGGAGCGGGAAACAGTTATACTGTAGAAAAAGCTGTGGACAGTGAGTTGCGTGTATGAGAAGAGTGGAGTTCACATCCAATGAATGCGGGAGGTGCGGGTATTGCGGGTGGATGGTGACATCATGAGGTGGGTAATAAGTCGCGACTAGTGGTGTGCGGGGTATGTGTCTATTGGTTAGCAGCGAACTATAGAATGTATAGAATGTATAGAATCGAGTCATTGGAAATGTAGTAGATTATATATTCCAGTCTGGTATCTACCCCATGGCATAATTCCAACAGAGACACCCAACCCGGGGAAAGGAAAGAGAACATTTACACAGAACCATTTGATTTGCGACATTTTGTTCGCCAATGCAAATTGTGATTGTAGGGTTTGAAATGAGAAAGTCTCAAATCACGGATCAAAAGATAAGAAAGGGAAAAAAAATGGAATAGTTCCCGGGTATAGCGCCTCGCTGATGTGCAAAATGAAATAGGCCCCAAAAGTCACACGAGACAAGACAAAAAAGGAACAAAAAAAACAACCTCAAGATGGATATGCCATGATAGTAAAGTGCTCAAATGCGAATGCGGAAACAACAGAGTTCATCAATGTGCACGCTGAGAAATGAGAACATGAGAGCTTTTTTTTATGTCCAATGACCTTCGCACTAGAAAAAAAAGGTCTAGATCTTGATGCCGTGGGATTGGGCGGCTTGAGATAGGACGCGGGGCCATCGCGAGATGAGCTCAACATCATCGAGAATACCCTTGCCTTGGTTGCGCACGTATTGGGTGCTTGCGTCTACGCGAGGCTCCCAATCCCAGCTCTGCTGAGTACCCTGAATCAGAGCGGAGTAGACCAGACGACGACGGCGCTGAGAATGCAGGACGTCCTGACGGATCTTCTCGAGGTCCCAGCGGTTGTGAGTTTCCTCCATGAACCAGGCGAGCAGCTTGACTGGATCCATGGTCTCGGGCAAGGCGGGAGGGACGCGGCTCGGGCTCGGGCTGCGGGGTGGAGTCAGAGTCGGGAAAGGGTAAGAGTTCTTCTCGCTGGCGCGCTGCGGGATGGGCGAGGCGCGAGGTGTGTCATTGGGAGTGGGCAGGTTTATCTGCAGGGACAAAGCTGTGTTCGGTGACTTGGCGGCGATGAATCCACGGGTAGTAGATGGGATGGGAAGACCGGCCACCAGGTTAACCTGCTCCTCGGGATCGGCGACCAGGTCGAACAGCATGGGCGGGTCGATGACCGAGTAAATGAACTTCCAGCGGCCGCGACGGATCATAACCAACGGGGCCTGGGTACCTTCACCCATATACTCGCCGTAAACGGTATCAGTGCGAAGACCTTCGCCACCGGTCAGATAGGGCATGAGGGAAACACCGTCAAGAGGCAATTCCTTGATGAGCGGAGCACCGACCATTTCCGCAAAGGTGGGCAGGAGATCCATGGTGGACACATTCTCCGAGACGCGCTTGGGCGAGAAACGCTTAGGAGCGTGGACGAGCATAGGCACACGAGCCGAGTTCTCGAACCAAGTCATCTTATACCATAGGCCGCGCTCGCCGAGCATGTCCCCGTGGTCACCGCTGAACACGATGATCGTGTTCTCATCCAGACCGGTGTTCTTCAGCACCTTCAGCAGCTTGCCGATGTTGGTGTCGACGTATGTGCAGGCGGCGTAGTATGCACGGCGAGCATTCTTAATATTTTCTTCAGGCAGTTCCTTACCCCAAAGGTCAATGCACTGCAGCACACGCTGAGAATGAGCATCCTGCTGATCGTGTGGAATAGGGCCATTCTTGGGCATGGGGATGTCCACATCTTCGTACATATCCCAGAATTCCTTGGTCATGGCATATGGGTCGTGGGGGTGGGTCATGGACACGGTCAGACAGAATGGCTGATCGGTGCGAGAACGCACGTGGTCGTACAGGTACTGCTCCGACTTGTAGATAACCTCTTCGTCAAAGTCAAGCTGGTTGGTGCGGACAACAGGACCGGCCTCCATGACCGAGGACATGTTGTGATAGAAATCCAGACGAACCTCGGGCTCGTCCCAATTCACGGACCAGCCGTAGTCACCGGGGTAAATATCGCTGGTAAGACGCTGCTCATATCCATGCAGCTGGTCTGGCCCGCAGAAATGCATCTTTCCGGCAAGAGCCGTGTGATAACCCTCGCGCCGCAAGTAGTGGGCATAGGTGGGTACATCGGCCGGCAGATCCGCTGCGTTGTCGTAAGCGCCAATTTTCGAGGGCAGCTGGCCGCTAACCATCACGAAGCGCGAAGGAGCGCACAGGGGAGCATTGCAATAGGCCGAGTCGAAAACGACACCTTCGCTTGCCAACCGGTCAAGATTGGGAGTCTTGATGGGAGAGTTCTTGTCATGCAGAGACAACAAGGGAGCCGCCATCTGGTCGGCCATGATGTACAAGATATTGGGCTTCTTTTCCGCCATGATGAATTATGTGACTATCGGCGGGAAATCAACCTTGGAACAGTGAAACTATGGAAGGGAAAAAAGAAGAGACCGAAGTGGAAGCGGCGGAAGGGGGTAGATATATGAAGTCGGGAAATGGCATATGTGGGGAACTGGATGACGGGAAAAAAAAAGCCAAAAAAAAAAAAAGAAAAAAAAGAAGATAATCAAAGGATCGGGGTCAAAGACGAGGACCCAAAAAGTCACAACTTGATTATCAACGAGATCTGGAAAGTTACAAGCGTATGTATTGTCGGAATGCCGGGGGTCTACTCCGTCCTCCGTTCTTCCACACTTCGTACTAGCCCCTAGGTCCGTACAGACCGCCCTCTGCGTGAGACCGTCATTCCCCCGTTGACCAGATTCCACCGATCATACAGTAGTGCACTGCAATGAAGATCAGGGGGACGCTGTTAGTGTCCGGGGACTCTGAAAATTGAGATTGGTGGCCAGCAGTGACGTACTCAAGGCGTGAGAAGACACCATTTTACAGTGCGATGGTGTGATCGGTCCGGAATGGGCTGGAAACGGCAGAAGCGGTGGAAAGCGTGGATGAAAAGCGGTGGGGGGGGTTTTTTTCCCCCGATCGACAGGAGACGTATGGATCGTATTGGGATTACATCACGGTATCATCGACTCACGCGGACTCCGATCTCAGCGAATCAGACTCGAAAAGTGAAAAATGCAAATGAACAAAAGGCAATCAACGCACGGCTATCACGATCATGTGGCCGTGGACTCTGTGCCTCGAGCTGGTCAGCGAGTCCATGTTGACCCGGGAAGCGAAGACGCCTTGCCGAGTTGCCACTTTGCGAGGCCTCGGTACGGGTGTATTACACGCCACGGGTGTAATTTTGACCACCCGATCCACCCCGCTGCAGCTCTGAGATCTGGAGTGATTCAACTTTCACACTGCCGGCATTCTGGTCAAAAAAATGGCCGCATGCGCAATCAGCATGTTCTCGCGAGGGTTGGTTGTTGAACCAAGAAAGGGGTCGTCGAGAGAGTCTTGATAGACCCTTGTAAAGACGACGATCCACCCGAGAATCCGAGCAAACCTTAGACTCCATCGGATCGTGTCATCGCCTGCTGGGGCCAATGATCAGCCCGAAGAAAGGAGCTGAGGTTTCCCCTTGTCTCTATCTGGTTTAGCGCCAACACTAGTCCGAACAATCCACTTGCTTATCTCGGTGATCCAATAGTGCGCCCCGGGGGCTCAACTCTCAGTTACCCGAATCCGGTACTTTCTCTCGTGGCCTCACCCTTTGCACGCTCTGCAGTCGAGGAGCCTATACTGCATCTCGTTATCATTGCCAAACTACCGACGTAGGGAACGGAGAGATGATGTAAAAGGATCTGCTGCAACGACATGAGCAATCCCCCTTTCCAAAGCACGCCATGGGGGCAGTCTACAGTATTAGGATGACCTCGCCCCCGGATTCCTGCCAAGAGCTTCGTCACCGCCGTTTGAAAGAGTTTGGCTCATTGCCTTGACTTTGTCTTCGTGGACCTAGTTCCAGGATGCACGTCGGATTCCCCACATAGCCACGTCTGCAACATTTCTCGTGGCGGGAATGTTTCACCCGATGCAGAATGGCGCAATTAAATGTCATCTGAGATGGAAAGGACACAGCACAGATCACGCATCACACATCACACATCACACATGCCATGATTGGTATGATCTCCCCCCGATCCTGACCGTTCACTCGCCAGGGATCGGTAGTGCGCTTCCCAGGGTGATACAGTACCAGCCAGACGGGGATGGCCGAAGGGTTGATCGTTCCAACCTGCAAGCAACTAACAGTCCAGAGTGTGTGACCATCAGGAAAACACGGGCCCTGGGTCCGCCTCTGACATATATCTACCTCCCAAGGGCCAATGAAGGGACTATCTGATTAGCCACTCCCCACCCAAGATTTGCTTTTTTGTAGATCATGTTCACACTTTGGGGCTGTGTTCGAATCCCATCATGTCTGGATTTACTTCTGCTAAATAATACGTCGAAATTGAAAATCCCATGCATCAACCCCTTCCATATATTCCTCCGTTTTCATATCCCCGGCCAGGTTTGCATACACATCCCGAGGAACCTCGTTGTCTTGAATGTAGACAGGATGTCTCGTAGTCGCGGCCGGGTCTGACCCCGAGATCGAGATAAAAGCATCGAGCCTGGCCATAACAGCAGATATGGGCTTAGAACTGGGACCCCTACCATCGCTCCTTGTCAATGACCTCGGTCACCAGAGGAACAAGCGCATCGCCCGAGGGAATACCATCCCTGAACGATTACCAGGTGGCAAGAGCTTTCATACCCCAAGGATCCTCAAGTCTCCCGGGATCGATGGGAGCATCACTACTGGGCGTAGTCGGAGTGTCGCTGTTGGGTGTAGCGGCTCTGAACGCGTCCCTGGACATACGAGTAAAGATCTGGTCCCAGTCGTCGGGGTAAACATCCCCCTCACAGTCGGCGTAGGGATTGGGCCGAAGATCCCAATAAACGACACCCTCGGGGACATCAGCCCGCATGGACTCGTCAGCAGAAGGCTTGCTATCCCCAGGCGCCTTGCCCTCGAAGGCATAATTTTCCCCGCAGTCGCTAGTGGAGTTAGGTCCCATATCCCAAGGTACAAATCCAGAGGGGGCATCATCATCATCCCTCCAAAGGTCAGCCAACGTTAGTCCCGAGGCCAAACGTGTGCAATCCTCTTGCTCCTTTTGCCTTCTGTGTCTCTCGTATTCCGTGATCTTCTCACTCGCAGGCAAGGTCTTCAGGAAAAAGGCCGCCAAATCCCGAGTAGCCAGGCAATCCTCAAGACAATCATGGCCTTGTCCTTGCTGGACTTCACGCTTCAAGTGAACATGTGTCAGGTTCTTGAGATTGGGGGATTTCGAGACAACGCCCACGCTGCCCATTCGGGTTTCGAGTTCCTTGGTATCGACGATAAGAGAATGGCGCCAGCGAAGGGCCAGCAAGTCATGCTTCCCGTCATGAGCAATGATCACAGTTTGCGTTCCGACGAACCTCATCAAACGCTTCCGGGCTTCGTCACGACCCCAGATACAGGTGTTGGTTTTGGCAGCCTTGTGCATCATGGGCCAAGTGATGCCCGAATGGCGGCTTGACAGATGTCTCATCTTAACGTCAGGCCAGACCAATGAATCCAGGAGGATCTCTCCGCTGAAGAAGTCGATTGCGGCCACTTGAATAAGCTCGCTCTCGCCCGTGATAGAAATACCCATTTCGCAGTCCAGGGCGACGGCATGTCGTTCATCAATGGCCACACCGCGCTCAGTCCCGTGCATGAAGTAGTCCTTCTTGAGCTCCTCGAAACCGAATAGCGTTCCGTGAGTGTCTTTTTGGACGCAACCGGAACTAGACTGCCCAACCTTCGCTCCGCAGCACTGGAATTTCTGCGAATGATCAGCATACAGTTTATTCAGATCGGGCCGAGGGTAAGGGAGGTTCACTTTGTTACGAGGCCCCAGAGGATGGCTTTGACAGATAGCTTTCTCAGGTAGAGGTGGGACCACCCCATTGAATACAGCCCAGTGGGGCATTTCCTTGGAGCGCTGGGCCTTGGACTTGACACGCACTGTCAGTCTAAATTAGCCATGTTGTGCAATGTGAATGTAAGGTCAAACTTACGCAGGCAGTCACTGCAGCGGAGCATCCTGCGGATTTCGGAGTCCAAGAACAATGTGATCTGATAGCCCAAGGTCTTCAGCTTTGACCAACTAATGGTCATGCCACTGATGTCCAGAACAGCCTGCTCATTCTCCGGGACAGGCTCTACATGAGGAGGGTTGGTGCGGAGACACGGGGTAGAGTGAACATGGTGACCTGGGCTGAGGTTCACGATTGCGAAAGACATCGTCATGTCAAAGAGGGTGACTCAGAATGGCAGGAGAGTAAATAGAGAGATGGATTAGTATGCAACAATGGTTGGAGGAAAGTAAAAGTAGGCCAGGAAGGTGATGGTCTACCTCAGGTTAACGAAGAAAAGAAGGGTTGGGTTGAGATGAACGAGGGAATGGGAGGGTATAAATATTTGAAATAACGAGCGGGATCTACGCGAGACACGAAGTGAGCTCAAGTTCAAGGCAAGACGAACAACTTGACTCCGGCGACCATTTGAAGTGGATGGTTGTTGGAGGAGCAAGGCCGTTTGCCGCCGTCGATTGCGTAACGCGAGTTCAGATGGGGCGAAGCAGGAGTATGGATAAGTTGTCACGAAGATGACGAATCCGCTCCAAAAAGTGAAGTATACGCAGTGCAGATTGGGTCAAATGAGTGCCAAAGGGAAATTACGCTTTCAAATATTAGGCGCTTTAGAAGCGTTGCGTGAGTCCCGAACCAACCATATCTGTTTCAAGATTGCCATTCAATAGTATTCCACCTAGCACGAAACAAATGATAATATTGAAGATGTTGGATTGACGCTTAACGCAGTAGAATACACAGCCTGGCATGACCTCGATTCCAACGGATCGCCAGCAATCGTGACGGCAGCTACTTGTATTTGGAGACTGCTGCTGGAAAGAAACAAGGGAAGACCATTAATGACACCCTGGGAGAGAATGTTTCTCGGTGGAAGGAAGGGGCTCAAATTGAGGGAGATGCAGGGAACGAGACAGTATACGCCGTGGTGGTCGACATCACCGATGCTTATCAGATAGTTCAAATCGCGAGAATGGAAGATGAAGAAAGGTAGTCAATTGTCAGAGAATGGCCAGTGATGGTGAGAACGACCAGCGCGAGTCTAATCAATCTTGATTGCACTAATCGGATGATTGATTAGCATTTGTGTAAAGAGATTAGCACGATCATGTCGCATACCTGTAGACTCGCCGGACAAAGGCGTATGCGGCCAAGAAGCCGACTGTTCCGGTCAAGAGACCGTATACAGCACAGGCCAGGAAGCTGTAGCTGAAGAACAACAAGCCAGATACAAAGCCTGTGATATGCAGCTTGAACGTATAGTACCAGATGCAGTAGGCGAAGATCCAAAATGCGCTGCCACTGCCTGTCAAGAAACTCTGCCACCACCAGTGATAATTCTGCAGAAAAGTTAGTACAAGGAATAACAGCTTGTTTGGAGCAGACAACTTGCCTCGGAGCAGAGCTGGCTGTATGTCGCAATAATGGTCACTTCAATCACGGTTACCATCAACACCGCTGACACCACGCTCAAGAATCCAAACACGTAATAATAGCCGCTCTTGTCCTGCCAAAGATTCTTGAACACAAAGAGGAGTTCAATAAAGAGAACAGCAAATGGAATCAGACCGGTCAACAAGGGGCCAGCAGGGCTGCGCAGATACCAGGGCTGAAGTGGGATCTGACGAGGAATGGCGTTAGTCTTGAGAGGATGCTCCCATGGACTTGCTCGTACGTATCCAAACCAGCTGCCGGCATACACCAGAGGAACTTGGATGAGGAGCCAGAGTGCAAGCAGTCCAATCAAGGTACCAAAAGGAATGGCAGTGCTGGAGGCTTGAGCCCAGACAAACAGGTTCAAGATCAAAACGAGGCAGAATGACAGGCCGGGGAATAGCAAGGCTGTGATAACGGTATTCTTTCGCCAAGCGGATCCACCGAACGTTTTATATAGCCTCCCGGAGAAGTAGCCGGAAAAGACACCAGCAAAGACGAACAGACCCATGCCGACACTGACGAATCCGCCACGGAAGCTGGGGTTCAAGACTCCCAAGCAGCTCAGCACGAGAAGTCCTGTAGCCATGAACAACAACTGCATGCCTGATCCAATAAGTGGAGCCAGAAGACCACTGTAGGCTGGAATGCGGAAGACGTCGCCATGAAGAAGTTTCCAACCACTGGTGTCTTCGAATACCTCTTCATCGGAGGACATGTCTGCGTCATTCTCCACATCATTCTCCAGCAATCCGTCGCCCTTCTTCTCGCCAGATCGCTTGCGTCGAAGTCCCCTCGGCTTCCGATCATCCATAGCGCCATCACCACGACCCTTAATGTCGCCCTGAACAGTGCGACTCCATATGACAAAGACGGTGACACCGAGCACAGTAGAGATCGTCAAAGAGTTGATGATCGCCAGCCAGTGGGTCATAGAACCCTCTTCTTGGTTGGTGAAATACAGATCCCAACGGTTCGCCCATTCAACCTTGGTATCCTCGCGGAAGTAGACGGAGTACGTGTAGGGGATCTTCAGAAGAGCACCATCGTCATCGTCGTCATCCTCCTCTGGAATATAGGAGAGACCCTGGTACTTCTCCTTTAAGCGTGACGTGTCTGGTGCAATGAATAAGCTCAATGGATCATGGTCTTTGTGGACATCCTTGGGGCAACCATCCGCCAGGCGGTCCTCTGCGCTGATGCTCTTGGGATATACCTCGAATCCAACAATGACCTTGCCGCTCTCCGGTGCGCTGCGCCAGCGAATGACAATTGTGAAGTGGTTGTTGATGAAGGAGCGAGGACGGCCGGTGACGGGGGATATATCACGGTATCCGAGCTTGAAGCCAGAGGCATAGTACTTGCGGCTTCGGTCGACAGTCACGAAGCTGGTTGCACCCGGGAGGTTATCGACGATCCACTCGATTACATAGTTCTCCTTGATGAGCTGGCGAGCCCACTTGACATCTTTGCGGCTGACCTCGGCAGTGCAGAGCGACTGGCACTCTACATCCTTGCCCATGGCAAGTTCGAAATCCGATGTCATGATCCGATCGCCGCGCAGCACCTCGCCCAAGTTGAGCGAGATGCTCTCGCCGGATCCGAAGGGCGAGCCGCCGTGTGATCGGCCGCTTGGCGGGCAGACGAAGGGCAGGTCAAAGTAGGCATATTGGAGCTGGGTATGATCGGAAAAGATCTTGTTCACGAGAAGTGGGATAGGCTGGCCGTCGTTATACCGTGTGACTGAGTAACCTGAGAATGGAAGACAGGGTCAGTGGCGTGAGCTGGGTTGGCAGATTGGGGAAGCTTACCAGGGATGTAGAAGGCCCAAGTACTTGACAGGAACAAGAGCAACCATAGTGCCCAATTCTGCGGGCCCAGTGGCCCGGATGCTGTATGCATTGCGAGTCGATGTCCCGCTCGACTCGCGAGAGTGAGCAAGGTCTAGACAACTATGCAACGAGGCCACAGATCGAGCTCGATGTGGATGACGAGACGCCGACCGAACGAGGCAATTCGCAGAAAATGGCCTTGACCTCGCTCAGCGAGACTGGGTTTCAAACACTGACACCTGAGCAAGGGTATATAGATTGATCGACCAACGATTGGGAGGCACCTGCGCTTAGGGTGCTTGGCAGAGTTTGGGGTCTGGACCGGTAAGGATCGACCGAGGATTGATGGAGGTATAGTAAGGGGAAAAGAACGAGTGTGATCGGCGAATGCCGCAGAGCCAGCAATGGGGAATCTAAGAGTGGAAACAGTGAATGTCCGAATCTTGACGCTTCCAGCGTGTCAACATGGCTTACTAAGGCACGGCATGCAACCCGACGCATTCAACTTGAGGAGTGAAGCGCTGACTATGTTTATTTCCCTGACTCCACCATCGCGTCTAAAGTGGATATAGCATTCGAACTGAACTGACATGACAAGGATTGAAAAAATGCCTTTTTAAGGCACCCTCTATGAAGTGAGCGGGGTGTTGATATTAACTTTCCAAGACTGTATTCGTTGAATCTTCGATCCGCGTACCCAGCAGGGGGTCCGTGGGCTAACATTTTGACAATATTCAAGAAGGAGGGAAATGGAGTACAAGACAAAATGGGCAGTACTCTTACTGTAGCTCGGAATTCTAGAACTGAAGATTTGAGGTGCCGAAGGAAAACCGAATATGGCATTGGAGTGGTCAACAGCCATCAAGAAACGCTAACATCCCGGCCGATCCAGGCTGAAAAGAAAGGAGAATTCTCCTTCCACGGACAAACATGCGAATAAAGGGTAATGGGAGGTCATCAGCACTCAGAAGTCAATCGTCACCGTCAGACATCAAGGGCCATTGGATAGGTTAACTAAGAGATAAACATGAAAATTGCGCGATGGGAAAAAACAGCGCACGCTCATGACGGATTATTCAGGAGATCCTCGATAGCTCCTTGAACACTGCCGCCAGATCGGCGCAGAGCTGCAACGTTTCGCTCAAATTCAAAGAAGCCCATATCGTTCAATTGCCGGAGCTGATCAGCGTAGCGCTCCTCCGGGGGCCGGTTGTCTGCTGGCTGGGGAGTGCCGAAGCCACCAAAGCCACTACCGAAACCGCCGCCCCCAAGCAAAGATGCCAGCGGATTCGAACCAGCAGCGCCGCCTTCTCCACCTTGTCCACCCATAGCCTGCATCATCTGTTGCATTAGTGCAGGGTCACGTAGGAACGGGTTCTGTTGAGGGTTGAAAGGGTTTATGCCTTGGGCACCACTGTTGCCGCCAAACAAAGCTGGATTGAGCAAGGAGGCAAATGGATTCTGAGCTTGGGACTGAGCCTGGCCGGCTTCGGGATTCTGTCCATCGCCCGTTGCGGATCTTTCTGTGGCGTTCTGGCCTTCCTGTGTACCGGTCGGCTGAGTGTTTCCAGCTGGAGCAAGGTTGCCGAAAGGATTGGCACCTCCGAAGAGCTGAGCGAATGGGTTTCCAAGAGGGTTTTGTCCCATCTGTCCCATTTGAGCAAACGGATTGGGAGGGGCTTGCTGCTCGGTGGTCTGCCCCTCTTGACCAGTAGTGTTGGTGACACCTGGGGCAGGAAAGGCTGACTCGCCGCCCATGCCGCCGGGGCCCATACCCATCGCCCGCTGGACCTGCATCATCTGGCGAATATGGTTGGGGTCAGTCATCATGCGACGAAATTCCGGGCTTTGCAACATCTGTCGTGCAGTGGGTCCCATGTCACGAAGCATAGGGTTTTGTTGTATCATCATGTCGATCATCGCAGGGTTTTGCAGAGCCTCGTTGATCTGTGATTGGAACTGGGGGTTCTCGAGCATGTTCAACATTTGGTCCGAGTCCGGAGGAGGGCCCATCTAGATCGCATGGTACATGTCAGTACATCCGGAAGGGTGCCGACAAGCGGTCATATGATAATAGGGCTTACTTACCCCACCATCTGGCCCAAAGAGACCTGCGCCGGGAAGCTGGGCAAACCCAGCGTATCGAGCCCCAGTAAGTCCAGCAAGAGGGTTGTTGCCAGTACCGGCAGCGATGTTAGTAGGGACACCAGCAGTGGGTTGACTCGGGGTGGCGCCAGCAGGTGCGGTTGTCGAACTGGCTTGACCCGTGGGATTCGAACGTTGCTGATTACTCGCAGCGCTCTTGACCAAATGGATGGTATGTCCGTCCTTGATCTTGTAGCTCTCTAGAGTCTCATTGTCTTTCAGGACTCGACCGGAATAGATCAGGCGCTGGCGATCCGCGGGGGTGTCGGCATATTCAGAGCTCGATAGCTTCTGCTTCAAGTCCAATACAAGTGTAGAGATAGGGAGGGTCAGGGTGAACTTGGCATCAGTGGAGGACTTGACAGTGAAGGTGATAGAGGTATCCTCAGAAACTCCGGTGTCATCGGCCATGGTTGGCAAGTTGGAGGGAGCCACCGGGTGGGGGTTGGGGCCGTGAAGAGAAGTAGAAATCAGGTGGGTCGACAAAGAATATCGTCAGATCAGGAGAGAAGTTATATAGGACTACTCAACGGTATAAAAAGAGCAATGCCTAGGAGCAGATTGAGAGCAAAGAGGGCTGAGCAAGTGAGATAGCGAGGTGCTCCATAGTCCAGGCACATTACATAAATGATTGCAGAAGGCGGTCGAATCCGATCGTTGCGCACGTGATCAGGGAGCTTCGCACCGCAATTTTGCATCTCTGCATCTTTCCCTTCCCGCAAGCTCATTCTCTTGTTTCCCACCACCGGTTGTGGCCAATTTTCAGGAGGAGTCGTTCATTTCCACTGACTCCATCCAGCAGCAATGGGATTGATGTGATCATCATTGCCTAGATTGCAATTGCTTGTAAAACTCACGTCTTTCAGCGTTTTTTTGGGTGGGAAACCCGCGAACTAGCTGCCCACCATGGCTACCACCTCGCACATGTTCATGTATTCCCTGACGATTCAGCCTCCGACTGCGATCACTCAGGCCATCTTGGGTCAGTTTGCTGGGACCAAGGAGCAGCAGATCGTCACTGCGTCCGGTTCCAAGCTTACCATCCACCGTCCGGACCCGACTCAGGGAAAGGTGACGCCAATCTTCACACAGGATGTCTTCGGCATCATCCGCTCGCTAGCAGCTTTCAGGCTTGCTGGAAGTAACAAAGGTATGTGTCTTTCTTTAATCCGTGTTTGCATTTACGAGTTCAACTTAGTGATTCTTCAAGCTTTTCGGGTAGCACGGTCCTGGTTTTCCGAGCCGGCCCCTTGAGGGCGGGACCTGCCCCGGCCAGCAATGTTGACGCTGTGAACACAAGTTTACGAACCATGCTGAGACATGAATATCCAGATTACATTATTATCGGTTCCGATTCGGGTCGTATCACCATTATCGAGTACGTGCCGTCGCAGAACCGTTTCAACCGGATCCATCTGGAAACATTTGGCAAGTCTGGTGTTCGCAGGGTAGTTCCCGGGCAGTACCTTGCCGTGGACCCCAAGGGACGTGCGTGCTTGATTGCGTCTGTGGAGAAGAACAAGCTGGTCTATGTTCTTAATCGAAATTCCCAGGCGGAACTGACCATCTCGTCACCCTTGGAGGCACACAAGGCCCAGACGCTTGTGTTTGCCATGATATCATTGGATGTGGGCTATGAGAACCCTGTCTTTGCTGCCCTTGAGGTGGATTACTCTGAGGCCGATCAAGACCCCACCGGACAAGCTTATGCAGAAATCGAGAAGGTTCTGGTCTATTACGAGCTTGATCTTGGACTTAATCATGTGGTCCGCAAGTGGTCTGACCCCGTCGACCGCACTGCAAACATGCTGTTTCAAGTCCCTGGCGGTGCAGACGGCCCCAGCGGTGTTTTGGTTTGTGCCGAGGACAGTGTTACATATCGACACTCCAATCAGGACGCGTTTCGTGTGCCCATCCCCCGGCGAAGTGGACCCACTGAGAATCCGGAGCGGAAGCGGACCATCGTCTCCGGAGTAATGCATAAGATGCGAGGCGCATTTTTCTTCCTTCTCCAAACCGATGACGGTGACATGTTCAAGCTCACGCTTGACATGGTCGAAGATGATAATGGTCAGTTGACTGGAGAAGTCCAAAGTCTTAAGATCAAATATTTCGACACCGTCCCCGTTGCATCAAATCTTTTAATTCTCAAAAGTGGTTTCCTTTATGTTGCTAGCGAATCGGGCAATCACCACTTCTACCAATTTGAGAAGCTTGGTGACGACGATGTGGAGACTGAATTTTCAAGCGACAATTATTCTGCCGACCCATCCGTTCCCTACGAGCCCATCTTCTTCCGCCCTCGCCCAGCCGAGAATCTCAACCTCATGGAGGTTTTGAGCTCTCTCAATCCATTGATTGACAGCAAAATTGCCAATCTCACAGAGGAAGACGCCCCTCAAATCTACTCAGTTTGTGGCACTGGCGCCCGCAGCACCTTCCGAACCCTCAAGCATGGCTTGGAGGTTTCCGAGATCGTTGAGTCGCAACTTCAAACTGCGCCTTCCGCTGTCTGGACAACGAAGCTGACGCGCAACGATGAATATGACGCTTACATTGTCCTTTCCTTCGCCAACGGCACCCTGGTTTTGAGTATAGGTGAGATCGTGGAGGAAGTCAGCGATACCGGGTTTCTCTCTACTGCACCCACGCTGGCTGTGCAACAGCTTGGCGAGGATTCTTTGATCCAAGTGCATCCACGGGGTATTCGCCATCTCCTTTCGGGTGGTCGAGTTAACGAATGGCCCGCGCCCCAGCATCGTTCCATCGTGGCCGCTGCTACAAACGAGCGCCAAGTGGCCGTAGCCCTCAGCTCTGGTGAAATCGTGTACTTTGAAATGGATACGGATGGCACCTTAGCCGAGTATGACGAGAGACGGCAAATGTCTGGTACCGTCACCTCTCTCAGTCTGGGCCAGGTTCCCGAGGGGCGCATGCGCAGCTCTTTCCTGGCTGTCGGCTGTGATGATTCCACTGTCCGTATCCTCAGCCTTGATCCAGATTCAACTCTAGAGAACAAGTCGGTTCAAGCCTTGACTTCTGCTCCCTCTTCATTGAACATCATGGCCATGGCCGATTCAAGCTCTGGTGGCACCACACTTTATCTGCATATCGGTCTTTATTCCGGTGTGTACCTTCGCACAGTCCTGGACGAAGTCACTGGCGAGCTGTCTGATACACGGACACGCTTCTTGGGTGCAAAGCCCGTCAAATTGTCCCAGGTCTCTGTCAAGGGCCAAACAGCCGTTCTGGCTCTTAGTTCCCGCTCATGGCTTGGATATTCCGACACACAAACCAAGGGCTTTATGCTTACTCCGCTGGATTATTCGCCCCTCGAGTGGGGTTGGAATTTCTCCAGTGAGCAATGTGTCGAGGGTATGATCGGTATCCAAGGCCGTAACCTCAGGTATGTTCTATCATTCCAGTATTGCATTGATACCCCATCCCACTCCCTCCATGATCATATGATGAAAATAAGGGCCCGAAATAATTTATGAGGACAAACTTTTTTAATATTTTCCAATTGTTCCTACTGAGATCATTCACTTGCCACCCTTTGCATTTGGACGCTGCGTTGGAACCCTGCCACTGACAACTACTAGGATCTTCTCTATCGAAAAACTCGACAACAACATGCTTCAAGAATCTATTCCTCTTGCTTACACACCGCGTCGCTTTGTTCAACACCCTGAGCAACCGCTCTTCTACGTCATTGAATCGGACAATAATGTATTGTCTCCTGCTACGCGGGAGAGTCTGATTCAGGATTCAAAGTCGCATGCCAATGGCGATTCAGCGGTGCTGCCACCCGAAGAATTCGGGTACCCTCGTGGCACTGGTCATTGGGCCTCTTGCATCCAGATTGTGGATCCTATCTCTTCCAAGTCAGTCGTATTTACACTGGATTTGGAGGAAAACGAAGCAGCGGTCAGTATTGCTGCCGTACCGTTCGCTAGCCAAGACGGCGAAACCTTTTTGGTGGTCGGCACCGCCAAGGACATGGTCTCCTTGCCACCATCTCATGCTGGCGGCTTCATTCATATTTACCGATTCCAGGAGGATGGGCGCGAGCTGGAGTTCATCCATAAGACCAAGGTTGAGGAGCCACCGCTTGCCCTCCTCGCCTTCCAAGGCAAGGTTCTTGCCGGTGTCGGCTCCATTCTTCGTCTGTACGACCTCGGTATGAAGCAGCTTCTTCGCAAGTGCCAAGCCCCTGTCGTTCCCAAGACTATTGTGGGACTGCAGACGCAAGGCAGCCGAATTGTGGTTAGCGATGTCCGCGAGAGTGTGACTTATGTTGTCTACAAGTACCAGGAGAACATCTTGATTCCCTTTGTGGATGACTCCATTGCTCGCTGGACGACCTCGACGGCTATGGTTGATTATGAGACCACTGCCGGTGGTGACAAGTTCGGTAACCTCTGGATGATGCGATGCCCGACGAAGGTCTCCGAAGAGGCCGACGAGGATGGATCCGGTGCCCATCTGATTCACGAGCGAGGCTACCTTCAGGGCACTCCCAACCGCCTCGAGTTGATGGTTCACTACTACACGCAAGATATCCCGACCAGTATCCACAAAGCTCAATTGGTGGCTGGTGGTCGTGATATTGTTGTGTGGACTGGCTTCCAAGGCACAATTGGCATGTTTGTGCCGTTCGCCAGCCGCGAGGACGTTGACTTCTTCCAAAGCTTGGAGATGCAGCTCGCCGCGCAGCAGCCCCCTCTGGCTGGTCGAGACCACCTGATCTACCGTGGTTACTATGCACCATCCAAGGGCGTCATTGATGGCGACCTTTGCGAGATGTATTTCTTGCTGCCCAACGATACGAAGATGATGATTGCGGCGGAGCTGGATCGCTCCGTCCGCGAGATCGAACGCAAGATCTCTGACATGCGAACTCGGGTGGCGTACTAATGAATTTCTGGGGTAAAGTGGATTTCTGATGACGGCGTTTGTGCTCTGGGCTTCAGATACCTAGTACCTGTTAATCGATACCACTCCGGCGGCATTGACCGCATTCTTTGATCATGGCTTGCGCCTCCTATTATCATTTCCCCTTTCCATTTCCGTTGCCTTCTAGACATCTCTTCGGAGAAGGTCTCTTGCCTCGCTCGGTCTGCCGCTTCACTCGGCTAATCTTGAGCTGGATGCAGCCCGCTCGTTACGACGAGTGGCCTGTACGAGACAAGAAGAAGCGTGGTCACCACGCGTCGACGTTTTTTGAGTACGGTTTTATCCGCTTTGCACCACGGATATACACCGTAATTTATCTGTCGGGACATCCCGTAAGCCTACTTAGTTGTATAGCTGATGAAACGAAATGCATTTGTGTAAATACATTGAGCCCGAAATCTCCGCTTTTCCCTTGTATTATGTAAAGTATCATTGGGAGCTGATGTAGATCCCCAGAGCGATCGGAAATCGAGACCGATCTATGCGCCGGCCAACCGAAAGTCCACCGAGATTGAGGCCGTGTGTGTGAACGCATAGCCGCCCTGATCCCGTGTAGTCCGAGGAGCATCCACTCGGGATAGACACCAGCCTCGGTTACGGACGGAAAATTCTGGAGCGTCCGAAAACCGGGCTACCATCGTCGCAGTTCTCCTCGGGAAAAGCCCAGGGTCGCCATGGTGTGATGTTTTGACGGTCCTCCAAATTTGAGTGCAAAACCCGCACGACATAGGGCAAACCCACGCGAGTCATCCTCAGATACGCGGAACCGTTCCTCATGTCCCGTGCTCTGAACTTTTCCCCCGGGTCATGGCGTTGGGCCAGTGATTGGCCCTGATGACGAGCGGGCGTCGGGGAATGTTGACTTTGTGACTTTGTTCCCAGTGGAGACTGTCGAAGGGCGTGCAAATGTCGGCGTAAGGCGCACTCCACCCCTAGCCCCACCTTCAAGCTTGTATCCTGACTCGAAAAGTCGCTTGCGAGAAGCTCGTTGCAAGGGCATATACATCGGTCAAGGAGTCCCAATCGTGCACTCAAAAAGCATTGGAATGAATATCTATTGATTGTACAGTAGCACGACATCAGCCTAGAATTTAGATAAGGCATAAGAATAGTAATAGGACTAGGATCGGATTCCCAAGAATGTCAAGCCAAGGGCGTGATGGAGGAGGCTTCCGCTTGTCGCTTTAACCTTTAACTGCAACTGCAGACGATGGGCGCCAGGCCACTTCCCCTAATGGTTATTCGACGCGGACGTGACTCACGATTAACAATCAGAGGATTCATCAAGCTCATTCGCATTCCCATTCCCATTCCCATGCACATACACCGTCCACGTTGACATCCACAATCTGCAGTCACCAAAGCTAGGGACTATAAGACGGGGGCCCCTCCTGAACCTGGTCTGCGGTTGTCCACGGCTCCACTTTCTACATCCCATTTTTTTGTGTGCTTTAAATCACTCGGAATTCCTGATTTCCAGGATTGATCCCATACTCCAGATTGATTGTTTCATTCACTCTTTGCCTCTTTGTATTGTGATTCCTCTTGCCCAAGAGTGCGATACGATGGTTGCGACCTCCGTGATCAGCAAGGGCTCTGAGACCCTGGATGTCTTCACCAGGCGATCGCAGCCCAAGATCGAAATCACCCTGCGAGATCAGATCCCGGGCCTGGTCAACTCTTATACAACAGGGGACCAAATCGAGGGAACCGTTACCATCGCTGTCGATCAGGAGACGCGTTTCGACGAAGTGGAAATTGTCCTACAAGGTATGAAGAATCCCGCCATTGTCTTTTGCTCATGTCGCATCTAATCCTGTGATAGGTACCTCGCACACCATGGTAGAGCGTGCCGCATGTCCGGGCCGCACAGGATCCCAGCAGATGTTCCTCAAGCTCCGCCAACCTGTTGATGAAACAGACTACCCAACCCCACGAGTTTTCGAAGCAGGTCGTAAATACAGTTTCCCCTTTACATTTGTTGTCCCCGAGCATTTGCTTCCACAAGTGTGCACCCATTCCAAGTACAACCACCAAGTCCACCGATCTCACACCATGTTGCCGCCGACTTTGGGAGATCCCATGCTGGCTGGGAACGGAAAGACTCTGCTTGATGATATGGCCCCAGATATGAGCCAGATCTCCTATATCATTCGTGCTGCAGTCAATAAGAGGTCCACAGCCGATCATCGTCAGATCAAAGCATTGGCCAATTTTGCGAAGAAGGTTCGCATCATTCCCATGGTCGAGGAGGAGGCCCCCATCAACACGGTCGATCACCCATACTTCTGTGCTCGGAAGGAGAAGAGCGTGAAGCGTGGGTTCCTGCGTGGAAAGCTAGGTCGATTGGTAGCCTCATCTGCGCAGCCAAAGCCCATTCAACTGTCACCTCCGAGTTGTGAATCTCGCGATACCGTGAGCACGGTGGCTACCGTTCAGCTTCGATTTGACCCCGTGGGAAACGAGCAACCGCCGCGCCTCGGCTCCATGGTCAGTAGAATCAAGGTGAGCACTTTCTACAGTGCCACCCCATGGGAGGACTACCCCTGCCAGTCTGTCATAACACCCGTCTCCCAGGTCGGACAGACCCTGTTCACCGAGACCGTCCCCTTATCAAAATGTGTGTTGCCTCCGCCCAATGGCAGAAACACTCGATTTTCTCCGGCACTGATCGCCGCGACTCATTGAACTCAACCTCCTCGACCACCTCGACCTTTTCGGAGCAGTCAATCAGCCCGTCTTCCGAATTCCTCGGAGAGACCTATTATACCGCATCAGTTGTGATCCCCATCACACTTCCCATAAACAAAACCTTCGTGCCGACCTTCCACTCATGCCTGATATCTCGCACATATTCCCTCGACCTCTCCCTCACATATCACACTCCTGGCACCAATGTCTTGACCCCAACAATCTACCTACGTCTGCCGATCCAAATCACCACCCAGCCAAAATACGATACCCTCAAGTCTACCATCGAGGGCGTGATCGTCACTCAAGATGAAGTGAATGCATTCTTCCAGCCCCGTATCGTGAGCCCTCCCACCACCGAGGCAGTCATCGACCTAAGCCTAGCACCGCCCGAGTACTCGGAGACCATTCCTACAATCCCCCGTCCCTGCTGTATGAACAGCAAGTGCATATTTCTGTCTTTAGCTTGATTCTTTTACTTGATAATACCCCCGTCATGCATAGCATGTGCACAAAAGTTGCGTTGTTTTTGATATTGATCTCGAGCCTTGATTGAATATACCCTTTTCTTTCTTTTCTTTTTGGAGCGCAGAATCATGTTTTTAGAATACGTCTTCAACTTAACTAAGCGCGTTATGGCAAATTGTGGTACTTATTAAACCTCTGAACTATGGAACAAATAATCAGGTGACCAAGTTGAAGCCCGACGATGCAGTCCACGATGCACGTTGAAAGGCATCCCTCGTGTTTCTCATTCTTTCAGATCTGTCACATGGTGATCCCCTGTTGCAGCATTTGTTTTCTGGCATTCCTGTTGTCACCTGTACTTTGGGCAACGCCAAAGCGACCCTTTTCGTAATTCGCGAGGGCGCCGTTTGACTTTCAAAGACAATCCATTTCACAGCCGGAAAACGATTCTAAAGTGGAATCTCGATTAGTATCGGAGTCTTCAATAATAGGGAAGTGCATGGTACCTCGATGAGCCAAACCAAAGACTAGACAATCCATTGCTCTGATTTACACCAAGCTTGGTAACCCAACGAGAGGCCATACAAGCGAAAAAAAAAACAGACAACAACGTGACCGTCGGGGCATGAATACAGGGAATATTCCTTCCCCCGCTTTCAATCTGGAAGATCACGTCAAGTGCACGAAGCTGCAGGAAAGACAACCCGAAACAGAGCATCGATGTATTTCCTCGCATTGCTGAATGGGAAAACCTCAGGTGTATGGTCGATCAGGTTAGAATTCCTGACGAAGTTAGCGTAGAATTGTTTGCGTGATTGAGAGATATTTTGAAAGCAGCGAGCGAGCGGGGGTTTGTTACCAGCCGTGGGATGTTGCCAGAGCAGGCGCACGGCTTCATGGAACCAGATCGAGTTCACAAAGAGACATAAGAATATGGCGGGTACAGTGGTCCTCATTTTCCGGTCACTTTGAATGGGCCTGCGTCTCCAACAGGGAACTCTGGAGCCGATCAGGTGATGAAAAGATCATTCCTAGGATCTCTGGCGGGACTGTAGCCCGCGGAGTGGCTGGGAGGAAGACAATTCCTCGTTTTCTTTTTGGCATGGTGATTTGCAGGATGTGTGTATTGGAGAAGGCACGGAAATCTGTCTTTGGTGAGAAGGGGACAAAACTGAAAATGCGGTAATGAACATGAAATCGGGATGAAGTGACGTTTTGGAAAGAGAAAATCTCGTGTTTTATAATTTCACTTCTAAAGGTAACTTCCCCAACTTAGGAATACGTTAAATCGCATTAGCTAAGGAAACAGCTACTTAATACTGAACCAAAGTGATTCATGGCTTTGACGGAATGGAACAAGTTTCTTATGCTCCTACCAGATCATCAATTGAACCAAGAGTCAAGGGCAAAAGAGCAATGATCGAACTTGAATCCCTACGGTATAGCAGCCGAGAAGAGTACAGCCTCATCCTTTCAAAATATTAGATGATCCCCAGAATATCTCTGAACGATTACCAGAATATCACCAGAAAATCTTCAGACAATCTTAGACTTACAACCATGCTTGATCATGAGGAGAGTACCAAGCTACTCCTCAAGAAGTCCATGAGGAATCAAAATAAGCTGGGAGTCGTGGGAATGGCCTTGTAGGCAGCTCTTCCAGGTGACGACTACATGTAAGTCAAAGAATAGTTTCATTACCACCAGTCCCTGAAATAAAAGCATGATGTTCCGTCTATGTGCGGTGGAAGAATGATGCAAAGCCTCGATAAGAGCTACCCCAACTACCTGGCGCCGATCCACATCAGAACCTAGCACCCAGAGTAGTATAAATTCGGACACCTGGCAGGCACCTAGCAAATAGCTCGAGCACGCATTCTGTGACTGTTACCCCAGGAGAGAATCTGACCACTTTGAGCCCCAAAAAAATACTTTGAGACCATGTCAGATCATAGGGCGCTCCTTTCACGGCCAATCAAGGAGCTGCACGAACCTGGAGATCAGTTGGAAAACAAGGCTTGGTCTTCTGGGTGTCAAAAATCACTTCAACACCATAAGGTATATAAAGTTCCACCGTGTCCAGCCTTGGCGCATTCATCTTGGGGAGGAATCGGCGAGCGGGTTGCATGCCGAAAGAAGTAAGGGGGATGATCAAAGTGTGAAGGTTGTGAAAAGTCAAGTCTTCGAAGACTTCCTGAGCTTCTCGAGAAGTGCAAACTAGTCTCACCCAGCAAGTCTCCACAAAGTTAGCGTACAACTGCCTGCAGTGGAGGTCAATTCCTCGGAAAATGAAACGGAGCTGCTTCTCATCGCCGCCAATGTGCTTCCAGAGATGAAACATAGCTTGTCTGAACCAGATCCTATTGACAAGTCCGTATTGAGCCAGTGCGGCCTGGGGCTTGTGCAGACTGGGGAGACTCGAATAATGACCGCGACGCGCGACTTTCAAAGGAAAGTAGGAGAGTATCTCAGCCACAAGTTCACAAAGTGATAGCGCATGGCGAGTAGCTGACATTTTCTTCTGGGATCTTCCCTTGCTGCTCGTTTTTACCATGACGATTTCAGGAGAGGCGGACAGATGAGCAATGAGTATGACAACACAAAAGTCTTGAGGAGGTTGGGGCTTGGGGGGTAGAAGTGTGGAAGACGTGGGCATTAACATGTATTCTTGCGTCTTCACAGTGACAAAAGAAGTGTGAGTTTTGGCCATTCTTGCGATGACTAAACAGTTTTACTTTGAAGGGATAATCTTTGAACAAGCATTACACGATGATTCAATCATACCTCACTTGTCATTTTGTCATTGCTCAAAAGATCCCTGCTAGATTATGAGCATGAACTTGTAATGAATGTACAGATCCTGGCCACTTCCAGCTCATTGAACTATGGAATTGGCCCCGACTACATCTCGGGATTCGGACCTGCAAACACGTATCAAAGCTGAGGTCTAGCTATATCCTCGCTGGCCATTCGAATAATTTCATAGCTTTCTGCGACTAATTATCGTCTCACGACTCATACCGCTTGGACACTCGAAGTCAATTGTTCGCAGCTTCGGGTAGCGCTGCTTCTCCATAGATAACTAGATCTCAGTTTCCATTTTCCATGTCACCCTGATTTGCAGCCACATAAACTCGAACCTAGAGATTCAGACTCGCAATATGCCCACACTCCAGGATACTACGGTCGCACGTCTGCGTCAAGCGGTGGCCAGCTCGTGAATTACGTCGACAATGGGCGTTATATGCTGACTAATAATCCTTTCTTTATAAACAGTTCTGAGTCTCCACTACCCTACTAGTTCCGATAAGTGCGGAATTCCGCACGCTAGTCACGTCAACCAATGAATGGAAGGATCTGGTAACCATTGAGGTCCCTGGAAGACAGTAGACGCTAACTAATTATGCTCTAGACGCGGATAGCAGCAGAGCCACCACTTTCTTGATCTTTAAGTGAAGACGTTCTTCCAACTTTCTCCCGTCACATAAGCTTTTGATTCAGACAAAGTCATCATTGAATAGCCAGGATGGCTCAGACTCTGACACAAGTTCGTGAATGGAATGCGACTCTAAAGTCCGCACGCCCGGAAACAGTGGCCGTCTTCGTCGGAGGTACCAGTGGCATCGGGAAACACACTGCCATCGAATTAGCCGGCGCGGTTAAGAAACCTACTGTTTACATTGTCGGTCGCAATGAGGCTGCGGGCGCCCAAGTCGTCGAAGCGATGAAAAAGGCCAACCCGAATGGTTCTTATGGATTCAAGGCTGTCGACATTTCCAACCTTCGCAACGTGGACGAAGCTTGCGAGGAACTGAGAACCTGCTTTGAAGGTCTAGACCTCTTGTTTCTCTCTGCTGGAGCCCTTGCATTTAGCAAAAATGGTAAGAAGAAGAAGAAGAAGAAGAAGAAGAAGAAGAAGAAGCGATCTCACAAGCCGAAGGACATCTCATACCTACGGAATATTATGGCTAATATTTCTACCAAAACGCAGAGACGCCTGCTGGGATCGATGTCAACCACATGCTACGATACTACTCTCGCATGAGATTCGTCGAGAACCTACTGCCTGCCCTCGAAGCCACAAAATGTCCCCGCGTGGTTAGTATTCTGGCAGGTGGTAAAGAAACTATGATTGAGGAAGACAACTTGGACCTAAGGAAGAAATTCTCCCTTTCCGCCAGTAATGGCTACCCGGCATCTATGACCTCGCTAGCTTTTGAGGTTCTCGCGTCGCAACACCCGTCCGTCAGCTTCCTTCACGTTTTCCCGGGCATTGTGGCTACACCGCTCATGAAAAACAGTATGGGATCTGTGGCGGGTACAATCTTTGGATTCTTAACGAAGCCTATCTCGATTTCAGCTCAGGAGAGTGGTGAATGGCAGATATGGCTATCGACTTCACCTAACTTCCCCCCCAAGAACTCCGGCCAGGGTGCCTATGTCCTCAACTACGATGGCAAGGACGTAACTAATCAATCTCTGATGACTCAACTCCGAGACAAGGGATTCCCTGAGATTGTTTGGAAGCATACGCAGGATACCTTCACTCGAATTCTTGCATAGAGATTATATTCCAATTTCGGCGACGAGGAATCTCCAAAAGCACAAGGTGGACTGCAAAGGTCGAGAGGTCAGAGAGTTTATGTATCAAGACTGGGATGTTTTAATTATGGTGGCTTGATCGTTTAGTGTTCTTCTAAATGGATTAATACACTACCACGCTTGGTGTTCACAACCAGTAGCAGTCAAAGTTTGTTAAGATTGGCGAACGGCTCGTGCGATATAGAGGTTGTGCGGTCTTGTTCCGGAAACTCCAGCTGTTTGGGGAATTTGCATCAAGCTAACGGACCCTGACTACTCTTTCGACCGCTCGGCGATAGAAACAAGCACTCAAAGCAAGAGATCCCTGGATGCGAAGACCAAATTCTCACATTTTGTCGGGTATTTCTTTTTTTTTTTGAAAATGGCAGTGCTTCCTATTCATGCGAGGGGCTTGCGGGGGTGTAATGACACCCTTCAGCCCCGTGCAACCCTAGGAGTACGTACGAGTACAGCAAGGGTCAGAGGTCAACGAAACCTGCTGACTTTCCATGCGGGTTGTCGGATTGGTAGGTTTAGAATAAATGTCAATCAATCTGGCTGGTCGGTGCCCAGATAGCTGCAAATTGGCTGCATAGTGGCATGTCTCTACAGGAGTGGAAGCTGTTCCAACATGGAAAAGGGTCGAGTCAGATAGCATAGAAAGACTTTAGATAATAATCAGAATGATCATGGACACAGAATCTGCGATCTGAGACGAAAATTGATAAGATCAATTGATACTGGCAGATTACGGAAAGGCTCTGGGGAATGGCAGTTGATTCCTATCGAATAGCATTGGGGGTCATACATCTGCCCGGGAACGCTTGGTTATTCTTACACGGTCGGGATATATGGATTGGAAACATTGACTCACTAGAGGAGAGCCCTCGTTTTAAGGTTGGAAGGAACAAGGCTTTTCAGCGCCACAACCTACGAGACTTACGGTCTATTCGGCCACGCTCCCAGCCTCAGATCTTTTACTTACACAACTTAAACACCGACTCGGAGAGTTACCCATGATTCTGTGATAATCGGTCTAGACTCTCCACTATATCGTGACCTGAGCACGAGCAAGGGAGAGAGTAAGGCTTTTCACTGCCCCTTGAAGCCATCATCAGCAAGGCAACCAGCGTGGTCGTGGCACATCTTATCCGGTGTTGAAAAGATCTTACCCCGGGAAGACTTGCCGAAAGGGCATTCGATCTTTGGTAGCGAAGAGGGACGCGTAATTGTCACTCACACGCCGTAGGCCGTGGAATTTGTTCAACGTTTCAGTGGTCCCACACTTGCGTCGTTTACAATCAGGTCCGCTGGCTTGTACGGCCTCATCTGGCATCTATACACGATATCTTGCATGATTGTCCGGGAGGCGTCGGACAGACTGCTGTGTGTCAATTGCGATCGGATCTACCCCGTGTCTATGGGGCGCCCTGTCCACTGGGCCCGTATGCTCTTTCTCGGCAGTAGAACCATTGCAGATGCTGCAGGCATTGGCACCGCGATAGGTGAGTCCATTGGCAATTGGTTCCAAATCCTCGCGATCCCCGTATTTGGTTTGAAGGATCTTGGCTATTTTATTATTCCTGTTTCAGGAAAGAACCCCGGGTACCCCACAACCCAACACCCAAGGCCCAGAGCAGTTGGCTGGAGCTTTGGGGCAACACGGACATTCAAAAATTAGTCACGATGTCGTGAAAGCGTCGGCTCAGAGGATCCCCGAAGATTCACCATGCATCGTCAGGCACAGCCACTATGTGCATTGGTTCAAAATGGCGTACATCACTAAGTGCCGCACGTCGCGCAGTGCGCAAGGTCGACGGTTCACCCTCAATGCGAAGTTTGGCGGAGTCGGAAGGCGCGCCGGGAGGCCCCCTTGTTAAGGGGGAAGATAAGGGGACATCGTTGCTTGGAGATACGTCACGGCCAGAACGTCATTCACGCGTTGTCGGAAAGCAAATCAACTAGCAGATCGCCTTCCTAAAGCAGGTATCACCAAGCAGCAGACTAGGCAGTTTTACACATGGAAAGGTGTCCGATAAGCGTGAAACCAGTGAGGAATTGTAAGGACGAGAGGAAGAATGGTGGATCACCCTCTCAGACCAAATTCGTGTAAAGTAGGGGAAGTCGTATGAAGTGGAGCTTGTCCCGAGGCTTTGCGGCTTTTGAGAGGTGGACCAATGTAATTCGCGCGCCTCCACACTTTAAAAAGCGGGTTTTCTGGTTCTTTGGCGGTTCAATTGCGGGGGAATAGTCTTCGGTAGGACTCTGAAATCCGGGGAGAGTGAACCTGCTCCTTATTTGGACGAGGAGAAAGCTTTGGAAGATATGAGGAAGGCAAAAATAGAGATCAAGCCAGAGGGTTATAGGGCCGAAACAGAAATATCAGATCGAAAGATAACCATCGTCTGTGTCCCTTATCTTAGTGGGGAATGTTTTTTGGGAGCTTAAAAGTAGCCACAAGATACCAGATACGTGACAGTGTTCCAGTGTTCCAGAGTCCCAGAGTTCCATTCCACCTCCCTGTGCCCCTGACGCACGCCACCGACACCTAAGACACATCGGGCTTGGTATCCGGCCCTAACAGGTCCCGGAGAGACTTTAGAAATTGTCCCCAGATCCATCATGTCACCCTCAATTTGTTTTGCTTTACCCTGCCATGATGTCGATAGAAAAGAAAAAAGAAGAGTCATTAACGCCAGCGCCTTCGAATGTTGGCCAGGTCGAGGAAGGCTCTCATGATGCCGTCTTTGGTGATATCAGAGGTGATGGCCCAAACTATCGAAATGTACGTGCTCTTTTCCATGGCCTGAAAAGTCCTTCGTGCTCACAAACCTTTAGGTAGGATGTCTGGGCACGGCGGTACTGATGATGAAAACCCAAATTGGTCTCGGAGTCCTATCAATCCCCACAGCCTTCGATGCCCTAGGGGTGGTTCCCGGCGTGATTGTTCTCTGTGCCATTGCTGCCATCACGACATGGTCAGACTACATTGTCGGTGTCTTCAAGCTGAGGCATCGTGAAGTCTATGGCATTGACGATGTCGGTGAGCTTCTTTGTGGCAAGCTCGGTCGAATCGTCCTGGGAGGTGCCTTTATCCTTTGTGAGTAACCTTCCCCCTTCAAGCCCTTGATACCATTGAACTGACGAGTCACAGGGTGGGTCTTTGTCGCCGGCTCGGGTATGCTGGGTATCTCCATCGGTCTCAACGCCGTCTCCTCCCACGCCACTTGCACCGCCGTCTATGTCGCCATTGCCGCCATCGTCGCATTCCTGTTTGGCAGTATCCGGACATTAGGACGCATCTCGTGGCTTGCGTGGATTGGTCTCTTCTGCATTCTGACTTCGAGTGATTATTACTCCTTCTCTCTACACCGGGAGTCCGATCTAACCGCCCTGTAGTTCTGATCGTGACCATCGCCGTCGGTGTCCAAGACCGTCCCGCTGCTGCGCCAATAGATGCCATATGGGTCTCCGATTACAAAATTGTGAAGAGCGATGCCACATTCACCGAGGCTATCACCGCGGTCACAACAATCGTCTTCGCCTACGCCGGCACCCCGGCCTTCTTCTCCATCGCATCTGAGATGCGGGACCCCTCCCACTATAACCGGGCCTTGGTCCTCTGCCAGTCGCTGGTGACGGTCTTCTACCTCGCAATTGGCATCGTGATCTATTATTATTGTGGATCTTATGTCTCCTCTCCTGCCCTCGGTTCGGCTGGTCCGACCGTGAAAATCGTGAGCTATGGCTTCGCGCTTCCTGGTTTGATTGTGAGCACCTTGCTCTTTGTCCACGTAAGTCCTGCTCAACCTATGTCTTGTGTAGTCGCATATTGATAACTTGCAGATCACAGCCAAGTACGTCTTTGTTCGCCTCCTCCACGGCTCGCGGCATCTGGTAGCAAACACCGTTACCCACTGGAGCGTGTGGATTGCATGTACATTCAGCACGACCATCGTCGCCTATATCATTGCCAGCGCGATTCCTGTCTTCGGGGACCTTGTCTCACTCGTTGGCGCCTTGCTTGGTACGCCTATGTGCTTCCAACCGATGGCCGGCATGTGGCTGTACGATAACTGGCGCAAGGGCAAAAACCACCGAACGACGATGTGGATGCTCATGGTCGCTTGGTGTGTCTTCATCATATTTGCTGGCACATTTCTGATGGTCGGAGGTACGTACGGGTCCATTGTCACAATTATCGACAGTTACAAAGCGTCGGGCGGATCAGCTGCTTGGCCGTGCGCCGACAACAGCTCGTAGACTGAAGTAAATATCAGGATATCCCACGTCTCAGGACTGTTTTTGCTTTTCACTTGGATTTCTGTAGTTACTGTAAATCTTGGACATTTCCCGTCACACCAAGCTTCGCTGCACGTAACACCCCTGCCCCAGGGGCTCTGTTGTAATGCGGACCGCGCCAAGCAATGCAGGTTTCACCTTGTTTTCTTCTCTCCAGATTCTAGACGATCAGATCTCGCGTCTCGCATAACGTTCTCCAATACCCGGTTTCTCGTGTAGGACACTCCCCTCCGACAGAACCCGCGGGCTGGCCCTTCAGCTACTCGATCACCGAGTCACCCCCCCTTCGATCTTGTCACACAGAATCTGGAACGGACTCCGCGTTGGGTGGTATGGCACATGGCCCGGTCGCATGGAAAAACCATGGGATCCCAAGATGTTACATTTTGGGATGGCTTATCGCGCGGGTGATGCGTTCCTGCAGAGCGGCACCTGCCGAAGACCCTGATTGTACTCTAATTCGCTCTGGTTTGACGATCCCTGTCTACCTTCCCCCATATATATTGTCAGAGGAAGATTGAGCTAGCTTCAAACAGGCAAGCCTTCGCTTGGGTGATATGAATGTTCTTCAAGTTACATTCCCGCTACTACTACAATTAACTCTCCCCAGGACGTGACTGCGACGCCCACCCGAGGCGCCTATAGAGAGGCTAATTTGCCGTAGTTTGGTCAGAGATAGCTTTCAGTTACCTTCCAAGAGATCTGCCAAGGGATCTGCAGAGCACGATCACTTGCAAAGCAGATGACAATGTCACCTTTCCTTCGGTATGTGTGGCGCCGATTGGGGCATCACCTCGGTATAGACCTGAGAGGCGCAAAGACCCCCGAGCACGTTGTTTTCATGCTTGACGGTTGCATGAAGAATGTTCTCACCCCGGAGATGGCGAAACGTGTTTGGCAGCTCCGAATGGTCCTCTCGTTCCTGGAAGAATGTGGCGTTCATTCCTCATACGAATGACTACAACCTCCCACGTTGACCATGTGCAAAAGCAGGCGCTGTACCCTCCGAGAGTATGGGGTTGCTTGTTGACTGGATTCGGAAAGTGGGATCAAAATATCTCTCTTGATCAGGAGTCGGAGGTGTTTACGGTCACAGTCACGTCAGAATCAAGAGATTAGGAATTGCGGGCATCTGAGAGATTCGATGAGATCCGGACACAAAGAATGAGAGATATTCGCTCTCTCTATCTCCCTCGTGTGGCCTACAGTATAAATGCCCCCCTCTAGGACCTCTTCTATCTCACTACTCTCTAACTTCTTCCCCATCAACAACTCACCCTTGGAATCGTTGGCTCGATTTTCATCCCCTCGGCACCACCCGACCTTTGATCATGCATCTTGTCCTTCCTGTTATCCTAGGCCTGGGATGGCTCACCAATGCCATCGCCGCTCATCCTCTCGGATCCAACCACACTGAGCTTGAAGCTCGTGCAGGCTCTGGATACCGCTCTGTCGCGTACTTTGTCAACTGGGTCAGTCATCATCCCTGCACACCTTGACGGATCGAGCAAATCACTGACTGGGCAATCCTCCTGCAGGCTATCTACGGTCGAAACTACCAGCCCCAAAACCTTCCCTACGACGAGTTGACTCATGTTCTATATGCGTTCGCCAATGTACACCCGGACACTGGCGAGATCTATCTGTCAGACACCTATGCCGATACTGATAAACACTATCCCACCGACTCTTGGAACGATGTCGGCACCAATGTTTATGGCTGCATCAAACAACTATTCTTACTCAAGCAAAAGAACCGAAACTTGAAGGTTCTCATGTCTGTCGGAGGCTGGACCTATTCGAGCAATATTGCTAGTCCCTTGAGCACCGAGGCGGGAAGACAGACTTTTGTTTCGTCTGCCGTGGCCCTGGTACAGAATCTTGGTCTCGACGGGATTGACATTGATTGGGAGGTAATTAGCTTGTTAATTCAATATGCAAAGATTCGTTATTGACATTCAACTAGTACCCGACCGACAGCAGCCAGGCTACAGACTTCGTCAATACACTCAAGACATTGCGTTCGGTAAGCAGTCCCCACGCCATACAATACAAGTCTACGTTGCGCTAACATGGGCCAGGCGCTTGACGCCTACAGTGCAGCCAACGCAAGTGGTTATCACTTCCTTATCACGGTTGCTAGCCCAGCGGGTAAGATCAATTCAAGAATGCCTCCTACCTTTGCTAACCATTTTAAAAAAGGTCCTAGTAATTATCAGATGCTTCAACTCGCTCAGATGGACCAGTACCTTGACTTCTGGAACCTGATGGCCTATGACTACGCGGGAAGCTGGGACACTGTCTCGGGCCATGATGCAAATGTTTACGCGTCGACCTCCAACCCAGCGAGCACCCCATTTAACACGGACCAAGCTATCAACTACTACATTGCCAACGGCGTGCCCGCAGACAAAATCGTCCTGGGAATGCCGCTTTACGGACGTTCCTTTGTCGGGACCGACGGCCCCGGCAAGAGCTTCACTGGCGTTGGAAGCGGAAGCTGGGAGGACGGCGTCTGGGACTACAAGGCTCTTCCGCAGGCTGGTGCTACGGTCACTTATCTGAGACCAGGAAGTTGCAAGCTATAGCTACGACTCCACTCAACGGCTCATGATCAGCTATGATACCCCACAGGTCGCTCAGAAGAAGGCGCAGTACATTCAGTCCAGGGGTCTTGGAGGTGGAATGTGGTGGGAGAGTAGCAGTGATAAGACTGGTTCTGACAGCCTGATCTCAACTGTAAGTTACTACCGCTTTGACACCGCTTGACAATACCCTGACGATGGAATTTAGCTTGTGACCTCATTCGGAGGAACGGGTGCTTTACTCCAGAATCAGAACCAGCTCAGTTACCCTGCCTCGGAGTACGATAACCTGAAGGCCGGTTTTCCTTCCGGTTAGAAGAATGTGATCGTCGTGATCATGATGATCCTGAATCTCGCTGTGAATAGCTGATCACCGGACATATTTTTCTTTTCGCTTCTAAATTGCAAATCTTTTTCTATCAGTGGATATTTACATAGGAAGAGTTGTTATGACGAATTGTCTTTCATTTGCTTACTCAATGCCAGTTAATCTTTGACTTCTATTGTAACTTTGCCTATCTATTGTAACGATTACGTGCAAGGGCTAGAAGTGATTCAGCTTGTAGGGACCCAGATCACCTTTGGCTTAAGACTCAATGTCGAATCTGTCGTCGGAAGACATGCATCAGCCTAGGCACATCATCACTATGAGCAGAGTTCCTTATTTTGACTTCTTAAGCCGTATTAAATGATTCTCATCTTTGTGATTTACAGTTCAGGGAGTGAATCTATGACAATTGACTCGGAACCTTCGGAAAAAGCAACGTATTATTATTGTTCACATCACGATCATCTTATGTAATGCCTCTTTCCACAAAAGAACAATTTTCTGTATGCTTAGTTCTCACTCTTTAGCACCTTCGAATGGGGCACGCCATCAACAGAACCTCCTGACCGCGACGATGGAGACATGCTCGTGTCTCCTTTCTCTGGTCCGTGGTCAGTGGACTTGCCTGTCAATCCACGGTAGACCTCTAGCATCTGCTGCATGCCGCCATCGATAATCGGATAGAAGATCGTGATGAGCATGGTACCCCATAGCCAGATGATGCCAACCACGACCCAGGCGATGTAAAACTTTCATACTCGTCAGCAATGGTTCTTAAATCTACCAGATCTGGCCTACGACAAATCAGACTGACCTTTTTCCCAAAGACATAACCAGAGCCGTACATCGGCAGTGGCCAAAGTACCCAGTGACCCAAAAATGTTGCGATAGACCAGCCTGCTGCAATACGGCCCCATCTCGTCAACTCCTGCGTTTCAAAGGCAGAGCTTCGTACACCGCCATCCTCGGCGATGAATCCCTCTCGACAGGATTCATCATGGTGATGGTTTGCGGTGGTTAGGTTACTCTCTAGCTTCTCAAGCGCGAGATTCTCTTTCTTGAAATCGGCCCAGTCGTAGTTCTGGGGCCGGATGAGTGTGATGACTACCGAGTAGATAACCGGTGAGAAGCAAGATGCCACCGTACCATAGACACAAGGCAACACTTCACCCGTAGAAGCAACCGAGACCGCTCCATCAAAGTGATATGCCGTGCCTAGCCAGACACCGAGTCCTGTTCCGAAGCCGAGGATTGGGGAGATGATAGCCGCCGCCTTGCTCTGCCGCTTCCATAGAATAGTAAACACCATGGGGAAAATACCGGGACATGTCACGATTCCTGTCAACCCGTTAGATAAACACTTCAATTAGCGCAGCTTCAGATATACCGAGCATATACAAGGTCCAGCCGAGGTCAACCCCAACATAGTGCAGCATAGTACTGAACCCGGCCGAGAAAGCCGCGAAGAAGACAACGCCAAAATGACTAGCGCGGATCAATTCACGGTCGGAAGCGAGCTTCTTGAAATATTCGCGGTACACATCGAAACTTAGGATCGAACTGACGGCGATGACTTGTGCAGAGAGCGTAGATGTACAAGACATGAAAGTAATGAGCAGGATGGCGGCTGCACCACCCTTACCTGCTATCGTCTGGGCAGCGTAAGGAAGCACAAGCCCGTTACTAACCTCCGACCAAGTCATGCGCTGAAATCATATCAGCAACTAGCTCTCAACTGGGAATAGTGGTTCTCTCACTCGAGGGTAGGTTGGAAAAGTGGGTTGGTTCTCCAGGCCCAAGGCGACGGAGCTCATGATCGTTCCCAGGGCCCATGGAATAGCGAAGTAAAGAATACCTCCGATCGTATATCCGGGGACGACGGAGCGCGGAGAGGCCGAGAAAGCCTTGATGAAGTAACTAGTATCCATCTAGGAAGGGTTAGACTTGTTTCAAAAGCGTAGAAGCAGTAGTGCGAACAATGACAAGACCGAAGTTTGAGCAAATGTGCAAGATACCGAAGAGAATTGCCTTAGAAAGTTGTCAGTATCTTCTGCATTGAATTTAATAGATATACACTCACCCCCTTGGACTTCATGGTCAAATAAGTCCCATCCTGGTTTCCTGCGACCGGGTGGCGCTGGGCCGCAGCTTGAACTAGCTCGAACAAGTTACCGATGGAGCCGACCTGGTCACTGGAGAATGCCTTGATTGAGAAGTAGCATGCGATGATCATAATGATCGCAGTATGGAAGTAATCCGTAAGGAAGCTTTAGCTGTGTTAGTCAAAAAGTAAAGATGTGGGAAAGCATGAGCACACGTTGCCTTGATACCTCCGACGAAGGTATAGACTGTGACCCCGACAGGCAGCAGAAAGGTTGCAGCGATGATATGCATGCCAGAGCTGGAAAAGTTATTAAATTTTCCAACGGCGGAACGGAATGAGAAATCTTACACAGCAGTGATGACAGCCGCAGCGCCGAGAAGCATGTTGGCGCACGCGAAGATGTTATTGATCAGGCAGAGGATCATGAATACAATATGAGCAGTACGACCTGTCAACCAAGATGACTGCTTAACGGATATAGAGGATCTCTCTGGAGTGCAAAGACATACCATAACGAACACGGACCACCTCCAATGAGGTATGCGCTCCGGGGATCTTTCGCTTGCAAGAGATACCCAGCAAGGCGAAGAACACGATCATTGGGCTGCACCCTGCAGCGAACCAAAATGGACCGGCGACGCCGTAGCTATAGCCGACGAATGAGGAACCCAGAAGAGCAGTGGTCCACAGCCATGACTAGATCGTCTATAAGCACGACTGGCCGGATATAAGGAAAGATGAACACACAGAGATGACTGCCGAAGAGGTCAGACCGGTTCGAACGGTGCGATTGGCCGTCATGAACCTGTTGCATATGTTAATGGATTCCAAGGTATAAATGAAGGAGAAACAATCATTATGATACATTTCAGTCTTTTCGTTATCCTCGCCGGTGGTCGTCTTGAGAACCTTGGTGATAATCATCATCACTGTCATTTCCTTAGCCATCGGTGCTGAAACAAAAACAAAGTGGTGGATAGTACCCAAAGCAATAATGAGGCCGATAACAACGATAACGATATAGCCAACTGCCTGCGACAAGGGCGGCTGGACCGTCGAGATGCCATTGCGAGCGAGCAAATCTAACATTTCGAGCAATGAAAGGGTAGTGATGCACCACCCGAGTCGATTTAGAAAGCAGATAATATCCAAATAGAGAGGACAACAGTTGAGATGTGCTATCTAGTTCAGCCAAAGACTAGGGCCGCAGAAAATATATATGTCCCATGGTAGAGGAGTAGGGTCCCCAGGGACAGGGGGGTGCGAGATCTTCGATATTCGATTCCATGCCGTCAGGTTCATCAGGGCAAGATGAGCATCAATCGATCCACAATGGTTTGATAGACGGCTGCGATGAGGTGCTTTTCAGCCTCGGTGAGCAAGGTTGTTTAAAGTTCGGGCTGGTGAACGGTGCTGAATCGTATAATGGCTATCAAAAGGCGTCATAGCGTAGGAATTATTGATACACTAGGCAGATCATTGTCAAAATGTTTGTCAATTATCTGGAACTGGGTACCTACGAAAAAGCAGATGACTATGGCATCCACAAAGTCCATGGCGGCGCACAAGTTGGAGGCTGGAGATGCCATTCCAAACCGGGGCACGGTAGGCCGAACGAGAGCGATCATTTTCACGTCCATGATATTAGCTCCAGGCCTGAGTGGTCGAGGGCACATTAACTAGAAGGGGCTTAAGACAAAAAACCAAAAAAAAGTCGCGAGGGTGATAGACTCTGCCGACGAACAGAGCTGAGAGATACAGGCGCCCTCCAAAACTAAGGAACACATCCGCACAACTACATCTCTCGGGCGAGATACAAGGCCTCGACTAGCCCGATAGCTGATATGCAATATGAATTGTGTGATCGAAGAAGAGCACACCAGATTGGACAATCAGAGCAGGTGGCTTTACCGGGCACCTCTCAGGATCTTCTGCATGGCGCCATCACGGCCCACTTTGATGCTATACTTTTTTCTGGACGAGTGACGGACGCGGGGTTCTCACGAATGAGGTGCTCGACGGTGTTTCTCTATTCTTACATTTAACAAGTGTTGTTTCCTTTTTTTTTTTGGGACGAGAATAGTCGAGGATTTAAGTACCCAAGACACCTGCAAAATCTGCGACACCACCCAATTCTCTATCCCCGTCGAATTTCACAATCATGGCGGGAAGCAATCATGTGACAGGAGAAAAGCCTCGCAAATCTCTGATCCTCAATGCCTTTGTTGAAATGTGTAGGTCTTGACCATTGCTTTACAGATAGGCCATCTAATGGTGATGGTGCTGCAGGTAGTGGACATCAATCCCCGGGGCTCTGGCGTCATCCCGAAGACGAATCGCATCGATTTAACGACGTAGACCATTGGATTGAGCTGGCACAGTTACTCGAGTCTGCCAAATTCCACGGTATTTTCATTGCTGATGTTCTCGGTGTGTGCATCCCCGGCCACTGCGGGTACTATTTGCTGACGCTAGAGCAGGTGGCTACGATGTCTATAAGGGACCGAGGAACCTGGAGCCTGCAATCACTTCAGGTGCCCAATGGCCTGTGAATGAACCCCTGGCAGTCGTGCCAGCTATGGCTGCGGCAACGAAGACTATCGGATTCGGCGTGACGGTCACAACAACATATGAGCAACCGTATCACCTTGCCCGGCGACTTTCTACGATCGATCATCTCACCAAAGGACGGTTAGTCCTCCATGACAGTATTTGCGCATTCACAGCTAACGGACCATCAACAGTATCGGGTGGAATGTAAGCGCACCCTATCCACGACCAAAAGTGGTCAGAGCTGACAAGCACAGGTTGTCACTGGATATCTCGATTCCGCAGCCCGAAACCTAGGCGCAGCTGAGCAGCCACACGTGAATACTCTTCGCTAGAATGCCATGACAATGTATGACTGACAATTATGTAGCACGATGACCGATATGCGATAGCGGAAGAATACATCAGGGTCGCCTACAAGCTGTGGGAGTCATCCTGGCGGCAAGATGCAGTCGTCCTCGATCGCGAGCGCGGCGTTTACACAGACCCCACAGGCGTCCGTCAGATCAATCACCAAGGCAAGTACTTCAATGTGCCGGGACCTCATCTCACCCAGCCCAGTCCGCAGCGCACGCCCGTGATTCTGCAAGCCGGAACATCCAAGGCCGGAAAGATCTTTGCCGCACAGCATGCCGAGGCCATCTTCGTCGCCGGACACAGTCCTGCCATTGTAGCCAAGAACGTTGCGGAAATTCGTCAACTTGCGCAGACTGAATTTGGGCGGGATCCGCAGAGTATCAAATTCTTAGCACTGCTGTGTCCAGTTCTCGGCCGGACCGAGGAAGAAGCCCAGGAGAAGTTCGAGTCGTATCGACAACTTGGCTCGATCGATGGAGCTTTAGCGCTATTTGGTGGATGGACTGGAATCGACCTGGATAAATATGGTGATGATGAGGAGCTGCGACATGTTGAGAGCAATGCTATCCGGTAAGTATAGCATATTTAGATAGAACAAATTGCGTGAGATGATTACTGACTTGTGCTTAGATCCGCTGTCGAGGGCTGGTCCAAGGCAATGCCTGGAGTTGCCAAGTGGACGAAGAAGACCGTTGGCGAACACATCACCGTTGGTGGCCTTGGTGCCACTCCCGTCGGCACACCGCAGCAAGTCGCCGACAACATGGAAAGATGGGTCGAAGAAGCCGATGTGGACGGATTCAACCTGGTTAGTCTTAATATTGCACATTTTCTTGGAGACTTGTTTTAACGGAGGTTTGAAATCGGCATACGTTATCAAGCCTGGCTCTTTCAAAGATATTATCGACCTGCTCATTCCGGAGCTTCGCAAGCGCGGTCTTTTCCATGATGAATATGCAGTGGAGAGGGGAACTTACCGTGAGAACCTATACACAAGGCCTGGCCAGACTGGTCCGGCCGCAGACCACCCGGCTTCCAAGTACCGATGGAATACGGGTGTTGACGCGGCTGAAGCTCGAATTCCCCAAGACTAAGTGCTGGGCGAAAGTGATACGATCTTACTGATGGAAGACTTAATGTGAAAGCTAGTAGTAGTTCCAAGTAGAGTAAATCACAATATATTCTTTTCTGCAGACGTTGCCTGCATGCCCTGCCGAGGGTCTATCTCTACAAACGCCAGCCAAATGCGGTTTTTATACATAGACACTAAAGGAAATCCCTTAGGTCAACATATCATCAAGTCGCTCTCCCAACACACCCTCAATCTGCTTCACCCATTTGCGGACCTCCCTTTCAACACTCTCGTCCTCATCCTCCATCAACTCGCTGATATAAGGCAACATCTCAGGGAGGAGGGCAAGCCACTCCTCGCCAAGTTGCTCAGTGAGCGCCTGCTCGGCCTTCAGGGCGACAAGGCGAGTGAAGGCGTTATCGCCACCAGCCGACTTGGCGTTAGGGGCGGATGAAGGTCGGAGGTACTTCATCAGAGCGTTGTTAAGCTCCTTGTGGTTGTCGGTGGAGTCAGCAGCGATGGCGAGGTCTGTGATGGCGGGGACCACCTCTTCGATCACCAACTCAGCCGTCTTCTTGGTGGTTGCGTGAGCCAGCTGGGCAATAAGGGGACCAGAAATGCTAGCGAGGTGGGAGGGAGATTGCCAGAATTCTGTAAATGAAGGTCAGCATATGGACGATCGAAGGTTACTTAAGGAGACGTACCATCTTGGTCATGCTGGAAAGAGTTGCAAAGAGTCCGGAGAGAAGCCAGCCAGAGGGCTCTAGTGGCCTTGGCCGGACCAGTTGAGCCCATGATCTCGATAACATTCTCCAGGATGTAGCTAGAATAGCTGGTGACAATAGACTGAAGAGTGCCGAAGAAGCCCTGGAGGAACTTGTAGAAGGTCGTAAGACGGGACACACGACCCTGCTCATCCTTCTTGGAGGCACCGTTGGTGGCCCACTCAACAAACTTGATGAAGAGGGGTCGGAAAGTGCTGTCGTTGAGCTTATAGATCATCTTAATTGTGACATCATTCAATGCACCCTCAGCTTCGTCCAAGTCAGTAGCATCAAAGTTGGCACCATCGCCCAGAGCAACTTGCTCCCGGCGCAGGTCAAAGGCCTTGAACAAAATGTTAGAGAGGACCCCGACGTTCTTCACGACAACTGCCTTGCTGTTCTTCTCGACGGCAAGGTTGAGGATCTCCAGGACCTCGTTGACCGCGGTGGGACCAGCTGCCACAGCTTGCTGCCAATTGCGGTCAATGGCACCGAGGGTAGCAGTCATATCCATCTTGCGTGAGGCCATCAGACGAAGTGTTTCCAGGCGGCTGTCCTCGGAGTTGTCTTCAAGTTCTGCGTTGGTAGACTTGAAAGAGAGCAGCAGAATCTTGTCAAGGTGGCTAGCCGACATCATGAATGGCAGATTGACAAATAAGGCAGAGAAAAGGGAGAAGACAGCATCGTGAAGTCGTGAGTTCTCCTTTCCGGGGGTCATGCTGAGCTCCAACAGGCTCAAAGACTGAGAGAGCGCATTGGGGAGAGCCGGAATCATGGCCTCACCAAGAACCTCGGCCATTGAGGCCAGACAGAGAACACCCATGATGCGAATGCGCTCATCAGACTCGCCAAGGCAAGAGGGACTGGCGACAACCTGAGCAGCAGCAATGACCTTAGAGGGATCTTTGCGACCATACTTTTCGGTGATTCGATCAATGCAGGCGACGGCAGCATGCTTGAGAAGCGAGTCGGGCGAGGACTGGACGATACCAACCAGAGTAGGAAGGAAGTCAAGGACCTTAAGCTGAGACTCGCTGTCACGCTCGGGGGTTTGGCGAAGTCGGTTTTCCAGCAAGCGGAGAACCTTGCGGCGCAGGTCATCGCTCGATTGCTTGGGATCAAGGAGGTATTCAATGGTGTCCAAGAAGTCAACAAGACAGGGTACCGAAGAGGGAGCCCAGAACCTCGCCACATGCCTGGCTCACAGGCTTCATGTTCTGCACGGATTCGCCAAGGGCGAGAACCTGGCCGAGAACCCGAGAGAAGCAAGCGCGAACCTGATCGGTCGTGGTGCCTTCAGTCTCAAATGCTGTCTCCAGCTTTGACTTGAGAGACGAGTGCTTGAGCAGGTGTGCCAAGTCTCGCAGCAGATCTACTGCAACCTTCTGAGGATCACGGCCATCTTCACTGCCTATTCCCAAAAGGACAGCAGAGATAGTCGGCTTGGCTTCGAAAGAGTCGAGAATCAGGTTAAGGTACTTGCTATAGGTGGTGAGCTCCACAACAGGAGTGGTGTCTGAGGCGACACCAGTCATCAGAGTTAAGACATCCTTGTCGGTGGAATACCGGTTGGCAAGCATTGCAAGAACAGCGAACAGGAAGTCCTGGGTGCCAAGCTTGCTGATCAATGCATGGAACAGACGGAGACGGCGATGCGAGGGGATGTGCTCGAATGCCGCTGTGAAGCTGAGCAGTAACTCAGAAGTTCCAGACACAATGTCACGCTTTTGGTTGCGGAGCGATTGAATGAGAGCCGGAACAACCTGATCAATAGTTTGATCAATGACAGAGACAGAGTAGTCATCATCCTTTCGGAGGACACTAGACCCCATGAATGTGAAGATGGGCATGACACTGTGAAGAACAAGCTCTGGGGCAATGACAGATAGGCCGGCAACGAGCAGGAGAGCCGCATTTTGGACCTGGGGGCTATCTGTGGTGCGAACGCAGTCCACAACCAAGTCGGCCCGGATAACCGAGGTGTCAAACAAAGGCTTGGCTGATCCCTTGGACTTGTTCACGATTGCCAACAGGCTGCCCAGGGTCAAGCTCAGTAGGTAGCTCATTCCAGACTGGATCTGAGACTTGAAGTGGTGAAGAGCAGCAAGAGTCTGGAAAAGGCCGTCGGCCAGCTCTGGGTGAGCATCGGGGCTTGAGTTATCAATCACCTCCAGGATGAAAGTCATTTTGTCCATAAGCTTGGCAAGCTCTGACTCGTCCTTGACGGTCATGGCAATCATGTTGTTCTGGCTGGTACGTCTCCGCTTGGGAGCAGGGCCAAGAGACTCAATATCGGTCAATGAGGCAGGAATCTTCTTGACGAAGGTCACCAGAATAGGACCAGACAGCTCGACACTGCGAAGGACGTCACGGCAGTTGTCTGCCAAGGAGACCTCGCCCGAGGCAAGTCCAAGCGAAAAATCCAAAAGCTTCTCCGCTGCGCCCACTTGGGTTTCCTCTGGAACCTTTGCCCAAATTTCCTTGATGCGGGCAAATACAGCAGCGACAAAGGATGGTCGCAAGGCATCGCTAGCCGGGTTTACCTGGGTCAAAAGGGTGTTGATAGGATCGGCCTCCTTCGGTGAAACGATTGCAACAACCTGCTGCTCTGTTTCTGAAGTAGAAAGACGCTCTTTGGTGCAGATATCATCGACCTCCTTCTGAGTCAGAGCACGCCAGTTCTCAAGGAAGGGAAGAAGTTCCTTGGTACGAGAAGAGCCCGGAACCTTCTTGATGCGATTGAGAAGACGCAACAGAGCGAACTTGGGAGTATAGACGGGCATGCAAATAACGTGCGTTGACAGGAAAGCGAAGAAACCTTGCCGGAGAGACTTCTTTAGTTCAGATGCGCCAGATTCTTCCGAAATAACAGATCCACGCATCATCGCATCAAGGACCTTGCCAATATGTTCGGGATCAAGAGTATATTCTTCTAGTCCTGGAAGCAATGCGCGCTCCATGACCTTCTTGACATCATGAGCTGGCAACCAAGAAACACCAGACGACTGCTTGCCCTTGCCATAGATCATATCTTGTGCCCATGGCTTGCAATCAGCCTTGTTTTCCTTGTAGATGAAACCGACAAGAGTCAAAACACCAGCCGCCTCACGTCGAATACGCTCAGAGGGGTCAGAAAGGGCGGCAAGCAGGTACGGCAGCAGTGCCTGGGGGTCGAAATCACCAGAGACTGATTGAAGCGCTGAAGAGAGAGCTCCCAAAGCCGCAACCCTAGTGCCCAGAGGGAAGGAACCGGACAGGACACGGGTCAAGAACGACATGTACTGAGCGCTCTTCGATGCATTGGCCTTTCCAAGGATGCGCAAATTTGTGAACTGCTCGAGTCTCGCCTCAGAATCAACAGCCAGCGCGAAGACTTGCACAAGGCTGTCAAATTCTGGAATGATTTGCTTGCTCAGGAAGGATTCAGGGAACAAGGGCTCCTTGGCCAAAGCCTCTGCCGCCGGGGTGAAAGTATCCACATCCAATTCGTCAACATCCTGCATATCAACATCCTCAATGGCCGGGGTCGGAATTGGGGCCTCGACCACGGTCTGCAAATTATGCTCCAGAGCCTGGATATTGAAGGAGGACTCAGCCAAAGCCTTCTGGAAGATGGGCTGGAAAGAGCTTGAGCGGGCGAACCCTTGAACCAGTTCAGCAAGCTGTGTCTGAGCATCAAGGGACATGCCGCGAGTCTCATCGGAATCGCTAGCGGCCTTTAGAACCATGGTCATGGCCTCCTTGGTTTCATCTTCTCCGAAGGCGGCATTTTCAAAGATAGATGACAGTAATGCGAGGCGAGTGTTATCTTTCTGCTTGTCCAAGTCGCTAACACAGCCGCCAACAAGACCAAGCAAAAGTTTAGATGTCTGGTACTGTGCGGTGACTTCGGAAAGCTGCTGCATGGGGTTTTCGAGGCGATAGATGGCCTTGAAAACTTTCTTTGGAAGAGTAGCCGTGGACTTCTGCTGAGCCAGGACGGACAAACAAATGAGGCCTGAGCTGATGGTTTCTTCTGTCCAAGAGGCAACAACACTCTCCATTAGACCGTTGAGAACGTCTTCTGCGAGGGTGGCTTTCTGTGCGAGGACGACGGAGATCATGTAGCAACTGATGATCAACTCTGGGATTTTCTTCATCGCGAAAGCAGAGCTAAGAACGGGCAGGACGCGAATGATGATGTCCTCGTGCTTCTGCTTCTCGGCTTCTCTCCTTCCCGAGCGAGCAACATCTAGCATACCCGCCACCGCCTCTGTGATGATACCGGCCCAAAAGGAAAGCAGCGTGTGGCTCTGGGCTTGCTGCCGGCAAACCTTGATAACATAGTCATTCAAAGCTGCGAAAAACGGCTTGTTCGTGGTAGCGCTGTGTACGAGAGGGTGGCGCGGTGGGTTGACCAAGCCGGTCTTGTATGGGTAAAGAACTTTGAATGTCGAAGTCAAATCACTGGGGAGAATCGAGAGCAGGTTCAAGAAAAGGGGGGTCGTGTGATAAGGGAGGAAGGTGAGAATCATGCAAGCGGTATTATATTCGTGAGCCCTGCCATGCTTGTTAGTCACCGTTCAAACTCCCGCAATAATTAACCACCATGACTTGCGTACCGGAAACGTCTGACCAACCAGTCCACAGCTTTGACCGCGGGACTCAGTTGCAATCGGCCCCCGACAAGACCAAGAAAGCCTTCAATGACGGCATCGAGCTCCTGGTTCTGGATGGCGCTGAGTTGCGTCCGGTCCTCCGCCTTGCTCTGTTCACTGAAAACTGTGCGCCCGAAGTCCTCGAATCGAGGATCCAGAGAACAAAGCTCCCGGAAACCTTCATAACAGATATCATAGACGGTATCGAAGTCTTGCGAACCGGCAATTTTCCGGTCGAAGATCAGCGATTGCTGGTGGGAAAGACGCTGAGCCTTGAGGTCAAGCTCATTGGTCGACTTGGCCGCAATTTGCGACAACTGCGCCGCGAGGGAAGAGGCCATATTGACGAAAGAGTAATCAGTCGGTTTTCAGACCAGATCACTGCAGCCCATTTCTCTCTCGTGTGTCCGAACAGGGTTGCTTGCTACCTCGAATCGGCGCGCGCAGATATTGAGGCGGTTTACTAGCAACTTTTTTTTTCTGACGGAGCCCACCCTCACCGCCCCCGGAACGATAGTCCGCCCGGGTTATCAGATGCTGTTGCGCGCGATAACAGAAGCAACGGTCCGCGACGATGGACTCGTCGGGTTCACAGGTGAGTATGCGAATTTGCTTTGTGAGCGTTGAATCTCGCTGATCTTCAATGCAGGACAAAAAGTCCATCCCGCGATTCTCCAGCTTCAAACCACCTCCACAAGTCCCCAAACCCGATCCAACGAGTGATCGCCGCAGCAAGACATCTCAGCAAGCTGACCGTGACTCTCGTAGATCACAAGCCAGCCGAAGTGAACGCCGATCTCGCTCACCTAATCGTACAGATTGTAATGAAAGAGATAGGTCCTCGGGCCGATATGCGCGCACAAAAAGACGGCACCACAGTCTTTCCCGAGATCGTTGCAGATCTAGAGATCGGCAACAATCTCGCGACCTCCGTGGATCGCGGCATCCTAAAGCAGAAGGTCAAGATGAAGCGCATGCTCTGCCTGCCTTGAGTGAGGTCAATAAGGAGCCAGATGCTGATGGGCATGATCTTTTCATTGTCGATAGGAGAGGGGATCGGCATAACATCACCTACAGCGCCACACACCGTTATGCCGTCCCCAACTTTCGCCGAGCTGGTAGTGGGCGGGTCATTGGGATTAGCACGAGATACTCGATTGATCGTGAACACCGGGAAAACGACACTTTGGTTTTACGCACCAGGGAACAAGCATTCGCGGACGGGTCAAGGTCTAAAACAACTAGGCTTATGTACAAAGACTTCACTCAGCCAACACAGCTGTTTCGCCTGAAAACAGACGGTACGAGTGGTGCGGGACTTGAATACATGCAAGACTTCATACAATTTGATTCTACAACTCAACACAACCTCCACGACGATAATGACTCCAACGACGAGCGTCATGCTTACCGGTCAATACATGGAAAGGCAAAGGACGAAGATGTGATTTCGGGAGATCTGGAAGCACTTCCTGATTCTAAAACCCTGGAACTGGACATTGAAGTCGACATTGATGCGAACAGAAAGGCCCGCAATGCCGAGCTTTCGCGTGCCGTAGAATCCCGCCCAACGGACGTCGCAGCATGGCTCAAATTAATTGACCACCAGGACACGCTCATTTCTGGTTCACGCGACGACTCTCGTTCCTTTACGTACGCCGAGCGACAAGGATTGGCCGAAGTCAAACTGTCTCTATATGAAAAAGCTCTCAAAAGGGTAGGCGAAAGTCCTCACAGGGATCGTCTGCTTCTTGGTCGACTGTACGAAGGTGCGAAGTCGTGGGATAGAGAAACCCTTCTGGCTGAGTGGAAGGGTACGCTGAAGAAAAACCCAGCGTTCATCAGTCTCTGGGTCAGATACCTCGACTTTCGCCAGACGGATTTCCATGATTTTGCTTTCGAGCAATGCAATGCAGTTTTCCTTGACTGCTTGAATCTCAATGCGTCGAGCCCAGCAAATCCATACAAAATGCAAGTCCAATGTTACTTGTTCCTGCGCTTTACCCTCTTTCTACGGGAATCGGGTTATATTGAACTCTCCGTGGGTCTCTGGCAGGCAGTGCTGGAATTCACTTGCTTTAGGCCGTCCTCTTTCGCTGAAGGTAGTGAAAAGGAATGCGCTCTTTCTTCCTTTGCCAGTTTTTGGGAGTCAGAAGTGGCACGAATCGGAGAACCTGGCGCAACAGGCTGGCGGAATGCTGCAAGCATTGATGTCGACCCAACCAACCATGCATACGAACTTGAGGTTAATACTTCAAACATTTTGAGCTCTTGGGTTAAAGCGGAGAGGGAGCGAGTTTTGGACTGCCAAATGCCAGCGCGAAGCATTGATGACTTCAAACCTGGCATGGACGATGCGTACATGGTGGTGCTTTTCTCAGACTTGCAGAATATCCTGCCATTATTCTGGGACCTGAATAATCTGGATGATCTCATTGACAGCTTCTTGTACTTCTGCCATTTGCCACACTTGACGGTCCCTCAGAATGCTCCGACAACCCGTCTATGGGGTGGAGATAACTTTGTGCGGAATGAAATTGTGGACAATGCTCGAGTGGACTTGTCTCCCTGGATATCGTTCCAAGGGGATAATTCCCAAGCATCCAAATTACCTTTCTCCTTTCCAGTTTCCAACTTTCTTCACACGACGAATACTATGTTCGCTGCGCCCGGGGAATGGTTCTCGTCACTTGAAGCTTGGGCCAAAAATGCTTCAAGCAAGTCATCAGTCATCAATCCTGGCTGGGTGCGACAGACTCTTCGCACCTTGGTGGAAATTCTTCCGACTGATAACGAATTGGCTGAGTGTGCCTTAGCAGTAGAATTTTCCTGCGATCGAGACGCCGCCAAGAAACTTGCAAAGCGATTGTTGAAGACAAGGTCCTCAAACTTGGGGCTCTACAACTGCTTTGCTCTAATGCAGTCTCGCACTGGGGCCCAGTCGACTGCAGATCATGTGTGGTCCACTGCTCTCACGATGAGTAAAGACTTCGAGGACTGTGACAAGATTGACTGCGGTCTCCTGTGGAGTTCGTGGACGTGGGAGTACCTCCAGCGTGGAGACTTTGTGCGCGCTTCATATGTCCTGCATGCGATGTTGTCTCAGAACATTGATCTCGCTTCGTTTGCAGCGGCTTCTGATCCTGTACAATTCAATGCTACCAGTATGCTTCGCATCCAGAGTCTCCTAAGCGAGTCTCAAGAGAGATCCCTGACCTACAGGAAGCCTCAGGTGTACACTTCGTACACCGACTGTCTCGCCTTGCTTCTCTATATGGTAGAAGGCTCTTTCGAGGCGTCTCTCAAAATTTATGCCTCAGCGGTCCTGAAGCTTAAAAATCTTCCCGTGCAGGAAGAGAATATGAAGGCTTTCACCGCAGAGTTGCTGCATCAGTCTCGGGCGAGACTGATTTACTTCCATGTCGAACGGAAAGGAAATTTCAAACCGATCCAAATCCACAATCTTCTCAAAGAGAGCATTTCCATCTTCCCTCACAACACTCTCTTCCTCTCGCTCTTCGTGTGGAATGAAGCCCGCTTCCCGATCTTTGATCGGATTCGGGACATTCAGATTCTCACCAGAAGCACAGACCTAGACAACCGGTATCGACTTGACGGTGAATTCGGCCTCCGAGGCATTGCACAGAGCACGCCAATCTCGACTCACCTTTTGTCCATCTATAACGAATTGTGCCGTCCGATATTCACTGGTAGCACTGCTCACTCCACACGAGCCGCATTCGAGAAAGCAATTGGCGAACATTCTGCGCTAGCTTCAATTAGGCCAGGCGACAAGGATACACACTATAGCTTTGACGTCGACAGTGCACGATCAAATCTTGCTATCTGGAAGCTCTATATTTTTTTTGAGCTCTATCAGACTCGGGATATCCATGCTGCAAAGGCTGTGTTCTATAGAGCGATTCGCGCTTGCCCCTGGTCCAAAGAGCTTATTATGCTTGCTTTTGAGCATCTTCGAGAGGATTTGGTCCAAGGTCATACCCGATTCCAGAGTGGCAAACAAATCGCGGCCCGCGGCTTCACTTTTGACGAGCTCTGCCAGCTTTACAATCTCCTTATTGATAAGCAACTCCGGGTGCATCTAAACATTCAGAATGAGATCTTTGACGCACTCGCTCTGCGGCGCATGGCTTCTGAATCAGCTGAACGACCCGAAGATTCCCCATGATGGTGATTTGGTCAGGGAAGTTCAACACTTGATTGTCTGTGTTGGTGTGCACCAAATGTATGATACGAAATTTTGAGATCTGCGAACTGCATTTGATTGTAGCAGGAAATGGTATCACTAAATTTCAAAAATATTCTCGCTGTCATCAACTATAGTACAGGACATGAAGCAGTCCGGTGTAAACTTCAGCACAGATGAGGCTGAACATAAGCGGCACGAAAAAGGAAGATTAACAAAACATAGATTCATAACTCATCAATTCATATGCGATCACAAGTATCGCTGCATCCAACAGGGAACAAACACTAAATAGAGGGGGAAGCACGCAACCTGCCTAGAAGTGCTCCTTCCAGAACTTGAACTTCACATGTTTCGTTGACGAGTCCCTCGCAGCATAACTAATATCCTGCGCTGCGTTATTCGGTCCGCAGAAGTAGACACCAATTTCTGTGGCCGATGCATTTTGTAAACCTCTGATATACGTCTGATCGTGAAGGCCGATACGCATAGCAGTGAACAGGCGTTTGAAGTCTGGACGTCCGAAGTTGGTCTGACTTTTCAGCTCTGTAAGTGGATCCAGAGCCTGACCAACCGAGTTAAGATAGATATTTGCGGCTGTATCATCATCAAGGCGTTGAGTCAGGTAGGTGTGAATCCGCAAGAACTCGATGCTGCCCTCGTAGGCGGCAGTATTGGCAGACTGGGATTCCAAAGACGAAAGAAGGGCTTGGAACCATTCAAAGGAAGAGGTGTCCTTGCAAATCCAGATAAATTCAACACGTCGCAGTCGACGAGGGGGGTCGGGGCAAGATCGGAGATGCCAGATGTTCTTCAAGATCGAAGCCCACGGTGTGACACCGATTCCGGTTCCGATCAAAACGGCAATTTCGTTCTCGAATACGTCTTCGGCAGGTGCACCATAAGGCCCATCGATGCGAAGCTTGGGCATCATTTGTCCATTTTGAAGTGCAACTTCGTACATGCCTAAAGGGTCGAGACCCTCAAGATCCTTTGCCTGAGCGGGACCGCAGCCTAGAGCATCACCGAGTGCTCGGGTGAAGTCACCGACTTGGCGGACATGAATGCTTATGTAGGGGTCGAACGGACAGGACGTGATGGTGAAGGGATGCCACTGAGAGCTGGAGACGTCGGGGACTTGGATAAAAATCCATTGGCCGGCTTTGTATTTCATGCTCGGCTTGCGGAATTGGATCTCCATGGCAGCTGTTTCCTCGCTGTCAGCACCCTCATGTCCAATCCATCCTCGCGGATGGTGGTTTCACTTACCATATGGATGGCGGATAACCTTGGTAATGGTGGTCTCGCGCCTGGATCGAATCTCACGATAGAGCCGCTCGACGAGATACAAGGATCCTGCTACGAGCTCCCATCTCCATCCTTCATAACCCAGACAATGATTCCAAAACTCCTTGCCAGCGAAGGGTGAGTAGGGATCGGCAGTATCTCGGACGAAGCACCCCGTGGCATGGGTATAGAGAGCCAGCGTAAACGGAATGAATAGATGATGCGTGTACCAGAATGTTTCGTATGCTTGCTGTCGAATACGGTGATGAGCAGTGGTATACATCAGCATCATACATAAAAGCATGACATGACCTGTAATACCGCCGGCCTGTGTGAAATGGATTTGAACAGCCAGCTCGGGGCGAACTTGATTTTTTTCGATGTTATAAAAACTATTACCTATTAGCGGAGGCACTTTCGGCCGGGGGGGAAGTACAAGGCTGTAGATACTTGACGTAATGTGCTGCCGTGTGAATTGCGGTAAAGACCAGCAGAGCATAGGCAATCTGGCGATGAAACCATGCCGATTCATCAAGTGGTAACCACCTGATCTGCGGTCTGAGCCACCGTAAGACATTCCTGCACATAGGCAGGAGGATCAATGTCGCATCAATCGAGAGGACAAGGCCTGCACCTCTCGAGATCCAGACTGAGTACTTGAGGACATTAAGACCAGCAAGTTTCGAGCTACTTGCTTGGAGATACCTATCATCGTGTTAGTGAGGGCATCGATCTCCTGGGAAATTTAACGCACCATCCGACCGCAAAAACACCGATATGGATTGCCCAGAAGAAGATATAGAACAATATTTTAGAGGTGGTCAAACCATTTCGCTTGAGCCAGGAATATTCATTAGATACGGCCATTGCGCGGTGAAATTTTGATGTTCGACCAGCAACGGTGCTGAGTGTTTTTAAGGAGCGACGAGCAACGTGGTTGTCCAGCAACCTGAGGGTTCTGACACAAGACCAGTCTTTGGGTCACAAAGTTTGCACAGCGATTTGAATCAGACGCTTGAGGATCTGAGACAGGAGAAAAGAATATTGCGTCTGCGTCTGCGTACTCGCTTCTCCATGAACCTTGTCCAAGATTACAACCAACCCTCCCCCACCGACCAGGGGGTTTTTCTTGATCTGAGAGATCGCAGAGAGTTCTTGGAAAAAAGGTTGTCGGAGTGAGAACTCTCACAATCGTGCAGTAGAAAGGGAATGATGCACCAGAGTGCAAACGACTTTTCGCCGCAAATGCTCACTCTCTTGGTGTGTTGTCCTGGGTGCGCTTCGCGGAAACCACCCGCCACTAGGTTGTCGATAGTTACCAAGATGCTAAGACGCGCATAAGATAGCACATGGAACACCAAGTTTTCAGGGCGATGTAGTCATCGTGGGTTGAATGGATCAAGACGGTAGGACGAAGGTTGAGAATCCCAGCGATGTGGTTTTACCTGCAGGGTGAGGAGGGGGGTCCTCGATCTATAATTACATCGCTTCGGAGCAACCGCGAACGAACCGAATTGTGGACTCCTCCCAAACCTATCTCTACGTCTGTGCATGTCTTTTTCGAGGGCAATGACCTCTTCCGAGATGTGATAGGTGTCGCCCGTAAGCTCGAAACCCTTCCATGTCTAGATGGCTAGTGATTCTAGGCTTAATCCAAGGTCTCGTTCAATCTTGCCACCTCTCAATCCATGATGCCATGGGCTAAGAATATCTTTAGCACGATCGCCTTGGCGTTCAGGCTGGTCCGGGCAGCACATGGCAGCCCCGGTAAAGATGGCGGAGGTGTTGCAATATTGGGCTAATGCAGTATTGATTCTCATCCTATGATGCCATTGAGGAATCGAAGCCAGTTTCCATGCTTGGGTGGAGTCCATCGCATCTTCGGATATGGTTATGATACCTGCACGAGAGCTGAATGGGCCGTCTGGTCATCATAGGGATTGGGACCGTAGTGCAAGAATGGAGAACGAGGGAGGCTGGGGTCAGTGGCGGCAAGTGAAGCTCAGTCGAAAAAAGTCAAATTGGTTGTGGAGGGCCTATAACGTGCATTCTGCAAGCGCTCATTGCTCATCACACCGGGCCCGGGCCAGAGTCGGTGAAGCCCGGTCAATTCGGCTCATGGATCTTACTGAGGGTCTCATCCTCTCTGAACATCTAGCTGTGACTCGTTTGGGGCCCCCCCCACTCATATATCACGGTCCACTTGGTACTGTACATCACACTTGATCGAAGCGATCACAGTCATCATGGCGATCAATCTTTGGCCTCTGAGATTTGATGAGTTTGACCGTTTTTCCTTTTGGCTGTACAAGGGAGGTAGCAGTTTGAATCTGGGCCAGGGCAGTCATCTGACCCTATGGATTGAAACTATCCTGTCTCTGATAGAATATGGGAAACTCGCAGAGCCATCCCCAGCCTGTAGCGCACAATCGAACTGTGGGTGAAACTCCGAGCAACGAGTCCTGAAGGCGTTGTGCCACAAGCTGCATCTCATCACGCCAAGGAACGGCGCAGTGGGTTCTGATTTGTCTACACCCGCATCACGATCCGCTCCGTCACATCCCTGGTCTTCCAATCACGCCGCAGTGAGGACCACTGAAGAAAACAAATGCAAAGATGTCAAGGACTCGGACCTGTCCAGCAATACCGATTGGTCGAGGGCGCTTAGCATCTGTGCGGATCACTCTGAGATGCACAGCATCGGTCACCTTTTGGCGCTCTAGTGGTCCAGTCTTGTCGAGGCGAGTTGCCTGGTGGTTGGTCTTCCTGTCTAAGTATAGAATGTGTAAAGTCCCCGCAGTATGCCATTGAAACTCTTCCAGCTTCTTCCCCGGGTACAGTCAATCATGCCGCGATAAGGCCATCAGCTTGCCGTACCCCTCAGTGCGAGCATCCTGGGGCCGTCTCTCGAAGCAAATCCTCACGAACCTCTCTATCTCCTCGATCGACTTGAGTTGGCAATACCGATTTTTATTTGCTCCCCATAGCTTAGCATATACCCGCGCGGGCTAACGATCACGACGTTGAGTTTGCGCAATTCTACTACTCCATCGCCACTAACACCGTGACATTTCGCTGGTCGGAAGTCATCTTAGAATAAGTGATACGGAACAAGATCAGTTGCCGAGATGGGCAGACTAATTAAGAACCACTGGGGAAGGTTGATCATCCTTACGGCCTCAGCTTGTAGGCACTCCAGGCTCATTCGCCGTTAATCCAGCGCTGACAAGGATTCATGACAGACCAAATTGCAAGCGCAATTGAAGGCTTCATCTGGCCCAAGGTCTTCTGGGACTTTATCTCCAAGAACCTCGATGCCGCCGTTCACCCGATCCCCGTCCTTCAAATCCTCAACTTAATAATGGGCCTGGTCGGTCTGGCCTGGGAATGGCCATTAAAGCCGCTTGCAGGATCTCTGCCACATCGCAGCATCGAAATCCGACTCGTTATTTATCCACTAAGCGCTCTCTTTGCGGCCTTGCTCTATCAGGGTACTGATCCTGCGATATACTACTTGGTCGGTATCGGGGTGTACTTTTGGGCATATAGCGAAGGAGAGGTATGTCAGAGCAATACTGCTCTCAATTGGTGGAACCTGACTAATGTCATTTTTAGGTTGTATGTCCGGAGCCTTGGACGTTACCAAAGAGATCAAGGGTGCTAAAAGCATAACCTTTTTGTTCGGTCTGGTGCATAGAGTGTATCAGACGCAGATCATGTACATAAACCATAATACCCCAATCACGATTGAAATGAGCTTTTAATGGAATACCCTGTCAATGCCTTGACAGTTGGCCTATATTCATCTTTTCAAAAGCTGTCCCTTCCCAAGGCTCGGGTCCTGTCAAGTCCAACCGTTCTTCAGTGTCCACCATATGTTAAATGCAGGTACAATCAAAATCTAGATGGGCTCACACGAGCTCAATTTATTAGACATATTGCCCCCTTGTTCAAGCCGAGAGGTGAATCTCTTCCACGGGCAAATTTTCTCGATTTCTCTTCGCCTTCAAATGGTTCTTTTGCGTCTGTCTCGGCTGTCAATCGCCAAAATGCCATCGCATCGTCTTCACTCGTCAACCGTAGGAGATACCATGAATTATAGTCAAGCAGCAATCGTCTTTTACAAATCTACATCTTCAAAAATTGGAGATTAAGTCGGCGTAAATGGTGCCTTATAGGCTAGGCCGTCAACCTGGATTCCACGTGATCGATATGGTCAGAACAAGAATTCATCGTCCCCTTCCGTCAGCTCTACACGCAAAAAGTGAGAAATTTGCCAGCGTTGATTGATGACCCCAGGCGGGTAAAAGAAGTGTCCCGAAGCTAATGAGAAGTACTGACTCTAGGCTGACCCTTCAGCGAGCAATTTCGGGAGAAGTATGCATGCCTTCGAAGATGGTCCAGAGGATCACCTCGAAGCCGATGAGGCCGTGGCTAAAGCGAGCCCCGAGCCCATGCCGGTGGAACAAATAGCCAGCTTTGGCGGTGCTTTGGAACTTCGGCGATTCCTTCATGGAGACAATCATATCTCTGCGATGAAGAAAGCATCCCAACCTGAACCGGAAGCTGAAGAAGAACCGTTTAACTTATCGAATAACGAGGGTACCAGCAGTGGATCGCCAGGTCCTATTAGAAGTCTAAGGCGACGAACGAAAAGAACGACTACCACATCACTTATCCAGCCTCCATCATCGACCGCGGCCGGCAAACGTATCGCCTTACGAGCAGCACGCACTCGAGATGCACAACCTCCCTCTGTGGGGAACTATCTCAAGGATACAATCGAACCGGGACTGGTGCTCCTCCTAGTAGGAGTAAATCCGGGGATTATGACCGGCCAAACGGGGTTTGCATACGCACATCCAACAAACCTGTTCTGGAAATTGCTCTATTCTTCCGGGATCACGACAAGATTACATCCACCCAGAGACACCTACGAGCTGCCGAGACTATACCGAGTAGGCAACACGAACATAGTCGAGCGGCCCACGCGCGACGCTCAAATGCTCAGCAAACAAGAAATGAACGAAGGTGTGCCGATCCTAGAAGCCAAAATCAGAGAGAATAAGCCCGAGGCAGTATGTCTGGTCGGGAAAGGTATATGGGAGGCCGTATTCCGAGTGAAAAAAGGGCGACCAATTCGCAAAGAAGAATTCAAGTATGGCTGGCAAGATTCCTGGATGATAGGCGAAGATTCGAGCTGGGGCGGCGCCCGGCTCTTCGTCGCGACTACGACAAGCGGTTTGGCTACGAGCCACACGCGCGCTCAGAAACAGGAAATCTGGGCCGAACTGGGACTGTGGGTGCAGCAAAGGAGAGCAGCGCTGGGCATAATGACTTGAAGCATCATTCGCATCACGAGTCTTATGAGACTGGGCGTTTTCCCCCACCCAGTTGGATGTGGTGCTGTGAACGATACGTCATGTTTAGGTTGTATTGATGGTTACTTAAAGCTATATATATATAAATTATACGATCATGAGCTAGAATGACGAACGAAAACTACAATCATGCTTTGCCAACTGGATAGAAAAAGTTGATGTTTCGATCGAAATATGGTATTTGTTTGACGAGTATCATCGTCTTTCTCATTATCTCATGATATCAGGTAAGGAAGCCTGTCCACAGCTTATGCACGACCCCAACATAAACTCCCAAATTACAAGCCATCAAGGCTCGCCGGCCAGTCAACAATGCTCAAAGGGTCAATTGCAAATGAGGTATCGAGACCGCGACGCCGACATGGTGGAAGATAGACCGAGGTAGGGATCACTTGGTGGGAAAATGGAGGGCGCAATCGATCAAGACTGCCGGGGCTGCCCGGTGTCTTTCGTCATCTCGAAATATAGATCTACCGGCCGATGTTGGCAGGGGCCTTGGAATCGTTCTTGCTGCCCTCACGCTCGCGAGCCTGGATAAATAGTCAGTGGGAGAATTCAGTGGTGCGCCATTGAGGGATACGAACAGTGTTGTGCTGGAATTCGCCGCCTTCGAGGATCTTCACCATGCATTCGTCTTCATTCGCGGTGCCAAACTCGTTCTCCAGAGCAGCTTTGCTGGCAGTGTCAAGGACACCCTGAGCACCGTGGCTAAGATGTTGTTAGCAAAATTCAGGCAAGTAGGCTTCCTTGGACCTTACGAGTGAGTAATGAAGATCTTCCATCCGTTCAAAACATCGGCGAGGGCGATGCTGCGGTCCTCCTTCCACTTCTTCAAGATTTCCAAGTCATCGACGAAGACAACAAAGTCTTCAGTCTTGCCCTTGTAGAAGATCTTGGAGGTAGTATCGTTGGCGCGAGGCATATTGAAGGTGTTTCTGGAAATTATTTGGGTTGAAGAGAAGGAGAAAGTGAGCTGAGGGGAAGCTTTAAAGGTGGGATGATGGGGGGTGACGTCACGGCTGTCGTGGAGCGTAAATGCTCGTGTGTCATGGAAAGCTTCCTTCCTCTTCTCCCTTGCGACGTCATCTACCAGCTACAAGGTGGGCCCCAAAAGCTCGGATGGTGCAATGAAGTCAATTGCTTCCACTCCTCGCAGCTATTACGTTTTCGCCTAGCTAATAACAATGCTTCCTTGCACTTTTTCCAACTCCACCTACGTCGCCCATAGCTGGCGATGATCCCCACCTTTAATACCCTGGCCCTGGTCCTCCCGGTCAACGCTTGAGATGTTTCGGGGAAAGCACATTGAAGAGGGAGATCGTTGACGCCCACTTCTTTCGTGATGGAGGAGTCTCACAGTTGCTTTCCTCGCTTGAATACTTCTCGCTGCGCGGCGAAGAGGCAGACCCGGCAGACTTCCTGGATGTTCGGAAGCGAATAGTCCTTGAGCGTCCCAATGGGGTGGCTGGCGACCTGGGAGGCTCGCAGTCTGGGTCCCTTGAGTCTTGCTGATTGGTGAACCCTTCATGGTCTGCTTTCATTGATTTTACCTCGACGCTATGTTCCTCCGCAGATCGGGTATCGGCGACCACGAGACCAGAATTCTCGAGATTGACCGAACTAGATCGTTTTGTGAAACCAGCGTGGAGACTAAGACGTCGCATGATCGAGCCCCGCCGGAACAGATCCCCTCGGCCAAGCACCATGCCCGGCATCGGAAGCACGTCTCGATTGTAGACATCCGCGATTATTCGCTCCAGTCGGATTCGATCCACCCTTCTTGCGATCAGAGTCAGTGCTCCGCGCGTGACCGGTGTCTTCGCCCTCTCAAACTCTCCCTCCCCGCTTTGTGGACTCGCTGCTTCTTCGGACGTGTGCGGACAATGGGTCTTCCTGATTATAACATGTTGAACATTGGCTTTGCGCGACACTGTAATCGCGTCCATCGAGGATCTTCTGGGAAGGGAGGTCGCTGTAAATCGAACACGATCGAGAGGAAGCAGCAACAAATTCATGAAGGAGTATTTCCTGGGATCCATTGCTGGCCCGGGGTTGGCCATCTCCGCCAATGATGCAGAACATTTCAATATCTCCATTTTCCACTGTTTCTCTTCTGTCGCAGACGATGCACTGAGCACGAATTCGTGGCTATCTTCTTGGTCCTGGAAGAGAAGCTTCCACGAGAATGGACATCCGTAGCAGTAGAGCCCTGAAAAGTCAAATGATTGTCCACTAACAAGCCGAAGATTACTTACCTCGTCCGTTCTGTGTACTGTCCATCCGCAAGTCTCCCAAGTAAATACATGCCACAACCTGAAGTCGACGAAAGTCCTCGATACCTTTGACAAAAATGAGATAGCAATTGAAAAGGACGCAAACCATGAACTCTCCGACAATGGTCTCTGGTGTCTGGTAAGTGATATGAAGAACGCCACAAAGTGTCAGTGGACCGAGCTCTTTGTATATATCCCGCAACATAAACTTTTCATTTGCTGGTTAGTGACAAGCATGCTAAGTAGATAAACATAGGGATGTTACCGATTCCGAGAAGTACAACTTTTCTTGAAGAAGCAGGGTCTTTTGAATGCGATCTTTGTTGACTGGGTTGCCAGTCGCCGAGTTGATACGAGCAACGAGAACCCGGAGACTCTCTAAAATTTGCCGTATTCCATTGTGAGAAGAGGGACAGTCGCTGACCGGGGTGTGTCGCAGGAGATCTTGAAGAAGAAGTGGGTATTTGCACAGACGCTGAATAGGCTAGATACCTAGTCAGCTCATCCTGACCCGGTTACAAGAATCAAAAACCAGCCTTGATCATCAAATCACTCAGGGTCATCGACCTATTCTCTTCATGTCTCTTACTCTCCACAGAGGTAACCGACTTGGACAGTGCTTCAATTCCCTGATCGAAGGCCGACCAATTTGGAATAGAGTGGCGTAGAATGGCGACATCTTGCGCGAGGAGCTCATAGTTGGAGCAAAACTCTTCGTAAGCAGAGAATGATGCGGACTTTTCCAAAATGGTCAGCGTCTGTGTTGACACGAAACATTTGACAACTTACCAGCTTCTCCACTTCGCGTGCAACTTCTAGACCCTCCAGTGACTCAGCTATCAGAGACTTGTAGTGCTGATTGATCGATGCCTTGAAGCTTCGAGTCCTCAGCGATCTGGATTGCAGTCCCTTTAGTCCTGGCAGATCAAGGGTACCTATGCGCTTTGACAGACCACGGGAGACAAGGTCGGAAGCTTGATCTCCGTGAGGCGACGCTGACATGGGCGATACTTTTTCAAGTTGGATCAGAAAGTGCTCATGGATCTCACACATTCGCTGGACATTGTGGTATATTTGGGGCCTGGTGTTGAGCATGGATAGTACCTGAGAAGGGACAAATCAGTACAGAGCCTTCCGAAGAGACCAAAGAGCTCATAATTACCCCAGCAAGAGCTTTCATCCCTTGAACATAATCAGTTTCGGTAGCAAGCAATTCCCGTAAGATCTGGCGTCTCTTGGTCGCCCGTAGCTCTGCAGCTTCATCCATGCAATTGCTCGAAATTGGGCGAGAGCTGTCGGCTGAATTCCGCATTTCCGAGACAGCACTTTGAGTAGTTGCGCTCTGCGTAGTTCCTCTCGACCTAGCCATGCTGTGACTCGCAATACTTATGGTGGCCGTCTTGACTGTGCCAAGCTGTGATGAGCGCCCCGAGCATCTTTCCCAAAACTGGTCTTGGATTGAACCACGACGGGGGACTGTGCTCAGTATTGGAAACTCAGTAGCCGAAGAGTCCGACCAACCCTCGACATATCGTTCGGGAAGCGTCGGTGGCGCGCGCCTTCGAGTTCGAAAACTGTCCATCCATTTCTTGAATGGATGTGTTGGCGTGCCTCTTTGTACTGTGTCTTTCTTTTCTGCAGTATTCGGATCATTTTCAATCTCGTTCGGCGATTGTAGAAGCTTATCCGTCTCGTCGTCTTTATACTCCATCATCCCACGAAGCGGCAAGTCTGCTTGGTTTGATGTCGTGGCACAGTTTCTGGTGTCATGAAGTGTACCAGCAAGATTGAAACAACAGTTGCATCCCAGAAGCAACAGCACCCGAGCCTGGGACTGCCTTCATGGTTCGGCAGTTGCGATGGACGCCGCGCGGGAGAGTGGTGCGCGCAAACCTGAGATCCGACTTTTGTGAACTTCAACTACTGGCTCTGGCGCATATTCCCATTCATATGAGACAGCTTGCTTGTAAGGCATGGTCGCCAGGGCATCGGCTCCAGGCAGCTGTGAATTATCGCTGAGGAACCGACAATTGCAATCTGATCCATATACGTCATGACGGGAGGCAGCTCAACAGGTAGGATTGAAATTCCACAGGCCCAGAATCACTAGGATCTAGCGTTTATCGCTAGTCAAATGCGCATGCTGTCATGCGGAGTCCGGAGCACTGGAGGTCCAATCTGTGTAAATAGCCCCGGGGATCGACGTATATACTTCGATGTGCCCGCGCTTATATAAAAGCGCGACCCACCGCCCTCCAAGCTCGCGATGCTTCAATCTTCCCCACCTTCTGCTAAAGGATTTCTAATGGACGACATTCACGCCCCAACTGTCGCCTCCGGACCCTCATCCGCGCGTCCTGCCCGCGATGTATCAAAGCTGTCGATGCCAGAACTCATGCAGGAGAAGGAACGGATCGAGATGGAGCTGTCCGCGCTGAGCAGCGTCCTCAACTCGGTGAGCTGCCCTGTGTCACCTGAAGAAGTTTTTCACTAATTCGTCGACTCTGCTAGCATGGAGTGACTATGAGGTCGACTCTCACCACCTTCGACGGTTACCCGCGTGACGATATCGACATTGCTCAAGGTACGTTACCACCGGGCTGCGGGCCACTGACTACAACCCGCTGAGACCGCTGCCCAGTTCGAACAACCCGAGTACGAATCATCCACCTTAGAAACGACCATAAGGAGGTCATGACACATCTTGAGAAGGGCCTCCACGATCACTTTGCCCGACTACAGAATACGCCCGGGGCCACTACAAACGGTACAAATGTGCCATCCTCTGCGCCGACCTCCGCCACGGACAGTACAAGTGCAGATGCTGGCACATTGGGCACACCATTCGCGCGCGTCAATAGCGTAGAGCCTGGTAGCCCAGCACATCAGGCGGGTCTGAAGACGGGAGATTCAATTCGGAGCTTTGGCAGTGTGCACTGGTTGAACCACGAGCGTCTTTCAAAGGTTGCCGAGGCGGTACAACAGAATGAGGGGGTACGTTTAGATCTTGCCTCCCATCCTTATATCTAGATTCCAAGCTAACGTCCATCTAGCGTCCTCTGTCGGTCAAGGTGACACGCAGGAATGAGGGTGGACCGGGCACAGTGGACTTGGATCTACAACTCACTCCGCGGCGCAACTGGGGAGGCAGAGGCCTTCTAGGATGTCACTTAGTGCCCTTATGAAAGAGCTGATAAGCCTACCATAAGGTACAGTTGCTACGGTTACCGGACGAACAACGTGCAAAGAATGGGATGAGATCTTCCGATACTGTTAGCATAACCCTTCAGCAACCAATGACTGACTTTTGCTCATCTCATTGATCTATGTTGGGGTCGGCCTGCATCAGGTTGCTCTGCAACTTATTATGTTCGAAACCCCGGTGTTCTCTAATATGAAATCCCTGTTACTACTCAATGAATACCCAACTGTGAAATTTGCTACTATCATAGTCTATCAATTGATTGGTTCAGATATGAGTAGACCTTGGATAGAGTTGAAAATTGGACGCTCCAAAGATCTCTAACAGCGGAAAACAAATCTAAAATTAGAGGCAACTCCGTGCAGACCATGCCTCTCAGTCCAGCGTGGGTCTCTACTGGCCATGTGGTTGACTTCGAGCTTACTGCTCTTCATTTCCGGCTGGCTACGACAAGATAGGATAACTGAGGAATGTTGATTTGCCTCAGTGCGATATGTATTCTATTCGGAATGGTTTAGAGGGATTTCTGCAACGTACAAGAATGGCATTCGGTCCATATATACTATCGAATGGCTTATTAAATATCGCAGTATGCTTCGGTATTCCTCTTTATTGCAAGTAAGTCTTGTTCACAAATCGATGTTTCCTGCTGTCGGGAAGTCAGTGATATCCCCACATGTACTATTCCTTTCTTGAGCAATGACGTCCGTTCTTTACGATCCAGGAATCCCTCCATAGCTTGGCGAAAGCAGGAATCTTTCTCGAATTTAAAATCTGACCATGAAGCTCAAGCCTCCCACGAAGATTCAAGGCCGAGCAAACATGATCTTATTTGCAGTAGAGACAAGGTAGAAGAGAGAAGAATTGACACTACGTCAGGCCCCCCCTCAGGCACACAGACACGTGACCTGCCCGCGACCGGGCCAAAAATTCCAAACGACATTATTCAGACCTCCTTCCCTTCCTTTCCCTCCCTTCACCGCATCTACCAACTCTCCACCTCTACCCATCTACAAAAATACGCTCCCGCTGAACTATCGGCGTGCGATCATCTTAATTCCTAACTTTCGTGTTTCATATTCGACATGGCTGATCAGGTCCCCCCCCACCTTCAAGCTCGTCCTGGTCGGTGACGGTGGTACCGGCAAGGTAAGCTTGATTCCGACATCACTGTCGTCGATTGCTGGCGGAAAAGACGTCTTGTCGCTGGCGACAGTCAGTGACGCCCGATGGCGGCCTTGTCAGCTTCGTTGCTACGATGACCCCCTTGCCCCGCGATTGTCAACAAAAATGAAAATATCTGCCCAACCGTCGCCTCGTCTTCACAACGCCATCGCTAACGCACCCCATTTGGTAGACCACCTTCGTCAAGCGCCACTTGACTGGTGAATTCGAGAAGAAGTACATTGCCACTCTTGGTGTCGAGGTTCACCCGTTGAAGTTCACCACCGTACGTTATGCCCCGCCGAACCCCGCTTCGAATCCCTCGGTCGACTAACTCGAAGAGATAGAACTTGGGTGACATCCAGTTCGATGTCTGGGATACTGCCGGTCAGGAGAAGTTCGGTGGTCTCCGTGATGGCTACTACATCAACGGCCAGGCCGGTATCATCATGTTCGATGTTACCTCCCGCATCACCTACAAGAACGTTCCCAACTGGCACCGTGAGTTGTCCCATCAATTCGTCGATCGTTCGTCGCTAATATGACTCAGGTGACCTCGTCCGTGTCTGCGAGAACATTCCCATCGTTCTTTGCGGTAACAAGGTCGACGTGAAGGAGCGCAAGGTCAAGGCCAAGACCATCACCTTCCACCGCAAGAAGAACCTCCAGTACTACGACATCTCCGCCAAGTCCAACTACAACTTCGAGAAGCCCTTCCTGTGGCTCGCCCGCAAGCTGGTTGGCAACCCCCAGCTGGTGCGTATAAATCTCCATCTGATCCTTCCCAACCGCAATTTTACTGACCCACCCTGCAGGAGTTCGTTGCTGCCCCCGCCCTCGCTCCCCCCGAGGTCCAGGTCGACCACGCGCAGATGGAGAAGTACCGCCAGGAGATGGAGGCTGCTGTTTCTCAGCCCCTCCCCGACGAGGACGACGCCGACCTGTAAAGCGGTGCATCCAACTCACGGGCCCACGACTTTTCCAGCCCTCCCTTTTTGGCGCGATCTCCGACCGGTCGACAAGGGACGGTATATTCCACGACCGAATGTTTTTGACTTTGCCCCGCAAAAACAAAATCCATTCCCAGAATCACGATACAACGAAAGCGGTTGGGGCGCCCCAGTGGCGGTTTGAAGAAAGGGACGGCACGATTATGCATTTCTTTTTTTTGGTTTCCCCCCAACCTTAGTAGCCTAGACCCTTACCATCTCAATGCTTGTTTTTTCCTCTTCCCCGAAATGAGCACGCTGCATAACAAAAGCAAGTACTCTTTCAACAAGATCTAAAAGAATTTTTTATATGTTCTCATGACACAAGGCTTCTTCGAGTTGCTTAATCTTGATCTTCGTGAATAATCTTATCCACACTGAAAACAAAAGGACGGATAGCAAACGCATTGTAAGTTGCATGAAGTGGAATCTCAAGGGTATAAGTCGAACAAAGGGAAGTCTTTCCTGCGCCTGAAAACCACCCGTAAATCAAGGGACAAAAGTATCATGTGCAAGAAAGGAATGAGCAATTATCACACCCCTAAACCATCTATGTGCGTAAAACAAGGCACCAGGTACGAAGATCGTCTCCGGCGACGAAGACCAGTTTCCGTCCTGGCTCAGTCATGGCGCACACCCTAGAGAAGGTGTTAGAAAAAAAAAACAATGTGTAGAAAGACAAAAGGAAAAACTTACGAAGAGATAAGCCAACTCCCGAGTATCCAGACGAGACACATTGAACGTGCCACCCTCATCAAGAGCACCACTGATCAGCTCGCGCTTCTTATTCTGCAGCTCGATGATCCGATCCTCAACAGTGCCTTCAATTAACAGCCTATGCACGAAAACCTCTCTCTTCTGACCAATGCGATGAGCACGATCAATAGCCTGGTCCTCGACATAAGGATTCCAGAACGGGTCGAAGAGAATGACATGTGACGCGGCGACGAGGTTCAGACCTGCATTTCCGGCCTTGAGAGAGACGAGCATAATTCTGACGTCCGGGTCGTCAGTGAACGCAGCCACGGAGGCATTGCGGTCTGCAATGTTCATACTTCCGTCGAAGCGGACGTATTTCCAGCCGCGTCGGTTGATGGGGACTTCGAGTAGATCTAGGAGCGAGGTGAATTGGCTGAAGATGATAGTCTTCTCAGATTGGCCTCTGTCTTCGTTGGCTTGGAGAATATCTGTCGCCTTGTCGATTTTGGCGCTAGGGATCCAGGTCTTCTCCAGACGGCGGATGTACTTCCTTTTCTCACGCTTGTTCTTCTGGGCCGCTTTTCGTAGCTCAGCCAGTGACACCTTCTTGCGTCTCTGTGCCTTCCCATCAGTTGAGGTATCGGAGTCGTAATCGTCCGAGTCGGAGTCTGAGGACTGCTCCGTCTCTTCCGCGGCGGCATCTTGAGGCGCTGCCTCCGGGTCATGGGCTATTTTGAAAGAGTTCGCATCGGTGATCTTGGTAGGATCAACTGGGCCACGGCAATTCTGGCACTTGATCATACCAGACTCGTCGTCACGGGCTAAGATGGTGGGGTCTGATATGCGAGCAAAACATTCAGTACAAACAGAGTGGCCACAGGGGATGTAGATGACCGCGTTCTCGGCTGTGTCCATGCAGATGGGACAGGTGCCGTCGTCTTCATTTTCGTTGTTCTTGATACGACTGACAACAGACTTGTCCAACAATTTCGCGTTGGCTACCAGGTTCACGCCTTCGACTGTTGTAGCAGGCTCGGCGTTGTATCCATGCATGAGATGAGGGTGGCAGCATGCCTGTCGTAGCCGTAGAAGAAGAACCAGGACATGACTGTAGTTTCGGCCTAGGGTTCCAGCGTTGAGATATCTGGTGACTTGGTCTTGTGTGTTCGCATTCAATCTCGTGTACATTTGTTGCTCATGCTCACTGAAAACAACGTGCACCTGCTCGATGACCTTAGGCGGAAGTTGAAGAATCGGCTCGCCGTCGATTTTGGATTCCTTTGTGCGGCGGAAACAGATGGACTTGACAAGGACGCGTAGCTGGGCCATTGCCTGCTCACCCGCGCCTCCTCCTGATTTGATCGGTCGAACGAAGGTCTAGTAGCTAGATTAGCTTTTAGTTTTGATTTGAGAATTATCGAGAGACTCACGCTCTTGAACTTCTCCTTGTTGTTGTATGGCCTGATCCGGAGGTATCCCAACAACGACTGGAAATCCTCAAGTCGATTCATCATGGGTGTTCCAGTCAAGCACCAGCGAAAGGTAGCATTGACACTGGAACAAGCCTTGGTAGACTTTGCCAAGGGATTCTTGATGTTTTGGGCCTCGTCTACGATGACTCGGTGGAATTTGCTGACTGGAAGAAAGAGAACGGCCTGTTCTTGAATTTTCCTCACAAGGCTAGCATCTTTTCCCTCCTTTTCAAGTTTCTCTGCTTTGAGCTTTAGCTTGAAGTTGGCAGTCAGCGTACCAAAGGTTGTGATGATGACATCTTTGGTTTTCAGTACTCTCCAGGGGGAGTTTCGCGTATCGCCGTGGAAAATAAACACAGACAGCTGGTCATTACCGGGCTGTACGTGGCGTTTAATCTCTAATCGCCACTGATCCATGAGAGCTTTGGGGCATACGATAAGAACAGGATGTTGCTCAGGGTCCGTGGGTGGACTAGCAACCATGAGAGCGATGGCCTGAATCGTTTTGCCGAGACCCATATCATCGGCGAGAATACCACCTTTGTGACTGCTTTCTTCTTTTGCCTTCATCCATGCCAACCCAATTTTTTGATGCTTCATTAATGTGACTTTCAGGCCACTTGGAGTGTCGTCTTTATCTGCTTTTGTGGCCTCACGAATGTCTTTGATACCAGTGATCAAGTTCTTGATGTCTTGAGGGAAATCCGCTTCCTCATAATGCCTGCAAGCATATACGTTAGTATTCGACCATGGGTGCGTTTGCGTTTGGATGGGGAGGAATACGCAAAGTCGTCTTCAACCATATCAAGCTCCATCTGGTCGCGGACCAGTTCCATAGCCTTTTCTACGGCTTTCGAATCACGCATGTATGGGTCGCGCAAGTATATGTCACGCGCGCGAGGATCTGGCTCCCGCATCCACGGAAGCACCCTGCCAGGCATATGCGTATGTCCATCAGGAAGAGTTCTCGTAGGAACAAATTCAGTCGGCCTGCCAAATCGGGAGTTGAAAATATCCGGGGTAATCTCTTGGAGTTCATCATCTTCATTGGAATTGTCCATTGATGAGATGGGTGGCATCCTCCACGGCGTTGGGAATGATCCATCGAAAAAGCCTTGCGGTGTGAAATGCGCCCTGTGGTCCTCTTGCCTCGGTATCGGCGGGTTAGAAGAGAAGTCAAATCCACTGCGACTCAGGTCTCCCAGACTTGAAAAGCCATTCGGAAGGCCACTAAGAAGATGGGTTCGATCGGGGAGATTGAGAGTCGATGACGGCATAAGTCGACTTGCACTGTATGTTGATGGATTTGCACGGCCCGTTGAATTCAGTTGTTGTCGGTCAAAGCCGCGTTCGTCATCACTCGACTCATCCTGTTGTGCCTGCAACATGCGAGCGAATTCTCCATCCCGTTCCAGCTGGAATTGCTGTCGGATCTCTTGCTCACTGTCCTTTTGGTCCCCTTTGATCTTTTCCCGAGCCTGCTCTTCTGAGATGTTGTCTAACCTAGCCACGTCCCGAACGTTCTCCTCTCCTAAAAGACTTGCATATATTTGGCGGTTCTGAGCTAGCTGTGTCTCCATGTTTTCGTCGATTTGGGCCATTCGAGATCGAGTCTTATCCAGAACAGCCCGCTTCGATGTCTGCACAGGAGCTAACGAGCTAAATGAGTCCTGTCGCGGTCGCTTCCGACTTATGTCGAAGGGAGTAGGTGCAGGAAACCCAGTTCGACTGGATGCAGCGCCAAATGGAGAAGGAGCGGACGATGGCCATTGTGGGGTAGACCTAGAATCAGCATTTTCTTGTGTACTTGGTCTCACTGGAGACGCATCCAGGTTGGAGGAAGGACGAGTATGCCCGTGGGCAACGGAGGACGAGTGGTGACGGCTATTTGCAGCGACAGCGGCGGCAGATGTAGTGGGAGTATCAACTCTAGACACTGGGGGAGTCGAGACAGTCTGTGGAGTTACAGCAGGAGCCTCCTCGCCCAGTAGTCGAGCGACCTGGGTTTCGAGCTCATGGATCTTATCCATTGCTTCTGCGATGGCAAAGCTATCATTGGGTCGGTTGTCTTGTAGATCGGCGTGGATGAATTTGTGGAGGTCCAGCTCCTCCAGTAGATCCTGGACTTCGCCCTCCATGGCTGAGAGTCGAGGACTGGATAGACCGAGTTAATATGGTGATAGACTGACTCGTTGAGCCTGGCGTCCAAGTAGATGAGGTGCTGGATATCTGCGTCGCCTCGAGCCGATGAAGCTGGAAGGCGGAAACAGTAGATGAAAGTTCTTCAAAGTCAAGACAGTGAAGGAAAATTTACAGTATGAAAGCGCAGGTCATGAGACTGGCGGTTTCAGAAGGGCCACTCGTGGATAGAATGAGTCGGAGGACCTCAGATTTGCAATAAACTCAAGAAACCACTATTCCGATATTAATCGACCGCGCGTAGGAAGGTGACAGTATATAGTGAAGAAGTGTTGGAAACATACCGAAGAATCTTCAGATGCTTTCATTGGATGAAGGGGTAAGATCTGTACAAGCTTGATACTTACTTGGAGTCGTGGATGGGTGAACCCCGTCGATTCCCGCGATCCCACCTCGAAATGAGCGTAGTCAACCTGGCCCGTATGGCAGATTCAGATCTACTTCCACGGGATTTCAGTGTTCGATCAGATGCAGAAGGACGAGGAGACGGGTCGCCACCCTGATCAAAGCAGGAGATGAGATGTGGATCGGGTGCCTGAGGAGGAGAAATTGCGACAACCGAAAAAGCGGTCTCAGTCAGGCAGAAATTCGACAGCCAAATGCCAGGAAAAAGCAAAGCCAGGGTACGTCCACGTTCCACCGACTCTACGCACTGCGAGTTCTCTGTGACAAGAGCTCAAAGACGTCAGGACTGGGTATCTGCGCTTGGCGGAGTCGCAAATGTTGCGATGTGGAGCGCTCGGGAGAGACGCCCGGGTCTAGTGGACAAGATTCTCGAATAGAGGGAGTTGACCGGGGTAATTTCGATGTCTAATGGCCAGTGCTAGAGCCCATTGACTGCCTAGCTTTTTGACGACTGGGGCGATGTCATCATGAGCGTCCCCACGGCGCCCAGGTGAAGATACGGCATGTCCACTATGCGGCTATTCGGGCCACGACATGGATCTCTAAGTTCTGTGGTTCAACATCTTCCTCGACCAACTTTGAACATCTCAAGGTTTTACTCCATAATTATGCATCAATTTCTACACCCTTGATCATTGTCCTCTTGGCTCTCTACAGCCTTTATCGACACGTAGACGCGTCCACGGGTGGGAAGACAAACAATGCAAACAGCAGGGTTGGCCCTACTTGCCTCTTTCGGTCGAAGTAGACTCGTCGGGACTAATCTGCGTCTGGCCGCAATTCACACCAGGACTACTATTTCGATGCCCCGAACATGGAAATGACTCACAGTCACACCTGCAATCTTCAAATCAGGCCTCGGAAACTGGATACACAAGATGGTGATTCGCAGGGTGGCTGACAGCTGTTTCCGACCTCCAAACGTTGGTATCTATAGTCGCATTCGGTGGCAGGCAAGATGAGAGTACGACATCTCTCGATCTGGAGTCTATGGCACAATGGGTTCGTCGTGAATATGAGAAATCAAACGGAGTGGTGGAGTGGAGTTTCATATACATTGTCATCATTGCACACCCGCATGTGTGTAGCGAGCCCAATCACATACTATAGCCATGGCGAAATCATCTGGAAACACACTGGCTCGAATACTCAACGCACATAAGCCACCACAAATATACCTCAGATATAAACGCAACTGCCGGAATCTGCCTCATCGGGAGAGATTTGTCATAGTGTCGATTAGTCTGCCGGGACCTCGCAGCCCGATGAGCACCGCTTCTCTTCGCAAGACATCACCATCCTCTTTCGCACTTGTACATACACGCGACCACCCCACCGGTAAGCGTAATCAGTAGAATAATTTCTGCGTCCCGTGATTGATTCAATCGACATTCGTCTATTGCCAGGAATATCGCCCGATGTTGAAGGTACGGAGAGCATGGAAATGACCACACTCCTGGTCAAGCAGTATCCGCCACTGTTTCATGCAGCCCTTGATACACTCGCACTCGAGAGGGCGCTCGCCGTGATGACGAACCTTCGACATCTCCGACTCATCGGTATCGTCGACGCGTGGCAGATTATGCGCTCATGTCGCTACATTTGAATATTGTGCTGTCTCCACTGGCATGCTTGAGAAGTCTGTCAGTGGTCTCGATCCACCTGGCGGACGTTTTCTACCTGCAGCCGAATCTTAGCTTTGGTACATCGCCGGTGTTTCGTAAACGCTGATCGCAGATCCGCCACCTGACCATCCATTCGGAGAGCATCCCTTACGAAACTGGTCGGTCAATAGATCATTTCAAGCTCCTTCACGCAAACCTGCAGAGTTCCGCCGGTCTCAAAAGCTTAGTCTTCCATTAAACAGGCGAGAGGAGCCTATCACCGATTTCATCAGCAATCGAGGAATATCTCCAAAGTTGCCCGAATATCGCATCAAACCAATGTGGGCCCGCGATAGAAAAAACGGTCTGCGCAGCTTAGCTAAGACGAGTGCGCTTTGAGTATCCGGGGAAAGCTTGGTCATTTGCAGCGGCTACTGCCGCCATCGGAGTTCCGCTAGGAGCGGTGACGTTAGGGCGTCTGGAGATGTTGGGGGCACGCGAGCGGGCGTTCGTCCTCAGGAGGAAAGGATTGTCCCTTCATCGCGATTGATACCGGATTCGTACAACCCTTGAGATGCATCGACAGCCACGGTCCGGAACCATGTGGATACCTCTTCTCTATTTATTCTGGGGTTTTCTGAGGCAGCACGGGAAAAGGGGAAGATCGACCAGTCGAAGTAGGATGAAGTAAAGCGCATGTCAAGGAGTCGGAGTTTCATTGTAGTTCAAGGTGCCTCTCAGGTGTGGAGAAAGCGCGGCTTCACGGGACCTCGGCTCGTCCGGGGTTCACATGTTGCCCGGGGTATTTCATCATCCTTTCTTATATAGGCCTGCGAACCATCACCATCTTCCTGTCCATTCACCACTTTATCAACGTACTCACCATGCCTCTCAAGAACGGTATGTTAGCTTGCGCACCATGATACCCACCGAGCGCACAATACCGACCTTCCGGAGCTACGTGCTGACAGCTGGACCCCAGATTCTTTCCCCTCCTCCGCCGCGTTCGACGCGATCAACGAGACCCTGCAGGCCGACCAGGCTGAGAAGAAGAATGCTATTAACTCGGCCAAGGCCATCGTTTCTTTCAACTTGAAGAACAAGGATGGTGAGGAGAAGAGCTGGTACCTCGACTTGAAGAACAAGGGCGAGGTCGGTGAGGGCGCCGCTCCCCAGGGTGCTAAGGCGGATGGTGAGTTATGATCCACAAGATACTATGGTCGTGCGATACTAATTTTCTCTGCGAATAGTCACCCTCTCTCTCTCGGATACCGATTTCGCTCAGCTCGTCTCCGGCAAGGCTAACGCCCAGCGCCTGTTCATGGGGGGTAAGCTTAAGATCAAGGGAAACATTATGAAGGCCACCAAGATGGAGCCTATTCTGAAGAAGGCTCAGGGCAAGGCCAAGCTGTAAAGATTAGATACCCTGTTTTCCTTACCAAGAAATTGTAAATAGAATATCCCTATGGGTGATATTTGTTTGCCCGTTTGTGTTACGTACTCGTTATGAAGTGCTTCGGTGCTACGGTAGTATGATGAATCGCTCAATAGTCTATTCTCTATGCAATGATGGAGCGTCTTAAAGTTCACAAGTCTTGAACATGGCCCTGTCGCGATACTCGCCCCTGATCCAAAACGACATAGTACTCTGCGTCCTTGACAGCTTCAATACGATGCGCAATCGTGATGACCGTTGAGAGCCGCAGCTCCTCACGGACGAGCTGCTGGATGTCAAGAGATGTCTCATGATCGATCGACGCAGTGGCCTCATCGAGAATGACAACCGGACTGCGCCGAAGGACAGCCCGCGTGAGCGCGATGAGCTGCCGCTGACCCTGACTGAGATTCTTGCCCCCGGCTTCAATATGCGTTTCGAGATGCCAGCCATGACGGCCACAGAGGCGCGCGAGTACATCGGCGCACTGCTGGTCTGAAAAGTCTCCGGTGGGATCTAGATTGAGCCGAATGCTCCCGGGAAAGAGAACCGGATCTTGTGCGACAAAAGTGACCCGGGTGCGCAGCGCCTGGGTGCTGACTTCGGCGATATCGATGTTGTCGATCGTGATCCGGCCCGTCTCTGGTCTGATGACGCTGAGAAGAGATACCGCCAAAGTGGACTTGCCGCTACCCGTGCGACCAATAATTGCGGTAGTTGAGCCGCCTGGAATGCGGAGAGATACATCCTTCAAGGAAGGGTCAAGGTGTGGTGCATAGCGAATGGTGACATCTTCGAAGGTGACATCACTGCCATAGCTCGGCCAGGCAGCTGGAGGTTCAACCGTGCCGGGAGACTCTTCTTCGATGTGAAGTAACTCGTCCACTCGTTCCACCGACACAAAGTCCATCTGCAATTGTCCATATTGCTTGCACAAAGCATGTGTGGACTCGACAAAGTTATTTGCAGCGATGAGCACAAATGCCACTAGCCCAGGTGTTATATTTGTGTATAGAGCTAGAGCAGTAAGGCAGAAGGTCGAGAATGCAGACAGGCTTTCAAAGCGGTACAAAAGCCATGCCTGCAATGACCAGTAGAAGTGGTCCATCCCTTGGAATTTGTCAACGACGGATATAACCCGGCTCTGGAACCGCTTCTCGGCGTGGAAGGCGCGCACCGTCGTGAGACCGTGAAGGAGCTCTCCAAAGTTTGACAGGAGTGGAGTCAAGGAGACCATCTCGAGACGCCTGAGGCTTTGCGAGGTTGGTAGAAATTGTAAGAAGATGAGGACGAAAAAAACCGTCAGTATCAACGAAAGAATCAAGAATGCTGGGGTCGCAGTGGCAATGACCAGGATAGAGGAGATCCAGGTGATAGCTTGGAATGCAATAATTTGAAACTGTTCGCTGATGTTTCCATCCACAACGCCAATGTCTGATGTCAAGCGGTTCATGAGCCGACCCACAGGGGTTACGTCGAAGAATCGAAAGGTTGCATGGCTGACGCGAACCATGACCTGTCTAAACAGCGCCTTGCCAGCAAAGTAGACGATGACTAGCATGAGGAACTGTGCGAGGAGTAGCGCGGCTGCTTGGAAGGAGATTATAGCGAAGAAAGTCCATAGCCATGGTCGCACATTGTCTCGTGGAGCCGGGAGTCGGTTCATAGGATTCGAAGGAGCGAAGTATGCGTCTGCGGCTGATGTAGCCATCAGCCCACCAGAGGATGATGAACTTGTATTGTAGGCCTCTCCCCATCCTTTCAGGAACCAGGATTGTCCGACGAATGCCAGGCGGTACACAATCAGAACTAAGACGAGTACAAGCCAGCATCGAAATTTGCCAGCTTTGATGTATGTCCAGTATACTCGAGCTTTTACGCCCCATTCCGCCCGGTGTTCTTCGTCAATGAACTTGTCCGGCACTGCTGCTGCCTCGTCTCCGAGACTAATTTCACCCTCCGTCTCTGTTTCAGAATCAGTGGATAACATTGAAGATTCCATCCCGTACTTCGACAAAGACATTATAGTATGTCTGTCGTGGACTGTACATTGCCCTTCATCGATCTCAATAATCTGGGAGGCAATAGCACGGACCAGCGCAGTCCGATGCGTGACGAGAACGATTGTGCGGCCCACCATCAAGGGACCGCACAAGCACTTGCGAACTATGAGCTCGGCAGTATTGTGATCGAGAGCTGATAACGGATCATCCAACAGAAGGACACGGGAGGCACTGTATACTGCTCGTGCAAGAGCTACGCGAGCCTTTTGACCTCCCGAGAGACCAATGCCATTCTCGCCCACGAACGTCAAATCACCGTGTTTGAATTGAGATAGATCTGGGAGCAGGGCGCACACATCAAGAGTTTGTTTGTAGCGTTGCTCGTCATATGGGGCAGAGAACAGGATATTATCACGAATACTCATACTCTGAAGCCAGGGTGTCTGGGCGCAATAACCTACCATCTCATTTGGAATGTGAGAGGTACCACCGAGTCGATCGAGTTCGCCGAGCAGAGCTTGGAGGAAGGCCGTCTTTCCAGCACCAACCTTACCACTCACAACAGTGATACCCTTCGGAATGATCACATTGACATCAATGAGCACGGGTACTGTTTTCCCCGGCCACGAAAATGAGCAAGACTTGAATTCGAACAGCTTTTCGTCTGTGGGGTCGTCGAGCGGAAGCTGGTCCTTGTCCGGCTCCCTCATGAAGTCTTCAATACGTCCGAGAGCAATAGACGCATTGATAAAAGCTGTTATCAAGCCGGGTATGTCTCGCAGCCGAGTCTCAAGCATAGTAAAGAGTTGAAGTGCGGGGAATATTATATCGATGCGCAGCTCACGCCCAGCGAGCAAGGTATAGGCATAAAGAGCGATAACCGGGAACACACCACTGGCAAAAGCATTGATGAAACGGATGAGAATACTCCACAAGCTGGTAATGATTCGTATATTTAATTCACTCTGTCGAGCTTCCATGACTTGCCGAAGCCAATGGTCTTGCCAACCATACCAGCGAAGATGACGGATCGCTTCCACGAACTGGGATGTGATTTGCAAGCGAGAATCGGTCGCTGCTCGCCTCTTTTCTTCCCATTGGAGAAGGATTCGAGTGATGATAGCATTCATAGCTTGAGCAACCAAAACAGCAAAAATGCCGAGGAAGCAGGAAGGGCCGAAGAGGGTCCAGACCAGCCAGACAGCAATGATGAGACCCAAGGGCTTGTCAATCAGAACATCAACCTCCCAAAATCGCTGAGCCACGTCATATACATCTCCTCGAAGAAGGTTGAAAATCTTGCCCAAAGAGGCAGCTTCTTTGGGCTTGACCTGCTTGACCTTTCTGTGCTGAGGGAGAAGACGGCTCAAGAACCCAGCTTTTACCGAGTCTTCTGCCAGCTCGCTTCTTGCTTCATTGTCAAGCATGCTGTCATCTTCAGTCAAAGAAGCTTCACCCTCGATCTTTCTTATGCCGAGAATATTTTTCCGCGAGAGAGCCTTCTCATAGACCATCATCACCATCTCACCTCGGGACCTCTCGTAACACCGTCGTCCGTACCAAAGATTCAACACCTGTGACTGAGCTGCTACTATACGAAGTATCAATGAAAATAGTGCGTAGGTCAATGGCACTCGTTTCGGTCTGGTCGGATCTTGCATCACCTGCAAAAGTTGCTGGAGCAGGACTGGCGTGGAGAAGTCACAAAACATCTGGATCGTAGCAATAGCGGAAATTATGAGAATATCGAGGCCATTGGCTTTCAACAAGCGCCCTAAGACAGCGCCTCGAATACGACGAAACTTCTCGTGTAACCGTTGGTGCTGGAATTCGTAGCCCAGAAGCCACACGTCTGCCTCATTCAATTTTCTTAGCCGTCCAAGAGATATGAGAGGTGCCATCCAGGACACGGTCAGGAATTGCCATAATCGCAGATTGTCTTCTGGGCTTCGGAAATCGCTGCATGGCACTTGACCAACTGAGCTGATGCTAAAAACCGGGAGTGAAGCCTTTCGAAATGGCATCAGCAAGATTGTGAAGCAAGCTCCCAGGCTAGCCGCCGCGGCAACATAACGGGTGATCGACCTGAAGTTTGGGCTTTCCCCGGGACTTGAAGCCATTGAGATCTCGACGACGAACATCAAGAGGTAGAATACCAGCATTGAGAGCGAACACGACCTCGGTCGGTCTACCGCGATTAGCACTGCTATTGTAGCCTGATCTAAGTCAATAGTCGTCACTCGAGCCATCGAAGGCCACTCACCCATGACGCAAGTAGAACGATAGACGAGAGTTCAGTTCTCGGGGGAAGACAGTGCACCACCTCGGCTGAGAATCCAATGACCGAGAAAGCAAGAAGAGCAAGAGTCCACCGAAGCGATTGTTTTACCCCCTCGGGCGGAAGCTCTTGATACTCATCCTTTTCCGAGATGAAGGGACACGTCCACTCGGGGCGCCATCGTCTCAGCAAAGGCCCCAACGAGTAGCACAGGGTAATCAGCAAAATTACAATCGCAGGTGCGATCGCGAGATATGGCAATGCACACGGTGACAGCCACGCATTGTTCGAGTCCTGGATTGGTCAGCTCGTGCACCGTCAAGGCAAGTAAGTCCCATAGTGCTCACCCAGAATTGACAATTGAACCGCTCATTGTCGTGTATCATAGGAACTTGATCCATCATTCATCACGCCAATACCCAAGTTAACGATCACTTTCTATGAACTGTCGCCGTATTGTGTTGCACGGCGTCGCGCTGCATTCGTATCGCGGGGCTGGGGGAACAACATTCCTCCGGTGGGTCATATAGTTAACATGTTCTGGTGCATAGTTGAACTTCAACCACAGAGCACCTTTACTATACAAAGCATTTGCTAATAAGATGGATAACGATTACATTCATCCTGCCGGATAAATACAGTTCCTGCCTAGGATCTACTTTATACCCTTCTTTCGTGACAAGAAATGCGACAAGATGATTGTACTCGGATTCGACGGTAATAGAAGCCAAGCACATGACAAAACTCCTTAAAAAATGGCAAAAGCATTTGGAGGGCTTGCGACTCCACCGATAACCTGGCATGCACGTTAGCTTGGCCTTTTCGTGCTGTCTCCGTGGTTCAAGAAATACTTTAAGCGGCATGCTAGACAGGAAGAAGCTGTATCTTCCAGTAGCCTTGCAATGCGAGGATAGTTTCTCGAGATCGAACATCTCACCAATAGGGGTACCCCATCCTGTCAGAACCCATTCATGAAGATTGAAGTTAGGGTCCGCGTGGCTACCTCGAATTGGAGCTCGCTCGAAGCTTGGTGCGTCACCGCCGACAGCAGCAAATTGATGATCCCATAACCACCGAAGCATTCCCTCTGTAGCTTCCACGCCATTGAAATCAGGAGACGGGCGATCTGACAAATCCTTTCGTTGCTGCTCATTCAAGTTGTTGTATGCAGCAGTGAAGCCACTCCGAATGAACAGAATGTCGCCTTTCCGAAATTCAAGCTTGTGATCCGTGACTACTTGCTTGAGAAGTTCAAGGGTGATTGCTTCTGACTCGAGAGCTGAAATTGAGATAGAGTGTGAGGCAGCCCAGTCGGCATAATCCAGAAGAACACCGCGGCCAGTGATCCCACCGTGCTCAACCATTGCTGCCATTGACCCGATTAGCCTCGATGATAACACGAACGGGAAAGAGCCCACGTTGTCTTTACCGTGAATACCAATCACATCCGAACTCTTAATCTCCTCGGTAGTATGTCCATTATAGAATTGTCGAGACTTTTGATTAGCTTAAGTGACGAGTTAGCTTTGCCTTTGGCAGACGAATGAGTCTTACTTACCGTAATGCCTGAACCCATCCCATTGAGTCGAACCTTGAGTATTGAAAGTCAAAATGTCATCATAAACACAATGGGGGGTCCGGAGAAAAAGCTCCTGCTTGAACGGATTGCGGTTGAAGCTTGGATAGGAAGGCATGCTGAGTGGCCAGTCAAGAGAGATGCGCACTCCAGTCTGAATCTCCTTCGCAGCCTCAACAATGACCTCCGGCGTGAGTAAGTTCAATGTGCCAAGCTCGTCGTTAGGGCCAAATCGACCCCACGCATTTCCTCGAGGGCCACTGGAGTCTAACGGGAGGGAGTCAAACGGGATCACGGCGTTGTCTTTCTTAGTCCCTGCCATGCTGTCTGAATAGGGTTTTGTTGGTAACGGTCAAGGTTTCCAATATGGACCGCGAAAGACGCATCCTCACCGGAACTCGTGCTTCATATAAGGCTCGCGACATAGATGGCCCTCGGGATATCTTTGAGCTCATTTCCCCGAGTTGAGGCCCCTCATTGAGCCAGCCACCCCCGCCCCCACGGTTCCGATCTCCACAGCTCGGATCATATCCGAGCTAAACAAAATCTACTGTTTCGGCATATCATGAGACAGTGCTGTTTGATTCACCGCCAATAAGAGAGGTGAGGTGTAAATTGTGATCCACTGCCCCACACGATAGTGTTGTGGCGCCCAAGAGATAAAGCCCACTTACGTTCTTGTTGTCCATTGAGACTTTTTTCGAGATAATTTTCCGAATGTATTTATAGAGATCGTTCTGTTCATCTCTCATGATGCCCTTGAGATGAATCTGGATAGGCACGAGGAGATAATTTATGGCTGCCTAGACTGATTTACATTTAGTGTGTGGTCATTGCCAGCCTGAGAGTCGGTCTGGGGAGCGATTTGGCGTGCTAGAAGCTCCGCCATTGCAAATTCGCAAGGGCGAGCTGCAAGTAATATAGGTGTAGCACGGCTTGGATCTGATAGATCAATTGCGACATCATCTCGGCGCATGAGCAGCTCCACCACAGCCAGATGGTCATGCTTTGCTGCCCACCATAGCGGGGTGCGATGGCTATCATCCCATAAATCTGCGTCAACATCGTCTCGCTGCACCAGAAGCTCTACCACTGCAAGATGTCCGTTCCCGGCCGCGAATGATAACGGTGTACGACCACCGTCTTCAGGTAAATATCTTCCCGCTGCGTCTTGGTCGCAATTCTCCGCGTCAGCCTCAATGTTGTCTTGTTGTAGCATCAGCTCCACGACCCCGATATGTCCGTGTTCGGCAGCAAACGACAGCGGTGTGCGATCGTAGTAATCCTTCGAGTTAACATTGACGTTATTCTGCCGTAGAAGCAGGTCCACCACGGGTGTGTGTCCGCGTTCGGCAGCAAACGACAGCGGTGTTCTGCCTTGACTATTCCCCCGGTCGGGTTGAATGTCATCTCTGTCAAGCAGCATTCTCACAACCGTGTGATGGCCTTGCTTAGCAGCCCAATGCAGAGGGGTCTCTCTATTACGATCAAGCTCATTGAGACTGACACTAGCGCAGGCAAGAGACCTCGTGCCTGGTATCTGTCCGGGCGTCGCAGCGCTATGCAACTGTGCAATATGATCATGTCTGACGGCAGATGTCATTGCTTTAGCGAAAAACATTTTCATCAACTTTTCATCACCATTCCTTGCAATATGATGCAAGAAAGACTCGCCATATTCGCCTTTGATGGCAAAGTGATGGAATGTAAGCAAATTATCAAGGCCTTTTGCTGCTTGCAAAAGTTTCATAATGTCATCGGGTCGTAGAAACCTAGCGATGTATAGAATCAATTCAACGGGTAAACAAACGGCTTCTCTCGATAACACCAGCATGTTCAATCAAAGTAGCTGTATCGAGGTATCCTAGTCGGTTCAAGAGAAGGATGTGCAAATGAAGGGAAGCGCGAATAAGGAAATGACTCATGCGGTTTCGGGCCTATTCTCCACGTGACTATACTCTATTGATTCTGTTAGTGGTTGATGATGATCCAGCTTGAAAATATTATCAGGCGACATGCTCTGCAAATACTGACAGGACTAAGTGAACATTGGACTTTTCTCTTGCAAAAGATCTTCCAGGGCTCATGATTGTGCTTCATTGATTGATATGGGCTCCGGCTCCTATCTAACGAGAACGGCCTCAATATCTGAAACATGTCGCTTTAACTTTCCATCTTCACATGTAATAAATAATCTATACGGGCATCTGTATGAGTATGAAAGAGCTGAAGTGAAAAGAATATGTACTGAGATAAGTCTGCGACTAAAAGCAAATTACAAAATGAAGTATGCAATAGTAGCGGCATACGTTGCCAAATTGTCACTGACAACTGCCAAAGGACTTCCATCCTTGACAATCATATTAGTAACGCCAACAGTGCTGAGTGTATATACTACTAGGTTGCTCGTGGTTCCCTCAACGCTGAAAATCTCGCTTTGGCAATTCTCTGGGTAGGGAAAGTCGAGCACGTGGTGCTGTAGTGATTGAAGAAGCTGTAAAGACCGGCGCCATAGACAACAATATCATTGCTGTTAAGAACACGGAGACCAAGAGCGTCGCAGTTACCAGAGAGGCATGTGCTATAGTCTGGATCGTTGAGGGTAGGATTTGTGGGGTATGGACCGTTGGCTGCATTAGGGCTAGGTTGATAGTATCTGAAACAGTGTGAATTAGCATATCCTGTTGAAAGCAGCGGATGTACTCACGGTGTTTCGGTCTGGATGAAGCCTGCTACAACGTTGCTAGCTCCAGAGAATTGGTACTGGTATAGCTGGTGGTGCTCCACCGCTGTTCCATATCTGGGATGTTATTAGCCTTTGCTAAATTGGTACCTGATGCTCACTCACAGCCAGATATTCTTTCCCTCCACTAACAGTCCACGGCCGGAGTACACCGAAATTTGGGTGTTTTGGGCACTGTCGAGATCATGATCCGCCGTCCACAGCCAGACGTTCTCAAGGTATACGTCACTCGCAGTGCTTGTGATATGCATGGACATGTAAGCCACCTCGCAGGCCGCCGACACGGCGGACGAGGTTGGACACTGTGCCACCTGCTGTTCTGAGCCAGTGAAGCCTCCGATGCGTGTATGAACGTCCCACATTCCAGAGCCAGCGTTCGCTGCCAAATTCCATTCGATGAGGACGGCACCTGGCGTGGAGCCTTGCGTGCTGACAATCATATCCGACCATTCAATCGAGCCAGACTCTCCAGACTTGCCGACTTGAACTACAGGAACAGGCTCGGACATGATTGAGAAGACACTGCCACTGGCCATGATCACAGGGTAGGCTTCACCGACAACTCGGGACCCAGGAGGGAAGTAGAGAGTGTTGGTAACTTTGTAAGTTCCTGCGTCGAAGTACACAATCTGGCCAGATGATGCTGCGGAGGTCAACGCAGACTGGATCGCGGATGTATCATCCGTCGACCCATCTCCTTTGGCACCAGCAGTTCTGATGCTGACGAAAGAGGATGTCGGCGAGGCCTCATATTGAGGCTTAGACTTAGTGTAGTAGTTGGAGGATCCGCTTGCAAGGAGAGCGCCCGGGCGGGTTGGAGCAGTGAGAGCACCCTGGAAATTGGTCGGGCCATCTGGGGTGTACTTATGACCTTGACCCCAAGCACTGATAGTTGTGGAGCCTCCAGCGAGAATGGTTCCACTGGCTCCTTTCACGGCTACTGTTACATCATCAAGGATAATGTTCTCCAAAATAAGACTTCCGTTGGAAAAGGTAGAGCTCGCCCATGCAGAAGCGACAAATGTCGAGCAATCCTGAATTATGCTGTCAAAAACTGTCACTGAGCCAACGAGCTGGTCACCGGCGCCACCGTTGTTGACGGCAAGAGCGGTTGTGCAGTTCGACAGCTTCAGAGCTTGGTAGGTCCAGCCCCAGTCCCAGATCTGAGAAATGCAGGTCACTGCATCCGAAATGACCAAGTTGCGCATGGTGAATTGCTGATTGCCAACGTTGGCGCCATACAAACCACCAGTGATGGTGATATCGGTCAAGAAGCCACCGGACCCTGGAGCAGTTAGCAATTCATCAAACTAGCAGGGTCATGGGGTTTCTGTTTCATCTCACCATTCTCAATGAAAATACCCTGGTGCTGTGTCCCTGAGGCTGAGCTCATTTCGATCTCCACATTCTGAATACTTGAGGCTTGTCCAGTAGGCCAGTGAATACCTGTGGCTCCCGAGGTGGCAGGGATGTTTGTTAAATCCAGCTTCAAGTTTCGAATCTGCCTGAAGAACACGTTGGTCGAGGTCCAGCCCTGACCGCCATCACTTTGGTACTGGTCCCCGTCAATCAACCCCAGCCCAGTGAAACCCGCGGTAGCTTTGATCACCGGAATAGAGTTTGGATTACCAATGAGCTGTGTAAAGTAATAGTCGATGATAGACGTCGAGATCAGATACGTTCCTTCTGGGAAATATACGATAGCGGGGGTCGTGGTGGAAGACTCTCGGCTTGCTGGGCCATAACGGCCACCATCGCTGATAGCAAGATTGATAGCAGCAGTATCATCGGTCACACCGTCACCTGATGTATATTAGACGCCTGCAATGTAGATAAAATACTCGTTGCAGGGCATTACCTTTGGCGCCATAGTCCTTCACATTGCGGAATACCGTGTAGGTAGAAGGATTCGAGTTAAATGCTGCAAGACCTTGGTGCTTGATATCCGCCAGCCAGTACGACGCATCGTCCGAGGCTTCAGTAGTAGCATGTATATCCACAGTCGGTGTCTCAAGGCTGATGGGGGAAGCGGTGCTAGCAAGAGTCGTGGGTGTGTTCTTGGCCAAGGGCTTCAAAGTAGAGCTAGATTGTTCAGCTCTAGCTGAACCAGTCAGCAGTTGAGCATGAGCACATGCTATCAAGGAAAAGCAGCTAGCCAGAGAGGCGAAGAGCATATTGTAATGAAAGAAAGGCCGAAAAGCATGCGGGCCATTTGATGCGCGTAGACGAGGCGAGCCGGTTTCTTATATAACCGCTCAACACACAGTTTCGGCAATTATTATCGAGATGCTGCGTGAAACACTCATAACAAAGAATAGGGGTGGGACCTAATGTCTGCCACACCTTCAGCCATTGTCGAAACATGCTGTTTAATGAATCCTACCCCATAGTGTCACTTGAGACGGGGAAATGGATTGCAGATGACCCTGAATCAGGTCACGATAGGGCAAGAATAGTATTAGCTCCTAAGCCCTCATCCGCTGAGCTTCATGTTGTCACGCTGGCCGTCTTGCCTCATGATCGAGGAATGGTAGAGATTGGCAATCGAGAGCGCAGATCGGGCCCCACGGGGAATCTTGTCCCTTGTCAATAAAGCGGACCGAGCCAATAGGAGGCTACAGTCAACCACATCACAATGTGAGAGAGTTGAAATGGACTAGTCTGACGGGCTGCATCGAAAAGCGGGAAGGAATGTGACTAGCTGCAGAATCTATTGCCGCCACACTAGGACGGAAATTTGACTCAGGGGTCATGCTTTATGTGCGACAGGGATTGTGGACAAGAAAGGCAAAAGCCGAGAAATTTTGTTTCGTGGCTCAAAGAGCCTTGGGGATTGTAATCTTTTTGAAAAGAACATGACCATTTCCCTGAATATAACGCATAGATCATCGATCAGAAGACTTTGAGGTACGGTCCGTGCTCTCTGCACGAGCGAAAAAAACAAATGGATTACCAGTACTCAAGTCTTCAGCTTTCAAGGTTTCATGTCGACAACGGCCTCAAGCCCTAAATAGCCCATATAGTTCTCGTAGCACCTCCTGTAATCTTGACTGATCCATTGAAATGTGGCCGAGTGATCTCACTAGCTTAAATCCCAGCACTATCTTGAGGTCAGCCACGTAGTCCTTGCTTGTGGTCCTGTTCGATCCTACCACGCCACAGGGAGCGACCTTAGGCGCTTATGGCTTCTGAGGTAGGGCCTATCTTCATCTCAGAACGGTCTACAGGGGTGAGAAGCTTGTGTGAGCTAGTCGTGAAACCGGCGGTCACTAGAGTAAATTAGTGTGATCTAGACGCGTAGAAGTGGTTGTTGAAATGTCCGTACGGACAAATTTGGTTTGACTTGAACCCTATCCACAGGGACCGAATCTTCTTCCCCAGTCACTTAAAGAAGTCCTCGGGTGCACCGTGCACGATCCGGCCTACTTTTACCAGGCGGGTTTAAGACGGACTTCCCTCCCAGACGACGTCATGCTCGATTCCACCCAGCAGTTCGACAATGGCGTTGTGCTCCATATTTCATTGTAGGAGAATTGTGTGCTGGAGCTTCGAACCCATGAAGCTCCCAATAAATCAGGAAACATATGCAAGCAAGGATCAATTTAGCAATAGATGAAAGAAGCTGACTGTTATGAGCTGCCGTCATGCCAAGACCCACGTGACCATATTTTTTCACGGCGTGGTGTTCTTGCGTCTGCGAGAGCCTCCGCGCAAAAAAATTACCAGGGTCAACTTCATTTCCCCCTCCCCCTCGACTATCCGACCAGTCTGCTTTTCCATCGGAGAAACAGCTTCCTGACCTCTTCCTCCTCTCGATATTGACCCTGGTGAATCCGTGATTGTCAGCTTGCGCGACGGGTCGCGAACAACGTCGTGTCACGGAACAAGACACCACCAACCACGTCGTCGAGTTTCGCAGAGACAAATTGACTTTTGCTCTCTGAGTGAAAGACGAATCACCTGTGCTAGCTTCATACTCTTTGCTTCGAGTTGTCTCTGAGCGTGTCAGCGAAGCGCCGCGCGCGACCAGGGATCTTCATCCGTGAGTTACTCAAGGACTCGATCTAGCATCGAGGACCAAGGCTCGCCGCATCATCTACAATCGAACATACGAGCTCTCTTTTGCCGAGACACTCACGAACGGGTGTGAAAGCGCTACCTACAAACCTCGAACTTGGTGCTTTAGGTGTTTCGAGGACAACAACCCCATAGATGTCCAAACGTACAGCGCAAGGTCCTCAAGGATCCAAAGACGACGAGAACGCATTCGCGATGTCAAGTACTCCGGACGACAAGCCTCACAGGGCGACGGCTGCCCAAATGGCAAGTAGAAAGTAAGTGGGTTCCATCCATTGACAAAATGTGGAGAAAGCTTGTGGAATGGCTGTTGGGCTATCACATCTTGAGATACACACGATCTCTTCGGACAGTGTTTGATGAGGCAGGGCGGTAGCCCAAGAAAGGAGCTGCTCTCTGCCTTGTTACTCACCGTTTGGGTGCGTTTTGTGATGTTTCCTGATCTTGATCGAGATCCCTCTCCTCTTCCTTGCTATCTTCACGTCTTCTTCCCTCAAGGCATCTTTCGTTTCTTTAAAACTGCTGTCACGCAAACATTGTCGTTGCCATTACCCATATTCACTTCTTTCACTCCGCCTCGTGTTTCTCTCTCAGCCTTCGTCTGCTTCTTCGCCATGCCTTCCGGAAGACTGACGCAAGTGTTTGTTTCCTCAGAATCAAGGATGTTAGACGTCGTCCCAGAGCCGGTACACCAACCGGCGGTGCAGCTCCTCAACCTTCGGTTGGTGCTTTCTCGTCTTTGTCGACTGGCCCAGCTGCCCCGGCGGCTTCAAGCTTCCAATCTACATCGTTCAATTCTGCACCTTCGACCGGTTTCAACTTTGGACAGAGTCAAAGCCAGAGCTTCCCAGGAGCTAGCTCGGGACCCACACAACCCACCCAGACTGCCTCAACCCCTTTCTCCTTTGGGGGTAGTAGCTCGACAGGTTTCAACTTCTCATCCTCGGGCTTTGGTGGTTCTGCTCCATCTTCCAACCCGTTCTCCTTCAATGCTGCCACCTCTACTCCCCAATCCACTCCCGGCGTCTCTACGAGTTTCGGCGGATTTGGCAACCAGCCGACGAGCCAGCCTTCTTTCTCGAATGGTCTTTTCGGTGCACAGCAGAATGCAGGTGCTCCTGCAAGTACCTCTGCTTTCGGGCAAGGCTCCACTGCGAATTCTGCATCAGAGTCCATGCAAATGTCGCCTGACGCGAAGCCTAAGGTACCCTCATTCAGCGCCAACTCTTCGGCTACGCCTCAGAATAATCTCTTTGGTGGTTCGTCTGGAGCTTCAAATCTATTCGCCTCTAAGCCTGCCACTACACCCTCCAGCAATCCGTTCGGAGGCCTTAATGTCCCCTCGGTTACTGAAAAGCCTAGCGACAAAGCGGATGGCTTCGCAGCCAAGCCCGCCTTTGTTGCACAATCAACCCCTGCTCAACCCTTCGGTGGACTCTTTGGATCAACACCCGCTGCATCTACCCCAGAGTCCGCAAAGGCGAACACTTCGAGCATCTTCTCTGCAGCCCCTGCCACAGGTGGTAATCTGTTCGCTCCTAAGCCGTCATCTTCGGGGTCTGATCAAGCGAATGCTTCCCAGCCTGCTTTGAACAACCTATTCTCATCAAAGCCAGCCGCAGAGACCCCTATGCCCAGTAATCCGTTCGCTCCAAAAGTAGCTCCGGAACAAAGCGCTGCTCCCACTACCAACAGCTCACAGCCTTTCAAAAATCTTTTCGGCAGCGGGGCATCTTCACAGCCTAATTTCGGCAACATGTCGCCAGCAAAGCCTACCAACGAGGCCCACAATCTAGTTACACCCAAGCCAGCAGCGGATCAAGCCACCGAAAAGCCTACCGATTCTCAGCCCTTCAAGGGCCTTTTTGGTGGAAACTCTACGGCAGCTCAACCTTCCGAGTCTGAGAAAACGAAGTCCACTCCCTTCGGCTCTCTTTTCGGCGCTTCTACCGCGCCCAAGCCTTCTGAACCCGCGAAAGCTCAATCTACCCCCACGCCGAATGTGTTCACACCCACATCGGCTGGTGAACAAGAAAAGCCCGCAGGGACCAACCCGTTCGGGTCTCTCTTGGGTGCCAAATCTCCTGCGCCCATTTCGTCCCCGTCTAAGGACATTCAACCTACCCCTAACACGGGTTCCAAGCTTTTTGGATCAAAGCCAACTATGTCCACCAGTCAGTCCTCTAGCAATCTGTTCAACGGCTATGCTGCAGCCCCTGCGCCTCAACCGCCTCAGACTTCTTTAGGCACTTCTAGTCAGCTGGGCTCTACTGCCAGTACTGGCTTTGATCCGGCTGCCCGGCTGCCTCAGTCTGACCTTCCGGCCAGTACCACCAAGGAAGCCACTGGAAATTCTGAGTTGTTCTGGAAAGTCAAGTCCCTTTCCCAATTTTACCAGAAGGAAATCCTCAAATGTGAGCCCGGAAGTGATGCTTTTGACAATTTGGTGCTCTTCTACATGAAGGCTCGTCAGGCCATGGGCGCACCTCTCAAACCCAAAGGTGGTGTCAAATTCAAGGGCAATGCGTACTCTACTAAGTCTACAGCCAACGCGCAAAATCCAGCAGCCACTGCAGATTCCAACTCTTCGAACACTGCACGTCTCTTTTCGCAGTCTTACTCTTCTCCTAGCAGCAGTCCGGCTAAACCAGTCGATGCACCATTGCAGGTGAAAAGCTCTGCTGCACCGGAGCCTAAGGCTAACCCTTTTGCGTCTCTATCAACTTTGAATGCCAATGCCACTCCCAAGGAGAATCTGTTTGCAAAGACTTCGACTGAGAACGCCACGCCCCCAGCCGAAAAGACACCAATTGCTGCTCTCCCTGCGGCCCCCAAGCTGGCCGGCAATATGTTTGCCAGTCCCAAGCCTGCGGGATCACCAGCTACTTCCGGTGTTCCGAAGTTTGGTAACGGCTCTGCTGGCGTTGATTTCATGGCCCAATTCAAGAAGAAGGCAGAGGAGACTGAGGCCAAAGAAAAAGCTAAGCGAAAGGCCGAAGACTTCGATTCCGACGAAGATGATGAAGCTGAGTGGGAGCGTCAAGATGCTGAGAAGCAACGCGAGAAGCGCGCGAAACTCGAGGGATCAGCCATGAAGAAATCCGTGTTTGTACCTGGCGAAGGCTTCAAATTCATCGACGTGGATGAGCCCTCTCCATCTGATTCTGGGGCCAATGCATCTCAACCTGCGGAGAAGTCCCCCCTGACTGCCGCTTCTCCCGCCCCATCCACGACTTCCATCTTTGAATCATCTAGCCGCCCTCTCTCCAACTCCCAGAACATTTTTGGTCGTCTTTCTGCCACTCCACAGCCGTCTGACGATGGAAAGGACAGTGATGATTCCGACGATGAGGCCAAGAACAGCTCTCCTAAGCGTCTTGCTTCGGAGGCCAGTAGGGATGAGGACGACTCTTCCTCCAAGTCCAAGCACACCAAATCGGGCTTGGACACACCACTTCCTGCCCCGACTGCGGCTGCTGGACGCAGTCTATTCGATCGGGTCGACTCGCCGGCGCCCCAGCGGGGTTCTACCAACACATCAAGCTTGTTCGCTTCTAGCTTCGGTAAATCGACCGCCACCCAGAATCAGTCTCCCAGCGCGTCGGGTCTCTTCGGCTCTACTCCCACCCCAGTGGCCCCCAGCTTTGGTCAAACAACTGCGCTCGAGAAGGAAAAATCTCCTAGCAAATTGAACCTGTTCGGCTCTTCACCCGCCCCCACCGATAATACCTGGAAGCCCAGCATGCCCATCAAATTTGGAAATGACTCTCCTGCGTCCCTGGCACCGACTCCTGCCTCTACTCAGGCTTCTAGTGTCGGTAATGCCACCTCAGGAGATGCCACACCTGATGAGGAAACCGCTCCTGGGGCTATCTTTGACCTCTCTAGTGCAGTGAACGGTGAACAGGATGAAACGGTTGAATTCGAATGTCGGGCTCGGGCTTTCAAGTTAGCCACTGGCTGGACCTCTCAGGGCACCGGTATCATCAAACTCCTTAAGCACCCTGACACGGGCCGTTCTCGAATTGTCCTCCGCAGTGATCCCGGTGGAAATGTCATCCTGAACACCTACCTTCAAAAGGAGCTTGACTACGCCAAGATGAACAACAGCGTGCAGTGCATGGTCCCCCAAGCCGACGGTAAGCCCGAACATTGGGCCATCCGTGTTAAGGCCGAATTCATCGACGGTCTTCACAACAAGATTGAGGAACTCAAGAACTGAAGGCGGCCTGAAATCATGATCATGACGGGACAAGCAGAAATATGGTGTTTCAATTTTGTGCGAAGAAGCTTCTCTTTTTTTTCTTCATCCTTCCTTGGCCAGCCCAATTGTACGATATAACATTGATGGAGTTTAACATTTTGTGTTTTATTTGCATTGTTGCTGAATTATATTGGCGAAAACCTCAGTTGGTGCATCCAACCCTATTTCCTCATCTTCTTTTGATTTCCTTCGGCTGTGCACTAGTCGCCATTTTACACATGCTTATTTTTCCATGATTGTATTAAGATTGATGAGAGCGGCTTCGTATCATATCCTAGCGCACACCCCTGCACCTAATCCTTTGCCAAAGAATCTTGCCCACCTCGTATTTGTTCTTTATTTGGTCTTTTCGCTCTGATTCGCAAGATGACCAAGTGAGACGCTCCCCGCTTAGTTGGAAAAGATTCCGACGAAGGGGGCTACAAAAAGCCCGTCATACCTATACAACTGATGTTCAATGAACCAAGCCAAGATGATGATGATGATTCGGTGAGATGTAAGGCTTTGACCTGAGCTCTGGATTGTCGCGTATGGGTCTTAAAGAAGAGCGGTATCAGTCCATGGCAAATGACACTGGGGTTGAGCTTCATGTATGGGGACAAGACAGCTCTACTGGAGCCGCAGATTACAGTCGCGAGAGACTATATGCCTGTAGAACTTGGCATCGGCACCTGGCACAATACCCTGGAAGAAGCGACTTTCAGAATCACTACCTCACCCTCGGCGAGAATTTGTATTCATGACCCTTCCGAATCGAAAGAGGATACTTTCAAGCTGACAATATACAGATGAACACTACGCAAGGAAACTTAGGCCATGGGTAAAAGGTATTTTATTTTGGAACAGCCCCGGCCGAACCCCAAGTACATGGAATCATAGAAGCAAAGACATCGACGTCAACACATTTACTCATCAACGGTAGCAGTGTGAAGACCCTTGGGGTTCTTGACGTTGACGGCCTGGACGTGGGAGTACAGACGCTCCTTGGCACCCTCCTCGTCGTTACGCTTGCGGGAGATGCGAACACGAATACGGAAGGGGACACCCTTGATACCGGCCTCCCAGACCTTCTTGTTGAGGGCGGGGTCGACACGAACGTCCTTGGTACCCTGAGTGAATCGTTAGCGAGGCGGATCTGTTGTGCGGATGGAGAGCTGAGGCTTACCATGGCCTGCTCAGCGAAGGCGCGGATCTCCTTGATGGCACGGGGAGCACGCTTCTTGAAGCTGACACCGTGGGTCTGTATTCCGAAAAGAAGTTGTAATTAGTCTTCCGTCCTAATGCCATCTGGTAGAGTACGAGACTCTGCGATGTTCTGGTTCGGCCATAGAGGTGGACTTCATAAAACTAATTCTTCTTCTTCTTTTGTTCCCGGTTTGGGAGGTGTATGCCACCTGCAAAACTCCGAGGATATCTGCAGCTGTCGAGCCATCACTAGTGACAACTTTTAGCCGTGGTTGCCCACGGCTGTTCGAGGCGAGGCGGTCGAAGGAGTTTTTAGGTCCCTTTTCCGCTTCCCACGCACACACACAAAAGAAAGAGTTCCATGTTTCAGGATTGTGTGTTCTCTGTCCAGTTTTGCCTCCACGGTTTTCCAGATTGTCGCAGGTGAGGGGAACTCGAATGAGATTGGGGGGTTTTCAACATACGCGCTTGTGGAGGTTGATGGTGTACTCGCGCGACACCACGTCGGCGATAGCCGAACGCTGCTTTCCAGATTTGACGTTGGACATCTCTGCTAAGGGTCAGATGGCTGTCCGGGAGGGTTGTATCGGTGGGAAAGACTGACTGTAGGGGTCGGCGACTGTGGGCGGAATTGGTCGAGGAAGAAATTCACGAAAGTGACTGAATTTGTGGCCCGCGGATGAGTGTGGCTCGCTTATCGTGTGGGCGTCCTGTGATTGGGTGATTTATCTGACTCAGCTGATCACCTTGTGACACCTGAGGCATGAATATTGCGCCTGAGGCATTATCGAATTCTCAAGCAATTAATGTCGATTTGGACTTGTCTTCACTACAACCATCATCTGTACGATATTGTATGAAATAAAATTGCTCCCTTCGCAGGTACCTACTATGCTAATTTCTATGGCCATGCCTTATTTTGAGCTCTCCCCGCTGACGTCAGGGTACACATCAAACCGGCGCTGGGTGTAGATTGGAACACTCTTGCGCGTGTTCACGATGGTCTCGTTATCGAGATCCGCGTACAGGATGGTCTCTTCCTCTTCCGCTTCACACAATATCTTCGCGCTCGGGTCTGCGACCAAACTGTGACCATAGGCATGGTAAGTAGCTTCCAAATCGCGCGAAGGGCTGCACAGAGCAACATAAGTCTGATTGTCAACAGCGCGAGCACGTCCCAGGAGTGACCAGTGAAGAGGCCCAGTAATTGTGTTGAAGGCGCCCGGTGAGACTAGCAGGAAAGCACCCTTACGGGCTGCGATCATAGCCGACTCCGGGAATCGAATGTCGTAACAGATCGCCAATCCAATCTTGCCGTATTCCGGGAGGTCAATTACTGTTAGTTCATTGCCTGGCGACAGTACTTCGCTCTCCTTGAACGTAATCTTGCCCGGAATATCGATGTCGAACATGTGCGTCTTGCGATGAGTTCCAATCAAGGCGCCCGTCGGCGAAAACACCAGCGACGTGTTGTAATACTTCTTGCTCTCCGGCTCCAGCTCGGGAATACTGCCTCCGATAAGGTATGTCTTTGCCTCGGCGGCGATCGCGGACAGCGCGTGGAACGAGGGTGACTGTTCCTTTGTGGGTGGAGAAGGGTGAAGGGTTTCGGCGTATTTGGGGAAGAACTGGGTACCGTAAGGGGAGTTGAAGCATTCAGGAAGGACGATTAGTCGTGCGCCAGCCTGTGCGGCCTCGAGGACCTTGCTCCGGGCATTCGAAAGGTTGATGGATTTGTCCGCGCCTGTTCGATTCCGTCAGCCTGGAAGCTGCATAATAGTAATAACTAGAAGAATTACCAGAGGCAAGCTGGACGAGAGCCAGCTTCAAAGGCTTTCTCAGCAAGGCTGCCATTTTGGAGGGGAAACTAAAGTTGGGTCGGAGGGGAAGTTGGAGGCGCGTTGGAGCAGTTAGGTCATTATTTATGGGGGGCCGGCACTACGCTCGGAAGGCCGATGCGGGGAGCCCTGATAAGAACATAGCCATGGATGAACACTAAGAATTAACGAGGGCGGGGTCGGTCTAGAGAAACATGATTCTGATAAGAAGTCAATTGGAATCATGTCTGAGTTATACGTTTCATTGAGGGATTCCAGAAGTGTAGGCGCTGAAATTCAAGGATTGCGGGTCCTTCGGTGCGATCAGATATATCTTGAGGTGGCTGTCGGCTTGGACTGAATACATCTGGCTCCCTGGCACGGACCTTCAAGACATAATCCTCAACGAAACCCAAGTAGTCCGAGACCTAGCCCATATTCTTAGAAGACCCATGTTATTAGAAAAAGTACCAAATATTGAACCCACACAACTAAATGGTCATTGTTATTCGAAACTCGAGCAGAATCCAGTGGAGCCTCGCAGCTCTACTGTATATAAACGCCAAAGCTGGTCTGAATGCATTCATCTGCAGAGATATTTGAAGGACCTTGATCAAGAGCTTGGCTTAGCAGAGCTTGCTATTTCTAAGAGTCAAAATGGATGCACTTGGTCCTACCGAGAAGATCTGAAAGACTGACTTACGTGTAGAGTTTTTGGTATATAATGCAATGGATCATCTTCCTAACCCAGATCCTCATAATCATGGGATTCTGTATGATAGCGATTCTGATCCAATGCATCCTGGACATGTGGGTCTTTAGACACCTGATGCCGTTTCAACAATGTCCCCGTCGCCCAGTGACCCGCTCTACGATAAGCCCGGCAGTCGAGTTTCCACGTCCCAAAAGGACTGACATGATTCCTTCAAAATTCTTGAGTTGCTGGGCTCTTGATGGCATGTGGCATGTCATGTGACTAAAACTTCCATCATCAGTTGTTGCCGGACAACGATATACAATCCAAACACAATGGTGTCACTCGACGAGGTACATCAGAATCACGCCAGTCTGAAAGACTACGGCCCCAATCTCGTGGCTGTCTTTGGTACTACACTCCCAACCCCATAAGTCTCGCGTGACAAAAGTTTCTGCCGTGGGTGAAACTAACATGGGTGCTTCAAGTCGGCGGCACTAGCGGAATCGGCGAAGCAACCGCCTGGGCATTTGTACGAGAAACGCTTTCTCCACGAGTATTTCTAGTCGGGCGCAATGAGTCCCAGGCATCATCGAGGAACTACGTCAGCTGAACCCGAAGGGGCAGCTTAGTTTCATCAGGTGTGACGCCGCCAGGCTGCACAGCGTGGATGAAGCATGCAGGGATATCCAAGTCAAGGAAGACAAGATCAACCTTCTTTTCCTTGAGTGCTGGAATGCTCACCACCAAGGGACGCGATGGTACCGCTGACTCTGAATTTCTCTAATCATGAGACCCTACTAAGATCCACCCAGAGACCGACGAGGGACTTGACAAAAAGCTCAGCCTACACTATTACTCACGCATGCAATTTATTAAGAATCTTCTGCCGCGTTTGGCGAAAGCTGGAGCGGTCACCGAAGAGTCGTCCCCAGCCAAATCCGGCCTCCGTAGCAAGTCGGCCAGTGTCGTCTCCGTCCTTGAGGCAGGCGGGGAAGGTCCGTTAAACCTGGACGACTTGTCTCTAAAGTCAACCTACTCGCTCCGTAACGCTGCTAAACACGCTATCACCATGACGTCCCTATCGATGCAGGAGCTCGCGGCTTCTCATCCCGAGGTGTCTTTTGTCCATGCCTACCCCAGAGTGGTCAAGACAGGCCTCATGCGTGGGTTTGGAACCGTTACGCGGGTTGCGATGAACGCTATGCTTGTTCTAGCGAAACCCTGGTTGGTCCCTCTCAGCGAGAGCGGTGATCGACATCTGTATGCCGCACTAGCCCGCGGTTCCCACCGCGGGGCCTCTACTGGTGGCGGCGATGTTGTGCCCGGTGCCGATGGAGTCAAGGGCATTGGGGCATATCTTTTGAGATGGGATGGATCTGCTGCTAGAAACCAGAAGCTTTTGCAGGAGTATCGCCAGAATGATACCGGTAAATTAGTGTGGGAGCACACGGTGGGGGTATTTGAGTCGATCTGCGGCAAAGACGGCGTCTCGCAGGACTGAGCCGCATTTGAGACAATCTAATATCTGTTTGCTTTCTTTTAAATACAAATTTGACTTTTCTTTCTTGAATATTGATCATCATCATTTACTCCATGGAACAAAAAAAATGCGACTATAAAAGTCGGCCTCCAAAGAGCCGCCGATCACGTGGCGTCGCCTCCCATCAACCACCGGTCGACCAGGCCGAATTTTTCGCAGCGGCAAAACGCCGGAATCCCTCCTCCGGCGTGATATATTTCTGTTCCCTGCCTCGATCAGTGTATCGAAGACATCTGGCACGATATCGAGCGCAGGCCGACCCTTCGAACGACCATCCCGACTTCCTCAGAACCCATCCTTCCGCTCGTTTGCCACATCATGTTCGAGGACTTCTCCTTCTCGTCGCCGTCCTCGCGACCGGCTCGTCTGGCAATCGATACAGACGATCGGCTTATGGTCGACTGTGATAGCGCGCTGATCTCGCCAATGTCATCACGTTGCCCGTCGCCCTCGCACCGGTTCCGCACACTGTCTCGTTCGAGATCCTCCTACTTTCGCTCCCAACAGCCACCTCCGACCTCGGTGCCATTCTCTTACGAACAGAAGCGCCTTTCAATTTCAACACTTACGCAAAAACTGCATGAGCACACACTTCAGGGTCCAAAAGGTGAGCGTCTACCGGAACAGGGGCGCCTCATGCACGACGGAACCCGAACTCGAAATCGCTACTCCGGGTATATCCTTACGCCACCCGACACGGACCACGATGAAGATGGACAATATGATTCCTCTCCTTCTTTGGGTTCCAACCCGAGTCCAACATCCATCCCACCGGACTTTCCATCTCTAGACAATTTCGATGTCCCCAACTTCAACCCCAACCAGCCGGACCACCGAAACATTCGGATGCAAAGGCAACAGATTTCACAATTGCAATGCGACGAGGGCGAGCTTGACGCCATTCGCCGCACAGTCCTGTCCGAGGAATCCTACGGGCATGGACCCGACGTCCCAGTCGAAGACGATTGCCACCCTAGCTCACTGCCGCCACGGTCCTCGCCACGCCGGAGAGCATTGACATTACATCGCAGTCGATTCGGGCCAGACTCGTTTGCTGCCGAGGCTCGAGGTCGGAGGAAGAGCACAGCAGGACCCGCGCAGTCTCACCGAATCGAGAAGAACCATTATCCCTCTCATACGGGACGGGAAGCCTCTAAACGGGGTGACCAGGGACTTCGTCGCAAGAGTATGGTCAGCGCGGCGCTTGCATCTGTCGTGGAACGTTCCTAAAGCCCATTTATCATCACATTAGACATTAGATTATCCCATTAGCCTGACCCTTTTGGTCTTCATGTACATACTTGAATTTGATACCCAATTCATAGAACTCGAACACTCCATAATTTCGGAACCTTTTTTTTCTACCAATAATCTCGCCAATTGATACTGAAATATAAAGAGCCCGCTTGGTCTAAGAATATAAATGCCACAACTGGCTAGATCACAACCAACCATCATCGACATGGCGGAACGGTGATGGGAAAAACCGAGATTGGTCGTGGTGATCAAGGGTCTGATTGTCTCGATAACACTTTGAATGACAAAATTAGTACCAGAGCAGGGAGAGAGTTCACTCACGTCTCTATTTCATACCCTCCAATATCTGTCATCTAATACGAAAGCCATACAGAACCCAACAACTGAGCTCTCGGCCGATTTGTACCCTCTGATTTCCTCCGAAGAGTTCTCCAGTAAACATCCTTCAGCTGAATATCTCGTTTGCCTGCAGCCCATCTATCATCGCACGGCGGTCATTCATACACTCCAATCACAGAGGCAGGAGTTCCCTCCAAATCATACAGGAAAAATAAAACAATTCTCAAAACCAGGCTTGATTTCGTGGAAAAGATCCGAGGGATCTTTGTAGTTCAGTCTTTTGACTTCACAGAGATCCCCAGTCCAATACCTATTGTTTGCCTTGTTTTTCGACTTTCTCCACAGTCGTCTTGGAAGCTGACAAGATGGTCGTATGGTTTGAAAAAGATCTTCGAGATACTCCGCGACAACTCTGAATGGGCGAGTCGGGAAATATTAAAAAAATAAAGGAATTAATCGGGACCTCGCAGCTATGGATCCCAGGTTTTTATGGTGGATTACAGGTAGGAGAAAAAGAATGCATGTAAAGTAAGGAGGAAGAAGATGCTTGTAGTTAGTCTCTTGGTAACGAAATAGAGTCTCAGACTCGGAAGAATAGAAAAGATATAGAAAGAGGTGTAAGAAGACAAGATAAGAAGAAGAAAACAAAATATGTATAACAAAGAAAAGAAGAAAACGAAAAAAAAAAAATTCGCCAGATAACCCATCATCATATCGTATCACATCTCATAAGAATCCAACTAGTTCCCAGACCGCCAGCTGAAGAACTTCCGCAGTCTCTTTCTCTGGGAATACGACCGCTTGCGATCATCAGCCTTGCCCTGAGACTTGCGCTGCAAGTCATCAAGCGCACGAGCAGGATGTCCGCGCAGGCCCATGTTCTCGGCATTGGCCGCGGCTAGCACGGATCGGACATGTGGGTCAAGAGAGATGAGGTCATAAGGATCGTGGGGCTTGGAGTAGGAGTAGGCGGGCATTGTGTTTTCGTAGTAGATGTCATAAGGCGAAGGAGATTCCTCGAAGATGATGCCGCGATCGCGCTCGTCGACCTGGGCCCACTCACCATTAGCGTAGACCGGGGACCCGGGCTCACCGATCTCGCTGTCATCGTCAGAGTTGACTGTCTTGGGGGACGATGGAGGGCGAGGAGAATCGTATGGGCTTTCGTCTTCATTTTCTGTTTCTTCGGACCGCTCGGCGATCGAGGTAATATGGGGGTTCGGGGAATCCCGTATTAAGTCAGGGTACATTTCTTCGTGCAGCTCGTTTTCATTGTGCTGAGTCTGTGACCAAATGGGTTGATCATGAATGGAGTAGTCGGAATGAGAGCGTGCTCGCCCGTGCACTCCAGGTGACGAGGAGGGAATGTCGCTCATTTGCCGCTTGGGCGTGGAGAATCCTTTCGACGGAGGTGTCCATAGGGAGTGGGACGAGTAGTGAGATGGTAGGGATGCATCAGTGAATTGAGAGAGGGAGCACCGGTCCAGGCCTAGGTCGATGGTCGTGGTGGAGACCTCAAAGTCCCGAATAGGGTCTGATGACAATGACGAGCAGCCATCGACATCCTCAATGAAGGAGACGATCCTGGAGATATCCAGCGACTTGCGCGGATTGAGGATCTCAAAGGAGGCACCGCCGTGCGAGATGGTGGAGACGGCCTGGGTGGTGGCCAGCATCGGATCGGATTCCTGAGGACGGGGTGGAGGCAAAGAGTGACCCTGATCCCGAGCCGGCACGGGCTTCTGGTGCTTTTCAAGGACTGGATTCTAGAAAAAGGTGTTAGAAGAGAGGGGGAGGGGAAAATTCGTGTTCATCAATGTTTCAGGTCCCTCACCAATCGCTTCCTGTTCGGTCTAGGACGGACCAGATGTTCCGAGACAAGGTACTCTTGTAGATCCTGAGAAGGAGCTATACTAGTGTTAGTATATTGCTTTTTTTTCACTCGTGACCAGGACGGGGCTGTACACACCAGGTACATCTAGGAACTCGGGCTCCAGCTCGCTCCGCTGAGAGATGATACTATGCGAGTAGGATGGCGAGAGAGGCGGTGGACTGGACGCCACCGAGGACACGGAACCTGCACAGGAAGGACGCGCAGAATTGGGCAGTGGACGATGCAAGTTTGTGGTGGCAGTCTTGCGCTTGAGCGTTTTGTCAGAACGATCGACGGGATCGTCAATGCTCTCCTGGGAGAGATACTTGCGGTAGTCGTGGAGAGACAAGGACCCAGTAAATGCCGACTTCAAACGAAGGGGAAGTGACACCGCATCTTGTAAGGGTGAAGGCGTGCAGGATGCATGAACGGGATGGACCTCCAGACACCGGGGATAGGCCAGCGAGCCATCCGGCAGCTCATCTTGCCAGGCCCTAGTGGGGTCGGCCCTATCCTGATGTTCATACATGGCGCGAACGCAGATGTGGTTGAGGGGGGTTCGTCTCTAGATCGAACCTTAACGAGGTGACATATCTCTTCGTGGACGACGATCGGCAGATCAATCCAACGCCCGGACGGTATACATCTGATTCGTCCAAAATGGGGTTATCTGCAAGGGACAAGAGAGCTAGGCGCCAGAGTGAATTGTAAATAAAGATAGAAAAAAGAAATAGAAATAGAAATAGAAATAGAGATAGAGATAGAGATAGAAATTAGGAAACAAGATGAATTTGCCGAGTATCGGATCTCTCGAATGAGCACGAGAACCTTATAAAGTCCCTGGGGGATCCGGGGAGTTCCTGGCAAACTAAAGATCTTTTTTTTTCTTCTCTCTGGCGGATATCCACGATATCCACCATGGCCCACATGGGGAGGCGACGCGGTCTGGAACCCACGAACTCTGGGTCGTGGGCGGGCGAACCGGCGGGCCGACTCTCATAAAGGGCAACTCGAAACAGGGCCTTCCGTTGGGCTGGATTTAATAGGAGTCAACGACGTCACTCTACCCAGAGAAAAAGAGTGAAAAGAGTGAAAAGTCGGGTCTGACGGTTTTTACCCCTGGGCCCAGGTACACTCTGGATCACAAAGAGGAACAATGGCATGCAGATGGGCCCGATGATCTTAGCGTGATGCTAGCTCTGAGTCTTTCACACCCTCCCGTTTCCCTCCAATCCTAGCTTGTGGAAGTACTTTGACATGAACCCCATCCACCGCGGTCGGGCAACCCTGGACCAGTAGCAGACTAGAACGACCCTGTGGCTATAATTAAGGCCGAGGCTGAAGGAAGGCGATGACTTGGGCAGAAATCTCCAAGGGTGTTGGTTGGCTCTTGAGGGACACGGTGGCAAGGGCCACGCGCACCATACATTACGTGGTGATTAACCATTCCGGTCTTTCACGCCCGACGCGGGACTATCTGATACTCAGGCAACTAGGCAAGAAGACCAATAGAAACTGATAAAATGAATCCCGATGAAGCTCACTCTGCCTCTGTATAACCTGATTGAATTCTGTACGATCATGCTGGAGATTGCGCCTGCATGGTGCTGGTATCTTCTTTCACGGCTCGAGTACTCTGGATGCGCTGGGATCACTCAGACTAGAGCCAAAGGGTGATAGTCTTCGCGAACATTGGCATATAGTTCATGCGCCACTCTATGCTACTGCAAGCTTCAAACTAGTGCACACAATCCACCCCGCTTGTCGCGCCTCGCACTCTCAGCACGCAGGATACCGATCGGACTGGTCAATGATCGCTGCCACTTTGATCTCGGCGGTATCATGATAAGGGCTTGACTCTGACCTCCGACATTTCGTCAGATTCTATATGCCAAGAAGCCCACATTCAATACTCATGTAAAGACTGGCTTGTCTTATAGCAAGGACATCCATTTCGCTACCACTTATCTGAGCTCTGGGCAGAGCGGCAGTCGCGAACGACCATTCGTGCCAGTCAATCTCTTAGTACAATCTCTCCTATGAGGTCTGCTTCAAGACTCCATTTCAGGAATGCGCTACAAAATGACAACAATAGTGCCATGGCGGTAGAACACACTATCATCGACAAACGGTATACAAGGGCACCAAGATGGGCAATTATGCGGTGACCTATACATGATCCCATATTAAACATGTCTAGACGTCTGGGGAAATTGTATAGAGGTACTGACCGACGACTTCAGTTGTGACTTCAGCACAGTTACAATACGCCCTCACCACCGCCATATACTCTTCATAGTCTGTCGCTAGGTACGACGACATTCAGGCGCAGATAGGGCCCACCGGCGCTTACATGGTCGAGCTGCTGACTTTCCACGGTTTCCCTTCCGAGGATCACCGGCCATGCTCGGTCCGGTCACCCTCCAAACCTGATATCAGCGTGGGGTCATGCGCCACCAGAAACGGAGGAAAACGGCTTTGTCTTCAAGATCAAGCAAAAAGCACGACTTGCGCACGCTCCCCAATGCCCGGACAACCGCCCCTGCAGTGGGTCGATGAGCAATACTTTCTCGACTTCATTGTACATGGTGTTGAAGCCAAACACGATGACAGTCCTGTCTCACGCTCTAAAGAGATTATACAGGTAGTTATTTATATATTGTGTTGATATGTTCTTAATGAACATCCTGACTTGGAAAGATTATTTGGATGGACGCTGAACACAATGAGCAAAGGGTCGAGTCTGTTTTCTGGATTTCAAATGGGATTCCATTGGTTAGGATCCGTCTAGGATCCGTCCAGACCACACCTCGCCAGAAGATTTATTTTTCCTCAGAGATCGCCAGGTTTGGATGGACTCTGCCGATCTATTTTCTAAAGAATTGAAATTTTCACGACAGTTGATGCTTATCTTCAAGGCAGCAGTAGCCAGCATATGTAGAAATACCGTGAATAACAACTTTCAATATGGCTAAGCCACATATGTCTTTTCGAGAAGATAAGTAGCAAATACATCGTCAAGTAGAGAACATCTGACTCCGTGACAGGGTAACACCCGTTTGAAAACCTGTTCTGTGATCACCACGCGTGAGATATCGTCAGGGCCCACAACCCACATCCGATCTCCCAAGTCGAGAACAGGATCCTGAAACCCCTGGTAAAACTACGATGAAGAATTGGAAAAAATATTCCCCACAATAAAATCAAGGCACAACTAGACATTTGCCGAGGAGAAATGAGAACTGTCGGGGCCTGGCCGTTTTCCCCGGCATTGAACGGACGTTCCGAAGATCGCGATCCATGGTTACTCGCTCCGGGCCCTTCGAGACTTCCCAATCTCGTACCTACAAAATGCATGATTCATAGCCGCGTGAAAGGGGAAGTGCAAAGCGAGAATTGCTGCCCCCTCCCCTCCTCCCTCGCCTCTGAGAATCTACGAGGCCATAGCCGTCGGGCAATGAACATAAGTCAATAGTGGTGTGTGGTTTCACATGCAGGGCGCAGGTGGCGGGATACAAAGAGACTTCGTGCGTTGCATATGCTACTTAAGCCGATCGATCAATTCAATCTACCTAACATTGTAAATCAAGCAACCGTTCATGCCAGAATCTTCATTCAAGAAATTTGAAACTCCCAGAATCATGCGTATCATGAGCAATTTTTCCATGCATTTGTCGTAGTCCCATAAAGGAGCGGAGTGGTATCATCGCAGCAAAGTAAATCAGTGTGTATCAACAGGCTCATGCAAATCAAAAATCCAAACGACCGTGGGAGTCGGCTCGCAGATCGTTCTCAATGACGTTTATATTTCTGCAAGAATCGTTAGTCGAGATCAAAATCAGGGGGGGTGTGAGATGTCTAAGTACATCTTCCATTTTGCGCCGATTGCTCGGGTCCAAGGTATTCCCTGCGCCCAGCAGGGTCTGTCCGACAGCTTTGGACACGCCAATAGCCGGTCGAAGGACAACGGTCGGCGCACGTTTCCATACTGCCTTGGCTGCCGCTTTGGCGCTCCCACTCTCAACGATCTCGCCCGGCACAGCTACGATCGCGTCTCGTGCGAGGAGTAGGTCGCGTTCGAGGCTGCTGTAGGCACCCCGAATGCCTGCAACCACACCGACGGGTTGGTCGGCATAGAGGGAGATCTTCTTTGCCTCTTCCTCATCGTCCCGGTTCTCAGCCGAGGCAGTGGAAGCATTGGGCGACGTCAGCATGTCCTCCATTCCTTGTAGAACTGTTTGGGTACCGATGGCGAGCTTGGCGCCTAGCTTCACGAATTCATTGGATGTAGTCTTGCCGAATGCCATGGCTCCCTTCTGGATGCTGCGTACAATTCGACCATCTTTCTTGTACTCGCGCATGGGGATCAGGACGAGGTCCCTCACACCGCCGCCCACATTGACTAGAGACCGGATAGGTGCAAGGCCTGCGAGGACACCAGGGAGCTGGTTCCGCTTGACGTCCGGCATCCAGATGTCATTGAGCGAGTTGCCCAGTCGATCGAATCCAGACACTCCATAGATAATTACGTGTCGCAGAACCATGTCGGCACCATCCAGCACGAAGAAGTTCATAAATTCCGTGGTACGACCGGATCGAAGACCAGCGTAGTCAACCCTCTTCGGCTTGAAGTCCAGTTTGACCTGAATGGCGTTGACTTCGACACGCTGTAGGAATGGGGCGTCGCCTGGGGTAGTAGACTCTTCGACGGACTCGTCTCTAAACTCGAAGAATCGGCTCATGAAATCCAAAGCATCTTGATCAACGTGGAGCCGGAGGGGCAAAACAGTAGCCTCGAAGCTGGTTAGTCACATCCAACAAGGGGTCATTGGAGAACGTACCTTTAGAACAATCTCCGAGGCAGCAAGCTCAGGCACGGGCTTCACCGTAAGGATTTCGATATGAACCATGCTAGTCCCACTCTCTCGCTCTCCAGCTTCATGCATATAAGTGGCAAATTTCTTCCACGTCGAAGTGGGCACATGGTCGTAAATCTCCAATTCTTTTACTCGCACATCAACGGAGCTCTGTGTCTCCTCTGAGTCTGGCGGAAAGACTACCAAGTCGGCACAAACGCCCCGGAGCTCAAAGGTCATCTTATGTTGCTTGCTCCGGTGCAGCCGTAGCTTCTTCTCCCTCGTAGACGTAGGTCGGCCCTGCCGACTGGTCGCACCGGTTACCGTAGTTGTTGTCGCATAGCTCCCAGTTTCGCTAGTGAGATCGTCGATGTCGCGATTGATTTCGCGATGGAGCTCACGCGGATCCTTGTTTGCCGGGATTCCAATGTAGATTGAGTTGAACAGGAAATCGCCAATGACAGACTCCTCCTCATCCTCAGCGGTAGGTGACATGCGCGAGGCTCGAGCTCGTCTTTCGGTGGCTTTGGTCTCAACATCCTTGACAGCCTTGGAGATGGTGTCGCGAGTACGCTGCCAGTCATACCCATCAAAGAGATTCCAGATAATATGCATATCCCTAATCCTGACTCGAAGTGGGCTCCGTTCGAGCTTCGTGTCATTGGTAAGACCGTAAGTGTTGTGACTAGAGTCCCACCGGTGCGCAGTACCTCCAACGGCAGACTGTTTGGCGAAATGATCTTCCTGAAAGTCCAGCTCACCAATGCTAGATGAGACTTGATATTGTGAATGGAAACTGTCAAGGAGATCGTCACTCTCGCCTGGTGTCAAAGCCTCTACAGCTTGGTTTCCTGAATTGAAATCGCTGACATATTCAAGTTCGTCGCTCAATTGCTCCTCCAAGGACTGTCCTTCAACAATAGGTTCTAAAGCTCTTTCAAAGTCTGGATGCAAGCTAGAGTCGGCTGGAAATGCGTCTCCCGAAAAGGAAGCAAGCATGTCCTGAAGCGGCATGACCTCAGTTCGATATTTCACAGCGACACTGGGAGGCGTTGGAGGCTGAAGTCCATTCAATATACTGATCAATGTTTGCGTTGAGTCCGCGCATGTTTCGAGAATCAACAGATCAGGGCGAAGCTCAACATCCAGTGACTTCATCCCGTCTTCGGCAAGTGTCATCAATTTAACAATAGCCGTCGCAGAAGAGACTGTAGAAACCGGCACGTAGCCTTTGCCAATGTATTCCTGGACTTGACTGCTCTGAACAACAGCTGAGGTATGTTGATGAAGATTGTCGGTGTAGCCATCGTTGGTCACATCGTCGATGATCATGATCGATGATTTCCGGATGTCCAGTGTGGCCTCCGAGGATTCTTCACCATTTAATAAGCCACCCAATTTGGCATTCGTCAGCACCACAAGCCCCTTCGATGGAGAATTGCAAGGGTTGAGACCAAGAACGCAGTCGCGTAAGACAATTGCCAGCCTTGTTGGCTTTGTGGAAGCTCTGGATGTGTCAGACGCCGATGCAGCAAAAGCCAGTGAGTCTGTTGCTCGGCCCGAGTGCTCCACAAGATTGGCAATGGAACTTGCCATCTCACCGACCACTTCTCCACCTGTTGTGTTGCGGCCCAGGCCAAGGAAAGCCATGGTCGATGCAATTGTGTACTCGACACGGAGGCGATTCAACTTGATCTTAAATGTGGGGTCCATTTCATCAGGAATGAATCGAACCATAAACATGGGTTCCTGTGTTTTCTGTGCACTGGGATGTATAGCTTCACCCACAAGTTCCTCATTGCTGTTCTTGGTCTTTCGAAGAATGTTGATGCTCTCGATTTTAGTCGCAATGAGTGACGGCATACTAATCCAAGCAGCTTCCAAATCCACAAGATGTGCATTCATGTTTCCTACCTCTCCGCCAACTTGAACCTTGACATCAAGGTTGCAAATTTTGGTCAAGGTGAGAATACCAGGGCGGTCGTCTTCGGGAAGATATTTGGTGACATTAGACAATCGGCTTATTTCAACAGCGAGCAATGAAAGCGAAGCCAGGCCAGTAGGGTTGGAAATCAGAATGTCCATGTCTTCTACCTTCGTGCGAAGAACAGAACCTTGTCTCCTTTGTCGTATGAGCGTATCAAGCATGATATCATCGTCGTCATCGTACTTGTCTTTCGATGGTGTGATCAAGGCCAGAAGACGATCGATATCGTTCTCCTTCGGAATTGAGAGCAGTTCGACTCTAATATTGTCTAGTGATATCATGGCAGGTGCGTCAGAAGACTCATCAAGCGGTAGTGGACCAGCCAACTCCGCCTTGTCAATTTGGATACCAATGCCTTCAAATCTGCTGACAACCTTGACAGCGGTGGTGCTGAGCTTAAGGTAATGAGTTTCGCCGACAACATCCAGCACAATACCACCAATACGAGCATTCGCTTTCCAGGGAGTAGAGCCTGAGTTGCCTTTGTCGGATGCTGGACTTGGTGTCTCGAAATGTACACCTTTTGGGCGCTTCTTCGGAGGCTTGGATCCTCCCTTCGTGGTAGCTGCCGAGGAAATTGAGCTTCCCAACTCCAAGATGGTACTTAGACCGCCCATCCACCCCAGAACTTCCTCCAGTTGCTGAACATTGAGGTTGAGATGAAGAGGGAGTGTAGATATATCAATTTTGGCGGATTCACCCGACTTGCATAATGTCAATGAGATATCAACTGGGGAAGACGTCATGATGTCCCTAGTAGATTCGCGCATCTTCAATGCCTCATTGAACGAGATCAGGTCGTCGGAAGCGAGTCCGAACTTGAACTTCGAGATATCGAGCTGTAAATTGGTCTGCTTTTCATCTGCGAGCACGCTAACCTCGAGCCCTGACGCAGCAATTTGAAGGACAACGTCCTCCATGGAATGATATGGTGGAGGCAGAGGGGCACCAGCATTTTCAACAGAATGAGAATGTCCTGCCACGTGCTCAATGAATTTAGCAGAGAGCTGATGGACCACAAAATGCAAGCATATGTGACGAGCTGATTGATTTGGCGAAGTTTGCTTCTTGGGCTGACTTGCTTCAGGCACCATCTGCATCACCTTCTGACATGCTTTGGTCAGAAGCCAGCCGGTCGCAATGTCAAAATGGATTGCGACTGTGAAAATCTCAACTTCAATTTTTTGTGTTTTGCTTCCAAGAAATTCCTGCGGTTTCTCTGCACGATCTGCTTCACCAAGATGAGCCTCGTTTGGACCCCTTGGGAATATAGTGGAAGTGTAGGCCTTGGAAGCAAACATGCTCTCCTCAACAATTGACTCGTTCATTCCAGACTCTGAATCTTTAGGGTCACCAAGTCCTTGGTCCATTTTCAGAGACGAATATTCCGAGTCGGTGGTCTTATCAGGAGTAGATGGCAACCATACAAAAACCTTATCGATGCTGAGCATGGGTTTCCGCATTTCGCTCATTTTATGCAGAGTAGGCGAGGATGGGGTAGAAGCTTTTTCAGCCGACTGGGAATGAGCTTGAGTTTCATCTAGAGAATGGTGGCCAAAATAAGAATCAGGCTGGCCGGTCAACTTCGGAGTGGACGCAGAAGCGTCATCGACGCATTTCCGGTCGTTTTGAGAGTCTTCGGTTGGACAAGTCTTCTCTGCAAGCTCCTCGGATGTGCTCGCCGATGTACTGCCAAAGGGAAAGCTATCCCAAGCCCCAGGCATATTTGGGATGAAGCTTTCACCATTGCCGTGACTGATAGCACTCATGTATAGGCTTTGTGCCTCGTCATGCGAGAAGTATTTTGACTCTAGAAGTTCTGCATCGGGAGTTGCAGATCCCGAAGCAGTGCCCCCACTTTCGGAGGGTGGTGCAAACGCTTGTAATTCATGCTGTGAAGCACCCATTTGCGGGATGAATGAATCCTCCGCTTCATTGGAATAATGAAACGAATGTGCCGGATTATCAGCTTCAAGGTCCACATGGCTTCCGCGCTGCATTTCATGAGTCTGCGACCCTTGAATATTCTCACTTGTCATCGAGCCTATTTCGGCATGTTCTGCATCGTCATGTTCTAGCACTGTTCCACTGGGCCTTGACGAGAGGCTCTGGTGGGAAAGTCTGTCGTGACTTTCCGCCATAGGGTGTCTCTGTGGTAGCATTGATGCGGATGGTTCATCATCGAAATCGTCAAATTTGGTATCGATCACAGAGTCTAAGTATCCTGGGTTGTCTTGGAACGAATCATGTCCAAAAACCCGAGAGTCTTCAAGATAGCGATCATGCTTAATCTCCGGGTCAGAGTCCGCATCCGAGAACCGGCCACCATGAGAGATTGTAGAAGAATCCTCCATCCCGTGATCACTGACACTCTCGTGGTCGAAATGTATAGAGGGTTGAAAAATAGTTGACTGTGTCATAGCAAGACCGGGAATGGAGCCAGATGGGTCTAACGGGGGAGGCGAGGGCGCTCTACTTGACGGATGGCTTTCCTTCGATTGCATCGTCGCGGTCGGGGACGCAGGGGCCGTGAACCGCGAATAATTCGAGAATACAGCCGGGTCCGACACGAGACCGACATTGATACCATCGATGTAGACCATTCTCTTGCCCTCTCGAAAAGGTAATGAGTCACCTAGACCAGCAGTGTAATCTGATACACCATGGACATCGATCTCGCGTACGCTCAACAAGCCCGAGACAAGATCCGGCTTATATTCGGGCTGTCTTTTGGATGGACCGTCTTGTTTCAGTTCCATATCCAGCCGCACGGCGACGTCCCTGATCTTGAGCTGGAGCCGGTTTGCCACGCCTTTGAGGAATGCCTCAACAAAGCTCGGCAACGATAGGGTTTCATTCCCCAGTCCGAGCTCTTCATCCTCTTCGTCGGTAAAAGAAGAAGGTCTTTGCAAAACATGAGACTGTGACGATATCGCAGCTTGTAACTCTTCTTTCTCCTCCTGAGGCTCGGCCTCTAAGAACGACTCGGCGAGGTTGGACGGAGTGGGTAAGATTGGACCATCACTGCCCACTAAGCCCGGCATGTTGGCGGATCGTGATTTTGGCCTTGCATATTTCCCCTTAGCTGGCTCATCGGATAGCAGGCGAATATGCACATTGATATCACTGGCTTCGCAGACGATGCCGCTGCTGTATATGTCTGCGGGGACGGTGATCCGCAGTAATTGTATTCGGGCTGCGATAAGCTCGCATGTCGGAGGAAGCTGAAGAAGAGTCGCTAGTTTCTATCCAAAACACGTTGAATGTCAGTATGTACCGTGTGGCAGCTTGGAACGAGCCGCAGACCGCCCCGCGTGCGCAGGGTCATCGCTGGGACACTCACCTCTAGCTTCAGGCCAATATCTCGAAGCTCCACCGTACTCCTCTGTCCGAAGCGGATACCCAGACTGTCGGGATCCAAAGCCTCCGTATCAACGAGGCCCAGACGTGACAAGGCATATTTAAGCAGTCGCTTCTGAAAGAACGATGGCAAGAAGTACGCCATGTTGATAGAGCAAATGGCTCGTGTAAGCTCATCCAAGAGCGGGCATGATAACAATCCTTGAGAAATAGAAAGAGCGCAAGCCCTCGTAGAGAGGGAGTTGTGAAGAGGGAGTTGACAATGACGTGCGGAGGGCACCTGATAAAGCGATAAGTGATCCGGAGTCAGGTGGAGAGTGGGCGGGTCTCTGCCAGCACATCGCGGTCCTCTCTCTCCTTACTACAATCTTCACCCGATTCACCTCTTCACTTCTTCATCTCGAACTTTCTCACTCCTTTGATTATGCTAATCCCTACTCAGATTTATCTTCAATCGTCTTCATCAAATTCCGCAAACTCCAACACTACCCATTCACAGAACTTCTCAAAGTCAGACCACCATTCACGCAAACGCGTTGCCTTTAACCCTTGGCCTAAAATACCCTCCTCAATTCCACGTTTCCACTCTGGAGTCGACTGGTCCTCGTAGCAGCTCCACTGGATAGAGTTTTGAACCATCATCGCTAGGCCCACAAGATCGACATTTTGCAACCCCTGCATGGCTTGCCAGAAGTCGTGCGTCAAACCATTTTTACCTTGGCCAAGGATGGCGGGATCATCATTGCAGAGCGACACGGGCACACCTCTGGCGAGGAGCGCGGGTAACGGGTGGGTCTTGATAGAGCTTGCCAGGCGGAGGATTTCATTCGAGATGGGACAACACTCTACTAGGATCTTCTTCTCTTTGACCAGGTCGATAAGTAGCGGGTGCTTGTAGAGAGAGAATCCGTGGCCGATCCGTCGCGTGCCCAGTAGGATAGCATCGAAGAGATTCTGGTCTGTCGAGTCACCATCACCCAAACATTCGCCAGCGTGAAAGAAGAATGGAATGTCGACTTGTTCCTCCGCGCACATCTTTCGGAACCAGAAAAGTATCGGTACAAGGTCCACAAGAGTTCTGCCTTTATCTTCCTGTCCGACCAGATCAAAGCCACTGACCAGGGTGGGGAAATCCATCTTGGATGCGATGCACTGCTTCATGCTCTCAATAATCTCCTGGTTGCCCAGCCTTCGTAGAGCCGTCCAGATAATTCGTGCTTCGTAGAAATCTTTTCCTTCCTCGGTCGCTTTAAATCTTTCCAGTTCTTCTTCCACAACTCTGCACCACTCGTGATAGTCTTCCTCTGCCGTGTCTTGTCCCTCCTTCCTGTACTTGAAGACAAACGAGATGCGGAACTCCACATATCTAATTCCATCTGCAGCAAGCTGTCCTAGCAAGCGACGGAAGCATGCACGGAATATGGGCTCGTACATTAAAATGGAGTTAATAACCGGGAACATTTTGGTGAAGATTGACCAAATTGCATCGACTCCATGGTAGTGATGGTACGAATGCTCCGGCATCAACGCACATCGACTCTTCAACCATTCTCGGAACCCGACCTCTCCGTGATGAGGGAAAGAATCCGCCGCTGCCTGGATGGGGATTAATGACGAGGGCTCGTACGCCTCCGACCAGGCCGCAGGCTTGTCTTTGCATGCTTCTTTGGGTTGAGATGAGAATTGAAAAGACACTGGCGCAGTATCATAATCATAGGGTGTTAGCAGCGGTCGAGGTGCCGACATATGGATCCCCGGGTTGGAAAAGGCCTGGTCAATCAAAAAGTCGATATCAAACATGGCATCCATGTGCGCATGTAGAAGAGATCCTTTGGGCATTCTCTCGACGATCTTCCATAGGTTGGTTTTTTCCATACGACCTTTTGCATGATGGAACATAACGCCCGGGTAGAGGATCTCATCTGACTGATGCGCGGCCTCATCGTCGAGTCCCGTGGTCCACACTTCGTGCTGCTCGCGGGCCCGGATCTGCGAGACGATCTTACATGCACGGGCGGCGATCGGTGATAAAGTCTTGCGGAACGTCGCGTCTGAAGGGGAGAATTCAGCCATTTATTTCTTTGGCGGGGTGTATGCCCTTACCGTGACGCCTCTTCTGTTCTTCCGCGATCAAGGCGTCGCGCCCTTTCAGATACTGCTGAATAAAGGGATCCTCAACCTGAGGGATGCCCTCCTCCAGTTCCCATGACTTATCGCTGGACATTTTGACTTGAGAGTTGTTGACCAGATGATAATGTCTCAGAGGACAGAGTTGAACCCCGCATGCTGTTTACCGCTTCCGGTTGCAGATGGCCGATGATAGGCGCACTCACTCTAGTTTCATATTTCAGGGTGCTAGCTGTATTGAATTAATTCAAGATCATTACCATTCATCTTTCACGAGAAATAGGTTCATTAGTGTAAACATGAACTGAAGAACAGCTTGTCTTTTTCAGATACTCATAGTTGACGTATTCCATCACAATCCCGCCCACACCGTCTTCCCGCCCACCCCAAACCCCATAGTAATCGCGATAAATTATAACTCCATATCTCAATAACTATCTATTGTTCAAACTCCGATCTTCGCCTATAGCTATACTTTTATACTTGGATTAATCTTTTTAAACCTATAAGAAGTAATTAAATATTACCTAAAATTTACGGCAGTAATATCGCTAAATAAAATTATCCTCTTCTAGCGAGTATTCACGATAATATAATTAACTTTAGAGCTTTTTATATCATATAGTAAGTATATTAGAGTATAATATTATATAAAGACCTTTATAAAATCTGTTATTGGTGAGATACGGACTTGTAATCTATCGCAATTACTATGGGGTTTCGGGGTGGGCGAAGGCATTGGAATACGTTGAGGCACCTTCCATCGGGTTTCATCAAATCTCCCCTTGGAAATTTTGTGACTAAGATTGTGAGGTTGCTCAAGTGTTTCAACCCGCTGCTCATACTGTTTTGTTAGTGCATACTTGCGTCTTCCGAGGGTTTCTTTCTTCCCTTCCACGAGTCACTTACCATCTTCTTGTACTATCTTTCTCTCGTTGAAATTGACGTATTGTGAGTCCCTCTAGAAATCCCAAAAAAGTTGCAAAATTGCATTAATAATTTCTTTGGTCCTATAGCAAAACTTAAGTGGACTGAATATATTAAGAAGAAAAAAATTATTTGAGAAAGAAGGGGCCCACCCGGGGATTGAACCCGGGACCTCGCCGAAATGTGCCGGGTGAACCCGGCCCGGATAAACGGGAATCCGAACGGCGAATCATACCACTAGACCAGCGGGCCTTCTGATGTTTAATATGTGCTTTTGATGGAAATTATATAGTGCAGCACCAAAAGATCTTTTATTCATTCCCGAAGTAACAGAAGATAGACAAGAGAGACGAGATCTATTGCACAACCGATCACTGACTTTTATTTGTTCAAAGCCCTTAAGCTAGAAGCAAGTCGATTTTATTCAAAATCTCTTTACAATGCCTCAACTTTTTTTTGGCCGGAGCCACGCTTATCAATAAAGTCACAGTGCCGTCAATCGCAAGTCTTGCTAAAATAAGAGGTGTGGAACCTTCCAGTCTTTAATTGATGTGAGAGCATGAGGGAAACATTAGCGCCCACAGGAATATTTTGTTTGAATTTCATTAGATTCCTCTCCAAGCGCTAATCGCGTGTTCAACCGTGTGAGCTAATAATTGCGTACGTCCAGGCCACATAGACATGAACGCTTCAACATTTGAATACTGAATAACTCTCAAAAGGAAGAACTCCGATGACTGGGTATCTAGGGAGACCTACGGGAGTCATGTGGCACATGGATGCGCAGAAGCTAGGCCTCTGTTAGCCCAGCGGTACATGTTCGACATACATATAACAGCTTGAGCACCTCAGGGTGAAGTTGGTTTCAGCTGGAATGCGTTTCTAGTAACTATAGATGGATTCAGATTGGGAATCCATGACACAAGGGGGTCGAAAGTATCTTGGACTAATTTTGAAGCAAGTGACACAGACTGAAGATGACAACCTTCTACGCCCGTTAATTACTATTGTAATAGCGGTGACGGAGCCTCGGTAAATGCTTCAGCGAGACGCCGAGGGGTGGGGGTCAAATCCGACCGAACAGACTACCGCAAATACGCTCTGACTGGATGAGGCTTAGCAAGACAGCTTCATCCAGAATTGGGGGAAGAAAGCAAAATTACATTGGTGACTGGCCCGGCAATTGAATTCTTATTTTGAATAGGGCCAAACATCGACACTTCTTTAGGCAATACAGTTCGTCTGGTTGGCCTTTTTCAGATGGTACAGGATCTCAGTGGGTCTGGTTGAGAAGGCGGGGCTCGCCGATTCAGGAAAGCGCACCGCTGTCCGCTCGGATGAGACTGCTTCATTCCTTGTTTATCGTAAATCCAGTATTTTAAAGGACCCAACGCACAAAATGAACATGAGCAATAGCTAACCAGGACCAAGACAGATTCAACATCAAGTTCAATAAATTGTCGAGATGGCTCAACTTAACCATAGGGTCCCAGTAGGAAATCTCCGTATCTTAGATCCCTACATACATCTGGACATCCCGGTGATCTCACAAAGCAACTAGACCAAATTGCCGAGAAGGAAATCTGAGCTCAATCAGGCCACCTGGGTGGGTTTGGAGCGCGCCTTGTATTTGTCAAGATCGGGTCAGGCACAAGGGGGGTCGAGCAAGCTAGTAAATCGCGGATTCCATGGAAGAGTCAGGCAGGCAGCAGGAATAGGCCTTAGCGCCAAATCCCAAGACCTGAACGTTCAGTTCGGTCCTTCTTCCCTGTAAGAAGGGTCGTGATTCGACTGTAGGGCACCGAGCTGTTCCGGCATAGATAAGGGAAGATGCTTAAAGAAGACACCTTGATCGTCGAACTGGGACGGGCGATGCACGTCAAATAAGGCTTATGATCATGTTTCATTTTATAGGTACATAATCATCCTTTTTTTTTTTCTTCTTCGAGCCTTTGAAAAAAAAAATTGATTTTTCAGGAACCCGAGAACTCATCAAACGTGCTTCAGCTTGAAAATGTCTTAGAGTTGCCCGGTTCATGCCAACGCCCCACCGTTAAAGCAGTCTCGCGCGTATTACCACAGGTGAAAGCGGGCCTAGCCTTGGAACGACAGAAAACGTGTTCTCGGGTTATCCGGGTTCCTGTCCTGACAAGGTCCAACGCCACTTCGATCAATGCGATCGATGGTTCTGGGAGTCTCACTCTACAGCTACTCGTAAATAATTCTGGGGCTATTGCAACTAGCCCAGGGGTTGAGTTCATGCTAATGCTCGATTGGCTCTTGTCAAGAGACCCTCTCTGATCCCGATCCTCGGTACAACACAGCGTCTGTCTTAATTAAGATCTGACAACAATCCACTTACCTCATGGTCAGGGTTTGGTAGGGAACTTTGGAGAAATCTAGCTTTTAGCGCTTGTTTTTGCTCTGGCTCTACGGTATGCCGTCGGCTCAAACATCCCGCTGGACGGGCTTTCTTCGGGATTAATGACTTTCAGACCATGGAAGATCGCCTGAACCCCCAGCAACAGTGGACAGAGATCTTAATCTTACTCCATGAGCGGAGTTTTCGGAGGTCTTGCTCGTCTGTGGGTTCGGTGTCGGGTCAATTTGATCGGCTCGGCGGTCCCTAAACACTTGCGACTAGAGGACTAGGACAGCGGAGAAGTGAGTTCTCGGAGATGAAGTTAGTGTATAAAATCAGAGCAGGCGTCCCTGGTATTTTTTGGAGCTTTGCAGTTGCGTCTCACACTCGTTGCCAGAGGATCATCCCTCTCACTTTCTCTCTTTAATATCTATTTTCCCAAATTGGTCATTTGTTTACGTACCTTCAACTATGCGTCTCTTTGGTCTTGCAGCAGCAGCTGCACCCATTGGCCTGACAGCTGCAGGCGTCATTCAGGCCCGAACCTCTGAGGAGACCTGCTCCAATCTGATTTCCACCGGCGAGGTCTTGCACTTGTCTCTTAACATTGTGGAATACCCTATTGTTGTCGATGTTCAGCTCGAGCAAAACACTGTTGTTACTGTTGACAAGACTATTCTGATTGCATGCACCAACGCTCCTACTCGTCTGCACACCACGGTGCATGCCATCTCTACCGAGACTGTCACCAGGACTATTTCCACTGCTACCGTCACCGCAACCGGTGAGGTTGTTTCCAGTGCTACTGATACTGCTACTGCTGGCAATGACAGGGGTCGCACTGTTACAACCAAGCTTGGCACCAACACCGCCGGCTCCAACCCGTGAGTTTTCACAAACCATATCCTGACCGCTCTCAATAGATGGCTAATCTATACTTTCTGGATGTGACATAGTGAGCAGACTGCTACCGATTCTACCGGAAGCATTGCCCCAGTGGCCGGTGGCAATGCTGTGGGTTCTGGCATTAACACCAATCTTTACACTGCCTCCACGTCCAACACTGCTGTTCACACGGTGACTTCGACCGCTTACCACCGCGGAAGTAGCATGGTCAAGACCTACACCACCACTATTGCCTCTGCTATCCCTACTGCCACACTTGCCACCGGCGTGTATACCGACTGGACAAAATTCAAGGCTAATGGTGTTAACCTTGGAGGCTGGCTAGAGCAAGAAAAGGTCTTCGACCAGTACTGGTGGGACCAGTACGCCCCCGATGCGGATGATGAATGGACCTTCTGCGAGACTTTGGGTGACCAGTGCGGTCCCGTTCTGGAGCAGCGTTATGCTTCTTACATCACCACCGACGATATTGACAAGGTTGCCGCGGTTGGTATGTTCTCTACGATCCCATCAACATAAGGGGCTAGAAACTCACTAACAAATTCACAGGTGTCAACACCCTGCGCATTCCCACCACTTACGCTGCTTGGATCCAGTTCCCTGGATCAGCTTTGTACCACGGCAACCAGAAGGAGTATTTGAAGAAGATTGCCACATATGCTATCGAGAAGTACAACATGCGTATCGTCGTTGGTCTGCACTCTCTTCCTGGTGGCGTGAACTCTCTCGATATCGGAGAGAAGGCTGGCAACGACGGCTGGTTCCAGAACTACACCAACCTGGCTTGGTCTTACAAAGCAGTCGACCAGGTCCTGGACTTCTTCGTGGAGACCGGCTACCCTGGGCCTTCACCATGGCTCCCATTAACGAGGCTTCCGACAACCCGTCGGCCTTCGCATCTCCTAACACCCTGACCACTAATGGCACCAACTGGATTCTCAAGTATACCAGTGGTGTCTTGGCTCGCGTCGCCCGCGTTGATAAGCGCATCCCCGTCATGCTGCAGGATTGCTTCCTCGGCGAAGAGCACTGGTCCCCCCCACTTTGCTAGCGGCACCAACCTGGTCATCGACACCCACGTGTACTATTTCGCTGCCTCGGGTGTCTATTCGCAGTGGGCTAACGGCGCCATCTGTGGTCAGGCCTCCGTTGTTGGCGGTGATGGCAAATTCCCTGTTTACATCGGTGAATGGGCCTTGCAGACTCTCTACAGCAACACTTTCAGGAACCGCAAGAACCTCTTTAACACTCAGCGTTATGCTTGGAGCTACTTCGCCCAGGGCGGCTCGTTCTGGAACATCAAGCACAACAGTAGCGCCGCTGTTGATGGACAGGGTACACAGCGTGATTACTGGTCTTACGAGCGTCTTATTGATGCTGGTGTCATCAACCAGCCAGTTTCAAACGCCACCTACTGCTAAGGTAACCGAGACATGATGTTCATGGCTTTCATTCTAGGTTGCTTTGTTCCCGGCGGGCTTCCACAGCGCCTTCCTCTCATTTTTTCTTTCTCTATAACGTTCTTCTATTTGATTATAATATAATTTCACAATTATTGCATCGTCTCTCTATCTCTCCATAGTATCATCCACTTAGAATGGATCAACCCTTTTTTGTTTGCGGCCATGAATGACCATACATCAAGTCTATTTGTCTAAATTTTTGAAGTTCAGAATATTTCAGGCACAGGTAGCTTCTTGAACATATCATCAATGTTGTCGTTATGCACAGGAAAAGACAGATATCCCAAATTTTTTGGGAGTTGCCCGTGGTTTCTCATGCACCAAGAAGTATCTTCTTCACAATCTCGACCTCCTCGGCCGTACCACAAACCAGACCCGCAGTCTCATCACAATTCTCCAATGGTCGGTTCAAGATATCCTCTCCTGAAGCAGGATCGATGGCCTTTCCCCCGGCGCATTCCAAGATCAGCGCAATGGGGAAAAGCTCGTACAAACGACGTAATTTGGCCGGGCTTGCAGCTGTCACAGGGGATACATACACGCCATGCCCTTTCACCAGCGCATGCACAATATCTGGTACCAATCCACCACAGTAACGCAAAGTATAGCTTTTTTCGATGTAATACGTGATAAGGCGCATGTAGCTGTCGCTCTGTCCTGCCACGCGAAGATTGGCCGGGGCAAAGTAGCGCGTTTTGAATGGCGGGTCCGCGAGTCGCACATTGGATCGAATGATCTGATGTTCCTGTCTGGTGCCCCCGATCCCGATCTCGAGACATTGAGGCTCACCACCGGGAATTCTCAAAGCAAGAATAGCCGTGGTGCGCGGCCCATAGACACCCAACACAGAGGCAATCTGTTTCTCCGAGGGCTGTTGGTTGATCGCCGAGGCACCGTCCCAGATGCCCAGAATTGTGCCCACAGTCCAGTTGGGCGCGATGATTGAGCTCCCATCTAGAGGGTCGAAGGCGACTGTGTATTTCTCTGATGTGGGGTTGACGGCTTGGCCGTCGCTAGCAGCGCGCTCCACGGGCTCTTCTTCGCTGCTCGCAGTCGCAATGGAAGGGCACCTCGCAATCGCTTCTCGAACGAGGTTCTCTGCTGCCATGTCGACATTCAATTGGCCGTCGCCAAACTTGTTTGTGGTGCCAGCGAGGGAGACATGTTGTGACTCGCGTAGTGAATTGGCAATCTCGGAGATACAGTCCAGAAGGGCCGGAATCACGGAATCGCACAGCTCTGTGCGGCCAAGTGGCTGTAAAAGGGATTTCAGATGACTTTCCATGACGATGATCCTTTTCAACAAATTCCGTGAGAATGATCGGGAATTGATGAATTTGGGGGGGGGGTAATTACTGCAACTACTGGCATTAATTGAAGGCGGTCAGGACATGACGTATGAGTCGAACCGAAAATAAGTTCCCGGTGTAAATATCACTTGTTGGAATACTTGATGTTGCTTCTTGAAAAACGTCAACGATACAGATAAGTAATTCGCAAAATGGACGAGAGCTCGGCTTATCTCAGAACATGGAACTGCAATGCACATTCGATGTACATTTCCATCCCCTTGGACACAAGTCACATCTCCTACTGAGGCAGCGTACTATACTAGTTCCTGCCGCTCCTCTCCAAGGCTCAGCGGCTGCGCTGTCCACCCTCTTTCGCGTCGCGCAATCCTTCGGCTTAGGTGTGCGTCGCTTCATTTCACTGCGACTACTAAGCCGACGTGCAATAACAATACTGTGGATAGATAGTGCTGATGGCCCATGGAGGCAACGTAGCTGAGGACAACTTGGATGAAACGCGCATAAATAGACTCGCTGAATTGGATGTATAACATTCAGGCACGATAGCCTCACTCAGTATAGTTCCATATTGTGATCATCCACCTTGATGAGGAATGAAGCTTACGCAAGTGCAGTGTAGAAGTGGCTAGTCCTGAAACTCAGGAAACGTCGTTTACTCATAACAAGAAATCTAGTCCGTGCATTGCGATGAGTTGCTGCAGGTTAAGTATCTGTCATTTTTCCCCCAAATGTGTCAATAGCTATTGCGATATCAAGCTGACCAAGGGAAGTTGCTCAGGTGGAAGAGGTAATTGCGAAGAAGCTAGGCCTCGGTGTTTGTTCAGCTTATTATTGGGTTCTTACTTTCAGTAGGTTCAAATCTTTCCTTTCATTTCATCTTTTTGCGATGATTCACATTCACCAGAGGCACAACCTAATCTGTAGATAGCTCCAAGCACCGGCTTGAACACCTTTGGGATGCTTGTGTCAAATTGAATTGTCCCAAGTCAAAATGGCTGTGATGCTTGGGCTGAAAGTTTGAGGATCCGACCAAGACCACGTGGATCTTACCGAGCCTCACTAGTCTACGTCGAGCGTTTGACGCATTTTCCCCACCAACACCACCCTTGTCTTCTCATTGCGATGTTGTTGCGTTCATTGCCACCGGAGATACTTCTGCTCATTGCTGATCAACTTGATTCAAACAAAGATTTCCTCAGTCTTTTATTAGTTAACCACTTCCTACACGATCTTCTGATAAGCCTGCTCTACAGACGAGATATTCGTGTCACTGGCGGTCTCGCTTTACTTTTCTACTCAAATTGGGGATATGCATCGGCCGCTCAGGAAATGCTCGCTGCGGGGGTGAACGCCGATATTCGGGGACCTCGCTGGGGCACCAGAACTGCGCTGTTGCTCGCTATAAGCCAACATCATACAGCAATTGTTAGAAATCTCCTTGATCATGGTGCAAATCCAAATTTTATGGACAATGTTAAACATGGCCCATTGGAAACAGCTATTTTAAATGATTGCGGGAAGGATATGATACAAATGTTGCTGGATTTTGGTGCCGATATCAATCTCAAGGGATACTCAGGGCGTACGCCCTTGTTCACGGCTGTTATCGCGGGCAAATCAACCAGTGTGGCCTTTCTCCTGGCTCGAGGAGCTGATGTACATGTGCGGGAATCCAAAGATCGAAGAACTCCGCTGCATTTTGCCGCTGAGTCAGCAGGGTCATTCGATGTAGTGAGCATGCTCGTGGATGTGGGGTCTGATGCGAATTGCCTGACGGAAAGTGGTATGTCACCTCTACATAAGGCTGCCTATGCCCGGCTTGCCGACAACGTTCAAGCCCTTTTGGACTGTGGGGCTGACGTGAATCTCCGCACACCTGCCGGACAAAACGACGGGCAAACGGCAATTCATTATTGTGCCAAAGGATGGAGTTCAACCAAAGATGTCATTCAATTGCTTGCTGATCATGGAGCCGATGTGAATTCCAGAGATTCACAGCAACGTACACCTCTGCTCTTGACTATTGAACAAGGCAATGCTCAATGCGAACATACAGCAGAGGTGCTACTAGATCACGGTGCAGATATATGCGCCAAGAATGAGCGCGGACGGACTGTGATGCATGGCGCTGCTCGACAACTCTCGGGGAAATTGCTGGAATTGCTTTGTCAACGAGGTGCTGATGTGAACTGGAGTGATGACAATGGAGACACTCCACTGTTCACGGCCATTGAATCACCAAAAAGTTGGAAACAATCTCCGAGGACCATTGATGTCCTCCTTCAACTAGGTGCAGATCTAAACCACAAGAACAGTCGTGACCAGAATGCCCTTTATCCCGCAATTTGTCGCAGCCATCTAGCAGCGGCACAGATTCTCCTCGAGCGCGGTGCAAATGTGCACAATCAGGATAGCCAAGGGATGACCCCTATGCATTGGTGTAACAGAGCGTTTGTTGGGCACGACACCACTAATGTTATCGGTCGTATGATTGGGCTACTTATCAAACACGGGGGTGACGTTAATTCTCGAAACTATGCCGGGCAAACTCCACTGGGTATGAATTTACAGACGGGCAGTTTGCAGGTCCGCGAGTGCTTAATAAATGCCGGTGGCATTGAGTAAAATAGCTTGGATGTTCTTGAAATCTACAGAATCTCGTCTTGTAGCACAATCATTTGCTGGGCTTCATACTCCTCACTTCAATGTTTCATTTCTTACCTTGAGTACGAGATATAATGGACGGAACTCACCTTTTTTTCATTCAGTGGTGCAGTTACTGATCACGACGCGGGGTACCACTTTGCCCACTTCACTGCCGTGTATCTCATTTTCCTCATATTCATATTCATGTTATGCAATCACATTACCTACAAGTCAAACACCATATTGATGGCTTCTTATTTTCAGTGTTTGACATAATGATATGAGGTGGAGATGTCAAAGCTTTGTTTGACAATACTTTCAGCATGGCGGATTTGACTCAATTTCTGGCACATCGATAACTTCATAAGTGTGTTCTTTTCAAATTCCCACTCCCCTGTAAGTATTAGCTCTTTTGGACTCTCCTCCATTCCTGACATGAACGCAATTTATTCTTTTCAACACAGTTCTAAAATTTGTAAGAAACCTCCTAGACCTTTCTTCTTACATACAGGGTCATAGTAGCCAAGCCGCGCCTTTGACGACACGTTTGATCGTGTACTCGCTTGCCATGCTCTCACCTTCTTGGAAGGATCTCATGGCCTTTCACTGGCTTGGACTACTACATTGGTGTCAAGTTTGATCAAAAAGGTTTCAAGATCTCTCAAGATCGTGCATGAACTATCCAGCATGCAGCCGTACTTAGTATCGCGTTATCTGGGGGAATTTCCTTCACGTACATTTCAGTCATTGCGACCAATTGAAATGCAATTCCGCACTTCTTTTCTTCATGAATTATGTTCACTCTATAGCTTGGCAGCATTGTGATTGGAGGGGGAAAGGTCCCAAGAAGACTAGTCCAGGATCTTATTTGCCAAGGTGAGAGACGTTTTCATTTTACACCCAGTCGATCCTCCTGTCCGTCTATCAACGGTATGTTTCCCAGGCCTGGCGGGGCCAATTTGGGTCTACGTAGCCGAAATGATGCTTCCAAGGATTGCCAAGTCAACACCTCCCGTCAGAGGGTTACTCCGGACCCTAAAGCCTCGCAAGACCAGCGTCTGCAGCTGACATGCCAAGTCGTACTCTCACTGGGGCGGAAGTCCCCTATCGCAGAAAAAAAAGATTGGAATCCTGTGTGCAGAGATTGAAGCTGAAGTGGGCCAAATGTCTAGAGTCGATACGAATTTTAGCGCGAGCCAAAGATAAGAGATCTTGCACCACGTCAATGATATCCTACTGAACTAGAGACCTCTTCAGCAATCAATCTCATAAAACAGATGACATCGCAGGTCCTTTACCTAAGATGAAAATTTTGCACTTCCAGAAAAGACCTCGAGAGCACACGACTCGACCACACAAAGAAAAGAAAAGGTTGCGCCCCCCCACTTGCCCTGTGGTGCGGATATTCCCTTTTCAAGGTTAGGGCCGGTGGTCGTCCACCAACCACTGTGACTGAGGTGGCAAGATACTCACCTGGATCGTGTTAGAACCCCGAGATAGCGGTGCCCGCGCGCTATCATTTGCCCATAAATCTCTGGTTACATGGGTCCCTCTCACGTGAAACGGGTGGCCCGTCGGCCAGCCCGTCTGGCGCCCGCGAGTGGAACGAACCAAGAGGATTGAGCCCGAGGGCTTGATGGAGCCAGTAACCTAAAACCCCGTGTGACTGTCTTTATCTCGCCCTAAGGGCAATCAAGGGCACTAACGACGAAGTATTCCCCGCACAGAAATCCGGTTGATGAACTAGTTTTTATTGCCCCCGTTTGCCCCCAATGGACAGGCGAGGAATGCTTAATACCAAGCCAGCCACAATGCATCGGTCCGATCTCTGATAACTCGCTCCGCGTTGATAAATCTCCTCTCCTTCTCCCCATCCTTTCGCTGCCCTTTTCAACATCTGGGGCTTGTGTAACGTGGGAAAGGGAATGTTCACGTGAAGAGATAAGAAAAGATTGCAGGTCAAAGATTCAACATTGATCCGGTTTTCTCCAGCCATGGCAGAAACCACCGAGTCCAAGACGTCTGTGGACGTGAATGTTCACAGCTCGCACCAGGTAGATCCTGTGCTGCAGACAGAGCACCAGCATCACCACGGGCACCACCACCATACAGCCTTTGCGGAGCAGGGCCGCGAAGAAGAAGTGGTGTACTCCAAGGATACCGCATTCGAGAAGGGAATTGTGCCTGAGCCATCACCTCTCGATCACGCCAGCAAGAACCTCAGCCAAAGTGACGCAGAGACGGGGGAGTTTCAGCCTGCAAAGCGACCATGGCAGCGACGCATGCTCAAGCATTGGCGCCATGTGGCCCATGCCGTGATCTGGCTTCTGTTCACCGGGTGAGTGGGGAAAAAAAAAGACTTCTGCAGTGATCAGCGCATTGAGAGGAATCGGACACTTACACTGCTCTTAGCTGGTGGATTGCGGGTCTGATCTTGCACCGGTATGATTTGGGATGGCTGATTCCGTTCCTACTGTATCTCGCTGTCACGCTGCGCATCATTTTCTTCTACGTGCCCATCACTATTGTGACGAAACCGATGCATTTCGTTTGGAACAACACCGCTCGTCCATTCGTTGCGATCATTCCGGAAAAGCTGAGATTGCCTCTCGGAGGTCTAATCACCATTGGGGTAATTCTCATCGGTGCATTCGCTTCCCCTTCAAGTCAAGGTAACTCGCGGGCAGATCGCGCAGTGAGTCTATTCGGCCTTGCAGTCTTCCTGTTGATCTTGTGGGCTACATCACGAAACCGCAAGAAGATTGTCTGGCATACCGTGATCGTCGGTATGCTAGTCCAGTTCATCGTTGCGTTGTTCGTCCTGCGCAGCGGAGCAGGTTACGATATCTTCAACTTTATCTCGACTCTGGCCCGTGACTTGCTCGGATTCGCAGGCGATGGCGTGAAGTTCTTGACAGCCGATGCCTTCTATGATATGACCTCGCCTCTTCAGCCGGGCACTTGGTTCCTTGTCAGCACGATCCCGGCGATCATCTTCTTTGTTTCGATTGTTCAGCTCCTGTACTACAGTAATGTCCTGCAATGGTTCCTGGTCAAGTTCGCCGCGTTCTTCTTTTGGTCCATGCGTGTGTCTGGTGCCGAGGCTGTCGTGGCAGCTGCTTCGCCCTTCATCGGACAGGGCGAGTCCGCCATGCTCATCCGACCCTTCGTTCCGCATCTTACCATGGCTGAATTACACCAGGTCATGTGCTCTGGCTTCGCCACTATCGCCGGTAGTGTGTTAATTGCCTATATCACCATGGGCGTCAACTCGCAAGCCCTAGTCTCTTCCTGCGTGATGAGCATTCCCGCCTCTTTGGCTTGCTCGAAGCTGCGCTGGCCCGAGGAAGAAGAAAGCCTGACAGCCGGCCGTGTCATTATTCCTGATAGCGACGAACACAAAGCCGCCAATGCTCTGCACGCCTTCTCAACGGGCGCCTGGCTGGGTCTGAAGATCGGTGCCATGATCGGCACCACTCTCCTCTGCATCATCTCCCTCATCGGTCTTGTCAATGGCCTGCTCACCTGGTGGGGCCACTACTTGAACATCAACGACCCACCACTGACCTTGGAGCTCATCGTCGGCTACATCTGCTACCCAATTGCGTTCCTGTTGGGCGTCTCCCGCGACGGCGATCTGCTCAAGGTGGGCCAGCTGATCGGTCTCAAACTTATCTCGGTATGTCCCATTCCCCGGTTAGTGAATATCGACCTCACATTAGATAGAACGAGTTTGTCGCCTACAACGCCCTTCAGAACCAGGAGGCCTACCAGGACCTTTCAGACCGCTCTCGTCTCATTGTTACCTATGCTCTCTGCGGGTTTGCCAACATTGGCTCCCTCGGTCAACAAATCGGTGTTCTGGCGCAGATTTCTCCTGGTCGTAGTGCGGATGTCTCGCGCGTTGCAATCAGTGCTATGCTCACGGGCGCTCTTAGCACTTTTACTAGTGCCACTATTGCTGGATTGCTCATCACCAACGAGAAGGCGTATTTCACTTCTTCTTGATCTAATAGGTTCATAGGCCCACTTGTCGTTGTCTCTGTGTGTTAACTAGCTAGCGTAAAGCCAATATGATGAATATACCATACTGTTTTCAGAACTTTGCCCTTCGAATCTTGACCTTGCACTACCTCATTTTGAACTACTTAAATGCCGAGTCCAGTGTTAATGACTGCCAGTCTACAACAGACCGAAGTATACGCAAGGAGAGAAGGCGTGAATAAGAGCAACGAATGCCCCTTCACGATGATATTATCCAAACAGGGACCCACTTGGAAAAACTAGGGCCTCACGCGCCTGTTTGTGAATGCGTGCAATAAAGATAGCAATAGAACCACAGATAGCCCAAAAACTCCAAACCCAATGAACCAGGCCACTATGCATATATACCGAGCCTCCGCGTCCCCGTGACGGGGTAGGTAGCAACGGTGGACGCCAATGCAGACTCCAGAAGCAGAAATCTAATCGTCGTCAAGGTCGCGGTGGCGGGCGAGGACATGGCGCTTGAATTCCTCTTGGTCGGAGTCCCAGAGTTCGGCGGCCTGGGCGTTGAGCGGGCTCGCGCTGTTACTTTGGTCAGTAGTTGCCAACATATGAGATTCCAGGGGATATAGTACTTGTTGGGCTCGCCCAGAAGACTCTGCAGACTCAGCAGGACACTCTGCACGTTATAAACGGCGCTCCATTTGTCCTTGAGAATGTCCAGGCAGATACGGCCGGAGAAATCGACGTTGGGATGGTAGATGGGAGTTTTGAAGAGGACGGTCGGCGGAGAGTAGGGATAGTTGTTGGGGAAGGCGAATGAAAGCTTCAAGTTCAAACCCTCGTAAGGAGTCTCGGTCGGGCCAGTAATGGTCGCTGTCCAGGAGAGTAAGTTGCCGTCGGCGTCGGGGAAGGCGGAAATGCCGGGCGAGGGCTGGATCATGAGCTGCATCAATTCGGCCTGCAGGCTAGATGCAGGAGATTGAGTTAGTACATTGGGTCTTCCAATTGAGGTCAAGCTTATGGAGGCCGAACGTACCGCTTCGTGACGCTCTGAGTTTCATTGCGCTGGCTCGAGGTGTTCAGCTTGGAGGCTTCCAGCGCCTCGGGCGCCGAGTTTTGAGTGTCTTCCATAGTGTAGTCCATCGTAGACAGAACTGACAAGCTCCGGACTTTTCACGGAGTGATTTCCAAGGCTGCGAATTCCTGGACGTTGACTGGATTGCTGGTTACAGTAGCACGAGGGTTGCGATGGAATGACGACGGATCCGAGCAACGGCCCCACAATGACCAAATGCAGTAACGAATGGTTTCAAATGAGGATACTGAGGGTGTTGAGGATAGATCAAGTAGCCAAAAGGTAGAAAGGAAAGAAGGTGAGATTCGAGAAGATCAGAGGGACCGAAAAAAGACTAAGCGCTTTGTTTACGCGCGACCCCGGCAACGCCCCGCCGGAGCTGAGATCTGGATAGAACCAGAACCAGAGTCTTGAAACCACCACGCCGATGTGAGAGTACAGCAATGAGTAAATTACTCGCTAGGTACAACAATTCTAGAAATACCGGAGCATTATGCATATCAGACGAAAACCCAAGTGTCCAGTCCCAAAGCCCAGGCCGATGGGTCTAAAACCGGAGCTGTTAGTGCGATCATCTGCGGGTCGCACTGATCCTAGAGGGGCTCGGGCTATGTATCACATTGGTAGACCTGATCATTGTGCTTCCATCTTATACACATGAAGTCCCTCGGGCTGCCTAGACATACCTACACATGCTGTCTGTGTAGTCCCTGTAACAAGATGTCAAGGTTGTCCAGGTTATCAACACACTACCCAAACAGGATAAAGTGGCCCGCGTCGGTGGCCCGTGTTTCTCGCAACGCGCTGTGCTCGGCGCTCTGCACCCTTGCCTATCACCGATCTCCCTCGCTTCCACCTCAACTCGTGATGTCGGAATCCTGATAGTCGCTCATTAACCCAAGCTTCCCTCTCAAGTCACTCGTTTCTTCACTAGACCCCACCATGCAGCATTCACAATTGGCCCCGCTTCCGAACGACGTGCCTTTTCGCATTGTCTCCAAGACAATCGGCCAAGGCGCGTATGCCTGGTACGTGAAAGCTCTTGTTCTTCGTATTCCTGGTGGAAACGGGATCTGATGAATTTTGCCCCTCTTAGCATTAAGAAAGCCTGTCCTCTGGACTCGGACAACCCCGTCTTCGCCGTCAAGTACATCCACAAAGATTATGCCGCGCGCCACGGCAAGATAAGCGCCAGACAACTGCAGCTGGAGGTCACGGTGCATCGACACGTTACAGGCCACAATAATATCATCAGCTTCTATCAGACTGGTGAGGATGACATCTGGCGGTGGATCGCGATGGAATTGGCCGAGGGTGGCGATCTTTTCGACAAGATCGAGGCTGACGAGGGTGTGGGCGAGGACATTGCGCACGTTTATTTCTCGCAGCTCATCAGCGCCGTCAGCTTTATGCATTCAAAGGGTGTCGGTCACCGTGATATCAAACCTGAGAACATGCTCTTGACTGCGGACGGAAATCTGAAGATTGCGGACTTTGGCCTGGCCGCACTCTTCGAGTATAAGGGAAGCAGGAAGCTCTCAACCACATTTTGCGGAAGCCCACCCTATATTGCACCCGAGGTCATTACCTGTAGTACTCGTGGTCAAACGAAAGGGTCAGGATATCACCCAGACTTGGTAGACATCTGGTCTTGTGGCATTGTTCTCTTCGTTCTTTTGGCAGGAAACACGCCCTGGGACAGCCCGACTGATGACAGTTATGAATTCCACGAGTATGTTGCGACAAACTCACGAACCACTGATGAGTTATGGCAAAAATTACCGGCGGCCACTCTTTCACTACTGCGCGGCATGCTGACCGTGGACCCAAAGAGTCGCTTCTCGCTTGAAGATGTGCGAAGGCATCCATGGTATACACGGTCAAACAAGTTCCTGTCTAGCGATGGCAAGCTGAGAGATCCAATCAATCTCGCCACCTCCATGTTTGAGTCATTGCACATTGACTTCAGCCAGGATCCCCTCTCCGAGAAGCGCAAGGGTCCCAGCCGGAGTCTAGAAGCAATGGATATGGTTATGGATGTTGATCAGCCATCGGCCGGCTTCTCATCCACACAGCCCGAAGTGGGAGGAGGAGGACTGGTGATGGACTGGGATACGCCGCATTTGGCCTCCGAATTTTCATCTACTCAGCCCGCGGGGAGGCAGTTTGCTTCTCAGGATGCCGCAATGGCAAGTCACCTCGAGGACGAGCCATCAATGTCACAATTCTCTCAACAGCCGTCTGTTCCCGTGAGCCGCACCCAAAATGCCCAGAAATTCCAAGATATTGTGCCATCTCGTCCCATGACCCGGTTCTACTCCGCGTGGGAATTGAAACTTCTGGTCCCGTTGATCTGCGAAGCCCTCCATCGACTCGGAGTCCCAGTACCATCAGTCCCCGCAGTGAGTGCCGGTGATAGTTATGCTATGATTCGGGTTGTTGCCAAGGATGGCCGAATGTGTCCGCTTCAGGGTAAAGTCCTCATCGAGTGTGTATCTGAGGGTGTTTTCGAAGTTGAGTTCGTTAAGATCAAAGGCGACCCCGTCGAATGGCGCCGATTCTTCAAAAAAAGTGGTTATTCTCTGTAAGGATGCGGTTTTTAAACCAGACGAGTGATCCCGTCCTTTCTGGTCATTTATAAACCATGTATTGTCTCTTTTCGCTGTGCTTTGGCCTTTTTTTTTTTTCTCATGTTTGTTTCTTAATCTATGACTTACGACCCAGGAGGTGGATTAGGTTGATTGGCGTCGAACTGTGACAACTTCTGTAGATTTCTTTCTCCAGCCAAATGCTCAAATCCATATAGTCTTTAGTGTATCTATGTGTCAGGTCTTCTTCAAACACAAGGTGAAACACTCTATTTGGGATTCGGAAAAGACATCCGTAGTGACAGTTTCATCGTAGTCGTTTATACTTTATCCACCAAAACTCACGTCACGGGTCCGTCACTTCGAAATCAAGTTCTCTATCTCCTCCTCTTTGCATTCCGAGGCTTAAATGATCATCCTCTCGATGTACACAGTACGGTATGGGTGCACGTGACAACAGCGCAGATCGCGGGGGAGATGCGTCTGCAACTTTTTCCAATCCAACGTGACCGGCTGCGGCCCCTCGAACCCCTCTCAGACTTCCATCTGCCCCCGATGCTGCAGCCTCTAAAGCTCTCCTCATGGACAAGCTGCCGGTAGAGATCCTGACCAAAATCATCGACTGTAAGCGCCGCCGAAGTCCCCCGAATGTTCTCCGCATCATTTCCTGCAGAACGCCTGAACGCTGATAAGTGCCCAATTGCCAGTTCTTACCCCTCGTGAGAAGGTACCACTACAATTGGTCTCTAAGAAGATCTTTGACCTCGCCCGCGATAATAATCTTTGGAAACTTCATTGTTATGAGGAGTCGTGGGCTGCTTTGCGGGCCTCCCGTCCCGCGGGCCGGAACTCGGAGAGCCTGCTTACGAATGAGACTGCGTTCCTGAGCAGCCTGGGACAGACCTCGTTACGCGATCTGATTCAACCCCCTGCTCCACAGCCTGACTCTGGTGGTCAGGATTCTCGTGGACTGCCCTTGAGCGAGAGAGCGAGAGCAGCGGCCGAGTGGGACTCGTCAGCAGAGGGAGAACACGTGGACTGGTACTCGGAATATATCGCTCGTCATGGGCCTCTTTCTTTTTCATGGGTACAGCAACCGCTGCACGCAAAAAGCGAAGGTCGCAAGCGCCAGCCCTATGAAATTAAGGGCATGGGACTGTTGAAAGACTGGAGTTCCGCGCGAGAAAACAAGATCATTGCTCCACTTGACGATGGCAGCGTCTGTATTTGGGACTTGAACCATTCTCACTCCTCTGATTCACAATCTGGTAAAGGTAGAATCCTTGGGACGAGCGAGCCGGGTGTTCTCATGAAGGATCTCTCTGGGCGAAGAGAGCACTCGCCTTCAAAATCTTCCCTAGATTTTATTAATCTCGGCGAGGGTGTGAGTGTAGACTCATTCCGGCGGCGGGCGTATCTTGCCATTGGAAATGTCCTCAATGAGGTCGATTTGGAGACTTTGCGGGTTATCTCGCAACAACGCTACCCTTGGTCCATCTTTGCGCTGTCTCAAGAGACTGATTATTCAGTTCCACTAACGCTAGCAACCACACTTAGCCTACAGATACATGACTCTAGATTATCGGCCGCGGAAGAGGAGGAGGCTATCAGTTTACGATGCGAGAAGAACTCGGCGCCGTTGGTTCCAGAGCTAGATATATTCCCGCACTACGACTCGCCACAACTACAGTTGCAACCGAATGGTCTGCCGCCTCGTCGACTTCGCAGCCCAGGTCCTGAGCAAGAGAACTATGCGCCGCTATTCCAGCCTGGTCCCCTCTCTATATTACATCCGCCAGCCCCACACGTGAACACCATTTTGCTGGCCGGTCGGTTCCCTAGCATCCTCTGTTATGACAGGCGGTTCTTTCCTCGTCTGCAGAGCACCGTTCATTCTGGCGGTCGACTGTGCGGTCTTGCATCTGCTCCCGGGCCCCGCTTCCCGTGTTCTCCGACTCTGTCTACCCAGATTCCCATTCCATTGTGGCGTGCGGCGAATACAACGGCAGAGGCTCTTTGGAGCTTTACAATCTTCGGTCCTCGTCTAAGGAAACCGACAACAGCAATCTATCAGACAGATCGTCACAGTTGACCCCAATGTATAAAAACCGGCAAAGTGCGGCTAGTTCCAAGCTGTTGTCAGTGGCATCACACGGTAATCGCCTTGTCTACTCTGACTCCGAGGGCAATATCAAATGGGTGGAGCGAAACGGCCGAGCAGAAGTACGACGATGGAACATCAATACTTCACAACCATATGATCCATCCCCGCCGCGTGGTCTCTGGCCAAGCTCTGGGCTCCAAAATCAGAACAACGAGGTTGCACGAAAAGTTCTTCCTACCGGAGGCAACCTTTCCGGGGACGAGTTACTGATCTGGACGGGTGAGCGCATTGGGCGCATCAGGTTCTCCGTTCCCGAAGATCGTTACCTCGACGAGATCGATGAAGACGACTGGTTCATGCATGCAGAAGTCGACGAGGAGACACGAGAAGCTATGCGAAAGAAACACCGCGACGAGTGGGAGAAGGAGAAAAGATATGAAAAGACCATGCGGCAAGCCTTGGAGAGACAGGCAGATGAGGTGCGTTGGATGGGGACGGACGGTATGAGCTGATCCCTCTGTGGTACTAATGTTGCCCTCCTGACGAACAACTTTTCATCTTCATGAATTGGCGACCATTATTCCGAATTTGCATTTTCATCACTAGCATAGATAGAAATGGCCACTCGGTGTCCAGTTACATATACTGTCGTTTGAGCAGCTAATATATTTTAAAATTCCATTGATCATGCTCACTATAGCTGTTATCATGCAAAGATCTCTCGCCCAAATAAGGTCCGACTACACCGAAGGATCCGAGGCCTCCGAGGGCCCGTAGAGCGAGATGAGATTCCCACGGAAAGAAATCGAAGCGACTGGGGCACAAGGCCGAGGCCGAGGCGACCCACTCACCGCCCGGCTCCCCGCGCCGAGCATCACGAGCATTTCTAATGCACTTGTCAGCCATTACAGACTCTCTATTCTTCTCCAATTTGCAAATTTTTGAAGTGCAATACTTCGAGGACATTGAATTGAACAACATTCACTCGAGACCCCTTAATTCCACCAAGTCTTCACATCAACGTCCGAAATTGTGCAGTGAGGGGCAAAAATAACCTCCCCGATAACCAATCGCCCAAGATGCCCTCTACAGAGGTTGCGCAGCAATTCGACTCGATTGAGGACTCAATCGCCGCCTTCAGTAAGTCCGTACTTCTGAAATTTCTCCCATTTCCCCCATTTATCGCACTCTCCTATCCGTATGGCCTCCTATTGGAACACGACTGACTCGTGACTCACCACAGAGAATGGCGAATTCATCATTGTGCTTGACTCGCAAGACCGAGAGAACGAAGGCGATCTCATAATTGCAGCAGAGGCCATTACGGCCGCTCAGATGGCCTTCCTAGTGCGCTACACCAGGTAAGCACGCCACCCTTACTCGGGACTGCGAATCTTCCAGAGAGCAAATTCCACCCTATTCCTACAATAATACAAAACTTACCCCCCGAATCCAGCGGCTTAATATGCGCCCCCATCACTCCGGAACTCGCGCTCCGCCTCGCCCTCCCCCAAATGGTTACCGAGAACGCCGATCCCAAAGGAACCGCGTACACCGTCACAATCGACTCCAGCGATGCGTCCGTGACAACCGGAATCTCCGCTGAAGACCGCGCCCTGACATGTCGCACACTTGCATCCCCAGACGCAAAGGTCGACTCCTTCCGACGACCGGGACACATCATTCCGCTGCAGGCGCGTCCTGGCGGCGTGCGCGAGCGCTCAGGACACACCGAGGCGGCTGTTGAGTTCTGTAGGCTTGCTGGCAAGGCACCGGCTGGTGTTATTGCCGAGCTGGTGGAGTGGGGTGAGGTGACCGAGGGCGTTGCTGAGATTCGGGGTGAGAATGGTATGATGCGTAGGGATGGATGTTTGAAGTTTGGCAAGAAGTGGGGGATCAAGGTGTGTACGATTGAGGATTTGGTTAAGTATGTGGAGAAGACTGAGGGTGTCAATGGCCGGCAATGAGAGCCTCTCAGTATGACGAGTTGCTTTCTTATATCCCGTTCTAGTTCTGCCTGCCTCTGTACATCTCTGCTTTTGTGGATACCTTTAGATGAATGGATAAAAGCCTATAGACCTTGGGGTTTTCGATTGGAAGTAGAGGACTCTTAAGGGGAAGTAATCAATTCTAAGCGAAACAGCTTTGACGTTTTGTTTTGTTTATCTGGGTATCAATCATTTTGTCATAATATACAACCTGGCAGGTTTCGAGGTCGGTCAAAGGGCAAAAAAGCCAGTTCAAGGTTGACCAAGATGCAGGAAATTTTCAAACGCCTATGCAATGCAAACAAAGTCCTTGGTCATATTGAGAAGACACTGAATGCCATTCACCGCTTGAGGTGCGAGTAGTCCCTCAGAATACCCATCATGTGGGTGTTGGTCGTCTTGCCGCTACGGCGTGGCTTCTTGGTCTTCTTTGCCTCTACCTTCATCCGGGGCTTGACCACTTTGTTCTTGTTCGTCGGGACGATGCCAGCCTTATCCAAGGCCTCCTTGACAGCCTGCGGGTCCGGGATTTTGATCTTCTCCCAGATCTGTTTGAATTCGTCATCAAAGTGCTCAATCAGCGAAGGGTCATTGGCCCAGATCATCTTGGCGTGGTCATCCTTCTTGTTGCGAGTGACCAGGAGCTTCCCTTCCTTCTCCATCTGGTTAATGGCGTCCTCGACATTTGGCCAGCCCTCACGTAGCTCGCGCACACTCATACCAGTCGCAGTAGTCTGAGATTGGAGCTTCCGAAGAAGCTGCTCAGGGTTACGCACGTTGTGAGGCGGACGGAAAGCAAAGGTGCCTTCGCCGCCTGCCCCGCTTGGATCAAAGTCGACCTTCTCGTGTTTTTGTAGGATTCGTCGGAGTGCTTGAACATATCCCGGATCATTCGCTCGGTGTTGCAGGGAAAGGTAGGACACGATATCGGCAAACTTGAGCGGCACACCTTTCGACTTCATGTGCTCGATCGCAAAAAGCACCTGGGTCATGATATCCTTTCCAGTACCCGTGTTCGCGGGCTGCGAGTAAACGATATCCACGTCATGCCGCTTTTTCTTGGCGTCGACAGCATTAGAGGATGGAGTCGGCGCAGATGAAGGAACCTGTGAGCTGGTGGCGGAGGCTGGGGCGTTGTTGGCCATACGTCTCTGCTGAGGCATGCGGTTCGCCGACTCCATGACGCTGGCGTTGAAGCTCTTGAGTTGATTCTGAAGGTAAGACATGACCGCGGGAGGTGTGGGATGATGCCCCGACTGCACACTTGTAAGTAAGAGGAGGAGTCAAAGAGAGTCGAAAGCAGAAGTGCGGTTATTTCAAGCTGATGAGCCGGGATAAGCTCCGAGGCTAGACGATGATCATAGGAGATGTTGGTGTCAAGGACGGACTGGAGGAAGACAAGAGCAGACCGGGGGCGTGGAGGTAAGAGAGATCGCCCTATCCAAGTGAAGAGAGACTGAAGGTGTGCCAAAAGAGCCGCACATGAGATAGGGAGTCATGTGATGTGACGCGGCGCCAGCCCTCTTTGACGGAAGCAACAGCGCGCAGAACTCGCCCTTGAACCTCAACTATCTTGGCATCCCATTCATCCGCCTACCACAATTGTCGCTTCGGTCGCTAAGACACTCATCACCTTATAGGAAGCGTCATGATCTGAGTTCCTCGACACCGTGTGTACGTGAATCTGGTGCACACCGCGTCCGGAACTCCGAGCATTGAAGCTCGAGCTTCCCACTTTTCCGCTTTCTTTTCTTTCTCTCTTACGCCAGGTTTCCCGCCTGACGCCCTTACACAGTATGGCGGAGACAGCAATCGAGTTGCCCTACTTGGCATCGCATTACGCCATCCCCGAAGCAACTCTCAGCACCCTGAGCCAGGCGCCTACTGCGGATCTTGTCAATCAGCTTCTCGAATCCATTACCAAGAAAGCGCATGCTTTCGACGAGCTTAAGTCGGATAAGCTGCGCTTGGAGGTTGAACTAGAGAATGCTGTACGCAGCAACGAGTCCAAGATTAAGGTGTTGAAGGGCACGGTGGAGAAAGGCCACTCCGAAATCGAAGACCTAAGGAAGAAGCTGCATGAATCCGGTATGATTTAATTCTTCCACCTCATGCAAGTCTTCGCTTCTCTGACAACCGACAGAAAACACGCGCTCAGCCCTCGAAAGTGAAATTTCTACCCTCAGATCATCGACCACCACCAATGAAACTGAAGTGAGCTCTTTGAAGTCGCGCATCACCTCCCTTGAGGCGTCTAATCGAGATACTCTCGCTCTGCTTGAATCTAAGTCTGCCGCTCATGACAAACTTGCCGAGGAGCTATCAGCACAACACAAGAAGACAATTGAGCTACGCCGCGAGCTTTCCACCGCAGAGCAGAATATCCAGAACGCCAACTCCGCATCTGCAAGTGCGCGATTCCGGGAACAGAATTTGCAGCAGGAATTGGAACTCACCAAAAAGAACAATGAATGGTACGAAACCGAATTAAAGACAAAGAGCGCCGAACACAGCAAATTCCGAAAGGAGAAGAGTGCTCGTATTTCTGAACTCCAACGCGAAAATGAGGAAGCAAATTCCACCATTGAAACACTGAGACGCACCGAAAACTCGCTCAAGAGCCGTTTGGATGAGACCGAGCAACGTTACGAGGAATCCCTGGCGAGCATCACTAAGCTCAAGGAAGATGCGATTCAAGCATCTGAGTCCTTCCGCATCGAATTGGACAGCGCCAACCGACTTGCTGAGCTTCAAGGATCTGCCGCTCAAACCGCTAAGCAACGTGTTCAAGAGTGCCAGCTGGCACTCGAGAAAGCTAAGGATGATGCGGCAGAAGAAATATCTCGTTTGCGTGTTGAAATAGAATCTGATCATGCCGACAAGACTGCTGCTGAGAAGCGTGTTTCTGAGCTTGAAGTGGCCATCGCACAATTGGAGTCTGACGGAGGTCGCAATCGATCCATGAGTCCAGCTCGCTCGTTGAACGGTTTCGCTCCTAGTACTCCAATGCGCGCGGGAACCCCGGGGGGCACTTTCTCCCCTCGAGCTTCTCGAACCAAGGGTGGCCTTACTCTGACTCAGATGTACACTGAATACGACAAGATGCGGATGCTACTTTCTTCTGAGCAACGGACTAACCAAGAGCTGCGGTCCACTGTGGATGAAATGGTCCAGGAATTAGAGTCCAGCAAGCCTGAGATTGATGAATTGCGAGCAGACCACAGCCGCCTCGAGAACGCTGTTATGGAAATGTCAAATATCCTTGATACCGCCAACAAGGAACGGGAAAATGCCACCAAAGAGGCACGGAAATGGCAGGGCCAGGTTGAGGGCCTGACCCGCGAGGGTAGCATTCTCCGCCAACAGCTTCACGATATTAGCGCCACCGTCAAAGTGCTTCTGTTAGAAGTGGCTCTTGCCAAGGAAGGCGAAGATTATGACCGCGAGGAGTTAGAACGAATCGCTCGCAAACAAGTTGAAGATAACTCTGCCGAACTCAATGCCACTGGCCGCTGGATCAGCGAAAATGTGACTACGTTCAAGAACCTGCACGATTTACAACAACAGAATCTGGATCTCCGTCGTATGCTCCGTGAAATTGGTGATAAGCTGGAGAGTGAGGAAGCTCGTGAGAAGTCGGCTGTTCACCAACAGGAGCAGGAAGAATTGAAGGAACTGCGCATTCGATGCCAGACTTACCGGGACGAAATTGCCAACTTACTCTCCCAAATCAAGAGTTACGTGAAAGAGCGTGATACCTTCAAGAGCATGTTGAGTCACCGCCGGCAGACCGTCGGTGATCCCTCTGTTTTCTCGCAATCTATGCCCCCTGGTACCATTCCTCCTGGAGCCGCTAGCAGCCAGTCTGGTGATATGAACGGTTCTGCCGAGCTGCTTCGAAGTGTTCAAGCTCAATATGATACTTATCGCGAAGAGATGGCATCTGATCATGCCGCTCTTCGTCAACAAATCAATGAGCTTTCCCGGAAGAACAGCGAGCTTTTGAGTGAGATCAGCCGGTCAAGCAGTCAACTTGCAGGCGCATCACAACGCGCAGATCTTCTTCAAAGCAACTTCACCATGTTGAAGACTGAGAACAGTGATCTTCAAAAGCGCTATTCCACTCTTCTTGAAAATGCCAACCGACAAGATATTCGCACACAGCAAGCTGCTGAGGATCTTGTGGAGGCCAAGGGTCTTGTAGAGAGTCTTCAGCGTGAGAATGCAAACCTAAAGGCCGAAAAGGATCTTTGGAAGAGCATTGAGAAGAGACTACAGGATGACGTCGAAAATCTTCGAAACGAGCGGACCCGACTCGACTCTTACAACGCCAACCTTCAAACCATGCTGAACGAGCGTGAGCACACCGACACGGAGACTCGTCGACGACTTCAATCAAGTGTTGAGACCCTCGAGTCTGAGCTCCAGTCCACCAAGCGCCAACTCAACACCATCACAGAGGAGTCCAAACAGGCTAGTCTACGCCGTGTTTACGAACAGGAACAAAGCCAGAAGCGTATCGATGATCTGGTGACCAGCTTGGGCGCAGTTCGGGAAGAATTGGTTGCGATCAAGACCACCAGGGATCATCTGCAATCTCGCGTGGAGGAGCTTACAGTCGAGCTCAAGAGCGCAGAGGAGCGCTTGCAGGTCGTCCAGTCACGGCCCAGCGTATCTGCGAACGCCACAGAAACCCTTGCTGCTGACAGCCAGGGAGCCGAAGAGGGTAGTGGTCTCACTCGCGAGCAGGAACTGGCTATTGAGGTTTCGGAGCTGAAGCGCGACTTGGACTTGGCGAAAGGCGAGCTTGCCCATGCTAAGGAGCAAGTGCAAGAATACCAAGCCATTAGCCAGTCCACCGAAGAGCGTATGGAGGCAGAGGCAGAGACCAACGCGCAGTACCGGGAGGAGACCGATCGTCTTATCGAGGAGAAGGACAAGAAGATCAAGGATTTGGAAGCTCGCGTTGAGGAGATCTCTTCGGAGCTCTCTGCCTCCAATGCCGAAATTACCAAGATTCGCGAAGAGCAGACCGAAGCCACACGACACCTCGAAGAGCAGAAAATCTCTCTTGAGTCTGAAGTCACTCGCCTCAAGGATGAAAACGAAAGACACATCGCTGCTGCTCAGTTCCACCAAGAGGATATCAAGGCACAGGCCGAGATCGCCCAAAATGCCCAGCAAAACTATGAAACTGAGCTCGTCCGCCACGCTGAAGCGGCCAAGAACCTGCAGATCGTCCGTGCAGATGCCAATCAGCTCAAGCTGGAAATGGCCGAATTGCGGACTCAGTCTGAGAATTATAAGAAGGACTTGGCTCAGAAGGAGGAGAGCTGGGTTGAACAGCGCGCCAGGTATGAGGGTGAATTGGCAGAGTTGCACAAGCGCCGCGAGGAGGTACTTCATCAAAACTCTCTGCTTCACACTCAACTTGAGAACATCACTACACAAATCTCTGCCCTAAAGCGTGACCGTGCCAATGTCCCCGAGTCTTATGATCAAGAAAGTGAGCAAGCGGGCTCAAACCTGGAGGGTCTTCAAGAAGTCATCCACTTCTTACGTCAAGAAAAGCAAATCGTGGATGTGCAGCTCCATCTATCTGAACAAGAAGGCAGACGCCTTCGACAGCAGTTGGATTACACACAAACTCAACTTGACGAGACAAGGCTCAAGCTTGAGCAGCAACGCCGTGCTGCTGCCGATAGCGATCATAATGCTCTTAACCACAACAAGCTCATGGAGACGCTCAATGAGCTAAACCTTTTCCGCGAGAGCAATGTGACCCTTCGCAGCCAAGTTAAACAAACGGAAAGCTCCCTCGCCGAAAAATCTGCTTTGATTGATGAGCTTCGTCAGAAGATTGAGCCCCTGGAGACAAAGATTGTCGAGCTAGAGAACATCGTGGAAGGCAAAGACGGGGAGATGCAGATCTTGCAGGCGGACAGAGATCGTTACCAGCAGCGTGTGCAGAACATTCTCCAGAAGTACGATCGGGTCGATCCTGCGGAAATGGAGGCTCTCAATGAGAAGATCGCAGGCCTAGAGAAAGAGCGGGATGAAGCGATCGCTGCTCGAGACGAGGCTGTGTCCGCTCGCGATGCTCTTCAGGCTGAGGTCGACTCATTCCCCGAGCAGTTGAGGATCGGTTCCGAGGCCCGAGTGAATGAATTACGCACGAAGCTTACGGAGCAGTTCAAAGGCAGATCCAAGGAACTTTCAGGACGCATCAATAGCAAACAACAAGAACTTAATGTTGCCTTGCAGGAGAAGGAAGTGATACAAGAAGAGCTGACCACAACAAAGGCGGAGTTAGCAGCACTCAAGGCCAACGCGGCTAACGGCTCCGCCCATGTAGCCGCGCCTACAACACCCGCACCGGTTCCTGCTGTGCAAGAAGAATCCACCGCGGTCAATCCTACGCCAGCATCCCAGTTCCCTACTTCGACCACACAGGTTATCGCCTCGGGTGACGAGCCGAAGATCAAGGCACTGGAAGAGAAGATCCAACGTCTTGAGGCCGCCCTTGCTGAGAAGGATGCTCTTTTGGCATCAAAAGATGCTGAACTGGAGGCCAAGATCAAGGAGCGTGCCGATCGACTTAAGGAGGTCTTCAACAACAAGCTCGCTGAAGTCAGAGCCGCCCACCGCCAAGAAATGGAAAAGCTGTCAAGTGGGGAGACTCCCGTGCCTGCTACACCTGGCATCGCCGCCGACTCGGCACCCACGACGCCGTCCAAAACCTCCGCTCTGCCCGATCTGACAGATGCTCAAGCGCGCTTGCTTGTCACATCGAATGAGACTATCCGCACTATTATACGCAACAACATCCGCAACCACATTGCGAAAGAAAGGGAGAAGATCATCCAAGAAGTCCAGTCATCCTCCACTGGAAATGACGGCGCTGCTGCGGTGATTGAACAGAAGTTCAATGAGGAGAGAGAGGCCCTCAAGAAAGCCTATGAGGCAGAGGTGGAAGAAAAGGTCAAATCCGCCCGCGAACTTTCCGACAAGAAATCCGCTGCTCGCATCAGCATGCTGGACGCTCGAATGAAGACCGCACAGGCCAAGATTGAGGTTGTTCAGAAGGCCGCTGGCGAGACTCCGCAGAAGCCTGTCGTCGAGGTCTGGGAGGTAGCCAAAACAGCACGGCCATCCGCCCCTGCGCCTAAGCCGGCCCAATCGCCCGCTGTGCCTGCTTCTCCTGCCCCTACGGTACCTGCGCCGGCGCCTGCTGCCGTACCGACCCCAGCGCCAGCTCCAACTCCAACTGCAGCTGCTGAACAAAATGCTCCCGCTGCTACAGGCCTCGAAAGTGCCACAGTGCCCGAACCAACAGCGACAGATGGTCAAATAGAAGAAGGCGAGGCTAAAGAGGCTACCACTCCAGCCAACCCATTTGGCCAATCACAGCAGAACAGCCAGGCCAGCCAGCCTTCTTCTTTACCGAGTAAACCACCTCCTGGAACTGCTCCTGCGGCATTGAAAGCTCTTCAATCGGGACTTCCAGTCGCCCGAGGCGGTCGTAACGCGGCCCGCGGCGGAGGTCAGCAGAATCCCTTTGGCCATGGCCAGCAACAGCAACAGCAACAGCAACAGCAACAGCAGCAAGGTCAAGGCCAGAGCCAGCGTGGAACTGGTCTTCCTCGAGGACGCGGGGACGCGGGGGTGGCCAGGGCCGTGGCGGTAACCAAAATGCTGCCAACGCTCAGAACCAGCCCCAGACACCCGCGGCCAATCGTGGAAATCTGAATGTCCAAGCCAAGCAGTTTGTTCCTCAACAAGGCAACAAGCGAGGCCGTGATGATAATTCTGATGCTGCAAATGACGGTGGTAGTGGTGGAAAGCGGATGCGAGGAGGCGGAGGACAAGCGCGCGGAGGAGCTTCCTCCTAGTGACAATCCATGTATCAATCTTTACCATGTATTTATGACCCATGGAGGGCAGGTGGTGCCTAGATGGTTGATTTATTCGTTGCCAGGTATTCGGCCAAGTGATGCCCTCGAGTCTTGTTTCTTTTGTTTCTGTATCTAGTGATGATGGCGTTCCAGAGCTGCGATGTCCTCCAGAATCCAATATGGATCGGAATGGATTACACCGAGTCTTTTATTCAACATGTCTTTTTATCTTCAACATTTCCAAGCATTCAACATATAATTGCATTCCAGCCATTTGCTTAAAGCGCTGGTATCCCAATGTCAAGGGGATAGATAATATCAGAAGCAGGAAAGGGTATCAAAGAGCCCACGAGAGATCTAGTCCTTAAAACGACCCTCTAGGAATAACAGAAAATGTAGCGCCATATGTTCAAAACCACAAGATTCGAGTTCACTTCTTCTTCGCCCCAGCTGGAACGATCATCCTTGCCAAAACCTCCCTCTCCTTCTGCAAGACCATCAACCTGGCGTCCTCAATAATCTTTCCCTTAGGCGCAGGCCCAGGTACAGAAACCTGCGCAACCTGCGCTGCGACAACAACAGCAGGTCCGGGCTCTTTAGCCTCTCTTGCCCTCTTCCTCCGCTGTCCAAGCCCAGACCCATAAACAACAACCCACTCATCCACCTTTCCATTCTCGGGAACCTCACATCCAGGACATATCTTCGAATGTGAACCTATATCCGCACCCCGATGTATCGTTGCAAGAGCCTCGATCGTCGCAGACGAATGAATGTGCGCACCGGGGTGGATAGTCGATGACGGACCGATGGTCACGAAGTAGGAGAGACGCGTTGCGATTTCTTTGGACTCTGTTGATCGTGTGGGTTGCGTGCCGATTGTGGCCTTTTCACTGATTATGCAGCCGTCTCCAATGATTATGGGGCCTTGGTAGGCGTAGAAGCGGGCGCGCGGATGGATGATAGTGCCCGCGCCGATGGTGACGGGGTATGTGCCTTGGAAGACTGCTGTGTCGGCGATTGTGGCGGAGGGATCAGCTTTGAGGGGAGCTTTCGGGGGTCCGGTTGGTATTGGACGACTGGATGGTGGTTTAAGGGTAGCCATTGTGTTGTGCTAGATCGTGTTTTGGGAGGACGGGGATTGCGGAGTTTGGGAGCGGGTGCGGCGTCAAGTTCGGTGAACAACATTTGAGAGGTCAACGTTAAAATCGTCACAGTTTTGTACATATTTCACCGGGTATCTAATATCTAATTTATAGTGCGAAAAACGCCCAATGCCAAATTTAAGGCCAAGCCACCTTCTACTCCTCGGCCTTACTTAATGCCATTTCTCTTCCTCCAAGCCCGGACACCGCGATCCATCTCGTCCAACGTCATACCATCCCGCACGAGACAAAATGTAACTCCAAGCTCCGTCTCAACATTGCGGTTCCGCGTCTCGTCGTCGAAGAACAGCATATCCTCATATGCAACACCGCTGGCCTGATGAATTTTCGCAAAATGCTGAGTCTTAGTCGCCGGGAAGATCTGGATGAAATCGAAATAATCGAGAGCGCGAATAGTCTTCGCGTTGGCAGCGGGATTATCTGAGAAAGTCGGGATAATATGCAGGGCTTTAAGCATGTCGCGCGCCAGTTCGGGGGTATGAGTTCGTGAGGCAAGGGCTAGTGGAATCGAGCGGGCCTTGCAGGCGTAGATAATCGAGGACACAGCGGGGTAAAAGGCAAAAGCTTCACCCCATCTGAGAGATTGTTAGCGTGTGTATAGTTGATGTTGAACTGGTCAGTATTTACTTGTCCACAACGCGCGAGTTATTGTCCCTCGCCTTGATTGGGGCACTGCAGTGTGTATCGACCCAGAATGGCCATAGAGTGTAGTCGAGATCGAAAGCAATCAATTTGGGAAGAGGGAGACCGTCGGTGAATGTTGCGGGGGACACGGAGGTGTCCTCCCGGGGCTGTGTGTTCTGGCGCTTGTTTCGAAGCATGGCTCACTTGAAATGAATGGAAAAGAGTGTAGAGGGTGATTGTGAAGGAGAGTTGAAATTATTTGGAGATTCCAAGTTTGAGTCTTGGAAGGCGGGGAGATAAGAAGCCTTGGCACGTGTCATGCCTAGAGCTGCGAACTAAATGCTCGACTATGGCATTCTCCTTCATGTTATTATCATCCATGAGGAAATTGCCCGACCATGTAAGTCCTACTTTACAGCCTAATTAAAGTAGAATATAATTCTCCAATTTGCTTTGTCAAATAATGTTCGCCTTCACATTGCAACGTTACGAAAGGCTGAAGCTTTTGAATTAAATGGCTCTTTATACGTCTGCTCGGCTTTGATCTCAAGAATGTTCTCGTCAGTAGGCACAATCGAAAAGTCTTCATTCGAGATCAAACAGTTCGTCCCTGACTTCAATAGACAGTGTGTGAAGGATCCTCTTGGCTGCTGCCTCGCCAGTTGCAAATGCTCCATGAACACATCCGCTTCCTGCCAGAGCCAGGTGCTCACCCGCGAACTGAAGTTTGCTTTTGTGACGACTCTGTGCCGCATTTATCAAGATGTTGGGATCGTCGCCAACTTTCTCGGAGGTATAAGCCCCAAACCCAGCAAAAGCATCTCGCGTCCAACAAGTCGACTCGATGCTCGTGACTTGGGGCAGGGCTTTGTATGGCTCTTTCCGCAGGAGCTTGAACAATGGTTCAAAGAACTCATACAGCTCCTTCTTGTCAGTGATAGCCTCCACCTTTTGTGTCAATGGCTCAACTACCTGCACACATAATTCTTTGCTGTCCGCTACCAGTAGGAGATTCACTGTTACCGTAGCGTAGTTCAGGATAGTGTCGGATATCTCCGAGACATTGGCCGTGTCAACCATTTCGTCGGTCGTGTCATGCGGAGAAGGATAATAGATGAACTGGTCGTGATTTTTAGACCAGAATACCTCACTGAATTCGAAGAATATCTTCCCCAGTGCTCCATAGCTAAGGCTTTTGATTCCCTCTTGCATGTCCTGCGGGAGAGGGGGGGTCGAATGATATTAAGTTGTGATGAAATGTGCCCAGCGGAGTCGCGACAATGATCGCGTCGCCGAAGACTGTCTGGACTTGACTTTCGTCCTCTGAATTTGCACATTCCACAAAAACCAAAGTGGACATGTTATCATTCCAATGTACTCTTTTGACGATATGATGTAATCGGATACAATCGGGGGTTTCGAACATGTCTTTGGCTGTCCAGTTGACGATGGAATCATAGCCATCCTTCATGTAGAGGTTTCGCTCAGTAACGAAGTAGGTCAAATGTTTTGAGGATGCCTGGGAAGTGCTCGTTCCCACCCATTGTTCAGCCTCTTTAATCACCTGTGGCGCCCACTGTCTTTCGTCCTGAGTAATTAGTGGATGATTCTGAGTGAAGTCCCTTATGAATTCATCGACACTTCGATCCTTGGCGTCAGGACTTGTTTCATAAAACCATTCAGCATAGTCTGCAAATTCATCGACTACTTTCTTTGCTTTAAACTGAGATCCAGCGCGTCCATCAGAGGTATAGTAAACGGGTGTCCCGTCGTCATAGTAGTATGAAAGTCCGAGTTTTGGGACCAGCTTAACGAGCTTGTTTTGGGAGGTTTCGTGCATCCAAGCGGCCCCTGTTGTCCCTCGCCCGTGTCAGTACTAGACGCTTGGTATAAAGGACGTTTTGTGGAAAGTAGACTTATCACTCAAGAAGAAACTCGCTGGAGCTGGTCCCCACATTGAGTTCAAGGTACCCCTGCAAAAGCCTCGAGAACACTAAATCCAGATAGACGCACCCATATCCCGCGCTGGCTTTCCGTTCTTTCGGCTGGTCAAGATTCTTCCCCCAATCCTGTCCCGAGCCTCAAGCACAATCACATGAAGACCATGCCGCTTCAAGATCGATGCAGCGCGCAGTCCAGCTATTCCCGCTCCCACGACGAGAACTGTTTTTGGAGTAGCCTTCGAGGAGAGTTCGACATGGGGTTGAGCCGCTTCTGTTCCTTTGGCCGCGAAAGACTTCTCGCCTTCCAAGGACTCAACCTGAGTCGAAGAATTTACGCTTCGCCCAGGAACAAGAGCAGACAAAGGGCTGGTTTTGGCTTCCCATTCCAAGGAACCCGGCATGGAATTTGAACTAATGTGAAGAGACATTCTGAATTTCTGAAACTCAAGATAAGAAGCAAGGATCTTTTAAGCAAAGAGAGGCGAGCCATCTGCAATGAAGGTCGGAGAGGCACCTTTTATCTCAGAAAACCCCCCACAGCAGATTTGGTATGTCCATGCGAAATGGATTGGATTATTGTCTACCATCACGCTGCGCGCGCCATTTGCTACGCTCAACGTAACGCGTCCAAGCGAGGTTGGTTTTCACGAGTAAGAATATTGATTTTGTTCTCAGCAGATGTACTGAGTCAACAACTTTTTTGAACTTGTCGTCCTTCGGAGTTACCCCACACTTCTCCCAGCCCGTGACACGCATGAAAATCTCGAAAATCCGTGACTATGCTGCAATCGAAAGCCATCTATGGCAATAAGAAAGATTTTTGGGGTTTACCTTTTTCATAAAATCCACCGCTTTACCTCTCCGGGAGTTATGTTGCTGTAAGATCGCCTTGATAATATTGCCCGACTGCTCTATTCTGGCAGATGCAAGTGATGGACTAACCTCTCCTGAGAGAGCTGCATAGACGAGAGCGCCGATGTCAACAATATTGGCCATTCGCAGCGCTATATTTCGCGGCTTTCGGTTAGTTAAGCAAGCTTTCGCCAAGCCTCACCGGAATTCCACTTGCCCTTCTGGGAAGGCCTACGCATTAGCGCCAAAAACCAAAATTTCTCATAGGGACAATCATCTCGCTGACATCCGTGAGTCATTTGAACGTCTTGTTTGGTTTAAGAGCTTGCATATTCGGGCCGTATCAGTAAGGCATAAGGGCCTTGTTGGACGGCTACTTACCCCGTATTCAGCACACCCGAAGCTTTTGCTAAAATGCTCTAGTCAACGGGGTGTAGTTTTCTTCAGCATGTTGTAAAAAGGACAATGTATTGGTAAGTTTTACAACTTCGCATTCGTCTTATGAAGGCTGAAGCTTCTGGTTCGTACCAAGGATACCGGAGATCACACATTTTTGTGTGAGATCATTCATTTCATTCGTTTTCCTATCACCCAGATCGATATACACTGATGAATTGGCTTCTGTATATCAGAAGCGGACGAAATAATTTATCTTCACCACAATTCCCAGCTCTGCTGATCAAATGGTCCATACAATCCTCAACTTCACCCCAGCGCACTCTGCCACCGCTCGCTCAGTTGCTCATTTGTAATGAACTCATGGTCGTGATTGGTTGAACTCTTCATCTTCGAATCTATATCACGATCGGAAATTGAATGCTAATAGCCCAGTATGATATAAAGACATGTTGTGGTGTTCATTTGAACACATCATTTGGAGTCCTATTCTTGGCTATCAGTGAACGCTTCTCTTCTCTTCGATGCTTGCACTCTATGGCTATATCGATTCTCTCCTTCTCCAATATATTTTCTTCCCAGCTAGTCTGTACACTGAATACTCAGAGTGTGCTGCAGGGTCAGTCACTTGTGGGGACATCAGAATCCTCTGGAGCAACTGCTCAACCTTATCTCTCCGACTTGTCTTTCTGACATCAGCGAGGAATTGTCCTTCGCTTATACAATTTCTGACAACCAGTGTGGGAACCTACTTGAGTCCACCAACCGCTGGAATCCTTGCTGTTAAATGGCCTGGTGATGGATTGGATACGTTGATTGATTGCTCTTGCAGTCGCGACGAGATCGTGGTAGCGCCACGGGAAGGTTCCATAGCAGTCGAGATTGATCCATCGTCTGCAGAGTCGTAGTGCTTTGACCTGAGAAATCCAATTATCGTGACCATAATAGTAGCTCTTGCGCGCTCTACTTTCTGTGGAGGCTCTGGGCTTGGATTTTGGTGTGGGTTTGGCCAAGACCATCAGCTCGTTCTGCGGAATTTGTGGGGCCTTAGGCCTTCACGCGTGGTTGACACGAACTACCGATCACATCTCGCGAATACCTTAGCTCCCATTGGACTATGCACCACGCTAAACCCAGCTGACCCCAGCCAGTGCCACTTTGGACTCCGCAGCTGAAGGACAAAGTCAGAAACTCGAATGAGAGGGAGCTGAATGACCTTAACAGGTCTAGCGTCGGATTTGGCCGTGGCAATGCTAGACGAGCCAAACTGGGGCCAAAACGCGATGGCTTTATGCAGGAGACTGCACGCTATGAACAAGTCGAAGCAGAATGGAGGCCTTAAACTTCCTGGATGAAGAGGCCCGAGTCGCTCGTCAGTATAAAAGCGTCATTCTGGTCCTGAGGATCCTGTTTCAGGGTCTTCATCTTATATTCTTGACCTATACATTCCGCTGCTCGTTTTCACGATGGTAGAAATGGACCCCTATTGTGTGACTCTTGGAGGGGAGCATCTTCACAGCGAAGATCATGACTTGCGCATGAGACAAAAGAAAGACATTGGTCGCTCCTGGGCGCCCAAGCGTATTGTCATCTGCTGCGACGGGACCTGGCAGTCCTCCGTCTCGGGCAAGAAGAACGTGCCATCCAACATCACTCGGCTCTGTCGCGCGCTGAATCGCGTAGGAACTGACGCAGATGGTAGAGTATGGCAGCAAGTGGTCTGGTACGACTCCGGCATTGGGACGACCGCCCTCGCACTAGGAGATGCCGTCGAAGGAGCATTTGGCGAGGGTCTCGAAGGCAATGTCATTGAGGCATACAACTTCTGCGTACTCAACTATAACCCCGGAGATAAAATCATGTGTTTTGGATTTTCCCGTGGTGCCTTCACTGCGCGCACTATCGCTGGTCTAATCTCGGATATCGGTATTTGCGATCAAAGCAACCTGAACAAATTCCCCGATCTGTGGAAAGTATACAAGCAGCACGGTAAAGATCATCCTGGACAGCGGTTCCATCGCAGTGATGCTTGGTACGAATGGATGTGGGGGAAGCTCGATGAAAACCAAGGTGCTGGAGGCCCAGACGAGACGGAGCTTCGTTGGACTCAGAAGGCAGAGGGTGAATGGTCTCCAGATGAGACGAAAGAAGTCGAAGTAGTTGGTGTCTACGACACCGTTGGTGCCTTGGGAATGCCTGAAGTCTTTGGGATCAAATTTCCTCAGAAGTTTCTGTTTTGGAAAGATCAACCTTACTGGCAAAACACAGAGCTCTGCGCCAGTAAGTCGTGCTTCCATGCGTGAGTCAAACCGAGAAAGATTCTAAACTACGCATTTCCAGACATTAAACACGCCTACCATGCTCTTGCTCTTGACGAGTCCCGCAGGGCATTTAGCCCGACTCTATTCTACATCCCAACCCAGCAAGTTTCCAAGGGCGACTTGAAGGAGAAGATCGACGCCGAGGAAAAGGCTAAGAAAGCTTTCAAAGACAAGCGGGATGAAGCACAATCTCTCAAAGCGAACAATGCCGCCAATGAGCTCGTTAACCAGGCTTGCCGCGAGGCCAATGAGCTCGCCAAGATATGGAACAGAACACAACGAAAGCGTGTGAAGTATCAGAACCGGCTGGAACAGCACCCTGAGCTAAAGCAAGTGTGGTTCCCTGGCTACCACGTCAATGTCGGCGGAGGCTCGAGTGATACCCTTCACAACAAAGGCGACATGGAAGAGATGTCCAACATCGCATTTTCTTGGATGCTTGACCAGATCCGACCCCACCTTTCCATCAACGAGGAAGCTATCATGAAGGATTACGCTGATCGTGAGGAACTTATCGCCCAATACAACAAGGATCTTCGAGAGTGGCAACGACAGCAAATAGCTCGCAAGAATGAGTCCTGGGGCGCATGGGGCTCGCGCATTGCAGTCGCAACTGCTTCGAACATCATCCATCCATTCACTCCCAGCACTGATCTGCCCAAGCCTGCTTTTGACAAACTTCGTGTTTACCGGTGGGGCCTTGGGGAGATGTTAGACAGCTACACCCCGATGTACTGGGCTAATGGGCAGACTAAGCGTACGCCTGGCAGGGGAGTCGAGGCTGAGAAGAACGGGAAGACTGTCATTTGTGGCGACACCCATGAGTTCATCCACCCCGTCGTACACTACCGAAGGGAGCATTTCAAGGCGATGAATCCCGGTAGCCCGGAAGTCCAACTTTACCATCCCATTGGCAAGGAGTTTGACTCCAACTATCTCCGTCGCTCCACTATCGACAAACATGGAACCCCAGCATTCGAATATAGAATTGGAAGCTCGCCAAATTTTATTGAAGAGTGGAAAATGGGTGGAGCAGACTCTTATGAACGATTGGCGATCAAGGAAACCGCAGCATATGCTCACGTCGACGAGCTTGAGAAGTATTATAATTCTGGCTTTGAGGGGATTCGCCGTCCTGTCTTAAAACTCCCGAAGGAAACGACTGATCCTGAATCCTCTGATCTGGAAGGGGTTCTAGGGTGTGGTTTTGGTTCTTTCGTGGCTGTGAAGCCCAGCCGCCCCATGAGTATGTGTAGAGACGAGAGCCATACTTTATGCACCAAGCAGGACGAAGTCCATGTTCAGACTCAGGAGATTCAGGTTGAGAGCCGATTCAAAACATCTGAATCTCAAATTCAACGAGATCTTCATCTTTGATTTCTTTGATTCATGGTGGGTCACATTCATATTTAGTGGAGCTCTTACTACCCCGTACGAGGTATGAGATTGGTATCAACAAGGCTTAATCACTTTCTGATCGCTCATTTGAATGCTTCGATGTGCAGGGCTCTGAGATTTATTTCTTGTACAAAGAATTATGAACGGCTCTCTCAGATTAAATTTTCCTTTTGTGGATTGGCATCCAGATGCACCGTCTGGTAGCCTATTATTTTCTGTCCCCCCGATATGTACACATCATTGTTCGCTTCCATGAACTGCGCACTCTCAATTATTCGTACATTAACATCAACTATTATTACATACCACCCATACTGCTTCGGCCAGAAGTCGACTGACTCATACAATCTATCCACCCAGTCTGCAAAACCCCTTCAAAGCCCTGGCTCTGACTTTCGTCGCTCTTTTTTATCATGCCAGTATCCCTTTGCTACAAAAGTCAAACTCAAGACAATGCCCAGCACAGTCAATCCAATGCCGAAATACCAAGCACCACGATACCCAAGCAGGATATCAGCAGGTGTTTTGCCACCGTGGTTAACATGCACCTCAATGGTGCCCGCAAATCCCAATCCAAGCGAGATACTATAATTGACGACCGTAGCCACCAAGGCTGCCCCCATACCCTGATGCTGCTTCTTCACAGCGTTGGAAAAAATGACCGTCGCTGCAGGAAATGACGTATCCATACCGAAGGGGATGATCAGCATGCAGACAAACAACTGGGCCCAGTACGTTCGATGTATTGGTGCCGTCGCCACCAGGATGGTCCCCACCATGAAACAGGTTAGGGAGAATGTCATGACCCAAGCCGCGCGAATATGATGAAGCAAGAAGCCAGTAGCCACGGATGCGACCGCGCCTGAGACAGCAACGGGGCAGATGTACGCGGCCATGAGCAACGGTGAGCCGCCCCTCAGTACCTCGACAAATTGTGTCAAGTAATAGATCCAGATCCCAAAGCAGCTCCAGCCACAGGCGATGCAGGCAACCACAAACAAAATATCACCTGTGAAGACGTGAAAGGGTACTAGCGGCATCTTAGCCCACCGAGATTCGACGAAAAAGAAGCAGATTGCGAATAGGACGCCGAGAATGAGTGTGACATAGATATATGCCTGTTGCCAGCCGTACGCCGGACCTTGATTCCATGCGAAATTGAACAGTACCAGCGCTGCGACACCGGTGATGGCTCCAGGTATATCGAGCATTTGGAGCTTTTCTCTGAGCGTCTTATCTTGGTCTCGCGAGCGGGTGTGAGCTGGGATGACGAGGGCGCTGAAGGCAGCTAAAAGTGCCAGCGCGATAGCGAAACTCCAGAATGTCCACGGCCACCAAGCCAGCGTGAAGAGGCCGGAGAAGACAAAGCCAAAGACCCCTCCACCTGGCGCGCAGGCACCGAATAACGCAAACGCCATGTTCTTCCTTGGCCCGGCGGGATATGAGACCCCTAAAAGGGCAAGGCCATTGGGTAACAAGGCGGCGGGGCCCAGTCCCTGGAGTACTCTGGCGAAAATAAAAAGATACTGGTTCGAATAGACACTGAGTCCTGCAACCATTGTCCAGAGAGAGAACCATATCATGCCAATTAGGAATACCTTTTTGTACCCAAAGAGATCCCCAATCCGGCCGGCCACGATGATAAAGGTCCCCGCCGTCAAGCTATATCCAGCGATGAACCAAGACAAGACCCCGGGATTAGTGACACCGAAGGTGTCACCAATCTGATGAAGAATGCCCAGTGTTTGGGTTAAACCCACTTGTGTCGTGAATTGAGCCGTGCATATCGTTGCAATGAAGACGCATTCATGGAGAAGTGACATTTGCTCAGCGGCATATGCAGATGAGGCGATGGACATGCTTCTTTTGTGATCATCGGCGGCTGTAGAGCTTCCGATCACATCATCTTGCTGGGCTTCAGCCTCTTGGTCGGGATGCCTCTCGGTGTCATTATCAAATTCCGGATTCGCCATGTATATGCTTTATACAAAGGTTACGGAACCACTAGATCAATGATGAGCTTGCTTTGATATTAGCTGTGCGCATTTGAAACTCATGAATAGATAATACTGACCCAATATAGATGAATGTCCTAATAGAGTGAAATCTGGGAGGTCATAAAAAATTATGTCATTACCTAAGAATACGGGTAAGGTAATAAGCGGGAAGCTTTGTAAGTCCAGGTGTGGTAATGATCTTGAATGAATAATCAGAGCTGGAAGGTGGCTAGGGCTGTGATGAATAAAGTATTCAAAACGAACAGACAGTATACAGCACTATTTGCCAATGAAAAATGAAGCTGATTGATCCAGCATTGACTCCTGAGGAGCACGTAACGTCACGTGTTTGACCGATCGTAGATTCGGCTATCATTTGGCCGAACACAATAGGAGAGATAATCCGGGCTATTCCAACCATGGTACATATCAGATGCTTGACTACAGAGATTCATATCAGTATTGCTACTGTGTTTCCTTCGATCTGATCTCAAAGGACCAGGGAAATTGTTTAGATCCCGGAGCACCCCCTGGCGGCCGGCTATGGACCCGCCCGCTGCACGGTACTTACAGACGATCGGGAAGATTACCCAAAGGAGCATGGCGGCTGTGTTCTCTCGGTTTTTTTCCGCCTCTCCCTGCATTTCTGTTTACCAATGTTTTTAAAGTGAATTACTTGATTTTCCTTTCTTTAAAAAAGTCTGAAAATTCTTCTCAATTGCATTGGTAAAGGCCAGCAAAAGCTTTACAAGAGTTAGAATTTTCCTTGGTCATGTTGCAGCGCAAATCCTATAGTTTGTAGATCTACGTTCTTTGACTTTGATGATTTTGACTATCTACACGAAACAAGTACGGAATGCTTACTGATGCCGTCTTTCTCAACTGTTCAACCTTACGGAAATGAATAAGCGTATCAAGAACGTGTTTCACAAGGTGAGGGTTACCTTAAAAGTGGAAAGGCAGGTGTTTCTGGCGCAGAAACAATCATTTCCGGCATTTATCTCGCGGGTCGCCAATTTCTTAGTACAAATGAAGCTCTTATTTTACTTGAGAGCCTTTACTGTTATAATTAAGAATACATGAAAGTTCTTGCTTATCAACTTGAGAAGTCAAATCTAGTTCATAGTGGCATGAAGACTAGATGCTTCACATTGAATCCGCGTCTGCTATAGTCAATCTTATATGTTTTTTTTGGCTCCTTTCCATTTCATGCTCAACAAAGGTAGTGACTGTCTCAATCCACAAGGTAGATCAAACTTAAGCTTGAGCAGCAAATCCAAGCTGGGGGCCGCTGGCATCAAAGACGACGTACTGGCTCTTCAGGAAAATATCACCGAAGATAGAGAAACCAATACCAGCGTTAGACTGGAGACCGCCAAGGCAGGATCCATCGCCGGAGGGGCCGTAGTTCATCAGGGAGCCGGGCACGGTAGCAGTGTATCCGTTGATAGAGACGCTGAAGCTGGGTAGAGTGGCAGAGCAAGGGAAGACGTATCCACCAGCGTTGTTGTCATTCTTAGCGCCGCTGACCTGGGAGTAGTACTGGGAGACAATGGTGGAGTCAAGTAGAAGCAAAGTAGTACCAGTATCAGCGATACCGTCGAAACCAGCACCGGACTTGGTTCCAGCCTTGTAGCTGTCAACGCTGAATCCCCAGAATCCTTGGGAGTTGTCAACATCGGTGTACACGATGGAGCCAGTGTACTTGGAGGAGTCTGTGAAGCCAAAGTCATAGACACCGGGCTTGCCGTGCTTCAAGGCAACGGCGAACAGGGGCTGAGCGAGTGAGCTCTTGACATTGTCAAAGAAGGTGTTCTGAGCCCTGGGAGAGACGGTGTTGATGCTGCTGAAAGCCAGACCCAGAAGCCCGTCGTTGTCGACATCCTGCTGGAACTCGGAACTGATCTGCTGGGCAGCCTCAACGGCCTGCTTGGAAGCAGTAACGCCACCAACAGTGACTTTGTCTGTGTAGACGTTACCGCTGGCACCGCTACCATCACCGTAGGAGATATCCCAAGTATATCCGTTCAGCTTGGTTCCACTCTTGCTAGGGTTGTACACCGAGTGGCCAGACTGCTCTGAAGAAGGGAGCTCGGTAGAGAATACCCATCTAGGAAATGATTAGCTCGGAAATTCGGTGAGCAGAAAAGAAAGGTTTACTCACAGATCAGCCGATCCGGTGTCGAAGTCCAAGTTCAAAGTGGTACCACCAATGTTGACGGGAGTGAGATACTCTTCGTCGTTAGCCTCGGGGGTAGTGGTTGCAACACCACTAGCGACAGCAGCAGCCTCGATATGCGAGGGTACCGTAGCACCATACTTGGAAAGAGCACGACCATAGCTGGCAGCGAAGTTGGAGGCCTTGGTAGCAGGACGAGCAACCTGGTTGAGCGAGAACTTGCTGCCGACCTTGGTGGCGGGGGCGGCCGAGGCGATAGAGGCCAGACCCACAAGGGTAATAGCAACGTTGTTGATGACAACCATTGTGAAGGCTTCAGGAGTCACAGTCAAGAGATGAGAAAGGAGAATGATGCTGAATCAAGCAAGCCAAAAAGCCTGGCGACATATGGCTCTTTAAATAATTTCCTATACTTCACCATCCTGGAAGATATGAGTTGATGACCAGCATCCGACATAGTGCCTATCGCATCATTTGGGGACTAAGACTCGCATTGTTGCCTTTCTGAGGAATCCCAAACGTCGATCTACGAGCTACGGACACTAAAAGCCACCGGGCACGAAGGTGGCTTTCGAAGCGACTAGCTTACTGGTAGATAGGGTCACGTTCTATATTCTTCACGCGAGTAATTGGATGGCTGTGTGCTGTACCCTTTTGCGGTGCATATCTTGTGCATAGGGGATTCGGAGGCAAAGAAGTATTCTTCGATCTAGTGCATTGCCAAATTAGGTAGATTTCGGAGAGGTCCGAGTGAGGGATTCGCGAAAAAGTGGAGAAAAAGCAGGGCTCAAGCTTCAAGATCATCTCACGTTATCTCTATGACAAACTTTAGAGGTCCTGAGATAACAATCAAGGTGACATCGTGCCTGAAGACTGGCGGGTTGGTCTGAGGAAAAGCGGGGGAGTGGCCCAAATTAGGACAAAAGGGGTCCAGATCTAAGCACGATTCGCCATATCAGTATGCCCAGTTGAGAGTAGATCTAATGCGGGTGATCAAGGGTCCAACAATTACAGAGGCTAGCGACAGTCCCGACGGACGTCCGTGATGAAGTGATCCACATCTATTGTAACCATTCACGGGGAGCTAAACTACTCCCGCTCCTTATCACCGAGCCCTCGCCAGGAGCTAGGGTTCGATCCTTGAAGAACCGGCTTGATTGTCTAAACTTTGGCGCATTTGCCATAATCCAACAAGGATCAGATCTTCTTGACTTGTTCACTCGTCGCTGCAGGTATGCCACAGCACCCCTGGAGGTGGATGGCGTGTCTTTGTTGAGCGCCCCCTCCGACGGAATACCACTGGGCGTCCGTCTAGGAAGGCCGTGGAGACCCTCAAACTTAGAGAGGCCAAGACTCTTGGCCGAGGCATGGCAAAGCTTACTTGTATCATTCGTGGGCTCATAGACCCTGTGAGCTTATCACGCGTTCTTCTCAAATGGTGAACAGAGATCGTACACCATTTGAAGGGACAACCCCGGATAATGAGATCGGTTGAAAGAAGGAATAAGACTCAATTTTGGGGGAGGGGAGACTATCCAATTTCTGCGAGTTGAAGCTATCTATAATTATGACCGAGTCAATTTCATACAGTCTCCCAGCATGCTAAATGTTCGGCACATAATGTCCTGTGGCATGGGGTCATAATACCGATGCTCCCAATGAGACTGAGTGTAGAGTGATTTATCATAAGTAACTAGAGAGGAAGGCAGGTTAAATGGCAAGAACAAACAGCGCTCGAAAAGGGAGGAAAAATAGGCACATTATCCAAAAAGCATTAGGCATATACGAGACCAATTTGGAGAACATGTTTACTCAGAGAAATCCTGCTTTCCATATGACCATGTTTTCCCAGCTTTACGCCGGAAGGTATTTCCGGCTGCATAACCTTGGCAACACCTCTGAACTTCTTGAATTGTGGACAGCGGTCAAAACAGAGGGCATTCGATAATATTAGACTAAATTGATATAACATGTCATTATAACCATTAAAACATGCACCCAGCCCTCAAGGTCCATATAAAATATAGATTATGAATAATTCGAAGCACCGAGCCCATCAGACCCGTCCGGGCTTGAGCGTCAGAGCCATTTCCTGAGCAAGACACACTCACTCACTCTTGATAGAAAAGAATTCCAGTGCTCAGTCGAAGTTAATAAAGCGACCATATTCTTCGAACATCAGTCTGTCAATGTCCTCCCAGCCTAGGGGAGCATCTTCGGCGTTCGAAGGTGTTTCGGTCTCAGTTTCGACTTCAGTATGGAACGGCTCCCCTACCTCCAGGTCATCCACTGCTTGAGTGGTTCCCTGCGATGTTTGCTGGGTGTTTTGTTTTCGAACATTACCGTGGGTCTCCTCAAGAACTTGGGCTGTGCGTTTCAGATTGTGGGTTGTGTTTGCAGTGGATGGGGCGAAAGGCGCGGTCGTAGAGGAGCTGTCAAGGATACCCGGGTGTGTGAAGACTTCTGTTTCCAATTCGAGAGAATCGTCACTCCAGATGTCGAAGACAGATCGGCGCTTTTGGAAACGACGGTGCTGAGCGTTTTGAATTGTGGACGTCGGAGTGGCCGCATCGAATGCGGTGGAAACCGTCCTGGTTGAACCAGGCACGATCAGATCTTTGTCACTATTCTCGATAGAAAGAGACCTTGGGTCGATAAAAGTGTCTTCAGATTCGTTGGACTGCGCCATTTCCATTACGGGTGAGTTTGATTTGTCAGATCTGCGCGCATTGCGTGCCAGAAGCCCCGTTGGGGCTGCTAGGTCGGCGAAGCTCGAATCTTCAAAGTCACTGGAACTAATCCGGATAGGGCTCTCCTGTCCCCCCTTCTCGATAATTGGCTGGGTTCTACTGCTGATAGGCTTGGTTCGCAGCTGAGATTTGAATGACGAGGTTCGCTTGGCAGGAGCGGTGGAAGATTTGGTTGTCGACAGGTTGCGGCTCTTTCTGCTTGTAGTGTTCTTAGACTTGGGTTTTTGGATGTTCCTAGGTCCACCATTTGAGGCGTCTTGTTTCTTGATGGTAGCTGGCAGAGTCAACTGGTTGAGGCCAGGAGAGTTGTCATTTGCCATAATCCGCGATTTGCTGGGTTTGGGTGGCTTCTCCAGACCGTCACGACAGCAGAAGTGCTTGCAGCTACTGGAATCAGCGTATCCTATCCATGAAACCAAGTGTGTCCATACCTCGTTTTATCGTTGCATTTATGATTGCAAGCCCACTTCCCATTCGGAAGTCTGGTTGGCCCTCTGTCGTCCTCGTCGAGCAAACCCATGTCAGCGATCCAGTCGTCAGCTTTGAATTTTGTTGTCTCTAGGCGACGCTTGGGACTTGGGGAGTCGCTAATTGACATCCAGTCAATTTCTTCGACTTCAGATCCCTTTGGTTTGGCAGCCTGTTCTGCTTTGTCTCGACGCTGCGCTGCAGTCAGAAAGTCTTCCAGCTCCAAATCGTCTCCGTCAAAGTCGTCAAATGTGAGCCTGGTTTCAGACTGTTTTTTGGCTTGCAGCTGGGTCATCTTCATTGCGGGCTCCGCCATACTGTCCTTGGCGCTTGATCCTCTTGACCTTGCAGGGAACAAGCAAGAAGCATTCGGGTGCATCTCAGCCTTCCTTGCAGTGCCAGCTGTTCATTGATTAGCAAGGCTCATCTAGACCTCGAAGAAAACTTCACCTATATCATCGCACATGACGTGGCAGATTATGTAGTCATCTGAATTCTTCAGCTCTGTCATGAGAGTGATATTCAGCCCATCTTGAAGTCTACTCGCGCTAGCGAGTTTTGAGCATTTAGAATCACGTTAACAGCTGGCGAAGACTCACCTCATGCGCCTGAAGTCGATCAATCGGCCGTCAGACGTCTCCGCCAAACAGCAAACATAGATAAGTCTCCGCTGGAAAAACAATGGGATTTTTTCATTCATAAAGGCAACTTCGACCTGGAAGCGGACTTTGACATTTCCAAACTTTGAATCCTGTTTCAATCTTGAGTAGAGATATTCAACCAGTTGAAGCCATGGTAGCATACCTTGTCGACAATCTTCACAGCCACGCGCAGTTTCGGAAACTCCTTTAGTCGCGTCAGCAGTTTTGCGCCAAAGGGCGGGTTTTTGCTTAGCGTCATCTCGATTAGTTGAGCCTCAGAACTCTCAAGAGCGTCGATATCTGTTATCCCCGCTGCAGCCAGTTTCCGAACAGCTACCACTCCAATCTGCTCGATCTGCTTCATTTGAAGAGGCGAGCGGTCCCAAACTCTAGCCCCGAAGCTTCGCGCAAGCTCCAGCGAATTCAAAATCTCAGCCGAACTCTCTCGCGCAACCATGCAGTCAATGACGCAGCGTATTAGTCGGTTGACGTGATTGAAGACAAGGCTTTTGTCTTGCTGGAAAGAGAACTTGTGTTTTTGGAATTGCTCGTCTGTGGGAAAATCAATTGCTCCTAGTTCTGACTGTAGAAGAAGCGAGATCTTATGCGCATGCAGGGCGATGTCGACTTTGATAGGAAAGCAGATGCCAGGTTCACGATTGATTTCGCGATAAAGTGATCTTTCGCCTGCTTTGAGACGAATTTCGCGGAATTCCTCAGCTTGGACGATTGCCTCGAGCTGCTTTCGTTAGTTTTGTGACACGTTGAATGGCAAAATGGCAAGGGCAAAATAGCACCCACAATTTGCGAGATTGTGGCGTGGTGCTGTAACGAGAGTAAAGTCTTCATAGTCTCGAATCGGATGTAATACCGCGCCATGGCATCACCGAACGGGGTTGATCGGAGACTTCTATTGTCGACAAGATTGTATTCCTGTAAAAGCTTGATGTCTTTCTCACATATTTGCCGCAGAAGCTTGTCTTCATCTTCCTGACTCGCATCCTCCTTGAGCTCGTAGTATGTTGGATTTCTACGGAGTCTAACAGATAGGAAAGTGCCTGCGAGCCATTTTGTGGCCGACTCCACATCACTTACATTGCCCAGACCAATCTCAGCATTCAAATGGTCGATGAGATTGAGATGCAAGCAGCTTTCGAGGCTCTCGGAGCCGGAAACCAATTTTTCGTAGTGAGGTACACGACTCTTCCTTGTCAGGATAACTGCCGTTGCACTTTCGTCAAATTGAGGTCGACCAGCGCGGCCGAGCATCTGCATCATCTCGAGATCGGAATATTCTTTGCAACCCCCTTCTTGCCATCCGACTGTGTTTTTAATGATCACCAGCTGACATGGCAGATTGACACCGACGGCGAGAGTCGAAGTACAGCATATGACATTGATGAGGCCATCCAAGAATCCCTTTTCGATCGCATGTCTGTCGCCGGCACTGAGTCCGGCATGATGGAATGCAACTCCAGCAGAAATCGTTGCTTTGTCTTGTCAGCAAGGCTTTCCGCAACATTTGAAGAGGGTTCCATACTTCGAAGATCTTCATTATTGACTTCAATACGCCTGCCAGGGCCTTTCCAGTGCCTAGAAGGTGGGTTCGTCATGTTCCACAAACGACAAAGGTCTTTAGCTGTAGTTGCTGCCGAGTTCCGAGTACAGCAGAAGATCATGATCGGCTTCTGGCATGAATGCGTTCCGATGACATCAGGAAGTCTAATGGTATCGGTTAGCCATGCGAAGCGGACGCCTGAGGTATTCAGAAAGACCAACTTGGATCCACAGACTTTGTCAAAAGCAAAATCGTTCGCGTTGGACTGATACCCGTATACGAATTTCTGCAGCTTGACGGGACGGAAGTCCTCGCTGAAATGTTCCCTTTGCGCGGGGACATGCTGATTCGTCGCATCCTTGCCTAGCCAAGTAGCGATGTCCTCCGAGTTGGGGACAGTAGCACTGAGAGCCACAAATCGGACATTCGAGCCGATATTTTTCATTCGTGACACAACAGCCTCAAGTGTAGCACCGCGGTTTTCTTTGAGGATATGGACTTCGTCGATGAGGAACAACTTGACCAGCTGCATCAGACGCCCGTGATCTTTCCACTTGCGTGTCATGCTGTCCCATTTCTCAGGCGTTGTGATAATTATCTGGCTGCGTTGGACACTTCGCAGCTGGTTATGATCGGTATCCCCAGTTAGTTCAGCACATTTGAGGTTCAACGCAGAGAATTTGGAATTCCAGTCACGGAATCTTTCACCACATAGAGATTTGGTCGGTGCCTGGTAGATGACTTTGAAACGCTCGTCTTTCAGAACGTTGAGGAGTCGACAGATCGCCAGCTCCATCACGACTGTTTTCCCGCTTCCGGTCGGTGCAGAGAGAACGAGATTGATATTCGAATTGTATATCGACTGGAAACATTTTGACTGAATGGCATTGAAGAGCGGGAAGGAGAACAAGGATCGATACGACTCGGGCAGTTCATCCTTTGAGACTAGTACAATACCACGGACAGAGGGTGGGAGCTTGGCGAAAGGCGAAGAGAGGCCCTGGTGGCTCCGCTTATAAGATGACACTTCCAAGTTTTGCTGGAATGAGGAAGATAGCTGTGGGGTGGGCTGAGCTGTGTGGTACTGACTCAGATCATGTCTGCAGTCTTGCGGGCTCTGTGCTGTTCGGGACTCTCCTTTCCTTTTCTTGAGCATCATCAAGGGACTGGAAGGTGGTCCAGACGTCATATCCGGTGTAGACACCGGTAGCCGAAGGGGCGTCATGCTTGTACTTGCTGCCAGAAAATCAGTATCGAAGCAGCCTGAGATAGGTAACCGGATTACTCGCCATCAAAGAAACGTGACCTCTGGGTTGGGGCACTGGGCTGCTGAAACCCTGAGGATTGACCCCGTCGAGGTGTCCCCGTGAAGATCCATGCTGAGCTGAACTGCTCATTTCACTTTCTTGAGCCAGCAGTTCGAGGTCTGAAAGTCACTCAGCAGATTGGATTGTCATTTAGAAATTATTACTCACCAAAAGCATCCAATTGAGAACCTGCATTTTGAAGAGACGGAATCCAGTCCTCGGGAGACAAGTGGTCTTCAAGAAATGAGCTGGAGTGATGCGGGTGCTGGGCACCATCGATGAGCCTCTGAGTATCTGTCCCAGTCTTGCTATCCTGGGAGCTGGCAGACTCATTGTCGACTCGCCGCCGCTTGGAGGACGGTTCAAAGATATGGGACTGCGAAAACGGCATCCTTCACGTTGTGAACAATGAGAAGCATCAATGAGTACTGGAAAAGGTCTGGGGAAGGGCGATGGATTCGAGGAGTGATAAAAGTGAAGTTGTAGAAAGGACCAGGGCACGTGGACCAGTTCCGGTGCCTGAGCAGAAACGACGTTAAAAATTCGACTTCCATTGGTTATATGAAAGCATCTCATTGTTTCGTATATATGCATTCATGATCAATCGCCCAACGGTTTTGCAACTTTATATAACACGCTCGCAAGCAAATTGCCCTGATATGGGGCATACATCAGTTACAGCCTAGGTCATTGCGAATCACTGGCGTGGTCGTCTCATCTATCAGGTATCCAAGATCGTATCACCGTAAAATGGAGAGTCGTAGAACAGAAAGCTCATACTTGTCTGCAAAATTACTCTTTTTCAAAATAGCTGCTGCTACTCACATTCCGGCTTGAGCTCACGCGTGTATGGCCCGGGTTGGGAGACGTGGGTCTGGAGCTTGACATGCCCTCGGATGATAAGAAGGGAGAGCTTGGCAGCTTGATGGAGATCTCGTTAGGTGGTGCAACAGGCGATCCGTCATCGCCACCATCCTTTTCGTACGAGTCCACGCGGATTGGCGGGGGGATCTTGGCCGATGGGCTGAACCTAGGGTTACCATAGTAGTGAACGGCGACTAGGACTGCAGCCGATCCAATGAAGAACTGTGATTGCCATATTAGCATTGCTCTGCGGATACAAGGGGATTATGGATTGCATACACTTGCCGTGAGCTCAAAGTCGAAAAGCCAGAAGCTTCCAACGATGCTTGTGATGATGGTGGCAGTGGTTGCTAGAGACTTAGCATCCCTCTGTGCGTGACTGATGGAGAAGGTAGAGAGGATGCCACCAAGAGCCTGAACAACAATAGTAACCCAGACGGCCCAGTTGTAGCCCTGGAAGAATCCCTCATTGGCGATGTTGTCGCCATCGCGGAAGACAACACCAATGAATAGAGCCGGGAAGATAGAGTAAACAGCCAACTGCACGTTACGCACCCACAGAGAAGTATGGCTCGAGCTGTCTTTCAGGACCTTCTCGAAATAGACACCCCCCGAGTCCAGACGCGACAGCAGCTCCAACAATGGATAGTAGACCAATCGCAGCATTGAGCCTTGGGTCAATGGTCTCAATATCTTCCTCGATGCCTTCGTACGTAGCAGACCGCTTATGCAAACTTCCACCACCCTTCACGGCCTTCCATTCCTCAAGAGACCGCGGGAAGTGGAGCGAAGAGCCATCTTCCTGCAACGTCATGTGCTCGGAGTTGGCATCGGGGATCTGCACCAGAGCAACACCAAGCACCAACAACAGCAGTAAACCCCAGTTGCGCGGCGCAATGCTCCGTCTCAGGAATATCAGACCGAAGACCGCCGTCATTAAGAAGTGCAGCTGGAATATAACCTGGAAGGTCGCTGCTCGCATATTGGACAGCGCAATGTACTGTAGAGAATTGGAGAGGACACCTAGGACTGCAGGGATAGCCAACTTCCAGCTATCACCCGAGAACACGGCGCTTGTGAGGGAGAAGAAGAGAGATGTAGCAGGGAGGGATGGCGGGGCGGTCTTCGAGACATCGTAGAGAGCCATTGTGAGTGCAATGGCCAGTTTGACGACCTCATTCAAGAAGACCGCGGTCGAGGTCAGGTATCGCTTTCCACCGGTTGGCGGCATGACTCGGGAGTAATGGGCCAACTACGCACAGGAGTCATTGTTAGCGATCGCTCGACTCGCGGGGGAATTGAGATGGCCTACCAACACGAAAGCAGTGGACTGCGCTGTAAGCTACGACAGAGGAAACCAAGAGTCAGTGAATAGCCCGGTGCTGCTAAATTTGCTATTCCAAGTTCATACCAGAATCCAAGGCACATTTCTCGTCGCATCCCGCGCCCATGACGGCTGACGTTGCGAGCGATCTCCCATGGCGACAAAGCTTCAAAACGTGTTCGCGTGCTTGGGTGGGTGTAGTCTCCGCACAGGGCCAAAACAAACAGGTCGCCGAGGCGAGAATATTCGGGGGGAGTAATAGGGAACGACAAAGATCGAGTCTCAGGACAAAGGCTCCTGGCAGAGAAGTGGCAGAAGCGACACGCAACACTGATGGGATTCGAAGATCTTCTAGGGCCTGGCGTCAGGGCTTCGGCTTCGGGTGTCGATCTTGGCGGAGCTCCGCGCGAGGTAGCTGGGGTGGAAAGGAGAGAGAGAGAGAGCACCCACAAGCAAACCGTAAAAGAGTGCGCGAGGGGAATCTTTGGGAAGGGCTGAAGAGAGTGGCCGAGGAACAGGTGACACGCGAAACGGGAATCCGGGGTATAGAAACCTTGGGAACCGCTTTAACATGCAGACCAGCGGTGTGGATCACGGGGCTATACGACGAGGTTTAAGACTCGGGACTTTCAGAGCACAAGATTTGACTAGGTTGTGAACTAGTTGGGTTTTCTGAAGATCAGCTGCGGGTGTCTAGGGAGAATTTGAGCGCCATTTGGGCGCCTCCCAGCCAGGGGCTTTTTTTGCCTGACGTCAAGCCCGTGTCCACGCTGTACGACCGCCTCCTTGCCCACCCCCAAAAATTCTGTCGTCGTCATTCGCTCCCAACAAGCCCTAGATGAAAGAATGCATGAAACGGGGGCAATAGCAGTCCACTTGTGTGTGTCTTTAGTGATGTCGATCTGTTGCGTGCCTATCCACGTCGGCGCCGGCTCGTCCAGCCACCGTGTGATTGGGCTCTGCCCTTATGCAGGTTAGCCATACATTAGGGCTGGCGTCTCTGTTGGAGGTCATTGCGCAGAGGAGGTTCTACGTATACTCTGGATTCCCGAGCAGTGTGTACGATCTAGTCTTCGCTCGCTTCCGATGAAATGCTATGGTTAGTTCTTTGCGAAGGGTTTTGGGTTCAAAATCTATGTGAATTGGCTGAAGTGCGAGATATAGTCGGTTATTAAGGACCGTGGTATATGTATTCTTTGGAGGTATTGTAAGGGACTCGGCGAGTCATAGGAAGTTTCACAAGGCAGGATGCCCGAGAGGGTCAGGAAAAGCAAAAAGCAACGCCCTCATGCAAGAAACGCCGGTAAGGAAAATGCTCCAGTAGGAAGGGAATGGCCGGGGCGGTCGAGTCCGACCGGGGGAAAGGTTGTATGTACAAGAAGCGAAAGCAGTTGGGATAGGAAATAGGAAGTGAATGTGTGGTTGGAATCCAGGAAGTCGGTGATCGGGAGTCAAGCATGCAGATGCAGATCTTAATGCACGGCAGCCACGCTAGTCCGGTCGTGATTCCAATCAAAGTCGAACGACCAAAGAGGAAGATCGTGCTTGCGCTGCTCGCCATTGTCGTGAAGCATGATAGCTTCGCTGCTGTCGGTGCGACGGCGAGTGTGCTGCTTCTCGATCCTCTGGGATGGCCGGGGGCGGGCCACGAGGCGGTGGCTTCGGGCATGGTAGCGGAGAGAAGCGATGGATTGGGAGGGTTGGCGTAAGTGGGGAGGCACCGCTGTCAGCGGGGGATGGAAGACTCTCGGTGTAGCCCATACTGAACCGGGGAGAGGTAATCGAATTACCAGTTTTCTGTTCAGTATCAGAACCAGAACTCTGCGAGGGAGAACTATGCTTGTCCATGTGGGATGCACCTTGGTCTGACTGGGTGTGAAAAGGCGGGAAAGCTGCACTGAGACGCAGGAAAGATGTATCCGATTCACAGAATGAATCCCGCGACGGACCAGACATAACCGAGCTGCGGTCTGTCTGAGAGCCATTGACCTGGGGAGCATTTTGTTGCAATATACTCGGCGTGATCTTGCCCTTACGGACTCGCATCGCCTCCAGAAGATCCTGCTCTTGCCGGGTCACTGCAATGACTCGGCTTCTCCGGTTTATTTCCTTCAGCTCCTTCAGCTCTTGTGGCGTGCGCGTGCCCGACTGCGGGAATTGGTTCAAAATATCCGAGTCGGCTATAAGAGGAACTTTGGTTGTCCGACGAGGCTGGCTAGACTTTCGCTGGGCCACGGCAGACAACGTGTTGCTGGACGGATTGGAAGTATGTCTGCGCGACTGAGGAATCGGAGGAATGTGACTTGATTTCCGGCTAGATACTTGGCTGGATCCACGGCTACTGGTAGAGGGTGCACGATCTCGGTCAAATCTCTTCAATGTCGGTGTGCCGACTGTGGCGTGAGCAGTTGAGGCAGTGTAGATCTCAGGTTCGTAGTCACCATAGGTAGCCACGCTGTCCCTGAAATTTCGAATTTTGGTGCCGGTACTGTTCCCGGTAGGCGTGGTATCCTGGTCGGAATCCTCGTCTTCGGATGAAGAAAGACAGAGAACACTGGATTTCTGCAGGTCCTTATTCCTCAAGGTGCTCTTGCTGCTCTTCTTAGTCAACGTTGTCTTCGTGCTATTCGTATTGCTGTTGGTGCGGTTCCTGCTCTGGCCCCGGCTTGCATCGGCGTGGGATGTAGGAGACAAATATAGATCCTTGGGTCTGCCATTGGCGGGGCTATGCGTACGTCTTTGCTGAATCGTTTCCGTAGGGCGTTGCTGCTCCTGATGCAGCTGCTCCCGACTGGCGGTGTAAACACTGGAACGGCTGAACAGGGACCGGCGTCCTGCATATCGGTCTAGGGCAAGATCAATCTCACTCGTACCGACTGTGCGTTCTGGGTTCTCCCAACGCGGTGACCACTCGCCATCTTTCATCTCGGGGATCGACAGCAGATCCGATCGGTCATTCTGAGGCTTGGGAGTCTCATGCTGGATAGCCGAGGTCCGTGGAGGCACTGGTTCTCCGACTTGAAGCTTCCGCGCAGCTGAGTTGCTACCGAGCTGGTCTACACGGTCAACCTTGTTTGAGGGCCAATCCGAAGCGACGGTGGAGACAGGAGAGGGAGAGCTGGTAACTCGCTGAGGAGACAAGAGGTGATTTTGAGTGGCGGGATTGCGAGGTTTCGGGAAGAGGATCGAAAGGTCAATTCTGGGAGGGCGAAGCTTTCGCTTACTTTCCCTTGGTGGCGTATGGGCTTGTGGAGGTTGATATGTCACATTGGGATGTGCCTGTAGCTCGTGGCGGACTCGGGGCTGAAGACTAGCATGGTTTGGTGTTGTGGGATTCGATTTCCCAGATTTACCGGACTTGACGGATTTCGAGGATGTATCTTTATCCTTGGAGCTAAAGTAGGAAAATAATGTGGAAGAAGAACCGGACTGATGGACCTTTTTCGAAGGCTTCGGAAGCGGAGGAGCTGGATCTTGGGATCGGTAGTCGTGGCCTAACAACGGCGATGAGGCGCGAACACGTAAATTCTGAGGTGGGACCGCTTCACCCGAGGGAAAAGGCAGGAAGCTGCCTCGTTGCTGCCGTGAAGATTCGTCTGGGGTTCGCAGGCTTGATCGCCTGGGCTTTTGCGGCTTATCCCACCGGCCATTGGGGAGGGGTAAGTCGGTTCCTAGTATGCGTTGCGCCTTTGAGGACTTGCGCTCCGTGGTGCTCATGTCCTCGTTGTTATCCATTGCGCTGGCTCGCAGCAAGTTCCGACTGGAAGTTCGTAAAGGTACATGCACTGGAGAGGGATCTCGATTCGCCATAGGAAGATGCGATGTAGAAGGAAAGGCCGGTCATGCGAAACTGTTCAATTGCGTAGATGAGTTCAGGTAATTTCCCGGGCCAGATCTACTCCACAGACGGGTCAGCGGTTCCCTTCTCAGGCACAGCTATAATTTGTATTTAGAAGGGATCCTCAGGCCTCCAAACGTACCGGTAAGAAAGATAGTGTGAAAAAGATAGCGGGATTAGAATATAATTAAGGAAAAGGGAAAAAAATTAGACCTGAGGTCGGAAGCAAATGAGTGCAAAAGATTAGGAAAAAAGAGTTAAAGGGGAGGTGAGAACTAGAGAACCTAATATATGAGAACACACGTTTAGTGCTAACATGATCGAGTCCCTCTATTGTACACAGCAGCACACCTAATAGGGGCTACCCACATCAGGTCTCATGGGCTAATGCCTTGGGAACTAGACTCCTTCCTGGCCATTTGGGGCAGAATCCATGCTCACACGGCTGTGTTTCATTTATGTGTGGATCGCATCTGGGCTGCCATTGGTACGCCAGTCATCCGCGTTCCTAGCCCAGGCATCTTTGGGACATGATTTAATTGCTCAAATTTTTATTTTGCTTTTCGAAATGGAGTTGGATCGGCAAGCTGAGCGACGCTTGGTTTGTTCCTCTCCAGAATAGAAAGTATCGACAGGCACCCACTCCTGCATCGCCAAGGAGACACACGTATTGGTCCGATTCATGCCCTGAACCAGGCATGGCCAAACTGCGGTTCCTGGCGCACGGAGTCCCATGGATAGATTGCTCTCATTACTGTGAAGGGAGATTGTGGATATCTTAATCCCATACCATTACGCAGGTGGATGCCGCTGTAAAAATAATGAACCCCCTTGCTGCGGGACAACCTTAAACTGCACGTGTCTCGCATCCGGTCCTAATCGTTGGAATCCTCCGAAATCGTCAATCCTCGAGATCGGGTTCGGAAGATGGCGCTTGATAAATCTACTATCGTGCGCCCGCAAACCCATGATTATGGTTTCAAGGCTCGCAGTCCCCACAGAGCCTTCATCCCCCCCTTTTCTGCCCTGTGCTTTTTTCCTCGACCGGCCGGCCCTCGGCCCTGTGTGGATTCGTGTCTTGGCCTAAAAGGGTGAGCCGATGGATCCGCTACGGCAGTAGCTTCGGCGTCAATTCGTCACTTCCATCAGGAACAGTCGATCTTCTCGATCAATTTAGACTGTATCGACCCAGTCCGCCGGTGCGAGAGCTCCGATCGCCAACGTAATTGCGGATTTGTCTCTTCCCATGACAAATACCGTGCCTGGCCTCCTTATCCTTGTCATTCAGCACAGAAGGGAATTGATCGCCCTCCATGTGTCCCGTTGTTTGCACTGTTCGCGGATTCCATAGTAGTTTGGTTAATAAACTTAGATCTAGAACACAGCCCGCGCTTGTGCCCGCGTTCGCAGCCGATTACTTGGTGGTTCCGAGGTTCACGATGAAACACTCGACGTGGAACCCCTGCCCTGGTTCCTGCATATGTCACAGGTTAATTGCCTGTCAACGCTGTCATGCTCGGGTAACGATTGTGCCTTGATGGAACCTCCAATCTGGTTTGCAACCCACGCTTTAGCCTTGTGTTATCCAGCTGGTCCGAGCAAAATCGATCGAAACGATGATCGTCATGCCCGGGCAGCTCCATCCTCCAGCCTTGTGCCGTGTCTAAGACCCACAGATGACGGCAACAAGGTGCAGTGACACCCCGGGACAATCCTCTCTGCTCGAGATCGGGCTTTGCCCGTCGAAATTGCCCGCACTTGGCCGAGCGCCCATCAGACTAAACATTCTGCGTAATCTCAGACGCAGACCGCCATGCCTCTTCAGTCACTTGATCCGAGATCTGGTCTAAGGTGCAGGGGAAAATAGGGGTGCTCAAGCAATGTGAGGTCGTGCAGATTCAACCGGGCATGCACGAGACAGTCGAACGTTATGGCAGTGCACATACCAAAAAGCACAGCAGCGGCGAGACTATTGAACCCAAACGCCCGGTTTGACAGGTGTGAGAGGAGGGGCTCTCGATTCCAATATAGGTCGGCTATGTCAAATGGTCGGTGAAGCTAGCGGCTAATGGTACCTCAATAGTCCACCCACGCAACCGGACGCCCAACACACAATAGTCGTGACCGTTTCCATGGTTCTTCACGCTTATGTTTCGCCTTGATTGGCTACTCGTAGATCATACCAACAATCCTGATGGCGGGGCTAGAATAGGGAATATGCTGCACCTGGCTTACCTTTTTCATTCTCGTGGAAGAATTTTGCGCAAGCCCACATTGAAACACTAGTGCAGATCAATCCCAGATCTTAAATGGAACCTTTTTGAGAGTCCAATCCAAGAGAATGCTTGTAAAAGCTCTGACACTTCATGCTGTTTTATCTTTTATTTTAAAAACAGTTCCCTGTCCACATCATGATGGGAAGTGCGAGTCTGTGCCAGTGCCTGTCGACCTGGAACATTCCTAGTTGGTCTTAAAAAGCCGATTTAGGCGGTCGTGTCTGTGTTGTTCTTTGCAACTATATTTTGACAGTCGCGAATGGATATCAAATGACATGGGCTCAAATTTGCAAAGCCTTCGGTGAACTCGCCCTTTCACTCTGGTCATGCTAGGAAGTGTAGTGGTCCTCGTTGAGTATTCAATCTTTCCGTAAGCTCGGATTGAGAATACTATGAATGGGACTGGAAGTAGCTGACTGCGAGCTCGGTACTTTTGACTGTTAGCAAAGAATAACAATAACAACCGTTTGGATGATGAGCTAACGCATGATAACCCGTGTCGAAAATTCCGCCTACTTCAATTAGCTTGTCCCAGTCTTGGTCAAGCTCAGAAGCCCGGATATCATTTCCGTCATTGTCAGCGGGGGCCGAGAAAAAGCGAGCCCGGCGGCTCGTTTGGCGCTTTCTTCTTTGTAGGTCATGACGATGCGGAGCTGCCGGTGGCCTAATATTTATCAGTCCTTGGTGAGCATCACCAGAGGCAGTTCAGCTTACTGAGAGGCGCTGGAGCATCTTTGAGCATGGCCAACTTTCGAGACACTCTGTAAATGTACCTACGGATATCGCTCGGTGGTCGTGATTCGGGAATGGTGTCAATGATACCATTGAGTTCGTCTGCAAACCCATGCTTCCCACCATACACAAATCTCATGACGTAGGTCTCAAGCATAGTAAGCGACCCATTATCGGGCTCGGATTCTGCCCTCACGTAGAGTGTCAGTGTGTCAAGCCTGCGGCGTGCAAGTCCGACCCCGATCTCTTGCTGGAGAGAAAGATCAGCCAGGACCAACCCGGGGGTGGGGAAACTGCCAGACCATGCAATCTAAAATCTGGTCTGCCACCTGATCTGTGCCTCTATGAATCATCTTCACCCAGGGGTCCTTGAATCCGTCCGACCGCTCTGTTTTGGCTACGGTTAAGAGATTCTTCGCATGGACCGAAGCGGATTCTCTTCCTGCCAGGAAGCTGCCTTGGTTTCCAGAGAGGAAGTCTTCATAGGTGCGCATGTGTCCGACCTTTGCTTTGCTGAGTGATCGATCCCGGAATGCCTCTTCCGGCAGAAGCTCACTATAACTTGAGTCGGCGGGTGCCAAGTCATCTGCACGAGGAAACCAACCGCACAAAGAGTACGAAAGCGAGCTATGAGTCAATTCAGAAGATGCACACCATGGCCACAGGGAAAGCAAGAGTCGGGGGCGTCAAGTGAAGTGTGGCGATGTACTTACCGTGACATGCACAGCGATCTTCAGCAGCTCTAGGCTTTGAGCCTCCTTGAGATCAGTATCTCTCGTTGTCTTCAGTCAATAGTAGGGAAATTCAATAGTAGGGAAATTCAATAGTAGAGCAATTCAAGACAGGGTACTCACCCAGGCGGGGTACTGGTGGCTTGGTTTAGCCCGACGTGACTTCAGAGCATCGGCGGCGAGGCGATGCCGCCACGAGCGGGTTGCAGGTGATCTCGATTTTCTCTTTCTTTTGACAGGAGACATGTTGATAATGATGAAAGAGGGCACTTTCTCATGGCAGGGGGAGGACACTAATGGAAGATTAAAGAGGCGCAAGACAATTGCACGGTGTTCGGCGTCGATACGCCAGGGTCTTTCGTGCTGACCGGCCTGACATGCAAACAGCCGTGTCATAGTACATATCCCTAATCCTTCTACCAAGCCCCGTCAATGATCAATCACCTCATGGGCATAGGGCCCACATCTGACCATTTTTGGCCGTCAAATGGAATCTCTTCCACCCGACTTAATTTGGAAACAGCGGACCATGTCCTATTGATCATATTTACATCGATTCATTTCTTCCACAATATTCTTTGTGTCACACAAGCAATATCCGTTTCACTGCCTCATCCCCTCGATATCAGCGCTAATGATACTCGCGCATCATCGCCTTGTGATAGTTCCAATCTCGGGATCTCCTTGACAGCGAACGTGGGGAAGACCCTTGTAAAAAAGAACGAAGGCCTTGGACTGGAAACACTATAGCGCCCGCACGAAATCAAGGAAGCTTCACTTGAGACTTAGCAGAAACCTCTTTGCTACTGAGTGCGATCAAATCTGAATGATATTGCCGTTGTCCGGATACGGCCCAAAAAAACTTGGCAGCGAGGATGGACGGTACCTTGTCCAACGGTCCTATGCCCTGTGTGCAGTGGCGTGGTGTCATGGAGACAACAGCCGCTTGAAATCTCCCGATGGCAATCTACATGGTGCAGAGGTATAAACACAGTACATTTAGAATAGAACGGGAGATAACATTCATATATTGGAAATTGGACACCTCGGGTTGACAGTATATCGACGGATCTTACCGTCCAACGTGGCATTGAAGAACATCAGGCATCATGCTTTCCAGGTTGTCTAGTTGAGCTCATGTGAGAATAGAAGCTACACGGGAATAAACAACCTGATTGATTCAGAGAAACAAAGTTATCTATCGAACACGAGCAAGGGTCCAATGGGCTAGGGTACCTGCAGGTGACGCGCAGGGTACATATGGGGGGGAGAAAGTCAGGAAGGGGTGAAGAATCTGAGTACCCCTTATTTGCTCTGGAGATCACAGTGGTTGGGCATATGCCTGGAGTATAAGTTACCCTAAATTACCAGAATCCCCCACGCATCCCTCATACCGTCGAAGGGCTCCTTGGAAGAGGGCGGAATAACTTGTAAGGAGTGGCGGAAACAGGGAACGGGAGCCCCGCTCCACGTGACCCAGTGGCGACTCGGGCACAAGTGTCTGGACCAGGTTGAATGTGGAGAGAGGGTGAGGGTGCAAACAGGTTTATCTGATGGATTCTGGTTCATTTGGACTTGAGAGTTCTCCTGCCGTGGTCAATCTGGAAAATTCATCCAGTCGACGCGGATGGCAAAAGATATGCAAAAATAACGGTCCTAGTGCCACTGCATCACGGTGGTGGTAGCCGGGTTCAAGGTTTTCCACCTTGAAGGCGACTCGACCCGCGAGAGGAATATGCGAGAGACCGATCTCGTCCTCAGTGGTTCGGGAAAATTCAGAATTCTGAAGGAGGGTGACCAGTGCAGACCAGTAGCCAACCTTAGGAAACGTAGAAAGCCCGAGTTGAAAGTGAAGGCGTTGATGACATCGTGCACCTCCCGATTTTGTTTTGTTCTCCGCCCCAACTTTCTCGCCCTTGTCAGCCGCCACTGCTTCTTTCTCCCCTTTGACCATCCTTGCGTCTCATCCCAACATGCTCTTGTCCTCTTAATTTTACTTACATGGTCTCGTCTTCCGTGGAGGTTGTCAAGTGGTGGTTGAGACTTACTCTTTACTTGGATCTCGGATCTGTGATCTTTGGACCTTTTTCCCCCACCTGAGCTCGCTCCGTGATGGCTTCAGATCAACCCACTTCGCTGCTCCTTCCCGACCCAAACGCGTCGCTGGCTTCTCCTCCTTCTCATGTCACCCGCCACTCCGAATCTCGTCTTGTGCAGTCTCGTAAACACGACATGGATACCCATGAGAAGGATGACCTCGGGCCAGCTCCCTCGAACAACGCCTTCGGGCAGTTTTCTTTCGCTCCGACGACTCGCACCACAGTAGTCACCACCACCACAACTACAACCACCTCTTTTCCTCCTCTTATAATACGGCCCCCGCGGGCTGTCGAGGACCTCGACGCCCGACAGTATCCCCTTGCCGCGTCACCAACGCCCGCGTCTCTGAGGAATCTCCGGTTCAAGGTTGGCGATAAGTCCATCATTTTCAATGAACCTGAAGATGCTGCCACAGCAGGAGCCGAGGTAACTACTTCTGACGCTTTATCCCGAAGTATTTCAAAAGAGTGCTAATGTTCTTTCAGCTCAAGGAACGCAATGATGCCCTCGAGTCCTCTAACGGGTTGATTCGCTCCGTGAACTCTTTCTCTTCCGAAGACGGCAGCTCTGCTCGCCGACTCGCTCCTCCCAGATCAGTGATTCGACTTGGCTTGCCAAACCTTCAAAATCGCCCTGTCTCTCCTGTTTCAAACCCCGACCCTCGCCCGTCTACGCTCCCTCGTACCCGTGCGTCCCGTGTACCGTCGGAGCCTGTGGCTCGACGGACTCGTCATGGAGCATCAACCTCAACGCATCTTTCGCCCGCCGGTCTCGTCACCCCTGAAACAGAACACAACGTCGGCAGTATTGGAGAAAGTGCTGGTCCGAGGCCGAGAATGCACAGCGCGAACTTCCCGCGCAGGGAAACCCTGCTGCGCTCGCCTCTTTCAGCGGAGGTTGGGCTGGGGGGTATGCGAAATATTACACTTCCAGAGCACCGGGGACTACTAAACCACAGTGTCGACACCAATGAAGTCTCCGGTTCCGACCCGGCATCCACTCAAAGCACATCCTTTGCCTCAACTGAACCTACATCGCAGCCAAGACCTGACCTGACTTCCCAGCTTTCGGCAATCGATAACGCTATGGCCCAGGATATGTGCTTGCCAAGCCCTAGTCTGTCTCCAGTCGCCGCCATGAATGCTCTTCACGGCGAGTCGTCCTTTGAATCAGAAGGGCCTGATGTGGACACGGATTCTAGCCTTGACCACAACGTTTCACGCCATTCCCGGGCAGTTCGCGTTCACGATGGAGATTCCTCTCGGACCAAGAGCTTTTTCTCTCAATCCGCTCCATCGCTCATGGATATGCCCCAGGTGCTGGAATACTTTGACTCCGTTCCCGAAGAGTTGAAGACTTATCTGATGTATCAATTCTTGCGAAGATGCCCCAAACCGACTCTGCATTTCGTAGCCGACGTTGTCAACCCGACTCTGAAATGCGACTTCCTTGCCTTGCTTCCTCTTGAACTTAGCTTGAACATTGTCAAGTATCTGGATGTGCAAACGATGTGTCGTGCGGCTCAAGTATCAAAAAAATGGCGGCATATCATCAACTCGGATGAGAAGAGCTGGAAAGAGCTTCTTGATCTTGACGGTTACCTTCTTTCTGAGGGTGAACTAGAGCGAGCTATTCGGGAAGGATGGGGCTGGCAGTGCAGCAGTGTGGACGATTTTGAAAGAGATCTCAGCTTGCCTTGGTCTAGAGGAGACAATGAGGCATCTTCACTACCATCCTCTTCTGCCGCCAACGACAGATCCCCACTGACAGCTCTGGGCTCTCGACGATCGAAGCGGAAAGCGAACACGCGTGCTTCCAGTCGTAAACTCGCGAAACGCAAGATTTCCTCCAGCGGAAGTGGTGTGGACTATAATGATCCAGACTGGAAGAGGGATGTTGCCGCCTCGGAGGCACCATATGCCGCGGCCAACGCTGCAGCTGCAGCTGTCCCTTATGCCGAAATCGGTCTGCCTTCGCTTCGCGGAATGTATCTCTACAAGTCCCTATATCGTCGGCACCATGCCATCCGTCGAGGATGGATGAAGCCTGAAGTCAAGCCTCAGCATATTGCTTTCCGTGCCCATGACCGTCATGTTGTTACCTGTCTGCAGTTTGACACCGAAAAGATTCTGACTGGAAGCGATGACACAAATATCAATGTATATGACACCAAAACTGGCGCCTTGAAGGCTACACTGGAGGGCCACGAAGGTGGTGTTTGGGCCCTCGAATACCATGGGAATACTCTTGTTTCTGGATCTACTGATCGCTCTGTCCGTGTCTGGGATATCGAACGAGCTCGGTGCACTCAGGTGTTCCATGGCCACACTTCCACCGTGCGCTGTTTGCAGATCGTTCTACCCACTGAAATTGGACGAGACGCAAATGGTCGGCCCCAGATCATGCCAAAGCAACCCATGATTATCACTGGCTCTCGGGATTCTAACCTGCGGGTCTGGAAACTTCCGAAACCTGGAGATCCCGTTTACTATCCGACTGGGCCTCTTGCAGATGATACAGACTGTCCTTATTTTGTCCGAGTATTGGCTGGCCACACGCATTCCGTTCGCGCAATCGCAGCTCATGGGGACACCCTTGTGAGCGGCAGTTATGATTGTACTGTGCGAGTGTGGAAGGTCTCGACCGGACAGATTCTGCACACGCTACAAGGCCATTCCTTGAAAGTATACAGTGTTGTCCTGGATCCCAAACGCAATCGCTGCATCAGTGGTGCTATGGACCACATGGTCAAGGTTTGGTCACTTGATGATGGCTCTCTTCTTTACAATCTCGAAGGTCACACCTCTCTTGTCGGTCTGCTTGCTTTGCAGAATGATTTCCTGGTCTCTGCTGCCGCAGATTCTACCCTGCGCATCTGGGATCCTGAGCATGGTCATTGCAAGAACATGCTGAGCGCGCACACTGGTGCCATCACCTGCTTCCAGCACGACGGTCAAAAGGTCATATCTGGATCGGACCGAACCCTAAAGATGTGGGATGTGAGCACCGGCGCCTGCGTTCGTGACCTTCTTACCGACCTCAGCGGTGTGTGGCAAGTCAAATTCAACGACAGACGTTGTGTCGCTGCTGTGCAGCGTGATAGCTTGACCTACATCGAGGTCCTAGACTTCGGAGCCGCTCGTGATGGTGTCCCCGAAAACAAACTCGGCAAACGAGTCGCAGTCAACCGTCACGGGCGGGAGATTGCCAACGGCAGTGTGGACTCCGACTCCGATTCTGACTGAGACGTCGGCTGGTCTATTCCCGACGTATCACCGCCGGCCGGCTTCTTCATTTTCTTACCTCCTCAACCTCCTTGCTCCTCCGCGATTCTATTTCCATCCTTTCTCGCACTATTAATCATACTCGATACCCCATCCTTATGGCTCTCTTGTCTTCCCTTGAAAAAACCCTTTGCATAGCGCGGTCGGCATTCTTTGGTCATCCAGCATTACGATGGGAGACAGGCGTTAGATATTTCTTTTTTGGCAGGGGTTTTTCATCTTTCCATCTTCTCATCAAATCTTCAACAAACCCCTCTGCATCATCTTATTTGTTTTTTTTTTTACGTATTTCTTCATTGTCCTGCACCTAGGCCCATTCCCATTCCCTGTATCTGAGTCTATTCTGTGACGCTGATTTTGGCGTTTTGGGGCTACTAATCATGCCCATTTCTTTCTTTATTACCCGTTTTAGTTTGTCTTATTCAGTGGTAATAGATGCATTTGATGTTCATTAAAATATGATCGAGAAAGTAGCCGAACCTCATGGTTATATCACTATACATGGCATATCTGACGTAATTTCGGTAGGAAGTCTGATATATTCTTCTTGAGCGTTTTGGAACGATGCTGGGTGATGGGTTAGGTCTACCTAACAGAGCTCCTGTCCTCACGGGTAGTTATTCGCGGTAAACGAGTATTGCTGCCCCCAGAAAGATGGGTATATAGTTTTTGGACTCATCACTGGTCCCAGCGATGATCTCACGAGGCTATATAACAGGTATATCACAAGATTTGTTTGTGTTTTGCCCCGACTAGCAGGGACATTGATGCTGATACCGGCTAGGCAGAAGGAAGTAGTAATATAGAAAATACGGTTGCCGTGATATCTGCTGCCATGACCAACCAATGTTCCTAGGGTTATTTCGTAGGTACGAGCTTAGGTAGTAGGGCCAGATCTGACCGTGACAACCAAGGTGATTCTTTGTAATTTGAAACGCACAACACCCAACCTCAGGCCAAGGCAGTAGAAGCAGCAGACATCTTCTCAGGAGCGAGGGTCCCGCCCTCTAAGCTTCCATCAATACCAGCCGCTGACAAGATCGCCCAGCGCACGGCATCAACACCTAGCACACGGCCGGGTCCAATTTTGATATCTGCACTGCAGGTTATGAGCTCTCCTAGAGCGCCAGGTCCTTCGGAAACACGGATATCCGGTTGGACGGCCTCGCGCAAACGATGAAGCATTTCTTGAAGACGCTGGAGACCGATGGTAGACACACCGGTTTTGACTTGCTTTTGCTTCTTGCCGAGAACCTTATCCACTTTAGAGAGGACAATCTGGTGAGGAATTGCGTAGCGTCGGAAGAGACCGAGAATATAGGCGTCGTTTGGCTTGATGCCATGTTCACTGTCTATGAGTATGAAAGCTCGACGAAGTCTGCACTAGCGCATTAACATACAAACCACCACAATCGCCATGCGAGGAAGTCTTACTGCTTGCGTCCCTTGAGATACTTCATGATCTCTGACCCCCATTCTGACCGACTGGCTTTTCCATAACCTGGCATATCCAAAAGCACAACTTTGTGCTCTCCGCCCTTTGTTCCCCCGATTCCAAAGGCATTCATCTCCCTTGTGCGACCCGGTTTCGAAGACGTCCAACAAATCTCCTGTCCCATAATCGCATTCAACAACGAGCTCTTGCCGACATTCGAACGGCCCAGAAATGCGACTTCGGGTTCAAGAGATGACATTGGCGTCGTGCGGAACTTGGCTGCAGACCATAGCTTCAATGGAGAGTGGCGCGATGGTGTGAATAGCTTGTTTGCAAATCCTAGTTGTTCGGCGGTGGGCGGTTTTGTGTCCCAGTAGAGGCAAAGATCGGAGGTCGTAAGGTCTTTCAAGTCGCGCTTATTGGGGTTCGGGAAAGGTGGGGCTGCCTTGGGAACTGGCGTTGACGTTGAGTACAGCCGCCTGGCAGATATTGAGAGCCTGGAGCTTAATGTCTTCATGTCGGGTTGTTCATGAAGGAAAATGGCAAATGTAGTCCGTGAAGTTCTCCGGAAAATATGCGCACGGGCCAATCCAGACAGACCATGCTATCGGCGATAAGCGTCATCCTGGATTTGACTCGAGACCTGATCGTCGGATCCTACATACTCTATTCTGTCTGCTCTTTGAAGTGCTCCATCTTTATCACGACGATGATCAACGCCGTGCTGGTCTTCAACAACAACGGCCAGCCCCGGCTGACCAAGTTCTACACTCAACTCGTGAGGGGTCCCTCCACGGCCATATGGAGACCATGACGAACTGACACAACCCTAGGACACCCAAACACAGCAATCACTGATCGAACAAATTTATAAGCTGGTCGCCCAGCGTCCATCAAGCGCATGTAACTTCCTCCCCCTCCCACCAATCCTCTCCCAAGGCGCTGCCAGCTCGTCTGCCGGTCCCTCCGACGCGCCAACGCAAATCACCTACCGCACCTACGCCACGCTCTCCTTCATCATGATCTCCACATCTACCGAGTCACCACTCGCTTTAATTGATCTGATCCAGGTCTTCGTGGAGGCATTGGACCGCATGTTCGAGAACGTGTGCGAGCTGGACTTGATCTTTGGTTATGAGACTATGCATGCTGTGCTGAGTGAGATGATAGTTGGGGGCGTTGTCGTTGAGACCAACATTGAAAAGATCACTGCTGGCGTACGGAGTCAGGAGGGTTCTGCTGGAAAGAAGAAGGCCGTTCAGGCAGCGAGTGCAAGTTTGGGTCGAGGAGCGTTGCCTGGGTTAGGAGCATGGCGGTGATTGAATGTTTGGATGATTTCTGTTCTACGGTTTTATCAGGAGGTCATAGTGCATGGCAGGCTTTCTCGGCGTTTTTGTTTGTCTGTACATAGATGTTGCTTGTTTTACTGAGAGCTAGGCTCGGATGTGTTGATATTCCCGTGTTTCAGGGTTTTCGACCCGGCAAACTTGCCCTCATTGCTTGACAAACTAATTGCATATATAACAAGCTGATCTTGTTCAATTATTTGAGAGCTGCATGGACATGCTCGAAGTAGAGGCCTGCGCGATGTAGATTGGCCATGTCACGTGATGTCTATCACCTGACGTTGGAGGTTTGGGAGAGATGCCCTAACCCTAGTCACATGGTCGCACTAGCGCGACCCACGAGAAATTCATAAGATCCGCACCGCTACATTCTTTCTTTTCTTCTTCGTCAATCGTCAACAGCGCACCGATCCCACCGACAACAATGGTAAGCACCTGAGCGCCTTTGCAAAGGCTTCGCCTGCTGCAGCGTTGCCGTGAACATATTTCACCTGCTTCCGATTGTTCGCAATCGAAGCATTTCCGTCCTTCGCGCACAGTCTCGAAAGAGATGTGTGCGATTGGCGATGATTTGGCTGGAAGCATGAGTTGGAGCCCGTAACACGGCTTTAACTCATCGCTCTCCTTACGAGTTTCAAGAAGATGCAGCCTGTGGTGGACAATCGCTGATCTTCTTTTCTCAATGATAGCCTGCCCCTAAGTCCGGAAAGAAGACCGCCGCCATGCCCTACCCCCAGGGCAAGGCTGGCTCGTCCAAGAAGGCCGCTAAGGTACGTTTCTTTCCCACTGGCAGGTTGAGAAAAAGAAGATGAAGGTGGCTAACGAACATAGAACCCTCTCATCGAGAAGCGTTCCCGCAACTTCGGCATCGGCCAGGACATTCAGCCCAAGCGTGATCTCGCCCGCTTCGTCAAGTGGCCCGAATATGTCCGCCTCCAGCGCCAGAAGAAGATTCTGAACATGCGCCTCAAGGTTCCCCCGGCGATTGCCCAGTTCCAGAACACTCTGGACCGCAACACCGCTGCCCAGACCTTCAAGCTCCTCGCCAAGTACCGTCCTGAGACCAAGGCCGAGAAGAAGGAGCGTCTCGTCCAGGAGGCCACCGCCGTCTCCGAGGGCAAGAAGAAGGAGGATGTCTCCAAGAAGCCCTACCACGTCAAGTACGGTCTCAACCACGTCGTCGGCCTCGTTGAGAACAAGAAGGCTTCCCTCGTCCTCATCGCCCACGACGTTGACCCCATTGAGCTCGTTGTCTTCCTGCCCGCTCTCTGCCGCAAGATGGGTGTCCCCTACGCCATCGTGAAGGGCAAGGCCCGTCTCGGTACCGTCGTCCACAAGAAGACCTCCGCTGTTCTCGCTCTGACCGAGACCCGCGCCGAGGACAAGGCCGAGTTCTCCAAGCTCCTCTCTGCCATCAAGGAGGGCTACACCGACAAGTACGAGGAGACCCGCCGCCACTGGGGTGGTGGTATCATGGGCGCCAAGGCCAACGCCAAGCAGCTCAAGAAGACCAAGGCTGCTGAGGCTGCCATCAAGGTCTAAGCTCACCCCTTTTCCGTGACTTAGTTTTTGTTGGTTGGGATCGCCGCTTTCCAGCGCATTCCTAAAAAAAGTTCTAATGGGAACACAAAGGTGTTTAAGGCTCCGGATGACTTAGCTTTAATAGATGGGTGGAAAGAGCCTTTTCGGCCCTTTGAATCCCGTTTTCTCCCAAAAGAAAATTTTTTTTTCCTCACGAACTTCTCGACGCCTTATGTACCACTTTTCTCGCAGATACCCATGAATCCATTTCTCTACCAGTTCAATATGACTTTAAGTAGATAATTAGAGATTGGTTTATGCAGTCTGCCTTGTGTACTCTTCGTTTCCTTCTCCCTAAATCAGTAAATCAACCTTGTATTGTGCGAACTTCGCACATCCATAGTCCGAATTTCGGAGTTACAAAAGTCACTTCTTGTGAGTCATGTCGCGCTCAACAACAGTAGAAGCCCGTGTGGTATTTGGTATTTATGAACGACGGTTGAGGCGGATTCTCTTAATTTCTACACAACTGCTGTTGAGCTGAAGCTAGATTGATATCCTACAAGACAGTCCAAGTCGCCCAGTCCAATGATTATACACTTAGTCCAACTCTATCGAAGACACTGAACTACAATGACCACTACAGCTTCCATCTTTCCATTCACAGTCAACAATTCATCAAATGACTTGGTGAAATTGATTCCGTTCAATCCGGACAAACATGGTGATAGATTCTTCAATCTCTCTTCACATCATCCCGATATATATTCCCACATGCCCGTGGGACCATTTGACTCCGCAATTGCCTTCAAGGAAGCATTCCTCGAGGGTCCAAGCACCAGCATCCTGTCCTTTTCCAACCCCGAGTCTTTAGCCTTTGCAATTATAGACAAGACGCGTGCCCCATCGCCAGAGGATTCAGAAGGTGAGCTCGCTGGCACAGTGAGCTTCATCCGGACATCGCCGGTTCACCTATGCACGGAAATCGGGTTCATTGTTATACTACCACCATACCAGCGCACGCATGTCGCTAGAAATGCCGTCGGGCTAGCTCTACAGCTTGCGTTGAATCCAGTGGAACGGGGTGGTCTTGGATTACGGAGGGTGGACTGGCGAGCTAGCACGAGTAACCTAGCCAGCGCTAAGCTTGCCGAGAAGATGGGATTCAGGCGTGTTGGCATTGTGCCCTGGCATATACGTTTTGTGAAGGGCAAGCTCAAGGGCAAAATTGGAAATGGCAAAGAGTTACCCCCTGGGTCTGACCCTGAAGATGTGTGGAGGGATACAGTGAATTACTGCCTGACGTGGGATCAGTGGGAGGATGGTCAGCGTGAGAAAGGTCGAAACATGATGGATTGATGCGTGAACTGCTGAAATTGTGCCATTCATCACTCTTCGAATCCAAGAACTGGGATATGACGGCTCGTTGCCTGAAGCGAAGTCAATATTACTTGGGATGCCGTGAAGAGCGTTGCGCCATGATCAACACCAAAGATATCATTTTGTGCCATTAGATATATCCAAGTTGAATTAGCTTTTGTGGATGCTTTTGTCAATATCATTCTGAATATAGTCCACCATGAATCTTTCGTTCTCTCGGCTTTTTGTCGCCATTACTGCGTTCATAGCCATCAGCGCTACAGTTGCATTGGTAGACAATCCTCTTACTACTTCATATATAGTTTAAGCTAGATGCCTTTGCGATTCAGCTCGGGACAATAGCTTTGCTGTCCTCAAGGCGGAAGCGAAAGCTGGGTACGAAACAGTTCATGGACTTATCCTCAGCGACGAAGTATCGTCGAGTCTTGATGCATCAATCGATGAATTGGTCTTCAGTTCAACCTAGAAAGCGATCAACTCTGATGCACACCATTACATAGTCTAATGGGTCGATACAGGTCCGTGGACTTCGTTCGCTTGCATTCCCTGAGAATACATCCCTGCCAACATAAGCGCAGATGCCGACCCCGAAGCCCCGCACTATGCCTCAATCTGTGCACAGAGCTGTTCCCCAGCTCAACTGAATCCATATCGGCTGTCTGAGAAATCGATTCTGATTGAACCACTCTTGGCAATCCCCTCTTGACACTTGCAACCCCCAGAATGACAAATAGTGACCACTATCATGACAGGTAAGGGATATTTTTGTTCCCTCGGAGTTCCGCGCTGGAAAAATGTTGATAGCCTACCGTCCGACGAACCTATTCGCATTGGAATACTTCTCTACCCTGGCTTCCAAGCCCTAGATGCATTCGGTCCCTTGGACTGCATCAATATGCTCTCCAGCACAAATCCCGTCATTCTATCTCTTCTATCCCACACCCTGGACCCAGTATCAACGAAACATCCCGAAGATCCGCGAACTACTGGACAAGAGGTCGTTCCAACACACACATACGATGCACCCCCGTCACTAGACGTTCTTCTCATTCCTGGAGGTCGAGGATCCCGAGGATCCGGGCCGATAGTGCTCGCAGCTATCAAATGCATCAAAGACACCTATCCAAGTCTGAAATACTTGATCACCGTTTGCACCGGCTCTGGACTAGCAGCCCGTGCAGGAGTATTAGACGGTAGACGGGCAACGACTAACAAATCGGCATGGAACGATATGGTCGCACTGGGACCGGAGGTGGAATGGATCCCGCGCGCGCGATGGGTGACAGATGGGAATATCTGGACCTCTTCTGGTGTCAGTGCAGGAATAGATATAACACTTGCTTGGATTGAGAGTGTTTTCGGTGAGGAAAAGGCGAAAATGATCGCAGATGAAATAGAGTATACGAGACATGAAGATCCAAATTACGATCCCTTCGCGAAGCTCTATGGATTGTGAGGGAATGCGAGGTATCCTGTTGACAGTTATTTTGACAAGACAAGTTTTATACATTATGAATTCACCAACGGCCAAAGCAAGTGCATAACCCCCCGGTAATATGAAACAGAAACGAAACCGGTTCAGAGGAACCGCCGTTTGAGAGTAATGATGGAAAAGCAGAAATGAACAGGTTGGTATGGGAAACTACAGGAAAAGAAAAAGCAAAACAAAAAAACTAGGCAAAAGTACAGCCATGGATCTTAAGCCAGCGAACCCAAAAACAGATGCTTACCACATGCATCAAGAAAGCCAGTGTATGGAACTGGAAAGACGAAAAGAGTACAGAGGAAGAAAGGAGGCATAAACATTGTCGCGGTCATTCGGTCATTAACGTTGAGTCCCAGGGGGTCGTGAAAGTCCTTGCCTTGCCTGGCAGATTGCGTTAGTGACAGGTCACCGGTTATGAGGTTTGGATGTACTCACCTTCATTTGTTCAATTCGTGCCTTCAATTGGCTGGTGACTTCAGCAGCCCGCTTCCAGTTCTCAGCAGGCTCTGCAGACCGCGGTTGTGCCTCGTCGTCCGTAGCAGCGGCCGATACGCGAGATGATCGAGTAGGGCTGCCAATACCCGAAAGGCCGTAAGTCGGGCTTAGCCTACGTCGCCCTAAACCACTCTCTCGGCTGCTGAAGCCTGGTGAATCAAGAACTCCGTTCTCTCCATCTTCACTGTGATTGGCGGAGGCATAGCTTCGCGGCCGTGAGCTCTCAAAGCGAGATCCCATGTGAAGGCCTGATCGGGTTGCAGCATTGTGTCCATTGCTAGCAGCTTCTTGGTACACTGAGTTGGCATCGGCCATGCCCATGCTGCCAGTATCGGAGCCAGCATTGGTCGGGCTCAGAGCAGATGCACGGAGGGCTCTGGCCAACTCACGTTTCAACCGCTCAATCTCTCTCTGTTGTTTTTGGACGTTCGCCTCAGCAGCCTCGGCATCACTTCGTGCCCGAACTAGCTGGGTCTCCTTCGCCTTGATGCTTAACACATCTCTTGTATGATCCTCAATCAACTGCGCATTCTGGTTCTGGAGCTCGGTGATTTGAGAGTTGAGCTTAGATCGATCTGACTTCATCTCTTCGATAATGCGCGCAAATTTCTCCTTCTCCATCCGCAGCTCTTCCATTTCTGCTCGCTCGGCAGCGGTCATTCCCGCAGGGACGGGAGGTGGAGCCGGAGCAGCCTCAGCAGCAGCTGGCTTCGCAATCGGTCGGCCAGCAAGACCACGACCGAGACCGAACTTGGGGGCGGCAGGAGGGGGAACATCATCTTCAACAGGCGGAGGGGCAGCTCGTCGCGGCGAAGCAATACCACCTGGACCACCGAGCTTGCGCTGGAGCTTCAGACCACCTCCTGGAGGAGCAAGACCACTGCCAGCCTTTGGAACACCACCCAGCTTTGAAGGAATTCCCCTTGAGACTGGCTTCGCAGGAGGCTCCTCAGCTGGGGACGCGGCAGGAGCTGGTTTCTTAAGTCCCATGGCTGGTTTTTTACCTGGAACGGTTTTTCTGGCAGCAGGAGGTGCAGCCTTCGGGGGAGGTGCAATCGGCTTAGGTCGTTCCTTGGCCTTAACCTCTGCAGTTTCGAAAAATTCCCTGACCTTGGTCTTTCGAATATCGTCCAAGCCATCAAGGTAGGGGTTCATGGACCGTTCGCCTAAGATCTTCATAAGGGTACCCAATGTCTCAGCACCACCAGATCGCATGGCTTCGGTTGACTCGGTCAACAACTTTGTACCTGCATCGGCGATTGACTTGACCTCCGGCTTGGCTGGAACAACTCGAGTGTTGCGAAGACATCGAACCAAGAACTTGACAGTCTCCTGCTTGATTTGCGGGTTTTTGTGCTTGAGATATTCCATGATATCTTCCAAGCAGTCGGAGAGACTTGTTGCGGAGAACACGGCATCCAATGCTTGACCTAAAGCATCTGCCACGGTTTGCTTCTTCTCCTTCAGACGTTCTAGCATGGGTACCATGATGGTAGCTCGATGTTTCACAAAGGCGTCGCGCAAGCCCCTCGCCAACACGTCAACACAATTGGCCGCCACAGTCACGACGGCAACGTTGGCATCCTTCATGCATTTTGCCAACGCTCTCACGATTTCATCATAGGGGCCGTCCTTGATCCGGGGCACATTAATCGCATTGTAAAGAGCATCTAAGGCTTCTTTTCGATCCTTCCATTTTGATGAGCCGAGTTGATCGTGGAGATCCTTGGGAATTTTGGGGAAAACATCAATGGGTTCTGCGAGATCAAAAACATCGACCTCCGCCTCCTCCTCTTCGGCATACTCTTCACCTGCTTCTTCGTCGAGTCCATCCCCGCCTCCCGGGGCCGCGCTCGCCGCAGCCATAGCATCTTGCTGGGCATGAGTGTATCGTTCTTGCTTCGCCGGAGGCTCTTGTTTGACGTTCTCAAACAGCTTCTCCAAATCACTCTGCTGCACCGGCTTCAGATCGGCCCAGAAAAGAGGCTTAATGGCCTCACGGAGCCACCGATACAACTCCACAGTCAAGTTCTGCGCCTCGGCTCGGACATTCTTGTCAGCGTGACCGAACACTTTCGGCAGCACCTTGAGTGTCGGCTTCGGGTCCACGATCTTGCATCCAAAGTTATGGTAGATGGCGGTCAAAGCTCCGAGAGCGCCGGCGATGACTTTAGGAACTTTGTGCGATAGCGTAGGTAGAAGCTCTTCGAGGACGGGATCGGCTTTGTCCATTTCGACGCATAGTAAGAGTGCCTCCTGGGCGCTAGCTTTACCAGCTGGTCTGGTACAGGGGAGACCCTTCTCCGCGATGGGGCCGACGGTGTACTGCCGAGTCCTAGCGGAATATTAGCAACTTGCAATCCACAGGCCGTGGCGTGTATAGCCAACGTAAAACGTACCGTGCACATGCTTGTGGACCTCCATATTTCAAGAATGCGCAGTACGCCGCCAGTCCCTCGATCTGCGCCGCAACGTTGGAATCGGCGACAGCCCCTTTCCATAAACTGGGGTCTTGTAGGAACGGCGTAAAAACGGGGGCTGATTCATCGGGTGTTTTCTCGAATTGCGCTTTGGCGTCTTCGTAACCTTCCTTGCGGACTTTCCAATTCTATTGAGCGAGTCTCGAAGTCAGTCACGTTCGTCGGTTGAGGCGCTGATTCCAGAGCACACGAAAGGATTTAGCGAACCTTGTGAGCGAATCGGTCCTGAAGTGGCAAGGAGGAGAAATCTGGTTCGGCGTCGGCCATGGCGACGGGCTAGGTTGTCACGTAGTCAAAGAGGAGTTGAGACCGGGCGGAATCTGGATAGACATAGGGTTAGTCAAACGAGCAATCGGAGGGCTGCGCATGCTATATGAAGAAGAGAGAAAAACTGAGACCAAATGGTCTCCTAAGAGACCGCTGGGTTCAGATGTCGTACCGTGAGGGTGTCGGTGCCCAAAGCAATGGAGGGAGGAATTTCAAGATCGTCCCAGTCCGCAATTCAGGGGGCTTTGATTCCATAAAACGAGCAGATTAGCAAGGAAGAGATTGCTCAAATGTAGAGACCCCAGAATGAGCAACCCGAGGAATAAAGTCAAGCGGGTCTGCGCTAGAGGGGAGAAATAAACAGCGGGCTGCGCTGAAGATCGGGAAGTAAACAAGCGGCCTTGGCGGTGTCGAGGGTTTGTTGTGACCCCGCGGTGGATCTTCACGTTGCTTCTCTCTACTCGATTCTTTTCACTACTGAAAGATCTCAAGCTCCGACAATTTGCTTTGCGCATCCCGTCCGAGCCCTTTCCCTTTGCGAGCGACAGCCTCCGGTGCGGAGGTGCAGCGAGGACTGCCTGGGAAACACACAAATCCGCCGGCACCATGAGCCAGCTACTCACGGCGCGACAGGCGGAGGAGCTGTATGCGCCTCGATTTCTGTTTTCTCGATACTGAGAAGCTAATCTTCGGGTTTCTCTTCTGCAGACACAAGTCAATCATCGCCTACTTGGCCTCCGCGAACCTGCCCCATAGCTCCGCAGCGCTACGAGAAGAACTTGGCGATTCGATTACCGTTGACGATAGCACACTGAAGAAATATGAGGGATTGCTAGAGAAGAAATGGACAAGTGTAGTCCGATTACAAAAAAAGGTGGGGAGCCTCTTATCAAAGGTGCCCTGAGAGATCGAGACTCAGAAGACTGACTGCCGCGTGTAGATTATGGACTTGGAATCACGATGCGCTGCTCTCCAAACCGAACTTGATACTGCAACTCCTACATCGCTGTCTCGACGAAACCAAGATCCGGCATCTTGGCTGCCTCGCGCCCCTCCACGCCACGACCTAGAGTCGCACCGGCTACCGGTGACTTGTGTCGCCTTCCACCCCATATTCTCCTCTCTCGCCTCTGGATCAGAAGACACAACAATCAAAATTTGGGACTGGGAGTTGGGCGAATTAGAGCGAACGATTAAAGGCCACACGAGGGCGGTTCTAGATGTGGATTATGGCGGACCGCGAGGGGGCACGCTCCTTGCGTCATGCTCCTCTGATCTCACGATCAAATTGTGGGATCCAGCCGATGAATACAAGAATATCCGCACCCTTCCAGGCCATGACCACAGTGTATCAGCCGTGAGGTTTATTCCATCTGGGGCCGCAGGGTCCCCAATGTCAGGGAATCTGCTAGTATCCGCCTCTCGTGATATGACATTGCGAATCTGGGATGTGACGACGGGTTATTGTGTCAAGACATTGCAAGGACATGCCGCATGGGTGCGAGATGTAGCGCCATCACCGGACGGACGGTTCCTTTTCTCTGCAGGGGATGATCAAGTCCCGCGTCTCTGGGATGTTTCATCTGGAGAAACAAAATCTACTTTCTTGGGCCACGAGCACGTCATCGAATGTGTCGCATTTGCTCCCCCGACGAGCTATCAATATCTGGCTCCTCTCGCAGGTCAAAAGAAGCCGCCGCCCACATCATCCTCAGCGGAGTTTGTGGCCACAGGTGCGCGCGACAAAACGATTCGTCTCTGGGATGCTCGTGGTAATCTGATCAAGACACTCGTCGGTCACGACAACTGGGTGCGCGCGCTAGTATTCCATCCTGGTGGCAAATACCTTCTTTCAGTTTCAGACGATAAAACAGTGCGATGCTGGGATTTCACACAAGAATGCAAATGTGTCCGCACAATCGCCGCTCATGACCACTTCATCAGTTCAATTAGATGGGCACCTCCGTTGATCAAAGACAGTGGCGCCAACAGCGAAGCGGGAGCCAACGGTGCTGAGGGTACCAGCACAAATGGGGTGAAAGAGGATCCCACCGCGGGCAAAATGTCCATTCGATGCGTTCTTGCAACCGGCAGCGTGGACCTCAAAGTCCGGGTCTTCGCATCGTGAGACCCATAACAAGCTGTGCTGGACCAAGCTTGCGAAAGGATCTCTATAAGATCAGAGTACAGGATGCTCTGACACGCGTCAGATCAACCTGCCAACGAAACAACGGTTCTCCGGGTCTGCGGCCAGGAGGGAAATGGGGGTTAGAATGCCATTTGTCGTTTCTGAGCAAAGGAGTTGGTTTCTCTTCCGTGATACCACTGACTTACTTTCCATTTACAACTGATTTAGGGATTGGGCTGGACTCGTGTCCGCGGAAAGAGGAGGTCGCTTCTTTCTTCATGGTGTAAACACTTTTTGAATCTTTTTAGGTGGATGGGCTCATCTTCACGTACATACCTCTCTAATGCCGCAATTCCAAAGGATTGACCAATGTACCGTACGACTAAAGACTCTTATCAAATACGTTACAAGGCTTCGAAGGTATACCCTTGGCTGAGATCCAAGGCTAAAGGAGGACAGAAAGATGAAAATTGTATAGTATAGCATAGTATAGTACAGTACATGCCCGTAGCAGAAGCACTATTGTCCAGTCAGTATGCGAAGATACAACAACTGATCATGAGAGAATTGCAGGAAGGAACGATGGGTATCAGGAGTAGACTTCGCCGTTTACATCAAACACGACTTTGCGTGTCAAAGTGAGCTGGGTTAAGCGGAAGGGTTCATCATGTAAATCCCAGGAGAAAAGCAAAAACACGAAGAGCGAAAAGAGGGAGAAACGTACCGGTTTTGATCCATGATGCCGAACCACGGATATCTAAAGTGACAGCCCAAAAGAGCTAATTTCGCAAAGACAAGCACACAGCCTCTCAAGAATCAGACTGCGCTTGCATTGCCAATCTCTTCTCAACCAAAGCCTTGACCTTTCCAACACGCTCATTCCCTTGGTGAATGCGGTGAATCATCTCCGCCTGCGAAAGTTCCTCGCCGGGGCTAAGCTCTAGCCTTGAGGCCAGATCGACCTCCTCGCCCAACCGCCTCGATTCCCGACGCACATACTTGGCAGCCCAGCGTTTCTCACGCTCAGCCTGACGCTCTTGAGGCGACATAACAGCGGGTCGCTCATCAATGGGGATAGCAAAGGGGGTAAGGATGCGCTCAACGACGTGGTGAACGTGGCGGCTCTTAGGAGCACCAGAGGAGAATTCAATCACGTCACCCTCACGCAGGGAGTCACGGGGGTCAGAGACGAGAAAGCGAGTTTCCTGGGGGTAGTATTTCCGGATACGCTTATCCCAGATATTGTGGCGGAAGGAGACGGTAACGGTGCGTTGCATACGTCCGACAGAGACGACGGTGCCGGTCTTTAGGCTGGAGGCGTAGTTGCGGAGCATGGCAGGGCGTTTGAGTGGTTGAGGGCCGGATACATGTGGTGAGGCGGTGGGGGTTTGTGCGGGTTCTGAGGATGTGGAGGCATTTCGAATGGTATGTGTGATCGAGAGCGTGGATGGGAGAGTTGATCGGGTTAGGGCCATGGGCGATGCCATTGACCGGATGGGCAGGGACGCCCGGAGGAGATGGCTAGGAGCCATTGTGAATTGAAACACTCTACCGCACCTGGCCACTGGCAAGTGTTCAGGGAAGCCAGAGAAAGACGCCTGAAAAGCGGCTGAGCAGCAAGAACGGGGAGATGAGTTGAATAGCGAGTTTGCGGAGTCGCGGTGTTGAATCTTGAGAATTTCGTAAGTCGAGTTTGCACTGTTTGCACGCCCATCCAGCTTTTGGACAAACACTAGGTCCTCCCGTGTGGAGAAAGTCCTCCTTGATCTCAATTTGATTTCATCATGTTTCTTTCATATCTGCTCTTATCTGTTTTTATTTGTTACTATCCACTTCGAAAGGCTATTGAGACACACTCAGTGAAGAGCTCGCCGGAGTCCCGGCATTTGCCGTGGACTACTAGATCATCGATCTTCTGGCTGTGATACGCACTAAATTTGGGCGTTCCAGCACCGTCGTCCACAGGCTGCGACACTCCAAACACATCGTGTCCTATCGCTCTTTGACTTCTGAGGGCTTTGACAACACCAAGAGTCTGATATACAGGCCAAGAGTCTGATATACAGGGAAAGCTCCCTCCTCTGTAGGTTTTGTGTTCGCCAGCGCCTCAGCCAAGACATAGATTCCCGGTTGTCGACTTATTGCTGTGAGTGGTCTGGCGTAGACACCGGCTGCTTATGCATTGGGTTCGTCTTTGAAGATGGCTTTGTTACCAGATGAAACTTGAACTCGGGCTTCACACTTTCACCTGCTCTTCCAATTCTCAAACAGGTGTCACATGGCTTTTTCTCGTCGCACTTGATGGTGATGTTAGTTTAGGCCATCAGGATCGTTCAGACGGCATTCACTTTCGTGCGCCGCTCACGACAGCCTTTGCAGCCACCTTGTGAGCGTAAAATTGCTGTAATTTTGGATCTAGTCGGCACAGGGTGTACTATTGGTGTAACGGATTTCAGGTTCTGCCCAAAAATGGCCTCTTGAATCAAATGGGTAGGTGCCATTTGCGAAGTGTAGATGATTCAGGCAGGACAGAATTTCCTCAGCAACTCCAGTCGGACCGATCAAAAGATGGGATACAGGAAAATGTCTAGCGGTAAGCCGCTCATCACATTTTACTATGTATCTGGATCAACGCTGAGCGCCTGTTTATCACGGTGGATTTGTCCTTTGGCCCGTGTTGCCTCGAAGAATGTCGAGGGTGGAGTTAGCGGCGAGTGTCAGATTGTCGTGATGAGCCAGATTGAAAGGGAACTATCAGGAAACGCATCCTTATGCATCTCATCGCAGCTGTGAATTACTGCGAATGGCCGTAGTCGGAGTATTGGCAGCCCTGAGAAAACGTCTCACGGAACGCGATGAATGTGAAGTCTGGCAAGAAGCAGATCTGGCACCCGCAGCGGGCCGTGCGAGCCGAGTCTGCTTTGCTTCAGGTCTCATTGATCGCCAAACTACTTGTACTTGTCAATACTATGTATCTAAATGGCCCCTTGGTCCTTTTGAATTGATGTACATGGAAGACATCAGTACTTCACAGTCATCTGAGTCATTTGATCGTATTGAGGCTTAGTCAAAGGGTACAAACCAATCGCTTGACTGGCCCTACTTTGGCCTTCCACGCTTGCCCCACGATATTGGTCAACACTTGTCCGAAAATAGACCCGCTGGCAGTTGAAACCCTTGAGAAAGTGTCTACTGTTCTCATCTTATGATCATGTCAGTCTTTGAATTTTTCTGTCTTGGTCTAGATTGCGTGTACTTGTTGAAACATAACGAAACAGGCACATTGAAAGCGAAACAAGGACAACCTCTCTTCTGCTGGACGAGATGATACCACCTTGACAGATTTAATGTACCTGTACGTCATGCAAGATGCAAAGCCATGGGGCAAGAAATGACTACAAACTTGCTATTCTGTATCACTGCAGGTCTGTGTAACAGCCGAATTCGTTGTCGTGCATGATCTTATATCACCGTGGATTCAGATGCGGATACTTTAATGAAGACAATAACAGGACAGTAAGAAACTAGCATGCTGTTGGAAATTCTTACAGCAGACCGAGATGCGAACTCCTCATATCGTGGCAAAGGGACTCAAGCCATCTGGCAGAGATTGACCTGAATTGTCAACTGTTTATGCACATAGTGTCGAGTGTAGAAAGGATCTGAGTGTCACTAGTTAGAGAAGGGTCGGTAAACTTCCCACTATTCAGCCCTGAACCCGCTCTTCGTGTGAGTGAGCCTTCTGGGAGAATACAGATGGAAATGCTGTGATTGTTGTCAAGCTTTTTGCAGTGGGTTTCATCTCTAATTGTCTCGAAGTTTGGAGAAAAAATGTCTACCAGGAAGGATTGACAAAGCCAGCCGATTGTGAAGAATGTCCGAGAGGCTTAGTTTTGACATTGCTTGACGGGTAGAGCGCCAATAACCCAAGTTTCTCGAGTTACACCACAGCTCTACCTTCACAATGAATAGGGGCTACTTCCAGATTTACTTGATTTATTGTTCATACATTACGTCTGCAGATGCAACTTTCTGTTCTGGTGAAGCAGGTATGATACCCATAAGCTATAAAGCCTCTTGTCATCTATGCAAAAAGAGACTAAAGATAAATCAGTATTATCTTCGATGATTGATTCAGGATAACTTTCGACTGGTTGGCGTTCCTTCATTTCAACATCATTATCATTCCACAACAATATCAATATGGCGGAATCAAGATTACCTTGTCCCCCACGCGGATTCCTTTGGAGGTCTTCAAATACATTCATCATCGTGACAATTCTAATAGCTGCAATGACCAGTAAGTTGGTGTTCGGTACCTTTCATTGGTGATGGCCAACCTCTATATAAGTCGAAAAAGCTGACACAATCAGACATGTTCCTCTATAGCTTCATGGTCCCTTTACTCCCTTACATACTCGAGAAGCGGGCTACTACTTGATCCCAAGAGAACTCAGGCATTGATCTCTATACTTCTGGCCGAAAGCGCCTTGGTCTCGGCCTTTTCTAGTCCCGTGATTGCAAGCTTGATAGACAGCAGCAATTCAAAACAAAGCTTCATGCTCGCTTCTCTCTGCCTAGCGGGTTTAAGCACGGCGGTCATGGCTGCTGCAAAAGGTCGTAAGTTCTCCTTTGTTTTCCGCCTACGTCTTGTGCGGTTCCTGAGAAAAAAAGGGCCTCGTCACGACTTCCAGGCTGCTGACAACGTATTGATTTATTTCTGTAGTGCCCTGGATTTCTATCGCTCGATTGATACAGGCGATTGCTGATAATGCAATGTGGATTGCCGGATTTGCCACGATAACGGACACTATCCCATCTGATCGCTTTGGTCAAACCATGGGATTCTTGAGTATGGGGGTTGCGGTTGGAACATCGGCCGGCACCATAGTTGCTGGCTTGTTATTTGAAAAGGGCGGGTATTGGACAGCTTGGTCTAGTGCATTTACCCTTCTCTTCATCGACCTGTCATTGCGAATCTTAATGACTGAGAGCCCTACGATGGACAACTCGGGTAAGTCTCTCTCAAATTTAGGTCGGGGCGTTGCCCTGGCCCTAGAATTGCCTTGAGGATTTCTCAACGACTGACTATTCTGGCCTGATCAGAGTCTTTGGACCAAGCAATTGATCAAGAAGACGATCCTTTACTTCCTCACTCGCACCATCGGAACACCAAAGGACTGTCGCATCTCGAGTCCCAGCCAACTTCCGAGTCGAAGTTATCCGGTATTTGGTTTTACGTACACTTCTTTCGCCAGCGTCGGTTTGTGACGGCAACCACTTCATACGCCTTCTACGCGATGCTGGTGACAAGTTTTGACACAACGCTCCCCATGCAAATACGGGTAACATTCAATTGGGGCACTCTACCGGCTGGATTGCTTTTTATCGGTCTTCAGGTTCCAGGGATTTTGCTAACGCCGCTTTGCGGCGCACTCAAAGACCGTGTGGGAACACGCTATCCGACTGGAATTGGATTTTTGTTGTTCGCCCCTTTTTTCGGGCTACTAGGGATTCCTGGATCGAGGGAGGTCTCGTGGGCCAGCGGTGACTCCACAGCTGGAAAGGTCGTTTATGTTGTTTCAGTGATTATGGTTGGATGCTTTTTTTCCGTTTTCAACGGATTGGCATTTCTGGAAGCCACATGTAAGTGCAAAAAGCCGCATTTCTGCCTCCTCCTGCAGCAAGAGACTTTTTTTTCTAATTCGTGCCAAAATCTCGATACAGTGACCGTTGATGGAATTAAAAGCACTCATCACGGCATATTCGGAACAAATAGCGGTTATGCAAGAGCAAATTCAATCGCAAGGATTTCATGGACTATGGGAATGTTTCTGGGCCCCGCCACTTCGAGGTCGCAAAGTGGTCATTCCAAAAAAAGGCTTTCCCACTTAGGACTGGTGTCATTTGAAGGTAAAAGGTGGGAGATATTAGTTTTCGAGCCGCCGCTGACGCGAGCTATTGGAATTCTTCAGGAAATTCGTTCGATCTCGGCAATCAGTCTCCTTCGAGACACCTGTGTTTACTATTCAAGCACGACGCAAGGCAGCTTGCTTACTCCCCTCCGTCTTCAATGTAAAGGCTTCCGAGTCAGGCCATTTCCTCTGTCGATCTTCCGCGACCATGGCACTCAGTCACACACAAGGCAAAGACATTCAGAGGATGAACATGGTGTCTGATCCTGTCGACCACCAACGTATTTCGGCTGACATTCTCCTCCTTTCTTCTTGTCAATACGCTATGTCCAACAGTGTGGCTTCTTCAAATCGTGCTACCTGAAAAAAATAGGTAGTAATCACTCTCGAGTCCTCGCATCGTGCGAAACTCCTCGCTCCTTGATCAGCTTCGAAAGCACCTCCCCAGTCTCACCACCTAGAGCCGTAAACCCCTCAGCCACGCCCTCGCGATCCCCAACCCTCTTCTCCTGACTCATCTTGAACTTGCTCTGCATTTTCTCAAATTCGAGTCTCAATCCGAACGATATCTTCGCTGTAACAACTCAACATACTTCTCTGGTGCCTCCTCCACGGTTCATGCCTCGGGCTCGTCACCACCTGTATACCCCATGATCGACTTCTGGGTATGTTGCGACAGATCAAGAATCTACTTGTGAGGAAAAGAACCAGCCTTTGGCGTCTTCGAGTCATAGTATAAGGGCAATTTGCCATAGACCTGAACGACGGAGTAATTCCATGTAGGAACAACCTTCCTCGTATCCTGCTTGGTCTCGGTGTAGTATTTAGGTGTGACATAGTAGTCGTATTTGCCGTTGGAGACTACTAGGACATCATCCTCGAAGAGGAAGACGTTGTACTTGTTCTCTCAAGTGCTTCGATCATACCCTTCACTTGTGGATTTTGCTGGGCGATGTGTGCAAGGAGTCAGCCGCTGGGTGCAGATTCGCTACTTTCTTCAGGGAGATCCAGTACGCAGGAAACGTGGGTACATTGTAGGAAGTCTTGGGAAGATTTATCCCAGGTGATTAAGAGGCCTAGTGGATTTTCGCGGATAAATTGCAGGAGCACTGCAGTGTTTTTTTTCTTCGTGTGCGCTTGAGAGAGACATTTTCAGGTGCGAATTGACCAGTGACAAGTAAACTGAAGGGCAAGATCCCAGACAAAGAATAGCTTATATAGCCATTTAATGAAATGAAATGTTCCTCTCGGATTCATAACCGTTCCACGGAAGTATGTAGAGAAAGGCAGGACAATTTATACAGCACAAGTTCTCCGGAATAGTGAGCTCTGAATCAACATAACTATAGCGAGGACGAATCTCCACGAGCAATCAAATTATCCTCATCTACACAAAATCCAGAATCCGCCATGAGTCCCCTCAGAAATGCCGTGCTAGTTAATTCTCCACCATCCAACCAGGACGCCTAGAACGATATTCGAACATCTTGGACAGAGGCTCTCGGAACAGCAGCACTCACTGCAAGAGTCGACTTCTATTACCCAGTTATCGAGCAGAAACTCCCCGATGCCACTAAATACAACCTCATCGTTCTAAGCGGCAGCAAGGCCGATGCATCTTCCTCAGAACCCTTAGGTTCTAAGTGTCCTCGAAAACGTTCCCACGATTTTGCGCGACTGATAATCAAGATACTTGGTATGTGCTGGGGTCATCAGGCTATTGCTCGGGCGTTTGGTGGTGATGTCGGTCCTGTTCCCACGGGTCCAATTGTATGTCATACCATATTTCATCTCCCATTGCGAACAAAGTCGTGCGCTAATTGTCTGCAGGCCGCGATCCAGGATATTAGCTCTGACAGGCGCTAGAAAGAAGTTTTTCGCACCTTTCAGGAGATTCTTATGTTAGTATTTGATCTAGTTTCTCCGTCCCATGTAGCGCCGATACTAAGGCCTTGGAGCGAGCACTAGAATTTCATGCTTTCGAAGCAGCCAAGGCAGCATCAGGGTTCATTCACTTCGCCATGAACCACAAATGTTTTGTCAATGAGGAAAACACAATCCTTACCTTCCAGGCTCAACACTGGAGATCCATTGCACTCGCGAGAAAGATGCTCCTGAAAGAGGGCCCCATATATAATGGCAATTCGTCAGCCGCAGCGATCGAACAGGAGGTGCGAGAATTAAATCACCCGACAGATGGCTTCAACTTGTTAGATTGAGTCATGCAGTAAGTGAAAAAGTGATTGTGGGATCGGGCCGATGGTTGATTTTCCTTACGGAACTCTTAGAACCTAGGGTTTGGAGGTAGAGTCAGAAGTACAGAAGAACATTGGAAACCATGACCGAGGAACAGTTTGGTGTCTAAGAGGAGAGAAGATGATTAAAGCAACAAGTTACAAGTCCATGCTATCCAAAAAGAGAAAAAAAAAGAGAGAGAGTCAAGAACAATTTCGCCATATTAATGTCGTGAGAGCATCTAATTTCGTTTAACGCGTGTCGAGCTCGTCCAGTCTACGCTTCTGGAGCTTCCTCGGCTGGGGTCACGAGTTTCTTGGCTTGAAATTTGTCGGCGGAGTGGGCTGAGATCCGGGTGAGCTCGGTGACGAAGGATTGACCCCAGAATGCACTATCGAAGAGTTAGATGAATGCCATGGTTCGAGTGAAATGAGGATGCCTACCTGGTGTACTTGGACACATATTTGTCCAACTTGGCGAAGTTGAAAGCGCGCTGCTCGTCACTCATGGTCACGGCCTCTTGGTATGCACCAGCCAGCTCTTCCGTGTTCCAGGGGTTGACAATGATGCTGCCGTTGAGACTCTGGGCGGCACCAGCAAATTCGGATAGCACAAGGCTACCATGGCGCTTTTGTTGGGTCGCAATATACTCGTAGGCAACCAAGTTCATGCCATCGCGGGTCGAAGAAACAATGCAAGCATCGGAGACAGCGTAGAGAGCGATGAGCTCATCAAAGTTGACAGACTTGTGAAGGAAGTGGATGGGCATGAATTCAACCGTGCCGAACTTGCCGTTGATGCGGCCAACCAGCTCGTTCACCACCGCTCGCAAGTTCTGGTACTCTTCAACGTCCTGTCGACTCGGTACCGCGACCTGTACCAGGACGACTTTACCAACCCACTCCGGGTGATCACTGAGGAAGACCTCGAGCGCATGCAGCTTCTGCGGCACACCCTTGATGTAATCCAGACGATCAACACCAACCATAAGCTTCACGCCTTGGAACTTCTGCTCAAGCATCGCGATGCGCTTCTGAACCTTTTCCTTCTTCAAACCTTCGGTGAATTTCTCGGGGTCAATACCGATCGGGAAAGCGCCGCAGGTGATAATCTTGCCCTGGAATTCGATCCCGTTCGGCGTCGTCGCAAGGCCCCTACTTCCATTAGCTAGATGCATCATTTCGTCTCTCAATGTATTCACTCACAATAGACGTGAGCAACTACTCAAGAAATGGCGGGTGTAGTCGTAAGTGTGGAACCCAATCAGATCGCAATGCAAGACGCCCAAGAGAAGCTCATTGCGCACAGGCAAAATCCGGTAGATCTCACTACTGGGGAAAGGCGTGTGCAAGAAGAATCCGATCTTGACATTCTGCTTGCTGTTGCCGATTTCCTCGCGCAGCATCTCGGGCAGCAGCATCAAATGGTAGTCGTGGACCCAGATCAAATCGCCGTCCTTGACTTCCTTCGCAATAGCCTTGGCGAAAAGACGGTTCGCTTGCTTGTATGCCTCCCAGGCGGACTCATCAAAGGTAATCTCACCGGGGTGGTAGTGGAAAAGAGGCCAAAGGATAGAGTCTGTGACAAGTCACGCCTGTTAGCAGTTGAATGACAGTCAAGGGGACAGAGGGCACTAACTAGAGAATCCATTGTAGTGACGATCGGCCAATTCGTCGTCGATGAAGACCGGGACGGCACCGTACTCATCCTTCAAGCGCCGCTTGACCTCAGGGATCTCAGGCTCTGGCACTTCCAGACCGGGCCAGCCATACCACTGGAAAGTGGTCGACTTGGACAGACCGCTCAGACCGCTCACCAGACCTCCAGAGGACATGGAGAAATCATATTTGCCATCTTCGGAGCGCTTGATGGTGATAGGCAGACGGTTCGAAACGAGCAGCAGGCGGGCCTCATTCTTTGGTTCTTCGAGGGTAGGCATGGTCGCGGCGAAATCAGATGGAGTGTGGGAGGGGGGGGGTGGGTGCTAACAGCACTAGGAGGTAAATGCCGGGAGAGGGAAAAGACTAGGGAAAAGCCTGCCAGGCAGCACTTTGTGTCGTGCGAAGAGACGGGGAAGTTTTGACGGACTTAGAAGCGAAATGGCCAAGCTCTGCAGCTCGAGGGGTAAAAAAACGCAAGGGCGGGGTGAACAACGTGAGGTCACGGCGCGGAAACTTGGAACAGCTAAGGTGGAGCTCCTCAGTATCACTCACATCTACTGTACGTGCGCAGGAGACGTTTGTTTTGAAACAGTGGTTAAATAGATTTTGAGGAAGGTTCTTGGTGAGCCTGGCATTAAACTAGGGACTATTGTTGGAAAAGGGTGGGACAAATGCAGGTTTCGTCCGGCTGAAGTCCCGTCATCGATCGGTGATTGGACTCGGTTCAACCCAGCCAGTCACGACGAGATCCGGGCTGTTATAGCTCCTGAGAATTAATTCCTCTCGGTACACTACACTGGGCTTGAACTGGGCTTTCAAAAAAAGAAAAAGTCCATGACCAGGTTGCTGCCCAAAATGACCGTTTGCTGACGTCTGCGGAGCTCTGCCACGTTACGTAACCATGGCCAGGGTGCCAGTGAAGTATATTCCATGGTGGAGTCGGTAGAACCAACTAGTAGGATCGTAGTCTCCAGGATGTGAACATGCAAGAGGCTCATCGCGGATGATCCGCCATGTGCAGAACTCAATGTTGACAAGCTCCCCAGACATATCTCCCCCAATCTATACACAATCAGGGGGCGCTTTACAACGCAGACTTCTCCCCCAAGCGCCATTCTCCAGAGCCCGCGCTGTGCACCACTCGCCCCTCATTCTCCAATTTCATCAGTACCTGAGTGATACCATGCGAGGCCGGTAGATGAAGACTCTCCGGAACATCCTGGTAGATCACCTTGACGAGGCCCAGCGGCGTCCAGCCTTGGCGCTCAGGCTCAGACTCATTCTTCGCAACATCGAGCTTGTTGTACTGCAGAACGCGGAGCACCTCATCTTCCCGCTGCTGGCGATGTTTGATGTACTCCGAGATGCGCGAATTGGTGGAATCCATTACGGCGCCATGGCCTGGATACCCACGCCCTTGGACACGGTTGAGCATGCGATTGAGACTGACTAAATAGATTTGGAGGTCTTCAAAGACGGCTGTGCCGTGGCCGAGGACATCTATAGTATCATCAGTATATGCCAATTATATGGATACGAAGAGTTATCTTCTATGCTTACTATCACCGGTAAACATCGCATCCTCCTCCTCCAGCACAAAAGTCATATGGTCAACTGTATGTCCCGGCGTATGACATGCTGTCAGGGTAGCACCCTCGACCCGGAATACCTGTCCATCATGTATATCCTGTTGACCTGTATCGGGCCGATGCTTGAAAACAGTAGCCTTGGGACAAATGCGGAGCAAATCATTCACGCCCTTGACGTGGTCCCCATGCCAATGCGTGAGCAGGGCCTGGTGCACTGTGGCTTTTTCCTCGGAGAGCACGGATTGCAACCTGTCCGCCCACGTGGGCTTTCCCTCGCCCGTATCAATCAGGATACGCTGATGGCCACGGCCAATAAGATAGGTGTTGGTTCCTGATACACAAAGATGAGAGCGGGACCTCCGGGTCGCAATCGGGACTCATACCTTGCAGGGTAAACTATGTGTGCTGGTCAGCCCAACGTGTTGCCCAATGGAACAGAATCACAATATCATACCTTGCCCGGGTTTCCTCCCAGGATCCTGATTACGGAGGCGCTGAGGCGCTCGACTTCTGGCAAGGGAACGAGCTGGGCCATTGTTTGGTTTGAAGTTCTCCGATTTGCGGAAGTGAGGTCTGGCCCACCCCCCGAACGTCTCTTGTAAAATGGTCCAAGCAGCCGCAGATTGATGGCGGAACGGGGTCCTTGTCGATTAATGTGGGGAGGTTGTGCTGAAGATAGGTAGAGAGTTCGCCATCCTCAGTCTCGGTCACGGAATGGCTGGTTCTAAAGTAACTGCGCATCCCAGAGGACTGGGTCTGAGCCGCGGGGCATTCAAGGGCCGAGGCAGATTAGCTCATCTGTCTAAGTGCCGCTTTCGACCACAGTGCCATCTACATCTCTCAGGTACAATATTACATCCTTACGAGCAAAAATGAGAAAAGAGTCTTGAGAATCTGAAAATGGTTGAACACAAAAAAAAGTGTATGCATGCTATTTTCGAACATACAGAAACGATTTAAGGGAAATCAAATAGCTATATCCATTGAGCCCACCCAAAAGGGAATCCAACGCAAGGCCAATAAGCCGAAAAACAAGATATCGTAAAATTTTTCCCAGAGCGCAACTCCTCGTACCAGGCTCGAAATAGGGACAGACGCACACACAATGAGCGAACGCCATCATCAGGCTGTCACTCAGTTCCTCTTTTCTGGACGATAGACACAGGAAAGAGGAAGTAGTTTACACGGACGCCTTGCGGCAATCCCTTGGAGACGTGAGATAAATTTATTTGCCACCGGACTTGCGGGCCATGGTGTTCAGGGCAGAACCGTCACGGAACCACTCGATCTGGGACTCGTTGAAGGTGTGGCTGAGAGAGATGTCGAAGGGAGCACCACCGGCAGCGGGGTGGACACGGAGGGTCATGGGCTTGCCAACAGCAAGCTCAGTGCACAGAAGGTCGACCTTGTCCTCGGGCTTGATCTTGTCATAGTCGGCGGGGTCGGTGAAGGTCAGGGGCAGCATACCCTGCTTCTTCAGGTTGGTCTCGTGGATACGAGCGAAGGAGCGGGTGATGATGGCCAGACCACCGAGGTGACGGGGCTCAAGAGCAGCGTGCTCACGGGAAGATCCCTCACCGTAGTTCCAGTCACCAATGACAACCCACTTGACGCCGCGGGCCTTGTAGTCACGGGCAGTGGCGGGGACGGCGCCGAACTCACCAGTGAAGGCGTTCTTAACCTTGTTGGCCTCGCCGTTGGCCTCGTTCACGGCACCAATCAACATGTTGTTGGAGATGTTGTCCAAGTGGCCACGGTACTTCAACCAGGGGCCAGCCATGGAGATGTGGTCAGTGGTGGTCTTGCCCTGGCACTTGATCAGGATAGGGAGGTTGGTGGCATCCTTGCCGTCCCAGGCCTCGAAGCCAGCGAGGAGCTGGAGACGGTCACTGGTGGGGGAGACAACGACATCGACGGAGGCACGGTCAGCGGGAGGAGCCTGGTAGGTGTCCATGCCGGGGTCGTAACCCCGACCGGGCAGACCGTCACCGGAGGGAGCCTTGAGCATGAACTCGTTGCCGTTGGCATCCTTGAGCTTGTCGGTCAAGGGGTTGAAGTTAAGGGTACCGGCAACGGTCATGGCGACGACAAGGTCGGGGGAAGCGACGAAGGCGTGGGTAGCGGGGTTGGCGTCGTTACGGCCAGTGAAGTTACGGTTGTAGGAAGAGATGATGGAGTTGGCCTCACCCTTCTTGACGTCCTTGCGGTCCCACTGACCAATACAGGGGCCACAGGCGTTGGCAAGGATGACACCGCCATACTCCTCCATGGTCTCGAGCTGGCCATCACGGGCAATGGTGGCACGAATCTGCTCGGAGCCGGGGGTGATGGTGAAGAGAGACTTGGACTTGAGGCCGTGGTCGAGAGCATCCTGGGCGATGGAAGCGGCACGAGACATATCCTCGTAGGAGGAGTTGGTGCAAGAGCCGATCAGACCGACCTTGAGCTCCTCGGGCCACTTGTTGGTCTTGAGGGTCTCCTTCCACTTGGAGATAGGGGTGGCCAGATCGGGAGTGAAGGGGCCGTTGATGTGAGGCTCGAGCTCAGACAGGTTGATCTCGAGGAGCTGGTCGTACTCAGCACCCTCGTCCTCGCGGAGCTCCTTGGCGTAGTCGCGGGAGAAGTCACCAATGTTCTGGCGCTTGGTGGCCTTGAGGTAGTCGTACATACGGTCGTTGAAGGGGAACATGGAGGTGGTGGCACCAATCTCGGCACCCATGTTACAGATGGTAGCCATACCGGTGCAGGACAGAGAGTTGACACCGGGGCCGTGGTACTCAATGATGGCGCCAGTACCACCCTTGACGGTCAGCTCACCGGCGACCTTCAGGATGATATCCTTGGGGGTAGTCCAGCCAGACATCTCGCCGGTAAGGCGGACACCGATGACCTTGGGGGCCTTCAGCTCCCAGGGGAGACCGGCCATGACATCGACAGCGTCAGCACCACCGACACCGATGGCGGCCATGGCGAGACCACCAGCGTTGGGAGTGTGGGAGTCAGTACCGATCATCAGACCACCGGGGAAAGCGTAGTTCTCGAGGACGATCTGGTGAATGATACCGGAACCGGGCTTCCAGAAACCAATGTTGTACTTGGCAGTGGAGGAAGCGAGGAAGTCGTAGACCTCCTTGTTGATGTCGTTGGCACGGGCCAAATCCTTCTCGCCGCCAACCTGGGCCTCAATCAAGTGGTCACAGTGGACGGTGGTGGGGGTCTGGACGGAAGGCATGCCAGCGGACATGAACTGCAGGATAGCCATCTGAGCAGTGGCGTCCTGGCAAGCAACACGGTCGGGACGGAGCTTAAGGTAGGAGGTACCACGCTCGATGTCCTGGCCATGGGGGTCATCCAAGTGAGAGTACAGGACCTTCTCGGCGTAGGTGAGAGGGCGCTGAAGACGGCCACGGACGATGTCGAGGTTCTCGGACATCTTCTTGTAGTTGATGTAGTTGCCCTTCTCGTGAAGGGTCATCTCAACCTTCTTGTCAAGAGGATCATTGGCAATGGTAGCGAAGCTCCGGGGCCCGAGGAACTAATAGAGAGTCGAGAGTTAGTGGCTGCTACGTTACTGCGATCCCCTCATCCGGACCGATTCGGAGGGAAGTCGCAGGCGATTGATGATCAGCTAGAACTGCTTACCAGACGGGCCTTGGGAGCCTGTGAGAGAGACACGTTAGCTGTTGATTCATTCCCGATGGACTGGCGATGACGACTGGGACCGGGGTCGACGCAGTCGCGCATCAGCAAGCCGAGGCAGGGCGCAACTTACCAGCGCACCAGCGCGCGCAAGGCGGGAAGTAATCATGATGGCAAGCTATCTCTTTAGGAGACAACACAACACATCCAATGCAAAAGCTACCACCTTCACCTGTGGAAGCAGAATAGAGAGTGGATAGTGAAGAGGAAAGAGGGAAGAAGGGAAGAAAAAGGAAAGCTTGGAGGTTTTGAGTGGGCGAGAAACTGGGACCGAAGAGCCGTAACCGCTGTTACCACGGCAATACCATACACGTATTGTGTCAGGCAACGGTTTGACCTCCCGCATGCGACGGCTCTGCGAGGACTGAGCTGCACTCCAGAATGCGCGTTAAGGCGAGAAATCTCTGTACAAAAGCTCGGAAGATGTTCTTTAGAGCTTCTTCTACTCAGATGTTTCCTTTAATTCATACTAGTCCTACGCTATGTGCGTTGGTGGTGATGTGCATTTCTTCAACCCGGAGCAGAAAGATCTGTAAAGGCAATACAGGGCATGTGACGGGCGGAATCCGGCCACCAATCACAGAGTTTACAATTACACTCCCTTCAAGAGGCCATTTCGGACCAAAGGCAAAGCGTTGCGGCCAGTGCGGGCTGGGGGTGCTAGGGAAACTCGGCCTATACCCCGTTAACCCGCAGCTCCCGATTCCTCCTGTCTCGCATGTGGTTGCCATGGTCCTCCTCGTAGGGACGCTATGGATCATGATGGCCATGGTCTTGGTCGTGGTCATGGCCATGACTATATCAACAATAACACACCACTAGATGGGATCTAGCCCTCAGTTCTGTTCTCGTCTTCCAAACCGGATGAGTACCTTGTATCCATAGCCCAAAAGGGACGATAGCTGTCAACATGCCGCATTGAAAACGTCATAAAATACAAGGCATACACCCGCATACACAGCAGACAGGATCCGGTGACGAAACCGAGAGCCGAGGCGTGCCGACCGGTCTTCCCGCGATACCAATGTTGCCAATCACTGCGACTGTGTTTCAATTCGTGCCGACCCACTCGGCGGAAATTTTGATTCCAATCTTTTTTGAGCCCCCGACGCGCGACCCGTTCTCCACTACGCCCCATTATCACTCCGGAAATCGGTGATAACCTTTTTTTTTCCAAGTCTCACCGTTGTGATAGTCGCAAAAATTGAAGGCCGACAACATGGGTGCCCTTAGAAGACAGAGAGTCAAGTGCAAGCGTATCACTAGGTATGTTCTACGTGGTGCGTCGGTGCGATTTGTGCGTGCTAAATTTTTTTTTTGCAGAGGTTTCGATCAGATCCGCAGCGATCTCGAATCTCCCCGTCACCTCGAGCAATATAAGGAGACTAAAGATGCCGAAGATCTGCCTGGTCTCGGTCGCCACTACTGCGTCGAATGCGCCAAGTGGTTTGAGAGCGAGTACAACATGAAGGCACACACAAAGGGCAAGAACCACAAGCGACGGTGCGTTTGGCCACAGACCAGCCCTCCCTCGCAACTTACTGACTTGGTCCACACAGGGTCCGCCAACTTGAAGACGAACCTCACAGCCAAAGAATCGCCGAAGCTGCCGTGGGAATTGGAGCTCCTGACAACGGCAAGCGGGCGGACGACACCGTGGAAATGCAAGACTGAATGGTTTCCCGGTCGATATAAACGAGCCAGGGCAGTGCACCTCGCACATGACATATGGCATATGGCATTCCAGCTCGATCTGGAATCCGGAATTGGTCACGAACGAACATGAATACCCTCAAAAAGCACTAAGGCGACGTCTACTCTACACTATGTCTGCATATCCAGCGGGCCTCTCACGTGAGGCTTTTTTTTATATGCCGAGTTTCGCCGGGGTTCCGTTCTGCCGGTCTGCGGAACAGATCGGAACTGCCGAAAACCGGCGGATGCGGCATGGACCAAAGCGAAATGCGAAATATTACCCCCTTGGCAAAATAAACCCAATAGAAATCCCTCAATACCAAATATTGTCTAACTTGAACTGGTGTCTCGGTCTATTGTGTTGGCTATCAATCAGAAATTTGTACACTATGCGTAGTACTGGCCCACTGGAGCTTCATAAGGTGTTAGATTCTTCATTAGCCATTCGTATGCCGCCCACTTATTATGATTAGTCTAGGATCAACATGAATTGGTCTGAACACGTACCTGGACAGCATTCACGATGAACGCTCTGATACTGCAGATGCCGAGGCCGCGATAGAATGCACGCACGCCCTCGGCCTGATACACCTCTCGGGCGAGCTGGAATGTGTTCAAGGCTCGCCGAGGCCGCAATAGGGAACGAGCCTCAGATGCGTCAGTCGAAGACCGTTCGTGCATTGTCTGCGCCTGCAGTCGGGTCTTGATCATATCCAGCGGGAACACCGAGCTCCAGGTAACAATGCCAGCAATGCCACCACAAAGAAGTACTTTAAGGGCTTCTTCGTGCGAGCTCTCATCTGGTGTCATCATCCAGCGCTTACAGAGCTCATAAGACCAGAAACTACCATGTGTTAATCGAGCGATCGCAAAGGAACTGGGGAGGATTCCATACTAGAACCCATAGCCAATGGAATCTCTGGCGCATGTAATTGCACCACCATAGTAGAACCCTCTCCAGCCACGACTGCGATATATGTCTTTGGCAACAGTCCAGGACGATATTTCCGGTCGATTATTTAATTGCGCGCGACACTTGATCAATTCCGTCGGAGAGGAAATGGTCCAACTGGCCAGTCCGCCCGCAGCACCGGCAAGCCAGATCTTATACAAAGCAACTCCATCAGGTTTGGTGGGGTCTGTGATAGAGCTGTCGAGTGATATCAATGACCGATTGTATGCCACAAACAAAATCGCATTGAGAGCTCCATATCCCAAGATCGGAGCAGCAGCGCCTACAAATACCATTAATATTATGCATATGCAAAGACGATCCACGCACGAACCTCGCACAAGAGAGCTGGCCCGCTCCAAGCGAGTTAAATTAGGACAGGGAGATGCATCCGATGAGTTACCAGCCTGCAGCCGGACCTTCACCACGTCCAAAGGATTGCCGATGATGATTCCAAGGGCTCCACTGATATAACCAGCCCAGAAATCAGATGTCATCATTTAAATTTGAAAAGAGAAAGGGTGTCCCACTCTTCGTATCAAAGATCCCCCCCCCGGCTTTGGCACTTTGGCGGGGTGGGTCACGTGGGGCCGCGGCACTTTGGTGTTGTAGCCTGACGCGAGGCAAGAACGCGTCGGTGGCAACATCCTTCATTTTACCTTGTGCAGTGTGATTTGTACAGTAATTCGATTTGGACGAGACACTGCGTTTGCATCTGAGATATGTGAGTATCTGTTCTGAGAAATCTGAGGATATCCCATTCATTTCTGACCCTCCAGGTATCGACCCAAGCCCGCCGGGACGGACAGTGTCAAAACACCACTCCAGCCTAAATCCATAAATTCCCTTGATCGCCTCTCCAGGCCCTTCAAATGCCCTGGCTCGGCGACACCGACTCGAGCATCAGAGAAGCCCGCAAGAAAGAAACGGAAGGTCAATTATGCCAACGCCGATGGCAGCACAGAGGATGGGGCAGAGAAACCATACACAAACGAGGACCGACTTGCGTTGGCAACGCGCGAGGTCAACAAATTCCCAGTGTACAAGCCCAAGGATAAAGATACCGCATTTAGAACGCATTTCCGAATTCCCTTAATCAACAAAACAACGGGTGAATACGACGCAGGCCGGCCAGCACCGACATTGGGACTTCGACAAGGTGCCACATTTGTCGCCAAACCTCTCCACGATCCAAGCGGGGAATTTGCTATTGTTCTTTATGACCCGACTATGGATGATGTCCCAGAGGAGCCAGCCAAAAAGGAGCCTGGGGGGCCAAACAGCGAGGATCAACCCAAAATTGAAGAGCCCTTAGTACATAAGAGTTTGGCAGATATTCTTGGTCTGAAAAAGAAGGTAGAGGGTCGGCCTAAGGTGCCAGTTGTCATTGATCCGAGATTGGCCAAGGTTCTTCGACCGCATCAAGTGGAAGGTGTGAAGGTACGTCCATTGAACCCCTCTTTGGTGGAAAATTGGTGTAATTATGTTTCTGACGTGAACAGTTTTTGTATCGCTGTACAACAGGCTTAATTGATAAGAATGCCAATGGATGCATTATGGCAGACGGTATGGGTTTGGGTAAAACGGTATGACGAGATCGCTCCTCAAAGGCACCGCACCGCTGACATGGACAGCTTCAATGCATCTCTTTGATGTGGACATTACTTAAGCAGGGCCCCGAGGCTGGAACTACAACTATCCAGAAATGTGTTATTGCATGCCCATCTAGTTTAGTTGGTAACTGGGCAAACGAATTGGGTGAGTGACCTCGATCACTGATCTTCTACGATACTAACCGTTGTAGGTAAATGGCTTGGCAAGGATGCTACCACCCCCTTTGCAATAGACGGAAAGGCGACGAAGACGGAGCTCACTCAGCAAATTAAGCAGTGGGCAATCGCCTCGGGACGTGGAATCGTCAGGCCCGTGCTTATTGTGTCATATGAAACGCTCCGAATGTACGTCGAGGCGCTCAAGGACACGCCAATTGGCCTTCTTTTGTGCGACGAAGGTCATCGACTGAAAAACAAGGAAAGCTTGACCTGGACGGCGTTGAACAGTCTGAATGTCAGCCGCCGTGTTATCCTGTCTGGAACACCGATCCAGAACGACTTGTCTGAATACTTTGCTCTTTTGCATTTTGCCAATCCCAATCTGCTCGGCTCCCAAGCCGAGTTCCGCAAACGATATGAACTACCGATCCTCCGGGGCCGCGATGCAGCGGGGACCGAGGAGTCCCGAAAACTCGGTGATGAACGTCTCGCAGAGCTGTCCAGCATTGTTAACAAGTTCATCATTCGCCGGTCGAACGACATCTTATCGAAGTACCTACCTGTCAAGTACGAACATGTGGTATTTTGCAACATGTCTCCGTTCCAATTAGACCTCTATAACCACTTTATTCAAAGTCCAGAGATTCGCAGCTTGCTTCGAGGAAAGGGAAGTCAACCTTTGAAAGCCATTGGCATCTTGAAGAAGCTCTGTAATCATCCCGACCTCCTCGATTTGCAAAAAGATCTCCCCGGATGTGAGCATGCGTACCCCGAGGACTTCACTCCTCCAGAAGCCCGAGGCCGTGACCGTGAGGTCAAGAGCTGGTACTCTGGAAAGATGATGGTACTTGACCGTATGCTCGCTCGAATTCGTCAAGACACGAATGACAAGATTGTTCTCATCAGCAATTACACTCAGACTCTGGATCTGTTCGAGAAACTGTGCCGATCACGTGCATATGGCTGTCTGCGACTGGACGGGACGATGAACATCAAGAAACGTTCAAAGCTGGTCGACAAATTTAACGACCCAGATGCCCCCGAATTTGTCTTCCTCCTTAGTAGCAAGGCAGGAGGATGCGGTCTCAACTTGATCGGCGCCAACCGCCTCGTTCTCTTCGATCCCGACTGGAACCCAGCTGCCGACCAGCAAGCCCTTGCTCGAGTGTGGCGTGATGGACAGAAGAAAGACTGTTTTGTCTACCGATTTATCGCTACCGGTTCAATTGAGGAAAAGATCTTCCAGCGACAATCCCACAAGCAATCCCTCTCATCATGTGTTGTCGACTCAGCAGAAGACGTCGAGCGTCACTTCTCACTCGAATCACTCCGCGAACTATTCCAATTCAAACCTGAGACACGCAGCGATACGCACGACACATTCAAATGCAAACGTTGTCGGCCTGATGGAAATCAGTACATTAAGGCGCCGGCTATGCTTTACGGTGATACGAGTTCATGGAACCACTTTGTTAATAATGGTGAGAAGGGCCCCATGGCACAGATTCAGGACTTCTTGTTGAGGCAGGAAGTTGGCGAGAGGGACGTTTCGGCTGTTTTCCAGTATATTAGCCATTGATTTCAATCCTTGGCGTTTTCGTGGATTTTTGGCGAGACTTGCTCTTTTCTACGTACCAATTCTTTTCGCATACCCCTTTCATAGAAACCAACCAAGAAGTTTGTTCTTTAGTCAATTGTGAAGAAGTCAGAAAATGGTTCGTGGGTATTTTTCAGTTGCCATCATTTATATACATGTGTCAATTGATCTGTCCTTATGTTCTACGTATGAGTAGAGTTGTAGCCCAGCTTAGCCTTTCCTTCTCCTCATCTACCAATATCAACCTGCTTTATTCCCTTTTTATCGGCTTCCTGACCTGAGTCAAACATTTTCAGTCCCCGTTCTAGGAAACATTCTGCGCCGAGAGCTTGGACGTCTCCATCTTTCTATCCTTTCCACCAGATTCAACCGCACCAGGTCCATTCTGACCATTCTTTCCCTGCTTAATGCTTTTCCACTCCATTGCAAGTGCACTTATCAACGCCCCGAAGGTCAACCCCATAGAAGCCAAGAAAATCCTCCTACAGGCCGTATTATAAACCCGCTGAACGACAATAATATTTCCCGGCGCAACAATAGAAGCTAACTTCGTCGCTCCCTCACTAAGAACCAAATTGGGATCAATGCCCTGGATATCAGCGAGCTTCGAAACCAGGGTATTGCTCAGGATCGTTTGGCCCACAGTAGTGAAGATACATCCGCTGAGTTGCTGCACGAAGAACAGGAGAGCGACTCCAGCTGGTACATCGGATATCGGGAGGATGCGTTGCACGACTAGTCCTCCTGTCTGCATTCCGATTCCAACACCGAAGCCGCATAGGATTTGGTAGGCGATCCAGTGGGCGGAGGTGGTGTCTAGGCTTAAGGTTGACAGGAGACCCAGGCCGACGGACAGGATGCAGGGACAGAGAATCATTACCGGGACATAGTAGCCCGACTTTTTGGTGATACCGCCGCCGATGAAGCCTGCGATGACTAGACTCAGTACGAGGGGGAGAGTGTTGATTCCCGATTCAACAGGATTGACGAGTTTGACGGTTTGAACTATTATGATCAGCAATGACCAAATGAAAGCCTATTTTCAGCTTTGAGAGGCCCTTACACCAAATTGGCAAGTAGTATATTGTCATCATCATGGAGCCGACTCCACAGAACGTGAAGATAGTAGAGGCGAGAATACTCCTTTGGGTGATGATTCTACCAGGGATGGTCGCTGTCTCCGGCATGAGAATTTGAACAGCAACGAAGGCCGTCATCAGAATACCAAAGAGAACGAACAGAGCAATGATGCGGCCATTGTTCCATGCATAGTTTGAACCACCCCATTGAAACGCCAACAGGAGGCACACAACTCCTGGAACCAAGAAGAAGGTACCAAGCGGATCGAGACGCTTGATATGCATTGTCACAGGAATAGAATCGTGATGTACTTTCACCGGATGCCAAACCAAGGCCATGAAGATCCAGGTAGCTGCACCGATAGGAAGGTTGACATAAAAGCACCATCTATCCCCCGCTGTCAGTATTCACCTCCAGTACCAAAGTCATCCAATTTACAACAAACCTCCAAGTGACACTACCAGTAAACCCACCCCCAATAAGCGGTCCCAAAACAGAAGCAAGACCGAAAACAGCCCCAAACATAGCCTGAAACATAGGCCTCTTATGAAGCGGAACTAATGGGATGATAATAAGCATGCATCCGGAGAAGATCCCAGCAGATGCAAAACCAGCAATAGCCCGTCCGGCTATAAGCACGTTTGAAGACGGAGCAGAGCCACAAACAATAGACCCAACTTCAAATATGACCATGGTAGCCAAAAAGACCCATTTCATATTGTAGAACTTGTAGATACGACCGAAGATCAGTTGTGAGGTTGCGCCTGTCAGCATATATGCTGACCCGTACCAGCCGATGTCACCGAGGCTGTTGAAGTCGTCTGTGATTTTGGGGATTGCTGTCGTGATGATTGTCCGGTCAAGGGCCACGATGAAGAGTGATAGAAAATTACAGGCCATTATTAACCAGAATTTGAGGGTTTTCGGAGCATATTGGCTACCTGGTGGGCCTCCCAGAGGTTTTGGTCTTGTAGGTGGTTGGTATACATCTTGCTTTTCAGTGTCGGGGGCTGCGTCGAGAGCTTTGGGGGGTTCGGCTTGAGTCGATCGGTCGCTGAGGATCGAACATGTCATGATACCAAGGTAACTTGCTATTGAAAAAAATTCAAGAGATACTTCGATTTGTCAAGGGATGGATGAGCAATGTTTTCAAGACGAGGGAAAGGAAGTAATTGTCGATTCTTTGATATCCAAAAGCTGCTGGTGGAAGAGAGCTACTTAAGTGCTTATCTTCAAGGAAAAACAAATTAAAATTCAGAATTTCAAGAGCTCTCGGCTCCGCTATGCAAGAGAGAGCCTCCTTTTTTTTCCCTGACTTTGATACCCTTTGCGAAGGGACTGTACTGACGACAGATCGGGTCTAGCGTATGTGGGAATCGATGATAACGGGACCGAGGAACGTTGCTCGGGACCGAAATGATTACTTTCTTCCCGACGCTCACAGTATCTACTTTGACTCTTCACATTTGGGACCATCGATATTTTGGACATCGGCAAGCATCATTCGATTCATTACAGTTCTCGGGGGGGGCAATATCTCCGCGGTCCCGACCTTATTCCATCATGAGTCTGAGGCGAGGTCACTCTTGTGTCTTTTGCCAACAGCGCAAGGTCCGCTGTGATCAGCAGAAGCCGTGCTCCAACTGTATTCGGGCACAGGCGGAATGCAAAGTGGTCGCGCCGCAGCCTGCAAGACGAAGAAAAAAGAAATTACTCGAGCGAGATTTGATTGAACGACTCAAGAAGTATGAAGCGCTCATGACCCAGCATGGTATTGACTTTGATTTATTTGGCAATGTTGGGGATGAGGCAACCGAAGTAGACACTGAAGCCGGAGCAAGGGAAGCTCCGCCGGAGAGCAGTGCTCAAGATCGCAGCTCTCGGAGCGAAGGCTGTCAGAGGTCAAAGCCTTGTCCCACCCCGCATAAGCCAGGCTAATGTTTGAACAGGCGCTCCAAGTGGTTTGCATATTACGATGAATATCGGACGACATATGACTTGCTACAAAACTCCGATGATGACGGGACTGACCCGCCTCCAATTCATCATGCCTTCGACAAGATGTTCATCAATGAATCTGATGCATTCCCCTTTGGCGTGGGTGGCTCGCCGACGCGCATAACCCATTTGCACCCATCAGCGATTCAGATTTTTCAGCTCTGGCAGGTTTATATCAGCAATGTAAATTCATTGCTGAAAATCAGTCATATATCTACCCTGCAGACTCAAATTGTTAGAGCAAGTGCCGACTTGTCAAAAGTTTCCAAACCACTCGAAGCCCTTATGTTCAATATTTATCTCATCGCCGTGAAATCTTTGACAGACGAAGAGACCCAAAGTACCTTTGGCGAGCCAAAAGAAATCATGCTTGCTCGGTTCAATCAAGCTGCACAGCAAGCCTTGGTCAATGTGGGCTTCATGAGATCGAATGAGCTGATAGTACTGCAGGCTTATCTCTTGTACCTTGTAAGCCCTTTCTTCCCTTTGACCGACCCTGCCGTGCGCTGACAGTTCTTCGTATCTAGCACAGTGCTGGTCGTAATGTTGATCCTCGAACTATGTTCTGTTTACTTGGCATTGCCGTTCGTATGGCAACTCGCATAGGAGTACATCGAGACGGTGCTCAATTTGGCCTCTCACCCTTTGAGACTGAACAGCGACGAAAACTTTGGTGGCAGCTGGCTGCACTTGATAAACGAATGGCTGAAATGACCGGCTCCTCCATCACAGCTCTCTCTTCTTCTGGATCGGACTGTCGCCTCCCACTCAACGTAAACGATGCGGACTTGAACCTGCATTCTAACGAGCCGCCAAAAGCATGCAGCGGTCCAACAGAGATGATATTTTGTCTCACACGTATTGAGCTACTTATTGCGGCTGATCCAAACAGTATTCGGCCCAATTCGACAACCATCAAGAATCCACAAAAGCATACCAACTCGGTGGTATCTCCCGATACAAGTATTGGCGAAGGATGCCGGCCAACCACCCGGGACCTGGATCAATATTGCTCCTACATAGAGTCAGTCTACCTGATGGGCTGCGACCCGAAGGTTCCAATTCAGCTTTTCGCCCTGATGGCAACACGCAGTGCTCTCTGCAAACTTCATGTTGTCGAATTCATGTGTCAAGGCATACCCACATCTAGTCTCAGCGATGACGAGCGCGACGCCCTCTTTCTGACTGCCATCAAGATGCTAGAGTATGACGATGTGATGTTTACTACGGAAAGTCTCCGCGGCTTCTTGTGGTACATGCAGATCCACGGACCCTTGCCGGGCTACATCTTTCTCATCAGCGAATTGCGCGAACGAACAACGGGCGAGCTATGTGAACGCGCATGGAAAGCCATCTGCAGCAATCATGAGCATAGACAATTCGTTCGCAACATTGGAAACCCGATGCATGTTGCTTTCATGCACGCTACACTCAGGGCCTGGGCTGCTCGGGAGGAAGCCGAGCTTCGACTTGGAAGATCCCTCGAGCCACCTAATCTTGTCACACTGCACAGACAGCTCACTGTAGACATAAAAGCGTCTCGAAAAGGCCCTCAGCCAGCACATAACGAAGGAGGTCTTGACTCCCCGCCTGTGGGTCGACAGTCTGGATCAGGGAGAATAGACCAGACTTCCGAAGCGATCGTTGATGACAACCTGATGATGCCCACTCTCGACCCTGCGACTGATATCTATGGAGCTGCATTCGGGAGTTACGATCAGACGAATTGGGCATATCTGATGCAGCCTGGAGTGCTCGGCGATTTTCTCCATGGTTCGGGAACCCACTTCCCGCAGGGCGGTGGATTCTGATGCGAGTGAAGATGTCAGTATGGACCGATAATCTGGAAACGTAACGATCAAGCCTTGAATACTGTACATAGCATTTGTGTTCATTCTCAAATGTTTCGCTAAATAGAGTAGATTGGTATCTCGGGCCGAGATGCGCCCCGGTGCTGACATACGTCACACCGCGCTTGGGACTCCCGTCTCCGCGGTTGACAACGCATCTTTCCACCCCTCTCTGAAGCTTTTCAAGTGCCCAATAAATGGGGCTTAGCCTGTGAGGACCATTTGAGCTTCTCACCGGCAACTCCCGCGCTATCCCGCCTCGTGACCCAGCCCCTAATCGACGCGATCTCTCCACCATGAACTTTGCTTAATCGGAGCTCGGAACAGCTTTCTCCGCGAGTGGGAGATATGGATCAATCAATCCAGCGATTGCTTAACGACAAGCTCTACGATAAGCGAAAGCAGGGAGCCTTGGAGTAGGTTTTCTGGGAGCTGTGGAGGTCGAGTAAACCTCAGCTAACACGCGACACAGAGTAGAGAAAATCGTTCGAGACGCCGTTTTCAAAGGAGAACACGAGAAGATTCAAAGGATCGTCGAACAGCTCTGCCACGACTATGCCTACGCTGTACACCAACCTCACGCTCGAAACGGTGGCTTGATTGGCCTCGCCGCTGCCTCTATCGCCCTCGGATCGGTGAGTCACGGATAACGAAGAGAAGGGAGGGAGCTCGGCTGATGCAAAATTGTAGGAGGGCGTTGCCACCCATTTGAAGGAGATCGTACCTCCAGTCCTGGCATGCTTTTCGGACCAAGATGCGCGAGTCCGGTACTATGCTTGCGAGAGCATGTACAACATCGCGAAGGTGGCCAAGGGAGAGATTTTGCCTTTCTTTAATGAGATATTTGATGCTTTGGCCAAACTAGCATCCGACTCGGAGCTCTCAGTGAAGAACGGAGCGGAACTTCTGGACCGTTTGGTGAAAGACATTGTTGCCGAATCTGCAGCTTCGTATGTGTCTGTACTGCAGCTTTCGGAGAAGGATGACCCAACCGAGCTCGATAATGCGGAATTACCTACAGCTTTTTCCCTTGGAAGATTTATCCTCCTTCTCAAGGACCGGATTCATGTGATTCAGCCGTATACTCGCAACTTCCTAGTCTCGTGGTTGACTTTGCTCGATACTGTCCCTGACTTAGAGCTGGTGAGCTATCTGCCTGAATTCCTGGAAGGGCTGATCAGGTTCCTCGGTGGTCCAGATAGGGATGTGAACGTTGCTACACAGGCACTTTTAGACCGATTCTTGTCCGAGATTAAAAGGATCACCAGACTAAAGAAGGGAATTGAGGAGAGTCGAAAGGGCCAGCGAAGCCGACGTTCTGCCACGAGCGATACTGAGAGTCTCAGAACCGAACAGACTGCTGATACAAAGGGCGATGTTGCAATTGATGATTCTGCCTCGGAGTCCCTCTCTGATGAAGACATGAACCAGGCTGATGGCGACTGGATTCCGGGGCAGGACGTTCAGATCGACTTCCCGAAAATTTTGGATATTCTGGTCAGCTTCGTTGACACGTCATATGGTGAGTTTCCTACCTTTCATTCCCCAAATTTCTATGATACTGACAGCTCACAGATGAGGAAATGCAATTAACGGCGCTCCGCTGGGTGGACGCGTTCTTCGACATCAGCCCTGAAGATATTCTCCCATTTGTCCCACGACTCTTGACTCAGGTGCTGCCGGCAATGTCTAGTGGCTCAGATTCGGTGCGACAAGCAGCAAACCGAGTCAACAAGTCCCTACTCGAATACATTTCGTATCTTTCTGACGATACAACCGATGAAACAGCTTGGACAGCTTCTAAGGCGCCTTCCGCGGCACTCAGCAAAGACAGTATTGACAGAAAATCGGTTGACATCCCCAAAGACTCAAGGCCAGCAACACCGCGTGGTAGTATTATGTCGACACCTGTTCAGCCGGCCGATCTTGATTACGCTGCAGCAGTCAGTTCGCTTACACTACAATTCCTGAATGAGAATGAAGCCACCAGGGTAGCTGCACTTGGATGGCTAATCATGTTACACCGGAAAGCTCCGCGGAAGGTGGTTGCTTTCAACGATGGCACATTCCCAGCTCTCTTGAAGACTCTATCGGACCCTGCGGAGGCAGTTGTCCGACAGGACTTGGAGCTCTTGTCGCAAATTTCGAGGTATAGCGAAGACAATTACTTTACTTCGTTCATGGTGAATCTGCTACAACTCTTCTCGACGGATCGGCACTTGTTGGAAGTCCGCGGAAACTTGATCATCAGACAACTGTGTCTAAAGCTGAGTACGGACCGCATCTATCGGACTTTGGCAGACTGTCTCGAGAAGGAAGAAGTGAGTTTTTCTATTTCTCACTATGACGTGATCCAGTACATTGACATTTCTAAGGACATTGAGTTTGCAAGCATCATGGTGCAGAACTTGAATAACAACCTTATCACAGCACCTGAGCTGTCTGATATGAGGAAAAAGCTGAGGAACCCCAATTCCACCGTATGTATCTCTTTTCGGATCTAGTTCTGACAAAATCTAACCTTTCACAGGAAGGCCAAGCGCTCTTTGTTGCTCTGTTCCGGTCTTGGTGCCATAATGCCGTTTCTACTTTCTCTCTATGTCTCCTTGCTCAGGCTTATGAACAAGCTTACAATCTGCTCCAAATTTTGTAAGTCGCCAATATCTCTCAGTCCCCCTCCTCTTGTAACCTTTCTGACTCATGGACTCAGCGCCGAGCTCGAAATGACAGTCAACATGCTTATTCAGATCGACAAACTGGTGCAGCTACTCGAATCCCCTGTATTCACCTGTTCGTTGCCCTCGGGTGGTTCCATTGATGCCAATTCACTAATGCATGCTAGACCTCCGACTACAACTCCTCGAACCTGAAAAATATCCCTACCTCTACAAATGCCTTTACGGTGTCCTCATGCTCCTCCCTCAGAGCTCTGCCTTCGCTGCACTCAAGAATCGATTGAACAGCGTTAGCAACATTGGATTCCTCTACGGTGGTCCTCGCAGGTATGGAACTTGCCCGACCCCACCCTCACCGTCACCATCATCATCATCATCGTCACCGTCACACATACTGACCTTTCCTAGTACCACTCAAACAGCACCGTCGTACGAACGCACTACCGGCACCCGCTTGAAGCGAGAAGACAGCAACATCCGCTGGGTCGAACTTCTGGAAAAGTTCAAGAACGTGCAGGAACGTGCACGTCGGGCGCAAGCTGCACAGCGGCATTCGCTCGACCCAACAGATAATCTTCAGAATCCCTCCCTAACTGCCGCCCTCTCGGCTGCAACTACGGACCGTACCCGAGACCGATCAGGTCTTCCCGAACGCACCCCGTGGAATGGGAGGTCTCGGTGTCGGTGTGCCAGGCCCTTCTATGGGAGCGGGTGGAAGTCGTGGGGCGTTTGATTCTAAATCAGGGTCCTCATCCATATTGACCGCACATAAGCACAAATCTAGTCTTCCAAATCTGGGCCGGCTCGGTATTGGAGGACGGAAGTCGAAGCGGTGATTCGGCAACCTTGGTGTTATTCATGTATAGGAATGGAACCAATCCGAATCTTCTGTTACCAAGCTGCTTCATCTGGACCAGTTTTGTCCCCCCCTGGACTATGTAACTTTCGAAATATAATATGATTATGGCCGGTATTGTGCGAATGGGTGTTATTGCCGCTATATGTAGCAGACTACGTGGTAACCACCTCTTCAATGGATATGATGTAAGGTAGTTGAAACATGGATACCAATTGAGTATGCCCTTGAACATATTCAAACTTGGATATCCTCCTTGTAAATGAGTCCAAAGGCACAATTCCAGGAAAGGAACAGATAATCACAATGTGAGTTGAATGTTATAAACAAGAAGACAACTCGAAGTCGAATGCCACCAAGAGAGAGAAAAAAAAACTATGCACAGAAGAAAGACATGGTATATGCTCGCTTACCACGAAGCAGAGAAAAGGAGCGGACGAACAAAAGACATCAGGTAAGACATGTCAGTCACACAAAAAAAAACGCCAAGTGTATCAGAGATGAACTCTCAACTTTTGACTCAGGCCCCACGCAATCAAGAGCGGGATGGTTTTGTCCAAAGAAAAGAGAAAATCAAATTCCAACAGACAAGGGTGGACTGCAAGAGGGTCATCGATCTTCGCAGGTACGTCATGCGAAGCTTGAAGAGCAATGCTAAGCGCCGTATAGATCAGGTAAACATAAAAGGCGCCAACACGAAAGAAAGCAGAAAGCAGAAAGCAGAGAAGCAGAAAGCAGCAGGCAGTTCCAGGTGAACTCACCGCCGGCGTGATTCTGAGGATCCGCTTCGTCCGATCGAGGGCCGCCAGCTACCGGTTGAGTGTTTGGAAACGGTGCTGGTTGGTGAGTTGGCGCCTGTGAAGACGTATTCGCCGTCGACGTAGGTTGCGCCCGTGGAGAAGGTGGTGCGGTGCTTGCGGCGGGCGTACTTTTGTTCGAGGCGGTACAGCTCGAGCTCTGTCGCGTGTTAGTGGGATAATTGCAAGGAGGGAGGATGAGGGGGGGGTGTTTGATTTGTTTTTGAGGTTCACGTACTGGCTTGGAGTTTATCGATGAGGCCCATTTTGACGCGAGATATAATATCAAGATTCCGATGTTTTTTTTGAAGGTGATGATCTGCTTGTCACGCACAAGAGACTCCTGGCGGTTTCTCTGGAAGTCGGCAATCGGGAAGTCAAGAAACGATTCCACAGCGGACCACTTTGGATGGTCGGCAACGGTCGGGATGTCAACAAAGACGTCACTGTGTCAAAGGTCAGGAATAATTGCTGAAATTACTCAATGCTCGAATTGGGGGTCTCACCTTGGCTGTTTCCCGGGGGAAAAGGGGAAGACGTACGGCGCGGAGAGGGGGCTTTTGGAGGCGCACGAGGGGCTGGCAACTAGGGAGACACCGGAAAGCCAAGAGATGGCGAGGAGGAGATGGCAATCGATCTGTTCAATGCAAGGAGTGTGTTATTTCCCCGGACCTGCGGCTTAAATGAATGAACTGGGGATAATCCCAGAAATGAGTGGCTGGAAGGTCGTGTGCAGGAGAGACAGAGAATCGAGAAAGGGGAAACCAAAAAGTGGAGAACACCTTTAGCGTGGAGTTGCCACGCTCTGGCCAGGTCCATCTGCCTGTGTTCTAGGACCTCGACTTTCATGAATTGTGTTTCTCTTCCTTGACATGATAATTTATGTATTTGTGTCTTTGGATCAGCGTGGTCATAGAGAAGGACATTCGTCCCAACGTAGTCTGAGAAATAGTTCGGCGAGCGCAAGGAAACGTGATCGGAAACGGTCGAATTTTGAATGTGAGAATGTTTACGGGGATCGGTTTACTTGCAGCTTCAAAATATCTCGGATATCATCGGCATATTTTCATCTGAATCGCTCATCTACTCTGTACTTGGGTTTTTCAATTCTGCACTTTCGCCTCATTCGGCAACTCGGCATCTAGCGAGGTTTCTTGGGCTTTTTTCTTATAGTCAGTAAACAATGCCGAGAAAATGTTGACAGGAGATGGACTCACCGTTCCATAGCTCTGCATATACACCATTTAGCTCAAGCAGCTCGCTGTGCGAGCCGGTTTCCACTACCTCTCCATCCTTTAGCACCAGGATCTGGTCACTGTCAAAGATGGTACGTAGACGATGCGCAACAAATACACTGGTGCGCATCTTATCCTTGAGAATGCTGTTGATGTTCTGCAAAAGAGCCTGTTCGGTGTAGGTGTCGAGAGCAGAGGTCTGCGGAGCCCGTTAGCCTGGCTTTGACTTTTTGCTCAGGGGAGAATAAGGGTGGCAAACTTACCGCTTCGTCGAAGAACAAAAGCTGCGGATCCTTCAGAATCAAACGCGAAATAGCCAAGCGTTGCTTTTCGCCGCCGGATATCATCATGCCGCGCTCGCCGACGGCTGTTTGATAACCATCGGGCAAGCGCTCAATCAGTTGGTCAATGCGGGCTCGCTCGGCGGCATGACGAACCTCCTCATCCGTCGCGTCGATCCGTCCGTAGCGAATATTGTGGAGAATGGTGTCGTTGAAGAGTGGTGTGTCTTGTGGGACTACTCCGATCGATCTGCGGAGGCTCTCCAGAGTCACGTCGCGCACGTCTTGGCCGTCGATGAGGATGCGGCCAGTCTGGGTATCGTAGAAGCGGAATAGCAGACGCAAGATGGTAGACTTTCCGCAGCCACTTGGACCGACAATGGCAAACTTCGAGCCGGCGGGAATGGTAAACGTGGCGTTCTTCAAGATTGGCCGATCGGGGTGGTAGCCAAAGGTGACGTTCTCGAAACGGATCTCACCTCCACGTTTCAATTCCAGCGGTTTGGCGTCGGGCCGTTCCTTGATGGTGACATTGACTTTTTGCAAGTTGAACAGCGTCTCCATGTCCAGCAGAGACTGACGCAGTTCACGGTAGACCGAGCCCAGGAAGTTGAGGGGCACCGACAGCTGGAAGACCAGCTGGTTGACCATGACCAGATCACCGACTGTCAAAGCTCCAGTAGCGACTCCGTCACAAGCTAGGTACATCATGGCGGCCAGCGCGCTGGAGAAGATCACATTTTGGCCAGAGTTGAGGAAAGCCAGCGATGTCGTCACTTTAATAGAGGCGTCTTCGTAGCTCTTCAGGGCCTTGTCGTACCGGGCCACCTCAAACTTCTCGTTGTTGAAGTACTTGACGGCTTCATAGTTGATGAGCGAGTCAACTGCCACAGTAGCGCCACGATTATCGGCAGCATTGGCTTGTCGGCGGAACTTCGTGCGCCAGGCAGTTGTAGTGATGGTGAATGCTGTGTATGCAAGCATGGTCACAGCCGTGATGGCAGCAAATCGGAAGCCATATTGATAGGTCTCAGGAGGGCGTCAGTAGTTGTTTGAAGGTCCGGAGTCGGTGATCCTACAAGAATACTACAAACGAGCGAGATCTCGAGCGCGGTCGGGACGACATGGAAGACCATAGACGTCAGCAAGAAACTGATGCCCTTTGTTCCACGGTCAATGGCACGGGTCAATCCACCAGTCTGGCGCGACAGATGAAAGTTGAGGTCCAACCTCAGAAGATGTTCGAAAACATTGCTAGCCACCTTTCGGATAGCTTTCTGTGCGACACTGGCAAACACTGCATTTCGAAGTTCCTGGAAGATAGTTGCTCCAATACGAGTTGCGCCGTCTGCAAAAAAAGGTCTGATTAGACATGGCCGACTATGTTGGGCCGGCTTGGAGGCTTCTTACAAGCTATGATCATTGAGCCTGCAACGGTATACGCAGTTCCGCCAACAGAGGCAAAGTCCACGTTCATAGAGTCGACAATGCTCTTGAAGTAGAAAGGCACTTCTACATTCAAAATCTTATCTTCCGTCAGCATCCAGAGTAGGACCCTACAGTCCTTCGCGACTAACCTTGGCGCCGATCAGCAACGACAACGCAGTTCCAACACGAAGCTTAGTGCCCCAGTCATTCTACATGCTCGGTCAGTACTTCCGATCCCAACGTTAGGAACCCATGGGCATTACCTTTGGCCAAAGGTACTTAGCCATTTCTCTCATAATGGCCCAATCCGCCTTCCTCTGATCCTGGGTTGCCTTGGTCGACTCGCTCAATAAGTCCTTTTTTCCGGCAGCCTCTTTGGCTTGGGCAGCATTGCCGTCTGTGAGCGAGGGAACAGCGGCCGAGCCCGGCTTTGTCGACATCGGGTCTCTGCCATCGGTCGATTGGTTTTGCAATCGCCCACATGATGTGAATATGCGCAGCTGCGTAGCGTTCGGTCTCATCCACGGTGCCCGGCCGGCGAAGCTCGGATAGGCATACCGCGCCGGCCGCCAACATGGCGAGCGCGCAGCTCTGAGCAGCATGGCTGCGTGAAATTGATGTTTTCCAGGAAGGAGCGGGGGTTGCGATTTAGATCAGGGGAGCATCGTGAGGTGCGAGGGAAATGACGTGCGCAGCAGCTCGTGGGGAATACCACCTTGGGAGCCGCCGGCTTCGGAGAAAAGCGTCGGAGTAGGTGTCAGGACCCTCGGAGATACTCAACAAGAAGTAAGACAAGAGAAAGACTAAGGAGATTTGCACTCTTGCGAGCTCATCAAGCGCAATGTCGTAGTGTAGCAATAAAGTACACTGTCGCAATCGAAGTGTACAAAGGTGAGGCGGTCGGCGCCACGATTTCCCGGCGCAGCTTCCAAACCTGACGTAGACTTCTCTTCCCCGTCACCTACTTCAGGCACAATGCGATCAACGCTTCAGCGAGGTGTCCGGACTCTGTCCTGGACTCGAGTCATCCCTCGCGTGCATCGCCAGACAAGATGCATTCAGATTCGCGCGACATCCTCCGAGGAGCCCGCCAACGGGGCTAACTTGCCCCTCGCAAACACGCCTAGCTCCGTCGAATCGCGCGGTATGTCTTTTCGATAGTATTGAGTCGAGGGAGTGTTCCCGATCTAATGTTTTGCTTGCTATAGACGCGCGATTCGACGTCATCGGTGCCCCGTATTCCCTTCTTTCCGTCTCTCTTTCAGCCTCCCAAAACTTGTACACGCGCCGAGGAACCTTGGTTGGGTTGAGTGGAAAGGCCGACAATGTACGCAATTGTACTGATGAATTTTGGCTGTCGCATTGTGATTGACCGTGGTTGCAGGTGATCTCAACATTGAGCGTTCTTGAGCCCTTCCGCAGGGCGATTGTTGGAGTGCCTTTCCTCTATCAGAAGGTATCGGGCTAGGTTTTCTTTTCCGCGCTTGGTCTTGAGTGGCGATTGACTTTTGAATAGGTTTCGTCAGCAAGTCCCGTCACAGCGCTCGTTTCTGTTCGATCTCCCAATACTTCGTTTGCTGTGGTGAATCTCAATGGCTCTGTGGATTGGATGGTTGCCCAGCGTCGCGCATTGTTGGCATGGACAGGCCGGTCCTTGTCCATTAAGCCTACCATTAACACTAACATGGTTTGTCCTGCCTTTTACGGTAATTTTCAAAATAATGGCTCTGGGCTAACTTACGGCAGAGCCTCTCACATTGGGGGAGCTCCGAGGTGACCGGCAGAGGTTTAATAGCGCTGGTAGGAAACGGCCAGGTCTATTCCATTGAGCTGAAGGACGGTGAGCAGTACATAGCTCACCCCAGGTATGCTTCACCCCGTATATTTTAGTCTGGCATTGCTGATATCAGACAGTAACGTGGTCGCCTATACCATGTCCTCCAACCCTCCTCGCCCATACCGCTTTAAGTCCACGACTTTGAACTTCCAGGTTCCGGGTCTGAAGACACTGCCGAGACTTCTGCAGAGCAACAAGTACATCCAGGACGTTTCCAGCTCCGATGCATGGAAGCGCACCATGCGATTCTTCCACAAGCTGCGAACCTGGTCTCGCATGACTATTTGGGGAGATAGGGTAAGACCCATGTTCTTCGAATTACGATAGTTCTATCAACTGACAAATTATTTTAGCTCTTCATGCAATTCGATGGCCCGGCCACCGTTCTCGTCCAGTCGCGCGGCCCACGCCTGAACGACGTCCTGTCAGCCAACGAGGTGAATGAGATCGCGGACACCCCTCGCGGTCTTACCTCCCTCCCAGGCAAGGCCAAGGGTGAACAAGAAAAGAAAACCGGCGACGCTATGCAAGAGCCTGAGATCACTCGCTCGATCGATGACATCGTTCAAGAAGTCAAGGGAATCAGACAGAGCGTGGCTATGATCCGCAATGATGGCAAGGTTGAAGTCAAGCAGGTGGGAAAGACGAAGGAGCTGTGAGAGCTACTGTAAACGATTGATCTCTTCTTTTTGCATTTACTTCTGTATTGGTTAGAGGCGGAACTTTCTCTCGGAATGGTATCATGGGGCATTCTGTACAGTATCACGGGCATTCTTTGGTCTTAGCTCTGCCATTTAAATCAATCCTTGCCTTTTTTCTTTTTTTTTTTGATTCTCATGAGTGACCATAGCTTCGAGAGGTGGTACAAGCTGCAGAGATGCGCCATGTGAGAGAAACCAGTGGCTGTAGTGACTACGGTAGGATTATGGCTTTCCAGAATCGTCATTGGAGTTATCGATGTTGAAGCTTGCATATGCGCTACGGCCGGGCTGAAGGGATAGACTCGGGAGCCGAAACAAGTCCAGATCCATTGGCAATATTAGAATAGACCAAGGTATACACGACTCAGCTAGAGTATATGCCTGTCTACTGCAAGTGTTTAATGAAAGGTAAATGTATATCGGCCCCTGTCCACGGCTCTGAGTGACTATTCTGGCAATGCCGCTGTATGATTTAGGGAATTGTCTAGGACCGCTTACAATGTTGACTCATAGGAATTGACCTGAGAGCTTGTAGCTTCGTGGCTTTATCTCCGTGTCGGTCGGGATATTCAACTTTCGGCCCCGATTACATCTGAGACCGAACTCTTAGGCCTCGGGGGTTCACAATTACTCTCACCGCATTTAGAGTTATAGTACAAGACTTTACGGTGCTGCAGGTCCCACGGTGGCAGTATTTCTGCACGAGTCGTTGCCCAAGTATGTATCGATCCGCTGGATCAAGTAGTTTCGCCGTCGATTTATATTTCCGTCTCACCTGCATCAAAATATCCTGGGACAAACCAACTGCATAATTCATTAGACGTGAACCAAATTGTGGAAAAGATTCAAGAATCCTATCTGGATATCAAAAAGCATTACTATGATAGCAATCAGGCAACAGTTTACATCGATCACTGAATCAAACTGAAGCTAAAAATATCTAGATTTCTTTCAGATAAAGAAAGGAAGATAAAAGGTCGTGCCCGGGATCGAACCGGGATCGGCGGAATCAGAATCCGCAGTGATGACCATTACACTACACAACCGTTGGATGTTAGAAATCGAGCAATTATATTATATGATCCCCCAAAAGCTTCTCAGCCCTACTTGCCTATCAGTTTTACATAGACGCGTGGGCCAGTTTCCCACAGACCACTGCTGTGACTAGGCCAAGAACATGAAAACAAAACCAAAAAATAAGATTAGTCACTTTACAAGCAGGAACAGAAGCCGAAGTGGAGAGATTAGGGGTTCCGATAGCAACGCGGCCCGCACGCCAATCGCCCAGGGAGCCCTGTTAGACACTGCACGTTTGCGCGGACAATCAAGCGGCCCAACCCTGACTCACAAGGCATCGGTATCCGACTCATGAGACCAGTATGTGACTTGTTCAAAAAGACTCTCGTCCTTGGGCTGTACAGACGCACTAGATCCGAGCAGCGTTTGTCTAGTGAATTTCTCACGAAAACAATATGGGAAACCCCCACCCGTTAGCCGCTGCATGGACCGCGGGGCCCATGGAGGACCTGGTCCACTTTCGGGGTTAAGTGGTCGGAGTCCAGAAGGGGATAAGGGAGACGAGTCGTTGGCCCTCGAGAACACGCCAAATGGACCTTGGCTTGCGCCGATTCCTGACCGTTCAGGTTTAGCCGGGCTATCAAGAAATGGGAGACGATCAGAGCTCGGAGTTTAGCCTGGCGCGATGCCGATGTCGCGACCGCTGCTTTTTTGGACTTAAGTCTGCTTTAGTTTTTTTTTTCTTTATAGGGGCTCTGGTTTCTTACTCCATCGGTGTCTATATCTGCATTCTCGGGGACTCCGTGACTAGTCCTCTGGAATCAAATCGTGCCTTGGCCAAATCTGATCTACACGGCTGAACAAACGGATTATTCTCGAGCTTCGTCCCCAACGGTTGAGTACTGCGCCGCCGTTTGCTAGAGTCAGGTCAGTTACATCTTGATCTTAAATCAGTCTGATACTTCCCTATGCTGCGCATGTCCCCCTGAACTGCGTGTTCACTAGAGAATCACATCTTTATATTCTGCTCACAGCTCTATGAAAATGACCGGACCTAATTATCTATCTAGTGTACGATTAAACCCAGTCTGATAGAATATAAATCCTGTCTGAAATAAAGAACAGCGCAAGCAATCAGAATGACCGGAACGATCGAGCATAATGCTCCCTCCATTGACAGCGCAACCACCAACACAGCGCCATCAGACCATTCCATACCTGCACTGAGTGACCAAATCAATGAGATCGAAAAAGGCCAACACCCAAACAAAGCCCCAGGCACCTACGATACCACCCTCGACTCTGAAAAAGCCAACTCATCGCCCCCGGTTTCTCTAGGCCCCGGTCCACCCCCAGATGGCGGCGCCCAAGCATGGCTCGTCGTCGTTGGCGCATTCTGTGGTCTTTTCGTCAGTTTCGGTTGGATCAACTGCATCGGCGTATTCCAAACATACTACGAAAGCCACCAGTTGCAAAACATGTCAACCAGCACAGTGACCTGGATCACATCGCTCGAGACATTCGTCATGTTCTTCGCTGGTCCAATCTTCGGTACCTTGTTCGACAGTTACGGACCGCGCTGGATCTTGCTCGGTGGGACAATTCTGCATGTCTTCGGATTGATGATGACCTCGCTTTCGACCGAGTATTATCAATTTATTCTCGCGCAAGGAATATGCAGTCCACTTGGTGCTAGTGCCATCTTCAATGCGTGCGTAAATGCTGTGAGTACATGGTTTGCGAAACGGAGGGCTTTCGCGCTGGGAGTCATGGCTTCCGGGTCCAGTCTCGGAGGTGTCATTTTCCCTATTATGGTGTCGCATTTGATTCCCCAGGTGGGATTTGCGTGGGCAATGCGTATTTGTGCGTTTTTGATTCTGGGCATGCTGGTCATTTCGAACTTGACTTTAAAGTCGCGATTGCCGCCTTCGAAGAAGCCCTTTTCTATGATGAACTTTGTCAGGCCGCTCAAAGATGTCAAGTTTGTCTTGACCGTTGCCGGGGCCTTTTGCTTCTTCTGGGGAATGTTCTTGCCTTTCACTTTTGTGATCACGCAGGCGGAGCGATATGGCATGTCGCAGAACATGTCGCAGTATCTGATTCCAATCTTGAATGCTGCGAGGTGAGTTTAAAATGTGTTCTGCAGTCGTTTCTGTAGTCTCGCTTCTGGATAGTATCTGTGCTAACGGATACTGTAGTATCTTCGGTCGTACCCTTCCAGGTTACATGGCTGACCGTGTCGGTCGGTACAACGTGATGATCATCTTCAGCTTCATGTCTGGTATTCTCGTGCTTGCTCTGTGGCTTCCATCTCGCAGCAATGCACCAGCCATTGTATTCAGCGCGTTATACGGGTTCGGTTCCGGTGCCTTCGTCTCCCTTGCCCGGCGCTGATTGCTCAGATCTCCGATTTGCGCGAAGTCGGCGTTCGCAACGGCACATGCTTCTCGATTATTTCCTTTGCTGCCTTGACTGGTACCCCGATTGGTGGGGCTTTGGTCCCGGATGTGTTGCATGGGTCATATACGAGGCTGCAGGTATTCTGTGGGGTGGTCATGCTTGCTGGAGCCATGCTGTTTATCGTGGCGAGAGTTGTTGTTGGAGGAGCCAGGCCTTGGGACAAAGTATAATCATTCCAACCTTCCAAAGAATTATATCGGCCCTGTGATATAGATCTGTGCATACGCCCTGACATGGCGAAATGGAATTAATGCAGTATAGACGAAGAGCAAGATGGAAAAATGCAATGATATATTGAGATATAGAGAACCTCGCGAATGTTCAATGCTAATGGTACAGATCCGTGGATCACTGAGAAAGGCACACTCGTGCTGAATAGAATAACTCCAACCTATCCCAGCTATAGGTCCAAAACGCCGCAGCACCGTCGCTGAATGATGCATGTCTGAAAAATAAGAAAATGCTCTATATAGGGGAGGTCATGAAAATGTCTCAGATCAAGACTCCATTGCGCATATTTTCAACCGTGCGAATGCCCACTCCCTTCAACGTACTTAGTTGCGCCAGGCTGTCCACCTGGAATTGAGGTTGGTCGGAGATCATTCCCACGTCTGTGTTTGAGGATTGGTCCATCTCACAGAGACAATCGACAATTGCCTCGGCCTTCTTCACGCCAACGCCCTTGAGAAGCTTGATCTGGCTGACATCACGCGAGTTGATGATTGACAAGAGATGAACAGTGCGAGGTGAAAGGGAGGGATCCTGGTGATCATCCAGAGCAGCGAGATCATCTTCACTCTTGCGGATTGCCTTGCCTGGGGCACGCTTCTTCTTGGGATGAGAGGTATCAAGGAAGCCAGTTTCGTCATACTCCATGGTAAGCGGATCCACGTACTCATCGTCAGAATCTTCAGCTTGACGCTTGCCCAATGTCACGGTGGGCTCTTTCTTCATGCTTAGGGAGAGCATGCTGCCGAGCTTGCCTTTCGAGGGAGGGGAAGCAGCACTAACAGATCGTAATTGAGGCTTGCCCTCGAGGCGCTCTTTCAAGGCGGCAATCTTGGAAGCTAATTTCTCGTTGTGTGGGAAATGCGGGAGCGCCAACTGGTACATTCTCAATGCAGAGCTGTTCTCACCGCGTGCCTGGTGCTGTTTTGCCATAAGCAGATAGGAAAGACCCTCAGCGCGAGCGTCCTCGGTTCCTTCAATGCGTTGCTCCAATTGCTCCAGCCGCCGTTGAAGTTGATCATTCAACTCGCGAACCTGGGTGTGTCTTGACTGCTCGCTCACTGCACGCACTGCCAAGATCTCTTCGACCTTCTTTGCAACCATCTCCTCGATCCTAGCAGCAGAAAGATCCGAGCTACCCAAATGAGGCTGGAGAGGAGCAAGCATCTGACGAGGCTTTAATGAGCGTGCAGTAGGTGTTTCGGAGGAGAGAGAAGTTCTCTTAGTCTCGGGCTTCCGGATCTGGGTCACGGGCTTCGGCTGAGCTCGATCAGAATAGACGCTGAATGCTTTGAGCGGCTTCTCCTCATCCTTCTTCGAGGAGTCTTTTGCGGCAGGAACAGGCATGTTCACGTTGACAGAGGCTGTGAGAGGGCGCAACGGCTGCCGAGAAGCTGCCAGCGATGGCCGAATCGATGGCCTCGCCGGGCCCTTGAAGATCGGGTCATTCTCCACTTCGCGCACTTCGATCTTCCTAGTGCGATTGGCGACACTCAGAGAGCTGATTGTGTCCAGATGGTATGAGCGGACGGGTGCCAGGTTGAGAATCATTACTGTCAGTCCATTGTTTTGTCCCAGAGAAAGAATTCTGGTCATCTTCGACTCGCGGTATGGGATTCGATGCTGTTTCTTTGTAATAGCCTCGACGCATTGCGCCAAAACAAAGAGACTCTTATTGATGCTGGCTGATTCGACCATGCGCTCCTTGTCATTCTCCGTCCGGCGGTTGTCCTCCGAACCTGCAAGGTCAATCGCGGACGCGGTGCTGATGCGAGTGCTTTCGGGCGAAGTGACAGTGACTTTGACACCGAGAATGGCATGCGAACGAGATGAATGGGCGTTCAACTAGACGTCATGGTCAACGCGTGTCAAATTCTCCTGGTCCAATTCCATACATACCTTGGTCGCAGAAGTGGAGCGGTTGTTATTGGCCTGGTCGTAAAGACCCTCGAACTCCTTCAAGCTTGTGCAGGGCTTCTCCGTCAACCCACAGACCACAGTCTTGCCTCCGTTATCACGCAGCGGAAGACCAGCCAGAGTGCGCTTCTCAGGCGGCTCGAATAAATCATACACCTTGTCGTTGTAGATCTCGTAATAGCTGAGAGAGACCTGAACCGTAGTTTCGCCGCCAGTATCTTTCTCAATCTTTCGGCTGCGACGATAGATGCCACTTAGGAGACGAGGAATGACACCTCTATCGGCAAGACTTTTCCCACCACGCATCGTGTGTGTTTTTCCAGTACCCGTCACACCGTATGCGAAAATGGTGATATCGAATCCGTTGAAGAGGTGCTTAATAGTGGGTGCGACTGAAATTGATCAGCATAAATTATGAACGAGGCTTTCTCGGGCTCCGCCACCAGACAGCACTCACCCTCGGCATCAAACATCTCCTGCTGTGCGACCTCGGCATCATACACAGCACTGAATTGGAATGTGTATTCTTCGCCCCCATTCTTTGGATTGGGAATGCGCACCACGTTATCCCGGTCCCTCAAAGCGGCCAGCTTGCGGTCGCCATTGGTGGATTGCTGCGACTTGGCCTCGGACGGTCCAGAAGAACCGGTGCGAACGATAACATCAGTTTCTCGCTCGGTTTTGAGGAGGGGTCGGACACGTGCAACGACTCGGACGCTCATTGTGACAGCTTGAACATTCACGGACGTTTCGAAATTATTGCAAGAATGCAAATTATCGATACAATAACTCGCAGAAGGACCAAATGAAAGAAAGAAGAGATATAGTGAAATATTCCCCCCACAAAAGAAAAGAAACCGACCTACCTTTGGTGGATGTTGAACAGAGGACGGCACGGTGGAGGAGTTCACGGAAGACAATTGTGGTGGTCTGTTGGCAGGGCAACCGCCCTCTTTGGTATTCCAGCACGCTACAGTGTACCTCACCACTTTATCAAGTCTATCCAGATAGTTGTTTTGGTTCTCGAAGTGGTCAGTGATACCAAATCAAATGATAGAATTATATATCATCTATGGACTCGCTTCGGATTGTTCACATTTGAGGGTATACTGATTTCTAGATCGTGCCAGTCAACTTGGATATTTAATGATGCAACAAGCACGAGGCTGAACAATTATATAGAACGACATTTATAGTAAGCACGCTGCCTCCCAAGGGTATTCTATTCTAGATCATTCATCGATGCAATCCCGCTAGCTCTGACTTAAATTCTGATATGCAAGTTATACATCGAAATCAGAACCGAAGCTCAGATGTCTCCGGTGGCGCATGATTGGCTGTGCGGCCACCTAAAGGCCACCGTATTCCATCACCGCCTCTTGACTTGAGTGTTGAACCCTCAGCTGCCCCTTCTCAAGGTACGATCTAGCGTTCCATTTTGCTCTTTCCTATTTTCTGTTCGGCTCAAGAAATTCTGTCGCGATCGAACATTGCAACATTTGAATCCGTCGTTGCGACTAAACTGATTGTGGGGTTCTAGCGAAGCTGTTGCCCGCGCCCCATCTCGACTCAACCTCCTCCCGAACTTGACCCCCAACCCCGACCTTCATTGCGGAACCCAACTCCGGTCACATATTCCTTATCAGTCCTCCATGGCAGCTCCACAAGGGGGTTACCCTCCTCAGGAAGGGTACGGCCAGCCTGGCTACAGCTCCCCAGACCCTCAGCACCAGTCGTCCGTCCCCGCGCAAGGTGCGCCCGCCCCTGTCGCCGCCGGAGGAAAGAAGAAGAGAACCTATGCTGGCGAGGCCTTTGACTTTGGCTCTGGTGCCAATGCTGCACTCGGTGGTCAGCCCACGGCCGGAGGTGCCTACGGTGCCTACCCTCAGCAGCCACAAGCCCAGGCCATGGGATATCAACAACCGGCGTACGGCGCCGACCCAAGCCAGATACAGCCCGCACTAGCAGCTTACGCTCAGCCCGGGCCTGAAGTTGCGCAAATGACCCAGCAGTTCGGTGGCATGGGCATGGCTGAGCCGCACCACATGCCCCCGCCTCAGCAGCAGCCCGTGGTGCAACCCGCTCGCCAGGTCCAACTCAACCAACTCTATCCGACAGACCTCATCTCTCAACCCTTTAACGTCGCGGAGCTGGACTACCCTCCACCTCCCATCGTTCTGCCCCCGGGGGTATGTGCTGTTTGACCCCAGCGTGTATGGACTGGAGCGATGCTAACAATCCACAGAGCAGTGTTTACCCCTCGCCCGATGCCAATTGCCCTTCGAAATACATGCGGTCCACCCTGAACGCGGTTCCGACAAATAATTCACTCCTTAAAAAGTCCAAATTGCCATTCGCTTTGGTGATCCAGCCCTACGGAGCTCTTCACGACCAGGAGGACCCCATCCCCGTCATTCCGGACCAAGTGATTTCACGATGCAGACGCTGCCGGTCTTATATCAACCCCTTTGTCACCTTCCTCGATCATGGTCACCGCTGGCGCTGCAACATGTGTAACCTCACGAACGACGTGCCCCAGGCGTTCGATTGGGATGCGACACTGCAGAAGCCGGCCGACCGCTCTCTGCGTGCCGATCTGAACCATAGCATGTTGGAGTTTGTTGCTCCTCAGGAGTACATGGTCCGACCCCCCCCAGCCGCTTGTGTATCTCTTCTTGATCGATGTTAGCTACTCCTCCGTCACCAGCGGTCTGCTGGCTACCAGCGCACGCTGCATCAAGGAGAGCCTTGACCGTATTCCCAACGCAGACCGACGGACCAGATTGGGCTTCATTGCCGTGGATTCAAGCCTGCACTACTTTAGCATCCCTCGGGATCAGTCAGAAAGCTCCGAGGCCCGGATGCTGGTTGTCAGTGATCTCGATGAACCCTTCTTGCCCATCCCCACCGATCTTCTCGTGACGCTGAGCGAATGCCGGGAGAACATCGAGAACTTCCTCGACAAATTGCAGGAGATGTTCCAGAACACCCAGAATAACAGCTGTGCTATGGGTTCGGCTTTGCGGGCTGGTTACAAGTTGATCTCCCCCGTTGGAGGTAAGATGACTGTACTGAGCGCTTCTCTGCCCAATATTGGCCATGGAGCTCTCACCATGCGTGAAGACAAAAAGGTGCTGGGCACAAACAAGGAATCGGCTCTTTTACAAACGGCCAATTCGTTCTACAAGAGCTTTGCAGTCGAATGCTCCAAGGCCCAGGTGTCTGTGGATATGTTCCTCTTCTCGTCGCAGTACCAGGACGTGGCATCTCTGAGCAACTTGCCCCGCTACACTGGTGGCCAGACCTATTTCTATCCCGGCTGGAATGCCGCTCGGAGTGAAGACGCCGTTAAGTTTGCTCGGGAGTTTTCCGAGTACCTCTCGTCAGAGATTGGTCTGGAGGCTGTTCTCCGTGTGCGTGCCACCACCGGTCTTCGGATGAGCACTTTCTACGGAAACTTCTTTAACCGCAGCTCCGATCTCTGCGCCTTCCCCGCCTTCCCCCGCGATCAGGCATACGTGGTCGAGGTGGCTATTGATGAGACTGTCGCAAAGCCGATCGTCTGTCTGCAAGCTGCCGTTCTTCACACCACCTGCAACGGCGAACGTCGCATCCGTGTCCTCACGTTGGCTCTGCCTACTACCACCAACTTGGCCGACATCTATGCCTCGGTTGATCAGCAGGCTGTTGCGACCTTCTTCAGCCACAAGGCCGTTGAACGTACGTTGAGCAGCGGTCTCGAGCCTGCTCGCGAGGCTCTTCAAGCCAAGCTCATCGAGCTGTTGACCACTTACCGCAAGGAACTTGCTGGGGGCAGTGTTAGTGGCGGTGGCCTGCAATTCCCAGCCAACATGCGTGGCCTGCCCGTTCTCTTCCTGGCCATGATCAAGAACGTACGTTTTCCCCTTTTGCCTCTTCACGCGCTTTCAGTTGCTAATCTGAATGTATAGCTTGGTCTCCGCAAGTCTGCACAGATCCCTACGGATATGCGATCTGCCGCGCTCTGCCTCTTGTCGACTCTGCCCCTGCCTCTCCTCATCCAGTACATCTACCCCAAGATGTACTCTCTCCACGACATGCCCGACAATGCAGGTATCCCAGACGAGCAGACCGGCGAGATCGTGCTTCCTCCCGCCGTCAACCTTTCCTCCAAGTCCATTGCCAACTACGGTCTGTACCTCATCGACGACGGCCAGACCCAATTCCTGTGGGTTGGCCATAACGCCGTGCCTCAGCTCATCATGGACGTGTTCGGGGTGCCGAGCAAGGACGAACTGCGGGTGGGCAAGCAGACCCTCCCCGAAGTGGACAACGAGTTCAATCAGCGCGTGCGTAACGTGATCGAGAAGAGCCGCGACCACCGGTCCAAGGGTGTGGGCAGCATGATCGTGCCTCACCTGTACGTGGTTCGCGAGGATGGCGAGCCCGGCCTGCGTCTTTGGGCACAGTCGACCCTGGTGGAGGACCGGGCAGACCAGAGCCCGAGCCTGGAGCAGTGGATGGGTACTTTGCGGGAGAAGGTATGATGGTCCAGATCGACATCACTCCCTTTACTAACCACGTCTTCAGGTCGTGCAGTAAAGCCCGACCCGTCGGTCTTCATACCCGGTTGCTCATGACTCCTACGTTTCCTGTTTCTTGTTCCTATTCACGCACCTATTCTCGTTCCCGTGCCTGTGCCTGTGCCTGTTTCTCTGTTTCATGTCTCCATCTTCTCTCACCCGCCTGTATCATTACGGGCCAGGATATCTGTTATATGGGAAGTGCAAGTAGACCAAGTTTCGGTATCCGGGTTGTATAGGGCGATAGAAGCCCCCATGTTTGACATCTACGTTGCTCTCGCAGCAGAAAATCGACGTCTATTTTGTGTCTTACCATCGCTGGATGTTCCCACTCCGTGAAACCGCACGGGGCTCCAATGAGGAAGCCAAAGTGGTCCATCTCTCCGTGGAGGTGACTGGTCACTGTGATTGTGATCACGTCCGACAGTAGCGCCTTTTTTTTCTCAACACACAGACGCGAACGAGCTGGCTATTTGGCGCTGGTGGCGGAGCACCCACCGAGTATTCTGACGAAGATCTTATGGTAGAGGTGGGGAAAGTTTTGTAAACACGGAGTAGTTTCACCAGTCGAGTTAGCAAGAGCCCAGCCTCTATTCTCAGATGATCCCCCTCAACCTCCGACAGTAGCGCGTAAATCATCTCCCCCTTCCATCGATTTTCCCCCCCTGATTTTTTTTTTCTCTGGTAGCTGCCCCACCAACTTGCGGCCCGTGGCTCTTTACGCTCCCCACTTGAACCTGCAACCTGCAACCTGCAACCTACAACCTCCGACTTGCAACCTTCAACTTCAACCTCGAGCCTCCGACTGCGTATCGTCCAACCTCCGGGCTACCTACTTTTCGGGGTATCGAACACATTCGTTCAAGAGGTGGTAAGTGGGGATCGGCGTCGACCCCGCCCCGGCTCGACTAACATATTGCCAGATCCGAAACTATCCTCCTATCCGATACCAGCTCGATCTCACCTTCCCCTGGCTTTCCGAGCTTCTTGCGTCTTCTCGACTTTTAGACTACTAGACCACCAGACCACCAGATTACGGGAGTGTCGGCCTGCGCGACCATTCTCCGAGATAGAAGATACCAGTGAAGAAAGACAACCACCCCGCGCGAAAGTAAGCTTTACTTTCCCCCAATGTGATTGTCGAGAGTCTCCTCTTCCCACCCCAGCAGCGCTGTGCATTCCCCAAGACTGCAAGTCTCTCGTTATGTGGATGCTTTGTGTTTGCCCCCCAAAAGTCACCATGAAATGGTTCTCTCGCTCCATCGTCCAGCTATCATCGTGGGCACACTCGCACTGGATATCTATAACTGACTGTCCCTCAGAGCCTTCAATTTTCGAACAGGTCGTTTTCATCATGGGCCAGCAAAACCCCCCGGCGGGAGGATCGCGGAAGATCTCCTTTAACGTGTCCGATCAATACGAGATCCAGGATGTTATCGGTGAAGGTGCTTACGGTGTCGTCTGGTGCGCAAAAATAACCATGGGAGAAAATACCGCCATGCTGATATTCGCAGCTCCGCCATTCACAAGCCCTCCGGCCAAAAGGTCGCCATCAAAAAGATTACTCCGTTCGACCACTCCATGTTCTGCCTGCGTACATTGCGCGAGATGAAGCTGTTGCGGTACTTTAACCACGAGAACATTATCTCCATCTTGGATATCCAACGGCCCCGCAACTATGAGGGTTTTAACGAAGTGTACTTGATTCAGGAATTGATGGAGACTGACATGCATCGAGTCATTCGCACACAAGATCTGTCCGACGACCACTGTCAATACTTTATCTACCAGACACTGCGTGCCCTCAAGGCAATGCACTCCGCCAATGTTCTCCACCGAGACCTGAAGCCGTCTAACTTGCTGCTCAATGCCAACTGTGATTTGAAAGTGTGTGATTTCGGCCTGGCGCGATCGGCCGCCTCCACTGACGATAACTCTGGGTTCATGACGGAATACGTGGCCACCCGCTGGTATCGTGCACCGGAGATCATGTTGACATTCAAAGAATACACCAAAGCTATTGATGTTTGGAGTGTGGGCTGTATCCTGGCCGAGATGCTTAGCGGCAAGCCTTTGTTCCCCGGAAAGGACTGTACGTATACCCTGGCGTCCCAATGCCCAAAGTTTCCCATCTAACAATTCCAGACCACCACCAATTGACCCTGATTCTGGACGTTCTCGGGACACCCACCATGGAAGACTACTACGGCATCAAATCCCGAAGAGCGCGCGAGTACATCCGCTCGCTCCCCTTTAAAAAGAAGATCCCCTTCCGCGCCCTCTTCCCCAAGAGCAACGACCTGGCCCTGGACTTGCTCGAGAAACTCCTCGCCTTCAATCCCGTTAAGCGTATCTCCGTCGAGGATGCCCTGCGCCACCCGTACCTGGAGCCGTACCACGATCCGGAGGATGAGCCCACCGCGCCCCCGATTCCCGAGGGATTCTTTGACTTTGACAAGAACAAAGATGCGTTGAGTAAGGAGCAATTGAAAGGTATGGCTTCCCCATCTCTACATCTTGATCTTGATTTTGATATTGACGCACGGTGTCAGGACTCATCTATGAGGAAATCATGCGATAAGGATCCTATCTGCAATATTTGAGCATGCAAATCATTTTGTCAGCGTGATTTCAATTTCACACAGTGGATAAGCTAGCAACACCCGGAAACATTTGAATAAGTGTGATCTACCCTCATCATCAACATCTCAATATCAACTTCTCATGATCAATGCGTTGAAAGTCTTTTTGTTTTCTTCCCTTTTCTACCCAAGCAGAATATGCAACAAGACTCAAGTAACTTCTTGGCCATACACGCCACCAAACACACTGCATTTGTGACTCAAGAAACTTGCAAACATCTAGCCTAGCGCTCACGTAATGATTTCTTCAGTTTATACCCAGAGTAGACCTGGCATCCCAAAGAGTTCGGCCAGGGACTCTGGCCCGGAACCGACAAGGCCGGCCATCACATTATGCTTAGTACAAGAGCTTAAAGATCTCGAAGCCAGGCTTCTCCTCATAGACGAAACCCTGAAATGGCAACAGTCTAGTAGCTTCTGATGCTCTTGTATGAACACAAGCGAAAGACATGAGGGGAATAGTAGGATGTGGGCTTCTATACACGCCAATTTGAGTGAAACATAACCCACGTTCTATGTAGTTCTAGAGAATAATTCCAGATATACAGGGTATTCCATGTCCAACAAGCCCCGCGGAAAACACATCAGGAACTATTTCCAAGTCCTCTCTCCTCCATAAACCTCCTAATTCCCTCCCCGACACCCTCGGGACTCGGCTTCTCCGCACAAACATGCGGCTCAAAGCCAAGACCCCTCAAATGGTCTCGAGTCGTAGGTCCAATCGTCGCAACAAATACATTCCCCCGTCCACCATCATCCTTCGCATACGGCCCTAGTTCCAGAACCCTTAACATAGCCTCACATCCACTCGGCGAGAACACCACAACCCACACAACACGTTCACTCTCACGCTCAGCCAACTCCATCACTTTTCTGAAATCACCCTCAAAGGACTCCATCTCCCCGGTCTCGTAGACTACAACTTCCTCCACTGGGATCTGCTTATTTTGTGGTATGTTCGGGTCCATGAGTGTTTTGGGAATAATGTCTCGCCGCTGCTCACCGACTAGGAATAGGAGCTTTGGGTTCTCTTCTGTGTCGTGGAGGGTATTATAATGTTGTAGCATGAGGTGGGCTAGTTTCTCGCCTGTTCCAGTGTCTGCGCCGTGAATGGTGGATGAGGGGAGGTGGGCGTTGCGGAGGGTTGTGAGGGTTCGTGCTGTCGCTGGGCCGACGGTATAGAGGGGGATATCTTGTGAAGGGGGCGAGACTTGGGAAGTATTTATTTAGCATGGTACTGCGATTGCATTTGGGTCTGAATTTATATTTCGATCTGGAGGTGTAGGTGTAGACATAGGTGTAGGTGTAGGTGTAGGTGTAGGTGTGGAGTGGGACGTACGGCCGTGTTGGGAGATCATGTTTGCGAAGCCTTCGACGGCGCGTTGGCTGGTGAATATCATGCCGCCGTATTTGGGGCTGGAGGTCTTGGAATTGCCATTGTCTGAGGCATTGAATGCGCCGGTGATGAAGAGCGAGCGCACGTGGGCTAGGTTTTTGTCATTGAAGCGGTGTTCTAACACGGGGACGAAGGTGGGCGTATAGTTATTTGCGGTGAAGAATTCTTCATAGCCATCATTCGGAGAGGATCTGGTCTTGAGGAGGAGGATTGGGGGCGGCATTGTTGGTGAAGTTCGGAGTTGTAGGTGGGAGAGGTTGAACCATGATGTTATCCGCATTCCATGAATTGCGGGGCCGAGCTCCGATTTTCTGCGGGCTACTTATCATACGCGATTCCACCAATCTTTCCTACATACGCCGTGGTTCATAGATTGTGTTACGTTGGAACCGATCTAGACAACACAAGGAAATGGAATTGGTCCAGGAACGGCTTATGTACACATTAAAAACACAGACTACTGGTCGTCCAGCACATGCAGGTACTTCCTGTCCTCGCGACGCTCCTTCTCCGTCATCGGGGGAAGATCGTAGTAAGATGAGCTGCGGTATCTTTTCTGGTGGGAAGTTAGTGACCGTTTCGCAGCTGCGTGAAGGTGTAAAAACGTACCAGGTAGTGGAAGGTCAGATCGGCCAGATCGGCCAACTCGGTCATGCCCAGATCCGCGAAGGTCTTAGCCTCGGCGTCAATAACCTGGTCGATGTGCTCACGCTCAATCTCGTCAGCGGACATGGTGTGCCACCAGAGGTACTTGTTGAGGTAGAAGGCGAGCGGCTTGAGGAGCCTCTTGGGAACGTTGATGCGGGTGCGCTCCTTGACAATCTCGGTGTCGACAAGCTCGGCGATCTCCGCACTCGAGTACTCCTTGGGGCCGTAGAGCTCAAAGGTCTGACCGACGGTGCTCTCGTCGTGCAGCATGCGCTCCAGGGCGCGAGCAACATCGGGAGCCTAGCAATCGTGAGCGACAGAAGTTTTGGTGGAATGCGGGGCACTTACGTGAACAGGCCAGAAGCGCTCTTGAAGGTTGTTGGAGTGGAGCAAGGGGCTGGTTCCGGCGAGCTTGTGAAGGAGGTTGTCCTCGAAACCGAACATCGGGGCGGGACGCACAATGGTGGTCTCGGGGTAGATGGAACGAACGACTTCCTCACCCCAGGCCTGTTTTGGGTCAGTATTTTTGCGTACAGAATGGGCACCAGATTATCCCACCTTGGTAGCGAAGAACTCGGAGGGAGAATCGCGGCGGGCGTTGTACGAAGAGACGTGGATGAAGCGGTCCACGTCGTACTTAGCAACGGCCTCGGCGATGCGCTCAGCACCATCCACGTGAACGTCGGTCAAGGAGAAGTTCCTGTTCCCTGTTAATGACCCATTGTAGCCCCTTATGATCCAACCGCACTCACTTGGTCGGGTACTGGCGACCAGTCAGGTTGTAAACAACGTCGGAGTGACGAACGCTCTCCTCGATGGACTGAGTGTTGCGCAGATCATATTCCTGTGGGAGTCAGATGTCGTCCGATATTCAATAGAACAAGGAAGTCCGTACCATGAAAGTGATACGTCCGAGATCACCAGTGACCTTCAAGTGGCGCTTCATCATCTCCTCACGGTACGGAATAACGACGTTGCATCCCTGCTTAGCTGCGGGATGTCAGTCTTCATTCCTTCAATCAATTGCACCCAGAGGAACCTCGACATACCAAGGTTGTTGACAAGGTAGCGACCCAGGAAACCGGTAGCACCAAAGACGGTCGCGGTGTGGCCTAGAAGTGATGGGTGAGCAAGTCGGACGTGAGGCAGGATCAAGCGGAAGGGCAATGGTACCTCCGAGGGAAGAGCTATTGGCGCAGACTGTTAGCAAGCTGTTCGCAGCTAGGGAAGTTCAATTGAGCACTTACCGGCCACCCTGGACCTTCAAGATAGGACGTCCGGTGCGAGAGATGGCAACGTCCTGGAGGAAACGGCGCTGGATCATGACGGTGACCCGTGGGGTGGGGGCAAAAGCCCGCGACCCCAGGGCAGAGTTGATGGCCCGAGACTTTTGCATGGCCTCTGAGAGAGTCTGGAGAGACCAGCGGAGGGGAGAGGTAATTCGGGGTGGGTGAGGTGCAGTAACGGGCTTTCGCAGGTCAATTCGGGAAGACCACGGGACTGGCCGCTAAACCCGATTCGGTACCCAGCACTGGATGGTCTACACTGTCGCTATCTTCCTCTTCTTTTTGATACTGTTTCTTATTGAGTGACATATGTTGACTGTTTTGAATGACCCGCTTGAGCCTGGAGGAGAGAACTGCGTTATGGTGGCTTGTACATCCATCTATACAGTGCACGCACACGAAAGGTCTGACAATATACCCACTGTGATTGGATGTTTGCCCACCCATTTCACCACGCACTATAACAACGATCTACGTACAGATAACAAAGAGGCGATGATGTCCATGTCCCACTCATGGCTTGCTATTTTTTCCGACATGTGGATGACCAGTAATTCGGTGAAAATCACCCACTTATGCATTATCACTTAGACTTCCAAATCCAGACGTCAACCTTAGCGAATGATTCTTGCGTAACTTTTCAAGCTCGTCTTTCAAGTATCGTGAGGAATATCTGACTTTCAGGAAGTTAGCAGTCAGTAGTAAGTGATGCAAATCTATGGCGTATATTCTCTAGCCGGAACATTGTCTGCTTTGGCGAAATATTGATGCAACAAGAAGGGCAATGGCTCACAGATTTCTTGTCAATTGATCGCATATGATACCAAGAGAAGTGCAGAAGGAAAAGTAAACACTTGCATAATACGAATTGGAAAGGCTGAACCTTTGTACCGAGGAAGGCGTCTGTGGAAGAATCGAAGATCTACGCACGCACGAAATTGCTACGCACACGCGTATAGTACCCCCAGAAAACCATCCTATTGCAGAGAAAACCTCGGAAAAAAGGTATCGAGTAATAAAGCAAGCCTTTTTATTTATGATGCTGCGAGCAGAAAAGGCAAAAAATACAACAGCTATGTTGCAATTGTGTTTCCAAAGATTCAATAGAGGAGTTTTGTGGGCAAACCACGGCCATCTCTGGTAAAAGGCAAGAAATGGGTTCTGTACTAGCTTGTCCCACTCCTCGGGATTACGACCCAATAGTGATATATATCGGGCGCCTTTAGTCTGGGCGACTCCCGTTCGATTCCCTCTCCCGCCAACGCTTTATTTTTCTGACCCCGCATATCGATGACTTCAATTTGTTGTAGCTTGAATTTCTTTCCAATCTCTACCTCACTCCATTCACATTGACTACAAAAGCACACACTCAAAATGTCTTCTGCTGCTTGTATTTTCTGCAAGATCATCAAGGGTACGTCTGCTTCCAAGATTCGAGATTCGTGGATCGCGAATGCCCTTTACCCGATCGCGGTGACCTTGACCGTAATGCGTTGGGATGCTAACTCTCAATCGCTGCAGGTGATATCCCTTCTTTCAAGCTCTTCGAGAGCGAGAAGGTCTTTGCCTTCCTCGATATTCAGCCGCTCAGCCGCGGTCATGCTGTAAGTTGCCTTGTGTACCTTTCACCCTTCACCCTTCCCCGCACCGCGTCGTCGGATCGTCCAGTCGTCGCGACGTTGTACTTTTCGCCTGCGATTCTCTGTGTATATTATTCCAGCTATGCACCGGACCACAGTTCATGGAAACAGCTCATATGACTCAACAAAGCATGAATAAAGCTGACCTCATACGAACAGCTCGTCATCCCCAAAGTTCCACGGTGCGAAGCTCACCGACATTCCCGACGACGACCTGCTCGAGATCCTGGTATGTTGAAACCCTGCTCAACTGAAGAAATGGATGAGAAGAAAAAGAAAGAAGCATGCACAGAGGACAAACCTGGACCGGGGTCGGGCTCACCCGCCAACCCGCAAGGTCCCTACAAGGGAACAAACACACCCGCTAACATAATTCGTTTAGCCCGTAGCGAAGAAGATCGCCAAGGCCAGCGGCGCTGAGGATTTTAACATCCTGCAGAACAACGGCCGTATTGCTCACCAGGTCGTTGACCACGTCCACTTCCACATGGTGCGTTCCTTACATTCCCGAATATAGGAGGTATACTGACAAATTGGTAGATCCCCAAGCCCAACGAGCAAGAGGGTCTGAGCATTGGATGGCCCGCCAAGGATGCTGAGATGGATAAGCTCAAGGCTCTGTACGAGGAGATCAAGGCTAAGATGTAAATGGATCAAATATAGCTAGCCATCCAGGACTGGAGATGATTAAAATGCCATTGACTCGCATTTTGACTTACTTTATTAAACATGCGCCGGGTATGAGTAGAATACAGAGGATGCTTCTTAGATAGGTCTCATCAATCTTCTGTATCATCAATCTTCTGTATATATTCTAGCTGATTGTTCCATCGTTCAAGCCCAAGCCCGTATATACTACAAAGCCATGCAAACCATTTAAACCGCAAATCTCACACATATCCGAAACCCAACAGAAGAAACCTATGCAAACCAATTATGCAGTCTTCGCCTCGTTCTCCGTGCCGGGATAGAACTCTATCTTGCCATCGCCTTTGACGATGTTCAATCTGTCATACAGCGAGCGAGCCCGAATGTACGGGTCAAGAACCCAGTACTGCTTGCGTAGCTCCTCAATCAGGCCGTCACGCTTCGCTTTGGCAGCAGAGGCAGCCTCAGTTTCTTTCTTGAAGCTGGCGCGGATCCACTCGATCGTGACGCCCTGAATCTCCTTGGCGAGGACCTGGCGTTCGGCAAGAAGCTTGTCGCGAGTCTCTGTGTCTTCCATTAATTTGTTCTCGCCTTCCTTGACTTCAACGTAGTTGTATTCCCAGTTCTCATCGCCTTCAAGCTCTTTGATGATTTGACTCTTTGGGATGAATGCTTCCAGGTCTTCCCTGTTTTTGGTGAAGTTGATCTTGGCCGCGACGACAGGGTCAAGCCAGCCCTTGATCACGCTCCAGATACCTATGTGGCGAATTAGAGTTGTCACATAAACAATATTGATATCAAGAGAACGCACTGGAGAAGAGCCACGGGGCCTTATGGATGAGGACGGATCCGAGAGATTCGGGGTAATTCGCCTCGAAGCATTTGATCATGAATTTGACGGGGGTGTAATCCATGTTGGCTAGAGAGAAGTCGGTCATGTCGAATACGATAGTCTGCAATCATTAGTTCTGAGCACCAGATAGGACGACATAGACATACCGCCGTCTCCACTGGAGGAGCCAGTAACAAGCGTGCCGTCTCAATAGTGTAAACGGTAAACCGCTCTAAAACCTCTGGTTCCTGATCACCAGCCTTGTGCAAACGAACACGGACAAGACAGATAGGACGACCAAAGCGGTCCACGCCGTGCAGGAAACTCTTGCCCAGCCGAATCTGGTGGAGGAATTGCTCTCCCTTTTTCTTTTCCGCAGCGTCGCTGCTCTTTGACTGCTTCACGGCCAAGGCCTCACCATTGGCCATGATATCGTCGTCAACATGGACATCCTGCAGACGCCAGCGCATGGTGGAGATCATCATGATAAGCGCCTTCTGGACGTCCCACTTGCGAGCGCGCAGAAAGCGCAGAAGCAGTGAGTCCGGGTGATCCTGTTTCACCATGTTCCAGTATGCGGTGCGAATCTCCTCCGGCTTCATCTGTTCTAGCGCCTGCTGGAATTCCTTGGACTGGCCGTACTTGTCATCGCCATCGGTGATGTTGATGGATGCCAGGCTTGAGGAGACACCATTCACAGACGAAACGCTCTTGGTATCATTTTCGTCGTCGCCGGAGCGACTGAATATTCCCCATTTGCTGCGCTTGGAGGGCAGCTTCTTCTCCTTCGGGGGGCCTTGTGCCTCTTGGTTGGCTTTGCCATTGGTTTCGGCTTCGAGTGCTTCGATGTTCACTCCGAAGACCTTGAGTGTGAGTACCCAAAATTCTTGGAGTTTGGCCTCTTGTTCCGGGGTAAGGGCCCCGATGGTACCTGGGGCGGGTTTGGTAGGCATGGTTTGGAGAGTATCGATGACACCGAGGAAGGTTTCTTGCGAAGGGATCCGGGACGGCGCGGGCAGCTGCTGCTTGGAATTGGGATTGGAGTATATACTGTGAATCCAGGCGCCGCCAGTGACAGCGACGAGAGCGAATGTAACGGACCAGAAGGATGAAGCCTCCCTCGGTTGGCGTGTGGGGTAGTGTCGCGCGAGCGCCGGAGACCGTATCGGGATCTGTGCGCGCAAAGGCAAGAGAGTAAGGGCCGAGGAATGTAAACGACGGCGCGGAATAGGACAGTTCCGCATGTGGCGGGAGATAATATTAGTCAGAGAAGATAGGAAAAAGCCAAGAAGATGAGAGACCAGAGACCAGGGACCAGGACCTGAGATGGGACACAATGATGGCGCAAAGTGGATTCGCTCGAAATCCAGATTAATGACGATCCGCTCTTGCGGGGAAAATCGTCAACTGTTCTGGGCTCTGTTTAGCTTCCTTGTTGCGACAGAATTTGATTTTTTTTACCATGCTGATGTCTCATAGCAGATCAATCGCTACTGACAGATTTCGGTGAAGTCATTCATCACCCGGCAACGTCGCGGGGCATCAACCCAACATTTTTCTTCTACCCGAATCATTCCACCCACCGAACCCGCCTTGAACTGTTCGCCCAATTGTCGCCCGATAGCTAGATACCTCGTTCCATTCCACCCTCTCAGGACATTCTTCTTCCTCGCGCAACATGGATGGCGCGCGATCCTCCTCGCGACCTAGGCCCTCATCTCGCCCACGACGCCTCTACGACCTAGCTCGCGTTCGTCGCTCCGGAGAAGCCCACGGATACGGCCATAGCATCAGTAATGCAGGATACAATCAACCCGCGATCAATGCGCTGGAACCACAGTTCGCAGAGCTGGCAGACTCAATGGCCGATCTTGAGGCCAACTTTATGCATTTGCAGCTGATGCACGAGAGCTTGACGCGGTTTAGCGAGAATTTTGCTAGTTTCCTCTACGGCTTGAATATGAACGCGTTCTGCGTCGATTTCCCGGAGGTATGATCGAAAAGTGTGTCGGAAACCGTTCGAGAGGCTGAACAACTACAACAGGCCCCGATCGCAGACTCGTTCAGGAGAGCTAAGCAGGCAGAGGCACAGAAAGGTATGGAGATGACCGCTCGCGTGTCATAGAGTGATCACCCTTGAACTAACATCTGAAACAGAGGCAGAAAATGAACCACCCAGACCAGACGATGGCGAGATGACCTTCCTGTGAGTAAAGACGATTCAAAAAAAGCGCGACATGCACGCCGAAACAAATCAATTGACCGTACTCAGGACCACGGATACCTCTTTCGTCGAACACCCTCCCAGCACCGTTTCGTCCAAACCGACATCGAAATACTCAGCACCCACTCGAGGCACTACTCGGGGCACGACGCGAGGCTCGACAACAGTTCGGTACGCAACACGAGGAGCCAGGGGTGCTCGACCGAGTGCACTGCCTCGAGGCCGTGGGACGCGGTGAAGTGTGAGAAGCACCGTGTTGACGAACTGTATCAGCTGAGGTTGCACATGGCAGACGTGACAACTCAAGCAAGTGAGCACGGCTATAATTACCGATCCCAAAGCTCTGAAGGCGACGGATCGGGGCCAGTTACTCTCCAGCAGGGCTACGCCTAGGCACGGAGACTCACGATAAACCCCTGTAATAATGACGATCAGAAATGAATTACTTGATGAAAGTTGCTAAGAGAAGTAGACTAGAACCAAGTAAAACATAAAGAGCGAAATGCCAAAATTCCAGAATTCCAAAATGCCCCAATGTCAATGAAATAAGTCAATGTTCCATGTTCTTATGTTCTATGTTCTATAAGGCCCAGGCGGAGAGGCGAGACTCCGATCTCTGATCCGGCGGTAATCCGGGCTCGGGCGAAAAAAAGGCCCGGCCATCCATCTGAGCATCATATCCTCGATCTCATATCCTTGATCTCCCTATCGCATTGGACTGGTATCCATCGGTCTTGGTCAGTTGGTCTCTTGTGATCGATTGCAGGGCATGCTTGCGTAGGTGAAGCTGCTGTGGCAACCCTTGGTGCTTAATGAGCGAATAGCTCCATCCGTCTCTACTCGACCCTGACTGTTCGTTATCATCACCTCTACCACGGATGGTCGCACGACCAAGAACTACCTGAACTGACCTGTGAAGTGCAATGCTGGCCTTATTCAGGGGGAGTCCTTGAGGCTGAACTGGAACATTTGCCCCCGTCCCACGCGGATCTCTCAGTCTTCCATAACGTGGATTGCCTCTCCGGCCTTGCGTCCGGTTGCGTTTCTTCCCGTTTTTGCCAGCATAGAGGATTGGTCCTGAATTGCTTTGCATTGTTTATTTGCATTTGGCATCGTGCACATCTTCGACTTTAGGGTCTCTGTGATCCCTATCCCTTTCTTCACGAGTTACATCGTTCCCAACTTCGTCAATATGGCGAGCTTGGATTCCGTGAACCTTCTCGCAGAAGCTGCATATGGCTGTGGTATGTGTAAATACTTCTTCGTGATTCCATGTCTAACCCACTCGCTAGAACATCTTGCCATCGTACTGAAAGATGGTCAAACTGCTAGCCAGTTGAAGAATGGCTTCCGAAAGCACCATGAGTCTCTGGCCCCTATGACCAAGCCTGAGGCGGTCGCCGTTCAGGCGAGTGGTCTGCGCACTGTGGCGTCGTTGAAGCCCAAGTATCATTGTCTAAATTGTTCCGAGATTTGCCTCAAGAACGAGCGCAAGGCACACACCAAAAAGACTGGACACGTATTTTGTATGTCGCTTAAAGGGAGCAGTCCTCGTATCGCGCTAACACTGCGTCTTTAGACATGGAGTCACGTAATCGCTTTGTGTTTTGCGAGTCTTGCTGCGACTTTGTCTACGACCATGGTCTGGAAAGACTGGGTGGCCCAGCCACCAAGTACTCCATCGAAGGTATGCCATCCAACGAAAGCCATTAATGCTATGTATGCTGGTAGCAAACGACTAAAAACCTCCAGATGGAAAGGGTAAGTGGGCCGAAGACTCGGCCTCCGAGGCCTACGTCAGGACCAATGCCCTCAAGAACCCGTGTTACAGACGTGGTGCCCGTGGTGTTTGGAACATGGGTCAGACTTGCTACCAAGCAGTAATTCTCCAAGCTCTACTGCACGACCCCACTCTGAACGCCTATTTCCTGGCTGGGGGCCATGACACTCACAACTGCCTCAGGACTGGCTGCATGGCATGTGCCGCTACTGAAGTGTTCATGGATTTCAACAGCGGTGAAAAAACCGATGCAGTGTCGGCTGCTACTCTCCTCTACAATGGATGGGAGGGTTCAAGGGTACGGGTACACCCTGACCAAAGAAGATGAATTCAAGGCTAATCGCCCGTAGGAAATGGCCGGATACCGCCAGCAGGATGCGCACGAATATTTCCAATTTCTGGTCAATTCACTCCACTCAGCTACTCCTGGACATACTGAGAGCTACGAAAGCAAGTGCGAATGTTTCTTCCATCAAACTTTCTACGGAGAGCTGCGCAGCAGCGTCATGTGTCACAAATGCGGCAAAACCACCAACACCCACGACCCAATGGCGGATCTCAGTCTCGATGTCCAAGCACAGAATAAGAGGCGCAAGCTGGGCCGATCGAATTCATCATCCACCGCAACACTGACCGGCTGCCTGGACAGCTTCACAGCAGTTGAAGACTTGCATTCAGATGCTGCCTACCACTGTGAGAAGTGCGGCAACACTCCTCAGCGGGCATCGAAGCGATTGCAGATTCGCAAACTTCCCGCTATTCTTTGCATGCAGCTCAAGGTCCGTGACTGGCATGACTTCTGCCTTTGAGATTGACTGACTGTTATCCAGCGCTACGAAGCCACATCGTCATCATCGGGGAAGATGAATTGCCATATTGACTTCCCTCTTACTCTAAACATGCTCCCTTATGTCGTAAAGAAGGAGAAAGACCGCATCGACACTTCTAAGTACATTTACGATTTATCTACCGTCATCGTTCACCAGGGAACCATGGACTCGGGCCACTACTTCGCCTACACTCGTCTCGGTGGTGACAAAGTGCGTATTATGACTGTTTGTTGTCGAATTGACTGTGCTAACTCTTTCTAGTGGGTTCTGATGGATGACAACAAGGTCACCGTCGCCAGCGTCGCTGATGTCCTTCGACAGGATGCCTACCTTTTGTTTTACAGCATCCGTACAATCGCCCCGGAAAACGCCTCGTAGCGACAGTCTCATTGGTTGTTGGTTGAGAATGCTGCCGCCTGCAACTTCATCATAAACCCGGGTATTGATGTTGGTCATTATGTATATAGAGTAAAGCAACGTTCATCAACACGAAAAATCTTCATACCATTGCGCTCATAGTCTCGTATACATGAGTTTCTAGCCACTGACCAAAACGCGTACGGACCGGGCTTTCACCCCATGATCGGCAAACTCTACAGGCAGATCTACGAGAAGATCGAAAGGGTAGCCCAGAGGTCGAACCCAGGGGCCATTCCAGGTTTCACGGGAACAAAGGCAGACATAGAAGAGTGCACAAGGAATCATGCTAGCCGCAAGTCTCGGCCAATACGCAAATCCAAAGCTCATGAGAATCCCAGAGAAGAAAATCCGTCATTGATATTGGATAAGGAAAAGGGATGAAGGATCAAAATGACATCCTCGTTTTCAAGCTCTTTAAACAACAACCCCAGTCCCCTCTTCGTCCATCCGAGGCAAAAAAGAGAAGCCTCCTCCATCAAGAATCAACAACGCTTTTTGGAGCCGTCACGAAAACGGAACGTGAGCGAATCGTAACCCACGCTTCGAAACATTCGCCTGGACACTGTCGAGACCGAGCGCCAGGGTGTAAACGGATCGAGGACACGAACGGAGCGAAGAGAGCGTTACAGCGACATGGTTTTCATTTTTGATTTAACGGTACTGTAGGGATGAATGTTAGTGCGTGTGTTCGGTTGGAGACCGGTTGAGTGCGTCGATGCAATTGCAAATGCAAATCGTTCTTATCATCCTCGAGTCGGTGTAGCGAGTGGTGGAAACGAACCTTGACGAAACCGATGTCGGTGGACTTCTCACGGAAGCACTGACGGCAGATGTTCATCTGTGAACGGGATCCGGGTTAGCCACACTGTTTGTCCATTTTGGACAGCACCTGTGCGCTGTGCACACATTTGCCAGGGAGGGATTCAACATACGCCGTACTTGCGGATCAGACCAGCGCGGTGGGAGCAGACACGGCTGAAGCGATCGCACACGAATTAGCACTCCATTCCTTCAATCTGATTTCCAGTATTGCCGATCCACAAAACAGTCCTCCGCTCGCGCTCGTCGCTTGTCTTGCTTTGTCTGGTCGTCGGGGATCGAAGATTGTTCAAGGGAATACACACCACTCGCGGGAGCCCTTGCCGTACCTGGGAAAAAGTCAGTGAGTTGTTTCGTCGTGCGCCGGGCTCAGATTCGACTTACTTGCGGGGCCGGCTGTACCAAACGGACTCGTGAGTCATCTTGAGATGTTGTAGGGGGGGTGGGTTGACGGGGTTGTTGTCGGGGACGAGGGTCGTTTGGCGCTGTTGAAGAGAGGCGAAAGACGAAGGTTAGGGTTGGAAAATCGTTGTGTGCTGCCTCAATTGGGAACGTGCACGGGCCATTCTCGCTTGGTGTACCCTAACCCGATTAGGCTAACACGTCACATGCTGTGCTTAGTCACGTCATCAAGAGAGCCTCTCGCGTAGAGAACTTCGAAATTAGTGCTTCTCTGGCGAATGTTCCTAATTATACTAACATTAGCTGCATCTTTCGCATCCCAGGCACAGCGCCCAATTGAGCCTTTCACATTTCACCATGCCGACAAAAACAACAGCTGAGATCACCGAGGCGCTCTTGATGAGCTGATCTTCTTTGCTACTGCTGACTTTCTTGAAGCATTTGACGACATCTCCCAATCTGCTGGCTTTCTAATAGGCACAATGAAGGGATCAACGTCAACTGTTCAAGAGTAAAGAATTGCAATGGAGTCAGTTCGTGCAGAGTCTCACTCATAAATAGCAAACAAGATTATTTGTCCTCTTCATCCAATCGTCAAATTATAACGGAGCACGACTTGTCGATTATTCCCCGCCACCTACAACATGGTGCAATACTCCCCAACGACATTACGAAGAAAGCAAAAACTTCAGATCCAGAACCAAGTAAGAATAGCACGGCCAATAGCTACAACCAATGAAAGCGAACGGTACACGAACCAACGCTTCAGTCTACACTGGGAATTATTCAGCCTCGCCTCCTTAAAACCCCAAACCCCAAATGGTATACAGGATCAAGCTGCTCAACGTACATGTGGTGATTGATGCAGTATCCCACACACTCCCGAATCTTTCGGTCAGCGCGCGTCATGGTACCCAAAAGCACAGAGTGATACCTTTTCTTTTCTTGTCTGGATCACCACGGAAGGCAAACGAAGCAAAGATGAGCCGGTGAGGATCTTCGGTGCCATTTGAAAGATCCCCCATGGAAAGTACAGGCGAGTACGGTGAAACCATCTCTCTTCTCCCTCTCTGCAGAGATGCCTTACAGATTTCGAAATGGGGTCTCCTAATTAGTTGGAAATGAAGTTGGTAAAACCTCGAATCATGAACGGTTGTAAATTGCGTACCACATGTAGTTTTGCAGAGAACAGTGTCTCCCTGTCTTCCTTGACCACATTGGAGTCTTTTGTAAAAAGCCCAACAGCCGACTCACGAACCGTTTCGTGATCACTTCATTGATCATATTTCTTTTTGTTCATGAGTCCAAAGTTGACCACCCCACACATGATTAGTCAGTTTGGCCGAGTGGTTAAGGCGATGCACTAGAATTATCTACTAGACTGAATACAGTCTGGAAATGCATTGGGTTCGCCCGCACATGTTCGAATCATGTAGCTGACGTTTAATTTCTTTTTGCCTCTTGAGTGGATCAGGAGTGGAGAGTGTTGTTAGAGCTGAGCCTCCATGAGCCTCACACGACGCACACCAGTCTTTCATGCAAGCAATGATCATAGTTCCATGAAGATAAAGTGCCTCTTCGATTTTTGGCGCCCCGAGGATGTAGCGCTAATAGTCACCGGATTGACCAGGTTCATAACTGGAATCTACATGACGAGAAATCTGTGATAAAACTTTACGAGACGGTAGAATCATTCTCCTAGTTGTAAACTGATCCCCTGCATGGCAGTGAAGGCATAATGAGCTGAGAAGACAAGCTTGTGCTTAGCAGTATCAGTTAGTGGCCCACTCAGACATAGAAAATGTCAAATCACTTACCAAAAGAGCACCGATTACCGTGGATGAGGGGAAGAGAACGTAGCAGGTTGAGGCTATTGAGAGTGTTTCATCTCTGATAGCAAGTGAGCAGCTAACCCAATTGGGAAATAAAGCCAAAGTTAAGTATGTCAGCTCGACCTATGAGCTACAAGCGAAGTGTGCAAGTTACCCGAGGCTTGCCACAGGGACGTTTACTCTGATTATCTTCTTTCCTATTCGTCATAGAATAGATAAATTCAGCCAAACTCGCTGGGCCAGACATTAGGGTTCTAATACCCGAGTGCTGCTCTGAGATGTACGGGTAATCAATGCTGGGTTAGCCTTGAAGAGTGTGAGAGAATTTTATCTGGGAAGAAATGAGCTAACAATGACTTTGAAAACAATGACAGCCTTCAAAAAGATCGAGACCATCAGATACTCAGTAACCTTCAAGAAAGCCTAGATCTTATAGGCAGTCATTCCGTGAACGGCCATCGAGATGCCGTGAGAATACGAAACTTTGTCGCAACAGGCGAAAGCAGCATCCACTGCACAGATATTTCGAGACAACAATTAGACCTCCTGTTAATCTGCTGAGGTAATTGGCAGAGCATTAAGCTATGTAGTATAGATGAGTCGTTTCCGTTCGATTTAGATGAGTTCATGGTTCTCACGAGAAACCGAGTAAGGAGCTAGGCTTCACTTGGGATATGCTCACATGAATACGATGTCGAGCTAGCTCCTATAATAGAAACAGAACAATCTAAATGCTATTTCTGTGCATTCAACCTCGAGTTGAACAGTGTATTGGAGTACAGTCCTCCATTTGTAATCTTGTGGAGAGATCCCTCCAGGTGATGTCCCTATTATCTACTGCGTCTACCATGGGGTAAGTTTAGCATGAAAGGGGATTGAGAAACCACCCTGACTGATGATTATGGCTGGCATTGTTTGCGAGCGTGCCGAACACTCATGTCCACCTAGAGAATTCAACGATCAAATTCTGGAAGAATATCAGATTGAAGACATTACATGGACGGTTCTGGAGCTATCTCATATTACAATCGTGCATAAGCGACGGTTGGAGAAGGGAAGACGATCAAGCCCAAGCGCCACCTAGGTCATCCCGAGCAGGAACCACTCGATATCTACCCCCACAAATTAAATGATAAAAACACGAGAAAACGTGTCTACACCTAGATACCGATTCCGTCCGCAGCCGGACAATCCGGCTGGACTGGGGTACCTGAGCACAGTACATATGGCGCGCGGGATCAGCCGGTCGCTTAGCGCCCCTCTAGTCCCAATAAGTTAATGCTATGCGTTAATTCCCCCCATTCACAACGCGCCCGTACCATTCGTCACTGGTGCCGATCGCAAGGGAAAGACGGGATCTCCACCTCGCCCATTAGACGCTAGCCATGCCTGGGGAGGTGGGATCGAGACGGCCTTTCGGAGTAAGCGGTGCCGGACATCCGACGCTCTGCAAGGCGGGACTGCTCAAGCTGGCAATATTGCTCGAGCGGCTTGAGATGCGTCGATCTGCGGATCAGGTCAGAGGGGCTACAGTAGAGATGAAGGGACTTGTGACGAATCAAAATTGAAGAGTTATTGTACAATGATGGGAAGACGTACGAATCGAAGTTGCGGACCCCTGGAGCAAATACCACGATTTGACCTGTCTAGAGTACTAAGGCACAGATGGTCGCTCGTCGAGGTTTCATAATCTAGACCCATAGGGGGCTCTGTAGGATCCACGAAAGTCGCACCGTATGATGTAGAAAGCGGAGATAATTTCCGGGTTGAAGCACCCTACAGAAAACGGAATACTCGGCATGCAAAGCGCCCGAAGGATCAAAATGACGATGATCAAGGAGGAGTCATATGACGGCTCCCCCCCCCAAAAAAAACCTTATGCGCCGAAAGTCTCCGGGGTTGGTTTTTTTGCGAGAAAAAGAGCATAAATGATCCATTATTCATCGCAGATCGGGTGCGTGTCGACATGAGTGCGTGTGCGTTGCGAGTGCCGGAAGGGCGCGGATACGTTGTGTGCCCATCACCAATCACGTTGCAGCGAAGATCATCAGATTTGTGCATGGATCCGGTTGGATTCCGTTTCTGGACCCGGGCTTCATCTCTCCTGTTCTTGTTTCTAGATAGTGGTTTGTCTGAAAATAAAGTCAAACTTATAAAGTTTTGAGCGTGGTGGCTGCGTGCAAGGGGAAGGGCTGTTTCCAAGGTTGAAGCCGGAGTCTAAAGGGAACGCTTCATGTATTTCTATCCCATTGTTACTTTGATCATTCATATGACACCACTTCTGCTGCCGCCATTTCTAGGCGATGGTACCGAAGGTCAACTATAGTGGTTTTCGTGACTAGGAAAAAGCCGTGGATCAGAGTGGGTCTCGGATTCATGGCTGTACTGTAGGACTCTACTTTTGCTTTTGCTATACCAGCAATCCACCAGGCCGTCTAACGTAACTAAGTCAGTTATTGATGGGGTGGCAGACTTTTCCCTCGCGGTCATCAATCCGAACTCTGCCGGTTCTTGTTTTGTCCTCGGTACCATACTGAATGCGGTTCGTTCCCTCTTCTTGGGATCCTCGTGGTTCGGATCGCATCCGAAAGGTTCCTCGATCTCAACGGCTTTTGCGACTGGTACAAATCCATGGCTCAGCATCGAGCTTCTTGAGTCGAAGACTACCGTCGGAGGGGAGTATTCCCTCTCCACGATTTGCACAATCGCGTACAGTACCATTCGAAATCAGATTTACCTCTACAATCTTTGCCGAACAGCCGCAAATTTCTACGAAAATTGATGATCGTGTAACGTATTCCACGGCAAACCCGCCACCACGGTACCCGCTATCCCCAAAAAAACAATAGTAATTGCGATAAATTATAACTTCACATCATACTAAAACCACTCTCTTGGAGAGACTTTGTATAGCCCTATATTCTACTAGGCTCTACCAGGCTTACTATATAATCTTCTAGGCTCTTATAGTAGGATACTGTCGTTGATGCAATATACGTATACTCAGCGATAATAGTTTTGAACTTACTACAAGGTTAATATATCTTGCTTGAAATAGATCATTATAGCTAAAGGCAATAGCTCTAGGTAAAAATAGTCCTTCGTTTTTGAGATACGAAGTTCTAATCTTTCGCACTTACTGTAATGTTTGGGGGATGGCGGGTTTACCGTGGTGGCGGGTTCGCTGTGGAACACGTTATCACCATGTTCGGCTTCTTCGGCTATTTAAGTTGTGGTTAGTGACTGGCTCTCGATCATATCACGGATAAGATATATCTTTGAGGGGATAAGTTTAGGGACCATATTATAAGTTTTATCTTAACGTAGGGTGGTGCTTCAGAGTAAAGTATACGGGAAGAAGCCTGCTCCTGAGAGAAGGAGGGAGGTAGGGGGTTATCATGTGCATTGAGGTTTTGTGAAAATTACAGCTTCTATTCTGAAAACCAGGGGATTGACGGCCATACTATGTCTGTGGATTAAAGTTAGAGTTTTTCGCACGAGGGTTCGAGAATTTCGAAGAGTGTGGAGGTGAATCCGATCCTGCGTATTACGGTAATATGTCTGTGGTTGCCCTTCGGTAGGATCTACTGTCGCTGCAATGGCATCTTCGCCATGACTATTCATATCTGCAAACACATCAGGACTCTCATCGATGGTGATGTTTTTGTCCATGTAATGATGCAGCAACAAGTGTATAGACTACGAGGTAGATAATAAGCGATGTGGATCGGAACCATGCATAGGTCGTGTACGGGTAGCAAGGTGTTCAGGGTTCTGGTACCATGACTCGAGCTTCGTTTGCAGTACCCCGTGAATATGTAAACCATATGCTACGACAGGGCTAGTCCCTCTTGCTTCCTACGCAGGATGACGAAAGATATTCGCGAGGATCCTTCCGCCCTGCTTGTATATTTCCCCAGCTCCAATGCTGTTGCTCTGCAGGGTCTTCATGCAGATAAATATTGTGCAGTTAATGAGTGCCGTGTTGACGTTCATCATTCCCTGCGTAATTTAGTTCTGCGCACGTTTCAAAGACCACGAACACCACAGCATTCAGACCCGCGGCGATGCATGGTACTGCCCTATATATCAGTCCTCGAAACTCTGTCGCTCGACTTGGCCGCTGGCGGTTGAGAACGAAGATCATTGGTATATATGGCCCCAAAGACGATAAGCGATATGACTGGTGGAATTGATCGCATCGTATGACAATGGACGAGCAACATAATATAACGGTCTCTCCTCACCGTGCTTGACGCGACGAGCCTTGCATGTTTGACATCCGGTTTGGCCCTTGTGTTTACCAAGATTTCGAAAACCCTGGGTTCCTACTAAGAACAATTTTGACAAAAGAGACGCGAGAATCAAGGCACAAGATGACTAGTTCACTAGTTCTTAGACTAAAGGTTATATCATAGCTGGGGGAGACTAGAGGGCTCCACATCGCAATGGCCCAACATTGCTCGATCGCGGATCGCACGTATCACCTGACTCAGCGAGCCTTGCACGAATGGACTGGTCGTTCGTACGTAGACCCTGCGCTGGACCTCGAGGTTTCTCTCTTTATGAGGTACAGTCTGATAATGCCTTGACAAGAAGCTCACGCATTGACACGACAGTATCCCTATTTTCACTCAACAGCCGCAGAAGGCCCCAGCGCGCGGTCCCAAAGCTAGGCACGACCCTTAGCTCAGCTCCACTGACTAGCTCGGGATAACATCATCTTGGATGTCTACCAGATATGAATTATGGTGCCTTGCGAGGCTGGGCCATTCACACATGTCAAGGCTGAGAGCGTCGGGACTCCATGCATCTCCACAAAACTGGAGGCAGGAGGCTGGGCCAGGGTGCATTCACCCACATGGTCACAGTCGCGTCTCTCAATCACCGGGGTCTCGGGATTAGTGAGAAAGAACCCCACCGCCAACGGATAGCTCAAAAGTGCGGCTCGGAAGGGCTAGGGTGCGAGGCCGAGACAGGGATGTGAAAGGGAGAAAACGATGCCGGGGCGCCGATGGCTGCTTACCGGTCGTGGGCTGACAGTACTCGATATCTGTGCGTCTTTGCTTTGTACTCTGTAGTTTATCCGGGGCTATGCGGTTGCTGATTGGGGGAAGTACTTCCAGACGATCTTTTCAAGACAGTGTACTTATGGAAGCTCTAGGACTGCTGGAAGATATCCTTGGGTCGGGATAGGATGAGATGTCGCGCGGAGCACGGGAACGTTAAGTTGTTTGATCCAGACCCACGACTGACTCTGACCTGAACCCAAGGAATCTAGAGTCTCCGGTCAGGCAGCAGGAATGCAGTGGCCATCGTGCAGTAGTGGTTCATCCCTCTAGCGGTGAATCCCAACCAGGAAGCGATCGACTACGTCATGTCCCGACTCTGCACAAATTCAGTCATTTAGTCATGTAGTCACACAGTCACATAGTCACAAGCAGAGAACAAATAAACCATTTTTTTTTAACCTGTGAATCCAGAAGAGCGGGAGTGAGGTCACTTGCTCGGATGTGCCCCACCGTGATGCCTGTTCGTGAGCTTCCCGACTCATCCGATCGAAAAATTTGCGTTGATTATCCTGATTAAATTATTCAATAGGAACGGCATGCCGAGACTGGCTCCATCCGCGCAGCTCGAATTCCAATGCATACAACTGCATCTCCATGCTAGTGTTTCTGAGTTGCAGTAAGCAGCATAGGGAGGGCGCTCGAGAGTGTCAATCACTCATGTACAGTAGTAGCGGTGACAAAGGGTGACTCATCAGGGAAAAAAAGGATTGCAGGCTTACATGAGGCACCGGGAAAGGCTCGCACGCGGAAGCTCTGGGCCATTTTGTTGCCACGCACCCGGCGTTTCGCGTTATCCCCGCCTCGTCCGAAGTATTGGAAATCAGCGCAGCCTTTCTGGGCGAAATCTTTTTCATTTATTGAATTTTTCTTTTTCAAATTTTTTTTTTTTCCTGATCTCAAGAGTTACGACATAGATCCGGTGCTTTTTGCCTAGCTCATGAACAGCATGCATCCTGGCCCCGCCGAGCTTCCGGCTCTTTTATACAGCGCGTCCACCCTTATACGTTCTTAGACTTCCTTCTCAGCCCTATACAATCCCATCCCCATCCAACCCAAGTACCACCAGTCTGGGTATCTGTGTGACCTCGACCTTGGTTAGATCATATCCGAATAGTCTGGGTCTGGAGCAAAGACAAATTCCAGAGACGCGGGAGCTTACATTTCCGGGATCAAGCAGCGTCGTTACGTCACGATTCGACAGAGCTTCGATCTTTTGCGCCGATTGAAGCTCTGCCTCCAGTCGACCATTTTGTAACTAGAGGTATACTCTACATAACTCTCACGAGCTTCACGATCACCCTCCGGCTCCATGAGACTGATCACTCGAGCTGCCTACGCGGCGCTATTCCTCGCGTCGCTTGCGATCGCGCACGGAGATGATGAATCAATGGACATGGATATGAACATGGGAATGGGCATGGATATGCATGCGACTGCCAGTGCAGCTTCTCCGACAGCATCCGTCTCACAAAATGCCCAAAGCGAAGGTCCCATGAGTTACTTCGCCTATGGCAAGCACTCGAGCACCATCCTAGCGCATATTGCGCTCATGATCCTGGGTTGGTGCTTCGTTCTTCCTGCAGGTATGCGACTCTCTATTCTGATCCAGTGTTGAAATCGCCACTAACCCGGCGACAGCTGTCATGCTCAGCATTGGGCGCTCACGACTTGCGCTCCCATCACAATTCCTGTTCCTGGTCTTCAATGCCTTCGGTCTGCTCTTCGGAACTATCTACAATAGTCAGACTCCCGATCTGTATGAGAACAATGCCCACCACAAGATTGGTTGGATCGTGACGTGGGTCATCAGCGTGCAGGTCGTTTTGGCCTTGATCTTCGCGTATGCCGGTCGTGGTGAGTCCAAGCAGTCGCAGTCGAACTCCTTTGAGCGCGCCGCATTCCCTCCCCGTTGCGACAGATGAGCATGAATGTCCCTACCCCACTGGTGCTATGCACGAGTACCGCTGGTCTCGCGATAGTGGCCAGGGCACCGAACCCGGCTCCTCTATCCATAGCCCTTCCTCGCCGTCCTTCGAGTCGCAAGCCGAGTACGACGGCTTCGAGAAGCCCGAGGAGATTCCTTTCAAGCCTTCTGGCCCGCGCGGCTGGTTCCACAGCTCTATCATTGATCGGTTCCTCTCAAACCGCGTGCCCGGAATGGTCTCGAACCGTGCCCTGCGCATTTCCAACGGAGTGTACAACGTGATTGACCGGATCATTCTTCCCTTTGGATTCATCGCTATTGTCACTGGAGCTGTTACCTACGGTGGTATCTTCCGAGGCAACCAGATCTTCAACGGCCTGGCGCATTTCATCAAGGGTGGAATCTTCTTCTGGTATGGTGTTCTTACCCTCGGACGCTTCATCGGAGCTTGGGCGGACTTGGGCTGGGGCTGGAACAAAAAGCCCCCGGCGTCTGTCGTCGGCTGGAAGGCCAAGGTTCCTTCGGGCGAGTTCGTGGAGTCGTTTGTCATCTGGTTGTATGGTGTCACCAATGTCTTCCTGGAGCACCTGGCCGGTTGGGGTAAAGAATGGTCTGCGACTGATTTGGAGCACGTTTCCATTTCGATCATGTTCTTCGGCGGTGGTCTCGTTGGTATGCTCTTTGAGTCTCGGCGTATTCGCGATGCACTCAACAACACCCTGCTTCGATCCCCTCCCCATGGCTCCCGTGAGGACGAATGGCAACCTCCCAAGTCACAGGGCGTTCCCCTCAACCCGATGCCGGCTCTTGTCATCCTGCTTCTGGGTATGATGATGGGATCGCACCACCAGGACAGTATGACTTCGACCATGGTGCACAAGCAGTGGGGTAACATGTTGGTCGGGTTCGCGATTGCTCGTGGAATGACCTACGTCTTGCTGTTCTTGCGCCCGCCAACATCGTACCTCCCGGCTCGCCCGCCCACTGAGATTGTGGCTGGATTTTGTCTCATGTCTGGTGGGCTCATCTTCATGCTGAGTGTAAGTTGTTACCGCAGACTCTATACTATGACTACCTTACTGACCATGAACAGACCCGCCAAGTTATCGAAGCTATGGAGTTCTACGACTTGGACGCCATGTTCACCTTCACTGTCGGCATGGGCTTCACAGCTTTCATCATGTCCCTGGTCATCTTGAACATCGCGATCAAGGCGTGGGCGGTGAAGCGCGAGCAGCGCCCGCAGCTAAATGGAGGCTTCCGCTTCCCATGAATTTCTTTCCATCTGTTTATTATTTGATACCCCTTTACATTTGCTGCTTTTAAAGTCATTTTATGTGGGGTCCCTCTGGTATGATTTACTACCTTTCTCTGCAGATACCCTGGGGTACGAGAAAATAGTCCTTTATGTTCGGCATGAACCTGTTATGCATTAATGTGAGGTGGTAATATGTGGTGGCCTGTGTCCCGGGTCTTGATACGATGCATTAGTATTTATGGTCAAGAGAAACGAATTGAATGTTTAAAGATCTACATGTGCAACCTTTGAGACGCCTCTGATCAACTTCTGCAGGAGCTAAGAGCTTATTGCCGGGTCGGAGCTATGGACCTTAACGCCGAGAGTTCGCCGTGCCGATTGCCGGGTCGCCGTCTTTGTACTGCACGCCGCGGACTGGAGCTAGAAGCACCGAAATATCATACAGCGGGCGCAAAAGTACATCTTATGTGTTCGAGTATCTATTGCAACTGTTCTTTTAGACATGTATCTGACCCCCCGAGTCGTACGGCGTGGGCTTCAAATGGCGTTTCGTCACACATTATTAATCCTCCCGGCTACGAGGGGCGTACAAGTGGGTCGGGCTGAATCGAGGGGAACAGGACGAAATTGGTCGAACAAGACACGATGATTGGACCGACAGCTTCGGGACGACGTGAAAAGGCCCGCGATGTTCTCATAGGGAGGGGCAGTCCTCCGTTAACGGGCCGGAGCATTGTGCTTAAAGAGCTCCTCTGTTTCTACCTTCTCCCCATTCTTCCACAATACCCTCTACGCATCCAAAAGAATCATACACAATGGCCTCTAACCCTCCCGCCGCCTGCTGCGCCTCCGGCTTCAAGCACGAGGGCAACCCCGCTGGCGAGGTCAAGAACGTCGACGGTGGTATGTGATCAGCCCAAGTCTGCATCCAATCCTGCCCCAATCAACCCACTGACCCGAGTCACCAGTCAACACCTACATCACCTACCCCAAGGACAAGAGCGCTGACAAGGCTGTCCTCTTCCTGACCGACGTCTTCGGCATTTTCCCCAACGCCCAGCTCCTCGCCGACGAGTTCGCCTCCAATGGCTACCTGACCGTCATCCCCGACCTGTTCCAGGGCGACCAGATCTCCGTCGAGGCCATGGAATCCGGCAAGGCCGATCTGCCTGCCTGGTTGCCCAAGCACCAAACCGCCAACGTCGACCCCATCGTCGAGAAGACCATCAAGTACATGCGCGAGACTCTCGGCGTCAAGAAGATTGGTGCCGTCGGCTACTGCTTCGGCGGAAAGTACGTCATTCGCTACTTGAAGCCCGGCCAGATCGACGCCGGTTACTCCGCTCACCCCTCCTTCGTCACCCACGAGGAGCTCGGCGCTATCAAGGGCCCCTTCTCCATTGCCGCTGCTGGTAAGTGTCGAATTAAGTGACTTGATTTGAAAGAGACCTCATATTAACCAATCCTGACAGAGGTCGACTCCATCTTTACCACCCAGCTCCGCCACGAGTCTGAGGAGACTCTGATCAAGGCTGCCCAGCCCTGGCAAATCAACCTGTTCAGTGGTGTCAGCCACGGCTTTGCCGTCCGCGCCAATCTGAAGGACCCCCAGCAGAAGTGGGCTAAGGAGCAGGCCTTCTGTCAGGCCGTTGCTTGGTTCAACCAGCACCTGTAAGCGTAGGCTTGGCTGTAGATAGCATTGGGCTTGAGATGGCTCTGTTCTTCTGGCGTTGTGCTGATATTGAACAGAGATTCGTCTGAGGTTCAGGCTGCTAAATTATGAGGAATGAATCGCATTCTCCTTTTGATATTTCAAAACTTTTCATAAGGGGTATATACGTGTAAGGTGGAAAATGAGATAAGGAATGAAGGCAGTTTCGGTATTTGAAAGTACAATGGTAGAAATAAGATGTGGCGCCAAGTAGTCTTCCTTCTTAGCTTGCTTGGCAGACAGCTCGATGGGTTCGTACGATTGTTCTCAATCGCTGAACCAATGGACATTATTATGTGGTCCTCGGCTCGTAGCCGAAGCCAAACCAATCAGTGATCGACTGAATCTGAGACGAACCATTTCGTGAAGATATTTCTTGATTTCCAAACCAATTGCATGATGCAGACTATCTCAGGACTTATGAGTCTCGAGTCCATCAGACGCAGAGGCGCAATTCACTCTAGTACTCAGGGCCAACACGTGACTTGTGTCGACAAAAGCCGATCTTTGGTGAATGACAACAAAACAGCCTTGTTACCTTACTATTTTGGAATCTGCCAGCTTTCTCAGTATAGACCTGGAATGAGAGCTGTAATCCTCGGAGGATCAACATAGCAAACGAACAATTATTTCATTTGAAACATAAGTGTCATCTTCTTTCCTCAAAGCTTGAAGACGGTACTAATCACTAGGATAGCTTTTGCCTTTCATGCTTATTTGCTTGAACCGGAAGTTGCCTGTTCCTTCCTTCCATGAGCACTGAGAACTGAAAGTGGGACTCACTCTGGATGGAGTCTTGTTTACTCTTCCTTGTCTTCCATTTCGTCTTCTTCCATCTTTCCATCACCAAATCACTCTCTGAATCCGTTTTTGACCTTTGTTTCAGATACACTCGCACCATTACGCGTCGAAGACGTCCGTGGATCTCCAACATGGCGAATCTGTCCAATGAAGACATGTATGCGCGATTCCGAGATGCTCACCAGCCTGTGAGCGATCTGAATTTCGCGACATGCCGTAAGAATCCCACCATAGAGGAACCCGATCCCTCCGATGGGTACATGGGCTTAGCTCTGCAACCCTTCATGCACAACATGGCCCTTCTGGAAGCTGGAGAAAGTCTTGCTAGATACCAGGTCCGCAATCCGTACGATCTCTTTGCCAGCTCGCTGGAGGAGCGACTAAGGGCTTTGATGGACAAAAATGGTCCAGATGTTCAGCCTGATATCAGCAAGGATTCATGTACTACGGCCTCAATCAACTGGGCTGATCTGATTCGAGAAGCCAAGCAAGATGATTTTCATCAACGCCCTGATGGCAAGTACTACTTCCTGTTTAGAAATGAGCACTACATCATCATGAACAAGCACGACTACGCAGTCATGTCGATCCTGAAAAAGTTTCTGCACCCTTGGCCTCCTTGGCCACACCCTGATGATGTCGACAAGGAGAGAATCATCTTGACGATGGAGCACGACAAGGCGATTAAGTTTAAAGCAGCCCACCCAGAAGGTAAGACCCCGCCCTGCAGCTGCTGTGTTTATGTGTGATACTTATTTCGACAGTTGGCTCTCGCCTCGACGACTATCTGGCAAAGCTGAGAGAGCGGGACCATCACCTTGCTGTGTACAGAAATGCGATCAAGGACTGGAGCAAGATCTACTTCGGGGCGGTCTATGATCTTCCTGGTGAGAGTCATGAGGCTCCACCGGCTCCGCCCATTCAGATCCATGAACCTCCTCGAGCCATTTCAGTTGATTCGGTCAATTCGATTGAATTCGACAACCGAGGTGACATCGAGTTTGATGACCGAGGCGAGGTCGACTCTGCACCACCCGGAAGAGAAAGCTTTGCGGACGAATCCACGGAGAGAATGGACTATTCCGTCTCTGAGACTTCTCAGAGACGTTCTCGTGCCAGACAGCGCAACAATCTCACAAACGCAAGTGATTCTGCTATGTCTTCTATCACTGATGTTAATGGTGACGACTACGACGAGAGCGATGACGGCGAAGAGTCTGTTGTAAGGACCCCTACTACGATATCACCTTGCTCTAAGCGCAGAAGAGTCACCGCGGATTACTCGCTCTCCGTGGGTGTACGAACGCGTCTCAATCAAACTGAGAAGGAAAATGGGTTCTCCGTTCTTGATTCACTGCTGAATGAGGGTGTCTCCTGGCCATCTATTGCCGTTCGATACAATACTGAATTCGGCACTCACCGCAGTGTGGAATCGGTGCGAGCTGTCTGGGATCGATTGAGTCTCATCCATCAAACAATCGAGTGTGCGACAGCTATCCCATCCAAGAACGAACCATCCACACAATAGGGTTCGTCCATTCGTACTGCCCAGACTTTGATCCTTGAAGTGGTTTCATAAGGTACCACATCGGCTAATAAGCTTTATAGGAGTATTCTCAATTGTCACCGAAAGCCTGGCGATCAGCCCAGCGGCCGCTATCGCAACCGCGACAAGTAGATTGAACCACACGATGGTCATGAAGAATCATGATTCAAAGGTCATTTGTAATGGAGACGACGACATGAAGGCAGAAAACATGCACGAGCTGTCGACACTTGATAAAAGCAATTCCCGATACTGTGCAGCCGGGATATCCAGCCCCATGAAATGTCCATGAAGTCGTTCTGAGCGTCTCAGTCAGTGCTGATTTAGTGTATTTGCGCCATAATGGACGGAGTCTCTTTGTTAAAATAGGGTGCACTGTACGTTCTATTTATCGCGTTGTTTCAATCTTCGAACACACAATTAATAATATTCTACTGTGAACTCTCTTCGTGGTGTAGCGATTTTATACTGAGCCTGAAATTCTCGAGTAGCTTAGTTTGAAGAATTCATTTTAAGCCGCAACTTTACGCACTGACTCGGAAAACATCCTAAAGACAAGAATCCAGTACACAAGGAATAGATTTGCTGGAAATATCGGTACTTCAGGCAAAATTTCCACCTAAAGTACTTACCAAGCAAGCCATTCTTCGTAGAGGAAAATGTATTGGTCAATGAAACGCCCCGCGCTCTCTAGTCGCAACCCTCACAGTCACAGAGACTCACGACAGACGTGCTGAGCGAGGTGAGAATGCGAGTTGCAACAGACTATAATTTTGACGTGCCGATTCTTTACCGCGATCTAATATGGCTCCTGGAGGCAAAGCCTTTCTATTTGGGCCGGTCCCATTTCGTAAATCAGAAGGATTTGTCGATGGCGATTTTCCGGTCGAGGTATGAGGGCTATTGAGCTATGTAACAAGGTAAGCCAGCGATTCTGAAACAAGGTTCCTATGTTAGAAGCCCTCAGGACCTTTCTCATTGCTCTACTATACCGGGACTGCAAGCTTTGTTCAGTGCGCGTTCCAAACCTCGGGTTATAGGCTTGATTGACACTGGTCCAGGACATTCCTTCGTTCCTGAGTGATTTCAAGAAGCCAACCACATCGGCCATTTATTCTTCCGAACTTATGATCCTTGGAATCACCGCACATGGGTGGATCGAGACACTTTCGCTTTCCTGAGAGTCTTGATGATGCCGCATTGTAAGTGCTGAGAAGCGACATCAGCGGCTGGCGCAGAGCTGAAGCTGGCTGAAGTCTCGCAGTTCACTGTCTCTTCGTCGTGTCTGAAAGACCAATGTGACACGTTGCGCCCCTGCCTTTGGGTTGGGGCAGTTTACATCGTCAAGTTCCATCTCTCCATTGGTCTCAGTCCGCTGGTTTGCGGAAATTGAGGATGATAATGCTCGTAGATATCGCCAAAACCCACGATAACCCGAACCTAACCCGCAAAGGCTGTAAATAGATTATGCAAGAATACGTATATTCTACGGTCGTAACACCTCGTAGTTGTGTACCACTTTCCGGATTTTGGTGTTCTCTGATGAGGGGGAAACTCATAATGGAATTAAAAAGGCACTTTACGCACGTTACTGCTGAAGTCTCGGGACTTGAGTCCTGGCTAGCACAAGGACGAATTGCGGCTACCGAAAATTCTTGTAACTTTACGCGGAATTCGTTATTCTAGGCGCTGATAAATAGAATAAATCACATTTATTCGGAAATCAAGCATATGTCATGATATCGTGAGTGATAATGATTGCATATCGAGCTCCAGTAGCTGTTTCCTGCGCACAACCAAAGATGCGCGGCTAGATATTTCCGGAAATCTTGAGAAATACCAGGTTGAGCGGATAAATTATGGTCTTGAGAAGGTTCTGGTCACACTCAATAGCCAAGTCCCTCACAATTTGAAGGCTTTTCTTCTCGGACACCTGTCGTGTTCTCATGATGACTGATACCGCATTCATCATTCTTTGAGCGCCCTCTTTTAATTCGCGAATCTCCTTGGCCCAACTCCAATAGTCATTGATCAACGAAAAGTTTCGTGCCGTAAGGTTGCGGAAATGGTCGATCGCTTGCCTTTACTCTCGGGTAATATTCAATCTTAGGACAAAGATAGTCAGGTGGGAGTAGGGGCTGATAGAACAGGGTCAGTGATGTTTCAGAGCTGCTAGGTCAAGACATAACCTTGACCAGTTATGACCCAAAGTCAAACAAACACTCACAGGAAAGCGACATTCATCTCTCGGAACTTTAGATATGCTTCGAGTGATTAAACCGTATCCTCGTCGCGGGTGTCTGCCTTCTGAAGCCAGTCCCGCCATCCTTCGAATAGTAAAGAAGCTCCTTCGTGATTATAATCGAGCATCTGTCTAAGTCGAGGAAGGAAGAGTCGCTCCAAGGGTGTGGTCGGTTCCTTTTTCTTATCTACAATCCTGAAAACATGATCTAGCTGCATGTTAAGCTGTTCATGAGCCTAGATCAGAATGGAAAGTCAGACATATGATTGGAGACAAAAGTGCCTTGATGAAATCCTTACCTCCTTCCGAGACATACGATCAGCCTTATCTAATTATCTAAATATATTGAATCAATAGGTGCTCAATGCCAGGGCCAGGAAGTGAAAGATGTACCGTCAACCAAGAAAAATGTCTGGGTCATCCAGCCAACAAGAAACAGTAGCTCGGGGGCACACTCTGGTAGAACCAGCGAGTCCCAAGGTCCCGTCAAGGGACTTTCACTCCCACTGAAGGTAGATGGGATTTCTTCGCCCATGATGTCCTCCCATTCCTTTCTGGCCACTTTCGCAGCGGCATTTACTGTCTCGAACCCGTCATGGCGTCTCACAGGGAAAATGGTGAAGCAACCGTGCTCTCGAACCTTTTCTGGAGGAATGGAATGCGAGATGAAGGTACACAATATCATCCTGCATAGTGAGGGAAGGGGAACTGTCTGTCTTTGGTTGTCGGGGTTGAAGATGAAATGATACCGAGCGAAGAACTTTCCCTGGCTCATTCTTAATATCACCAACAGACATTACCATGCGATCTGAGCTTCGTTAGATGATCCATATACGTAACGTGATCCGTTGCTATACAGGGTGACCAAGAAACAACAAATGTCGGTCTCCACACTTATTCTGCCAGTATTTTATGAATAATCATTGTATCTAGATGGTTTAATACTGCGTCGCCCTTCCATCTCTTTCAATCACCTCTTGAATACGGCGAGGTATTGAATTTACTAATCCTTCTAGTATATCTCCTATCCTTCCTAGATCATAGGCACAAGGTTATGATAGCCTATATTGAATGCATACGATGCGTATAATGCGCATCTTGAAGATATATAATCCTTAAGCCAATTCCATAAGTTCTCCTATAGATTAATATAAAGGACTACCAAGGACTAGTAAATTGACGTCCTTACCCTTAGAAGTGATTATTTACTGAAATATGCAACTCCAGATGAGTTGGCCACATTGGGAGACCATGCCACTGACAAAACACTATCGCTGTGGCCCTTAAGTGTCGATATACACTGACCTGTCGCTGGATTCCAAATCTTCACTGTTTTGTCCTTGGATGCCGAAGCAAGTTGAGTTGTATTGGGAGACCAGCTCACTGAACAGACTCGACTATCATGACCTTTAAACGTTGATATACACTGGCTAGTCAACATATTCCAGATCTTGATCGTCTTATCATATGAGCCCGATGCCAGATGGGTGGTATTCGGCGCCCAGGCTACTGATGCAACTCCACTGGTGTGGCCCTCAAGTGTGCATATGTTTTGGCCCGTACCTGTATCCCAGATTTTGATTTTTTTATCCACCGATGCAGATGCGATTCGAGTTGCATCTGGTGACCAGGATATTGACAAAATGTAGCCATTATGACCCCCCTTGGTGCGAAATATATGATGACCTTTGGGCGTTGATACAAACTCGCTAGTAAATCGGTCGCAAATCCTGATATTGCATTCCCACGTCGCGAAAGCCAGTCTTCTCGCATCGGGTGACCAGACTAGTGAGTCTGACAAGGAAAAAGGCCGGGATTTATTTGTCAAAATACACTGGCTGGTTGCTGGATCCCAACATTTGATTGTGTTATCCCCTGCTGAAGCTAGCTGGGTCACGTCGGATGACCAGGAGACTGAACCGACTATACCACTGTGGCCGTCGTTCTTCCGGGTGAGAAAGTAACCAGGAGGTGCAGATGATGTAGACAGGCAGGTTGCTAGATCCCATATTTTGACCGTGGAGTCACTTGAGGCCGATGCGATTCTGGTCGCATCAGGCGACCAGGCCACGGAGTTGACTTGGTCGGTATGGCCTTCGAGGGTCGTCACGCATCGGCCGGTCACTGTATTCCAGATCTTGACTTTCTTGTCTGCTGAAGCCGAAGCGAGATAAGATGTGCCTCTGAAACCAATGACTTCTCGCCGTAGATTGAGTACTTCTACGTCAATCATTTGAGCCTCGTCTTCCTTGCCCTGCCCCCGATAAATCGCGGCGAGAGCTACCATAGCGGTAATCGTATCCGGATGCTGATCGTGAAGAACTTTTCGTCGCATCCTAACCACTTTTTTTGCAAAGGGCTCTGCCAGGTCATATTGCTTTTGTCGAAATATTGCGCTGCCCGCCTTGCATGTTCGTTTATTATGCCGAGGTCCTCCTCAACGAGCGATTGTACCCTAACACCTTCGGAAGTTTCATCCTGCCCCCTCTCATTATCCGTACTATCATGCCCTTTATGCCCATGTATCTGGCTTGCCAGAGGCAAACTTGACATCTGTGCTTGTAGTGGAATGGAGGTACTTGGAAGTTGGAATGACGCGGGACCTGGGTCTGTCATGCGCACCCACTGGTCGGCGGGGTTGTCCAAGATTGTCGACCAGTTGTTAGACGGAGCCACGCTTGGATCTGGGGAGCTAGCCGCAGATCTGCCGGATGACTCACTGCTGGAAGTTTTCAGTTAGGCCTTCCATGTTTGTTGTCAGGTCTCTATGAGCTTACCCTTGAGGTGTAGCGTTTGACTGCCTTGAAAGCCATGTATGATTAAGAACTTGTGCAATAGTCAAGCGCTGTTCGGGGACCTTTGCCATAGTACTCAACACAAATCTCAAACATGACTCATTCAATGCATGCATACTGCCGGACGGAAACTTGACTCTAGGGTCGCGAGCATATTCTAGCAAGTTCTGTACGCTGGAGAAAGGTGGTGGGAAGCCTGTACACATGCAATAAGTCAAGGCTCCAAGAGCCCAGATATCAACTGCCGCTGTATATGGCTGGGTGCTAAACAGCCCTGGAGCCATATAGCTTATAGTACCAATGCGCTGTGTTCCAAGAGCAGTGCCTTCTGTATTTTTGGCGATTCCGAAGTCAGCGACCTTAACATGCCACCTGGGGCCCGGACAGGCGACGAGTATATTCTTTAAAACGTCAGTATCCGCCACCCGATGGAACTCGAATGAATGACGCACTAAAGGCTTGATATCTCGATGAACAAACTTTTTACTATGCATGTGCTGGAGAGCCCGGGCACCTTGGGACGTGATTGATGCACCCTCGGATTCCGGAAAAGGCATGGCAAGTCTTTTGATATAAATCTGAAGATCACCGTACTCCATTAATTCCATTGCGAGACACAAGTAGTCGGCGTCGTTGAACCATCCCAGGAATTGGACAAAGTATTGCTTGTACTGCGGGTGAGTAAGTTGCCTGGTCTTGCATACTCGACTCGGTGCTGCAGCCACCTACCTCAGGAAAATTGGGGTCAGAAAATGCAGTGAGAGCGTCGAGCTCTCGTCTCGACATCTCGGAGAAATTCGATTGCTGCACCCTAATCCTCTTCACTGCACGTAGCGCGCCTTCCGATAGCCCTGATACACAGCGCTCCCGCCACACCTCACCAAAAGAGCCACTTCCTATGACTTCCTGCTTTTCCCAGCACTCAGAGTCTGACGGCAGTCGATGTTGTCGGTTTATGTTAGCATTCTGCCGGGGTTCCAAGCACCAAGCTTGCAGAGAACCATTCGTGAACGGATTCATTGATGCTCCCATTTTGGTGAGAGAAACAGTTGACGAGATGGATCGAGGTGTGATGACAGTCAATCTTGTCTAGTTGTGGGGTTCCTATGTATGTCGGGAGTCTCGCGCCCAGACCAAATTAATGGGGGGAAGGCATTAGGCATACCTCATTGGTAGGTCTCTCGGTTGTTCGTATAGCAAATGCATAGTCCGACGTGGCACTGGCCTCGCAAATTTGATTCGTCCATAGTTACCAGGGAATACAATACAGTCTGACCGGGATTAATGGGGAATGGCTAACATTAGACTAGCGTGTTTCGAGCTAGGGTTCGGGAATGGAAGTCTCAAGAGTGTAGAGATAAATCTGATTTCGAATACTACTGTATCCCTGGAGCTGACGACCATTCACTCATAGGCAGCTTCGCTGAGAAATACGCTTTCGCGGCCAAAGATTAAGGTACGAGTGTGCAGAGCTCAGAGCTTAAGATGCAGATAAATCAGAAGTCTGCCGTAGACCGTTTGTCTAGTGAGTGCAAAGATGTCTACAGATGTCTACGTTCCGGGACTCCCCTCGTCACTACCCAATTATCAAATCTATTTGACCGTTCTACTATCATGATAGCCATCTTGCCACCAGATATATCTTTAGCATTCATGTGGCTCATCGGTCTCGAGCCTTCCTTCGTACCAAGGAAGAAAGCTGCCAATTTGTGATTTGGCATTGTTCGGAACGCGTGCCCAGAGGTGCAATGAGACAAGCGATGTTATCATCCATAATAGATTGTTGTCTTCTAATGAAGCCATTGGGCTGAAGGTTCCTCTTGAAGTTTCTCACTTTACACAAGCTGATGAGTCTCCGAGGCGCCCACACACAAGCTTTCCAGATGCGAATAATTACCGACTAACTAATCGCAATGCTGCCAACGACAAGCTACTTCACGAGGCCCAGAAATTACAAAGACTCGTCGATTGGAGGCGGAGTTTGGGCGCGCTGGAAGAACATTGATGCTTGGCGGATATGGTAGTTCGGTCGTCTCTCACTCGATAATCATACGAGACAAGGTATAATTGCAATGTACGGCCAATACTGGTTATTTACACACAATTCATATTAGCCTTGGCGTATGATGTGATTATAGTCCGAAAGAGAGTCTCTATGTTTCCGAAATTGAAGGCAATGACGGCCACCACTGTACGCATACGTGATGGTGATTAAAACGTATTTGGTGCTCGGAGAGACCTCTGGGGGTCGTAACAGGAGGACAGTGTTTGACATTGGCTGTGTTCCGCAATCCGCGCTGATTTGTTGAAATGGGAAATGGACGCTTAGGTATTCTATCCAGGAACGCTCGCGCTGATTTGGGCAATACAAGACTGAACTTTGGGATTCTCTGCAGCAAAGATCCTGTGAGCAGATTTTTAGCAAAGTAGATTCATAGCAGCATTGAATAAGAATTCGGTTCTGCTCATAGTCCCGCTCAATGGGTAAGCTACCAAGTTTATACCCTTCGGGCTCTTGATCATTACACTGGTATGTAATGTCCGTCATGGATGTTTTTAGTGGTGTGACAATTGTTCTATTCCCTGAAGTTGTCGAGATCATCTTTCTCAAATATGTTTCTGGAATGAGTTGGAGAATCTAAGACTCCAAAGGAAGGACTTTCTGTAGTGAGGAAAGTATTGTTCGTGCACAATTTATAGTTCGGTCAAACGTGTGGGACCGGATCCCAAACAGGCATAGCGGGGATCGCCGCGACCACGCTTGCCCCGAGAGTTGAGTTTACCATTCTTCCTTCACGACCCTATCGACCGATTCTGATCCGCATTGCTGCCATCTGCTTGGGTGAGTTGCTCTCCGTATCGACTATTAGTCCACCAAGTTGTTTTTTGTTCGGATCTTCTGGTCACGTTTGTCCCTGGCGAACCGATCGCGTGCGGTCATCCCTGGCAAGGCCTGACGACCCTCGGGTCTCAACCATTCTCTTGTCGCGGATAAGATCAGACAAAACTAACATCTGCACTATCCCGCAGTCGTCGCTCCTTCTTACAAACCTCATCGGTGTCAACTTCCTTGTCCGTCATTTGTGATCGCGACATTTTGTCGATCAGATCTCCGACATTAACATGGCTACTCCGGCTGCGCTACCCCCACTGCCTTTCAACCCTTCCCGGGTTCGATCATATCTTGTGCGGCTACCGTTATTCACGCGACTGGTGCTTTTGGTGATTCTGGCATTCTGGTTACTCGAATTTCAGACAATCTGGAACGTGGTGGAATGGGGCTCCCTCACCCCAGACCTGATTAACCTCGGAACCAGTATGTGACCCGACGGCGAATTGGACTGATATAATTGTTCTGACTACTATGATCTAGTGTATCGCCTGAACACTTTTCCCATCATCCACACTGGTTTCTTCCACGCCGCGTTGAATGCTCTGGCATTGACCCCTCTCTTGGAACGCTTCGAGGCGGAGCATGGTACCCTCACATCCATCGCGCTCTTTGTCGGACGTGAGTAATCTCTTGCTACAAACCCCGGGATGTGATCCTGGGTGGACCGTGGTGTGAGTTTGACGTTTGGAGTACAGCCTTGCTGACGTGACTTTTCCCACAGCGCTGTCGACTTTCCCGGCCGGTCTTTATCTGCTGTTCGAGAAAGCCATTTTGCACAGGAATACACCCGTGATTGGTGCCAGGTGAGTCACTACTATTCAGGACAACACCTAGCAGGACTGATGGAGTCTACAGTGTCTGGGTCTTTTTGCTTCTGGGCTCTGAGGCCATTCGGACGTACAAGACAAACCCTCACTTCAGGTATGTTCTTAATCAGCGATATACGAACCTATCAGCGTTAACAAAATCTAGCCTTGGGCCTTACAAGATTCCCACTTGGACCTCGCCCTTGTTTGCCTGCGTTGTTCTTTCGATTCTTGTTTCCAACGTGAGCTTCCTCGGCCACCTGTGCGCCATTGCTGTAGGCTACCTCTGTAAGTGTTTGTTTGCCTCTTTATCGCCTTCGGTCACTAATATCCACAGTCGGTCTTGGGTATCTCAAGGTTTTTGTGCCTCCGGAGAAGGTCCTTCGCTGGATCGAAGGCAAGCTCAATCTCCTGGGCCGCCTGCCTCACTATATTTCAGTGGACCAGAAGACTTTTGGACGGTATGGAGTCCTGCCCACTTCAAACACGGCTATCAATGCCAACGGGACACCCATGAGCTATATGAGCACCAACCAGCGCTTGGGCGCATGATCTTCTTTCACGAAATCACCGTCGATTCAATATTCTGTGTATATTTTTGCCATAGTTCTTTTTATTACGTGGGAGGTACAAGGTTCGGGGGCATTGGATCATAGCATAGCGGCTGCATACTATAATTCTGCACAAGTGGTCTGCTTCGCCTGGCGTACATTCCCCGTAAACACCTCCGAGCTCCGGGGTCAGACTCCAAGCTGGTCTTCGCGACATCGTCCACCTAGTCGATCCAATTGACGGGCTCGCCGTTGTCTATTGGAAAGAAAGTCTCAGATGGTCCTCATGAAATGGCGTTGAAATGTGAGTCTTCACACACAAAGTGTGCATCTGCTTCGAGGACCTTCCCTCTCGAAACGACGCCTCTCAAGGACGAAGCACTGATATTGAGGAAACACCAGCTGCAATCCGTAATCTACGGAATAAACCTGACGTCCTTTTCGTGCGCCTCCCGAATATTCTCTCCTTTCTCTGTATCGTTGTGGGCGTCGTGTGGCTCCTGCTTCTCCCCTTGAACGAGTACTCCCGAAACACCTACATCTCCGAGAATGCGCTCTTACCCGGCCAAGTACACGCTTACTTTACCGGGAGTGAGCAAAACATTTTCCGAGGCTACAAGAAGGAGCTGGAAGTGCTCCTGAAAGAGGGGCGTGAGGAAGGAATCTCGCAAGATGAGACCGTGACACCAGCGTACGCGGGACCAGCCGCCCAGAAATCCGACGAAAAGAAAGTGCTGACGATGGGGCAGGGCGCACAACAAAGTACACTCAATCCTGCAAGCTGCGGGATTGAAAGTTGCGACACAGAAATACGAGTATACGTCGGCAGGTATTACCCATCAGGGCGAGAACATCTATGGTATTATCCACGCGCCACGAGGCGACGCTACCGAGGCAATCGTGCTCGTCGCGGCATGGAAGACTGCAGACGACGAATTGAACCTGAAGGGTGTCACACTGGCCTTAACACTGGCCAGATACTTCAAGCGTAAGTCCCGAGTTCCAACTACATGTCTAGACTCCAAACTGAAAACTGTCTCTAGGATGGTCCCTTTGGTCCAAGGATATTATATTCCTCTTCACTCCCGACAGCAAATCAGGAACGCAGGCATGGATTGACGCCTACCATGACCTACAGCCCGCGTCCGTTCAACCACTGCCGTTGAAGAGTGGGGCATTGCAAGGCGCACTGGTCATCGAATTCCCTTTCGAGCATAACTTCAGATCACTACACGTTGTCTATGATGGCGTGAATGGCCAATTGCCAAACCTCGACCTGATCAACACAGCCGTCGCCATTGCAGGCGGCCAAATGGGCATGGGAACCAACCTACAGGAAATGTGGGAGCACGATGACAGCTACCAGGCACGTCTCAAGACTATCCTGCGTGGTATGACCAAACAAGGTCTTGGCGCTGCTACCGGTGCCCACAGCAGCTTTATGCCTTACCACATTGATGCTATTACTCTGCAGCCCAAGGGCGAGGGATGGGAGGACGAAATGGCACTCGGCCGAACTATCGAAAGTCTGTGCCGTAGTCTGAACAACTTGTTGGAGCACCTGCACCAAAGTTTCTTCTTCTACCTGCTTATGCAGACGAACCGTTTTGTTAGCATTGGAACCTACCTGCCTAGCGCGATGCTGATCGCAGGGAATTTTACGATCATGGCGATTGCCCTGTGGATGCGCACGGGCTATTACTCGGACTCGAAGACCGGTGCCCCCGCCGAGAAGTCGAAGTCGACGAGTGAGCAGTCATCGATTACGAAGGGTCAGGCCATGACAGATGAGAAAATCAAGGGAACCCCCGTCGCAGAGCGTCTCATGGCTATGCCACTTACCCTAGTCAGCGGTCTTCACCTGCTTGGTCTTGTACCGCTTTGGATGTTCAATACCCTTTCCCACCAGGTTCGTTGAAATCGAAGCCACTCCTACCGGGACTCTGTCTTGCTAACACATCTCTTATAGAACTTCACAACTGCCACCTACGCCTTCGTCGTCGTAGATGTCGTTCTTCCATTGCTCCTCGCGGCTCTGCTCTCCAGTGGCCTAGGTCTATCCGCACCCATCGTCCCGCAACAATACCTCCTAATCAAGTCTTTCACGCTTCTCCTATTGGGACTGTCGCTTTCGACTCTGGCGACCCTCAACTTCTCCCTTTCTTTCATGGTCGGTCTTTTGTGCGCCCCTCTTAGCTTCGTCGTTCGCCTTCAGAGTCCTTCGGCGCCGGTACGGATTGCTGTGTCCACTATTGGACTTTTGTTGTTGAACCTGCTCTCCCCTCCTATGGTTCTTTTGGGAGTGTGTTGGTACACTGGTGCGTCCGTGGAGTCTGTCATGACTCAAGCCGCCTTTGGATGGGATGTGTGGGGCATGTGGACGCAGGTCGTGGTATGGTGTGTGTGGTGGCCAGCCTGGTTGATCGGCTGCGTGTTGTTAGGATCATCCTTGTTTTAAGACCTCTTGTACACATTTCAGCATCATATAGTTCTGGATGATGGTTCAGGAAATGAATCTACAAATACAACACAAGCAACTCATCAATGCTCGAGGAACCCACCCTATTCATTCATTATAGATAAAAAGTGGTAGAATAAAAAAAAACTAGTCTATGCAGCCCATACATCCTTGCCAGCACCCTCGATCCAGTGACCGAGCTGGTTAACACCCGCATCCCAATCCTTCAAACGGTTCCGCATACCATCAATCTGCTTCATATCCAAGACCTTAGGCTGAACCCAGTGGATTTGCGCTACACCCGCAACCTGGTCAATTGAACCGCGCAGCAAACCAAGCGACAAAGCCTTCATGACCAGGTGCTCGATCTCATCCGGTTGCACCTTCGTCTCAGAGGCAATGGCGCTGAATGCGAGGGAGCGATCGTGGGGAGGACGACGGAAGACCATCTCCGTCAGCGCGGACAGGGAGATCTTCTGATAGAGGAAGACCTTGTGGGACTCAAGGAGCTTATTCTTGCTGATGTTGCCCGCGAGGACGTCGTAGGCGGTCAAGTCACCGCGATTGAAGGCGAAGAGAAGCTCGCGAAGCCAGTTGTGCGGTGTCTCGGTCAGGGAATCCAAGATCGGGTGAAGGAGCAGCTCGCCGAAGTTGTAGATTGAGTCGGAGACTAACGCGGCGACGCTGAGGTTATAGGCGCGCTCGGCGCGCTCGCTTTCTTGGAGATCCTCGAGGTTGATGCAGGCCAGGTACAGGAGGGCGTTTTTGTAGTAAGAAGCGAATTCTTGCTTGGCCTGGAAGATGTTAGTTTGCTCCTTGATCTTGCATGTGCCCGCTGATGTGTGCTTTGGGGGTTTTTGCAGGGCTGGCGGATACGTACATGGTGGTAGTCGGCGTTAGTTTTGTAAAATGATGCGTGAACGACTGATTCAACGGAGTCGAACGAGTCGAGCACCCGTTGGCAAGACGCCAGGTCCTTCTGTGCACCATCCAAATCCTGCAGACGCAACTTGACATTGGCAACGTCGGCGAGCGCGTATACGTACGCATCTTGTGATTCGGGTTTGTCGACCTTTTCGGCGAGGGATGTGAGGAAAGCCAGCGCTTCCTTGTCATCTGCCGCGGAGGTGTTAGCAAGCCGGATCAAGAGCTCTTGTAGATAATTGCAATGCTTGAACAAAGTATTGTCTGGATTTGAACTCACCTCCACATTCCGTCGATGCCATCAACCCTAGGGACACGAACTTGAGCTGGTTGATGCGGTCGGCGAAGCTGAGAACAAAGGTCTTGAAGAAGGCTAACCGCTGCGGAGCACTCTCTGGCATGCGGAAGAACTCAACAAGTGCATCTGTCAGTTGATGCCATAGCTTGCGCTCCCAGAAATCTTCAAAGGTGAGGAGATAGGTCTGAGTCTCGGGAGTGCCCTGCGCCTGTTGCTCGGCCAGGAAATCGGGGATCTTGGACTCCATGGCGGCGAGCGAAGGGTGAATCGTTGGATGCGTAGATGTGATTGCAGACGGAAGGAGATAGTATTGACGACAATGGATGGAATACCAGACAAGCGAATAGTTAGACGACGTGGAGATTGGGGAAGTGCGGACGGAGCTGATGATGTCTTTTTGGCAGTTTGGAGCTTGCGGGCGGTGAAGGAGCTCTATACACCCCAGGCACGACCATGCGTCGTTGCTTTTGCTTTACCTTAAATGGGTTGAAATCGCTAAGGGAACTTCTTTGTTAATTCCTAAAAATGTAATTCTTACGGATATCAAGTTTCGATTTGCTCCTTTCGCGTGTAGAGTCAAGATGTCTGGCATATATGTCCCTGTCGAATTTGGCCCCAATTCATGAGATGCATTCTGGCCTCGTTCTGGGAATTTAATCGAATGATGTACAATCAACAGACATTGGAGACATTTAGGAGTTTCTCCAGCTGTAAAATGTCTCCGAGGCTCACGAGTGACCTGTCGTGGAGTCAAACTCTCCAGCACAGGAAGTATCCGAGATGTCTCCGAGCCACCGCATAAATACTCTATGATCCGCAGGGTACCCGCGCACACCTTCTTCACTTTGGAAACGAGGAGTCATTCACACGTTTATCAAAACCATTTCAAACGTTCATACTTCGTATCATCGCAGACATGACTGACTTCACAGAGGCAAATCGAAGACATTTCGAGTGAGTGCCCACTAACTCTACTAATGTAACAAAACTGAACTCACAATTCTCTTCAGTCAGATGGCGACAACTTACAAGGACAACTTTGCCCAAAGCCTTAAGATGTTATCCGAGCAGACCGTCAAGCATCGGCCCTGGATCAGCGACAGATGGACCGATACGGAAGCAGGCCAAGGCAGGAGATCAAGATGCTAGAATACGCTTGCGGACCAGGAGTGATTTCGATGGTAAGTTTGTCTCCCAATTCCGTAGGTATTAACTTGCCATGAGGTAATCTCACAAAATCACAGACGCTGGCTCCTTTCTTGACCCAAGTTGTTGGTATCGATGTCTCCGATAAGATGGTGGAAGAATTCAACAAGAATGCCAATGTAGTCGACATGAGCTCCAGAATGACGGGATACAAAGCAGACTTGCTTTCAGAGCCCGCGCCACAAGAGTTCGCAGGACCAGAGTTCAGCAATTTCGACGTTATCACGATTAGCATGGCCCTGCACCATTTCGAACACGCGGATACTGCGCTGCAGAAGTTGGCGAAGCGATTGAAGCATGGAGGGGCGTGCTTCATCATTGATCTTGTCCCTCATATCGAGAAGTGGGGCCATGGTCACGATCACAGTCACGGTCACAGTCACGACCATGCGGATAGCCACGAACACAGTCATGGCCACGGCCCCAGTCATGAGCAAATGATTCAGCGGGAATTTGGGGACGCCGCTCATACCGTCAAGACCCACGGTTTCTCCAAGGATGAGATGCAGAAGTTGTTTCAGGATGCTGGATTAAGTGTCAAGTTCGATTACAAGGTGCTGCCTGAGCCACTGATCTTTACCAAGGCGGGCAAGACGGTCGAGAAGACAGTTTTCATTGCCCGTGCCCAGCTTGCGTGAAGTTGCGCTTTGAGTAAGTTATAAGACGGACGAACCAACTAGGATAGTATTGAACAATGTAATTCGACCGCGATCTAGTCATATTCGAATGTACAGTTGTTTCTTGCCTAGAAACCCAAGAATCTTAGGCCCTTAGATCGGCGTCGACCGCGTGGGTCGATCTACCCGACCCATGTGTTCGGGTGTCATTTTGGAGGACTTCCACCAAACCATAGTCTAGGGTTAGCTCTGTGGCACTTAAGATGAGTCCGTCTGTGTAAATGACTGCAGTCTTTGAATTTCCGATCAATCGTGTGTTCTTTCCTCCGCGCTAAAAATAGTAAAAGGGATGAAAATTTTGACCTTCGGGCACACATCACACCAAACACACCATGCAACAGCCGACACACATCTTGGGGCCGGACCTTCCGAACGGGGCCCAAGGACTTCCAATAGACCTAGACCATCAGGCTCACTAAACCTCATTCACTCGATGGCTGCATAAGGAACCAATTGATTTGGGTCCCTGAACGCCACGCCGGCCTTGGCAGGGACTGTCGTTGCCTCCATTTTCTCATTTTTCGCTTGTGGACAAGGGGGTCCATTCGCCTGGGCTCATAAAGTTTCGTACTAATGCCGATACGGTTCCCAGCGCCGCCGATGTAAAATGAGATATAAGCCGGACCCTGGACAGTTCATTTTGTGTTCCAACCTTCCGTCACTCATTCCCCTGTCAACCAGATACCCTTCTTTGAAACCTGCCATTCTTTTATTCCCCCCAACATGAAGGCCTTTACTCTGTCCATCCTCGCCAGCTTCATTGCTCTGGCCACTGCCCGCACCGACATCAGCGGCTGTGTCTCTTCGGCCACCAGGGACCAGTGGGGCGATGCCAGTATGATCTGGTACGTCCCCGACAGCGGCGAGATTTGCGACTTCATCGACTGCGGCGGTGGTAGGGCTCCCCCTAAGTCCGATCAGCCTGGCTGTCCTTTGTACACCGGTACTGCCACCGTCACGCCCAGCTACCTGCCCGGCTACGGGCCCAATGGCAAAATGGTCGCTTCCACCACCACTGTCTCTGAGACTTCTACTGCCACCTTGATGCACACCACTGTCATTTCATCTGCCGAGTCATCGTCTACCGGCTCGTCTACCGGCTCGTCTTCCGACTCTTCTTCCGACTCTTCGGCCACTATTGCTCATTCGGGTAACACCATGATCACTGCGGCCCCGTCCTCCTCACCCGCTGTCTCCATGACCAAGACCGCCTCGCCCAGCTCCAAGGCTAGAAACTCTACTTCTGCTGCCGTGACAGGCACCCAGACCGGAAATGCTGCTGTCGTCCCCGCGTCGAACATCGCTGGGGTCATGGCTGTCGCCGCAGCAGTGGTTGGAGCCTTCGCCCTATAATTGGGTCCAGAAACTTCATCATTATTCGAAATCAACTATTATACTCCGCACAGCTTCATCCATTTATCAGAAAGAGTTTAACGAAAGAAAAATGAATTTTACATGCAATGATATATCAACGTAAATTAAGTTCCACTTCTTTAATCCCAGTCCCCATCCAATTCAATCTCCTTCCCACTCTCCCTTGCTCCCAGGAGCTCATCGATAGTCCAAGGCTTGTAAACATGACCGGGTGGGATATTGGTGCTCTGGAACGGGGACCCGTCTCTCAAATGAGCCAGCACATTGTCGTAGTTATCAATCGCATACCGCTCTGGATCATGGCTCCAAATCCACGAACCCAATAGGCCTACAGGCTTTGTTTGTGACACATCGGCGTTGGAAGAGCGACTTCGCAGTTCATGGTTGACAACTCCCAGTTTCTGAAGGCAGGCGACGCGCTCGAATCTGCAACAGGGCAAGCCGTCAGTTCGAGTTCAAAATTCGAGGGATAAAAAAACCAAACCGTACCTGAGGGTATTGTGGACGCGAGTCGCCCATGGCACATTGTCCTTTCCTGCTATATGCAGGCATACTGCCAGGGAGATGGCATCTTCAATGCCTTGAGTACCACCATTTCCAGAAGAGGGAAGAAAAGTATGAGCCGCATCGCCAATTTGTACAACACGGCCTCCAGGGGAGGTCCAACGAGGCTGAGGCTCTCTCCACATCAATTTAAAGTCATGGAGACGCTCCTTGGGTGTGGCTTTGATGACTCGGTCCGCAACATCTGCCCATCCAGAAATATTGGCTGTGGTCTTGAGGACCGTTTCAGGGTCTACCAAAGCCGACCATGACTCGGCCGCGTTTTCTCTGCTCTGGAATCGCCGTTTAGATCCAAGAATACAAGTAGGTGGGCTGCAATTTACCGGGTAGTTCAATGCCCACGACATTTCATCTCTACTTCTCGCAAACATCGCATGCACCCCGTCTCTAAAACATGATCAGCTACATCCTCGAGTACCTGGAATTCACTTACCCCATCCACATCTCCGCGACAAATTTTCCATTGTCCAGCACTTGGAATCGCTCGGCCACAACCGGATCAGCAAGAGCCAATTCGACTGGGAAGGCAGCCCGATAGATCGAAAATCCAGTAGAGCGCGCCCGGACTTCCTCTCCCATTATGACTTGCGAGGACTTGCTTCCAACCCCATCTGCTGCGATGACCACGTCTGCTTCAATGATTTCCCCACTGTCAAGAATGACACCGGCCTTACTGCTCTCGATGCTTTCAAAGTAAGACTTTACCCGCTTGCCATACTCAATAGTCATTCCGGCACGCTCGACTTGTTCGGACAACATCTTATGAAATTTGGGACGACTATGTCGGTGCACCTTTGGAGGCTCAACCGTCTCATCGCTAGATTTTCCAGCATGAAGTTCAAAGGGACCAGGGCCGGAGATCTTCTCGCCGTTGATCTTGTGCCATGAGACCCACATATCCATCGCGATGCGATCCTCTTCATCTTCCATGTCTGGCCAGTTGTGGAAGGCTCGTAGTGCACTCCAGCCGATGGTAAAACCGTCACCTGAAAATTTAATCTTAGACGCGACACTCTCAGGACATATTGCCAATGCAATGCTTACCGGATAGAATTGGCGAGGCGCTTCGTTCGACGATTCGAACATCATGTCCTTGGCGCCAGCATTCTAGACAGGCAAGCAGACCGGCGACGCCAGCCCCAATGATAAGTACGTTGATACCTGAGGGTGATTTTCTTTCAGGAAGTCTCCCGGAAGCGGTGCTTCCTTGCGAGTTGGTGTTTGCCTGAGGACACGTCATTTTGGTTAAAGTCGCTTTTAGTCTTTTGCTGTCTTTTTGAGTGAATGAAAATCAGAGTACGACTAGAAGATCCATACTTTATACCTTTCATTTAAAGTAAGCCTTTAAGCATGTGTTGGCAGCGGCTTCGCAAAGCTTCATACAAATTTGGTAAGACGGGATTCCGTCTCCGTTGAAAGTCAGCCCACCCAACAACGCACCCACGTACAAGCACCAAGCCCAATACACTTGGAAGCATCGCATAGCCACTCAAGATCATGCAAAAATGTAGATTCAAAGCAATTCAAATGTTGAATAAAAGTTGATACATTTCTTCCATCTCACTTATACCCCGAATCACCGAATGCATCAGGCAATTCCCCAAAGTCAGTATACGGAAAGAAAGTGCCCGTACTCATAGGCAAATTGAACATGAAATTGAAATCTGGTAGAGCCTGTTCAGCCTCCGACTGACTCTGTTCGAGTGCTTCCCGTCGTTTGCGATGTGTCTCTTTCATCAAATGCATCCGATTCTCCAATCTCCCATAGATCTCAGGTCGATCATCTCCAGATTGCAGAATTTTCCCCTTATATAGACTGTAGGGAACTGCTTCTTCCATTTTCTGCTTTAGTTGGTCAACGGTCTGATTGAAATCGATTGTCGTCTCGACGTATGTTCGGTCCCATTCGCCATGGTCGCTTTGATAGAGACTCAGGCGGGACAGGGAGACGACAGCTTGCCCGTATTGACACCATGATGTAAAAGGCAAAAAAGGGAAGTAAGGAGTTGGAAGGCTATAGTAGTTGAAAAAGAAGGATTTGGTTGCTTCTAGGCACCGGAAGAGGAGGCCGAGACGTGTTACTGGATATTCGCCGTATTCTGCGTCTGATTGTTCTTCGCTGAGAGCGATTTTGTATAACAGGAGCTCGAGTGTGTCGTAATGGAAGAACAAAATAGCTATTTTGGAAGCGGGGAAGAATCAGGGCCTGTCAGGGGGCGAGGTGAGGTGGATACATACTTGAGTATGGAGGTTTACATGAGCAAGATGCTCTGAGTTGTTGAAGCTCGGCTTGATGCCACTTTATGCTCATTCCCACCGGGGCGGAAAGACTTGTAGAAGAATCATAGTCGTGATTTGAGAAGGCGCGGTTGATCTTGTCGGCAAGGTGCATCGATCGCACCAAATGAACTAGAAAGTCATCCGTAGAATGTTCCATACTTTCTTCCAAAATTTGGCAGCAGTCGTTCATGTACTTGGTGAAGCGAAGAGGCTCCATATCTCTGACGCACGCCGAGAACCTGCTTTTATCAGTCTTTGATTTGAATTTGGCAAGAGAGAGGGTAGAACCTACGTCGCAATCACATAATAGCACCCTAGGTAAGCACGACGTTCCTCGAGAGTGCGAGCCGGAGTTTGATCAGCCGCAAGACCATAATGTACAAGATAGGCGATAGGCTTATCAAGGCTTCTCATGATGCTTTGCTCTTGATTTAAGCCCATACTGATCGCCTGTGCTCTTGCTAGTTGCACGAATGCATCTAACTGTGCAATGCCCAGGGCTTTATTTCTCATTTCCTCATTCTGCTTCTCGTTGGCTTGCCCAGTAATGTCCAGACGGGGCAAGCGAGAAATGGAGATGAACCAGGCAAGATGAACAAGCAGACCTTGTAACATGTCCATACTGTGCTCACCCCTCATGACAATATGCTCTGCCACGTACTCCTTTACAATACCGGAGATCTCCCGCTGGCGTGGAGAGTTCTGGCATGCCACCATCGAGATGTTCAGGTAGAGGAATGGCTTTTCGTGTCGCAGTTGTTCCACAGTCATATCGTCCGGGATCACAATGAATGGAAAGAGAGGAACCATCCGCGTGCGGAAGGTTTCCATGAAGATTTCACCTTCCTGTTCACTCGGTATCGCGGCATCTCCCTCTGTTTGTGAAGACAAGTCTGGCGAAGGGCCTCCGTTAGAAGGTTCTATAGTACTAGGGCCCGAGGCGGCTAGTAAGGCCACCATCCGATTCAGCTTGGCCTCTAACGCAGCCACCTCACTATGGAATTGTAAGTTTTCCTGGTCCAAGGGTGCTTAGATGTAGCTTACATGTTACTTGTCGTTGGTCTCTGGCGACGATGAGCTCCAGGAGCTTGACCTCCACATTCCTTTTTCAGACGGCGACATCTACGACTATTAGAAGAAAAAGAAGGCTTGACGCTTGACGCTTGACGCTTGAGTTAAAACCTACCGCTTGCATGGCCCGTCATTAGGGTCCGGATCACATCGTACTTTGGCCTTGGCACATGTTTTACAAGCTTTAGGCATGCGGACTCCGCTTCGGTCGCCCATATCAGATGTGTCACAATGCGTAGTTGAATAAGATTTGTGCAACGGAGACGGAGCAGCTGGCTTGGCAGAGTTCAGCTCTGCAATAGGGCGGATGTACCAGTGGTCAATGCCGAGGACTTGGTTTAATGGGGAAGTGAGAGGCGGTTGGACACGGAGTCCGCTCGTAGTTTTAGTTTTGCTCCTGGTCCCGTTTCGGCCCCCACAAAACTGTCCTTGGTCACAGCCACTGCAGTTGACTCTGAATTCACTGTGATAAGAAGCTTGGCGTAATATTTCACTTTTTAGATGGCGGGCATATCGTTGCCTATGAATATTACATGGAAACATCAGCCTCGAACAAGTTCGGTTTCCAAGCAGACAAGGTGGTGATGCACCTTGAACTTTTAACGCTTGGTCGTAAATTATAGAAGTATCCCTATTTTCCGGGAAATCTAAGGGAGAACCACCATTCTAATTAAGTCCGTGCAGTGTCTTCCTATCATTACGGTTTCCTCGCTATCCTAATCAATAGTTATGGGTCATCTCTATGCTCTTAGTCTTCAGCAATGTGTTCTATCCGTTATTTGCCGATAGATACCATCTTCTTCAAGTACAAACTCAAGCCTATTCACTAGCCCAGCGAGCACGAAAATGGGCTCCCTATATTCCCGTCCCGGAACTTTCTGATCTATGCACTATATTAGCACGTTGAAACGTAGTTCCTAGATTCACGCGACTTACCAACTCAAAGATGCTTGCATAGACACCACACACGAGTACTGTGACTCCAATGAAGAAACAACCCAGGTTGCAAAGAGCATGCCAGACATTTCTTCTATCCTGCCAGTCCCCGTCTTTGAGAAGCAAAAGCCACATCACTGGGGGGGAAATAGAATGACATTCCCGACACCAGGAGAGCAGCACTGATAGCCATGAGTTCGGAAAAGAAAGGTATACTCTCAGCGACTACCCAGGCGATTACGGTAATGGCAATCACGAGCGCTAGCCAGGTGACCCAGCCTTTTACAGTGTTGACATACTGAATGACTGAATCACGATAAATTCGCGTGTGAATAAAGCGGGCCACGACCGTAGTGTTGATAGAGCCGGAGATAAAAATCACCGGAAGGGCAATGCCGAATGCAATTTTGGAGAAAACGGGTCCAGCTGACAACAGAGCGGGGGACTGAACATCGTGTCCAACAAAGGCATAGACGATGGATCCGGTCAATGCATAGATTGAGATTTCAATGACTCCAAGCGCAGTTATTGACTTGACGTAGTCCTTGGGCGTATGCATCTCATTCATAAATGATGGTAAAGCACCAGCAAAAGCATACGCAAAGACAATATTGCTAATCGCAACGGCTGCTTTGGGGAATGTGACATCTTCTGCGGGCCAGTAAGACCAGTCTGAGGCAGCTAGGCCGCCCGACATCTGTGCCTGTTGAATCCCAGTGCCGACCATGGTGACTCCGATAGCCAGAATGATGGAAACAAAGTCAATATAGCCCAGGATGGCGACATCGGCGAATGTCGGCGGTATCGCTAACAGAAGCAGAATCACAGCGGAGACACCACCGAATACTAGAGCGCACATGCTGCTCTCAGTAATGTTCGCGAAGGCAATCATGCCCGTGAGACAGTGCGATCCGACAGAGAGTGTCAGCTGAACGACAAAGATCGCACTAAACAGCCAGTAACCAAAGTCTCCCATTAGCAGTTGCCCAATATCTCCGTAGTGGGCAACTGAAGGAAATTTGATCTTGACTGCTCCGATGATGTAGCTGGTGTAGATCGCCACAATCCCCATCCCAATGGTGATCACAATGCCGGGGATCATACCCAAGACCGCGAACGCCTGAGGCAGACTCAGTGCGCCGAGCGCGATCGCTTCGACGATGCTGACCACGGTGAGACGTTTCCATCCGAGACGATGAAAATTCGCGTGTCCCTTTAGCGCCCTTTGGGCCTCGTATCCCGTATGGACATCCGCGGGTAACAATTTGGTATGTTCATCTGGTTCTGGTTGTGGGCTGGCACGGCCCATCATGGGGGAAGACTCGTTATCGCCGCTCTGTAAAGAGCCATAGCCCCTTTCATCGGTCATTGATGAGAATGCACCCGGATAGGAATTTTGGTAATTGTTCAGGTAGAAAGTGTAGAAATAAGAAGGCAAGGGTATAGGGAAATATCAACCCTCTCAAATGCTTATCTGCTTTTCAAGCCCCAAGTCATGCGGGGATGTCACAATCTCGGCTGAATATTCCGAATGATTGACTCATTTGCCTTGCAGATGATTTATTGTATAATGGCCCGGTTAAGATGAATTATCATAATCACACGTCTCTAAATTATGCCCGGTGTGGTTTTGACGTTCGCATTTTTGAAGTACTTGGTGATTCACCATCGGAATGTTGCTTATCTTGCACCGTACTACTGGCTCCGTGCGCGTTCTGTGCGTCGTCTGCCCGGGTTTGCAATTCACAGTCTCATATTGGTCGCCTGATCAAGGCTTTCTCATAATGAATATACATACACTTATTCATCTTTCCATATTGAATGATCAGGTCTCACGTGTGCAAGGTGTATATGTAACGCCATGTCCGCATGATGAGGGTCTTGGACGTTGTCCCCCAAATCTAGGGATCCAGGATAATATCTCCGCAAACAAATCGGATCGAACTACAAGGGAGAATCTAAGTGAAGACAAGCCCGGGAAAAGGGAACTTTGTGTCTACAAATAGTCACCGGACCTGATGGTTATCGACCAATTGTATAACCCGCTGACCATTGAACCCATCCACTCCAACGGGCATCTCTCGGAAGTCTGAAGAAACATTACTGAATTTGAAAAAAAAAAATAAAAAAAAAAGCTTCCAAGACTCCTCTTACCTTCCCCGCGATAGACAAAACAGAGCCCTGGCAACTGTTATCAGGCAGAAGACAGGCCGCGTCACCGGTAAAGCGAGAGCTCGCATCACCGATGTCTCCACTTTAATCACCTGACCTGCGGGTCGCATCACCGATGCCTACAATAATAAATTTCGCTCTGTTTTAGTTTTGTTCGAAAACCTCACTGCTTTACCTCGCAATAACTATTTTGAAATAGCGTTATCCCTCAGTTCTTAGTTATACTCACTTTTTAACCGTAATTTAGTACCTTTTAGCTAAAATTTATCACTTTCCCTCACTTTATAATTAGGTAATATTTAGATTTATTATTTATATCGTCTTTAAGATCTATATAGTAATAATGGTGATGGTAAAACTGCCACCTCGGGAAGTGATCGGCTCCCGGAGCACAGGGTGAGTTAGTTACCCCGCCGCCCTAAGCTGCTCACTAAGTAACCCCGAGCTGCTCCCTGAGCAGCCTGATCGCTCACCCTAATGCTCAGGCCGACCGGCCTATTCGATCTTATCCTAACTCTCCGTTCTTTTATATACTCCAAAAATAACCGCACTGCTACCTACTCGTGCTCCTGGGAGCGGAGCTAGAAATAACGTATTCTCGCGGTGCTATAGTAAATTTCGACGCGGTCTTCGAACTTTCAGTTAATCGACTTAATTAGTCTTTTAACTTATATGAGATTCTTACTATTTACTCTTTCCTTTATAATATAGGCTCTATCCCGCTATTTATCTAATAGACTCTAATAGAAATACCCTTATTGCCTTCGATTCTCTATATCTAGGGCTAGCTCGATCCTAAGAGTATTAAATACTACTACTATTAGGCAAATATTCTTGAGTCCCCTACTATAGGCCTTAATTATATCGATATACCGTGCTACGCAAAGTAGAGATATTAACTATTATTGGAATATAGACCAATGCTACATAGAAAGACCTATCCTTATATTCAACATATAAGACCAGATTGCATTGATCACGTGACCAGATTTTTCTTCTATCAAAATGATGTTTTGACCACTTCTGATTCTGGTCCGCGGCCCTCCCCCGAACGATAGGCGGGACCATTTTCCTTTAGGGGTAAATGGTCCGCCTTCAGGCATGAATGGTCCGTTCCTTCGGGGGTGCTTTCGGGCATGCCTTGCCCGCGGACTTCGACCATGGTCTTCGGACCCCGGTGAACAGACTTCGACCCTCGGTCCCCTTAAGGATAGGCGGACCACTTTCCCTTAGGGGTAAAATGGTCCACCTTTAGGCATGCATAGCCTGATCCTGCGGGGGTGCTTTCGGGGTGGCTTAGACCGTCGATCCTTGACATCATTCTTTTCGCTTCTATTGGAATATAGACCAATGCTACAAAGAAAGATCTATCCTTATATTCAACATATAAGATCAGCATTGTATTAATCACGTGACCAGATTTTTTCTTCTATCAAAATGATATTTTGACCACTTCTGATTCTGGTCCGCGGCCCTCTCCCGAATGATAGGCAGGACCATTTTCCTTCAGAGGTAAATAGTCCGCCTTCAGGCATGAATGGTACGTTCCTTCGGAGGTGCCTTCGGGCATATCTTGCCTGCGGACTTCGACCATGGTCTTCGAACCTCGGTGAACAGACTTCGACCCTCAGTCCCCTCAAGGATAGGCGGACCACTTTCCCTTAGGGATAAAATGGTCCACCTTTGGGCATGCATAACCTGATACTGCGGGGAAGCTTTCGGGGTGGCTGAAACCGTCGATTCTTGACATCATTCTTTTGGCTTTTCTTCGGTTCCCTTCTTTGCCACCTTTATTATGTTACTGTCTAGTATTTGTATGTTATTCTAGACGTCATTTCTAGGCTACTTTAGCCTATAAATATGTCCTTCTTTTCTAGCAGAAAGAATCAAGTCATTTTCCACTTTCCAAAGTCAGTTCTACTTTCTTCCTTTGATCCTCAGGACTGTGGTTCTGCCTTCGTTTAGGCTATATCTGCTTATAGTCTATCCTACGACCTTTGACCTTCTTCCTTTGTCTGGCACTAACTGACCTGGCCGGACTAAGGTTGATCCCACGGACTTAAGGGGCCACGATCTGCTTCGTGGTAGCTTTCCCCTTATGCTCTAACAGTTATGAGCCCGGATCTCGCTTCCCTTTAATATCTATTGCGGTCTTCTATTGAAGACCAGTTCTTCTGCTGCGGTCTTATACCCGATAGTTATAAGACTTGTGATCCAAAGCTATCGACGACTTCTCGACTTCTAGCCTACTTCACGGCTTATCGACGAGCACTTTGCTCTCACTTTGACTTCACTTTGTCTTCACTTTGTCTTCACTTTGTCCTTACCTTCTTGCCTATTATGACCGATATAAGCAAGATAGGTGTAACCTTGTCTGAGTTATCAGACTGGTATCTCTGGATTGGTCAAATTAAGTCTTATGCTATTGCAAAAGGCGTATGGGACTATATTAACCCCGACAATCCAATAAAGAGGGATATTCCTTCTTATCCTATTCGTCCTAGGGCTACTGATATTAACCCTAAAGCCCTTACCGATGAAGACCTGACCACAAACGAGCGTGAAAGGTAGAGAGACAGACAAAGAGATTATGAACTTGACCTTCGCGAATATGACCGTATTTCGGGTGCTATCTCTCAGATCTACCTTATCATTCAATCATCGATCTCCTATTTAAGCAAGCTTATTATTCAGCACCTACCGTCAGTTTATGAAGCCTTGCAAACCCTCCAAAAGCGTTATGCACCGACCACTGAAGCCCGAAAGCGGTCGGTCATCAAGAAATACCATCAAATGCACCGAATTCCACACTCTTTGACTATAGATGCATGGATTTCATAATGCGAGAACACTTATGTGGAGGCTGTCTAATTGGGTATTGGTGAAGTCCAATCAAAGACTAGACCACTTTTGGACTTCCTTGATGGTCTAGCCTCTATGTCTCCCTCCTTCGCCGAATACTGGCATAATGAGATCAATCGGCTTAAATCTATAGGCCAAATAGACTCTATTGACTTCTTTACCTTGACAAAGAAGTATAGGGATTCTATTAGGCTTATTCCGCCTAAACGAGCCTCTTATGTCAATGCCACTTTTCGAGGACAATCAGAAAAGGGCCAGGGCAAGAAGACTAAAAAGCCCTGTCCATATCAAGGGGGCGCCTATGATGGTTACCACACATTCAGTGATTGTCCTTATATCAACCCTTCAATAAGGACAGAAGGTTGGAAACCAGACCAAACAGTCCTTGACCGCTTTAAACAAGCATGCACCCATTCAGGCTTTAAACAAGCCTACGATAATGCTATCAAGAAGCATAAGCAGGGCCAGTCCGACACCCATATGGGTATGGTCACTTGCCTAGCTTCTAAGTATGAACGGTCTAATTTGTGGGCATATGATTCGGCCGCAGACACCTATGTTTGCAATGATCGTTCTCAATTCGTCACCTTTGCGCCCTATGAAGGAGACCTTCTAATCGGTGACACAAAGGCTTCCATAAAAGGAAAAGGCTTAGTCTATCTTCGCTTCGAAAACACCACTTTCGACCTCTATGAAACCCTATATGTCCCTCGCTTCCATTTGAATATCCTTTCAGCAAAAAGGGCCAAGAAAGGGGGTGTTTACCACAATCAAAGGCTTGTTAGGCTTAAGACAAAAAATGGGACGCCTATCTGCAAGACTTCGGATGAAACAGGTATTACCCTCATTTTAAGGGCAAAAAATGAGTCGATGCAAAAGGGGCGCGGCTCCCCCGGCTCCCCCTCGCTCCATCTACAAACGGCTTTGAATATGACTACAAAGCCTATTCAACCCATTAAGGGGGAATCCGACCCGAAAAACGACACTTGCGAGCCTAATCCGAAGCCTAAGGACGAGCCTATGACATTTGCATCATCCTATGATCCGGCTATCCTCAAAGGCTCAGACAGCCTATGGCACCAGCGTCTAGGTCATCCTAGCATCGACGCAATCAAGCATTTAGAAGCCTCTACCACAGGGGTGGAGGTAGACCATTTTTCGGCCGAAAACCCACCTTGCGAGACATGCCTAGTCTCTAAGGCTCAAAGACAGGTGTCTAGACGTCCTATGCATATTGGAGACCACCCGTTCGAAACAATGCATTGGGACCTTATTCATTTGGGTCCTGGAATCAACAATATCCACTATGCAAGCCATACGTATTGTCCAGTGACGAAATACCACCTATTAGTCACTATTGCAAGAAAACACCTGATCCAATCATCATTGCAGCAAATGATTGATTTTGTCCTTACCCAATTCGGCATCCGCATCAAACGCATCCACCTAGACGGGGACCGCAATATCCACCAGGATAGGTTTCGGACTCAAGGAATTGAGGTCAAAACCTCACCGCCCTATCAACCAGAGCAAAACCCTTTTGCAGAAAGGTCTGGTGCAGTCATTATCTCTAGGGCTAGGGCTATGATCATTCAGGCATCCTTACCTAAATATTTATGGCCTGAAGCAGTCCAAGCCGCGGTCTATGTGCTTAATCGAACCCCAAATAAAAAACTAGGGTGGAAGACACCCTACCAGGCCTTATTTGAAAGCCTAGACCCTAAACCAGGCTATATGAAGTCAAAGCCTGATTTGTCGAATCTACGGGTCTATGGCTGCAAAGCCTTTGTGAGGATCAATAATATCCCTCGTCTCGCAAAGATGAAGCCTAGAGCAATGATAGGCTACCTTGTCGGCTTCAAAGCATCCAATATATGGAGAATATGGGTGCCTAAGGCCCATAAGGTTCTAAATGCAAGAGACTGTGTGTTTGATGAGAATAGTTTCTATCAACCAAGTTCGGCATACGATGTGATAGACGACCAATCAAAAGAAGCTATTCAGCCTTTATCAACACCCGAATTCAACCTAGTCATTTCCGAGACTAGCATTAAAGAGCCTCTCGATGATCCTTTGACGATACGGCCTTTACCGGACGAACCAGAACTATCGTCCGATGACGACATTGAAGAACTATTGTCCAATAACGATATTGAAAAACCTAAAAATAGGGAGCATGACTACGAAGACCAAATCCTCGGCGACCTACCGCCTTCCCCAGACGAATCAGAAGAAAGAGAAGAAGAAGAAGTGAGGCAAAACCAATGCGAAAGTGAGGATAACCTTACTCTAAACGGGACCGAAAACGCACCTTATTCGGGCAATTTTAGAGTAAATGACCCTTCACTTTATCCTTACCCAGAAGTCGGAAACGCCTCACTTCCCTCTGAACCTTCTTTATTGTCCCAAATCACTATTCCGGCCGAAGACCTTACCCCGGATGCACGTGTTCCCGACCAATCACCTGATTTTATGGTCTTAATTGATAACTCTTCCTATGACGAGGAAATGTTGAATCAATACGACCACCACAAACGGGACAGATCTTCCTCGCCTGACTCATCAAATAAACGGCACGCCTTCGCTTCCTTTTATAATGCCTTTTCTGCGGCTATAAAAGATCAGCCTAAAAAGGTGCATCAGGACGATCTTCCCCTTCCACCAGAATCATGGGAAGAAATGCTTAATCATCCTTATAAAGCCGAATTTATGCAAGCCGCAGACATCGAATATCAGAAACTTGAGAATATGAATGCATGGACACCCATGAAGCGAAAGACCATTGAAGAAGACCATAAGACATGCAAATGGTCTACAAAGCCCCACCGATGCCCTAGGCACCAAGTTCTACCACTTAGATGGGTCTTTACCTATAAAGTGGATGAAAATGGCTATTTAGCCAAATTCAAAGCTAGAATTTGTGTCCGCGGAGATCTCCAAGTTGACCGCAATGATGAAACTAGGGCTACTACCCTTGCTGCACGGACCCTTCGGACTTCTTCTTGCTATTATTGCTGCATTTGACCTTGAAACCATACAATTGGATACAGTAAATGCCTTCCTAAATAGCAAGCTAGACGACCCCGTTTATGTTGCCTTCCCCCAAGGATATAGCCGCAAACACTACATTCTACGGCTTAACAAAGCCCTATATAGTCTAAGGGTAGCGCCTATTTTATGGCAGCAAGAAATCCTTCAGAAACTGGCCCAGTTTGGATTCGTGCCTATTCCTGAAGACCCGTGCCTATTTGTCTATAAAAACGTCGTTTTGATGATATTTGTGGACGATATCTTGGTCATCTTCCACCAAACGCACAAACATAAAGCCTATGAGCTTAAGGACAAGCTCATGCAAGCCTATGAAATAAAAGACCTAGGCGAGGCAACGAGGTTTATAGGCATTCGAATCACCCGCGATAGGGACACGAAAAGGCTATAGATCTCCCAGGATGCCTATATTGAGAAAATTGCGCATCGATTCCATATAACGCCTTTGAAACCGGTTAAAACACCATTTCCACCCTCGCCGCTCCCCGCTCCACCTTCGGACTACCAGACTCCCCTAGCTATGATCCATCTCTATCAGCAGAAGATAGGATCATTGCTTTATGCCACAATTATGACACGGCCTGATGCCGCAAAAGCCACACAAATACTTTCGGAACATCTCACGAACCCTACTGAAAAGCATATGGACGCTGCAGATAAAGCCATAGCCTATCTATACCACACTAGATATAAGGCTATAGGGTATTCCCCTGTGCAGTCTGATAGTCCTACCTTTGTGTGTGCAAGCGATGCATCCTATGCAGACAATATCGGACGAAAGTCATCTGAAGGCTATATAGCCTACCTATTCAATGGTCCGATAGACTGGATTGCACGGAAGCAGAAGACGGTGACGACATCAACGACAGAAGCCGAATTGCTTACTATTTCATCAGCTAGTAAGCATATGATGTGGTGGAAACGTCTCTTTAGGTCTATTGAACTAGACCTAGATCAGGAAAGGCTTAGTGTCCTTTGTGACAACAAACAGACCGTGGACCTCCTTACTAAGGTCAATTCTTTGTTCCGCACAAAGCTTAGGCATATTGATATCCACCACCATTGGTTACGATAAGAAATAGTGGCCGGAAACATCGATATTGCCTGGATTGAGACCAATTCTATGCCTGCGGACGGTCTAACCAAGCCTTTGCCTTATCAGAAGCACCAGCGGTTTATCGATCATCTAAACATGACCGATATCCAAGACAGAATTGTCGAAATCTAGATCTTCGAGACTATGTACGCATAGGTCTAATTCTATGCCTTATTTAGCTTATAAGCTCTGATAAGCTGAAGGGGGTGTATTGGAATATAGACCAATGCTACAAAGAAAGATCTATCCTTATATTCAACATATAAGATCAGCATTGTATTAATCACGTGACCAGATTTTTTCTTCTATCAAAATGATATTTTGAACACTTCTGATTCTGGTCCGCGGCCCTCTCCCGATTGATAGGCAGGACTATTTTCCTTCAGAGGTAAATGGTCCGCCTTCAGGCATGAATGGTCCGTTCCTTCGGAGGTGCCTTCGGGCATATCTTGCCTGCGGACTTCGACCATGGTCTTCGAACCTCGGTGAACAGACTTCGACCCTCAGTCCCCTCAAGGATAGGCGGACCACTTTCCCTTAGGGATAAAATGGTCCACCTTTGGGCATGCATAACCTGATACTGCGGGGAAGCTTTCGGGGTGGCTGAAACCGTCGATTCTTGACATCATTCTTTTGGCTTTTCTTCGGTTCCCTTCTTTGCCACCTTTATTATGTTGCTGTCTAGTATTTGTATGTTATTCTAGACGTCATTTCAGGCTACTTTAGCCTATAAATATGTCCTTCTTTTCTAGCAGAAAGAATCAAGTCATTTTCCACTTTCCAAAGTCAGTTCTACTTTCTTCCTTTGATCCTTAGGACTGTGGTTCTGCCTTCGTTTAGGCTATATCTGCTTATAGTCTATCCTACGACCTTTAACCTTCTTCCTTTGTCTGGCACCGACTGACCTGGCCGGACTAAGGTTGATCCCACGGACTTAAGGGGCCACGATCTGCTTCGTGGTAGCTTTCCCCTTATGCTCCAACAGTTAAGAACGTTAATATTCGAAAATATTTCTTATTAAGAATATTAATTTTCCCTAGGTTTTACTTTCTCTCTTAAGATAGGTCTTCTTTTAGAGCTAGGAAGGATATATATTTATCTTTTTCCCCGCCTCTATAGACGTATACGGATATAATAGGTATCAAATATAAGTTTCTCTGACTAATCTCTGCCTTCTATAGCCCTAGTTAGCGGGTTATTTCGGTGCTAATCCTTTTAGTATATAACTTCCTTACACCGCTATTTCGTAGGCGTATATATTCGTGTTATTATAGATAGCGACCAGAATAAATCAGAGAGACCTTCGGATTCCTTTCGGTATCGCACGTAAGCGATCTTAATTAGTCGCTTAAGAAGGGATCGTTTATAGGAATAGAGGTATATCTAAGGGTAATGCTTCCGTTCCCGGCCAACCGTAGAAGGCTTAGCTAAGTAAGGATATACTACCAGATAAGATTCTGGAGGTGGGAAAGTGTGTTCTATTCAGTAAGTGTACGAAGGAGTAAATATATGGTAGCCGTGCGGACTAATGCGGGTCCGTACGGCAGAAAAAGTTGGGTAACGTGACCGTTTCCCAGTAACAAGAAGGCCCTGTTATCACAAGTGTATCTTCGATCGGGCCATTTTGGTGATCATCACCCTGGGGCGTCTGTCGATAGATCACATAACTAATCGGCCATAAATTTTCCCACCTGATCACAACTTACCTTAGGTCCTTAGGTACCCACCATAAATGATATAATTCTTCAAAATGTTGCGTTCAGTACATACGACCATAGGGTGTGGAGAACAGGGCTTCCCGTCCGCTCAGCCGTACTTAAGCCACACGCCGGTAGGTTAGTAGTTGGGTGGGTGACCACCAGCGAATCCCTACTGTTGTATGTTTTTGCTTCTGCTTTTTCTTTTATTCTTGTTTTTTCGAGGCTCTTGGCTGTTTCTCCTTTTTGTTTCTACACGCGATTCTTTAGCTGCGTCTTTGCCACTTTGGTTTATCGCCTCGAGATCTGCCAAATAAATGACAAGGGTGTCGGGAATTATATCTAAGAAAAGGTACCCACAATTCTATCTCGCGCACTGCTTCATTCTTTTATTCTTCCAGGCAAATAATGTAAAGGGCGGATTCAAATCAGTTTCCCTATTCTGTTCTCTTTGAATGATTCTCGAATGTCTATTTTTAGTAATGCCAGGCCTAACGTGGTTAGTCAATAATAGACCCTTGATCACAGCCCTTTTCCTATTCGACAGAGCGAGATAATCTATGTCAGATATAGACTAAAGTAGATCTAGCTAAGATTTAACAAGAAACGAAGAGAATAAAGTGGTGAAACTGATTCCGAGCGGACCTATATTGAATCGGTCAGATAAAGTGTAAGGATAGGTCGGCCATTCTTTTTTGTCACTTTGTGAGTCCAGCCGCAAAACTTGAGCCCTGAATGGAAATAACTATGTTCTTGATAGGCAAAATGTAGACGGCCAATAAAGGTGGTTTAATAGAGTGGTGTTAACGGTGGTTAAACAGTTTGGTTAAATAGCGTGAATTAGACCTGGCCGGAGGGTCCAAAGTCCGGACCCTCCACCCGCCAAGGGACCCTCATTGAGGGTCCCTTTTTGCATAAGCGTGTATAAAACACCATTTGTAAGCAGAAAATTACCTATTAAGGCCTATTTGTGCCTTCAAATATTACCTAAGAGGGTCCAAGGTTAAAATTTGGACCCTCCTTGGCGTCTTGGCGGGTCCAAATTGAGGGTGAGTGCCAGGTCTAGCGTGAATTCACGGTGTGGTTAAACGGAGTGGTTAAACGGAGTGGTTAAGCGGTGTGATTAAACGGAGAGATAGTTAAACGGAGAGGTAGTTAAACTGAGAGATAGCTAACCGGTGTGATTAAACGGTGAGGTCAACGGGAGAGGTGGTGAACCGAGCGGTGGTTAAACAGCGTGGTTAAACAGCTTAGCTAAACAGCGTGGTTAAACAGCGTGGTTAAACAGCTTAGCTAAACAGCGTGGTTAAACAGCTTAGCTAAACAGCGTGGTTAAACAGTGTGGTTAAACAGTGTGGTTAAACAGTGTGGTTAAACAGTGTGGTTAAACAGTGTGGTTAAACAGTGTGGTTAAACAGTGTGGTTAAACAGTGTGGTTAAACAGTGTGGTTAAACAGTGTGGTTAAACAGTGTGGTTAAACAGTGTGGTTAAACAGTGTGGTTAAACAGTGTGGTTAAACAGTGTGGTTAAACAGTGTGGTTAAACAGTGTGGTTAAACAGTGTGGTTAAACAGTGTGGTTAAACAGCATGGTTAAACAGTGTGGTTAAACAGTGTGGTTAAACAGTGTGGTTAAACAGCATGGTTAAACAGTGTTATTAAACAGTGTGGTTAAACAGTGTGGTTAAACAGCATGGTTAAACAGTGTGGTTAAACAGTGTGGTTAAACAGTGTGGTTAAACAGTGTGGTTAAACAGTGTGGTTAAACAGTGTGGTTAAACAGTGTGGTTAAACAGTGTGGTTAAACAGTGTGGTTAAACAGTGTGGTTAAACAGTGTGGTTAAACAGTGTGGTTAAACAGCATGGTTAAACAGTGTTATTAAACAGTGTGGTTAAACAGTGTGGTTAAACAGCATGGTTAAACAGTGTTATTAAACAACTTAGTTAAACAGCGTGCTTAAATGGGCTGATAAATAAACGGAGAGACGAACAAACGAAGAAGTGTGGATGCTGTAAATACTCGAATAGAGTTAGGGTATCTAACTGAATTATAATAGCTCCCAGAGGTGACTAGT